TTTCTCCATAATTCACCACATCTTTCACAAAGTGCTGTAACCACATTTTTATCAGAAATAAATGAACCACCTGGTGCCCGTTTCCAAAGCTTACTTTTAGTTATAGAACAAAATTTGCAGATGAAGCTTTTATGCTTTAATGCTGCTTTTTCAGAATTATAGGCACTATCATCACTGCTATCTGCTATATCCTCCGTTAAGTGTAAAGAAGAATCTAGTACAGATCTATTATGATTTGAAGAAAATAACTTCTCTTCTTTTTTGCGACGACCTGAATAATTCCCCCATATTCTTTTTCCAGATTCTGTCTTTTTCCATATATAATAAAACTTAATTACTTCAGAAAGAGATTTTGTTGGAATCTCACTAGCAACTAAAGATAATTCACTTCCATATTGAGAAATGGCATTTTCAAATTGTTGTAGTTCAAGAACATTAAAATCGGGTATATGAAGATGTTTTCTAGTCAAAAATGATAAACTTGAAATAGATGCATTTATATCAAATTGATTTTTATAAAGTGTTGTTAATGCTATATCTTGAAAATCCGTAGAAAATGGTGGTAAAGAGAGATTTTCGGCTATATATTTAATCTTGTCAAGATAATTATCTATCAAATCATCTGGAATGTTTTCTGGCTTTGAAAATAATTTTATGCTTGTGTAATCATGTCCTCTTAAAACTAAAAAAAAAGTCAAGATATATTAAACAAATACAAAACTTACCATATTTAGTACCTGTTTCATTGGTAGAAGAAAAGTTTTTGTCAAATGAAGATTTTGAATTAGATAGTCTAGAAGAGCATTCTTTAGAATTGTTAGCTTTTGTATTATCCGTTTTAGCTTCTGAATTAGCTTGTTCTAATATTTCTTCTTCTGAAATGTTAGAAAACTTATAAATATGTTTTCCTCTTCTTTTTTTCCGTGAATCTATTACTACTTGTTTTTCTATAAAAGACTCATGTTGTTCTGGAATGACTGCTTGATGTTTACCGCCAATTCTAGATGCTGCCCTAGGATAAATTCTGTCATCGTAATCCAATACATCTTCTATATTGCAATGTATTCCTAAATATCTATATGGCCATAATTTAGTAATCGCTTTCTGCTGTTCAGTTGGCTGTTTATATTTTTTTTTTTCATTTATTTCATTATAATTATTAGATTCTGTAGTATCAGATGATATTGATGATATATCTGATAGTTCAGAATCCTCATCCTTATTATCGTCATCATTTTGTACACCTTTTTTTCTTAAATTAAAAGTCTTTGATTGTTTTTCTGAAAAAATTTCAAAACTTCTATTAGCTTTTATACGGCGATGCTCAGCTCTAGAACAGGAAGTACATGTCCAAGCGAATCCTTTTGTAGGTTTTTTAAGTAGAGGAGGCTTAACACAATGCATATGATAATCATCATGACAAACAGCACATCTAATAGATTCAACACTTGTACATGTTAATTCTTGTATAATAAAAAAAAATTAAAAATACCTTAAACACCAGTTGCCGCAACGTTTGCAACCTCTATGTTGCATTGCCAATTCTTTTCCTCTCCCACTCTCTACAATTACATACTTCCATTCTTGCTTAAGAACTTCTTTTACTCTGTCTGGAACATTTGTTACTTTATGTATAGGTACCACTTCATAATAACGATGTATATAGCGATCAAAAAGTCTATCATAATAAAAAGAATTCGGTATTTTTCGATATTCATCATGATTTTCTATTTCATCTTTATGAAATATTGTACATTTTCCCCTATATGCTGATAAGGGACATATATCAGAGTGCATGGAAGCAAATAATTGACGAGAATCATTAGTTTTTTTTTGAACATCCCTTGGTCTATAAAACCAATTCACACGGACTGCATTAATAGAACCATCCGGATCATTATTCATTGACGTAAACTCCATGATTCTTGCAAGATAATATGGCTCACCAGGTGGTTCTGAAACTAAATATATAGTATCTAAACTATATAAAAAATTGAAAAAATAAAAAAAACAAAAATACCATTACGATAAAGAACTGTACCATCTGTTAATGTACAGACTGGTTCTTTTTGTCCGTTTTTCTGTATATAATTTATCTTAACAATTCTAGCAATATGATTTACTTTATTTGCATTTTTTCTCTTTCGTTTAGTATTATGTAATTCTTGTGACTTCATATTATATGTTTTATCTTCTATATTGTTTTCTGAGTTGCATTTTTCCTTAATATTATACTCATGCATTTTATTATATAACTTAACAAAAACTTAAACTTGACAAAATATCATAATAAACTTCAAAAATAACTTCATCGATTTTTCACAAAAATGATATTTTTCCTGGATTTAATGAAGATCCCTACTTTTTTATTAATATTCTCTTTCTTTTTTATATTTTTTTTAAATTAAATTTTAAAATAATTTTTTATTAATTAATATTATATAAAAAGCTAATATGATTAAAAAATAATATAAAAACAAGTAAAACTATATTTACTTTCATAGATAAAAATAAAATGGTTAAAAATTTATAATATATGAACAGATACATTAAATATGTGAGTGGAAATAAATATATGATTAAATCAAATAATCCATTTTTTTGAAAACATTATTTGTTTTTGAATTTCTTTATTAAATAATTATTAATCTTTTATTAGAATTACTGTGGATTTATTTTACTTTTATTAAAATAAAACATGAATAATTAAAATGAAATTTTATAGTAAAATCTCTAACTTTATAAAAAGATTAGATATATAAAAAATAAATTAAGTTATAAAGATGTTTTTAATTTTACAATATATTTTAATTTTTTTAAGTTTTAAATCACATGAGAAAAATATTATGAAAAAGAACTTAAATAATTTAATGAACTTATGAAATTAATTATTTATAACCTATATTTTTTGAAAGCTTAAAAATTAACCAATTTTATAATCTTTAAACAAATATTATATAAATTTTATATTCCTAAATTTAATATTAAATGTTTAAATTCTCTAATTAAACATGTAAAAATCATTAATATTTTAAGAACGTTAGTTTTCGCTGTTCAGTGAATCTAATATATTTTATGAGATAAACTAATAATAATTATCTAAAATATGATAAAACTACAGCTTTAATTTTTTAAAAAAAAAGGAATCTAATAAAATATATAATATTATTAATTCTTAAGATTTATTTCATGAAAAAAGGACTATCCAACCTGCCTCCTGGCGGAATCGAACCACCGACCTTTCGCTTACTAGGCGAATATTATAACCACTAAACTAAGAAGGCGTTTAATTGTAGCAGTGCCCCTTATTTATATTAATAATTATATACAAGAAATTGCAAGCTGAAATTATAAAAGTTATTTTGATATTAAAAGAAATATTAAGGAATTAAGAGATTCTCTATTTTAAAATAATCAAGATATTTAAATAATTTACATAGGTTTAATCTTGTATTTTAGTAATTTAAAATGTTTAAAATTTAAACTAGATAATTTTTTTATGTTCTAATTATCAATTTAATTATAAGAATTAAAATAAAATATAGTATATGAAACTATTTTTTCTTTGTAGATATAAAAACCTTTATATCTAAAATTAAATATTCAAATATAATAACTTAAATAATTAATTTAGATCTATTAGTAATTATCATAAAACAATAGCTTATTAAATATTTAAATATCGAAATGTTCAACAATTTAATAGCAAGATTAATTAAATAATATAATTTCTCAATATTTAAATATATTATTTAACTACATAAATAAAAATAATATTTATATTTTGGCATAATTGGATTATACGTTTATTTGAAAATACGAGATACCAACATAATTCTAAAACTTATAAATTACATAATCCAAAAAATAACTATGTAAAATAAATACCTTGTTACTTATGAGATTTATCATTCCATAATATAAAGAAAATGATATTTTATGAATATTTTTCTTTTAAAGCGTTAACCAAATCAATATATTCTCTCATAGCATCTTCTTTAGATTTTCCTTTTCAATAAATTTACATGATTACATGTTAAAAAATAATTTTCACCTTTCTGTTTATTCCATGCATCCCTTTCAAAAAAAATAAGAAATATTAATAACAAAAAAATTTAAAATAATTACCATTTACATTTTCCCTAATTTAATCTTTTAATACATAATACAAAAACAAAATATCTACCTTAGCATCAAAGAATCCTGGTCTTTCCTTATTAATATCTCCTTCCGTAGCTAAAGAATATATATATATATAATGCAAAAAACTATATATTTATTACCTTGCTTATACCTGTATTATGTAAAAATGCAATAAGAAAATGAATATACAGATATATCCTATATCAAATACACACTTACAGTGCATAAAGCTTTAATATAATCAAATATGTTTCTTTACCCCCCAATAACTTACCTCTAAAAGCTCTGAGTCTGATGGTGTTAATGAAAGATTTTTAACCTAAAAAATAACATTCTAACAAAATCTAAAAAATATTCTATACAATACATCTTTTGCTGCTTGTTCAAATTCTTCAATAAGTGACATTCTATATTAATTAATATCACCTATTTATTCCCCCAATATCTTTAGCTAAACGAAATATTAAAAAATAAATCATAACCTATATGAAAATATTAAAATTTTCTATTTAAAATCTTTTATACATATTTATTAAACAACTATTTCCTAATCAATTACAATTTATATATATTATTATTCTTAAAATACTTTTTAAATTTATTATTCTTATTCTACATAATATATTTATATCTTATTAAATTTAGTTTATTAAGAATTTTACACTACAAAATAAAATATAAAGGTTTAAGGTTTATCATTTTTAAAGATTATTTAACTTTTTTTAAGATTTAAGAACTCCGTTAAATTAGTTTTTAATAAATAATTAAGAAAAGAGTTAAAAAGTAAGAATAAAAGTAAGAATTTAAGATTAATATTTAAAAATTTCTTATTAAATAAGTAGAATAATTTGTTAAGAATGAGCTGGTAAGTTAAGTTTTATTAAATAGATAAAGCTGACATTAAGATAGGAAAGGATTTCAAAAGGCAGTAGTAAGGGTATGAAATTTGTTAGAAATGATATTTTGATTAAGAATAAATATAAAGGCACCTCAACAAGTTAAGGGAAAGCTTAATATTGGGGAAAATACGGTGGATGCAGCTTATATAGATGTTGAAAATCAATTTAAAGAACTTGAGCTAAAATTAAGAAAATTGCTTAATAATGCCAAAAAATATTTACAATCAATAACAGGCATATTTATAATATAAAATTTCAGTATTTTCTGATGTAAAAAAAAGATATTTTAAGTTATCAAATGGAGTTTGCGGTGATTATTGAAGAAATTTATAAACCAATTACAGGAAAGAGTACAGATATTGAAAATAAATCGAATGAAGAATGTAGTGAAGGTTTGTTATAGATGTTATCTGTATTTTTTTTTATTTAGTTTTTAGCTGTTGATGCTTGTCAAAAATATCGAAATATTGTTAAAGAACTTCAAGAAATACTTACTCCGGAGCTAGAAATGATTGAATCAAGAATTATTGCTCCTACTAGTGAATTATTATCTATTATTGCATCTATTCATAAAATAACAGAGAAACGAGAACGAAAACGTTTGGATTATGACCGTCATAGATCTAATTTAAAGAAACTTCAAGACAAAAAAGAAAAAACCTTAAAAGATGAAAGAGCTCTTTATAGTGCAGAAAATGTTGTTGAACAAAGTACACAAGAATATGAATATTATAATACTTTATTAAAAGAAGAACTTCCTATACTTTTTGGTTTAGAAATTAATTTTATTCAACCATTATTTCAAAACCTTTATTATATACAACTTAATATATATTACACTCTTTATGAAAAAATGAAGTGTATTGACATTGGATATTTTGATTTAAATAGAGAAATTGTTGAAGGATTTGAACTCAAGCGAAATAATATTCAAGAAATAACAGAAAGTCTTGGTATTGTAAGATTTACTCTATCTCGAAGATGTTAGTAATACATGATATTCTAAATTAATTAATATCTTTTTAGCTCGATGTGTCGCTGAAGCTGACAATTCTAAACCAGCCAAACTATCTCCTACATCATCTCACTTAGAATCAAATGTGCAATCAGAAGAATTGCCTTCTTATTACGATGTACAAAATTTACAAAATTATCAGACAAATTATGGAAATAACATTGGAGAAAGCAGTAATGCTAATAATAGGAATTCTAATATCAAGAAGATACCACCACCTCTTCCATGTAAACCAACTCTATTAAAAGGAAAAGAATGCGCAGTGGCATTATATGACTATGAAGCACAGGTCAAATAATTACAAATATTTGTTTTCAATATTTATTTTTTTTAGATGGAAGGTGATCTTTCTTTTAAAGCAGGAGATAGAATTGAAATAATAAAGAAAACAGATAAAAAAAATGTATATATTATTTATTGCAATAGTTTAAATGTCTAACATATTCTAGGATTGGTGGACTGGGAGATTAAATGGAGTTGAGGGAGTATTTCCGGGAAATTATACTGTATTAGAACAGTCGTGATCTATTCATTGTTTTTTCGAAAAAATGCTGTTTTGAAAATAGACATTTTTACAATAACCTATTATTAGGAGAGACAATTTTAATGTTTTTACTTTATTGTATTTTATTTTAAACTTAACAAGAATCGAATTAAATTCTAGAATATAAATAAAATATTATTTTAAATAAAGTAATATCATTTTTAAATAAAGTAATATTATTTTTAAATATGCTTATTATTTATCAATTGAATCAATTATGATTTTACAATAAAAAGAATTTAATGTTATAAGATTTATTAACTTTATATTTTTAAATATTTATTGAATTAATATTGTAGATTTTACAATTAATAATTATGATAAATATTAAAAATAAATTATTAAAATAAGTTATAAACGATCAATACAAATAACTTAAATATAATTATAAAATATTTATGCTTATTTAATATCCTCGTTTAAATGGCTATTTAAAAAATCTATAAAAATTTCTTGAATTTTACTTTTACTAGATGTTTGTATTCTATTAAGATTAATAAACCGATGCCTTATAGATTGTAATTTTGATAACGTAACATTATTTGACAAAGTTATACTCTAAATGATATTCAATAAATATTATTAGTCAAATATATATCATACTTTATTTATTGAATCGATTTTTATCTCTGATTCTGAACCATGATTCATTTGATTTTCAATTATCGTATCTATAATTTTCTGAGTAATTTTATTAAGTTCAAATAAATAGTCAGATGATGGCAATGGTTTCTAAAAAAATTATTTTTTTTTTTCTAATCTATGGATCATGTACCACAATTGTTGATGCATTAGGTTTGATCATTTTTTTACTAGATAAGATTTCCCATATCGAATCAACAGGAGAAGATAAATCTGAATATATTACAGTAAATAAAGGCGAATCCCATTTCGCCAATGAATTAGGCTCTTCATATCTCATCAAAAGTTCCTCAAATCTAAATTTATAAAAAAATATTAAAAAAATCAATACATTTTACACATCTGGAGGATATCCTAAAGATTTTCGCTCGCAATTCCATTCTCTACATATATTAATTGGAGTCCCACAATGGATCTTAAAATATAAATTATAAATTCCTGTTTTATTCTAATTTTTACCACACAATAAGATGTACCAGTGTTTTTAGCCTCACAATACAATTGATATCTATAACCCTTAATATAATTCATTCCGTCACATAATACAATTGTGTTTTTATTTAAAGCACGCCCAACGGCTGAATACATTGTTGCACGAGCAGCTTTTTCTTTTGTCGCATCTAATATATGACATTTTTATTTTAAAAAATTAAATCCCTACTTCCATAAACATCCTTCTTAATTCCAAGAGATTCATCATTAATCAAAACGACCTGAAATGATGGTTTTCTTTCATCTAATTCTATCTTATCATAAAGTGCCTTTTTAAGCTCATGTGCTCTCTGGGTTTTTCCTGAAGAAGGATAGCCTAAAGTCAATAATTAACATCAGCTATATTTCTGTCCTTTAAAGACAGAAACCTGTAAAAACAACTAGTGGCATATTAAGATCTAAAAAACTATTTTAAACAAAATAAATAACAATTTGTTCATATTAAATGATTTACCTTGGCAAGTAACAAGAAGTAATTTAAATAAGTAAATATACAACAGATTCCCTTTTTCCTTTCTTTTTTCTTAATAACCCTTAAGATTTTACAATGTTTCACCACTTTTAAATAGTTTTAAAGACTTGCTTATTATACAAGTTGACTATTTCTATATATCCTACGCCTTCAAATTTTAATCCTTCTGCAGCATCCTAATAAATTACAATACACTGTTTATGTTCTTAAAAGCTATGTCTTCTCAATATTTTTATGTATAAAACTGTATTTTATATTCTTATATCTATTAATGCCTGGATATTATGGTTTAATCAGATCATTCAATTTCTAAGAAAAAAAATATTTCTTTTAAAATTATTGTTAATATTATCTTAAAATTTATGTTAATTTATGAATATTAAAATAAAAAATATTAAGAAATATTAAAAAATATTAATAAATATTAATAAATTTATTTTATAAATTATTGATTACTAATGATTAGTAATACGTCGATATCGAACATCCATAAAAATTTAGTGAAGGAAATATTAAGAGATAAATTAGTTAAGGAGAGGAGGGTTATTTGTTAACAAGAACATGCTTTTTGAAGAGAGATCAGCGTGCTTTTGGAGAAACGGGAAGGCAGAGAGACTATTTTTAAGGCCGTGGTTACTTAAAACAAATGTACATCGGGAGTTTCTTCAAACATATCAAAAGCCGTCTTCTACGCTTTGGATGCACCAGAATATAAGTAGTCCAGTTAAGGAGAAGCAGAGGGAGATGACACGTTCAGCGTCTTTTTTAAAAACTAAATATAATCCTAGAAAAACAGCAATGACATTGGTAAATCAAAAATTGATATTTTAAAGTTAAATAAAACAATATATTAACTTTAACTAAGACACCACGTGCAGTAGAGAGGCTTAAGGAGCTTTTGAATCAGCCAGAACCAAAAATGATAAGAATAGGCACTAAACGAAAAGGATGTGCAGGTCTATCATATTTACTCGAATATGTAGATGAACCGGGAAAATATGATGAAACAATAATTCAAGATGGTATTTTTATTTTCATTTTAAATATATATTACTAATAAATCTTTAGGTGTAGCAATTCTTATTGATAATCGTGCATTATTTACCATTATTGGTAGCAAAATGGATTGGGTTCAAGATAAACTTGCAGCACGATTTGTATTCGATAACCCTAATGCAACTAGCACTTGTGGTAAGATAAATCTTTTGATTGTTTAATAATAAGTAATTTTAAAATATCTTTTATAGGATGCCAAGAAAGTTTTTCGATCAATTAATATATAATTATTTTAATTAATTAATGTTTCTTAAAAAAGACACATTTTCATTTTTTCTTTAGAGTTTCAAAAGAAAACAAAAAGACCAAATTATAAAAAAAAAACAACATTTCTTTATTGCATACCTTTCAATGCGTCAACTTATCATTTTGGTATTAAAATATGCTTTTTTAAAAAAATCAAATCATTATTTTATGATTTAATAATAAAGTGTATCATTAATTATTTCATAATAAAAAAATACGCTATTAAAAAACATAAATTTATAGATCTTTAACCATTTCTATTTCATATTTAATTTTATATAATAATTAAACCCCAATTAACTTGGTAATCTTTATTTAAAAAGATTTCATACATATATTTTCATATCAATTTCGATTTTATAACTTTTTAATTATCACTTTTATTATTTAACAATAATATTTATTAAATACTTTTAAGAAAATATTCTCTTTAAATAACTTAATTTATTAATTCTTATATACTATTACTATATATTCTATATAAATAACTTGCTAAAAATTAATATATCAAAAAGTATAAAAGTATTTATAGCTAAATAAATATATATAAATAGTTCTATTAAAAGTAATAATTCCCCATATCATAATGTCTAAGCACTGATTCATTATAGATAACAATCGATAAAAGATTTTGACGCTCAGTCGAAAAAAGATTTTTACGATACATCCTATAACATCATCGTTTAGCCCATTGTTACTAAATTTTCTAAACAACTTAGTAACTACAAGTCCTCCATATACATATTAAATATACGGAATATATTACTTTATTTATATATTTAATAAGTACTTGTTAAATATTTTAGATACTTAATATACCTATATTTTCTATAAATAGGTTTATAAAAAATACATAATTAGTGTATAATATTAGAAAAACAGGTATAATTATTACTAAATATTCTTAAGGTTATTTAAAAATACTTGGATAGCTTATTGTTAAAAATATGGGATGCGGAATCAGCACACAAAATAGCATAGAAAAGCAGCGCAATGAAGAAATAGAAAACCAATTGAAAAGAGACCAAATTATTATGCGGAATGAAATAAAGATGCTTCTTCTTGGTAGCTTTTGTTATTGTTAAAGAAATATATTTTAAATGATTCAGGAGCTGGAGAATCAGGAAAATCAACGATTTTAAAGCAAATGAAACTTATACATGAAGGGGGATATAGTGTAGAAGAGAGGGAATCATTTAGGGAAATAATTTATTCTAATACGATTCAATCTATGAGAGTTATTCTTGAAGCAATGGAGGTAATGGATATTCCACTTGGTAACTCGAAAAATATGGAATATGTACAAATTATTCTTAGCCAACCAAATCAAATTGAGGGGGATGTGTTGCCCCAGGAGATTGGAGAAGCAGTTATTTCATTATGGAAAGATACAGGTGTACAAGAATGTTTTCGGAGATCTCGTGAATATCAATTAAATGATTCGGCAAAATAGTATGTTATTTTCTTAAAAAAGTGTTCTTATGGATATTTTTAGCTATTTTGATTCAATTGATAGAATTTCACATCCTGATTATTTACCAACAGATCAAGATGTATTGCGTTCTCGAGTTAAAACAACTGGTATTACAGAAACTACATTTATTATTGGAGATGTAATTTATCGTATGTTTGATGTTGGAGGACAACGTTCTGAGAGAAAAAAATGGATTCATTGTTTTGAAAATGTGACAACGATTATTTTTCTTGTTGCTATTTCAGAATATGATCAATTACTTCTTGAAGATGAAACAGTAAATCGTATGCATGAAGCATTAACTCTTTTTGATTCTATTTGTAATTCTCGCTGGTTTATAAAAACAAGTATAATATTGTTTTTAAACAAAATAGATATTTTTCGGGAGAAACTTTCTGTTTCTCCAATGAAAAACTATTTCTCTGACTATACAGGTACATTTTATTTAACAAAGATTATTTATAGAAAAAATCTTATTAATTTAGGAGGTGATGATTATAATGCAGCATGCGATTATATTTTAAACAAATTTACTTCATTAAACCAATCCAATACTAAACAAATTTATACTCATTTTACTTGTGCAACAGATAGCAGTCAGGTAAATAGTTTTTTTTATATAAATCATTCTAATGCCATTAGATAAAATTTGTAATGGCCGCTGTTAATGATATTATTATACAGACAAATTTGAGGGACTGTGGCCTTCTATAAAATATACATGTATACCTTTTAAAATACTATTTTCTTCCTGTATTATGAGGAATTTGATTTAATCATATTAATTTTTATATTTCATAATTCTTATTTTTTTATTAAAAAAAACATGTCTTTAGAAGAATACACATCTTTAGTTTCTTCATTTAAAGACATTTATAATAATGCAAGTCCTCATCTTCGCCAGTTAATGTACTCTATTTGTTCTTAAATCCCTTATATTAAATCATACAGAATTGATACATTATTTATTGAATCATCACCTGTTGATATATGGTATATCCATCAAAAATTTATAAATAAAAAACCATATTATTTTGATATTCTTGGTCATTTACCTTATGAGCTTCTAGAAATGGTCTTTAAATACCTGGATATAGAGGATATTATAGTATTTTCAATGGCAAATACTATATATTTAATATCAAAAAATAATATGATTAGGTCTGCAGACGATGGAATACTCTTATTTCATGCAATTTAGTTGCAAAGATGCTAATAAATGTTTATTTTAATGGACAAACTATAAAAGATACAAATAATGATTGGTATTCACTTTTTCAAAAATTTGCAAAAAAATACATAAGAATGAAGAAAGGAGAGCTTAAATCATTTAATATACTTTATCCTTATAACAAGGTAACATCTAGTTCGCTTTATACTCGATTATATGATAATCATCTTGTACTTTATAACCATTCAATAACAGAAAGTTTTAATAAAGGGATTACTTTATATTGCCTAAGGCCTGGTATCAGCCAGAAAGATGCAATATATATTTCTACTGAAAGTTATGGAGGAATGTTGAATGTTTCCTTGGATTCTTATATTATTGTAGGTGTTAATTATTTTGGGTATATTTGATAATATATTATAATTATACTTATTATATTTGTAGTGTATTTTATATATGGTCACTTCATACTCTGGAATTAATAGATACATTTAAACTAGGAAGCTCTGATGTAGCATCTATGACTTGTTGTAATAATAATATATGTATCAATACATTTAGTCAGGTTTTAAGTGTCTGGAACTTAAAATTCAAAAAGTTTATGTTCTATAAGACTTTAGAACAAATAGACCCTGTAAGAACAAATCTATATATAGATAAATACTAATTATTTATATAGAATTTATCAAAAAAGTGTAATGTTATAATTATTGAATTTTTAAAAAGAAATAACGAATTGATTCTTTGTATTGAAAACATGACTTCAAATAACGAAATTTCATATTATCAATATAGAATTTATGTTTTGTCGCCAGATTGTGGACGTATATTGCGATATGGAAGTTTGATGAATAAAAATATGCCATTTAAAACTAATATTATCAACGAGGACGAGCTAATGATCTTTTATGAGCTTAATAGTGGTCAATATTTAAAGATGGATCTAAAAACTATGCATGCTGTTAGATGTTTATTCCATAAAAATCATATTCAAGAACTTGATTATCTTGTTTATCTTCAAAATTCATTCATTATTAAAAATCTAAAATCGATAGATAACTCTTCAGATAATGGTCTATATGTTGAAAAGTGTGATCCTGAAACAGGGCTTCTTTTATCTAAAAATAAAATTTTAGGAAGTGAAAATATAATTTATAGTCAATCTTGTTTAAAAAACAAAGATTCATTACAAGGAAACAATGATTGGATCGTGTACAATCATCAAAACAAGGTTTTTTTATGGGAACTTTGATATCTTGAATACTTATGCTTAATAACTATAAAATGCTTAAGTTTAAATGATTCCTGGAATTTTTATCCTACAATTAAAAAACTAATTACAATTTCTGTACCATATTACCAACCTACAATTATTTATTGGGATATATTTTTATTTATAATATTAACACTGTTTCATGAACTATACGATTTAATATTGAACAAGAATATTAATGCATTCGGGTTTCTTATGATTAATTTACAATGAAAACAAAGCAGACCTTTTTTTTATGCCACCAAAACTGTAAATAAGGATAGAACTAAAAAATAAACCGACAGTAATAGCAATTGAAATTTGAATCATGACAATACCAAAAGACAAAGAATTAGGACTAACTGAATGCTCAATTGCAGAATCAGAAATATTATAATCAGTAGATGAATTATGGGAAAAAATTTCATTTGACTCCCCTATACCAATATAAACACCTCTTTGCGCAGCTAAACCAGATGGAATTTGAACAAAAATTGCTGGTAAAACAACGGTAAAAGCTAAACCATGGCCAATCCTAGAATATATGTTACCAAGACATCCAATTACAAAAGCCCTTATCAAATTAAAACGATTTCATAATTACAACTAGTATCATACCCTATAGCATTTGAAACTTGAGAAGCACCAAATCTTTTTGAAGAAAAAAAATTTACAATGTATCCTGTGCCTGCGATAATTACAGCAACAGGGAATTGATGTGGCCTTGCCTGGTTAACAACTAAAATACTGTTTTTATTAGCTATTAATAAATATAAACTGCCATATTATAATACCATGCGGTGAATAAAGGAACAGAAATAAAACGATATAAAACATCAATGTTACTACGACAATATGTTTCATTACTAGCTTTTTGATCCATTGAACCATAAATAACAGAACCAATAGTGATTCCAAAACCAAGAAATAATGAATAAATAATAGCATAGAATAATCTAACAGAGCCAGCGACTATATTTTTAGTTTGAAGCTCTAATGATCCACACACTTTTTAAATGAGAAATAGAAACCCTTCAAATAAATAACTTACACACTAAATAACCCGGTAATATAAGTGCAATAGCACTTTCTGCCATACTTGCAAAACAAAAAATATATTTCCCCTGATTTTTTTGATCTGGTATACTTCCAAAAGCTCTTGCAAGAAAACTCGTAATAATAGTAGCTGATATTTCAAAGGCATTCGCATACATAAGACTTCGTCGTGCAACAATTACTTTCAATAAACCCAAAATACAACCTAAAAGAAATGAAATAGGCATATCAAGCCAAGATGCATTAAATGCAAATGGCCCCACTAACGCACTTGCAAAACCATAAAAAAGAACTACAACCCAATTTTTATAATACTGTTTCCGATTAATTACTTCATCAAGATTTTTCATTGCTTCTTCTACTCCAATAAGATCATGAATTACTTGTTTATAGATAAAATGAGTTTCCTGTAATTTTCCGATATCTAATCCTTGATTAACACGAATAACATGCATATCTGACGTATGAGTAATCAAATCGCCAAAAGAAACAATCATGCACCCCGGAATATATAAAAATTGTCCATCAATTTCAAGAACTCTTGATGTCAATCTCATGCATTCTTCTAAACGATGTGTAGGACTTCCGTAAAGCATCAATGCATGACACAATCTCAAAATAAATTTTTGTCGTTGTAAAACATCTGCTAAATGTATTGTAATACGAATCTCATCTTCTAATCTCGATCGAGATAGACTATGTCTTATGGCATTCGCTAATCCACTATTATGCTTACGTAATTTATACGGAGGTCGTGATAATCTTGATAATCCTGAACCAGAATCATCACGATGAATATTTAAAAGACCTGGAACTGCAACCGTCACTGATGATGTTGCCAATAACGCTGATAATGATGTAGACGAACTATTCGTCGATTTACTATGCCATTTAGGCGTACTACGTCCTGTACCAGGCGGCGTTATGTTTTGCCGATTAAAATGCATATTATCTGAATTATATCTATTTCTATTAATATTCTTTTTTTCATAAAAAATTATCTTATACAATTTCAAAAGATGCGATAACACCCCTCCTCGAAATCCAGACGTTTGTGTTGTATCTTCTCCTGATATTCGTGTTGAATCTTCAGATATATCTGTTCCTTTTAATACCTTTTTCTGACGATATGACTCTCCACGTAAATGCGATCGTACTAGATCATACGCATATTTCGTCAATGAATAAAACTCTCCTCCACGTCTTTTTCCCGCTTTTTTCTTAGGCGATCCTGATGACACTTGTTTACTCGATGTCTTAGGAACGCACTGTTTAAATTCTTCCGGTGCTGAAAATACTGATGGCGATTCTCCTGATAAAAATGGGCTACTAGATACTCTATGAGGTAAATCTAGCAACTGAACATCCGGAACTTTTGTCTGTTCAGATTCAAGAAGTTGCGACGTATAAAGCGATAATGATGATAATCCTTGTCTCTGACTCGATTCAAATGATCCAATAACCGGTGATACCGGGCTTGATTCCCTCTTTTCTCCCATTCCAAGGTGCTCCTTGGAATCCAATGCTGACGTCTCAACTTCTTCCTGGATATAAAAAGATGATACCCGTTTATGTCTCTGAGAACTACTGCCTTGAGCTCCTTCTACTAATATATGTGCCGATTCTTCTGCTGATACTTCTCCTATGTTTTCTAGGCCTTCTTCCGCGTCAAATCTGACGCGGTGTATACTTCGTTTTGTTCTACGCTTAGAAAGTAGATCTTCTGTACATGATTCCTCTGGAATATCTCCAGCATCTGATGATGCATTTCCTGCTTTTCCTGACATAAATTATGGTCTGGATAAGGTCTTTATAAGGTCTTTATAAGCAATTATCCTATGAAGATTAAATCTATCAAAAGTTATACGTTGGATCGAGGTGTTTGGGTTTAAATATGAAGGGTATATATATATAGATGATTAAGAATATGTATAAAAAGGCGATATAAAGAAAGAAAAAGAATATTAAAGATGATAAATATAAGTAGTAAATAGTGGTGAATCGTAGTAGAGACGATAAGAAAGAAAGAGGTATTTTAAAAGAATCTAAGATGCTTTTAGTAGATCATTAGGAGTATCAAGAGTAGATCCAGAAGAGAAAAGGATGTTTTGACGTTGCACACCAGCATGCAATATTTTGTTAATAGCCTGCCTGCGTAATCTTAGAGAAAAATTTTTGTTTTCGGATTCATTAGGTGAAAGTAGTTCTTCCATAGGAGGAGGACCACGTGGTTGACGATAAGGAACACCATCTTTATTTAAAGGAGGAATATTTGAATGAAAACCAAATGGTGAATTAGGATTTGTAGAAGAATCGTTAGTATTTGTATGAAAAGCCGAAAAATGTTTGTTTTTCTTAAGATTAGAAAATTGAGAATGATAAGTAGAGCCAGGAAAAGCTGAGGAATGAATTTCTAAAGGGTTAGAATAACCAGGAAGTTCATAATGTGATTCGTGAAGCATTGGAGAGTAAGAAGAAACATGTTGTTCCGGTATATGATGTGAAGGAAAGCTTTTAAGAAAGGTACCAGAATTTGATGGTGAGGTGGGATTGATTTTTCTTGGTTGATATGAATATTGTTGAGATAAGATAGGTTGTGTAAAAGATGAATTGGAAAATAATAATGGTGAATATTTCTGTGGAGTTATTCCCTTAAATTCATCAAAGTTATGTTGATAAGGAGTAGATGGCTCTGATACAGAATTTACAGGAAAGCTTGCTTTTTGATATGTGGATAAACCAAGTCCTTGTGCTGTCCTAGGTGATAAAGCATGTATATGTGGGTAAGCTGATGCCTAATATTTATTAATATATATATATATATTAAATTGATTTCTAGCAACCCCCATGTGTCTTGAATCATTTATATCTTTCCTATAGACATTCGGAAGCTATATTATGTTATTCATTATATATATATATTAATATGAAAAAATACATACAGGAACATATGTCTCTTCATTCTTTTGATTTCCTGGCTCACATCCTACTTGTCTATCCAAACATGGAGCAGTGCGCAGTCCTGCCAAAAGGTATGAACGCGGTGTATTTAAAGGTGCTAAATTTGATGATGTATCTATTGTAGCATTGGGAATAAAAGTTAAGTTCTTAACATTGCAAAACTTCTTATATGATGAATGTTCTCGTGCTGATGCTTTAGACACATCACTATCTATTGCTGTATTACTGGTCATCAAGCTATATAATTAGATGAAACAAGACATCCAGTGTCTAATAAATAATAATCTGAAGATTTGATAAAAGGCTTAAATTAGATGACAAAAACTCTTAATATATAGAAAAAAAACAATAAATATTGTAGAAATGTCGTTATTCCTCTATTTTATATAGCCAATCAATCTTTAATAAAAACAGATAGCATGTTTTGTGATAAAAATATGGTTATAAAAAGCATAAAGGATCAAAAATAATAAGGTTCTTAACTAATAAAAAACATAAGACTTATCAGCATAATTATTTTATAAATTAAACGTACTCCTTTATATTATTTATTAATGTTAATAAATTTTAAGTTGGACGGAGCTTTCACAGAAAGACTAAGGCAAAAAAATGAAGTAGTAAAAAAATGTATGTAACGATGATTATAAGGAGAAAGAATGTATATGAAATAGAAAGATTATAGAAGAGAGTATTATAGTGAAGAAATAAGAAGATTTGAAATACCAAGTGATAAGTGAATAGATAAAGTATAAATGAAGATGTAATTTTAAAAAGCAAAAACTCTATACATGTGAATTATAGTGAATGAAACCGATAATATATAAGAATTATAAAACACGACATACAAAGAAGAAGGAATTCCAAAATAGTATTTTTAACTGTTGAAATTTGATTTTTAATTTACAGAAGAATGCTTAGTGTTTTTTAATCATCACGTCTTGTAATTTCTCTAAGCACGTCTTTTATATTTATATCAGTTGTTCCTGAATTAACTTGAGCTTGTTTTTCACGATCTTGAATTGCCTTGGCAACATTACTTAAAAGTTGTGTTGCATAGCGATTAGAGACTTGTGTAAAAGAATCTATAACGTGTAAAGAATGATAAAGTCTATCGACTTTAAATTCCAAATTTGTTTTTTCTGATTTAAGCCATTGTAATAATTCTGAATGATCAATTGGATAATTGGATTTAACGTCTTCTGAGGGAAACGATATGCCATTAACAGAAGTTTCAGTGACAATGCCTTCTGGATTTTCGAAATCTATGTTGTTTTTGCAAGATAGAAATGAGGCCTCAAGCCTATTCCATGTATTTATTTCTTCTTTTAATCTAGTTCGTATAAATAAAACAAATGATCACAAACAATAAATACATGCTTAGACAATTTATCTTCAAATTCTTTAATTTTTTTTTGATTTTCTATATTCCTTGGGTGAGGCTTTGGTTTTATCAAAATATCTTCTTCCTAAGAAATACATTATCAGTAAATAATAACATCTTTTTTTCAATACCTTTCTATTATACCAACTCGGTGACAGCTTATTTTCAATCAAATCGTTTAGAATTTCTTCTTCAATTATCCTAGCTATATATTTTTAGATATATTTTTTTTTCATCTAAATATACCTAAAGAAGCTGCACGAGAATCCTTTCCATATACTCCCATCTTTTGCTCATCTAATGCACGTTTCGTACACCAAATTAATAACTGTTTCATTCTGACCGGTTCTGGTAAATCTTCTGAAATATGTTTAAAAAAACTTTCATGACTAATACTTGGATGAGGTAACGCTAAAAACCAATACTTCAACAACATCACATATATAACATTTGCTTTCTACCTATTGATCCATTCGCAATAATAGAACTTGCTCGTTTTCCACGGAGTCCAAGGCTACTACGTCGCCGCTGACGCAAATCTCGGTTTTTCTCAATAACCGGCGTATCACATGTTGGTAATTTAACAAAACTATCCATCATATTCATAGAAGAATGCATAGATGCTTCTCCATAGGATTCCTGTATTTCCGACTTATTTGTACGCACAAATTGAAATCCTGAATCTTCCTCATGTATTGCTAAATATATTATCAATTTTTAAACATAAAACAAAGCCCATACTCGTCTTTAACTAAATTCTCTTGTAAGTTAGTCTTATATATTATAGTCTTCTTACACATCGCACATCTTGTAAGGCCTTACATGGCCCTGTCGCTGTAAAACCCCCCTTCTGAGGCATAAAAAACAAATAATATATAAACAATGAATTCCTATTAAATTCCCTGCTTAATAAAGCACTTTTAACCTGTAAAAAAGCTTAAAATATTAATTTAATTTAGACTTGATAGATCTGTTGTTGCCGAGCGATGTCCACACGTTAAAGATGATATAAAGAAATTAACCAGCCGCTTGAAAAAGAATTAGAAAAATACATGTTTAGTAGAATAATAAACTAGAATAAGTGTTTATTTTAGATCACCAATTGTATATTTTGTAATGCTTTTTGTAGTTTTTAAAAAAAAAAGAAAATAAAATGATGATGTTTAAAAGATTGTAGTGAAATAGTCTGATATAGATAATTTTTGAAGTAGAGATTGAAAGAAAGAGAAAGAATGCATTATCTGTAGAACGAGTTAATATTTATTTTTATAGAATAAAAACCAGTTGTAATAGAATTATCGGTAATATTTGTTAGGAACCCATGGCATTTTAATAATAGTTGCATTTCGAAGCTTTCCACGAACATTTACCATAACATTTGTATCTTTTTTATGATATCCAGTTTTGATATATCCCATAGCAATATTTTTTTGAAGAGAAGGAGAGGGACAACCTGATGTAATTCGTCCAATTGTTTCTGAACCATCAATATTAAGAATTGCAGCACCACCTATAATGATTTGTTAATGTAAAAAAAAATCATAATGAATTTCTTACATCTTGCTGGTGCTTCTTTAACAATTAACCCAATTCTTCGTTGCTGTATTCCTTCTTGTAATTGTTGTAAAATCCTTTTATCTCCTAGAAATCCACCTTCAGCACGTCTTCGTTTTCCAATTATCCAGGAAAGACTTGCTTCAACTGGTGTTACTGTATGATCTATATCTGTACCATATAAACACATGCCCGCTTTTCCATCGTCAATATCCTATCGAATAATGAAAAAGGTAAATTCTAACCTTCTAAACGAAGAGAATCTCTAGCACCAAGACCTGCTAACTTTAATTCTTTAGTAGTATTTAAAAGTTCCTCTAAAGTAGAAACAGAATTTTCGATAGGAATAGAAATCTATTAGAGGTCACACAAAAATAATATATTAATCTGCTCATTACTTCAAATCCATCTTCACCCGTATATCCTGTTCTAGAAATATGAACATTTGATCCTGCAAGTTTAATAAAAGCACATTTTCCAAATTTTATATTTGAAAGATCTGTATTTGTATGTGTCTGCAAAATATCGGCTGATAATGGCCCTAAATTATGATTATACAATAAAAATAAAAGGAATTCCATGCCTTGAAGCGCCAATAAACATCTGTCTTTCAATTCTTCAAGCCGGACATTCGATTTATCCCATAAATCTAAATGCTTCTTAAAATATGCCTTATTTTTTTCACGTGTCGCTGCATTAGCAACTAAATAAAACTCATTTTTATCATGTCGATATATCATTAAATCGTCTTCAATTCCTCCATTGGAATTTAATAATGTAGATAATAAAGACGAATATAATGGCATTTCATATAGATCTGATGGTGTTAATGACTCCAAAAAAGAAACAGATAATGTTCCAGAAACTCTATAAAATATAAAAACCCTCCTGAACTGTTCTTATTCAATTACTTAAGTTGAAACTAGTCCAATTAGTGCACTCATTATTTATTATTTTTAAACCATATGAGACACATCAAAAACTCCTGCTCTACTGCGAACATGTTTATGGGACTCTGAAATACTCTGATCTGCATATTGTACTGGCATTAAATACCCTGCAAATGCCACCATCTGTCCTCCATGTTCTACATGAAAATCATAAAAAGGTGTTTTTAAAAGCCCCGTCTAATTTATATTAATATCTTCTTAATATTAAGGATTTCTTAACTGTTAAAGATGTATAAAGCTTAGTAAATAAGCATTTTGAAGGGCTTCTTGGCTTTAAAACATAAAATATACGTTGAAAATACATTTTAAAAAGGTAGAGAAATCGATATTCAAGAGGTTTGATAAAAGATAAGATTAAGCCATTAAAATTCATAAGTTTAAAAATAAACAGAATTCTAAAGTTTACTAATCTAATAATGCAAATAAGCATTAAGTTTAAAAGAATAAAATAATTAAAGCGAATATTAGACTTAAAGATTAAGCGTATGATTTAATAGAGAAAGCGTTAAGAACAATTGTTAAAAGTAAGGCGTAAAAAATTAATTTAAAGCAGGTGTCTTAGGTACTTGTAAAAAGTTAGAGCAAACCTATAATTATGTTAGTTTTTTTTTTAAGAAATAATATATAGATAGATAGATAGATAGATAGATATACATACAGGTTCTAAAGTTGCTGGTTCAATTATAGGTGTATATTGGTAGCTGTTATATAGAATGGCAGTTATTTCTCGTTGAACGTCGTCAAATGTTTCATAAGAAATATAAGGAATTGAATGTTCGAGACAATACTTTTCAAGAGAAAAGCCTTTTCGAGCAAATAAGATATCTACGCTATTTACAACAGAAAAATCAGAAACTCCGTCTCCAATAAATATAATAACAGGAGATAATTCTTTTGATTCATTATTTGAGTAATTTTTTATACAATTTTTAATTGATGCTGCTTTATCATGACCAAATGGAGTATCATCACGCCATATTGGTTTCCAAATTCCTTCTGGATTCACTTCTACATCGTTTGAGATAATTTTAATATGTTCGGCCTAAAAAAATGTAAAAAAAAACAGTTTATAGCACCAATCACACCATTTCAGCTCCTAAAAATTTAGATAAAGATGCTTTAAGCAAAGGATAAAGTCCTGATGAAATGATCCAAAATGGAATACTAGAATTTAAACAGAAATTATAAAAATTATAAAATCCTGGATCTACTTCTAATTCTTGAACAACTATATCAATACCTTCTGACAAAGAAAGCTTTAGATATCCCCATAATTCTTCTGAAATATCCCGAAATGATCGTTCTCCACGACGAAGTACTTCTTCAAGCTTTTCTTGCTTTTCTGGACTACATCCATAACGATCAAACAAAATCTTTCCACTATCTTGGATTGCAATGGTTCTTAAATAGTCAGTAATAATTAAATATAGAATTTGAGCCAGAAATAGTCAATTATTGTACTAAGTCTTACCCATCAAAATCGCAAAATACAAACAAATCTTGCTTATTTTTGTCAAGATCCTTATTTCCAGGGAAAGATTTGTTCATTTCGTGCATTTTTTTATCTTGTTTTCTAATTAAATTACTCTAATCAAATTTATATTCTCATAATATCTTTTATACGCATTGTCTATACGTTGTTTTATGCGAGAAATATAGATTTTTAAGAATATTAAAATAGCTTATTAGAACTTTATTTGTATTAAATAGATATTTAAAGTATATTTAGATGTGTATATATGGGAAAAACTTATGTAAATATAAGTAAAATATAGAATTATAGATAATATATGTATATTTTTATTTATTGTATATATTTTATTAAATTACTGAATATAAAAAAAAAATAGAAATATATAACTAATATTTTTCATGTTTATGGGTCTATTTCTATAAGATATTCTAGATATTTTTGAAATTTATGATAGACAAATTTTTATGTTTATTTTACGATATACAGATTGATTGGATTCTGGCAACAAAATTAAAAAAAAATAATCAATAAAATCAAAATAATCAATAGGATTTAAAGTATTTAGTCTTAAATATCATCTGTATAGATTTATTGAATAAAGATCAAAAAAATTTAAGAAGAATTTAGAAAAAAAAAGGTGTTATGAGGTTGGTAACCATGGCAACAATCAATTGATTATATAAAGATTTATATATTTTTATTAAATTATTCGTCCATTTAGAAGCCTTTTTCTCATTTTTTCAACATAAATCCAAGATTTTTAAGTATCTGAAATAGATTCACATAATTCATCAAATAATGTCGACTGACGTGTCATCGATGTTACCCATTCATGTGATGGATGGTGTAATGTCAACAACCTATTCCAATTAAGATTTCTTTGTAATATTTTTTTCAGTTACTCTATATATGTAGAAGTATCTTTTCCAAGTAGTGTTGCTGTTACAATTGAATTTGCTAATGCATCTCCATCATATGGTGCCAATGTTAATACTTGTGCCAATGTTTCCTCTGCTTCTTCTAGTCTTCCTAACTGTAATTCCGCTACTGCTTGTCCTGTTAAAGTCAATGGATTAGGAATGGTTTGTGCCAATTCCTCATAGATATAAAATGAATTTAGCGCTGCTTGTCCACCCTGATCGCTCTATTAGAATTATCCTCTTTCTATTAAATAATACTTTATATAAATCAATCCATGCTTCTGATAACTGAATTATTACATCATCCGGGGCCCATTTCCTAGCTATTTCTATCTCTTTTTGTGCTGCCTTTAACCGATTTTCCTTAAGAAGAATTTGTACTATCAATGCTACTCTATATTTCTATTTTAAAAAATAACATAAAATCCTTATGTAACAAACGCTTCCACGTTCTCTGAATGCCCTTTTAAAAGCTCTAGTGCTTCTTCATATTGTTCTTCACGATATAATACATGTCCACCCAAAATTTGTACTGTTGAATTTCTCGGTGACATTGAAATACATGATCGGATCTCTGATATTCCTTGCTCTTTATCTCCTTCTTCATACATTATCCATCCACGTAATGCCAAAGACTCAGGCGTTGTCTCATTTTTAAGTACCCATAGAATCTCATTACCTTTACCCAACATTCGTTGTGCTCGTTTCTTTAAGATACGAGCTTCTTCATTTTCTTCTAAGTCTTTTTCAACAATAAGATTAAAACAGCCCTGATAAAACAGGTTTCTTGCTTGATAAAAGTCTATTTCAACATCCATCAAGAAAATAGAGGTTTGTCGATATTAAAAATATATTAATTAAAAGACTTTAAAATAAGATTAAAAGTATGTAAAAAACTCTAATATAAATAAATAAATTAAGCCAAAAGCTTTTCAATATCAGAAGAAATATTTTCTGGTTTTGTTAAAGAAGAATAGCGGTTTACAACCTAATATGATAAGAAGATATAAAAGAAAAATACAAGAAAACATACTTCTCCTGATTTATTTATTAAAAACTTTTCGAAATTCCATTTTATTTTTGAAATGTTAAGTAAACCTTTCCTTAGAAATTTAGTAATAATAAATAAAATGAGGATTTTTACTTTTGAGATTTAAGAAATACATAGACAGGATCAGCGTCATTTCCATTGACTTTAATTTTATCAAAAACAGGGAAGGTTACTTGATATTTCAATGAACAAAATTCAACGATTTCTAAAAATTAACTTTTTATATAAATAAATAAATATACCTTCATTGGTCCCAGGTTCTTGATTTCCTTGTAGAAGATAAATAAGTAAATAAAGATATATTTTTTTTCAAACCAAATTGATTACATGGAAATGCAAGAATTTCCTAATAATTTGTGAATTATGTATTCTAGAATCAAAATAATATACAAAGCCGGAATCTTTATATTTCTGATAAAGTTTCTCAAGGCCTTCATATTGTCTAAACAATAATCAAGAGAGGATATAAATAAATATAAATATTACGATGTGAAACCACACTAAAAAAATTAATATGATATATATTTAAAATTTATTTAATACCTTAGATGCTACATTCCTATAAAAATATTAGTTTCTTAATAATAAATAACAATAACATACACAACCAAGACAACTTTATCTTTTAATTGATCAAAACCGTATTCCTGACCATTAAGTTTAGGCCTTAAATCATAAAAACTCATTAAGAAAGTATAATAGTTATAAAATAATATTTATCAAATAAATATATAAGTTATCTTTGTATTTATATATTTGAAAAATATGAATTACAATAGGGTTATATATACAGTTTTGGAGTTTAAAATTTATAAAAACTTTTATAAATTCTACATATCATGTATATATTATTATATATTTCATGTATATTTCATGTCATAATTATTTAATATTAAGTTCCTAAATATTATTAATAACTAAACGTTATTATGATCTCTTCAAGAATAAAAAATATGGACTATTTTAAAAAATCTTATAGTTATTTGAATTTTTATTAAACTTTTTATTTTTAAAACTTGGCTATTAATTCAGAAAAAATAAGACAAGACTAATTGATTTGTTAATACTTATCTTCAATTAATAATTCTAAATCATTTTTTATAGATAAGCGATGTTTAAGTATTAACTTTAATTCTATGATTTTATTTATTATCTTTTATTTAAAAATAGATCATAAATAAATTACATTAACTGATTAGTTTTCTTTTTTTATAATAAATCTTTCTACAATTTTTATAAATTTAAAACACTAACAATACTCCACTATTAATTAAAAATATTCGTATTCTGATTACGAGTTAATAAAAATTAAAAACCATTCAATCAAAAGTATTTAATATATATAATTATTGAATGATTCAGAACACTAATTTCATACAAATATTTACCTATTTCTTTAAGAAATAGGAAAACTTAAACAATTCATCTACCAAAGCCAATACCTAACCCTAACAATAATTATGTATATCTTTAAAAACGAGTCTTAAACTTAGAGACAAGTAAAACATCCAATCATGTTGTCCATTAAACCATTGATTACACCCACTTTAATAAGTAAAATATTTGACAGATTTCCTATATTTTACTATGATTCTATTCAAGTCCAATCGCCTCTTGATACATCATGTAATTTATTATTTATTCAATCAGAAGAAACATTAGGACAGAAACCATCATATGATCTTGAATCATTAAGATGGCAGGTGAAGACATTATGTAATTAAAGGATATACTTATAAATAGACATATTTTATATTTTCTAAGATTCCTCATCTATTAGTTCCTTCAACACCCTATGCATCATCATCAAATAAATTGCCATTCTTTATACCAAGTAATTCATCTATACCCTTTGATTTATCATCTACAGAATTTCAAAATTGGCTTTTATTGCAAGGAATTAAAGATTGTTCTGAAAAAGAGCCATTGCTCTCTGCGGATATAGATAGTTATATTTCTTTAATTGAAAATACACTTTATGATGCATGGGTAAGTTAATATTTATTGAATATATTATAAATAAATATATTTATATGTATAATTAGTATTATGGATTTTTTATAGAGCCAGAGAATTTTAGACAGGTTACAAGTTTATTATATATAAAAGATGCATGGCCTGTTTCTATTTTTACTAAATGGCAACTTCAAAATCAAATCAAAAAAAAGCTTTCTGTTAGACAAAAAAATGGACTTTTAAATGCAAAAGAAGTATTTATAAAAGAATTATATATATATAAAATAATTTATATAGATTTATGCTGATGCATCTCATGCTTTACATGCACTTTCTATTAAATTGGGTCAAGATCAATGGTTCTTTGGAACAGAGTAGAATAAATTCATTCTCTTTTTTATATAAATTAATATAATATAGAGTTCCAAGTTATATCGATGCAACCCTCTTTGCTTATACATATCTGGTCTTATCAATAAACTTACCTGAAGATACACTTTCTCATGAAGTAAAAAAATATGAAAACCTTGTTAAACATGCTGAAAGGGTTTCAAATATATGTTTTCCAAATAATTAAATTAATAAAAAAAAACTTTAAATATTGATACGCTTAATATAATTTTAACTTTTATATATTATATAAAACATACATTAAAAATACATTCATTTTGTAACATAAAGAGATTATGCGTTTTTTTATAAATTAAATAAGACAAGTAATGATAAAACCAAACATATACATATATACATATATATATAGTTTTAAAATAAATACTATTAGTCCTAAATTTTAGAAAAAGGCTTTAATAGATTTCATTTATTAAGCATTAAAACATCAATGCTGCGCCTTTGGTCTTTTTATCACCGCCCAACTTTTTTTTTTAAAAAAAATGTTGATTCAAAAAAAAATTCTCACCTCAAAATGTTTACAACGTTTTAAAGGAATTTGTTTTTTATGTTTACAAACTGTACATTCCAGTTTCAAAACAACCTTCTTAGTAGTCTTTGCCTATACAAAATACTTAGAATAATGTATTAACAAATAATAATAATAAACTGACTTTTTTTCGAAAAATTTGTTTTGTTTGACCACCATAACCCCTTTGTTTACGATCATAACGTCGTTTACCCTGGGCATAGAGCGAATCTTTTCCCTTCTTATATTGCGTCACTTTATGTACTGTATGTTTTCGACATTCTTTTGCCTCACAAAAGGTGCGTCTTAACTTAGGAATATTAACCTATTTTAAGATTAGCATTTAAATCTCTTAAAATAACTCAAATATAAGCTTAAATATTGACTTATTTCTTAACTTAAGTCTAAATTTGTCTAATTTTATTATTAAACTTACCATTTTTTTTATCGTTTCTTAATAAAAAATTAAACAGTTTTAACATTTGTTAATAAAATTTAAAAAAATTAAATGGAAAAAATAAGAGAAAGTCAAGAAATTTTAGAACCAGAGATAAAACTAAGAATTCAGCATATTTTAACTCAAGCATTTGATAATTTATCTTCATATGATCCAGTAAATATACGTGAGGGTCAACGTAGTATAGAATCGTTAATGGCAGAGTTTTGTCTTGGAGGAAAGCCAGGTCTTAAAGAATTTTGTGAATTACAGGATGGATTTGAATTAAATAGTAAGAAAAGAGTGAAATTTCTAAATTTTATGTATAATAAATGATAAAGTAGCAACACAGTTAATTGCATGCTTAGAAAGATTATTGGGGAAAGATACAAGTAAGTATCTATAAAGTAGTTTATTAGATATTTAATTTTTCAAAAATGATGAAATAAAGGTTTTAATTGATTAATGCTTATCAAGCATAGATCACCCCATTTCATCACATATATGTCATACGTTGGAATTGCTTCAAGGGAGTTTATTATTACATCCGGCATCAAGAAGTCTTTTTTCTCGTCATATTAATATGAACGTATAAAACATTATTGATATATGATGTATATTTATTTTTTAGATTTTACTTGATCTTCTTGAACCACAATCAGAACCAGAAGTTCATATTGCAACACTTGCAACATTGGTAGCAGCATTAGTAGATCATTGGGATAATGTTAGGGTATGTATATATATATATTATGATTTATTATCTATACAAATATAACTAGGTTTTTGAATCATTAAATGGTCTGGCATCAGTTGCATCTCTTATGAAATCAAAAAACTCTTCACAAAAAGTCAAGTATTATTTATCTATAGTTTTATTTTTGCTAATTATCTAGACTTAAAATAGCAGAATTCCTTTATTTTTATCTTATTCCAGAACCCACATTTTCAGGGCCTATAATTAACAAAAAACTAAATATACGTCGTTCAACTGAGGAAAAGGAATTAATGCTTGCAAAATACTTGCACAACGTACGCAGTCTTGTGAAAGATTTACAAGAACTTACACCGTTTGGTGAATTATAAGTTTTCAAAATATAAATATTATACTACAAAATCGAAATACAAAATTGCCTTTTAGGACACTTAGTACAAATAGGATTTACAATACATTCAATATTATTCATCGATTTTTACAAGATAAAATAAACTCATAACATTATTTGCTAAGTCCTTTTTGCTAATTATTATGAACATTATAGCTATAAGATCATATTATTTCGCAATAACGTTTTTTGGATACCCTTTTTTAATATTTGAACCAAAGAAATGCACTATAGGATTAACAATTTTTAAAAGGACGTATCTTTATAAGTTTTAGAAAGTATATTAGACATTTTCTTTTCTTCCATTTGTCTATCAAAAAATTCTCGAATAGCGTCTTCTGTAACAACTTTACCTTCTTCTGCATATGGTCGTAAAAATTTGCTCAATGCATTTTTCATATAATTATACGCGATAATACTTTCAATTACTTGAACACGAGGTAGAGAATTTAATGCTCGAACACCAGCATCGATTAAACTTTCTGTTATTCATATAATTACAAAATAAATATCAATAATAAATATTGCTTACCACCATCACTATCTTCTGGTGGTTCATATGTTTCTTCTTCAGCTAATAATACCGGATTTTTAGCCATCAAAGCAAGACACTAATAAACCTGTTATTTTTTTAATATAAATCAATTAAAAATTACCTGAACACAATGACATATACCAAGTCGAAAATCGTTTGTAAGAAATAGAGAAATGTCTTCTTCTGGACCCATTGGTAGAATTGCCCATGAACATGATTGTTCATTATTATTTTCTGTTTTAACTTTTTTCGGTGACATTTCTAGGGATTCTTCATCGTCCAACTTTCGTTTCATATTTTTATCAGAATTTAATACAGAAATTTCCTCATTAGCATCAGATACCGTATTTAAGATACTTTCTCGTTCATTTTGATATGATACTTCTTTTTTTTTATTACACGCGAATCCCTTCACATATAGATATCTTTTCAGCCAGGATTCCTTTTTTACACAACTTCTACATATAAACAAATCATAATCATCGCTATTTTTAATATTTTCCATTCCTATACATTCATCATGAAACCAATCTTCACATAACAAACATTGAAACATAGTACGTTCATCGGTCGTCGCATCATAATCGGTATCACACCTTATATATCATTATACACAAAAATATATAAAAAACATACCAGCAAAATCTCCCTTCAAAATTATGATTATATTGATTATCTGGATCAACTGGCGATCGTTCTTTACGAATCTTACAAATCTCTGTTCCAAGTCGATCTGTGCCACAATCACAACGGAAATCACGTTTACAAAAAAGTTCAATTATTTCATGGTCTAATATAATATCAATAACCCAATTATAAACGCAATTTAATCCAATAACCCCCGTGACACTGGATACTGCAAGAATAACAAATACCTCCTCTTTGACGCTCTCCGTTCGCCGGAAAACACGTTTTACACACATATAAAGGCTGCCGAAGACGACGATCACGCGTACAATGGTCAAAACTATATGGAAGGCTTTCTCTAGCCTCTTCTTCTCTATATTATTTTAGTATCAAAAATATGCTAAATATTGGGCTTTTTTAAGCGGAAAAAAAACCTACAGTTGAGATTGCTCTTCAATATAATCAATAAGACTCATTTCTGACCCGATATGGGACTCTTGATCGGCTTTTCCGTCAATTTCTTTTTCTGCCATTTTTTATAGGTAATAATAGGTGATCGACAACGTACATCGACGACTATATATTTTACAGAGAAGAAAAATTGGCCTAATTATAGGGATAATCTGGTATTTTTAAGGGATAAAAAAGCGTATAATAAGGATTTTTAAAATGGTATTGTTTTTTTAAAAAAAACCGGGTTTTTTTCTGACAAAAAATGAGCCAAATAAACGTATACGAGATGATCAAGATATTACCGCGTCTAATGAGGGGTCAATGAGTGCATTGCCATCATCTTTACTGCCAAGCAGTCCTCCTATGCAGAGCGGATTTGATATATCAGAAAACGAGGCTTTAATTGATGATATGATTGATAATTTAGAAGAAGCAGCAGAAGAAGAGGATGGAGAGGATCTTTTTGGAGAAAATATGGAACGGTATGGTGCTAGAGGCGTTTAGAAAGCCTTTTCTTTGAATAGAGGTGTTTATTTTATTTTGAAGGGATTACATGCAAAATATTGAGCTTGATCATTATGATATTGATGAACTGGATGATGAGGGAGAATATGAGGCAATGGATCCGGCATTACGACGACAAGTTGAAGAAAAGCTTAAGAGACGTGATAGGGAGTTAGAACGAGCAAAAGGGCTGTATAAAACAACGGCATTTCTTCAAGATGGTAATTAGGGTTATATAAATTATTTAATCTTAATACAATGAAAGATGAGGATGATTCACTTGATTTTTCAATGAGACGTAGACGTAGACGTCATTATGATGAAAAACAGGATGATATGGAAGAAGAAATTGCGGAAGAACTTACATTGGATGCTCTTATGGATATTAAAGCAGATTCGATAAATGAATGGATATTGATGGATCCAGTGCAAAACACGATTTCTCGTGAATTTAGGACATTTCTTCTTGAATATACAGATGATAAGGGTACATCTGTATATGGTAATCGCATTCGAACACTCGGAGAAGTTAACTCTGAAAGTCTTGAAATTAATTATACACATCTTTTAGAATCGAAAGCAATATTAGCATATTTTCTTGTTAATTCACCATCGGAAGTTCTTTCTATATTTAATAGAGTAGCTATGGAAACAACACTTTTACATTATCCAGATTACGAACGTATCCATAGTGAAATTCATGTTTGTATTATAGAATTGCCTAAGACCTTTACACTTAGGGAATTACGACAATCACACCTTAATTGTCTTGTTAAAGTATCGGGTATTGTTACTCGACGTACTGGAGTATTTCCTCAGCTTAAATATGTTAAATTTGACTGTCAAAAATGTGGAATTGTACTTGGTCCATTTTCTCAAGATGCTAACACGGAAATAAAAATAGGATTTTGCCATAATTGTCAAAGCAAAGGCCCCTTTTCTCTTAATTCAGAAAAAACAGTATATAGAAATTATCAAAAAATGATGCTTCAAGAAAGCCCTGGAACCATTTCGCCTGGTCGTTTACCACGTCATAGAGAAGTTATTTTGCTATGGGATCTTATCGATAGTGCAAAACCTGGTGAAGAAATTGAAGTTACAGGGATTTATAAGAATAGTTTTGAAGCATCTTTAAATGTGAAAAATGGATTCCCAGTTTTTACTACAGTTATTGAAGCCAATCATATTAGTAAAACATACGATCAATTTGCAGCATTTAGGTTAACAGAAGATGATGAAAAAGCTATTAGACAACTGTCTAAAACTGAAAATATTGATAAAAAGGTAACATTTTATTGTTTTATTGCATTTTATTAGATATCTTTAGATCATTGCATCAATTGCGCCTTCTATTTATGGACATTATGACATAAAACAAGCCATTGCTTGTTCCTTATTTGGGGGAGTTCCAAAAGATATAAATGGTAAACATAGTATTCGTGGAGATATTAATGTGCTTTTATTGGGTGATCCGGGTACTGCAAAGTCTCAATTCCTAAAATACGTCGAAAAAGTAGCACACAGGGCTGTATTTGCAACTGGACAAGGAGCAAGTGCAGTTGGTTTAACAGCTAGTGTAAGAAAAGATCCTGTAACTGGAGAATGGACTTTAGAGGGCGGTGCACTAGTACTTGCGGATAAAGGTGTTTGTTTAATTGATGAGTTCGACAAAATGAATGATAGAGACAGGTAGTTAAAAATCTTTATTATTTTAATAATATTTATTTTATTAAAGAACATCAATTCACGAAGCTATGGAACAACAGTCTATTTCTATTTCTAAAGCAGGCATTGTGACAACACTTCAGGCTCGATGCGCAGTATTAGCAGCTGCAAATCCTATAGGTGGACGATACAATACAACAATACCTTTTAATCAAAATGTTGAACTTACAGAACCAATATTGTCACGATTTGATATATTAAATATTGTAAAAGATACAGTAGATCCGGTAGAAGATGAAAGATTGGCAAAATTTGTCATTGGATCACATTTAAGAAGCCACCCTTATTACAATTCTAATACGGAGAACTTAGTTGATGATAAACAACCTATGGAAGCAATTGAACCTATACCTCAAGATTTATTGAGAAAATATATAATGTACGCTAGAGAATATATACATCCAAAACTTCACCAGATAGATCAAGATAAAATTTCTAAATTATATAGCGATATGAGAAGACAATCTTTAGTAACGGGGTCATATCCTATTACAGTACGCCATTTAGAATCAATTATTCGAATAAGTGAAGCAGTAAGTTTTCAAGCATAATTTTTATTATTTATCTATTTAGTTTGCTAAAATGCATCTTTCTGAATATGTTAAAACACAACACATTGACTCCGCGATCAAAGTGATTGTTGATTCTTTTATCAGTGCTCAAAAATTAAGTGTTAAAAAATCTTTATCAAGAGGTAATATTTATATATATATTTTTCATAAATCTAAAACAAGCAAAGCACTAGCTAAATATATATTACCTAAAAGCAATAGAGTTCCTATCAAAGCTTAAAAACTTTATAACATATATTGTTGCTACATTAATTTTTTAGATACTTATCCTGGATTGATCTTTTTTTATAATCATACATATGGCAATGCATAACCTTTTTTCATATTTTTTAAAAAAAGCTTTTTATCATTGGATTACATCATATTTAAAACATTAATTTATCTTTCAATATTCATCGTATATATCAATTTATATGGCTTAAATAATGCAAGAAAATACAGAAAAGATATTAATTAAACAGGGCGCAGAGTCTATAGTATATAAAACTTTATTTTTGACGGGAATAATATGCCTTTTGAAAGTTAGACCTGCAAAACTTTATAGGCATCCGCTTTTAGATGAACGTTTGACAAAACATCGGATTAACATAGAAGCTAGACTTCTATATAAATGTTACAGAGGCGGTGTTAGCTGTCCTTCTATATATTTTGTAGACATAAAAAAAAGGGAGCTTTGGATTGAATGGATTGAAGGAAAAACAGTGAGAGATCAACTTATACAGTGGGAAAGTAATATTGGCATGTATGAACAAGTTTACAAGCCAATCATGGAATCAATTGGCCGTAATATTGGATTGATGCATCAATTAGATGTTGTCCATGGTGATTTAACAACAAGTAATATCATGATTCGTTTACAATCTTCTCAAGAGTTATTTCTACCTATGACAGAATCAGTAAAAAGCAATGAAGCGGTAATTATTGACTTTGGCCTCGGATGTGTTACACAAATGATTGAAAACAAAGCAGTAGATTTATATGTTTTAGAAAGGACATTTCAAAGCACTCATCCACAATGCAGTTTTATGGTAAAAAATATATTATATTTTTTTATTAGTAAATTTTCTAGTTTAAATACATTATAGATGCATATTCAGAAACATGTAAAAATGCTAAACAGGTTCTAAAACGTTTAGAAGAAGGTAGATTTTTTTTATTCTTAGAAATTGTTTTTTTTATATTTTCTAGTTAGATTAAGAGGAAGAAAAAGAAATCTAGTTGGATAAAGAAAATATATGTAGAAAAAATATTTATCAAAAAATATATATCTTTGTTAACACCAATTCTGATAAGTTTTAATCACAGTATTTTTTTATAAGCTATAATATCAATCAAAACAAATGTTGATTTAGAATTCAGATGAAATCCTTGAAATTAAAATTTCATATTTAAAAAAATAAACTTATAGATGGTTTTGGATAAGCGAATGTTTGTTTTAATTTGAGGATAAATCATCTTAACATATAATACTTTTGTCGAAACAAAACTAAAAATATTCATCTAAAAAATATAACAAAATATGGTATAAATAATGACAAGAATTGCTTCTACAATCAAGTAATCTATTTTTTTATTTTACAAAATTTTTTTCATTCAATTTTTGATATTTTGGCAAACATAAAAAGGATTTTTATGATTTGTTTTTTTAGAATAAATCAGACAATTTTCGACACTTAACTCTTTTCTTTTATATATATTTTAACTACTCTTTTCTATCTGGTAAATAACACTATTTGCGCAACCAACGTTAATCAACTGGATTTTAGTCGATTTATCTTTAGCGTACTTTAAACGATTACAAAAATCTATATTCTTAAAAAAACCGATGTTTTAGAGCTTCTAATGGCTATTTCTTATATTTTCTTAGTAAGTCGTCAAGGAAAGGTCAGACTTGTCAAATGGTTTATAACATTAAATTCAAAAGAAAAATCAAGAATTTTAAAAGAAGTTTCTCAAGCAGTTCTTCAAAGACGATCAAAAGCTTGCAATTTTTTAGAATATAAAGGTTTGTTTATTCTTTATTTTATACATTTTTTTTTTTTTAAAATAACATTTCATTAGATACAAAAATATGTTATCATCGGTAAGATAATGATAAATCTAAGAAAAATATATTCTAATAAGATCTAACTAGCTATGCTTCTCTTTTTTTTATTGTTGGTATTGAGCAAACGGATAATGAATTAATTACTTTAGAAATTATACATAGATATGTTGAAACTCTTGATAGATATTTTGGCAATGTAAATACATCCCTATAAACAAATATAAATACTAAGGCTTTTAGGTCTGTGAACTTGATATTATTTTTAATTTTCAAAAAGCATATTTTATTCTTGATGAACTAATTATGGCTGGAGAAATGCAAGAAAGTAGTAAAAAAAACATTCTTAGGATTCTTTCACAGCAAGATATGCATGAAGAACAAGAACAAGCTGAAGAATCATTTAATATCTTAAGCAGGAGTATATAAAATCTATTATAACCGATATTTTAATATTCATAAATAATACACTTTATTTCTTATTTATTATTTTAAAATCGACCCGCATAATTCTAAAGGCTTTCGTATATAAATATGTTATTTAAGCATAAATTCAAATTAGCTTAAATACATAGTTTTTAACTTATTTTTAAAAATAGCTTTACATTTCTTAACATTTCTTAACATTTTTCCTTATCAAATCTTAACTTATTTAAATTTCTTAAAAATATTTTTAAGATTTCTTAAGATTTCTTATTAGTTTATCGGAACTTATGAAAATCAATATTAAAAGTAAGTATTTTAAGCTTTTTTTTTTTAACCAAGAATAACATATATTAAGGCTGGCACGCAGTTGCAAGCTGGCACTGGAATGTTCCAGAAGATGATGTATGTGGGATTTGTCGAGTTCCTTTTGATGGTTGTTGCCCTGATTGCAAAATGCCAGGTGACGACTGTCCAATTGGTAAGAATATTGATAAATAGAAGTTTTTTAAGGATATCAGTATGGGGGAAATGCAATCATACTTTTCATATTCATTGTATTATGAAATGGCTAAATACAGAATCATCTAAAGGTCAATGTCCTATGGATCGAAGAAAATTTGAGATCCGTACATAGAACATAATTCAAAGGCTTATACAACATTCTAAAGATGTATAATTTCCTTTAAATATTTTATATTATGTTTAAAGGGTATAAAAATTTATATGAAATATTTCATATAAATTTTTATACAACAATCTATAGCAAAAATATTAGTTTCGTATAAAATGAGACAGATTATATATATAAGATTGTATGGAAAGGTACATATAACAAAAATAGACTCAAAAAATCTAAATTCGAATTATAATCTTCAAATATTAACAATTCTTTCATTTCTTTCATTTTTTACTTAATACACATTCAAATTATCATTAATATCTCATAAAAAAACACAAATCACTTGTTTTTACTCATATATCAAAAAGGTTTTATATATTTATTAAATTATCTTCACTACTTTTAAAAAAACTTTCTCTCATATTATACTACATTCAATACACATTCTTCAGGAAAAAAAAACTCTTATATTCATTCATATATCCTTTTTGTCTCATCATCTACGGATCATTATATAACCAACAACGCGTATTTATAATAAACACGCCTTTGTTTACATTCTATTCTTATACTTAACAAAAAATATTAATTAACCATATATCTAAAACAGCTATTCTTCTTAAATTATTATATTAATATCATCTATCTATTCATCTATCTATTCATCTATCTATTTATCCATAAATATTTTTTCACCTTATTTTTTGGAAATTTAGTTACGACACGACCTTAAATAGTGCAAACACAAAGCTTTGATATAAACCTAACAAAGAAATATGACAATTTAATACATTTTTGTAATAAAAAAGCGGGTTTGCATATTATATTTTGAGAGATTAAGTATTTTCGCGTCATTTTGTCTCTGAAATAACAGTTTTTAAGGATTTTCAGCTATATAAATGCTAAAACAATGACATCAGTATCAAGATTGCGGATAAGCAATATTTTACCGCCTATTAAATGCTCTAATTGTGAAGAATATGTTCAATTATCAAAGATGGGAGAGCATATATGCGAGAAAACAAGAGGTTTTTTGGAAATAAATGCAATTTAAACTTGTTTACTAAATCATAAAAGAGGGATATCAGGAGAATTTTAAGAATTATGGGTATTCATCATCATTTCCTGAGGCATCTAAGTCACCATTGGAGCGGAGTACGTCTAGATTGATGAATTTTATGCGCATATATATCGGACTAATATTGGATTATTAGATAAAGAAGTGAATGGAATGGGTTTATATACGACATCGCATAATAAGTCAGTTTCTTCTAGTGATACAGGGTATAAGGAGGAAGGGATAGATAAGAAGGGATATCGTGAAAAACGGCATATTTTTGAGCGGTTAAATACAATTACACCGGGGCCTTTAGGGGTAGGGGATGGTTCGAATTATAGAGAAGGAAAATGTATGGAATCGGAGAGATCAAGTAAAGATTTTATGTTAAAAAAAGAAGTACACGATAAAAGTTGGAAAAAACGTAGTGCTAGACTTCAACCCTATCGATGGCCTAATAGTGCATCAAGTCAATCTTCAATATGTACGTTTGATTCATCGCCAATTGAGAAGAATCATGTGGAATTGATGTCTCAAAGAAAAAATAAGGAATATATGGAAATTAATTATGAACAAATGATTTCACCGACATGTGAAAATATTGAAAAAATGTTAACATTGAAAGATAAATCGAATTTAACGGAATACACGAGAGATAGGAACTCATTATGTTCAGAAAAGAAATCGAAAACAAAAAACGAGAATCATATACGTCGAAATTCCAGGAAAAAATCGAAATTTCCGGATGAAAATAGCGAAAGATATTTGATAGAATGGGCGCGACGAGATAAAGAGCTTTCTTCAAAATTTATTGAAAAAACACCCAATTCTATTATATCAATTCAAGAATTCAACAATAAAAATATACATTCAAAACCATTTAATGAAAAGAAGATTTATAATAACAACAAGCATGGTCATTTTTTTGAACGAAATAGCAATTCCACCGCTTTTTCAACATCTAGTAATATTAGTCGAGATGGAAAGATATCTTCGTGTTCTATATCAAGTAATATAAATAAGGTTGATCTATCTTAAACATTGGTTAATATTTATTTATAGGCCCTAATTCTGAAATTTCTGTATCAACCCTTCAAGAACAAAAAGGTATTTCTAAAAACGAATTACATGTAAATTCATTTGATAAACCGCTCAATAATATGGAAAATCCTCTTTATATGTCCCATGTTCGTTCTGATGATACACTTGCATTTCATATGAATAATACTCGAAAAAATAATGTCAAAAATAAATATTTATCTGATTTTTATTGCAAAAAATGTAATAAATATATTGAAGGAAAATCGATTCGCTGTTCGGATGGAAAAATCTCTGGTAGATTTCACCGCGAATGTTTTAAATGTTTTAATCCGGTATGTTTTACTTTTTTCTTTTTAATCCTTTTTATAAATTATTTAAGAACTGTCAAAAGTTATTCACTACTTCAGAAGTTTACGTTTTTGAGGGCGAACCATTTTGTTCCAAACATTATCATATGCTTAATAATTCCTTGTGTGCAGCATGTGGGGAAGGTATAGAAGGCAAATGTTTTCAAACAGAAACCAATGATAAATACCATTTTTATTGCTTTACATGTTACGTAAGTAACCTTTTCATTATAAACACGTTTTTTTTTTAATTCCTTAGTCTTGTAAAAAGCCTCTTAATGGCGAATATTTCGATATCGATGGAAAAGCTTATTGTGAAAAGGATGTTGCTAAACTCCTTACTCTTAAGATGCTTCCATATCAACGCTTAGAAAAACGGGAAACTAAAATACTTACTATGGGGGTATTTTAATTTATTTTTTTGTTCAGTTTTGTCGGATTTATATCTTTTTTGAATGTATATATAATACGTCGAATCTTAAAAATGTATTCTTTTATACAATAATTTCTTCGAATACTTCAAAATATATATTATTTTTGTTGTATTATTATATCTTTTAATGAAAATTAATTGATTAATAGAAACATATGGATTCTATTTATCTTCATAAAAAAGCTTTTATTGAGTCACAAATATCTCTTCTTTCGAGACCTCTTGATCCGCCTCCTAATTGGAGGGAAAATGCTAAACTAGATGAAGATGGGAATGAATTGTCAGAAGCTGCTGTTATACATGCAATTTATTGCTGTTTGTTTTTTTATAATATTATTGTTATGAAATACTGAGATTTATAGTAAACGTGTTATTGCGTAAGCAATACCGTATTATATTCAGTTCTCAAGCAATTCGACATGTTTCTGAGCAGATTGATCGACTATATCATTCATCTAATGAGGTTTCTTTAATAGAACCTGTGCAATGTGATTTTCAATCTCTTGAGTAAAAAAAGATCTTAATATTAGGAAAAATAATAAGAATTTTAAGTGATATTGAAAAACTTCCAGCAGTTTGGCCATCAGATGATGAAAAAAGTAGCGAAAAGTGGGTAAATATTGGAATATACATTTATTTTAATATATTCAAAGATATACAAATCTTCGTGCACGATTGCTTTCACTTGCACCGGCTTTAGATCATCTTCAACAAAAACATGCATTTTACGAGTCAATCGAATCATCATTAAGACAATTAAGACAACAAACAGATCTTTCATCTCGTATTTCTGTTGAACTTGAACGAACAAAGAAACTAACGGCAAAAATTGGGCAAAAACTTAAGAAAAGTAACATTAAATTAAATCCTCAAATACAGCAAACAGAGCCAGAATCTTTTATGGAGTTTTGTTCACGAATAAACCCTGATATTATAAACTAAGAATAAAACGAAACTATAAAAACAGAAATAAATTGCAATGAGGAAAAAAAACCATTAATAAAGATCCATTAATCGTCAAAAGGAGCCCCTTCTGTTTCATTATGAATGATTCAACTGAAAAAAAAAAAAGCTATTTTAATTGATTTAAAATATGGGTATTATTATTGATATCGGGTATATCTCAAAAATAACCTCTAAAGCGTAACCTGAAAAATACAATTAATATCTAGGAATTATTCTTCTCCTTAAATATCCATTTTCTTAGCTATATCTTGTTCAAATTCACTATAAATACATCCTTTATCAGTCGAAAGTGTATCATCATCTTCTATCTCATCATCCATATGTCTTGAGCGTTGGAAAGAAACTTTACTAAGATTAATATATAAAACCCTTTTCATTGTTCTATTAAAGAAGAAATAACATGTACTCCATATTAATCCTTCTTCTCCTAAAGGATTAGAATCACTATCTGGTTGGTATACATATATATCACACTGAGATAATTCAATATGCTTATCAATCACCTCCCAAAGACCACATATCGAAAATTGTTGCCGGCTTAAATTTAATAATGTCATATTCAATACGTTAAGCGTCATCGCCAGCGAGCGCTCTTTACGAAAATCTTCCGGCTGAAGATTAGTAAAATCATAATCTGGATGTGATGCATTCAATGTTGCTACTATATACGCAAATGTTTTTCGTGATGATGGGTGATCTAACGGTCCAAATGGTGACATTTGTTGCATCATACTAACTCCCGATTCTAATGATCTTTCTAATGCTAAATCTTCCTGATATCGTGTTTCCAATGATTTATCAATAGTTTTATAAAGTTTCTTGTCCTTTCCTGCCGCCTTTTACAATTAATCTAATACTTTTATAAAACCTCTTATACTTTAGTTGTATACAATTCACATCGTCCTAAAACACGGCAATCATCTGCATCAAAAACAAGCGCCTTATTTATTGCTTCAAAATCTTGGATTTCAAGAAACTTTAATCTTAGCTTTAATATTAAAAATATTCTTTATTTTTTACCTTCATTTTAACCCCTCTTAACTTTATTAATCATTTGTGCCTCCCTTTTGTTTATTTTTCTTAACAAATCTTAACTTTTGGCCTAACTTTTTAATTAATTTCTTAACTTTTTAGTCAATTTCTTAACTTAGCTTAATATTAATCTTGACTTTTCTTGACTTTTCTTGACTTTTCTTAACTTTTCTTAACTTTTTCTTAACTTTTTCTTAACTTTTTCTTAACTTCTTTTAACAATCGGTTAAGATTCGCTTTAAGAAATATTAAAAAAAAGCTGGCGGAATATAATCATCAGCCAGGCGCCTTACGCCTTAAAGGAGGAGGACCTAAAGCGTATTAAGAAGTATTTGGTGCTTATATTTAAGCTTATAAGAGATAGAAAACGAAAAAAAAAGGAAGAATTAGAAAAAATAACAGTAAAACCAGAGCCAGTATTAAGTGTATTATATAAAACACCAACAGAACAAAAATTTGAAGAAATATGGAGGAAACGAGTATGAAATGAAGTAGATATATAGGAGGAGAAGATAATTTTATTTAGATGGATGAAAGAGTGAAAAAAACAGCATTAAAAACACATCGAGAACGAGTAGCAGAATTTAACAAGAAATTGAGTGAATTATCAGAACACAATGATATACCGAAGGTAAATAAGGTGAAATTAGTAAAAGTTATGTATAAAGTTTTTTTTTAGGTTGGACCAGGTTGAGAGATATATAGTGAGGATGAGTTTATTTCAATATATAGTAACAATAGAGAGGAGGGTTAGTGATAGATTAATAAGTTTTTAGTTATTTATGTATTAGATTTTTATTTAATAAGGTTTTATATGTTTATTGAAATATCAAGGAAAAAAGATTGATAATTTTAAAAGTGAAAATAAAAGAGGGAGTTTTGAAAGGTTTTATATGATATGAATTGCAGTTTAATATTATATTTATGATTTTGAAATTAATATTAAAAGGGAGGAGTATTTTATATTTATAATAGTCAATTAAAGCCAATAGTATATAAGATGAATAAGATAAATAAAATAAAATATTAAGATAATAGTATATATATATGTATATGTATGTATATGTATGTATAAATATGAAGTTTTTTTAAAAAAAAGATAAGGATGTATATAAAGTAATGTAAAAATAATAGTTAAAGATTAAAATATAAGAAAAAATCAATATATTGGCTTATTATCTATATAAAACAGTTGATTTATTAATAAAATATCAAAATAAGAATAATTAATTATATGATCATTTCAAGAATAATTATTATTAAAATATTTATGAATTTAAAGTTTAAAACAGGATTAAAATCTTAATAATTAAGATTTAATTAACATATAAGAATAAAAAAAATTAAACATCAAAAAAAATTTAATACAATATATTATTATTTTGATAATCTTGACTTTTTTCATAGAAAGAATAAAGATATAATTTGATATTGAAGACAATACAATATTTTTATAAAAATGATGAACTTTTTATTATAAAAAAAATCAGTTAAAAATACAACAAAAAACAGCAAAACCTATTGAAAATCTATTTATAAGCTTGTTTTAATTGAAATATTTGAAAAATACATAAAATTTATTTATGGCTAATCCAAGACAACATAAAAAAAGAAAGAAAATTAAATTAAAAAGAAGGAAAAAGACTTCTTCAAATAGAAATCCAACAATTTCTACTCGCCTTGGATCTATTTTATCAGAAAAGTGGAAAAAAGAAAAAACATTGGAGGAAAAGTAAGCAAATATAGATTATCAAAATCTTATATTTATATATTTTTGAAAAGTTATAAAGAACTAGGAATTGTTTTAAAACAAAATAAACAAAGTAATATAAAAGAAGAAGAATACAATGGATTTTTTTCTAATGAAAATAATTTATTAAAACTAAAACCTAATGAAGCACAAATTTTGAGAGACGATCAAGGAAATATTATTAAAGTTATTTATGGAAAAAAATATGACTTTGATGATGAGTTAAATGAAATAGCTATGGAAAATAGAAAAGCTAAAACACAAGTAATTGAAGGTAATTTATTTTGTTTTTCACAAAGATTTTAATTAGTGTTAGAATTAAAAAATAAAATAAAAAACAATATTAAATCTGACCGAAAACCCTCTCAAAATGAAATAAACTTTCTAAATAAACTTATTGAACGTTATGGTGATAATGTAGATGCTATGGCTAAAGATATTAAATTAAATCCTATGCAGCAAACAGCAGCTGATCTTCGAAGACGAATTAGTAAATTAAAGCAATAGAAATGATATTCGTTTTTTATTCAAATTTCTAAAAAAGCTCGATATATTATCCATTCTTCACTTTTCCCAATCATTTTTATTTCAACAAATGCACCAACAAAATATACAAATCCAAGATTTATTTCATATATATTTCGATTTACTTCGACTTCACCTTGGCCTTTTATACAAATCATAATGCTTGGTCCTTTTAATCCATCTATCCAATGTTTTTGATCCTTTTTTATGAAAATCTTCATAACTTCAAATTCATTAATTGGAGGCTTAAATAGACGTATATCTCCTTCGCCTTTGGATCTTTCAAATACTTCTCCTTCCATTTTTTTTATCGATTCTAATCCATATTTATAACTCAACATTGATACTAACGTATTTGCATCTTTATATTTAGGTGTAAATCCTATCCTAACAACATTATCACTTGATACCATACATTCAACAATTTCTATTTTTTTTTAACTTATATAATTTTTCCTCTTTATCTTTTCATACCTCCTGATAAATATGCATGAGGTGTATTGGCTTCAAGAAAAAGACCTTCACCTGGTTTTAATTGAATATAATTTAATAAAAACACGCAAAATAATCCAATATCCAATGGAAATTGTTCATTTAATCGAAGAATTAGATCTCCCCATTCCGTTTTCTTATTTTCTAATATAAATTCAATCAATGTTTTAGCACATGTTTCAACACGAGTCTTAGGTTGTTGAATAAATGTTTTAAAAAGTGTAGATAACATTAATCGATTCGATTCTTCATTTTGCTTTGTCTTAACATGTTTTATAAAATCAAGAGCTACTTCATTACCAATCAATTCATTAAAGACTTTAACAGATTCAAGAAATTCACATATTTCTTCTAAAGGACGGAAACCGCAAAGTGCTTCAAATGGTGTTATTGCAATTGCCATCTCAGGTTTGTGATTTGCATCTATAGATAAATAATACTATTTATAATAATTTATAAATGTACCTGGATAATTTTTAGGATCTTTATCATGTAAAATTTGTGCTAGCTTTTTATCTGGATGTGCTTGAATAGATAGCGCTTTATTAATAGAAAGAATTTTAAATAAAAATGGAAGCGTAGGCCCATAAACATCAATTATAGATTTAGTTAGAAGCATCTGATTCATTTCAAGATGATTTTGAAGAAATTCTTTAGAATATTGAACAATAGACGGCGCAGAAGGATGAACTCCCATCCAAAGCTAATAAAAATACCAATGATTAAATAAATTAAAAAATTCTTTTCCTAAAAAACCTCTGCATATGGTTTATCATAATATAACGAAACTTCTGGCTGTGCTGATGCAAGAAATCGAGCAATACATGAACTCATTCCAATTTGACCTTGATATATCAAATTTATACCAAAAATAAAAGGGTTGATACCCCATTCATACATTTTAAAACCACATTCAAGTCGAAAAAATTCCATCATAAATAATAATTTACCAAGACAAATATATAAAAAAGACAGATATCTTTAACTTTAATGGTAAAATCCAAAGAATATATTGAAACGGTGTGCCAACTCAATTAAAATTGCCCCGATTAATATAAAAAAGGATACAGGAAATAAAATATCACGTCTTCGAACTACAATCCTTGGTTCACAGAATATAATTTTAGGTGGAAAAGTATTAAAAACTAAGAGCAAATCCACCAAATTAATAAGAATATAGACTGTTATTCAATCAGAATGTACAATTAGAGGGGACTTAAGACGTTTTGATAGTAATTCAGATACAATTGCTATTATAATTGGAAAATATAGTTTTATTGCGGTAGGAACAGTGATCCGACCTCCCAGCAAGATACATCAAGGGTAATGATAAAAGAGAATAAAAATACAAGAATTAAGGGAAAAATGAGTGTATTTAATTATTATCCAATGAGAATAGGGGATTTTGTTCAAATTGGAGAGGGATCAATGATTGAAGCAGCAAGTATTGGGTCATATGTAAAAATAGGAAAAGAATGTGTGATTGTAAAATACAAGGAAAAAATGATAAAAAAGAGGAAATTAACATTAAATATTAGGGGAAATTTTGTATTATTAAGGATTGCGTGGAAATACGAGAAGGAACGATTTTACCGGAACATTCAGTTATACCATCTTTTTCTATCGTTGAAGGTAAACCAGGTATAAAAAATATATGAGATATTAAGAAGGAATTAAAAAGAATAAAAAGGATTAGTTATTGAGGAGTTACCAGAATGTACACAAGAATTGTTTGAAAAAGAATGTCGAACAAAATATCATGAGATTTAAAATATGAATGATCCAATGTAAAAATTAAAGAGAAAAAAAGAACTAAATAATGAAGAAATACCTAAAATAACCTAAAGCCTAAATATTGAGAACAATGCGTATCGAAATGTTTATTTTTTTAATGTAACTTTTGCATTACTACTAAGCCAAGCCTATAAAAACGATTATTTTAAATAATTAAATAAAATAAAATAAATATTACAAGCCCTTCAAAAAGACCTTCACCTGTTGTTGCACAGCTAAAATAATTAAAAATATAGAAAGAAGTAAAGAAAAATATATACCTTGGAAAAACATACCATAAATTACATATTTTATCTAATTGAAGTTTTTCTGTTACTTCACATGGAGACATTGCTATATTGAGTTATTTTAAGAGATAAAAAAAAAAAAGTACCATTTTCTAAATCTTGTTTATTCGCAAATACTAACAAGATGGAATCTCTCATTTCTCGGTCGGATATAATTCTATGAAGTTCTTTACGTGCTTCATCAATCCGATCACAATCGGCTGAGTCTATAACAAAAATTAAGCCTTGTGTACCTAATAATTAATCGTTTTAAATCAAAATTCAAAAATATTATAAAATTACCAGTATAGTAATGTCTCCAAAGTGGTCTAATTTTATCTTGCCCTCCAACGTCCTAATCCAATTAGTAAATAATTAAATCTAATTATTATATACATACCCAAACATTAAATTTAACATTCTTATAAATTACTGTTTCTACATTGAATCCTACTGTAGGAATCGTTGTTACACTTTAATAACATTACAAAAAATAGTTAAACTTCATTTTTATTTACGTTTGATTTAATTTTAATTTATATAAAATTGCTGATAATCCTTCAGTAATTCTTTGTAAAATATGACATTTAAATACTTGTTTTTCCTGCAGCATCCAAGCCGAGCATAAGAATACGCATCTCTTTGTTTCCAAACAATCGACCCATTAATTTAGATATTGATGTACCCATTGTTTTAATTGATTTAAAAAAAATAAAAGATATTTTAACTTTAACCCTTATATTTCCGTGTTTTAATAAGAAATAATGCTTATAAAGACCTTAATAAACTTAATATTTTTTTGAAGACGTTAAAGTATCGACCAGAATCTCCGTAAGGTTCAACTCAACCCTTAAAAATAGACAAAGTTAAGAACAAGAACAAAATCTAATAAATCTCTTAAATACAATTTCTATATTTCATGCTTTATTTTTTTTAGAATATATTTATTTAAAAGTTAAAGATATATTAAAAAAAAAATATAAAGATTGTCAATAGATTTAAATTGATATGAAACCAAAGTCTTTTTAATTGTATATTATGTTTATTTATTTAATATATATATATATATGAATCTAAATACAGTTATTTTTTATAAATAGAAAACATGCAATTGATAACTGTTTATCACGAGTTGAGATATATAAAACATGTAAAAATAATATTGAAAAATTAAATATTCAGTCCAAATACAGTTTTTATAGTAAAACAAAAATACTGCTTAAAAAACCCATATTATTCATCAAATATTTGAAAATATTATTTAATATGTTAAAAACAATCTATAAAGATTTCAAATCATTTGTAAAAGTCAAAATATTAATATATTAATAAAAATATATCATAATTAATAAAAAAAATACTATTTTGATATTTCATATTATAAAATCATAATATAAAATTTATAAAAAACATACATCTTAATACAAAACTTATAAAATATATTACAATCCTTATCAAAAAATGCAATTCTACCCATTTATAATAAAAATAATAATTCAATTACATTAAATCTTTATTTTTATTCAACTTCATCCTCAAGATTCATATAAGCATCCATCAAATCTGTAGACAACGGTTCCTTGTCATTCAAAACTAACATTAATAATTATATAACAAATACACTTAAAAATAATAAATTACATGTAATACTATATATTGAATCAGACATAATAACATACATAACATTATATTCTTTTTCATTCGTCTAAAATTATTAATTCTTCATTTTTCAATATAAAAAAAAATCACTTCAAAAACAAACACTGTTCCTGATGATGGATCAATGTTCCATAAATATCCTGAAACTGATTCTATCTCTTTCTTAAATTTAATGCAAATGGCATGTCCCCGTTTCATCTCAATCGTAGCCGCTGACATACCATATAACCCACTCACCCCCTCTTTATTTTCCATTATTATCTATTCAAAAACCCTATAACCGTCTAAAATCTATTCGTTTTGCCATTAAAAATACATAAAAACCTTTCATTAGATCCTTTACGCTTCTTTTTCCTATACTATATCTATAACCCTAACCCTAACCCCACATGTTATACCCTAGATAAGCTACACCTTAACCAGCGGTAAGCGATGCAGGCACGTCTCCGATGAACAACAGCTGGCATGATTTCTTAAAAAAGGAAACAAATTAATAGATAAAAGACCATAAAACCCATTAAAAATAAGGAGAAAAATATAGGAGGTAGATAAGTCGTTTTTTTTTGAAAAAAAACGGGTTAAAAATGACGAATATAACTGGAGAACATCATCAAAAACAGATAAAGGTAATTATTCAATGATCCTATAAGTATAAGGTTTTCTGAATAGTATTTAGGATATGCCGCAATGCCAGGAAATAGCACAGAAGAATGTTACAGCATCATCTATTATATTTCGTCAAGCAAAAAAACAATTTGCAGCGTTAAAATTAGAAAATAATTCACCAGGAAAATCAAGTATAAAGATTAATGGAAATGCTCAAACATCTATGAAGACGATTGGGGTTACGGGTATTCAGGGATTGCCTCCTTTCCAAAATAAAATTCCAGTTTTAAGGATCTCACCATCACTTAATACGATGATGTCATCGAAAAGTAATAATACAGCAGTTATAAGAGCCAAAGTACCGAAAACTGTTATAAAACCAGGGGAAAAAGTGCGTCCTTCAGAAGCGTCGAAAAAAGTAATTACGAATGGTACGATAATTAGACCATCACAAACACCCAAATCTACACGAATTAAGACAGCAACCGTTTCATCATATCAACAAAAACATTCATTACAACAAACATCAGCGTCACCAAATAAAAGCTTAATTAAGAAGCCTAATATGCCTATAACATTGCGAGCAAAGACAGGTATACCTTATGCCTCTTTAGCTACATCGCCATTGCGTCCACAAATACAAAAAAAAACGGAAATAAAAAAGACCAATGGTCAGCAGGAAACCCAAAAGAAACAGCCTGGCGCGATCAAGGTGATTTCTGTTAACGCGCTTAATGCACGTCAGCCAAAAGTAATTACAACAGAAAACAATCAAAATAATAAGCCCCTTAGACTTGCAATGTCACTTTCAAAAACTGGTTCCGTGCCAAAAACAAATCAGTGTTTGTCCCCAAATAGCAAATCACCCCTTAAGCCTTTTGCTAGTGTAACTAATCTAGTGTCGCATGAGAAACTTAGAAAACCGATTTTTGTAGCTTCTAATACGAATAATGGAAGCAGTCAAATGAAAAGGATATAGTGTTTGAATAAGAAAAACCCTTATTTATTTTTTTTGAGTAAGTTTAGTAAGTTTATTTAAATAAATTATTTTTAAATATGTATTTTAAATGAAATATTATTTATTTTTTAATGAATTTTAAGGTATTTGAATATAATAATGACCTAAGAATCAAAATTTATGCATTCAACGAGGTCCGAGTTTTTCTAATGCTTTTGTACCATATCTAATAATATTAAATAAAATTAAAGAATATCGCAAGATCTTTACTCGTTCCAATCATTTCTGGTTATCCACATATCATCATTATCTTTTACTATATTAGCAAGCACGGCTCCGCCCAAAAATACCATATGTCGTCGACGAGGTGGATCTTCAATTCGTACTTTAAATTTCTAGTAAAAAAATCAATTTATAAATTAAATAGGTTCATTCTTATACATCAAAATGAGAAGGATCTCCATTCAATGCTCTTGTTAACCACAATTGTTTAAGTTCTTTTTCAAGTCTAGTAGGAAAACCTATATCTATTTAATGATTGATTTTTTTTTTAAAAAATCATACCTGGATACATGCTTGTACCACCAGATAAAACAATAGATTTAAATAAAGAAGAGCGAATATCCATATCTGCACTATTTTCATATTTAAAAAAGAAGTATTAAAAAAAATAATTAACCTTTGTATTGTATTATAAAGACATTCTGCAATTCCTGGCTGCTCTAAACCAATCAAATGAGGCTGAAATAAACATTCTGGCGCTTCAAATCTCTCTGAACTCAGTTTAATCACACGTCCATCAGGAAGAGTATAACTTTCAACCAAAACACTAGTTTCTTGAGATAATTTATGATCTAATGTAAGATCACAACTGACAAATAAAAATTAATAAGGAATATATATATATATATATATAATACCTAACATAACATAATTTTTCTTTAATTTGTCTAACAGTTTCAAAATCTGCCGTTCTATTAAAAGCATATCCTCTTCGCAAAAGTAAATCAATTAATTGACGCGTAACACTACGTCCTGCAACATCCAATCTACGAGTAAGATGATTAAGAACTACGTTTTCATAAACAGGAACAATGTGAGTTACTCCATCGCCAGAATCTACAACAACTCCTGTTGTCAGGCCTACATTACATTAAAAAAAAAATTAAACAATAAATTATATTCCTTGTGCATATAAAGAAAGAACTGCTTGAATAGCTACCGAAACACCGTAAAAACCATATTTTTCAATCATAACTTCACACATTTTCTCTCTATTTGCAAGTGGATTCATAGGCGGTTCTGTAAGTAAAATCTTACGATCCCTTGTATCCACCTTAAGCTTCTCATTAAAAGTATAGTCCCTAAATACCATCATTATACTATATCATAAACTAACTCTATATATATATACCAAAGATGCTGCATATCTTCCCAATTACGAATAATCCCATTTTCCATCTAAAAACATCATTACATATATATAAAAAAAATAAAAATTACAGGATACGAGATCTGAAGCATGTTTCTAACTGCTGCTGCTTCATCTCCTACCATAATATCTTTAATAGGCGCATCTATCATTTGCTCTTCTACACGAAGTATAGGACGTCCAACAATCGAAGGAAAAACATGATCAGGAAAATTACTTCCTAGAACAATATATTTCAATATAAATATCTTATTCTAATCTTACCTGCATATCCCACCTTAACAAATCCTGTACCATTGTCTGCCACTATCGACTTCAATTTCACTATTTCTTAAAAAAAAAAAGATATTATCTTACCAATGGGTATTTCATTCATAATTAATCCAGTTAAAGGCCTTTATTTAATAGTTTAAACAACCAATTTTTAAAAAAAGCTTTTCTCCAAAAATATGTCGTCGTCCCGGAGCTTGCCGGACTTCGTATATAGTTAATAAGATATAAAAGCGTAATCTTAGAGTATTTTTAGTAAAATGATAGTTTAGTAGTTTAAAAATAAAAAAACAAGTTAATATAGTGCCTAAATATATAAGAGAATATTAGATTTTTTTAGATTAGAAATATTTTTTTGAAAGATATTTGTATAGATTAGAAAAAGTTGTAAAGTATTTACGACACAAGTATTATTATAGTTGTTGAAATCTAAAAATTTAAGTGAAAGCCTATTTTTTATAAGTTATTTGTTAATAAAACCAGTATTGATTATTAAACGATTAAAAGATGGATTTAGATGAAAATGCAAAAGATCCATATTTTCCATTGGTAAATATTAATATGTTCACTTTTTTTCAAATGAAACTAGACTAATAAGAAAATACTGAGCCGACTTTCAGAGAGTATCCATGTATTTTTAGAAAGACGTAAAGAATTATGGAAGAAGAACCGAAATATTGTTAAAATAGGTATTGAAATGGAACATGATCTATTACCAGTTGAATCAGGAAAAAAAAAGATGAAGGAACATACCGATCTTTCGAAAGATTTCATTAAAAATTGAGAAAAAAAGATATTAGTCTAATTCATGTCTTATTAATAATATAATTATTGTTCTAAAAAAGATCAGTTTATATATATATTAATAAAAAGTAGAGAAGTATTACTTGTTAGGTTAATTCTAATACAAGCTTCCTTTCAACTTCTGTTTCTTTTTCAACTTCTCCTTCGAAGCGTAATTTACAAGTTCCATCTCTCTTCTTTTTTTTAGTAAAGGAAAAAAGAAATGTAGATACAAAAAATTAGTTACCTTTGTGCTAATTACTTCTGCGTTATAAAACGTTGTTGTTTCTGGATACCTGGCTAGAACTTGTGTACCAGGTGATAAAGGTCGAAGTCCTACTGAACTATTGGGGATTAAAATCAAATTTGAAGCAACAGTTTTATATATTCTATAGTAAAATATTAGCTTTTCTATGTTATTTCAATGTTTAAACAAACTGCCCAGGATGATGGTTTTCATCTGGTTCAGGATCCTGAACCTCATATTTAACTTTAGATCCTTCCCCAATAACACGTGTAACAATACATTGAATCCAATCACCTTGACTATTTTTTGTTTTTGGCTGGCGAAAAGCAACCTTATTATTATTAGTAAAATATTATAAATAATTGATAATAGGTTGATAAATATCTAATAGATAATAAAATATATTAAAGAATAAATAAACATCTCTATAAGAATTAATCAGATAAAATATCAAATATCTTTAAAACACTTTTTTATCAACCTTTTAAAATTATTTACCTGAGATCCAACTTGTAAAATATCAGAATTTATTGTTTGGCTAATTTATTAATAAAAACATTATTAAATTACTTTCTATAGAATACCTTCGTGACTTCTTTACTCGAGAAATAATAGTATCAGAAGAATTCTCTTCAATTCGTCTCTTTTTTATCTTAAAATCCTCTGAAAAATTTAACAAAATAAAATGAGATATAGACTCCACCTGAAGCCTTTCCTGCTTCTTCTGATTGACGATGTGCAATAAGAGTATCAAGATTTTCCTGTATTTGCAAAAGTAAACTAGAAAATACATTTTATTTAACTAAATATATTTATTAATCAATTTATACCTTTGTTGCTCATTCACTACATTAACTGCCTCCTGATAAGCATCTCTAAGAGCCTTAACAGAAAAATAATTTGTTTCTTTTGATAATCAATTATAAAATTTATCATTTAAGTACTTTTAATAACAACCTATCCCCATTTTTTCTTGTGCTTCTTTAATTTCTAAATTAAACGAATCTTCACGCCCTTGAAGCTTCTCAAAATGTTCAAAATTCTTTAAGATATTCTTCCAAATATTTACATCCTCAAACTTTTCAGTTTCTGTCAAAGAATGGCGATTTCTAGACATAACTTGTTCTTCAAATTATTATTTTTTAAATGATATTCAATTGTAGCTAAAAGATATTATGAAAGTATTCTATTATTTTAAAGACGTCATCTGCGTCTTTTTGAAATACTATTCTTGCATTTTCTTGCAAACTTGATACTTTTTTGACAAGTAATTTTTCGTAGGGATAAGGTCGTTTTAAAATACTAAATAAACATATTTTACAGGACTTTAAAAAGCTCTAAAGAGATTTAAATGTATTGCAAATAAATGATCTTAAAAATGTTGCATTATTTTTTTTCTATAATAAAAATATTTTTTACATATCCAAATATATTTCATAGAATATCAATTTTAATGAATCTATAAAGATAAAACATGAGGATTCAAAATAATTAAACAGTGAAAATAAACGCATATCCACAAAAATGCCAATTATATAATATCTGCATAATTTATGCTTTAAGACATGGTCAAAATTTTTATCTATATATTTATAAAAAATATATAGACGAAAAAACAATGTATCTAAACCTTATAAAAAATACGCTGTTTAGTCATTTTCAATGCCAATTTTTAATTATGATCTGTGCCACCTTTTCAATTTCTTTAGAAATATCAATTATCGATGCCATTGTCCCTTTGGTTCCTACAACAGATGCAATCAAAGGAAGTTTTACTTTTTCAATTTCAGTAGGACCTTTAGTTCCATCCATAGAATTTACCATTTCTCGTTCAAACATTCTATCATCTGTACAACCAACTTGAACTAATTCTGCACCAAAATATGGATCTTCAAGAGAAAAATATGAACCAATAATACGTTTAGGTTTTCCAAGTTGAAGTCGCGATATCATTTCATATACTTGACAAAAAACACTAGTTAAACTGGTCAAATTTTTAAATTGTACAGTAGATGTGCAAGTTGTAAAAATAGGAACAGTGTCATAATTTGTTAGATGAAAGACAGACGTTGATGGTGCATTAATAATACTTGGAATACGTTCGAAATACGTTTGCAGTGACAGCAAATTGGACGAAGACTCGTTTTTTTCTTTTACTGTAGTTGACATCGATTATAAATTATCTTATAAATCGACTTTTTATATTTTCAAAAAAATCAGAAAAAAAAAGATATTAAGTACCAATGAAATATATATATATATATAGAATAATGTTATATTATTATAATCCAGTTTTTATTTTTTAGAAAAAAAATAAAATAGAAAATATAATATTAATAAAATTTAAATATCTACGTAGTATGATTTAATAATATAGATCCTGAAAAAAAAAAATAGAAAAGATAGCTTAACTAAAGAATCTAAACAAAATATATATGCCCATAATGATTTTATAATTTTATATTTTTTATAAATATTTTAAAAACATTTAATTATAAGTTATAACTCATATAAGCGATGTATCATACAAAAATTAGGAAATTTTATAAAATAGTACTAGGAAAAGGACTTTAAGAGAATATGTATAATTTTACTATTTCTAATTAGAAATATGAAATTTGCTTTAAAAAATAAAAATCAATTAAATTTATTAGAAAACCATTAAATATACAACTATAAGGATAATTTTATTATAATCTAGATATTACGATATGAAATCAAGTTAGATATATATTAAAGATATCAATGCTTTTTGCAACATCTTTATTTTTAAAAAAATGGTTTTAAATATTCAATATAATTAATATCTAGAAAGAAAATTTTTACTTTAATAAATGATATTCTGTTTTTTTAGCTAATATTGGCATTTTAAATTGAAATAATTCAAAAATACGTTTTTATAAATAAACATTTATTATTCTACTCTGATCTATTTAACAACTCTTAGTATTTATTATAAATAATTATAAGCGATAGTCGTAAACTTAAACAAGTATTGGCAAATATCTTTCAATCCATAAAATTACATTAATTAGAACTAGCCATTCAAAAAGACTATTACTACTTATTTTATTTCATTAACATGATACTTTATCAAAAATTAGTAAAGTACAATATTAAGAAAATAAATCTATTTATAGCAAAGCAGTAGTATTAAAGAAAAATAAAAAAAAAGAAATATAAATAGTCATGTAAAATGAAAAATATCATTTCAATTATATCATATAAGTAAAATTTATTTATATATATTTTCTTATAAAATATATAAAAGTAAATTAATATCAAATAAATATATAAAAAGCGAATATTTAAAATATTTAAATAATTTAGATAATAAAAATGTTAAAAAATATTTATTTATTTCTAATTATAATATAAAAAGACACAAGTCCCATATTTTACAACACACTATATGTATAATGAATATTGTGTTTATTTTTTTAAAAATAAAAATAGTAAATAATTATATTAGTAAGTTCAAAAATCAAAAAAAAATATAGTTATGATCATATTATATAACTTTTAAATAAATGCATTTGTTTTATTTAATAAAAAGTTTCATTATTATAAACTTTAAAAAAAAAATGCCAAAAAATAAATTAATACAATTAATAAATTTCAAAAATAAAAAATCATTTCTTACTAATAATAATAAAAGAAATATTACATTTTTAATAAAAGCACTCTAATAGCATACTTCTTTTTCTATTTTATATCCCTAAACAACAATAATAATATTTATAAAAAAACCTAAAAACACTTTTGTATTATAAATAATTTTAAACTTCAGAAATAATTCCTAAAGAACTATACACACTATTTAAAATACAACAGTAATCTATACTATGTAACATAAGGTTTAAATGGATCATAAAATAACACTAATTTATATAAAAATTAAATAAGCAATTTTTCAATATGATTCTAATCCCATTAATATATTATTTAACAATAATTTATATATTTACTTTGATTGTTTGAATTTGTTGTTTTAAATCAGATGCTTCATTTGTCGTAATACTTGCTGAAATAACTGGACGTGAAACACCACATGCACGTCCTAAGGCTGCTTTCGAAGATATAAAAACATAGGGTACATTCTAGATAATATTAATACATAGATTCTAATTATTCCTTTTATAACCTTATCTTCGCAAAGTAAAGGAAGATGCAAAAGTATCTCAATAGGCTCTGTATCTGCTGCCATAACAATAAATTCACTAATTCCCCGATTCAATGTTTTTGTCGCTTCATTTGCTCCTTTTTTTAATTGTTTATAATGAGATGCTTGCTGTACCAAGTCTAGAATTTGTTGTGTTAAACTTGTATCTGCCAAAGGAAAAGCTATATATAAATTTTAATATCAAGCCAAAAATAATAACTTTAAAACAAAAAAAAAAGATTCATCTAATCCATACCTTTGGGATTAATACATGACATTCTTTAAATCAACCTATCTCTACCAAAATATTGATTTTTTTGAAAAAAATCAATTTTCGTATAAAAACCCTCGAAATTTTAAAAATCTCTAGAACCTTTCAAAAACATTCCTATTAATATTCTATCATTAACATCTAGTACTAAACACAATAAAATAATAATATCAACTACCTATTTATATATTTTATTATTATATTTCAACATATAGATAAATACAAAAAAAATAATCAATTTATATTTAAAATACTCAATTTATATTTAAAATACTCAAAAATTAACAAAAAATACAACATAACTCATATATTCTTATTATTATATGGAAAAAGCACTTCATTCACTTTTAACCTATATAGGTTGATCTTAAATTAATTATCGGTTACCATGACAACTCTTATCTGGTTTTGATAAGCTATAATTGGCCAATCAAATTTCTCCAAAAAATTAAATATAAGGAAGTACAAATGATCATTCAAATGACCAAATCTTATTTTAATCACCAAAACGCATACAACACGAGAAAAGGTGAGAAAAAAAGAGAATTTATGAGCATATTTTAAGAGAAAACATAGTTAAACCCAATCCAAAAACATTTATCCTTTTTTTGAAAGACAATTATGATTTTTTCCAATGGTTTTTTGATTTTCTTACTTTTGGATAAAGCAAGAATAGCGGTAAATGCGCTGAATCCCCTTATTATAAAAGGTATTTAGGATAAAATGATATATATTATACACAATAATTAAAAAACAATTGCAGGAAATGCATTTTTTGATAGTGTTACAGACAAACGTTTCTATGTAAAAGGAGTAGATTACCAGCCAGGAGGAAGTTCGGGGATTATAGATCCTCTTTCAAATACTGAAGCATGTGAAAGAGATTTTGCTTTGATGAAAGATTTGGGAATTAATGCAATTCGTGTTTATCAAGTAGATAATGCAGATAATCATGATTATTGTATGAATATTTTGGACAAGAATGGAATCTACGTATTCCTTGATGTGAATACAGCACTTATATCGCTCTGGAGCCTTAATACTAAATCTTCATATACAGAAGAATATATTCAAAACATTTTTGCGACAGTTGATGCTTTTAAAAAATATCCCAATGTTGCAGGATTTTTTGCAGGGAATGAAGTAGTTTCATCAGTAGAACAAACAAGGGCCTTACCCTGGGTTAAAGCAGTAGTTCGGTTACTTGATCTATATTTTTTTTTAATAATAAACTTATTTGTGTAGAGATTTAAAGAAATATATTAATTTGCAGTCAGAAAGAAAAATACCCGTAGGTTATTCTGCAACAGATCTTAATAATCGTGTTCCCACCGCATTTTATTTAAACTGTGGAAAAGCAGAAGAACGTGTAGATTTTTATGCAATTAACCTATATTCATGGTGTTCTCCTTCTTCATTTACAACCAGTGGATATTCCCAAAGAGTTGTCGATTTCTTTGATTTTAAAGCTCCAATATTTTTTAGTGAATATGGTTGTAATAGAGTAGTTCCAAGGCCATTTGATGAAGTTGAGCATATTTATTCAGACAAAATGACGCATGTTTTTTCTGGGGGACTTGTTTATGAATGGACAGAAGAATCAAGTAATCCGAATTATGGACTCGTTATTGTTAATGGAAAAGAAATTGTAAAAAAACAAGATTATTTCAACTTAAAAGAGCAATATTCCAAACTAAATCTTGATAATGACGGTGGATATAAAATTAGGGAAGGGGGTAACGAATGTCCCAAAAATGCATTTCCTTTTAATGTTAATTCCCCTCTTCCAACTATACCTCGAGGAGCTGAAAAATACTTTAAAAACGGTGCCGGAAAACCTCTAGGACTTCGTCCTTCAGGATCAAGAAATAGATATGCTAGACCAATAGTAAGAAAAAACATATATATATATATAGATAGATTAATTATGATCTCTATAGAATAATAATAATAATAATCCTGGAGGCGCAAACAACGACGAATCTGATAATGAGAATACCGCCGGTTCTAAGGATAAGGGAGCGTCCATAAGGATCTATTTTAATTTAAGGCTTTATATTTACTTGATCTTGCTAATTTCATTATTTCGAATATACGTATTTTAATATTTTTCTATACAATTATAAATAATAGCTTTTAAATTCAACCTGAAAATTAACCATATTGCTAATTTTAGTGTTTATATATAGAAAGCAAATAATGTTTCGAGGCATATATATTTCATTTTAAATAAATTAAAACATATAATAATTATGTGATATCTAAGTCTTCAATGCTTCCTTAATTACTTGAAAGTATTAGTTACAAAGAATATAACTAGTATGAATATACTTTTTTCAAGTTCTTCTAAATCATCTGTAGGAACTTTAATCATCTGTTTTCCAAAATATTGTTGTATAAGATTCATTTCTTCAAAACTTTTTTTGTCGTGTACAAAGTTTATGCTAACACCAGTACGTCCAAATCTTCCTGTTCTACCAATTCTATGAAGATATGTTTGAGGATCTGGTTTGTTCATATGATCTAATGGAATATCATAGTTAACAACCATATTCACTTGTGAAACGTCTATTCCTCTTGCTATAACCTAATAACCTAATAATATATATATATATTTGCTGAAACACACTTACGTTGGTTGTTATCAAAACTTTACTTTTCCCAGATCGAAAATCATCCATTATTGAATCTCTTTGAGAACCATCAAGAGCCCCATGTAGTGACACAACAGCATGCCCACTTTCCGTCATTTTCTTGGCTATCATGTCTGCTTGATTACGTTGCTATGGAATTAATTTCATTATAATTAACCTTGTAAAACTTACTCTTACAAATATGATAGACTGTCCTATTGTCAAAAAAGTATACAACTCAACCAAAACATCATATTTATGCTGTTCATCTCTGCAATCCATATAAAACTGTTTTATTCCATCCAGACTGAGTTCCTCTACTTTTAACCGTATCTCATTGGCATTTGGTGCAAATCTTGAAGAAAATTCTACCACATCATCAGGAAAAGTTGCACTAAAGAGAACAATTTGAGTCGTTTTTGGTAACCGACTAATCTCAAATCAATAAATTGTCTTTATATTTAAAATACAAAAAATAAACCTTTTAATCCTCATACTTTGAGCCCCAAGACTTTGTTGATCAAGCATATTATCCGCCTCATCTAGAACGAAAATTTTAATATTATCAGTATCAATTGACTTTCTAATAATTAAATCCAATACAGTGCCAGGCGTTCCAACAATAACATGTGCTATTATTTTTTCTTTCTTTACTAAAGAATCTTTAACAGCAAAAGCTATTTTTACGGGTGTAAACCGTCCCATTTCAGTAATAACATTCATCGTTTGCCTAGCAAGTTCTCTAGATGGAAATAAACATATAGCCTAACAATTTAGTTTTATTTTACAATAATATAAACTAAACCTGAACTGCATTTTTACTATAATCTATCCTAGATAACACTGTCAATGAAAATGCTGCTGTTTTTCCCGTTCCTGATTGAGATTGTCCTATCATATTTCTAGGTCTATTTTTTTTAATATTTATATCTGTATTCTTAAAAAAAAAACATACGGATTACTAAGAAGTAAAGGCAAAGCTTTTTCCTGAATTTTAGAAGGTCTCTGAAATTTTAACGAATATATCCCTTTTAATAAATCCTCATGACTAATATATTAAAATTCAAAATCATTATATATATATAAACACTTACAGCGCAAGATCTTCAAATCTTTTCGCTGAATAAAGTGGTGAATTAGGATCTCCTTGTATATCCGCCAATTTAACAGTAATATCAACATTATCATCAACAAAATTATTATGACAATTTTCTGTTTTTTCTAATAACTCCTTATCCTTTTTAACTTCTAAAATCTCATCAATTTTCCCTTTTTTTAAGTAAAAAAAACTACCAGAATTAACAGAATCTATATTTTTAATGTTTATTAATAAAATAATTGCATTTGATGTAATATTACCCTCTTTTTTCACCTCATTATTGTTTTCTTCTGTTTTTACATTTTGTACCCGCAAAACATCCATTTTTTTCCCGAGTTTTTCAACATCTCCTATATTACTATCAGGCCTAGTTATTTCCCCATTTTTAGACATAAATTCTGAAAAATTTGCACTCATTTTTGCTTTTTTTTTAAAATATAAAAACTTTATAATAAACTTTTTAACGTCATACGCTTATAAAGTTTAACTAAAAAAAAACTATATTAAAAATCTTAAGAAAACTTCTTAATTTATATGAGGTATGATGTCTTTAATATGCTAAGCACTTATAATTAACAGGGTTCCTTTTAAAATAGGGATTAATTAGCTTTAAACTTAGAAAAAAAACAATATAAAATACAAGTATTTTTATATATGGAGGTCCAAAGAACAAGTTTTGGAGCAGAATTAAAGGAAAGTCTAAGGCTAAACATGAAGATATAAGTAGTACTTACTTTCTTTTAAAGGATGCATTTAAACCTGTTGATAATTGGGTATTTTTTGATGAGATTTAGAATTACGAATGTTAAAGATAAATATAGGTGAATAATGGTATAAAATGGTTAGATGATCTTCAATCGTTTTATAGGGAACGATCAGTTATAGGTATATTGAATTTGAGAAAGAATTGGTATTTAAGGAAGTATAGAGAAAGAATATTCAGTTAGACTTGCATCGTTATCAAGAAAATATCATGAAAAAAAAGGAAGGAGATCAACGAGTTTATCGGTAGGTGATAATCCTAAGATGACGCCTGGTTCGTTAGAATGGTATAGATCCTTTGTTATAATTAAAAATTAAAATATATTAGTGCATCTGTTACTACATGGGAAAATATATTGAATCATACAGAGAATTTGGCTAAGGAACGACAAATATTTTCAGAAGAACTTAATACACAAGTAGTGGACAAGCTTAAGACGTTAGCAATTAAATCAGATGATTTAAGAAAAAAGGTTTAAATTGAATTTAATGTTAAAATTAAAATAATATATTAGCATGTTTTTTTTTCAGAAAGACTTTTAGAGGAAAGGGAAAAGATATATATGGAATTAAAGAAGGTATTTGATCTTGATTATTATTTTTTTTTTTTTGAATTTAATAATATAAGATGAAATTAAAATATGATGAACATTGTCATTTAGTTGAAAATTCACGTCAAAAACATGAAAAATCAAGTGAAGAAAATAAGGTATTAGTTTTGATATTGTTTTTAAAATTTAATAAAGAGATATATAGGCAAAAGCAAAAAAAATATATAATCAGGTACCTTATCAAATTTGTTTTATTTATAAGTCTTATATGCAATAACAGAATATCCTTAGTATGAATAATGCAAAGGTTATCTATAAATAATATATGTGTTTTTATTGATATTTTAGAATAATTATATTATTGCAATTCATGTGGCTAATGCGCACAAAAATAAGTATTTCTTTTCAGATATCCCAGATATTTTAGATGTAAAAACAAAATCTATTTATAAGAAAGATTTTTAATTTTTTCAGAGTATGCAGGATATAAATGAGCTACGTATTCAAAGTATGAATTCTATATGGGTTACTGCAGCCTATCTTGAAATTTCTACTTTTAATCGATCTAAAAATCATCTTAATGATCTTATTGAATTTGTGGGGAAAAATGATCCAGTTCTTGATTCCACTATGTTTATACATCATAATGTGAGTTCCTGGCATGAACCACCCAATTTTGTATTTGAACCATGTTCTATTTGGCATGATTCGGTATATTTTAATATTTCTATTTAATATTCTAAAATTAATGAAATTAAAGGATCAAATGATAGCAGATGATCATTCTATAATTTTTTTAAAAAACAAAGCGCTTAGATCTCGTATGAAACTATTGCAATTGCAAGAAAACGTAGATACAAAAAAACGAGAAATTGATGGTTTACAAAATCTTAGAGAAGTTTACTCAAAAAATCCTAATCTAGGAAACCAAGATGAAGTTACAAATGTAATTGTTGCTATTATAATGAAATTTATTAATTATTTTAGAATCTTCTTGATGCACGGAGAGAAGTGGCTTTTATGGATAATCGAAGATTAACACTCCAAATAGAAGTTAATGTCATTACTAATGTTATAGGAGGTTTTTTATTTTCTGTTTATTTTCTTTTTTTAATAAGTGGTAGAAATTGATACCAGTATGTTATTACATGATTTTAAACCTTCTTCTTTTACAATTCCTACTAACTGCGATTGTTGTCATTCTACTATTTGGGGATTAGCACGTCAAGGATTAACATGCAAATGTCTTTATTATTTTCTTTTCTAAACATTTCTTACGATCTTTAGTTTGTAATTATAATTGCCATTTTAAATGCGAGATGAAAGTTTCAATAAGTTGTCCAGGAAAAAAGGAAGGGAAAAAAACAAAAAAAACAAAAGAACTTTCAGATTCGCAAAGTTTTGGAAAAAATACATCATCTTTATCTCTATCTCTTAAAAGTATTTTACTGAATTATAAATAACAAACTAACAAATAAGACATTGATCTAGATAAATCATCTTCTCAAGAAAAAATCGCCTCAGATAGCCCTTTAAAAACAACAATGCTAATGAACCAATCTCGTACTTCATTGTCATCTACTTCTGAAAGGCAAATGGCTAAAGTTCTCTATAATTATGGTAATCTTAATATAAACATTGTTTGTTACTAAATAAAAATAGTTTCTGGTAGTAACACTGAACTTAGCGTAAAAGAAGGTGACGAAATCATCGTTTTGGAAAAAGATGGTAATTATGAAAATATTAAATTTATCTCTAATTACTAATAGATGGTTCTGGATGGATTACTGCTCGTCTTGGATCACAAGAAGGAATTGTTCCAACTACTTATGTAAAAATGTTGAATTCACAAGGTTTTATATCAAATGAAAGTGTATCTTCTACACTTGTTAAACCAGCAAAAAAAGCAGGACCAGCGGTTGTTCCAAGACGAGCAAAAAAGAAAGAAGTATATGTAAAAGCGTTGTATGATTATGATGCAGTTTCGGATTTTGAAATATCCATTAAAAGGGGAGACTTAATTAAATTAATAAAAAGCGATCAAGGAGATGGTTGGAATGAAGGTTTTATATTAATATTAACAAATTATAAAAATTAACAAGTCCAGGTGAATTAAATGGGTATATTGGACAATTCCCTGCAAGGTAATTCTGAAAATATCATTTTTAAAAATTCATATTAATAAAAATAGTTATGTTGAAATCACATCAGAAAGACCACAATAATATATTTTCTTAATATTATACAGTACAATAAAAACTATTACATTTTTACAAATTCATTTACTCGATATTTATAATGCTATTTATGATCCAATTTTACTCGCTTGTTGAACATTAATTTCAGTAAATCTATGCATTTTTTCAACCAACATAAAATACATAACAATTAGTTACCTTTGTCCAACTCTTTCACTATGTTTAAGGAATTTGTTAGCACATCGAATAACACATGTTTCCTTTTATCATAATTATATCAAAATTTTCATAAATTTTTCTTTTTTACCTCTTTGGAATTAAGAGATTTACTTACAAACTCATTAATACAGTCTGAAAAACATTTATGAACTAAATTAGAATACATCTATACATTTTTTTAATTAATATATATATATATATATAATATTTCATGCAACCTTCATAAAATCTTTCATCTGTTTAGCTTCTAAAATGCCTTGTAGTGTCGCCTTAGAAAATAAACTTTGATTCCTCTGAAATCCTTAAACCTACCTGTTCTTTCTGATTTAAACCTTCCATTTTTTTAAAATTATATTATTTACGCAGCGTTTGTTTTTTTTTACAAATTAAACTTTAGTTAAAAATCATTAATTATATATTAAAAACTATTCAAAACAAAAATATTTATTAAATATTTGCTTTTTCTATTTCTAAAAAACTATTTCTACTCATTACATTATAAACACTTTCACTCTGTGTATTTTGGGTTAAATTTAACGAAATATCTAAAATCTATCGATGTTTTACTTTAACATAATAGAAAAAAAATATAGGATAAGAGATATAAAATAAGGTATAATAAGGTATAAAAAAAGGTTTATATATTTAATAGCTTTTTTCTAGGCATAAGGAGCTTTTTCGTAGTTTTTTTCCGGTTATTTAAAGATAAAAAAGACGATATTTTAGATTGGTTATTTTATTATATTAAAGGACCAGAAAATGCAAGAAAAAGGACAGAAATCAGTTGATACTATGACGCTTAATCAGAAAGTATCACTTTTTTTATGGTGGAGGCAATTTAAAGAAAAACAAGGGTGGAAAAAGCTTACTACGGAAAAAACAAAAGGTATGTTTTACCCATCAATGATAAAAAGAAAATCAAGGAAATTTTGATTAAATATATTAAAAAATATATTTTGAAGAGAATCTAATATATTTTTTATAGGAATCTTTGGAGTTCCTTTGCAAATATCACTTCGATATGCAAATGTAGCAATTTCTTTTATAGATAACAACGAAAATTCAATGATATACGGGCATATACCTATTGTTGTGGCTAAATGCGGGGCATTTTTGAAGGAAAATGCGAAAGATGTTGAAGGGATATTTCGTCTTAATGGATCAGCAAAACGGTGCAAAGAATTACAAACAATATTTGATACACCGCCTAAATATGGAAGAAATTTGGAATGGGATGGATTTACAGTTCATGACGCGGCAAGTATTTTAAGGCGATATCTTAACTATCTTCCGGAACCTATTATACCTCTTAAATTTTACGAACCATTTCGAAAACCTCTGAGTATGAAAAAAAGAAATCCAATATAAACTTATTTTTGTATAGAAAATGAATCTTATGATAAAGAAAAATATATTTCGATATATAAGAGGCTTATTACGTTACTTCCGCCTATAAATAGACAATTATTGTTATATATATTGGATTTATTAGCAGTTTTTGCATCGAAGTCCGAAGAAAATTTGATGACAGTGTCTAATCTTTCATCTATTTTTCAACCTGGTATTCTTTCGCATCCCGAACATGATATGTCGCCTAAAGATTATTTTCTTTCGCAAAAAGTTCTGATATTTCTTGTGGATAATCAAGATCATTTTCTGATGAATACGGCTGGGACAGATCCTGGATTAGTAGCATCATTAGCACGTTGTAGAGATAGCGATATTTTAGATGCAGCATCTACCATAAATTCTCTTAAATTTGTATCCAGAAAGAAACACAATGTTTTAAAAAAAATACCACATATCAGTTCAAAGAATTTACGTTTTCATATGAGTAAGCGTTCAAAATCAATGAATTTTAATTTGAAGAAATCTTTTCAATTCTTATTACGCAGTAACACATTACCAAATAAATCTCAGTGCATAAAGATTGATTCTCATGTTATAAGAGACTTAGTTTCTCCTAAAAATGTTAAAACGTCAAAGAGTTCTAAATTTTCATCATATAAATTATCTGTTGATGATAAAACCTTTTACAATAAGATAAAAAGGTTAGTTTATCTTCTAATTAAACAATTGCATTTATAATCTTTAAAATAGGAGGAATTCATATTCTAGCCCGGGAACATCTACAGAAGATATTCATATGTATTCAATTCCAAGGAATTCAAAAAATACAAAGTCGCTTATATATACTTTTTCATCATCTCTAGTTGACGCATTTCGACCATCGAAACTTCAAAACAAGTCTTTATACAAAACAATGCCAATTAATTTATCATCATCATCATTGAAAACTATTGGAACATGTTCTAATACATCTCCATTAAAGCTAGAAGTGCATCGATCTTCTCAATCTATACATTCGACTCATTCTCGAACCGTTTCAATTCCTAGTTCTTTAGCATCAGAAGATAAACTTTCTAGAGATAGTTCTATTTTTACAAAAAAAGTAACAAGAAAAGATTCATCTGGAGATGCTCGATATATTTAGCAGATTTCAGTTTAAATGAAAAAAATACGGAAATATTATTAAAACAATTAATAATATATTCTATAAAATATTTGCTTTAAACATCATGAATGCAGGAATCTTATTACACTTATCAAGACTGTATGATTATTTTGTTTGGTATATATTATTATTTTTTTTATTTTTATCTTAATCTTTTTCTTAGGATTATCTTTAATATTTAAAGCTGAAATAATATATAATGTTATTTAAGAGGAGTTATTATTTACATAGAAATTCTTTTTCTATCATTTCATGCCTTTCAGTACTTTGTTTTTTCATTAATATCGTTGTTTTAAATATTTTAATTAATATCTTATATAATATTTTATCAATTTATTCTTAATTATAGAATGGTCTTTAGGCATGTTCCTATGTATTTTTTAATCATCTATTAACAATTGCCATAAATATCTAACTTATACTATCATTCGTGATAATTTAAATATAAATACATATTGATATAAAAATCTATATAAATAAAAGATAAAATATTTTTAATTTTTAATACGTTTTTTTTATAAAATTAGTAAACTCTACTTGAAATAGATTCACTTTTTTTAAAAAATAACAAAAATTCAGATATTTTACAAACATGGTTTTTAATATCTTTTAAAATCAAAATTTATAGTAAATCTTAAAAAAATTAAGAAAATATAAAAATATAATAAAACGCCTATTTATTTTAAGATATTCAAAAAGTCAAAACGCAATTAATTAAAAACTTTTTTTAAAAAATTCTTCGATTTACCACAATAACCTTTATAAAATTTAAATATTTAATATGAAGGATAAAATATATTGGATTGGATATATATTTATATTTTCTATCTTAATATTTTCATCAAACAATGTGAAGGCATCAAGGTTCAGTTGGTGTAATAGAGAAATGATGGGAAATCCAGAAAAAAGACAATCAGATATAGCTTATGAGAATTCATTAAATGAAACTTTAGAACTTTTAATAAATGATATTTCTCATGGAAAATTTGATTTTCTTTCAACAGTATTATTTCATATTTTTATATTGAAATCTGATTTTTAAGGGTTTTGGCAATTGTCCATTTTTGACTGATTGTGATGCATCAAAAATTCCATATTTTCAAATAGGATATAATTGCTATACATATTCTATTCAAAATATTTCAGATGTTTTTAGATCATGTGAAAAATTGGCAGTATTTTTACAAGTAAAGTAAGATTTTTCCAGTATAAAAATGTGTTAATATTTTAGAAATTTTGTAAATTATAAAAAAGATAAAGAAACTCGTGAACCAAAAATTAAAGGAAGTGAGTTTTGTCAGAATTTATGTTCAGATTCAGGAAAATGTCCATTATATAATAAAAATAATAAATTAGAATCTCTTAAAGATCTAGTAAATAAGTTTAAGGGCCATATCATGGTATTTTTTATATCAAATTTAGTCATTGAAAAATATTTAAGAAAATTTAGGAATGTTTAGATATGGACAAAAAACCTCATAACCCATTGCATTTTAATATACATAAAAAAAAAAGCAAATTACTCGAGACATTTTTTCCATTTTCACCGACTATTAATTCAATATTGGCTACTTTTTACGTCTCAGGTCCTCCTAACTTCATTTTGGCATTTATTCCACATAATATAAATAAACATATTTTAAGTGTTTTTGTCGCATTTGCAATTGGCGGCTTTTTTGGAGACATTTTATTGCATCTTCTTCCCGAAGTGTTTTTAGATAAAAAGACAGACGAGGATTTCAATATTGCATTGTTTGACAAACAGAAAAATATTGTTATTAGCTTTTTTATTCTTACAGGTTTTATTTGTTTTATGTTAATAGACAGAACCTTGCGATTATTTCTAGAACATGATTCTAATCATGGTCATAATAAAAAACATACAGAAGATAGCGATGATAAAAAGCATGATAAACCTGTAGCAGTATCTACTTCTATATCTTTAAAATCAGATGACACAAATGATATTAAAAAAAGAATTGTAGTTAATGACGAGAAAAAAGAGGATCCTCCAGTATCCTCTGAAAAGAATCCAAAGCCAGCATTATCTGGTTATCTCAATCTTATAGCAGATTTTTTTCATAACTTTACCGATGGTTTAGCTTTATCTACATCATTTTATGTTTCTCCTATAACTGGAATGACAACAACAATGACTATCTTCTTTCATGAAATTCCACGTGAATTCGGAGATTTTGCCGTTATTTTACACTCTGGATTTACAAAATACCAGGCATTAAGCTGTCAATTTGTAACAGCTACTAGTACCTTTTTAGGAGCCTTTGTAGGAATCATATTAAATAAATTTTCAACATCTTTTTCAAATATTGAAGCACATTTTTTCAATACTTCTATTCTTCCAAATAATCTTATTTTATCTTTTATAATAGGTAAAAGGTTTTAATTAATACATTAGTTTTTATCTAATATTTAGGAACATTTCTTTATGTAGGAACTGTAGGAATTGTTCATGAACTACTTAATGATAAAAATAGTGGTTTTTTTGTAATATTTTTTCAATTATTCGCAATTTTTTTAGGTTTTGGATGTATGCTTATTATTTGAGCAAATATTCAATTTCCTGCTAAATAATATAACATTTAATCACTATTAACAATTCTGATCTTAAACATATATTGAATATATTTGATATAATTCAAACATATAAACTAAAAATAACCATTTTAATATTTTTATTAACATTTTAATTTATTATTTGATTATGTGAATATTCTTTTTTTGAAACCTATAATTTCAGTTATTTGGTTTACAAATTTATATAACCATTCAGTAAAGAAAGTTAGTCCTCCAATAATTGCAAACATACGTATCAAAAAATGAAACAATGAAACCCTTTTTTCAGTAATTGTTAAACTAATAGGTTCAATATCATAAATAAAGAGTATTCCTATTAAAACTAAAAATATTTTCTTTAAAAAAGGACAAAAGATATTACCTGGAATATTATAATAATCAATTGCTGATGCCTTTCTTTTAACAGAATATTTATTAGTTAATACGCGTTTACCACCTTTAACAAATGTAGTAGGAATAATAGATATATAATATTGAAATAAATAAAAATCTATTATTAATATCATTTAAAACTTTATCATGCAAATTACTTACTTTGATATGCAATTTCACCAGTTTTATCTAAAGGACTAATAATATTAGAATAATAGGTACCGAATGAAAAACTATTAATAATATGTGTAAAATTCATTTCTGCTTTCGTTATTTGTCTAGAAAAAAAACAAATAAAATATTACTTTTATGACTTAAATGTTTAATTCCATATCCATGTCCTTGAGCTGTAATATGGAAAATTCCTATAACCCTATGAATATCTATACTTCCATAAATTCTACAAGAAGTTGCATTTATTATATTTTTGCTTGGTTCAAATTTTTTTTCCTCCAAATTTTGAAAAACATGTTTTACATTTTCAATTGGCTGAAAATATTTGCCTGAAAAATCAATAGATTTTGGTTCAAAAAGCACCTAGATATATTTAATCAACCCCCATACTATATATATAAATAACGGCTTATTACACCCTCCTTTTTTAACGTTTCTCCAGCCAAAATCAACTCTGATGTAACATCTTTTACATTCACATCAATTACTGAAAAAAAAAACAAGAGTTAGACTTTATACAATTCATACACTCTTGTATATACCATCACAAGGCATCGCAACAACAATATCCACATTTAAGGTTATATGTTCCATTAAATCTTTCTCAATATTAAATTGATGATCCTCTACTCCAGCTTTATAGATTAATATCTCATTAGTGACAAAAAAAAAGACTAATATAATCCATATAAGTGTGAAAAGACTCCCTCTTGATGATTTTTTTATATAACTTGAGTCTATCTTAGAAAAATAATCTAATTTTTTAATATGTGGAAAAGCTGAAAATTTTCTAGTGCCAGGAAGCCCTTCAAAATTTTCCATTTATTTAAAGATGCATTTGATCTTTTGATGTTTTTTAAATATTCATTATATTTTAAAAAGCATAATCAAAGTTCGAAAACCATAAGGATGTCTAACGTTTTATGTTCTCAAAAATCATAGAAGTAACTATACAAAGAATAATTTTTAAAAGAGTGTATATAGAAATAAGAAGAATAGTTATTATCTTTAGAATGGTGTTATATAAAAAGTATTTTTATTGTATTATGTAACATTTTGCATGTCACAAATGCAACGAATACAATTTCCAGTCTATATTTGAAATTATTTTGGGAAAAAAATAGGAAAAAACTTACTTTCATTATTTGAAATCCTTCGTTGATAGTTTTTATATTTTTTTTATGAGTAATATATTCATCAAGCTTAAGTTGACCTTTCATGTAAAGCTCAACAAGTTGAGGGATTTCAGATCGGCCTTTAATACCACCAAAAGCAGATCCAATAATTTGGCGACCAGTTACAACAAGAAAAGCTTTATAATTAAATATAGAATGAATTTTAAATAATAAAAACTTACGTGCAAAGCAAAGTTTTTTGCCTTCAAGAGAAGAACCTATAATGCAAAGCTTTCCCCATCCTTTTGCGGATACTTCAAGAGCTTGTTCCATAACATGAACATTTCCTGTGCAATCAAATGTATAATCGAACCCTCCATCTGATATTTCTATGAGATAATCACGAACAGAAACATCCATTTTTAAAGGATTAACAAATTCGAAATCTGTATCACCCACAAACTTCCTTGCCCATGATTCTTTATCACTATTGATATCAATTGCTACAATTTTTCTAGCATTAGATGCCACTGCTCCTTGTATAACTGACAAACCAACGCATCCAATGCCAAAAACAGCAATTGTTGATCCAGGCTCTATTTTTGAAGAGCGAATAGCTGCTCCATATCCAGATGTTATTCCTAAAATATATTTATATGAATAAAAAATAAATTAAAATATACCACAACCGAGCAAACAGATCTTATCTAAAGGAGCTTCTTTAGAAATGACTACTAAAGAAATATCTGGAATCACTAACAATTACATTATATACGCTTTTAAAGACATTTATATATTTATTTTTACCTGTATATTGAGAAAAAGTTGATGCACCCATAAAATGAAAAATTTCTCTTCCGTTTGCTCTAAATCTTGTTGTACCATCTGGCATTGTCCCTTTAGCTTGCGTTTCATTGATCTTCATGCATAAATTTGTTTTACCACTCAAGCAAAATTTACACATTCTGCATTCAGGAATATATAATACCAATACTTTTCTAATTAAAAAAAATATACATTCCTTTCCATATAATACCATGATCTCCTTCTTTTATGTCAATTACTCCCTTTCCTACTGATTCCACAATTCCTGCTCCTTCATGTCCAAGTATCATTGGAAATCTCGCCTCATCCTTTCCCATAAGTGTATATACATCTGTATGACACAACGCAGACCTAATCCTCATATGTTTAATACAAAATAATAAAATCCTATGTCATTGTTTAACAATGACAATAATTATCTGATACCAAATAATTTTTACACGCACTTCATGAGCTTTTGGTGCTAATACTTCTATTTCTTCATATGAAAGTTCTTTTCCCAATTCCCAAGCAATTGCTGCCTAACAATTCTATTTAATCAGTCATAATTAATATTTAAATAGCTTACCTTACATCGGATCCTCTTTGTGTTTGACATAAAACTTGAAAGATTTCTTAATTATCTAATTTTCAATTTACACCCTATCCCTAATATAACCCTAATATAACCCTAACAACCCTAGAACAACCCTAATATAACCCTAAAGTTACAAGGATCATCCTGGTTAACCCTAACTTAACCCTAATATAACCCTAATCTCTCACACCTAACCCTCATATAACCCTAATCTCTCACCCCTAACCCTCATATAACCCTAATGTAACCCTAACTTAACCCTAACATTACAAGGGTCATCCTGGGTAACCCTAGCGTAACCCTGAAGTTACAAGGATGATCCTGGTTAACCATAACCCTGACCCTCTTTGACCCTAATGTAACCCTAACCCCCGGACACCCACAGAAAACCCTGACCCTAACCCTATCAGGTCACAACCTTTTCAAGGGTTAGATTCAAAGGCTATAGGTTACATACTATATTACTAAGATAACGATTAGGGTTAGGGGTACAGTGTTAAGACCGTGAGAGGCTGGAAGATCAGGTTATGCGTAAGTTCTCAAAGTTAATATAAAAGAAATATTTTCAAGGTAAAATATGAATAAAAAGGACAGGAAATAAGCTAATAAAAGAATAAGAGAGGGGATTTATTATTATAAGTTTCTTCAAATTATTGATAGCTTTATTTCCGAGAAGGGTTACATCAAGCCGCTCGATTAAGAGGAAAAGATAATTAGATAGAAAAGCAAAATTGAAAAAAAGAGTCAGAAAATAGGGTTAATAGTAATTGTTTTCTATCATTTGAAATTAAAAAGGTGTGTAAAGGTGTTTTATGTGTTCTTTGAAGGGTATTCTTATTGAAATTAGAGAAATCATTAAGTTCAATTAAATAATTAAAAAAGTACTTTTTCAGTAAAGTGTTTTTTATTTTGTATTAGTTAAGGGGTTAATACGTGATAAATAGAAGATATTTTTTGAAAAAGATAGACGTTTAATTAAAAAATGCAAATTTTCGTTAAAACACTTACAGGAAAGACGATTACACTGGAGGTTGAGTCATCAGATACGATTGACAATGTCAAAAGCAAGATCCAGGACAAAGAAGGGATACCTCCAGATCAGCAACGTTTAATATTTGCAGGAAAACAGTTAGAAGACGGGAGAACTTTGTCAGATTATAATATTCAAAAGGAGTCTACATTGCATTTGGTTCTTCGTCTTCGCGGTGGAGCAATTCAAAGATGTACCATGAAACAGTGTAGTGCATCTGCTGTAAGAATTGTAGGTGACTGTAACTTTTGTGATGGTCATTTTTGTGGCCGACATAGACAACTTGAAAACCATGCATGTTCAGGTTTACAGGAATGTCGTCAACAAAGTCATGAACGAAACAGAACTAAACTCCAAAAAGAACAATGTGTAGCAAGTAAAGTATAAATATTGCTTCATCCAAGTCTTTACACTTTTTTGTATTATTCACTGAGATATCAGTGTTTTTTTTTTTATTATAGTTGCGTTTAATAAGATTTTTATTTTTTATTTGTTAAATATTTATATAAAAAAGTTTATGAACATTTTGTAATATCAAGCAATTGAAAGATGGAGTCAGAGGATTTTCAACATAAGCTTGATGCAGCAAAAAAGCATATGAATGAAGTAAAAAAGAAGAAACGCGTAAATTCTTCTATAAATAATCAAAATTTAAATGAAAATGTTTCAATTTCTGCAGGAAATTCAGAAACAATATCTTCTCTTGTAACAAATAAACATTTGTTAGAATCTATAGAAGAGAACCCTGAAACTTATTCTAAACCACAAATCAAGGAGAAGATTTTAGATCAAGAAAATATTCAGGACGTTGAAAGTTCTAAACTTATAGAAAATGTTCAATCTTTAGAAGAAAATATAGTAACAAAATTACACTTAGAAAAAACTGCTTTAGATAATTCACTAAATTCTTCTGAATCTATAACATTACAAAATGAAATAAATGAGCTAAAATTACATGTTTCATTATTAGAAAAGAATTATCATGAAATCAATGATAAGTTAAATATAATTTTATCAAAAATACAAATAAATAATACACTATTTGAGAAGAAAAAAGAGGCAGGATTTGTAGATAATGAAAGAATAAATCAATTGGAAATGACTGTAGGGGATTTAAAAAATAAGTTAGAGAAAACACAAGAAAAACAAAAAATATTAGAAACATCACCGAAAATAATTTGTCAAACAAATCTTCAAACCTATGATGATTTAGGTTTTGAAGATATTTCACTAAATACTATCTATACATCGCCAATTGCAAAGAATACCAAACAAATTTACCATGAAACATGTAGGATAGACTTAAAAAAAATAGGTGGATGTGCAGGATGTATAGGGGATATTTTTGAAGTATAGATATATATATAAAGAACAATGAAACACATTGTATTGTAATATAGATTTTATAAATCATAGATAAATATTTTATCAAAAATTTATTACATGCTTTGATAATTTTAACAAAACTTATACGTAACATAATCCACCTATACATTCCCATTCATTATCATTCCATTCAGCTAAATTTACATATTAGATAATAAATAAAAAATATAATAAATATTTACAAAATATATTCCTAAGACTCATTTTTATCGTCCTATTATTGGAACATGATTCTAATGATGACATTGGCTTAATCGCTGATTTAATTATGCATGAAGTAGTTTCTAAAAAGTTAATTATTACAAATAATTTATAATAGAAATTACCATTACGAAATTGCTTTAAAAATGAAATAAGATTTGTCCCCCCAGTACCTTTTAAATTTTCTTTTTCATTAACATGCCGTGCAAGACCCATATTTATAAAATTCTCATTTTTACTTTGAATAATAATATATCGTGAAACAACTTGCAAATGTTTATCACGCAGTTTTTTAAGATTAATAATACATGCATTATATGCAGAAACAACATCAAAGTCATTAGAATTATCAAGAGAAAATTGTCTGATATTAATAATTTTCTCAAGATGTTCTAAAAATCGTCTATGTGATCCTGGCATATATTCTCTCATTTCTTGAAAAAAATTACATTTTTTTTCAACAGATGCATTACATGTATTAGTTTTATAGGATAATGTGCCAATAGGGTTGTGATCAACTCCCAATGCAGTATCAAGAAGATGAATTAGTGCAGATTGACCATTTGATCCACCTGAATATTGACGATAATCATCCGAACATCCTTCATAGATAACACCTTTTGGAAGCCCCGCATCTGCCATATTTTTCCAACCTGAAAGATATGGACGTATCTAAAGAATTAGATACTTTTTATAAAAATAATAAATTACCTTCCAGTAAAAAATATATGGATCGCATTTTTCATAAATTCTAGAAAGAATTTCTGTAATCTTTTCTATATAAAAAGAAAGCTTCTTCATATTGGCAATATATATATTCCTATTCTTAGAATATGCCGCTGAAATAGTGTCTAAAATAATTTGAAGACAAGGAGCTCCTTCAATCTCAATAAAAGTAGAAATAAGATAAAACCATGATTCATCTTTTGTACCAGAAAATGTATGCAATGTCGCCAAATTTGAAAGATTCATAGGCTCATTTGGAAAAGGATGTCTCCAATTCCATAAACATACTGCAGCATAAGAAATAATAGGACGTATTTCAAGAATCTCTGAAACCTGTATCCAGGGTTTTGCAATAGACGCTGGTAATCTATCCGATGGTTTCTTATCAATCCATACATAAGAATGTGCCATAAAACTTAAAATAAGATAAGCTCGTTGTTTTTCCTTTAAAGAAACTAAATATTCAATTGAAAGAATTGGAAGCTAATTTAGATTATTTATTTCTTAAATAAAAATACTTTCTAAAAAAAAATACCTCATCAATAATCCTTCTAAACCGCCCCATAAGAACATAATCATTATAATGATCCATTATTTTTTCCCATGGTTCATAATATTTTTTAGTTAACCGAGATAAAGGCTCTTTATCTGGTAAAAACCCCATCTTTTTTGAAAGTCCATATTCCTCTAGACGAGGAATCCTTATTTCCATATTTTATATAGAAATATTTATTTATTCATTCATCTATTCATTTATCAAATTAATATATCTCTTATTTAAAATTATGTTGATAAAATCACGTGACAACGCCTATATAAAATCTTGACTACGTTTTACGTGATAAATAATTTTATATATTGCATTTTAGATATTTTGTATAGTATCATCGAATATCATCAAAGAGATATATGTAAGTAATGTATAAGATTTTCCAATATCCATATAAAAATAAGTTGTTTTAAATATAAAAAAATCTTTATAGTATTAATTTATAAAGATATAGTCTTAAATGGATAAGAAAAAAAGCGAATCGAATCTTTGATGCTTTAGAAATTAATCGGGATCCTATAGAATTATTAGTTAATGTAAAAACATATATAATTTGAATTACGATTTTCCAAAAAAATAAAAGAAAAAATAGTCCAATTAAACTAAAAAAAATCATATAATCCATTTTATAAATAGCTTAATAAAATGTAGTTGAGTCCCTTGTTATCCATTCTCATTTTTTTCGAAATCACGTTATACGAACCAAAAAAAATACTATAAAAAACGATATAAAAACAATTATAATACTCAAAACACTAAGCCAAAATGTTCCTGAACGAACTCTACGATATTTCTCAAGTCGTTTGTTAGCTATTTGTATTATATTTAAATTTTTTCCTAATAAATTCCCTGTCGATAAAATAAGCTATATTTATTAGCTTTTTTATTATAAATTAATCCAATTCCTAACTGATTGGTCTCTCTCCGCTATTTCTCCCATAGCCCTTGCATTTACTTTCATTTCTCGTGCCAAACGTAACATTTCTTCTGTCATTGCGTCTGCCATTTCTCGATGTTGTAATAAAATCTCTTCTGTCGCTTCTAATTCATTATTCTCTACTGGTTCCTCTTGTACTTCATCTATTTCTAATTTATCCTCTTTTTCTTTCTGTTTTTCCTCAATTTTTTCAATAATATCCTCAATTTCCTGTCTTTCTAGTCTCATATTCTGCCCAGAATCCTCTGCACGCAATATAAGCTTTCTTGCATATCTGGCATTCGCACGTATTTTTGCAAGCTCAGGTATCTCAGCATAGGGAAGCTTTGTAAGATTAACTTGAAGACGACTGATAAAACGCTGAATATCCATGGCTTAAGATTTAATATATAAAACGAAGCGAACACGTAGACTTAGACTAACTCTGATATTTTTTTTAAAAGTAAATGAGGAGCCAATAGAGGAAAAAAAGATAGTTAAAAGGGTATAGAAAGAGGGGAATTGAACATTAAGACTGTTTATTAGAAGCAGAAACTGTATAATATTCTTTTCTTATTAAATGGAAGATAATTAATAAAAGATTAAATAATAATTATTATGTCAGAATTAAGAAAAAAAGGAATAAAGAAGAGAGATGGCATGTTTTTAGGAAAAGAAAGAAATATAGGAAGCCATCAAGAAGCAAAAATAAATAAGAATGAAACGCTAAAAATGAGTTTTTTTAAGGGTACACATTTTAGACAGTTTCAGGACCGAATGCCATTGAATAAAAAAAGCATAGAAAAAGGAAATGAATCAAAAATATATCATTCAAATATGAGAAGGAAATCGTATTCTTTTCGTCCTAATTATTGTAAATACAAAAAAAAATCAAGAAATATTCTTAAACGATCAATTTCAACAGAATGTTTAGATAACATTTCGTTTCCATTTGCATCATCGTCTAGTATTGCAAGATTTTCGTCATTATCATTGCCAATTACGTTTTATAATACGGCTATTCATGACAATTCATTATATGGACATGATTTTGAGCATTCAAGTGGGACTTTTCGGAAGAAGATAACTTTATCAAAACAACCTAAATATGCACCGTTTCTATTTTATTCTCTGGCTACTACAGAGATAGACAAACCTAGTATGTTAATTTATACGTGAGATTTTTATATTTATTTTCAGACATAAGTTCTATTGTCTTTTCAACGATTTCTATTATGCAAACTATTGGATTGCCTTCATTTATAATTCGGTCTATGATAACTGAACAAGATCTTTATGCACTTCGTGAACTTTGGATTCGTCGACAAGCGGCAAAGCATGGTTTTGATGTAACAAACATTCTCAATAGACCATATTCTACGTCTACAAATCCTTCAATTTTAACACTGCCGACACTCATTAGTCCGAGTTTTAGCGAAATTAGTGTTTTTGAAAGCGACAGTGAAGATAATAAATCATTAAAAGATGAATCAAAAAAATTTGGGACTAAAAAATTGTATGTGAATTTTGATTTTTGTATTGTTTTTTATCTATAATAGATGGGCAAAATTTATGCATTTGAGGGACCAACCTTCACAATTAAATTCTAATAAATCTAAACTTAGAAAAAAACGAAATGGTATTCTTATTATCTATAAAATATAGTTATTTTAAATAATTTAGCGTCATATATGACACATGGTTTTTGTAGAACAGAGGAGGAAATTTTTAATTTATCAGAAAATACAATTTTACATATTCAAGACGATATGGGTTTTGATGTTTTAGTTACAGCCAAAAACCATTCGAAACGTTATATATTAATTGCAGGAACAATTGATTGTTTAGTAGCACAATGTTTTTTGAGTCTTAATAAGACTTTAGATCACGATCATGTTGAATTATTGATTCGCAGTTTCTCTTTTTTTTGTACTATTACTCAATTTTTAAAAATAATCATTAATCAGTTTCGAATTTCATTTCGTAATCCTAATGGTAATGTTGCACGATCAAGGTAGTTTTTATTAAAGCTTTTTTTGTACATTTCTAATTTATGATATAGAATCTCTTCTGTTTTAACAAAATGGCTTGCTATTCAACCAGAGGATATTTGTCGGAATAGTAATGCTTATGAAATGTTTTATATGTTTATTGAGGAAATAAAATTTTGTGGGTGTTTTTTTGAAGCAGAACAATGCGAAAGTATTCTTAAAGCTCAATTAGCTTTACTTGAATCACGACGTACTTTCTATAAACGTAATGTTCATTTAAATTTTAAGCGAGAATTAGCTTCTTTTTATAAATTTTCTAAAGGAAAACTAAAGCTCGTTGGTAATTTGCCTTCGATTTTTTTGAATCCTTTTACAGTAGCTAAATATCTTGCTGTTATGGATTATATACTAAGCAGAGACGCCGTTGATTTTGCTGCTATAAAGTTTTACTGGCATAAAAGAGGAACTTTAGATAGTAGAAAAAAAAAGCTTGTTGATAAAATAGATCGTTTCGTTAGACGCACTGCTATGGTAATATCTAATTCATTACACCTTTGTTTAATTATTTTAGTTGGCACATTGGATAGCAGTTGAAATTCTTCAACAAAATTCTTCTGAAAAAAGAGCAAAAACTATTTGTTGGTTTATAGATATTGCAAAGGTTTTTTTCTAATATTTTTTAAAATTTTATTCATATTATTAGAACTTATATCATTTAAATGATTTTCATTCGACAATCATTATTACTAATGTTTTAATTAATCATCCTGTTAAAACTCTTCATAAAACTTGGGCTGCTGTACCTTCATCATATATCGCATTTATGGATACTTTGAAAAATCTTGCTTGTCATTCGAATGGAATGATAGCTTATCGTAAACTATTAACACAATCTAAATCAACAACGATACCTTATTTTGGTAAAAAAAATTCTTTAAAAATTCTATTTAACTTTAAATAGCACTATATTTAGAGGATATGACATCTATTACTAATCTTCCAACATACATTTCTTCTGTTATTCCTAAACATTCTACAGAAAAACATTTTGTAGCAAACATTTCTGTTCTTCCTTCTTTAGCATCTTTAATTCCACGGAATGTTGATCCTGAAATGATTAATCTCCAAAAATTTAGGGCATTTTGTAAAGAAGTCAATACTTTCTTAAATTATCTTTCTGAACCTTATCCATTCTATCTCGAACTTGACTGTAATTCTTATGGCTTACAACTATATCCTATATTCAATCCTATATCAATCTCTCACAAAACAATTCCTACTGGTAGTTTAAATTATATATCTGAAATCATCGATAAGGCTCTTTTATACGCATGGACTTTATCTGAAAATGATGATATTATTCATGTCGAAAATCCTCAACTTTTAATTCTAACAAAGCTTTTAGAAATGACTGGGGAGAATTATTCTTTTTAATATTTATCGTTATTATATTCATTATTTTTTACATTTCATAAACTACTAACTCCATATATATATAAATATATAATATATCTAGCTTTTAAACATCTCTTTTATTACTTTTTTCATTTAATATTTCATTTTTGTCTTTAAAAGATAAAGACTTGTACCTTTAGTCCTGCGAATAAAAAGGTTTTTTTCCTTTAAAGACTTTTTAAAATATCAAAAGATGCCTAGAGAAATCATTACAATTCAAGCTGGACAATGTGGAAATCAGAGTAAAAAAGCATTTTATTATAAATTTAAGTTATCAATTAATTTTTTATAGTTGGATCTCAGTTTTGGCAACAATTGTGTTTAGAACATGGTATTCGTCCAGATGGAAATCTTCAAGACTTTGCAAATGAAGGAGGAGATCGTAAAGATGTGTTTTTTTATCAATCAGATGATACTCGTTATGTTCCTCGTTCAATTCTTGTAGATTTAGAACCAAAGGTTATTTTTATATAAATTGAAAAGTTAAAAGGAAAATTGATAATATAAAAGGTTATAAATAGTATTCTTTCAGGCACATTTTCAAAACTATATAATCCGGAAAATGTATATCTTTCAAAGGAGGGAGGAGGAGCAGGAAACAATTGGGCTACAGGATATTCTTCAGCAGAAAAGATTTTTGAAGATGTTATGGATATGATTGATAGAGAAGCAGATGGAAGTGACTCTCTAGAAGTTTATTTTCTTGTTTTTTCTTATAAAATTATTAAGTGTTTTTATATTAGGGATTTCAATTATTACATTCTATTGCAGGAGGTACAGGTTCAGGTCTTGGATCATTTTTATTAGAAAGATTAAATGATCGGTTTCCTAAAAAGCTTATTCAAACATATTCAGTTTTTCCGATTAATCAACAAACATCAGATGTTGTTGTACAACCTTATAATAGTTTATTATCCATGAAACGTTTATCACAAAATGCAGATTCAGTGGTAAAATCTTAAAGAGATTATTCAATCTTCTCAATTATTTAGGCAGTTTTAGATAATGCAGCTCTAATGAGAATTGTAGCAGATCGTTTACATGTACAGCATGCATCATTTTCTCAAACAAATCAACTTGTATATATTTCTTAATTTATTGATAGTACAATAATTAATAGAAACTAGGTATCTACAGTAATGTCAGCTAGCACAGCAACTTTAAGATATCCAGGATATATGCATAATGATCTTGTATCAATTATTGCATCTCTTATTCCTACTCCAAGATGTCATTTTCTTATGACATCATATACACCATTCATGGGAGATTATGTCGAACAAGTAATTATTTATAATTGTTATTTTTATTTTATTGGTTTTTAGGCAAAAACTGTAAGAAAAACTACTGTTCTTGATGTTATGAGAAGATTACTTCAACCAAAAAACAGACATGTATCCGTAAATCCTAGCAAAAAGAGTTGTTTTATTTCTATTTTAAATATTATACAAGGAGAGGCAGATCCAACTGATGTATTTTTTTATCTATATTTTCTTTTCTAAATATATTAAGGTTCATAAATCCCTTTTAAGAATTAGAGAGAGAAAGCTTGCGACATTTATACCTTGGGGACCAGCAAGTATTCAAGTGGCATTATCAAAGAAATCTCCATACATTCAAACTTCTCATAAAGTAAGCGGATTGATGTTAGCTAATCATACAAGTATTGCTTCTGTATCTCTTTTTCAATAATTACATTTGATCCTTTTTGACATGTTTAGTTATTCAAGCGTATCTTGGATCAATATGATCGTTTACGCAAAAGAAATGCATATATTGAGCAATATCGCAAAGAACCAATGTTTGAAGATGGTCTTGAAGAATTCGATGATTCCAGGTAAGCCATTTAAAATGCAAAATAATATTCGTCATTTAATATACTGATATTATTTAGACAAGTAGTAAAAGATTTGGTAAAAAATTCCAATTTTGGTATGTTTCTAATTTTATTTAGATAAATGAATATGAAGCTTGTGAAAATGCAGATTATTTAAATTTTGACGGAAATATTGATTGATTTGTCCTTAATTCCTGAAATATTTTAAAGAATTTTCATTGTATAAAATGTAAATTAATAAATATTATAATTTAATATCAATATATCATATTAGGTCTTCGACATCTATAATTTTATATTCATTATTTATTTTATTCTTTAAGCTTGAAGTATTATTCCTATTTTCTGTATCCTTTTCGTATAGATTTTTAGACAGAATATCTTTTTCTTCTATTGAGCTTGGACACAATTTCTGAGAACTTAATGTACATTGTGAACATTTTCTCCCACGTGGTAAACATATAGTTTGTCCAAAACTAAAAAATAGTTAATGTTAAATTACTTTTAAATTTAATATACCCAACAAATAAATGATTAATTTCTTTCCAATATTTTTTTGGTAACCATGATTCAAGCTTTAATCGTGTTTGTTCTGGCGTCTTTGTATTTACCCATCCAAGCAAATTTGATATTCTATGTACATGAACATCTACACCAATTCCTTCAGTTTTATTCCAAGCAGAAGAAAGACAAAGATGTGCCATTTTAAGGCCTAAAATATTTCAGAACTAATATAGTAAAAAATTAGATTCTACCTACTCCAGGAAGAGCAACAAGATCTTTAATAGTTGATGGAATGTCCCCATCATAATCTTTTTCAAGAATTTTAACTGTTTCTTTAATATATTTCCTAAGTAATATTAAAAATATTAATATATCTTTATAAATTACGCTTTTCTATTATGAAAACCAACAGGTCTAATATAATCATTAAGTAGATTTTCATCAACTTCTATTAAACTTTTTAATGTTAAACCACCAGGAAGTTTTTGTTTTAATGTATTCATTACAATATGATTCGCTGAATCTTTTGTTTGACTTGAAAGCATAAGACTTATAAGCGTTTGCAAACGACTGGTCTAAAATAATAAGAAAACATTTATAAATAACTATATATAAATATCTTAGCATCAACATCTTTATCTGCCGCTACATCGCATCCCATAGTATCTACTGGAGCGTTTGATGCAATTGTTTCCCTCATCTTCTTAATTTCATTATATATTATTTCCCATGATTTTGGTGAACTTTCTAATGTATTTTCATTATAATCATTTTTCGAATCTAATAATATATTCGTTTTTAATTTTTTCACCGTATTAGCATCTCTTTGTTCTTTTATCTTTCCTATACCATTTGACGACTTATTTCTTGTATTTTTTTTTAAAAAATTAACTGCTGTTTTTTTAGTTATATTTTTTGAAGCAGAATATGATCTTGGTGTCATTATAAATTTGCACAAATAATTATCAATCTTCCTAATAAATAATAATCTCCCTTGTCCTTAGTTTAATAATTTTAATTATAAATAAATTGCTTTTTATCAATATATTTATATTTAAGATATTTAATTCATCTTTTTTTACTGCTTTTTTTGATATTCAAAAACTTTTTTCAAAAAATATAACAAAGTCCTTTCATATAATCATTTATACATAAAATTAACTGTTTAAATGACTTTAAACATATAACTCCCGAAATTAGATATTTTTTTAATATATTAAGACGTTGCGGTCTGATATCTTTTTCAAGCGAGTATTTAAGAAAAAAACCATTAAATGAGGATAAAGATTGGAAATATTAAAGAAAACACCTTATTTTTTAATTAAAAATCTATATTTATTTCTAATATGGTTTTTTGAACAAATTTAAATAAACGTATAGGATCTTTTTGAGTTTTAAGAAATATTTTAAAAAAATACATGAATATTTTGTTAAAAGATGTTATTTGAATCGTTACAAAAGGATAAGGACATATCAGTTGCTTTACCTAAAGTTGAATGTATTGTTCGTGCAAGAATCCCCACAATATCAGGAACAGAACATTATATTCATTTGTATCATAATGATTTTGATAAAAAAGAACATCTTGCTATTGTATTTGGGAACAAGATTAAAAGTTTATCACTATATCGTTCTAGGAATGGTGAGACAGAGACAGATAGGATGATACGGGGAGCGTATAATGGTAAATTATATCCTGGTAGAACGTCTTCTAAAGAAAACTGTACGGAAAATAATAATTATTCGTTATCAAGGGCACCTCTAGTGAGAATTCATTCAGAATGTTATACAGGTGAAATAGCATGGTCAGCAAGATGTGATTGTGGAGAACAATTAGAAGAAGCAAGACGATTGATGACATTGGAGAATGATGGGGTTATTATTTACTTACGTCAAGAAGGGAGGGGCATTGGATTAAAAGAAAAATTGAAGTATGCTGTTTTAATATGAAAAATTATATTAATAAGAAGTTAAGAGCATATAATCTTCAGGATTTAGGAAATGATACGGTCCAAGCTAATCTGTTTTTAAATCATCCAGCAGATGCACGTACATACGGAATTGCTATTGCTATTCTTTTAGATCTGGGACTAAAGAATGTTAGATTATTAACCAATAATCCAGATAAAATAAGATCTCTTCAAAAATATCATAAAGAAATAAATGTTATAGAGCGTGTCCCAATGATTCCAAGGAACTGGAGAGCTGAAAATAAAGCTAGAATAACAGAAAAAGATAAATATTTATCAACAAAGGTAAGCATGGAAACTATATATTTTTGTATTTCTTATTAATTAAGGTCGAAAAAATGGGTCATTTGTTAACAAACTCATAATATAGATACTAACAAGATTATTTCTAAAATCCCTATTTTATGAAATTTATAAAGTCATATAAAAAATATTTATAATAATATTAAAGCATATATTATTGAAAATACTTAAACTTGAACTCTTCAATATTAATAGCTTTTTTAAATAATTCTATATAAACATTTAGGTGGCATGTATTTTTAATTATAAAAGATTTTGAATTTTTAACATTATAGATATTTTAATAATTAATATAAAATTTATTATTTGAAATATCAAAGGTATATTTTGAAATATCAAATGTATATTTTGTAGATGACATAGAAATGGTTTCAACATTACTAATTAATTACTAATTTATGGGTTTTATAAATTTTTTCATTTTAATAAAATCTCATGGAACATTTAAACTCTATAAAATACAATAATTTTAATCTTTATAAAAAAAAAATTAATATTTATAAATACTAAGAAAAGAAATAAAAAATTTTTAGATATATAATATTTATTGAACTTAATTTTATAATCATATAGAATAAACTTTAAAATTTAATTTTCCTTTTCAGAAAAATTAAAAATATTGAATAGACAATGATAACCTTCTTCTCAAAAGATTCTTATTCTTATAATATATATAAAAGCTCATCAAAAATATAAATAATTATCTTTTATTTGTTTGATCTCTGAATTTGAAAACCAGGAATACTATATGGATTAAATTGTCGATCACAATCTGAATATGCTTTTCCAAGTCCAAATCCAAAGCCTATAAAAATATCAAATATTTATATTTTTTAATAAAAATTTATACCTAACATAGCTGGCCACATTTTTCCTAAATTATTAAATATATATTCATTTTTAAAAATATTTAAACATAAAAACACTTACGTTTAAATAGACATACTGATGCAATAATTCCTGAACCTAAGCCTATTCCTGCATTGACTATTGCGTTCGATAAACAAAGATCCCACTATTAAAATTCAACCTTTTTGACCACAAAAAAAAATATATTCAATTATAAATTATTCTATACCTTTTCCCCAAAGATATCTTCACTATAATTTGTTTTTGTTTGTACCATTTAAAAATAAAAAATTAAAAATTCCCAAATTTAACCTTTTTATATCCTTTTTTTTTTAAAAAAAAAGGTTTATAGACTAAAAAACTATCAGAATTCTTATTTCATATATAATTAAAGAAAAAATCTAAGAAAAATAGCTTATCTACCTTAATAATTCCCCTCCGCCTTTTTTATGACGTTCGATACTTCAGTTAACCTCCAAAATATGAATGTTTTAAAGCAGGGTCTTCAAGAGCTTAGAACTCTTTTTAACTCTAAACAATATATAAAATGCAACGAATTACTGACAAAGCTTAAGATTGCACTTTCAGAAGCAAATTTATTTGTTCCAGGAGCTCATTTAGATATTAACAATATGATTCTTGCACGTATTTTAATATTTTTATATTTATTAAATATTAAGATTTAAGGTGAAATTTTTGAGATCGGAGCATATACATCTCTACGTTTGTCAGATACAGAGGCTTTTGTACGTTATACGTCACAACTTCAGCCATATTTCTCTAATCCATTACTTTCGAAATTACCCTTATCACAACACCAATCATTATTAACAGGGCTTTGGTTACTAAATTTACTTGCTAAGAACTGTATTGCAGAGTTTTATACAAGTCTCGAAACCTTACCTACAGATATGATTGAACATGATAGGTATATATCATGGGTAATAAAGCTTGAACAAAGTATTATGGAAGGATCATATGACCGAGTAAAAAAAATGTTAATACATTGTCCTTCACCAGAATATGAGATTTATGTTAATATGATTATGGATTTGATTAGGTAGATTTATTAATATTATGTAAAAAAAAAAAGGATTTACAATTGTAGAAACGAAATAGCAAATTGTTTAGAAAAGGCATATACATCACTTCCTTTGCAAAATGCAGTAGGATTATTGTTTCTATCAAATTTGAATGAAATTATAGAATTTTCTCACAAAGTATATTTTTAATTAAATTTAAGAATGATTTAAACATTTTTATAGAAAGAATGGCTTATAGATAATAGTCGAATTTATTTCCCAGACAAAGCATCAGAATCTGTAGATGAAATGTTAATTGATGATCAAACAGGTCCTTTTAAATTTAATGGCATCAAATCAGAAACACCTAATTTAAATTTTGTTCAGCAAATACTTGGATACGCAGAAGAATTAGAACAAATTGTTTAATAATGTGTTTAAAAATATAAAATCGCAAATTTTATATTATGTATTTTCACCATAAACATATTTTTTTATCATAAAAACTACATGTTATAACTTCTTGTTCATTATACCAATCTCCTGCATAAACTATACTTTCATGCTCTACGAATTCTTTATATACTCTTACTTTATATTCATTATTTTCCGAGATATTTAAATCAAATACTTTTGCTCCCTCATACATTAAACAACCAAGAATTCTAAATTGATTTTCAGGATGCTGAATAAGTCTCCATGGACTACTCATATTTTCTTTCCAAAGTTCTTTACTAAAATCACGAAAATCAAATAACCTTATATGATCATCAAATGATCCTGTAATTAACCTTTCATCAAAAGAAATAAAAGATATTACTCCTGCTTCATGACTTTTTGTATTTGTAAATATAGGTTGTACAGCAGAACGAATATCCCAAATTTTAAATGTACAATCATCTGAACCTGAAAATATAAAAGATGAATCAATATTATAACATGCTGTCCAACATTCTAATTCATGTGCTTTCCATTTATGTATTACTTCAAGTGAATTTAAATCAAAAATACATAGATCTCCCATAGATGTAGAAACTATAGCTGATTTTCTAATATTTGATATTGAAACAGATAAAATTAATGTATTTGCATCAAAAATCTTCTTAGACCATATACATTTCAAATTAGGATTCTATCAATTGATTAAAACAAATAATATATAAAACCTCTACTACACATGGACCCAATAATTCATAAATACATAAACCCCCTGCAGAATTAGCAATAAGAAGTTTTTCTTGACTATCTGAGACCCTAGAATGTTATAAATATTATTTAAAGATTAATTCTACCATTTCATATCAAGTATTGCATCACATTCATGATTTTGAATTAACTTTCTAATAAAAACTTAATCCATCTCTACTAAAACTATTCCATTACATTGTATTTAGAGTATAATTAACCTCATAAAGTAATAAATATCCTTTTCTCCTATCTGTTTCTAAAAAATATGACCCAGCAACAAATAAATTTAAGTAAATATCTGAAAAAAGAATTACATCAATAGGATATGGAGAATATCCAGTATATTTTGACTTTGCTTTCATTTCCAGAGATTTATATTTTTAAAATATCAGCTAACAAGTCCTTTTAAAGCCCAGATACACCCAGATTTTTTGCTAATCTTAAAAACCAGAGTGTTTAAGGAAAAATAGAGTTAAAATGGAGACTTTTCCATGCAAAAAGGCCTTCTATAGAGATGTTTTTGAAAAGAATATAGGATTTGATGATAAATGGGAAGCAGGAAATGGATTTGAGCCAAAAAACTTATGTTCTAAGCACTCTGAAATATATCAAGACAATTGGTATCCTAAAATAAAGTATGAAGAAACAAAGATTAAAGCTCTATCTGAATCCAGTTCGCCGATTGTATACGGGTTAATATGGGATATAATATGGGTTAATATTTATTAGGCATTAACAGGGCGTATTGTAAATACTTATGAAATTAAGAATCAAAAAAATGTGGAAAATACATTGATATTGATATATATTAAGGATGAAACGGATGTTATTGAGGTATTTGTAAGGGGGAGACGTTTTTTTTCTGAGAAAAATAGGTTAAATATTGGTTAAATAAGAGAAATGTTAAGGAAATTCATTATAATTTGAAAATTGATACATTATGTACAGTTTTTGTAACGAAAACAAGTGTAAAGAAGGAGGATATGTGTATACTTAAGGAAGCATCAACGGTTCCATTTTATGTTATAGTTTCAGATGATAATGAGATAACTCATCTTTCAATTTTTAAGGATCAGGATAAAATGTATAAAAAACCATTAAAAATTCAAAAAGATTCTATAATACAAGGTTTAATGTCATTATCTACGTTTATTAATGGAGGATATATGGCTATTTCTAAACCAAAAGTATTAGTATCTATTAGAAAGGTAAAAATAGATATGATATGCTTTTAATGTTTTAAAAAATTAGATTGGAAACATAAAAAACATAAATACGAAGAATGGTTATTTAGATATGATTGAATTGTGTGTTTTTGATGATACATGTGATGCTGTTTTGGTTATATGGGGAAATAATGCAAAATCTGCAGAGTTATGGACGCCTTTTGATACAAGTATAATATTAATTTAAGTAAATTATAACTTAATATTAAAAAGTACTCCTTCTCACTGATATTTCTCTATCATTTCATCATGAAAAGGCATATCTTACTATCCAGAAATATTCAATGGTTGAAGTTAATCCTGATATGGATATAGAAGTTAAAATCTAATTTTTCATTAATTATTCATTAACCTTGAATTAGTGGCTTCGAAAATATTCTATTTCTATAAGTAATAAGATATCAGATATCTATAAATTATCTCTTGAGGATAAAAGTATTAAATAAATTATTTCTCTTTGCTTTATCCAATTAACCATTAGTTGTCAATACATCATCTACTATGGAAACATATACTCTTGCTGAGATTGATACTATGATTCGTTTAAATCCAAAGGGTATTTTAATATTAGTTTTTAAATAAATTTTAATTAATTCAGAACCTATTATTGGTTTTATTAATGTTCTTATCATTAAGACGGCTAATCTTTCAACACTTCGCTCTTCTAATAAAATTTTTGCGGGAAAATGGTATAAGCAATTTATAATGATTACCTTTATAATATTTAATTAGCTGTAATAAAGTTGTCAATGCTTTGGATAATAATGTTAAATGTTCTATCTGCTTTCAAAAAATAAAGCTATTCAGTGATTCATTTGTATGAATATATTTTCATAAGAACATTAGAATTCTCATATATATATAGATAGTTAGACTTTTAGATGAATCAGCTCAGCTTTTATACCCTATGCTTTCTGCTACTGCTTTAATTCAATTGCTTGAAAATTATAAGGAACTTTTTATGTATTATTTAAAAAAGAAAAACTAATTATTATAGTTAAATCTTTATAATTCCAGTAATTCTGAACTTGATGATTTTTCAGACATGATTCTTTATTCTAGAATATTATTTCTCTTTGGAATTGAAACAAATGATGATACTCAGAAGATTATTTTAATAAAAATAGCAGATAATATAAAATAGTATTTCATATTTTAAGTTATTCTTTAAAGCTTGCATTTTTATTTAAATTCTTTTAATGTTTATGATTAAAAACATATAGCAGAGAAATAAATAAGGTAAAAGTGTTTATTCTTTATTATTGTATAATTTGATATTTTAAAATTCAAAATTTATAAATTTATATTTAAACATAATATAAAATTAACTACTAAATAATTTTTATAAAAATAATTGAATTTATAAAAATTAAAACATTAACTTCTGAATATCTTAATACCGAACCTTTGTTGATAGTTTTAATTGATTTATTTATACTATAAAGATTATAATTTTATTGATATTTTAACATTTTTAAATCTTAATTTAAGATATATCTAATAAAATAATCTAATATTTTTTAAAATAGATAAATCCTACACGTAAATCAGTTTTCCTAAAGAAATATTTATAATGATTATTTTGCAAGATATAATTGCAAAAATTAAGATATAAAAAATATAAATCAAATAAAAGCTTGAGAAAGATCTGCTAAATATAGCATAAATAATAAAAAATAAACATTTGAAATAGAATAAACAAATAAAAGACCTTTTGTTGGACATGCCTGTCTGAAATTTTGAAAAAATCTTAATATTATGACCGAAATTTTAACATGATTATATAAGTAACCATAATTTTAAAATGATAGAATATCCAATAATTCTGAGGACTTTATAAAATTCGTAAAAATATATGATTTACGTCTTTTGCCCAGAACAAAACTGATGTTTTTAAATGTTTATTAATTTTATAAAATTAGTAAGCAATAATGTTTAAGAACCTGTTTGAACTGTATATTCTGTAACTAAACTTCTGGTATCTTCGTCATTTCCTCTAGAAATAAACGTTCCAGAAACAGGATAAGATTCCCTATGAGTTTTATACTCATCTAGGTCATCATACGGCATGTTAGAATCTAAATCCTGCTCTAATGCTAATCTTTGACCAATAATCCTGTCAGCTTGTGAATGAGTAGGGACCTTGTGATTTGCTTTATCGTATGTAGATAAACTAGGCCAATTGTCCAAACTTGATAAAAAACTGCCACCAGAAAAAACATTTGAATAATTAGTATTAAATCCAGAAACGTTTTTTGGAGTACAAGAATCAATATGAGATGGAATATTCCCGATTATTGATGAATTATTAGGTGCTGATTCAGAAGTAGGTGCTCGAGATGATTTATATGATGGACGATTAAGTGCCATTGTATGTCTCTGTACTCCACGATATTCGGATTTTGGCTTAGGAAAATGAATCATAGAGACCTGTAGATTATTTAATGGTCCCTCGACGAGACAATTTTTTTCTTTGTAATGAACTAATAAACAATGCCATAATGGATGTTTACTCAACACTTTAGGATTACCTAATATAACTATACCATACTTTGCTCTAGTAAGAGCAACATTAAGTCTTCTTGGATCACTTAAAAAACCAATTCCTTGGTGTTCATTAGAACGAACACTAAAATTATTTAATAAATAAATAGCCGATATATTAAACCAACCATGAAACAATAATATAATCTTTTTCTCTTCCTTGAAACGCATCAACACTTGCTACTTCAATCTCTTTATATAAATCCTTTCGCAGAGAACCACTTTGCTGCATCGATGATACAATGTATGATCTTTGCCCTTCATATGGCGTAATAATACCAATTTGTGAAAACTTTAAACCAGCTTTAAAAAACTTTACTACAATTTTTTCACAATTTGAAGCTTCCGTTCTAATAGATACATAAATAATAATCATAAAAAGGAATAACAAACCTATTAAGATAAGAAGTTCCACTAGACGAGATCTCTTCCTGGCCAAGACTTATATGAAACATCATAGGCGTATCATTAACAGGCCATGGGAAATCTACATTTTTACGAAGTCTTTCATTTTTACTAACACCATTTTGTAAAGTCCCTTCATAAAACATATTACTTGGAAATTCACTTAAACATGGATGCATTCTATATTGAACAGTAAGTCTAATTGGAGAAATCCCTAGAATAACTAGTCTTTCAAAAAGCGATTGTTGAAGACCTGCTCTTGCAGCTTTTTTGTTCATAATTACAGGACCTTATATATTTTAAAAAATAAATGTTAAAAAAAAAATACCAACCAAGCTGTTGATGATCGCCTACAAGGACAACCTGTTTACAGCCCATAACCAAAGGAATCATGCATTCTGGTTCGGTTGCTTGTGTTGCTTCATCAATTAATACTGTACGAAATTTAAATCTAGATAAACGAGGATCTCCACATCCGACACAAGTAGCACAAATCACATCAGCATTCTAGTTTATTAAGGATTACTATTATTATAGAGTAATATTCTTTACCGATAAGATTTCCTTTTCACAAATTTTTACTAAAGCTTTATACTTTTTTTCATCTTGACTACTTAATTCTCCAAGCTCATCTCTCAATTGAATCAATTTCTGCAATTCAGTGTTCGTATCATTATTCCGAACTTGTTCATGTAAAGTTAAAAAAGCAACAGGAGATTCTAAGTCCTCTCTAGATTTTGCAGAAATTCTTACTACTTTAAGGCCAGTTTGATGTATCTAAATGCAATAAATATAGTATTTCTTAATAATGAATAGTAAACCTTTTTACAAAGCTGATCTACTGCCACATTTGACGGTGCACATACTAAAACTTGACCTGGATTCATCTTTGCAAGATGATAAACTATAGTAGCTGATGTAACTGTTTTTCCAGTACCTGGAGGCCCCTAAAAATCATCAATAAATAATTATAACTATATTGTATTATAATTACTTGAATAAGAGATAAAGGCTTTTGAAGAACACTTCGTACAGCATGAACTTGACTTACATTAAGTTCTGGAAGTCCAGGGCTAGAAAACCTTCATAAAAATTAAAAACGTATTTTGAATATTATTAATAACATACCGTTTAGGCATTTGTGTCTTCAATACCAATGGTGCAATATCATGCCCTAAAAGCTTATGATATATATACCCACTGACACTAGTCTCATTGATTGCAAGTTGTTTTAATGCCATTTGCATCCTGTCAAAACTAGTACTTTTCCAAACATAATCAATAGAAAAATTGTGTGTACAATCTGTTTGGATTTTATCACTTTTTTTAAGTTCAAGACCAACTTCATCTGAAATATCTAGAATACGATTAAAAGTCTATTATAACATAATTTAAATATTAACTGTTAGGTATTTTAATAACATAACCAATGCTTTCCCAATGATTCCTCAATTCTCCAAGATATCTTAAACGCATTTCATCCCCAACTGCAACCTTTAAGTCACCTGCTTCCAAGACCTTGATCTTAAAATATGCCAGATATTTTTGATTTAATCCTATGTCCCAACGCACAACTATTCCATCCTGTGTCTGTGATTCTTTAACCTTCCTATCATAATCCGCTTCTATTTTTACAAGAGGGCCAAAAATATTTTGGTATTGATATGCATCTTCATATTTCAAAAGTACTGGAACTGGATCATCATCAATCCCAGGCTTTTCAAGATCCTGAAGTGTCGCTTTAGAATTTTCTTTCCATAAATCCTCTAATTTATTGATTTGATATGAACTTATTTGTCTTGCACGCATCATTTCGTGCTCTGTAGGGATTGAAACTAACCATGGAAGAAAACTACGATCGTCAATAAGTGGTTGCCATTGTGATGTATCCCAATTCATATCTTTAGAACTTTGCGTTGATGCACATGGTTGACGACAAAGTAAAACAACAACTGTATCACTAATAAAAGAATAAATTACCTTTCCCTTTTTTTTCATTAAATATATACCTTTTGGCCGGAATAAATCCCAAAAGAAATACATTTTTGATTCCACAATTATAACATTCTAGAATCGTCTCTCCTAATGGACTATCATGATGAAGCATAACATCCTTATGTCGTGCACGAACTAAATGTTTAACAATATGACTACTACTTGTATTTCCTCGAGAATTACAAAACCATTTACCACACGTCAAACATTTTAAAACTGAACTTGGTGTATAAATTCCACAGTAGCTAAAAATATACATATAAACAACCGCTTCTCCCCTATCTTTACTACCTGCATGCCCAATCTGGTAGATCTTCCTTAACCTCAACTTCCTTTGATTCTTCATATGTATCATGTAAATCAAGATGATTATCCTCCAAATTTAAGCTCTTTAATGAAGCAATATCCAATCTATTCTCATCACAATGATCCTCATCTGATTCTCCTCTATCCTCATAATCCTGTGCTTGTGTTGATTCTGTTAATGTTTGCGACTGGATTGATATAGTATCCTCAATATCTGAACTGCTATAAAAGTGGGAATCAAGGTGACTGAAATCATCATTCATAACTTGTTTGGATCAAATAATAACCCTTTATTAAGATTTTAACCTCTTTTTAAACTTTTTATTAGAAAATCCTTAAAAATGATTTTTCGAAGGTTAATAAAGGTTAAAAAAATGGTAAAAAAAGTCTAAAATCTTAAGAACTTTTTAACATTTTTTAAAGCTTCGTAGAATAATAAGACAAAGACGTCAATATTTATATCAGCGTCATCAACACCAGAATGAATTAGAATTACGTGAGAAAAGAAGGGTATTAAAAGAGTCATTAGAAAAAGATAAGCCTCTTCCATCCCATATACGAGGAGATATACAGCTTAGAAAGGATTATAAATATGATGAGGGGATGAATATGGAAGATATAGATGAAATTGATGATGAATATGGGAATTTAGGGGAACGAGAACCGAACGTTTTAATTACAACGTCTAGAAAGCCAAGTAGTCGTCTTTTACAATTTACTAAGGAAATGAAATTATTAATTCCGAATTCTAAAAGGATGAATAGGGGGAATTCAGTTATAGAAGATATTGTTTCAGCATGTCGATCGAATGATGTTACGGATTTGATTATTTTACATGAAACACGAGGAATGCCGGATTGTGTAAGATATGAAGTATATTTAAAGTGTATTTTTTATAGTTAGATTATTATAAGTCATTTTCCTTATGGACCTACAGCATCGTTTACGCTTCATAATGTAATAATCAAAAATATATATATATTAAGGATATAAATTATTATAGGTAGTTCTTAGACATGATATACCTAATATAGGGAATGTATCAGAGAGTTATCCAAGATTAATTATGTTAAATTTGACATCAAAATTGGGATTACGTGTAGAAAAAATTTTGAAGGCACTTTTTCCTCCAGATCCAAAAGAAAATAGTTCACGTGTTATAACATTTGCAAATCAAAGTGAGAAATTTATTTTCTATATAATTACTAATTTAAATAAGGGGATTATATAAGTTTAAGGTTGAACGATTTGATTATTTAGTTAATAAATTGTTAATTATATTAGACATCATGTTTATTTAAGAATTGATACAAAAAATATAGAGCTTGTTGAAGTGGGGCCTCGATTTGAAATGCGGTAAGGTTTTATCATGATTAATTTAAAATTTATTTTTTATTAGTTTATATGAAATTAAATTAGGTACAATAGAATCATCAACTGCTGAAATAGAATGGTGTTTAAGACCTTATCAAAGACATAAATCTTTTGTTCTTTCTGAAACTTAATATTTAACAAAATATAATTAAACTCTAGGATATAAATATTTTAAAATTCACAGGTTTTTTTGCATATAGGGTTAACATGTATTTAATCTTTTATTTATTCACAATTCATTTACGAGTCAAACGTTTTTTTGATATTTGTCTTTTCAAAAAATATTTATACGAATAGACTCTTTAAATAAAATATTACCATTAATACAAAATATAATACTTGCTTTATTTATTTATTTGATAATTTAAATGAACTATTTATTTACTTGATTTTTATTAAAACCGATTTTATCTTAAAAATTTTTATATTTTTAAGAATAAGGTTTAACAACCTTTAAAAATTATGATTTTATTATTTTTTATTAAGAAAAGAAGAGACAGAAGATACTAGTATCTTTAATATTTCTAATATGGATTTAAAGATATCTAAACTAATTTTTAAAGAAACCAATAAAATCTAAAATAATTTCTTAAGATGTTAAATAAGAATTACATATTTTATAAAGAAATAGAAGAGAATGAGAGAAAAGACCTAGTGGTTTTATCGTCAAGATTAGGGAGCTTTGATATGTCTGAGCAAAATGATAGAAGTTTAGATTCTAGACATTTTAAAAAATCTAAATTTAATTTTTTTGATTATGATGAAAAACAATTGAATTATAAAACAATATTGATGCAATCATTGAGATTAAGTAATGGGTTTATGGGAGGGTCGAAGTGTACAAAGGAGAATGCTGGTCTTTATAATTTTATTGTAGTACTATTTCAATCATTATTTTTACAAAAAAAATTAAGAAATTATTTATCAAGAAACTTATTGTCAGATTCATTTACAGGACCGATTGTTTCTAGAGCAGAATTTTTATATAGTATCAATTTTTCAACAGAGTTATCGGATTTAATGTTTTTTTCCTTAAAATATAAAGAACAAGGTACAATAATGTTCAAAGTAACAAGAAAAAAGACACGGAAAATTGTGTTTTCTTTAAATTTAGAAAGTGGGTTAATTTCTTATAATGGAAAATCATGTAAGATATTTATTGTAATAGTTCTAATTAAATAAATAACATTAGTTTCTGTTGATGATATTCAAGATATTCGTATTGGATCAGATTCTCGTAATTATAGAGAGCAATTGAAAGTAAAAATGGAGTATGAGGATAGGTGGTTTAGCATTATTTATCTTATTGATCGTAAATTAAAAATACTACATTTAATAGCACCAACACATGAACTTCGACAACAATGGTTAATTCTTTTGAAAAAAATCCAGTTATATAGAATAGAAATGATGAGGAAGCTTGGACTTATGGGAAAAATGTCTAATAATTGGTTAGAGAAACATTGGGAATTAATTCAAAAAAATCATTCTCTTTACTTCTATGATATTGAGAAATTATGTAAAAATCTTCATATAAATGCATCAAAAAAATATTTAAAGGACTTATTTGGAAAAGTTGATATACTTTTAACTGGAAAACTAGATTTTACACAATTTCAGAAATTCGTTAAATTATTAAAAGAACGTCAAGAAATTAATGATATTTTTAGTACTTACACTAAATCTCATGAACATTTCATGAATTTCGAAGAATTTCAATCCTTTTTAATAAATGAACAAGGGGTAAACATATAGAAAAAAATAAAATAATTATATGCTGATATTTTAAAGCTGGATATTAATCCAAATAATAAAGAAGTTTTCAAAGAATATTCAGATAAACACGATAATCTTATGTCTGTTGATAATTTCTCAGAATTTTTATTTTCAGATAAAAATCCATTAATAATTAATTCAAATATTGATATGTCTCGTCCTCTGAACGAATATTATATTTCTTCAAGTCATAATACATATTTATTAGGTAAGCAGTTTGGAGGAGAAAGTAGTATAGAAGCGTATATTAAGGTTCTACAGAAAGGTTGTAGATGTATAGAAAGTATAAAAAATTCTATTTTTTCCTATATTTTAATTTTCTAATAGTTGATTGTTGGGATGGTCCTGATGGTCCACTTGTATATCATGGTCGTTGTTTGTATGATTTTTCTTTTTTTTATTATAAGCTAATCAATATTAGTACAACTAAAATATTGTTCTATGATGTTATTTCTACAATTTCAAAATATGCTTTTATTGTCTCCCCTTATCCTCTAATTCTTTCTCTTGAAGTTCATTGTTCATTTTTTCAACAATCTTTAATGGTTTCAATATTAAAAGAATTACTTGGAGAAATGTTGATTACTTCTCCAACAAATAAAAATAGTCAAGTATTACCATCGCCAATGGAGTTAAAATATAAAATCCTTTTAAAGGTGAGATATAATTTAATTTGTATTTATCTAATTTATAAGGTTAAACAAAATCATGAAAATAACTTGAATATTTTTGGACTGGATACATCAAATAGCACTACTACGGATACTACATGCTCGTCTGATATTGATATGGACCATATAACTACGGGGAAATATAAAACAAAACCTCATAAAAAAAATCCAGGAAAAATTATCGATTCTCTTATAAATCTTTCAGTTTACATTAAAGGTATTAAATTTCGTAATTTTTCTCTTCCAGGTAATATAATATTATGTTTAATTTTAGATGGTTTATGTTTAAAGAGTCTAAAACAATAACACATATATTTTCTCTTTCTGAAAAAAGTTTTACTAGTCTTATTAAAACTTCTAGATTTCAATTGGAAAAACATAATGTTAAATATTTGATGAGGTTGTACCCTAATTTTACACGAATTAATTCTACAAATTTCGAACCTCAGCAATATTGGCAAAAAGGCGTACAAATGGTCGCTTTAAATTGGCAAACTAATGGTAGTATTCATTTATATTTACTATTTATTTAACTTTTATATTTAGATCTTGGAATACAAATAAACGATGCTATGTTTTCTGGCAATAATAAATATGGATATATATTAAAACCATCATATTTACGTACGACAGATGTAAAACATAATGAATTTAGTATATCTGGTTTAAAAAAAATACTATTAGACATAAAGGTCTTTCTTTCAAATGTTTATATATTTAGTAATTTATTTATAGATAATTTCAGCACAACAACTTCCTAGAACTAAAGATTTTAGACAAGATATTTCTTTAAATCCTTTTGTTGAAATAAAACTTATAATGTTAAATAATGAGCATAAATCTTGGAAAACATGTACAATTTATGATAATGGATATAAACCTATTTGGAATGAGACTTTTACAGTTATGATAGATCAATTTCAATATGATTTTATTTTTATACAATTTAATGTTTATAATGATAATTCATCTTATTCTTTGGACGATATATTAATAGCTACTTATTGTTTAAGATTAAGTTCTTTACTTCAGGGTAATGTTTTTTATTTTACCTACTCGATTTTCGACTGATTATATTAAGGTTATAAACATATTCCTTTAAATGATCAATATGGAGAAAAATATTTGTTTTCAACTCTTTTTATAAATCTTAAACGCAAAATATTATAGACACTTTATAATTAATATTTAATAATTTTTCAAAATTTAATTTTATATTCTCATTATATATATTTATATTTTTAATTTACATTTATTTTAGAAATATAATGTCTTTATCTTTTTCACAAAATTCTTATAATTACTGTATTAGTTCTTGACTTTATTTGAATTTAAAATTTTTAAATTCATAGCCGTTTACAAAAGATTTTTGAAATGAGTTCTTTTGATAATCATAATTGTAATATAGATGGATTTTTAATGTAAGATAATATAGTTTTATATTACAATTGACTTACTTGAATTAAGAACTTTTAAATCATTTATTGATCTTGTTGAAGATTCTTTAATTTCTTTACCAGCTGAAATTTTAAAAGAAACATTTATAAAAAGAATAAATAATGTCAGAAAATATCTTAATGATAAGAAATATGTTTCAAAAGAACCAGAATATAATTTATTGGAGGATTTTTTGGATGTTTATGGAGAATTTGTATCATTAATTAAAAGTCATGAAAAAGTTGATCATTATGCAAAAGTTTTAAATATTAGTACATCTAATTGTTCAAAAATTATTTTTATAACTCAGAAGCTGTTTTTTGTTTCTATTCAGGAGATTGATTTGGAATATATAATGAATAGTTATATGTCTGAAAAACGATATATGATTAGATTGATAATGAATATATTTCGTCTTAGTTCAGACGAAAAACATCCTTACTATGATGTTTTTAATATTCTTGTTTTGGAATTTCAAAAAGACGAAAATTTTATGGATAATCTTATAGAAATGATGGAAACTGTACAAAAATATACATCTCCTTCGTATTCTTTAGATGAATTTAATCTAACGTCTTGGTTAAGAAATGTATAATGTTGACAATTATATCATATATTTACAGTTTTTAGATACTAAAAAAGCAATTCGAATTACTTAGGCTCATTTTTATTTCAATTTATTATAAAATACCTTGTACTTTAAAAATGGCTGTTAATTGGTTTAAACTAATGAAAGAATTTCATTATTTATTAAACAAGAAAAAGGTATATTAATATTATTTCAATATGATTTTAATTTAATGAAACAAGGTATATAGTATCAATAATGAAGTTAATCTATTACAACAAATTGTTTCTCTGTCTCTTATTATTTCGATAGAAATAATAAGGCCAAGCCGTAATTTAAATTTTTGTAAAGTATTTTTTTTTTATCTTAACTTTTTAACTTAGTTTCTAGTAAATGAAAACCTGCATGATAATACCTTTTATAGTTCACCTGATGCATTTCTAGAAGTTCATAATATAATTGTAAAATTAGTAGAAGATCCAGTTTGGTCACCTGTAATTATAGCTTGGGGTATAATTTTGCATGAACTTTTTGTTGATATTACAGAAAGACAGGATTTTTCTAAAGAATATCACTCAATTCAAGTTAAGATAATTAGTTTGGTTTTAAATTTTATTAAGTTTTTATAGGATCAGATTTTTCCTAATAATTCATTTGAATCATCTAAATATCTCATTGAAATATCTTTAAAAAATAATGTTCTTAGCATGATTGGCAATATGATTTCATCTTTTTCTCCTGATGAAGATCTTTGCATTGATACTTATAGAATGGTTTTAAGAGAGCTCTTTCGAAAAATATTAAATTATGTCAAGTTTTCTGACAGTGTAGTAAATTGTTTTATAAAAATTCATGAAAATATTTCTTCGGATTCAAAATTGGCATATTTATTTTGGTCAGATGATATTATTGTGCGTTTACTTCATTCTGCAAGAACGAGGTTTCCATATGACTTTTTCTCTATGATTCGTATTTGTAGATCTGTTTCTTCAGATTCTAAGTCAACATATGATTTCTTAAAGAGCATACCTACATTTACCCAGATAACTCCTGTTGGGTTTAAGGGTTATGATATATTAGAGGAAGAATTTAATGGAACTCTTGTTAAATTAAGTGATGATTTAAAAATTTTCTCTGCAAAAATATCTGATAATTCTAATGACATAATAATTCCTAAATATAGTCTTGGAAGAATTATATCTTACGATATTTCACCTCCAGTTATTATGTGGGATTATTGTTATTCTTCATGGGAATTTCTTGGAAAAATATTAGTAATAAGTTTAACTGATAGATTGTTTATAAAAAATCAAAAAATTATTATTGAAATTATTTTAATTATGACAAGTATTTTGAAATCTAGCGATGATCTAGGCAAACAACTTATTATAGATATATCATCTGATTTAATAGATCAGAGCGATATTATTGGAGTAGTAAGAGAAATATGCTCTTTATCTCTTCAGCTTAATGAAGCGCCTCAATGTGTGCCTCTTAATTTAATAAGTGCATCCATTGATTTTTTCTCAGAAGTTATAAGATCATCTTCTAAAAATTGGTCACATATTTTTAAATTAAATCTATTAAATAAGGATAGAAATTCTGGTCTTCTTTATAATATTTTTTCTTTTGAAGTATTTTTTTCATAAATGTTTTTTTTTCTTACAAAATTAGATTGTTCTTGCTAATTATTCAGTTCAAATATCTTTTTTAAAACTTTTAAGAGTATTGTTAGAAAACTATATTTCAATTACCGATTATCAACATAATTTGCAAGCTTTTCAAGCAGATTATATAACAAAGGCTTTTAAATATACGTATGAGTTATTCGAAAGCTTCATTGAATGGAGGTATACTTATTTATCTCAAAAATATGATATAGGACTTATTATAACATCCTTGTTTTTGAGAATTCTTGAGTTTACATATGATTTAGATTATCGTTATCAAAATTCTCCTATCATAAATTCAATAAAACCTTTAGCTCAGCTTATATTAGATAAATTTCTTTCTCAAAATTCAGATTCTAGGTGTTTACATACATTATGGAAAGTTTTTGAAGATAAACATATTACAAATACTTATAATGTATGGGTAAAACAGACCATTAATTTCATAGATTGTCTCATTAGAATTCGTGACTGGATAAAGTATTTATTTTTTTTATCTTTTTTATCTAATTTTAAAATCAGACTTCCTTTATCTGCATTGGAAAAACAGTTATTTCAAAGACTTCCATCAATATTAAGTTTTTTGCAATCTTCTAAGCAATATTATATTCCTATATTGCGATTGATTACAAATATGATTTCATCATCATCTCAAAAACTACCTTCTTTGTTGGCATATCTTTCACATTATACTAGTATCTTTATAGAAAATCTTAAATATATTGTTTCTAATCCAATAATTGATCAAAGCATTAAAACTCATGTTTGGAAATTTTCTAGTGCTGTTATTAAATTTCAACAAGGATTGGCTATTCTTCTTTTAACAGGCAATAGTTCTTTTCAACAAAATACACAATTTAAACAGGAAAACTCTGATTCTCTATTTAAACTAGCAATTTTGGAGTTATATAAAATAAACGACATTTATTCTATATTAAATTCAGAATATTTTGGTAGGTATTTTTTCATATTTTTTGAAAAATTAAAGGAAATAGCTTCATTTCTTGAATTTATCGCAAATGCTCAGAATTGTTGGGTTTCTGTTGTTCCATTAGAATTTAAAGATGACAAGTTTTGGTCGAAAATTTTAACTTTAATAGATTGGGTTAGTACTTTAAAATTGAACTCTTCAACAAATTTGTCTTCTATATGTTATCAAATCGTTGGTGTTGCTTTTTCAGTACAGATTTGCACTGCAGAAATATACTTACAATCACAAACTCAATCAACTATATTAAAAGCTGGTTTTAAAAAATCTTTATTAAGTAAACTTGATTCTTATTCAAAATTTGTGTTAAATATAACTGGATATCGTGTATCACTTCATTCTAATTTGAAAAAGAATTTTGAGAAAACATATTCTGATAAGTCTTTACTTTGTTTTAGAAACAGTGGAATTATTAAATCTCCATCATATGGTGATGAGTATTTCTATAATTTACATATAACAAATATTATTTTAGGAAACAATAAAGTATCATTGGCATATTTAAATGAAATGAAGGAAGCAAATTTAAACTTGTCATTTTTAGATGCACAAGTGGTATAAAAACTACTATTTGTTTAATAAAATTTAGTAATATTCTTCTATAGACACTTTTAAGAGCTTGGATTTTTCTTTGTTCATCTATTTTTCATCCTAAGTCTTTAGAAATAGAAAATCTGAAGACTTATGTGAATATTATTGTGATTGCATTAAAAGCTAATTCAAAAGAAAATATTGATCTTTCAATTATGATGCCGATTGCACATGAAAGAGCAGAATTGTCATTATTTCTTACGATGCATCTTCAGGCAATTAAATCTAAATTTAATTTAGGGACTTATTTTTCTACTATTCTATTACATGCATGGGAAGCAATAAGCTCTTCAGAAACAAATTTTTTGCTTTCAATTGGCACTAAGAATTCACAATATACTCGTACATTATTAAGAATAATATATATATGTTTACATGGAATTAATTCATCAGAAGATAACATTGAAAATCATACAATGTTTCCTATTTTAATAGGTTTATCTGATCTTGTCTTGGCACGTGGTGCTTCTAAGTTATTTTCAAAGGCTTTAGAAACGCAAAATTCTGTTTTTCCTTCAGATATTATGTTATTTGCTGCTATTGCAGAAGAAATTTTTGATATTCAAGGGATTGAGGCATTATATGATACTATAACTACTTCAATGTTTCAGCATGATAATTTCCATTCAATTATAACTTTCTTTTCTAATATTGATCCTATCAAAGGAAATCAAGATAACTATCTTTTTGCTGAAGTAAGTCTTTTATTTTTATATACATTTTCATCAATTCCATCACTATCAGAGCAATTGGTTGTATATGGATTATTAAACATACTTATTGATGCATCTATTTGTCATCAAGTTCAAGAAAAAGTTATAAATATACAAAATTCTAATATAGGATCTATTTCTTTGAGTTTATATCAATTATGGGTTCGTGGTATTTTGCCTATTGTTGTAAATTTACTTCGTCATGTTGGAAGTCGAATTTTTGTTGAAATAAATGGCTTTCTAAAAATTTATGATCTACAGATACAAACAGCTTTTGAAAATTGGAATAGGCCTACTATTATTACTAGTTTAGTTATTGAAGAAACTTTCTTGTTAGTTATGATATTCGATATCTTACACATGGAAGGAAACAATAATAATGATTATTTATTTAACAAAACAGAACTATTAGATTCGATTACATATTTACTTTCACATCCAAAGTATATATTGTTATTTCATTTTTTCTGATTATTAACAGCTATAGATACTTGGCTACTTTGATTATGCCAGTAACAGAAATGGATCATTTAATGGCAGCAAAACTTTCAGACGATAATGAAATAGTTCCCTCAGCAAAATTTGTCAATTATATATCAGAAAAACTAGAAGGATTACGCAATGTTTTACAAGAACACTAATTAGCATTTTAAATATTCATATTAAAAATAATTTTTTATATTAAAGCATGTACTATGTTTCATCCCATTTATCATATTGTGTATAATTGTTATATAATTTTTTAAAAATAATTTTACCTTGACTATCTAATATATTATTTATCATTTTGAGTTCATGTATAGAGAGTAGTTTAAAAATTTCCATTATTGAAGATGTAAGAATGTCCTTTATTTCGTTATTTATAGAATAATTCAACAATAATTTGATATATTCAACTATAATCCATAAAAGATATTTTGCAATAGTTTTTTCATATGTTTTGAATGAATCTAATTTTAATTTTTTAGAACTTTTATTTGGATGAGAAGTTTGGATCCAACATAATAAAGTATCTGAATAAATTTTAGCAGTAGAGACAGAGCATGAAGATACTAAAGCCCAATTAGGAATTCTATGAAAAAAGCTATTTTTAGTCATTTTAGTATTAGTATCATCATATGCAAACAAATATAATAATGATTGGAAACAATTAGTAAGCAGGTGATATCGTCCATACAGTTTTTTATAATTTTTCTTTAATATTAAAGAAATCATTTTGCAAAGTCTCCTACAAATGTCATCAATAGTAATATCAGGAGATAAATTAAGAATTGGACTAGAAGAAGATAATATCATAGTTATTAAAACAAAAAGCTGATCCAAATTTTGTAGTGAAAAATACAGTGACTACATTTTTTTAGAAAGAAAAATAATTAATTTCATATACGTACTTTTTTATATAAAAGAATATTAAACAAATTTATAAAATTATATAATATTTCAAGATCTTTAGTCCTTCTTGCAATTGAAATTAAGCAGGAAACATGAGTTTGAAATAATTCCAAATATTTTTTTTTTAATTCTTCCTCTAAAATATTTTAAATAATATATTTAATATATAGTATATTAAAATTACCCTCTTCTATCCTACTTGATAGAATTGCACAAAAAATATTCGCTGCCATATTAATATTTTCTACCTCCCATGAACTAAGACATAATACTTTACATATTCTTTCAAAATCCTGGAATTTTAAACCTTGTGATTTTTGTTGAATAAAACAATAAATAGATAATGATTCAAAATTGTAATAAGTAGATATTTTAGGTGTATCCATCAAAGATAATTGTATATTTTTGAAAAAAGTTATCAAAACTATAAATATTTCTGATATATCATCATAACTTTTAACTTTATTACAATGAATTTTTAATAAAGATAAAAGTAAATCTTGAGATTTTTTGTATAAATCAATATTTATATTTTCATAGTAAAAACAGCATGTAGAGATAAGAAATATAAGTTGCTTTAAAAGATCTTAAAAGATTTAATTCAAATTTATTAAAAAAATATTTAACATACCTTTATCATATTCAAAAAAAAAGAAAGAAAGTTTAAAAAAAAGTTGAAAAAGAAAAATTGAATCCAATGCTTTTTGTAAATTAGATGTATCTTTTTGACATATTTCTAATAATTTTTTCAAACATTTTTCAATAATTTCAAAACAATAATGCATTAATTTAGTGATGTCCTCTTTTAAAAATTCATTTTTGTAACTAATATCAGTTAATAAATATAAAATAATAATAATTTGAATACATTTTATCATTATTTTGAATTTCAAAAAAAAAAATTAAGATTAATTGAATGATTCCAGGTATATAAAATGTATTTTCAGTCTGTTGATATAAAAATGCATGATAACAATCTAATAAATTTATTTCATATTTTTTAATAATTTTAATTAATTTATCAATAAGAGATTCATCAGAAAATATTCTTCTCCTAATTTACTAAATTATTGTTTCAATTTATCAAAAAATATTAATATACCTAATTATTTCCTCAGATATTGAATTAGAAATGGAAATCAAAGATTCTTCCTTTATTTTAATATTATCCAAGCTAACAGAAAAATATACTAAAGAAAAGATGTTATATATCTATAACTATTTAGAAATTTGCTTGAATTTTAAAGTTATACCATAGAATTTATTGTGTTTATTGTTAACATTATCCTATACAATAATTTGCGACCATCATCTAGTACCATATTCATGGGATATCTTTTAATAAATTGAAAATCCATATAAAACAAAAAATCTAATAATTTTTCTTTTACTGAATCTTTTATGCAATTTATAGGAATTATTTGTAAATATCTCATTATTTTCCTAAATTTTAGAATATCAAAGTCATTTTTATTGTCCTCAATGAGATTTCTATATTTCTTATTAGAATAAGACTTTATACTATCTTGAAATAATATTTGATCAAATTCATAAAAAAAAATATAGTCTGTAAATGCTGATAGGCATGCATCTATAATGAAAAATAAATTATATTTTTATTATTAATAATATATACCTCTAAGTAAATCTAATTCATATATTTCTGCATTGGATAAAAAGATATACCATAAATTTGAAAAAGATAATAACTGACTTATGTCAACTTCTAGAGAACTTTCAACACCAAATTTAATAAAAATATCCATAAATTCTTTAATTTTATCAAAAGAAGAAAATTTACTAATATATGTTAATATTTCTTTATAAATTAAAAAAAATACTTTATCAAATACAACCAATTGTTATTAATTACATAAATATACGCTATACTTATGTTATCTCTATTTATCAACTGCATTTTTCCGGCTTCCCAAAGAGAATTGATAGATGTAGATCTAAGAAAAAATATTATATGATCTAAAATTGAATCCATCAAAAGTAAACAATTTTCTGTTCTAAAATCTTCTAAATAACCTTGATCAAAGTGTTGCAAATAAACTAATTGGCATTGAATCTAAATATTTAAAAATTTATAAATATATTTTAATCATACCATGTAAAAAAATATCTTAGGTGAGATCCTTTTAAAGTTAGTTATAGATCTAATATATTCCAAATTTTTATATGGATCTGTAGAAGTTATATATTCGTGAGATAACAACATTGCCTTGTAATGGATTCTAAATATTAGATGTACTCCATGATCGTTCAAAAGAGTAGAAATGTTTGAAAAAACTTCAATTATAATATATTTATATAATTTAACCATATCTTCCCAGATATCCGAAATTATTTGAGTATCTGTTAATCCATGTAATATAGAAAGTAATGGATAAAAAATAAAAAAAGGATTTTTTATTTGATTTTTTAAAATATCTGAAGAATTTTTCAAGGATAATTCATTTGAATTTATTGATTTTTTTAACACTTCAAAATTATTTTCTTCCAAAATATAATTAATTATTGTTTTTATTTTATTTAATGGAAGAGTATTAGCAGATCCCATTACTCTATAATTTTATTAGAAAAACTTATTTATACTTTTTACCTACATAATTAAAATTTCATCACTGAGTAATATACAGTTATTGATAAGAGAAAAATTTAAAAACTTCATCCAATTGTTTATAAATTCATGCAAATTCCTTTGTGTTTTATAGCTATTTACAAATAATTTTATTAGTTCATAACATATTTTTGAATGCTCAGATGCCATATCAACCTTTCAGATAAAAAAGTTAAATATAATTTAATTATCGGTTATATTAAATTAATTACCTGGGTTAAATTTAACCATAATTGTTCATTATATGGTAATATTAGCTCAAAATTAAACTTTAAAAGAGTATATAATAATTTCCAACCAATTATCTTTGTATTATCTTTGAAAAAAAATTAGATAAAATTAATAAGTTCAATATATACCTTCTTTAATTAATAAAAATGATTCTTTAAGTATTTCAGAAATTTGTTGTTCCAATATAATATTAGAAACTTTATGAGAAATGCTGTTATCTTTTGATACTTCAAAAATATTTAAAATAATTGAATATTTAAAAGCCTTTTGTTCTAAAGATAATTTAAATACCAATTTTAATATTTCTGATAAAAACATATCATTAAGTTGCATTATTTTTGATGGGTTCATATTGACTTTTACTTTTGAATATATTGAATTATAACCAATAGAATTCTGAGCAATTTCTAGAAATTTTGGAAGAGATGATAAAATATCTATATTAATTAATTTAATAATCAAAAAAATTTAAAAATATATTACTAGAATGAGATGTTTTCGGTAAATTATTCAGTAAAGAGTTAAAAAACAGTTCTAAACTAGATTCTTTTGGAGTTATATTTTGAAATTTAGAATTTTGTATTTGATAATTTATATAATCAATCAACAACTCTGGAGAAAATAAAGTTTTATAAAGAAGAGTAGAAAACAAATTATCGAGCCATAATGGTGTATCTTTTTTTCCAATAAGGTAGCAAGCATGAGGTAAAACCTTAGAAGAAATTGTTTTAGATACCTAATTTATTAATTCAAAAATATATAAATAAAAATATAAACCTTTTTAAAATTTTCAAGTCCATAAATAGAATTTTCCCATATTCCAAAAATTTGAGATCCTAAAATAGATATAGTATCATCATAAAGATTTAAATCTTTAATACAACAAAAAAAATCAGCTAAAATAGTAGTAGTAGTATCAAATGATCCTTTAATAAATAAAGAAAGTGTTTCCTCTGATAATATATATTCTATTGTTTTTGCGATTGATGAAATTAATAATAATAATTCATTTTCTTTAACTTTAGTAGCAAATGACATTGATATAGAAAGAAGAGTAGTAAATGAATGTTTTTGAAAATTAAAATATTTAGATTCTGGTAAGAGATCTTTCGATTTTAAAATAACCTTTAAGAATTCCCATAATTCTGAAATAACTTTAAGAGAATTCTCACTAAAATTATTGAATATTTCATTTATATAAAGTTTTGTCTAAATATACTTATTTGGTATAATTTCTTTAAGTTTATCTAAAACCCAATTTAAAAGAAAATTCTCTTTTTGAGGAAAATATATATTTATATTCCCATTTAAAAGATCATTTGCTGTTTTTAATTTATCTTCTAATGTTTCTGATTTATTTCTTAAAAAACGTGTAACTTCTTGAGTACTTCTAACTGGTATATCCTATAATTAAGTTAAATTTATATTAATAAAAATATTTAATACGTTCCAAAGAAATGCTTGTCATTTCTTAACATAATAAATATTTATAGAAAAAGCTAAATGTTAATTAAAAATTTAAACCTACGACTAAAGTTTTTTATATATTCTAATTAAAATACTCTATAAAAATTATATTCTTTTTAGTAAGAATATGTTTTATTTTAAACATACCTTTAAATAAAAAATCTTGAAGGTTCAATGATTAGTTATATATAATATAAACATAATATAATTAATAAAAAAAAAAAACCTATTATGATAAAACCACTTCTCTCCTGAGTTTTCTTCTACGCCAATCCTTATGATTCAAATTAAAAGATAAATTTTCTGAATTACTATCGTCTACTTTCCAAAAACTATTTTTTTCAAATTTGTAGCCTTCTGGGGGATAAATACAATTTATAGATCCAGTAATAGAAGAATCATCATATAAAAGTTCCCTCAATCCTTCTTCTGCAGGTGTAGATGTTTTGTTAGGTGGTACTGCATAAGGATTTGATGAATAATAAATAAGTTTCTCATTTTTTTGATCTGTTTTTAATTCAAATTCAAATATCTCCACAAAAACAGCTTTTTTCTGAATTTCTGGTGCTATATAATTATAATTTATCCAATTGTGTATATAATCAAAGTTAAAAAATAAATTTGATTCAAGATGTAGTTTATTTTTTTTATATTCTTCAATTAAAGTCCTGATAGCTTTTTGCACATTAGTATTTATAGATAAAACTGAAATCCATCCAAACAATAGAAATATTAAGCGCAAAGAAATCCAATGAGAAAATATCATAAGAAATAGAGATATAATAATACAAAAAAGAAAAACAGTCGAACTTAATTTATCATCATTAAAACTAGTGTATTTTAAAAGAAACCCATAAACTAAATCATAAAATTGTGTATATTCTGACATAGAATTCTTTTATATTTAATATATTATTAAAAATATTATTAATATTCAATTACCTGAATATTTCTTATATTAAGAGTAAAATCCTTTGCCTCTGATGATTTCCCATTTGTATTAGATTTCTTAGATGCTGTAATATCTTTATTATTTAATGAAATAATATCTGAATAAGGATCTGGATAGCGAGTCTCATAAGATGGTAAAAGAAACCCAAATATAAGTACTGCAGATGGTATCATAACAATAAGAAATGGGTTCATACATATTAACGTGTAAATACATAAAAATGAGAAAGTTTTATAGGGATTTTCCCAATGAAATATTGATGTTAGATTATCTTTAATTTGAAACAAGATTCCAATTCTAAACTATTAATATATATTAATATTAACTCATTTTATTACCTAGAAGATATCTTTTTAAAATTCTGTGTCAAGATATGTAGAGAAAATGGTGCTACATATGAATCATCATCATCAAAAGGTATTTGAGGAGAGGAATTAGGATCTCCCTTAGGAGAACTTGGAGCAAGAGATGATGTTATTGCTGATACAAATACATCTTGAACAGTAACAGGTTGTTTGGGGTGTTTATCGGTCATTTTTGAGAATTCATTTAAATTCTAAAAAAATATAAACAATTATATATTTTTAAGATTATATATATATAATATATAGTATAAAATATATAATATAATATATACTATATATTATATACTATATAAATAAAGTATAATATATACTAAAATGTCAAATTGAAAAAAAAAGAGAAAAAATATGTTTTAACATCTATTTTCTAATTTTTCTCGAATTTTTTGACGTTTTTCATTACTTGAAGTTTTAGGCTTCTTAAATACACTGAAATCCTTCTTATAATCTCTTGTCTTTTTTGTAGGAACAAAATTAGGATCTTCTCGAATCTAATAAAGATTAATTAAATATATTAAAATTAGAAATAAAAAAAAACCCTGCGATGTGCATCAGCGTAGATATCTTCAAGTTGATCGCAATCAATTCCATCAGAAATTAAACCGGAAAACTGTTTCTTATATCTTTCTTCATCATCTTCCATGAGCATACTCATATATTCAGAAACGTGACCTCCAAAAATATATTTTCGAAGAACTTCCGAATCTAATTCTTTAGTTTCAATATCATATCCTGGAAAACGATTTTGGGAATGAGGAATATTAATTCCTCCATCGCTAGCGCCTTTTAATGCAGCAAAAACCCTACTTCCTGTTGATGTTCGCTTTAAACCAACATCCAAAAAGACTTTAAAAGGACGAGGACAATCGTCAATAGGTTCGGTTATTGACATTGTTCCATCAGGATCTACTACGCCTTCATATTTATCTGCAAGACCCAGCTTAGTTAAAGCTCTTCTAGCAACTAATAATCCAGTTGCATATGCAGCTGGCCAATTTGTTAATCCATGTTTAATACCATATCTCGGCAATTCATGAGAATACGCTGCTGCAAAAACAAAATCCCCCTGAACCTTTGCATAAATAATTTGACACATAATATCCTTATTGGAAAATCGCACAACAAGACGATATTTAGGTGCTATTTTTTTTTTAAAAAAAAATACATAAAATATATAACCCACTATTATATTTGTTCTTATCTTGCATAATAAGCCTCTTGCGTGCATAATAGTCTGTTTTTCCCTCACGCCGTCTACGATATTTTGTCTGAAATCGCTTAAAATACGCCTTGTTTTTAACCTGCTTCGTAAAAGCCTATATATAAGCCACTCTGAATATATATTTATATATTAAATAATCATCTCTATATAATAAAAAAAATAGACTCTTCTTTCTCCTAATATATAACAATTAGTACTTGAAAAAATCTTATATTAATTTAAGAAAACGTCAGATAGGAGCGAAAGACTTTTTGATGGTGTAAACCCTCCTCATAAATACAAATATGTATTTTTGGCCGAACTATGCTTTAAATACGCATCATTCGCTTTTTTTCTTAAATTTATTCCTTTTTTTACCTTTTTTTTAGAATTCATTTATTATTTACCTAAAATACTGAAAAATTATCCTTTTTTTAAGAAAAAAAAAGAAATCCACTTAAAATTTTAACAATTTTACTGTTTTTTATAATAATTTAGATGATTATTTAACCTTTTTCTTACCATTTTTTTAGAAAATATTAACCTCACTGAAAATCTTGACCGACAATTTTTATGTTCTAGGTATTAACCCTAACCCATTTAATATACCATAAAGAATAGTAAATGAATGATTTTTAAAATAAAGATTTATAAAAATGATTCTATAAAACCATATCCTTTTGTTTTTTCTGTTTTTTTCCTGTTTTTCTGTTTTTTTCTGTTTTTTTTTCGAATTTTTAAATGATTATTTCTATATGATTTTTTTCATCATTTATACATATTTTATATGATTTATTCCAAATACTAAACTAAAATACTCCTTTAGATGCATTTTTTACTCTGTTCTTTCCACATTCTAAATCTCCTATTTATCTTGCTCAATCCTCTCTCTACTGTCGTCGCGTTGTTTACCAACGTTAAAAAAATTAATTCAAGCTTATAGGCTAAAAAAGCAGGGAACAAGATGATTATATGGGTATTTTAATAGGATAATATTAATTTTATATTTACTTAGTTTTTTAGAGGTTTTTTTCCGGTTTAAATTGAATGGATACATCATTAGAACATTTGAATGAATGGGATTTAGAATGTTGCACTTTATATAGATATAATAAGGGAGAAATAAGGGTGAAAGAAGGGCCAGGACATAGTATTTTAAGGATGGAAGATATTGGTGAAGAGATAGGGGATTTAAGTTCAGAAAAAGAGGGAAAAGAAGGGTCGTTTAAGGAGGAGATATTTGAGTTTTCATCAAAGGAAGAGAGTAGTTCATGTTCAGATGAGTTTTTATTTGAAAAGTATTTGAATAAGAGTGATGAAAGAGGTGTGAATGAAAGCGAGGAGAGTTATAGTTTAATAAATTTTGGAATGGAGAGTATTTTGGAAAATGAGGGTCTAAAGAAGGAAGAGAAGTTAGAAGATGAATCGAATTCTAGTTCATTTTTTTTTTCGTCACTTATTGATTATTATTGTGTGAAAAATGAGAATAAAGGTTATATTTTATGATATGTAAAGGAAGTTACTGAAAAGATCTAAAGATAATATTTTTGCAGAAGAAATGGAATTTTTGGATGAATATATTGGAGAAATTGATAAAGAAATGTTTGTTTTTATTGTAATGTTTTTTATTTTCTGATGAAAATAGTTTAAAATGCGGTACAACATCGATTTTGAATGAAACTAATAAGTCTTTTTCTAAGAGTAATAATGAGCATTGTTTAGAAAATCCTAGTAGAAATATTTCAGATTCTTTAAGAAGTTCATCGAATTCTAGCATAAATTTTAAGAAAACGACTAATTCTGAATTTACTCAATTAACTGAAATTCCTACTTCTTTTTGCCAAACAGTAACACCATTGAGTGATAAAGCAAATATTTCTCTTCAGCCAAAAAGTTCTAAAACATCTATATCTCCGAAATCTAGCAATTTTATTTTAGGAGTATCTGGTTTGGGTTCTAAAACAATATCTCCTACGGAACTTCGATCTATTAAAAATACATGTGGATTATCTTCGAATTTTGTAGGTAATGGCGCTTCATGCACATATGCAAAAGGTCTACCAACAAGGTTGTCACTAATAACTCAAGATATGGCTGCGTTAGATGATTCTATCCCCCCTGTACCTCCTATACCTGAAGGTATTTCTGATTATCAATATTCTAATATAGGAATATCGAAAACTGTGGATAAAATATCTCAAAAATCCGGGGATACTCAAAGAAATAATGTCAATGATTTCTATACATTATCAAAAAAAAAATCAAGTATCAAACAAGAAAAATCTCAAGATGATGTTAAAGTTGTTAATATCTCTCCATCAAATCCGAATATTTTTTCAAGTTCGACATCTAGTAAAATTGATTTAATTGCTTCTGAAAGTAAAAGCCAAGATATCTCTAGAGCTTCTTCAAAAACTTTTTCTTCATCGTCTTTTTTACCTAAGTTTGGTTTTAAAAAGAATAAAGGCGTGAAAAAATTTCATATTACTTCTACACAAGTTCCTATTTGTTCTGAAAACTTAAAATTATGCTTTTCTGATGATCATTCTCACTCAAACCATACTAATTCTAACAAAAATGCATATAAAGGACAATCGTCTTTGTATTCTGATTCTAAGTATGTTGGTGTTCCAAAAAATCTTCAAATTAAAAGGTTATATAATTCGATTTTTTAAATCTTTTTTAATTTTATATTAGTTTTTTTCCCAAATTAAAACCAAGTTTTGAGTGTTTAAGTAGAAAAAAGTCAAAAATTAGTAATCCGGATTCTCTTTTAAAATTAGATATATCAAAAATATCTCCAGCATCTAATTCGTTAGATGAAGTACATAAGATACCTTCTAAAAATAAAGAGAATATTCCATCTAATGAAAATATTTATTGTTCATCAAAGCTGTGCTCTGTTAGTCAGCGTTTATATAATAATGAATCAAATAGGGATTTATTGCAATCAAATTTTGGCTCTAATAAGTTACATATTGATGATAGTGATATAATAAAAGATGAATTAAATAGATTGAGACTTAAAAGACAGAGGATTCAGGAAAATAGGAAACCATCGGATTATCTATCTGATGATAAAAAATCTTCAAGATTAGGAGTACAAAGGAAACTTATAAATTTTGATGATATTAAATTATTTCATCATTTATTAACTTTTTACGAGATAGGAGAAATCAACGATTATATGGGGTCTATCTATTTTATTGGTCGGCCAGGAATAAAGAAAAGAGAATTTTCAACTTCTGGTGATAATGATCTTGGGTATGATGATTCTAGAGGGGATTATATTATTGTTATAGGTGATCATATTGCATATCGTTATGAGATTTATAGTATTCTTGGAAAAGGAAGTTTTGGTCAGGTTATTAAGTGTTTTGATTATAAAATAGGACAAATAGTTGCTATCAAAATTATTCGAAATAAAAAGAGATTTCACGCCCAAGCGTTAATTGAGACGAAAATACTTAGAAAATTATCGGAATGGGTAGACATTGATTGTACAATATATAGTGTATATTTATAATTAAAGTATCTTAGGATCCTAATGATGATTATTCTTTTATAAAATATATTGACCATTTTTATTTTCGCGATCATTTGTGTATTGTTATGGAGTTGTTGGATATAAATTTATATGAGTTAATAAGAATAAATGATTTTAGAGGGTTTTCTCTTCCATTAATTAGATGGTTTGATATTTTTCGTAAAAAATTATTCTTATAATCTTAGTTTTGCAAAACAATTGCTTCAAAATTTGGTTTTTTTGAAAAAGCATGGTATTATTCATTGTGATTTAAAGCCGGAAAACATTTTATTATCTCATGAAATTAAGCCTAATATTAAAGTAATTGATTTTGGGAGTAGTTGTTTTGAGAATGAAAGAGGTAGTATTTAAGTATGTTCAGAATATTGATTTATTATATTTAGTTTATACATATATACAATCTAGGTTTTATAGATCTCCTGAGGTTATTTTAGGTCTAAATTATGGAATGTCAATTGATATGTGGAGTTTGGGTTGTATTTTAGCAGAATTATATACTGGATATCCTATATTTCCTGGAGAAGATGAGCAAGAACAACTCGCATGTATAATAGAAGTTCTTGGTATTCCTGGAAATTATTTAATTGAAAAAAGTTCTAGGAGAATGTTATTTTTTGGTAGATTTGATATGTTTATTTGAGAGTGTTATTTATTGATTTAGATTCTTCTGGAAACCCTCGTTTTACTGTTTCTTCTAAAGGAAGAAGAAGATATCCTTCTTCTAAGACACTTTCTCAAATAATGAAATGCAATCATACATATTTTCTTGATTTTTTATCTAAATGTTTATTATGGGATCCAGAATATCGTTTAACACCAGAAAAGGCACTTGAACATGAATTTGTGACAAAAATTGAAAACATTTGATATGATTTGGCAAAACATTTTTATATGTTTTTTTTTTGGATGATTTTATGTTGGTTTCTTGAGTATAGGCATTGCAATAAATCACTATCATTTCTTGTAGGAATATTATAATTCTATGATTTTTGATTTTCTGAAATGATGTATTTATAAATTATAAACTTTTAGTTTTGTATATTAGGTTTTTATGTGTATTAGTACTAATTAATATTGTTTAATTTTTTATAAATACTGGAGCAATGCATTTAGTTTACTTTTAAGATACCATCATTAAAATATTTTACAGTATAATTTCTTAATACCTAAATATTAAATATCAAAAACTAATTTTTATGAAAATATTTACTGAATTAGTGATCCACGTTTATATACTAAGATTATATTATAATAAATAATTTATCTACTCCATGTATTTTTTCCATTTTCTGTGCTATTGTGTATAAGACTGGTTTTCTGTTTTTTAAAATGTTCATTTCTAGAACTATCATGGCTTCTCTTAAGATTTTTAGAATATTTACGACTAGATTTGCTTCCACTGCCAATATTAATGTTTACAGAAGGGGGTGTAGCAAATCCAAAGCTCTAAAGTAATTAATATATTCATATTTGAATAAAATAATAGTTTACTTTTGCTACTTTAGCAAGATCAAGATTATTAACATCGAATATTGATTTTAAAGCATATGACGCATATGCTTGCAAATAACTCCTATATCCATCTTTTGCTGATTTATTTAAATAATAATTTTTTGAAATTAACTTTTCTAACTAAAAAAAATTAAATTAATTTTTTAATAAAATAATAGAACCTGAGATTGAATATTTGCCAATCTACTGAATTCATATTCATTTAAAGAAACTTTTGCTGCTTTAAGGTATCTTAAAAAGCCCAATTCACTAGGTACAAGAAACATAAGACTTTTCCCTTTTGCTTCAGTCCCTCTAGCGGTTCGTCCAACACGATGCTATATTATATATTATTCTTTAATTAAAAATAAAGATAAAAATTACAATGTAGTCTCGTGGATCATCTGGAGGATCATATTGAACAATCCAATCCACTGCAGGAATATCTAAACCTCTTGCAGCTACATCTGTACATATAAGAGTCCCTTGTTTTGCATTAGAAAATTCAAAAAACGTATTTGTTCTTTTTTGCTGTTTTTGTTTTCCCTAGAATAAGTTTAAAAAAGAGCTGACTAATTTGTTAATAGGAAATACATGAAGATCCAAAACAGGAATATCAATATAATTTAACAATTCAGAGTGATATTTTACAGAATTACAACTCGAGAAAAAAACGATAATTTTCTTTTTAAGATTACGTTTAAGAAAAGTAAAAAGGAGCAAAAAGCGCTTATCACTATCACAAACAACATAACCCTGTTCAAGTCCATCTACTGTTGATTTTTTTTTATCTGAATCCACATTGATATAAAGAGGACCAGGTCGCAAAGATATTCTAGCAAGATCTTCAACTTTTGTCGTTTGAGTTGCAGAAAATAGCATGGACTGTCTGTTTTCTTTTAACGTTATATAATATATATATATATATGTATGCATGTATACCATTAGGAAGTATTTTAATAATTTGACGCATTTCGTCTTCAAATCCAATTTCAAGAATACGATCAGCTTCATCAATAATAAGTGCTTTTAAATTTCTATAAACGAAGCCTTTTGTATTTTGTAAATGATCTAAAAGTCTTCCTGGTGTTGCTACTAAAAGGTTAACACCTTTTTCTAATTTTTCTGCTTCTGCTCGTCTATTTGCTCCACCAATAACAACTCCAAACGTTTGAGTATGATGTTCTAAGAGTTCCTTAGCAACACCAAATATTTGCAATGCAAGTTCACGTGTAGGCGATATTATAATAATTCCTGTGCCTAGAAAAAAGGTTAGATAATAAATAATAAAAGTAATAAATTCCCATAAATTAAAAGTGCACATACCATTTCTTGGCTTAAATTTTAAAGAATATAGAATTTCAATAGCAGGAATCAAAAATGCCAATGTTTTTCCACTTCCTGTTTTTGCTGCTCCCAAGACATCCTTTCCTGACATTAGAATAGGTATTGTACGTGCTTGAACTTCTGTCATTTTTGAAAATCCCATGTTTTGCAGGGCTTTTTCTGTAGGTTTAGAAAGTGAAAGATCTGAAAATAAAACTGGTTTATCTTTAGCTGAAGTAGCAGATAAAGGATTTTCTAAAGAAGTATTTTTATTCTGATCTTCATTTTCCCCTGTTTCCGATATAATATTTGATTTTTTCTCTTTTTTTCGAGTTTTGAGTACTTCTTTCAATTTATTCTTATCTATTAAGTCATTTTCACCGCTTTTTTTTTCCTGTAAATCTAATGTCATTTCCTGATTTATAGATGCTCTTTAATTTAAAAAAAAATCCTTTTTTTCAAAGAATACACATTTTTTTAAAAAAATATAACATGATATTTAGATTTTGATGCTAAACGTGCGATTAATTTTGAAAACTTAATCACATTATAAAATTAAGATATTCAGATGATAATAAACAGAGGAATATTAGATAAAATAAACATCATATTCTAGATATTTAATTATTGCATATAATATCCATATATAACGCATATAATCCAATAAATATATTTTAGCAGATATATGATTCATTAATTCGCTTTGGAAACTAAAAATAAGGCGCTTTATATTATTTTCTTCCGTGGAGGTTATTTATATAAAAAGAATTGGTCGTTTAGGGGGATTTTTCCTTTTTATACGGTTTTATAACGTGAAATGACATGGTTATAGAATTTAATGATATAATTTTATAAATTATACAGGGATTATTCTATAAAAATACGCGTTTTACTTGGTTATTTATAAGACACTGGAATCTATGCTGTTTTATGTATAAATCATATGCATTGATATACATTAATGTCTATCTATATATTAGTATAGAATATATATCCATAGATAATATGATTTAACAGGATGTATGCGTAAAAATATTAATGTATCTTTATAGTAGTTATATATATATATGTTAATTTAAACTACATATCTATATTTCTATCTATCAAATTCATCATATTTACATGAATTGATCATTCTTATACACTATATATATATTCTATTCATTTTCAATATTGAATCCATCGAATATATATATATCAATCGTATATCTGTACTTGTATACTCAATTGCATATTTAATATGGATATATTAAATATATGATTCTCATAAATACTTTTATATATTAAATATATTGATTTCTGGTTTATTTGCCTCTTATTCATGTATATTATATATTTTACTTTAATTACGCGTTCATCGTTTCACTATTGGAATTTATATATAATACGATTAGATTTTTCCTTAAATACCTTTTTTTGGACATAAGAATTCAATTGCGCCAATTGTTAATTAGTAGAGAAAAGAGGTTGGAGACGATCATTAGAGGTATAAATGCTATTTTTTATGAAGAAATTACTCATTTTTTGACAGTATTTATTAGTGGAATTTTTGAAAAAGTAATTATCTCGTTTTTTTGAAATTTTTTGTGGAAAAGACTGGATTCTTGGGACATATGCATTAGGAATTTCATAGCATATATTAAGTGAAAAGCCCATATTTGTAGTATTATTACGCTGGAAAATGAAGTTTTTCGTTTTTGGATTTATATTAATTTTTTTTTGGAATGGTTTGATTAGCTATGTCAATGCTAAGCGTGGTATCGGTACCCGATCTATGTCAACATGTATGGAAAATTCAGGGCTTATTGCAACTGTTTTCCGTATTACATATTATCCGGATTTAGAGAAAATGGTATATCGTGTTGATGGTATGACATCAATTGAAGGAGAAGTTATTGGTACGCATATAATCGAGAAAATCTTGTTTTAAGGGTTAATTTTGAAATATTTAGTTAATTTAATTATAATGGCATATGGAATTCAGGTATTGAATAAAACGATTGATCCGTGTATTCTTAAAATGCCGCAACTTTGTTATTTGCAACCGGGTCCTCTTACACAAATCGAAGGAGAAAGTGACATTCCCGTTGATATTTCGTCGCATATACCCGGTATATTCGTGTTATTCAATTTTTTATGTTTTAATTTTTATATAGGTGTTGTCTATGCTATTCCAGATATTGATGTATACGTGAAAGTGATGATATATAGTAAATATTCCGGAGAGCTTAAAGCATGTGTTCAAGTTACGATGACGAATATGATGACTGTTAATGTGAAAACAGTTGGGTGGATATCAGGCCTTATCGCGTTATCAGCGCTTATCGTGAGTGCAATTGCATGGGAAAATGGGAATTCCAATACTGCTCATCATATTGCGACAAATGCATTCGCGCTTTTTAGCTATTTTCAAGGACAAGCTATGTTTGGTATGATGTCTGCAAAAATGCCACCCATCGTTCGTGCATGGACGCAAAACTTCCAATGGACAATGGGAATTATTAATTTAGGATTTATGCAAAAGATCTTTACGTGGTATATTAAATCTACAGGAGGGTTACCGTCTTATCTTCATTCTTCGTCACTTGAACATTCTATTATTATTGAAAAGCGAAATTTTTACCCTGAAAAGCGAAATTTTTATCTAGAAAAGCGTGCTGCTAATGGTTTTGACGACACTAAATATATTTTTCGTGGTATACATCGTGTTGCTTATAGTGAACAGATCGAAACTACAAATCTATTTATGACTAGCTTCTCTTTTTTTCTTATAATGGTTTTTACAATGTTGTTAGGATTTACATTGTTTAGAGTCTTTATTCATTATTCTCCAAAAATTCAATGGTTACGAAATGATCGTTTTTTTGGTTTTAAAAATGAATGGAAAGATCTTTTGAAAGGAACCATGTATAGATTGGTAAGAATCTTGATATATATATTTCTAAGAAGTTTATTTCCAAAGTTACTTATTGGATATCCTCAATTGTCTCTCCTTTGTACCTGGGAACTGATTTCTCGTGATTCTGTTGGCGCAATGATCTATGCCATTATTTTACTTATAATGGTAACTGGTTTATTGAGTTACGCTGCATATTGGGTTATAGTTTTGGCACGTCGTTCCCTTAAATTTCATAAAACCGCTGCATATATTTTATATTCTGATTCAGGTATTTTAACTAAATGGGGTTCTTTATACATACAATTTTCTGCATCTGCATATTATTTCATTGTTCCTCTTTTACTCTTTATTTTGTTACGATCATTTTTCATAGCATTATGTCAAGGCAACTCTCTTGTTCAGGCAATCGGGTATTTCATCATTGAATTGGTCTATTTCTTTTTGATTGTTTACATTCGTCCTTTCTTGGATAAAAAAACAAATATTTTTAGCATTACTGTTGCCTCAATCGATTTATTGAATAGCATTTTTATACTTATTTTTGCAAACGAATCACGCATATACGTAATATTTCCTTATTTTTTCTTTTATATTAATCTTTTTTATAGAGTATAGTTGTCGCTGTTTTTGGAATAATCTTTTTTATCATTAATTGTATCTTCGCTCTCGTTTTGCTTGTTCTTCTTATCATAGTATCAATATATGCTCTTGTTTCGGAAAATCCTGATATTCTTCATGAACAAATGGAGGATGATAGATCTGAATTTATCAAAAGTAAAACTAATTTTTCTAATGTCGATCTTAATTTACCAAATGAAAATAATGGATCATATAAAGAAATGTCTGCAAAAAATTATGGGCTACCTTCATATGAGAGATCGTATCCTTTAACAAATAAAGTGGATAATATTAATTCTAATGAATCCGGGAACTATTTATCTTCTTATGATCTAGTAGCTAATTATATATCGCAGAATCCATCTGTAGCTGCTCCTCCTCCTCCTTTTAAATCAAGTATGAGGTCTAGTAATGATTCTTTATTTAAAGACTTACAAAGCAATAAAGATAATATGGATTCCGAATATGCACCTTATAGAGAATTAAATATGGATTCATCTATGCCTAATGATAGACAATTTTCCAACATTCAGAGATCACAATATATTCCAGATCAAAACTCTCGTACTACATTGTTTTCAGATTTACAATCTCGGCAATATATTCCGGGCGCTCCTAAGAAAACAAGAAATTATGGTCTATATTACAATACATATACTAGCAGAGCAATATAAGTTATTGAAGCGGATTAATGATTAATTATTCTAAGATATTTAATAAATTGATTTCAAAATGAGGTTATATAATAATTCTAATGCATTTCGGACGTTAAAAATCTTTTTTAATCTTGTTTTTATTTAAGAATTATTTAAATTTATAAAGAATGGATTCTTTAAATAAGAATCTAATGTATGTCGATTTCTTTTTTGATAATATATTTATTTATTAGATTATTTATTGATTCATGCTTTGAAGAGGAGCTTTATCAATCAGGTCTTGAGATTCTTGACGTTGTTTTTGTCCCAAATGATGAGAATTATGGCTCTATGCCTTTTATACCAGAGAGATATTTACTTATTTTAATTAATCTTATTATACAGAATGATAATACAAATCAAATTTCTCAAAAAGCTGCTCAACTTCTTTATAGAATTATATGTTCAAAGAAATTGTCTAAAAATGATTTATATAATCAGTGGTCTTGGATGTTTTGTCATCAAGTACGTGCTAGAAAATTTAAGAAATCAATAGACACAACAAATATGGATGATTTAAATATGCAAAATAATTTACAACTGAGTTCTATAGAATCAATTTTTTCTAGATTTCCTAATGTTTGGAAGCTCATTCAACATTGTTTTGAAGAGCCATCAATATCTTTATATATACTTTTGAATTGTATTATATCTATTTTAGAATTGGATTATCAAGAATATTTAAAAGGTTCTTATTTAAAAAAATATATATTATATTGATCTTTTTATAGAATCAGAGAAAGAATTAGAAAAAATGTTGTTTATAAGTTCTTTGAAGAGTAATGATAGAGAAAAACCGGATATTAAACAAGTATTAGCTGTTATATTTGCTAATATAGATTTGGAGGATTATGAATATCCATTATCATTTAATAGTATAATGGGAACATCTGTAAAAGGAAATGCAATAAAATCTATAGAAAGCATGATGTTAAGAAAACGACTTTTATCTATGGTAAATGATGAATATTCTGGTTATTTTTATTAAATACTTTTTAGACTTATAATGTAATATATTCTTTACCCAAAAATATTAATAAGTTTGATTTTGAAAATGAATTATCTATTTATTTAAAAAATTTAGAAATTAATAAGTTTATTTTTTATCTTTCAGTATTTATTTAAATTTATTAAAAACTTATCTAACTAACTTATATATTTAGAATATAATACCTTCTCCTTTGAAATCTAATTTATGTCATATGTTGCTTGTAAAATATTCTGTTCATTCAAAATTAAGTAGACATTTTATGGAATTGTCAACAGATATGTTAAGATTATGGCCATCAATTGCTTCTCAAGTAAAATTGGGATTATTAGAAAAAGCAAAGTATAGTTTTTTGCTTCAAATGTTATTAAGAAGTATTTTTAATGATATTTTATTAAAAAAAAGTACTCAAGAAGAGCAACAAGCTATGTATCTCGCAAAAATGAAGAGAATTGCTAGCTTTAATGATGAATTTGAAAAAATAAAGCAAAAAGACAAAATAACATCAGAATATCTATATATAAAGGATGTTTTTGAGCAAAGTGAACATATTATAAGTTTAATTCTGAAACAGATTTCTTAAATTATTCTTTTATTATATAAAAAGTATGTTTTTTATAATTTATATCAAGTTATAAAATTAAATATTGATTTCTTTATATTTAGCATATGGATCTTAAGACTAATAAAAATAAAACAATTCCTTAAGATATAAATATTTCTGAATAAGTTTTAACACAAAATGAATGGGCTCTACCGGGAATCGAACCCGGGACCTCCGCTATACATGTCATAGTCTTGACTAACCCGAAAGCGGAATCTTACTACTAGACCATAGAGCCTATTCTAAATTCTCGCCTTTTTTACAAGTATAAATGATTAATAATATTATTTATATTTTTAGAAGGGTTTATAATTAAACTAATATTTTTTAATTCTAAAGTGGTTAGTAAAAATTATAAAACAAAAGTAGTATTATATATTTTTTATTTATTGATAATCCATTCCAAATTATAGTAAATACTACTTTTGTTTTATAATTTTTACTAACTATTTTAGAATTGAAAAAGGTTTTGTCTATATTTTATATTTTTTAATGATTAGATTACATATTTTCAAAAGATTAAAAAGAATCAATGAATTTTATATCTAAAGATTTTATAAATAAAACTTGTATTAGTATAAGTTATATAAAATAGATATTTTTTAATTATTTTTTTATGCTTTATGAGTAAATCAAAAAAGAATTTAAATATATTATTTAAGAACAGTGATTTTTATGTTAATCAAGATTTTTGTATTTATAATGAATAATTTAATAAAAAAAGAAGAAAAGTTCTTCTCAATGCAATTTAATTCAATAATAATGACAATTGTTTTTTATTATAAAAAGATCTAAATTATTTATTAATTTTTTTGTGGAAATATTAAAATTATTCTATTTTATTTATAATATTTAAATAAGATAGGATATGAACTTTTTAATTTAAAGAAATGAATTTTATATTATTAATTGAGAACAGAAATATTGATTAGTATTGGTAAATATTTTATTTTTGTTAATAATAAATAATTTTTTGAAAATATTAAAATATTACTCTTTAAGATCTATATTTTAAAAAGTAAAGAATTGCTATGAATAACTAAAATTCTCATTTTATATTTTAAAAGATATGTGATAGTTTAGTATTTTTTATTTACAATCAGGTTATTAGTTTTATAAAAATTTTATTTCAGATAATATTTTGAAAAAAAAATTAAATGATTAATAATAAGAAAAATATTTCAATGTTATTTCACATTTAAGTATATGAAATGTATTTTTTATTTTATTTTATAAAATATTTAATCAAATTGACACCAATTATTTATAATAATTTATATATAGTAAGATCTTATCAATTCAAGTAGAAACTTAAATAATTATTAAAAGTATATTATTGTTCTTAAATATTATGTATTAAAATCTGTTTAAATTAAAAATAAAAGTTTTAAATTAAATCAGTCAAAATTTTAATTGATTATAAATATAATTTTTTGTTATTTTTTTAAATTTCAATTAAAGATATAAATTATAATAAATTAAAGAAAAGTAAATAGTTTTGATATATTTAATATTAGTATTTTTTATTCTTAATAATATTTATAAATCTATTTTGTTATGTACAAAAATTAAAAGAAAAACTTTAAGATATTTTGATATATATATATAATAACTATTTCCCTAGATTTTATCCTTTAATCTTTTACAAATAACAAAAATCTTTATTAAATAAAATAAAAATATGGAATATATAAATTTAATCCAATTAATAATATTATACCTCTTTTAATATTTTTAACAATTTAATATTATAATTATAACATTTTTTTAAAAGAATAAAAATAATTGATATAAAATCTTATAAATAGTACAACTACTACCAAAACTAATTATTTATTCTAATTTTTCCCTAAAAAATTATTATTAAGTTTTATTTTAATGTTCTTTTTATTAGTTATTAAAAAAGAGTAAATAAAAATAGATCATTGGAGATTAAAAATCATTAAATTCAAATATAGATAATTTTAATATCTCTATCAAAGATTTAAACCATTGAAAAACTAGATCAATTTAATTTAGATATGATTTTATTATATAATAAACTAAATTTAGAAAACTATGAGTAAAAAAGATTTAAAAAACATTAATTATATGAAACAAAAAATCAATTTGAAGGCTATTAAATATTAATTTTATTTTTTAGGATTTTTAAAAAATATATAAATAAAAATAAATCAATAATTTTAAAAATATCATAAAAAATAGCAAAATTTAAAAGTTCTTAAAACCATATGATTTATTTTGTTATAGAGTTACTATTACTCTAAGAATAAGATTTAAATATTATACTACTATAGTTTATTTTATTTTATATATCAATTATATAACTATTTATTTTTTTAAAAAAGTACATATGTTTTATTCATGATAATTCAAAGATATATATTTAATCTTCATTTAAAAACATTATAAATTCTTAAAAAATAAAATACCTTTTATTCTTAAAAGGAATGGTTAATAACAATATAATATATATTTCAATAAATTAGCGTTTTTGTAATATATTCAATAAGTACAGTAGAAATATTTAGTAAACTTTTATATTATGATATTAATATTAATTTTCCCTTAAACTTTCATTTTAATTAAATATTTTTAAACTGTATAAAAAATATTATAAAAGATAAAAAACATATCTTGATATAAATTATAGTTTTCAGCAATATGAAAAATTATCTATTTCAATAATTTTCAAAATATATAGAATAAATATCTGTGTCATTTGTTACATAAATTTGGATAACAATAATTTTGAAATTATAGAAAACAAAACATGATATTACTAATTTACAGCAGAAAGAAAACATGTTATGCTCCCTCCTAAATATATTACTCGTGGTTCCCATTTCATAATATTTTAGCTTATGAGTTATATAATAATAGATCTATAAAAGAAAATAAGATTAATGACTAAATGGTCTAAACGGTTTCATATAATTATTTTTAAAGTGTTGAAAAAATAAATAACTATAATTATATTAATTATAGAAAATAAAAATGAGATAGTTACATTATTTGTCGCAGCAACTGCTATAGAATCTTCATTTGGATGCCAGCTTGAATGTAAAATTTTTTTATTAAAATCTATATTATCAGTATCAATTAAATCAATTCCTCCATTTTCTCGTAAATTAGGAGATACGCCTCTTGCCAACTTTTTATTTCCTCCAACTTTTTTTGCCTTAAAAGCAGATCTATCTGCTTGTAAAACAACTTCTCTGTTAGAACACGTATTAGACGTATCAGTAGGATAAATCATTAAAGTATTGTTATAACTTCCAGATAAAACATTCTTCCCATCTCCGGAAAAAATACATTCAAATTTATCAAAAATACAATCATTTTCATAAAGATCACAGAGTTTTGACCTAAGTTTATCATGCATGTTTATAACTTTAATTGGGTGTTTTTCCATTGCTATATCCCAGATTTTAAGAGTAAGATAATCTCTAGAGAGTATAAATTTTCCATCGTGTGAAAACTTGACATTAGAAATTGATGAAATTATTTCAGAAAAAAAAGATTTTGACGAAGGATCTTCTTGTTCCTCAAATACTAATTAAAGTTAAAATTAAAGAATACATTATAAAACAATATCAACGAACTTTTAGCGTGTTGATCACATAAAGCAGATTGACGCATATCAATAAGTTTGATAGTACCTTTACTACTACTAAGCATAAACTGGTTACAATGCAAAGGATGAAATTCAGCAGAAGTAATAACTTCCGTAAGTTCCTCCATATTTACTGGCTTTATATCGACAATGTCTAAAGATTAAAAAAAGAAAATATATATTAAATAAACTTACTAAATGATTGGTCTGCTATATTTAAATTCCATAAATTTATTCGTAAATCATCTGCACTAATATATGTTTCTCCATCAGAACTTATACTAATTGAATTTATATGATAAGCGTGTGCATTAGCGTATATTTTTCTTGGAACTGATGCAATAATTGTATCATGATGACTCATTCGTGGTAATTTCAGTAAATCCGGCGATGTAATATATGATGAATAAAGACCATCAGAAAGATTGTTCTCTGCTACAACCTTAAGAGATTTTTCAAATACTTTCCATAATTTTATAGTTTTATCTATTTTATATAAATACGATAAGATTTTTACAAACTATTAAAATATACCATTTGTAGATAATAAAAAGTGTGCTGAATTCTGACGTTTACACCACTTTATTTTATTTATTTTTTCCTCAATTTCCAATGATTTTAAATAATCAAATTCTGGTTCATGAGATTGAAATTCTGTATAAAAACGATATTCACAATTCTTTTTCTATAAATAAATTATCTTAAAACCTTCAATTATATAAAATTTTATCTTCATACTGTATGATTTCTTTCAAATAATACTACTCTTCCGCCTTTATCTCCCGTAGCAAGATAATCTCCTGTATGATCAAATTCAACCGTACTAATAATATCCGCTATTTAATATAAGTAAATCCCATTAGAATTATTATATATTTCTCTTATTATAAGTCCCTATACCTTCTGTAATATCTTCTACATCTCCCTTATCCCCAAAGCATCTAAATTCATCAATATCCGGTCAATTTTTTTCAAAAAAAAGCCATTACTGAGCAAATTTCCAGTATGAACCTCCTCTCCCTTCTATCATTTCTTTATTACACTCCTTTTCCTCACAAATATACTACTTAATTAATCTCTTACTTTAAATCTATTTTTCTACTCTTATATTAGCTCAAATTTTCCCGTTCAAATTGGAAATCTTATTAAAAAAATATTCTACATCTATTGATTCCTGTTATTTCTCCTGAATATCCGTTATTTATTACTTATAAAGAAGTTTTTGCTGATAAAATATCAAAAATCATTAACGTCGATACCCAGCTTTATATTATATTCAAGCAGCGTTTATTATAAAACTTAAAGAAGCAAATTATGTTAAGAAAATGCATGAAATATGCGTATTTAATTGAAGATAGATAGAATAAATTATTTTTTATAAAGTTTAAGATTTTTTTAAATATTAAGCAGTGTAATTATGAAATAATAGAAATATGATTAGATAGATTTAAAAGAAGGAGATATTGTATATATATAGATGTTATAGAGTAGAAAAATGAGTATATGAATTGCTGGTAGAAGAAAAATAAGTAAAAATGATATATATTCCATGATGTATTTTAAAAATGAATAAAAATCTAATTCCATGGAAAAAAGAATTAAATAAAAAGTATGAGATTATTTAAAAGTGAAAAAGTTGTAATCCATTTTTAATTTAAAACGAAAACTAGACACCATTCCCTATTATTTATATATTAATAAGAGAAATTGAAAAAAAAAGGATTTAAATAAGATTTATACCTTTTTAGAAGTTATTATACATATATATTGAAATAAAAATACCGATTGTTGTTCCTTATATGTTAAAAATACAATTTTAGATTTTTTTTTTAAATTTCTTATAAGAAATATAAAATATTTTTAAAGACAACCAAGATAATCCTAAAAAAAACTAAATAAACAAAAATTTTCATATTTATTTAGAATTATACCTCTTTGATTGTTCCAATAGCAAACTAACACAATAAATAAAAGAAAAAAAAAAAATATCATCACTTACAATTTCAGTTGCATCGTTTCTTGTACCAACAATTTTTAATCTAACTTTAGCACCTTTTTCTACTAATTGATCTTCCGAAACATATGATGGTGGATTCGATGTCGGATCAAACTTAAGATCTGAAGGAATCAACTATATATAAATTTTGTAATTAAAATATTCTTCCTTTATATTAAATTTACATACATGGCTCGATACAAATATCGATAAAGGTCCTACATCTGCAAAAAATCCCATCTTATTCACTGTAGATACTATCGCATCCAAAACTTCTCCCTATATTATTATATATCAATATAATCCCCTCAAAATAAAATCATCTCATAAATCCTAACCTTAAAAGGTCTCCATACAATCGCTTTATATCCCACTTGGAACTCTGCTTCTCCCTTCCCTGGAACAATACGTCCTTTTCCAATATCAATCTTGTTACTATCAAGAACACAAATAATATATCCATAATTTCCAGAGCATGTCCCTTCTACATCTGAAAGCAATTTAGCCTTAAGATAATCACGCATCCGAGGACCAAAGAAAGATGGATGTAAGGTAATTCTTAAAGTAAGATCTTTTAAAAAAAACTTATTCAGGCGTCAATAACTCTCATAAATATCCTCTTTTCAGACCATATTTCTCAATATAAAGATATATATATCCTCTATAAATACAATCACAGTAAATATCTGCCAAAGATCTTATTCTAAACGCTAATATTAAGAATATAGAAATATTCTTTCTAAAAATAGAGTTAAACTAGTCTTTTATCATGTCACATCTTACCAGTTCTTGTCTCCCAATGTTAATAAGACAGACTTAAATTTAAGTTAAAAGTTAAAAATAAATTTTAGACAAAAATAACACAAAAGTCTATCTAAAAAAAATACAGGGTGAGAGGTCGTTCGTCAACGACATAAAGAAGCACAACAAATGAAAAGGCAAAAAATAGAAGAAATAAAGAAGAAATCAGGGCAAATGAAGGAAGTATAAGAACGGGGAGAGTTTTGATATATAGATTACGAATTTGAACGGGGAAAAAAGAGTAAAAACTGAAGAAAAACGAGAGGAATTAATAAAGATAAAAGAGAATGGCAGAAGATAGGCCTTTTATTGGGATATATAGGTCATTATACCCATATCAACCTCAACAGGATCCAGAATATGTAGTAGCAGAGAATAAAGAGCTAGAACTAGAGGAGAATGAGCTACTTTATATACTTGAAAAGGGGGAGGATCTTTGGTGGAGGGTTAAGAAGAAGGCGATGAGTGAACAGGAGGACGGAGACGTTGGATTAGTTCCAGGAAATTACCTTGAAGAGGTGAGGAGGGTAAATTTATAGGATAAGGGCTAAATTGGGGAGTGTCAACCAATATATCAGGTTAGAACATTATATGATTATGAACAGCAATCATATGAGGAGATATCATTTAATGAAGGAGAAATTCTTGATGTTTTTGATGAGGAAGGGGAGAATTGGGTTTTTGCTAGATGTGGAATATCATATGGATTTGCACCAAGTAATTATTTAGAAAAAATTATAAATACAAGAATATCAGAAGATAAATCGAATGTTATTCAAGAAGATAGAGGGGAGAAGTTTTCGCCAACGAGTTCACATATATCAGTAGAATCTATGAAGAAAACGGAAGTATCAAAAGAAATATATCCATCATTACAAAATATACAAGTTACGAATAAATTGAAGAAAAAGGTTGCTACGTCATCGGAAAAGCCTATTAAAAACAAGGAATTAAGTAATTCTGAAACTTTAGATGCGTATGTTATTTCTAATGAACCTTATTCTTTCAATACACAAGATAATTTCAATGGAAATTTTAAAACATGGACTGTTCATGAAATTGATAAAAAAAAGAGAAGAAAGGGAATTTTGGGTGTTGGAGATAATAAGATTACATTTTCTAGTGAATCTGGTAAAAAATCACCTCAAATATTTCCTATTTCATCTATTATTCAATATTCAGTTGAAAAAAAACATGTGTTTATTGATGTATCTTCATCTAAATCAACAATATCTTATGATTTTCATGCAGGATCATCTGAAACGGCAGCAGAAATTTATTCTGCTATTGAAAACCTTGCTAGTATTTGTCGTTCTACTTTAAAAGAAATCACATCAGTAGTTGGTACAGTAGCTCCAACAATGCATATGGATTCTGGAACTATCAAGGAAATAGAAAAAACTTCTTACAAGGGGGATAAATCTGCTAATAATAATGATAATAATGATAACAATATTACTAATAGATTTAATTCTGAAGAATTGGAAGAAAAAAAAGGCTTAATTTTGTATGATTTCGATGCAGTTGAAGATGATGAGATATCTGTAAAAGAAAATATGGAAGTTTTTATTTTAGACGATACTTCCAATAATGATTGGTGGAAAGTGAGGAAAGGAGATCAAGAGGGACTAGTTCCAGCTTCATATATTAGATATTTTCCTCAGAATCTAAAAATTTTGAGGAATCAAAAGAGCGTAAAAGATTCGAAAGAATTAAAGGATCCAAAAAAAACAGAATATTATCAAAATGAATTACAAAAATCAGAAAAAAAGGTTCATGTAGAAAAGAAAACAAATAGTAAGAAAGTCTCAATCTAATAATTATATAACTAATGATATTAGAGCCTCAATCTGATAAAATTAGAACATGGACTGATAGAACAGGTTCATTTAAAGTAGATGCACGATTTTTAGGCATCATTGACAACAAAATTCATTTACATAAGCTTAATGGGGTAAAAATATCAGTCCCCATGTCAAAAATGTCATTAGAAGATATACATTATGTTGAAAGTATTACGGAACCCTTTAAAAATAAACGAAATACAACTACAAATTCAGAAGTTAGTGACAATAAGCAAAGTAAAACCAAGAACAAAACTTCACTGAACAAACATAATTCTTCTACCTCAGCTTCCAAGAATGATTATGATTGGTTCGATTTTTTTTTATCATCTGGCGTCAAACATGAATTATGTCAAACTTATGCTACAAATTTTGAAAATGAAAATTTAGTTAAATTAAATCTATTAGATCTTACACGGGAAGATATGCAAAAGCTTGGCATAAGAGATGATGATATTATTAGAATTACTAAATATATAAGGGAAAAGTTCAAAAACAAATTAGATGTTCAAGATCCTAAACCTGAAATAAACAAACCAGAAAGCCAAATTAATTCTGAAACAGAAAATTTAAATATATCAAAAGAAGATAAGTTAGATTCATTGTTATCGTTTTCAAATGAAAAATCAAAATCACTTCAAGTCAATGATAAAACTGATACACATTCTTTTTCAAAAAGTATAAATAAAGAATCACTTTCAGAGACTAAAAAAACATCAACATCTGGATTTGAAGACGATGCCTGGTCCATTAGATCATCTAACATCAAAAAAACTGAGCCATCTATTCTTCCAAATTCAGAAACGACTAATCCTCAATTAGCGTATGCAATTAAAAACTTATCATTATTAACTCCTCCTATGAAACCTACTCATACATCTCCAATTTCTACTCAGTTTTCCAAGGTTAGTTATTTTATCTTTATAAAACTTCTAACCATATTCATTATAGCAACAAATTCAACAAAATTCCCTACCACAAGCACAACCTATTTCTCAAACAACAATACAAACTCAATATACTGCGGTTGATCCATTCCCTGCAACATTTACTGACATAAATTCTAATACATCACATTTACAGCCATATCAAAATTATAGGACTACAAATATTCCTGCTGCTTCACGATACTTTTCAATGCCTGCTATACAACCTACTATTCCTCAATTTCAATATCAACAGACACTTCAACCTCAAATCGGCTTTGATCAGAAAACTAAACAACAAATTCCACATAATTCACCTTATATAAATCCTCAGCTTTCAACAAATCAAACTCAAATTTATAATATGCTTCCTTTTACACAACAAAATACAACTTCTTTACCATCACATATTCAGAATAACGGGTATAACAATCCTATGCCTCAACATACAACAATTCAACAACCTTTTCAAAATTCAAATATTTTTCGTCATTCTGTTACTTCTCAATACTCTAATTATAATCAACCAACTCTTTTCCTTCAAAATACCTATCAACCTTCAATTCAACAACAGGATCCATCAAACAATTTTGCTTCTTCTAACACTTTAAAATATATTCCAAATAATTCTGCTTTTTCTACAACTTCACAACCACCAAATACTTCTTTTAAACAAACACCTACTTTTAAACCTGTTCAATTTGGGACATCAAAATCATCACGGCCTGAATCAATTGAAAAACGTGCAAACATAGATGCTGCAAGTATATTTTCTCTTATTTTTTTTTATTTTTTCTTATCTCTAATATATTATAGCACCACAAAATCCTTTTGGTTTCTAGTCTAATATACAATACATAAAAATCACTACTAAAACAAAGCAAAATCATAGCTAAAATACATGTCTTATTCTTTCATTTCAGCTTATTTATTTTTATTATCATCTCATATATTTTTCTTATTTTTTTATCAGCTGCCGAGAAGCTTCAAAATCTTAAGTCAAAAAAATTACAAAACTTCAAAAAAATATTAAGAAAATGGCTAAGGAAGAGAGAAGCGGTGAGTATAGTTTTAATAAGCAAAGGGTTATGTATTTTTATTATGATTTATGAGATTTAAAAAAAAACCTATTTAAATAGGTTAAAATTATCAGGAAAAAACAGCTAATAAATGAACTTTTTCATGGGATTTTTGAGCTAAAAATAAGGAGAATATTGAGGAAATAATTTTTTAAAAGAGATTATCATATTTTTTTTAATTTTTATATTTTTTAATTGATTTTTTACTAATATTTTTTTATAGGATTAGCTGTAGGTCTTAACCGTGGCTATAAAACAACATTTTATCAGCCATCATCTCGGATATCACGCAGGAAAGGTCATTTATCTACTCGTGTTTCATTTATTCGGGATGTTATTCGTGAAGTTACAGGATTTGCTCCATATGAGAGACGTGTGATTGAGCTATTGCGTAATTCAAAGGATAAACGTGCACGAAAACTTGCAAAAAGAAGAGTATTCTTTTAAGGTTATATTTTTGATATATTTTAATATATTTAGCTTGGAACTTTTGGGCGTGCTAAGAGAAAAATAGAAGAATTAACACATTTTATTGTAGAAACACGAAAAGCAGCAGCACATTGATTTTTTCGTTTTAAGTTTGCAATGAGAAATATATTTATAACAGTGTTTTTGAAATTCTTAATATTTCATTAATAATTAAAGTTATTTTATTTTTATATTTAACTTTAATTATTCAGAAGTTATATTAAAATCTCATTAAAAGCCTATATTTTTAGTTCTACAATTTAATTAAATTACTATTTATTCTAAAGAAATCTTTATATTGCTTTTTTTTTACAAATTTTCTCCAAAGAACCATATATAATCTTAAGAATCTTATATATTCGAAATACTTTTTAATAATTAGCAAACTATTCCTAAACTTAGCTCTATAAAGATCTTTAAAATTTCATATTACTAAATCTAATATTTCTTAACCATAAACTTAGTAAAAAACTAAAGATAGTTTCAAAATGTACATTTTTTAAGTAGAAAAATAAAACAATGAATGAATAACATAAATCAAATTTTAGTTGATATAAGTAAATATATTCATGTTATTTAATCCATAAACTTAAGTAAATGTTTTTAAAAATTCTTCAATAATAGTTCGAATTTCATCATTTGTTTCTTTTGAAAGGGAACCTTCTTCTCTAATTTTTGTCAAAAGGCCTGAAAAATTCTGCCGAAGATGAGCCTAAATTTTTATTAAAAGATGAATCTATAGAACTTTAATATAGACTAACCAAAAAAGCTTCCTCGAATGGACCAATTTTTTCTACAGGTAATTTATCAAGTAAACCATTTACACCAGCAAATATCAATGGCACTATTATCCAATTAGAAACATTAAAATGTTATCTTTTCATAATTACCCTGTTCTTCAACAGGCATAGGAGAATATTGATTTTGTTTTAAAAGCTCAACCAAACGTTCACCACGACTCAAAGTCAATTTTGTAGAGGTATCAAGATCAGAACTAAACTGAGCAAATGCAGCAACCTCTCTATATTGAGCCAAAAAGAGTTTTAAAGAACCGGATACTATATTATAGTAGTAATTGAATAATAATAAAAAAAAATACAATATACCTTGTTTCATAGCTTTAATTTGAGCAGAAGAACCAACACGAGATACGGAAAGACCAACATTAATAGCAGGCCTTATACCCTTAAAGAATAACTCTGATTCCAAAAATATTTGACCATCAGTAATAGAAATAACATTTGTAGCTAGGATTATTAGAAAAAAAGCAATGAAATAAGAAATAATTACGAATATAAGCAGAAACATCACCACCTTGTGTCTCAATAATAGGGAGAGCAGTTAAAGATCCTGATCCATGCTTTTCATTCATTTTAGCAGCACGTTCTAAAAGTCTAGAATGAAGATAAAAAACACTATTCCTAGTAAATAAAGCAATTCAAATAATATGCAACATACTCTCCAGGATAAGCTTCTCTTCCAGGAGGACGTCGAAGAAGAAGTGACATTTGGCGATACGCAACAGCCTGTTTTGACAAATCATCATATACAATTAAGGCATGGCGTCCATTATCACGAAACCATTCTCCCATAGCACATCCAGAAAACGGCGCAATATATTGAAGAGGCGCAGCCTCAGATGCAGTAGCAGCCACAACTATAGAATATTTTAAAGCATCATTTTCCTCTAACGTCTGTACAAGTTGTGCAACAGTTGATCGTTTCTGACCAACAGCTACATAAACACAATATAACTTTTTAGATTCATCATTTCCATTATTCCATTGCTTTTGATTAAGAATAGTATCAAGAGCAACAGCCGTTTTTCCAGTCTGCCGATTGCCAATAATCAATTCTCGCTGACCACGTCCTATAGGAACCATAGAATCAACACATTTCAAACCTGTTTGCATAGGCTCTCTAACAGACTGTCGAGGAAGAATACCAGGCGCCTTCATTTGAACACGTCGACGTTCTGTAGCTTTAAGAGGTCCTTTACCATCAATTGGATTGCCCAAAGCATCAACAACCTTCACCACATTAGAAATACTCTTTTAAAGGCATTTTTAAGTACACGTCCGAGCAATGAAGGACCAACTGCAACATCAACAATATCACCTGTTCGTTTGACAATTTCTCCCTCTTTTACCAAACGATCATTCCCAAATAATACAACACCTATTCAAACAATTAAACCAAAATATAAAGTCTTACAAAAAAATAACATACCCACTTGATCAGGTTCTAAATTTAAAGCCATACCTTTAATACCAGATGAAAATTCAACCAATTCTTCAACTTGAACATTATTAAGACCATAAACTCGAGCAATTCCATCACTAACAATCAATACTATATTACTGATTAAAAGAATAGTCAAAATACCCAACACTGAGTACACGTCCTGTTTCTGTTAAGTTCGCATCTGCAGAAATACCCCTAATTTTTTCCTCTAAAATAGATGAAATCTCAGTTGGAGATACTTTATCAGAGAAACTCCTTGTATTCATACGAATTACAGGATATTCTGCAGAGATCTAATACCAATAAAATTAACAATCCATCAAAACATAAAAAAATTAATAAATCTCAAATAAAAAAGAGATAAAATCCAATAGAAATATAGTCAAAGGGTATATCTGTAATTTCATACAAAAAAACAGTTTATTCCAGTCATTATTTAGAGAAATATCCCGCCATATATTATTTTTAAATAAATCTCAAAAAAAGGTTGTTTATCAAGCAAATTTCACGGAAAAAAAGATCACATAACAATCAATTCACTGGTTTATTTATAAAAAAACATATTTTCCCTTGTTTTCTTGGAAAAAAACCCTTTTTTTTGCAAAAAATTCGAAATTTTGTTTCACCTACCATTCTCATAGAGGATCGCCTAAAAAACCCGGAAAAAAAGTATGAAGCCATACGTGCAGAAGAGGTTATCATTGTTCCTATTTATAACCCTTTTTTTCTAATATAAAAACGCTAAAATAATCTTTTTTCCTGAACTTAAAAACGAGGTAGATAAAACCTCACAAAAAACCCTAAACAACAAAGACACAGAGTAGAGAAGATATATATTTGTAAATTATATAAATATATTAATAATTTGAATAAATATGTATCAGTTTTTCTAAATAATAAGTTATATAAAGAAATGAAAATAAATCAGTAGAAAATTAATCAAAAGATTCAATATCATCATTTATATCATATAATAGAGAGTTATGAAAATCATGATTCTGAATTAAGGCAGGGATGTCAAAAAAGGCTATAAAAATTAGTGAAAAAAAGAGATAAAAAGAACTATACATGTTTTTTTTTTTAAAATGATTGATTGATATGGAAAAATTTCAGTTATCATAGATATTGAAGATTTGATAGTGTTGTAGTAAAGATTGTGACAATTAGAATAACTTTTGTAAATAGAATCAGTGAAATAATCATTTTTTAATTTTGTTTCTTGTATAATTTTTTGATAAATAGGATAAACAATTTTTGATGCAGATGAACGCTTTACGGGGGAAGGTAAGCCTATTAATAAGCCCATTATAGCCACAATGGAAGAGATCCGTTGTTGCAAAGAAGAGTGCCATACTTTATTTGAAAGCAATATATCAGAATAACTTAAAGAAGAAAGTATAAAATCAACATGTTTTATATCATTGCAAGATTCCAAATAATTGTGATGAAGTGCTAATATATAAATATCATAACTAACAGGTATCATGTCCAATATATTATCAGGGTCAACCTTTGATATTCGTCTTTCGTAAACTTTTAGATGAGAAGGTAAAGAATTTTTTGGGAAAAGATGTTTTGATTTATCCTCTGGAGAATCACCAAGACGCTTATTATATATAACTTTACCAATAGCATGAAAAAACCCTAATGTAATATCTCGATTTATAATTGAATTAATAAGTAAGTTTTTCTCCTTAGAAAAACCTAAATTTATATTATTTCTTTGTAATATCAACATAGAATTAATAAAACCTTTGTTTGAATTCTCTAAAATTATTCCTACAATGAATTGTAAAGAATTTAATGCCGAGCGAATATCTCCAAAAGATGATTCGACAATTGATTCTATTAATTCTAAATTAGGTTTTTGAGAATAACGACATTCAATATCAATTATCTTATTTATTGTTTTTTGAAGAGATATTTTCGTAATTGGGTTAAAACTATAATAACATTAGTATTAAGTTTAAATAAAAAATTGCTAACCTAATTTGTATCGTTTTTTCAGATTCAATAATATCCTTACCCAATAAACTATACAAACTTAAGCCTTTAACTTTCTTATTATCTGTTTGATCAAATTCTTTAAAATCCATTTCTGTTATTATTAGGACAAGAGGATATTTATTTCTATATGATGAAATATAACGAAGTATAGCCAATTGAAAATCATGGTCTTTGTCAGGAATGTCAGAAGACGATGTATAAATATTAGGTAAATCTTCGATCAAAATAATCTTAGAATCAGAAAAAGCATTAGACGTATTATCAAAATCTAAAGATGAATATTGCTTCGATATTAAAAGAAAATTCTCAAATTTTGAAAACAATGATAAATTATCTAGGTCTAAACAATTCATAAGAAAATACTACAAAATAAATACAAGAATAACAACCTATATCTTCTGACAATACAGACATTGGATTTTGCCATTCCAAAATTTCAAATCCCATTTCCCGGGATAATACATTAATCGTAGCTGTTTTCCCTGATCCTGGTGGTCCCGTAAGAATAATTAATTTCTAATTTATATTAAATAATCAAAATATACATATAATAAATCCCCACTTTCTTTAAATTCTCATTTAATGCAATTGATAACCAATTACGAGTTTCTGCAACTTTTCTTTTACTAACTGCCAAATCACTAACTGTTAATGGCCTATATTTCTCATTCCACATCAAAACATCTTATCTCATAAGAAATCATAAATATAAAATTCTATATAGCTCATATACCACTACATATACTCTTTTTTTCCATTTTATTTTTTTCTTCTCTATCAAAAATTCTCATAATATTCCGGGATCTTTTATTAACATTTCTAATAAAACAACTAGGCTCTTTCTCTTCCTCTGATTCACTCTCAATACAAATAGAATCACTCTCAAGATATTTATCTTTTAATTCAACCAAAGAACGCCCTAATACACCAAATTTCTCCTCTTTTTCGCTACAAACTCCCCCTTTAGAGGATATAACCAAGTGTTTATCTGATTTTTCAGTGATTTCCTGTATTTTTCGCCTCTTTAATCCCGTCCTTCTCCTCATATTTAACAACTCTCTTTAATCTCAAATAAAAAGCTCAATTTTAAGGCTAATTTAACCGGAAAAAAACGTATACTAATCATTAACACCGTCTCTATTCATTCCAACTCATAAATCTCTCAAAAAACCCATAAAATACCCTCAAATATCGATTTATTCCTTAAACATTAAATGTTGACGTTCACGATTTTCTCTACGTACACTCGTAGATTTCGAGCCAACCGACATAAAAACTTGAGTGCAGCAGGATATAATTTGATGGGCTTTTTAGCCATAAAAACACAGAGAAACAGAGGATTTCTATAAAAAAAGACGATATTTTCATATTAGTTTGCTTGAAGCAAAAAAAAGCGGGTCTTTAAGGGCTATAAATGAAGGAGTTATAAGGAAATTAAAGTTTAAGAGAAATATATTATTAAAGGGCTTAATAAGAGGATATAAAGGCGAATACGCATAGTTATTATAGGGGAATATCTAGAATGTCGCATGATTTGTCAGCAGAAGACGTATTAGACGATGAAATTGAGTTTGAAAGCGCATATGCTAGAATGTTATTTTCTAAGGACAGAAAGCCGATAGAAGGGGGTCATATAGAAGATAATCAATGTGATATTAAGAAGATGAGGAGAAGAGGGTCTATTGAGGGGAAAAAAGAGAGTTTAAATGAGATTTCAGGGGAAAATATAGAAGAATCTAATTCTATGCCGAAAATAACCGAAAATATGGATAATTCGGATAGAAATTATATATATGACAGAAAAGTACGATATTTTATGTATTTTTTTTTTTTTATTTAGTCCCTAGAATCATTTTATAGCAAAAAATGTAGAACGTCCCAAGAATCTTAAAAATGAGGGGGAATTGCAGCCAAATTCTCAACAGGTATGAATTTTAGAGACATTATTTGTATAGTAATACTTATTATTTAATAAGTTAATTGATATTTCTGGATTTTCGAATTCTTTGGCACTTGTAACAACACAAACTAAAACGAATCAACAGACTCAAGAATCACATACATTTCAAACACCGTCTTTAAAACAAAGGTATAAGGGGTTTTATTTTTAAGATTTGCTTTTTTTTTTTTAAAATTTAATAGTTGGAGAATCAATGCATCATCTTCAGCTCGTTGGAAACGTATCGGACGAATTGGTTTGGGTCCACCAAAACGTGCAGAGCGTCTCTCAAGTGAAAGCGTAGATGAGCTTGAAAATGGTACAGAAGTGGGACAGGAGGACTCTAAACTACCTTTTTTAGACACAGAAAAGCAAGACATACAAACTTTTAATGATGATAAGGAAAATATACCACATGAACATATTATAAATAAAGAAAATATACCAAAAGAACATATTAAAAATGAAGAAAATCAGTTTAACATTTTTCCTGTACTCTCGAATTCAATATCACCAATAGAAAATCAAAAAACATCACCAAAAAAGTTCAAAAAAATACAATCATTATTAACGAATCCGGTAAACTGTCTCCAGAATACTGACCTAATTGTTCAAAATAAGGTAGTGAATTTTATGTTTTGAATTAATCATGAACTAAATTGTCTAAAGAATGAATCTATTTTACCGATTTATATTTCAAAATCATCACTTTTTGAAAATTTGCAAAAAAATATAGAAACGAATTCCCCTAAGGACCCTTCTATTAAGAATTATGATGCATGTCGTTTGCCGTCAATATTAAAACCTGAAAAGAAAAATTTAGTAGATGTAAATGATAATGTTTTACCTCAAACAAATTCTCCTAACTCAAAAACTAATTTATCATCATCACATAATGGTTCTTCGAAATCTAAATCTATTACTTATGTATGTATATATCCCTTAATATTGTTTCTAATTTTTATAGGTAAATTCAAAACCTTACAATCGACTAGATCTTATAGGAAGGGGTGGAACTAGTAAAGTGTTTAGAGTAATGGACCAAAATCATAAAATGTTTGCTCTTAAAAAAGTTCATTTTGATAAAGCAGATAAAAGTGCTATTGTTAATTTTAAAGACGAAATTGAACTTCTAAAAAAACTTTCAGGACATGAAAGAATTATTAAATTATATGATTCCGAAATTAATGATACAAAAGGTTATTTAATGATGGTACAAATATAAACTTTAAGATTTTCATAATTATATATAATAATTTATAGATATTGGAAATCGGAGAAATCGATTTATCACATTTACTTGCAAAACAGCATCAGAGACCATTAGATATAAACTTTGTCCGGTTATATTGGGATCAAATGCTTCAAGCTGTTCAAGCTGTTCATGATCAAAAAATCGTTCATTCTGACTTGAAACCTGCCAATTTCTTGCTTGTTGAAGGTTCTCTTAAACTAATAGATTTTGGTATTGCCAAAGCAATTGGAAATGATACTACAAACATTCATCGTGATTCACAAATTGGAACTATTAATTATATGTCTCCAGAAGCATTATCTGAAGCACATTCTAATACTCCAGGTGAACAAAAAGTTATGAAACTAGGTAGAGCAAGTGATATTTGGAGTCTAGGATGCATATTATATCAAATGGTATATGGTAAAACACCTTTTGCTCATCTAACAATGTTCCAAAAAATCAAAGCAATACCCGATCCTAGGCATCCTATCAATTTTCCAACTATGGCTTTTCCTATTACACATACTGGACAAACTCAACCTGATGGCGTTAAAGTTAATAAAAATTTAATAAAAGTTATGAAAGGTTGTCTCGAAAGAGATCAAACAAAAAGAAAAACAATACCAGAATTATTGCAAGATCAATTTTTACGACCTGAAAAACATTTCCAAAATTCAAAACCAACCGTCAGGCTAACATTAGAACAAATGATGCAATTAGTCGAACAAATCGTAGATGCTGTAAAGTCTCAAAAACATACTTTGGAACAATTAAAAGCTGCTACTAATGTAAACTTCTTTTTTATTTTATTATTATCTTTTTTGTCTAAAATTATATTATAGGACTCATTTACGAGATTATTAGAAATGCAACAAGATTAACAAAAAATTCTATTAACCATATTTAAAAATATTTAACTTTTAACCATTTATCTTTCATCTATAGCAATTTCAAAACTCATCAATTCATATTAACACTAATTTATCATTGGGTTTACAAAAATGTCATTTATGTCCTTTTTTTTATTTCATTATCAATTCCTTTACTTTGCACTATTATACTCCTTCCTATTTATGTAATATCATGTATTTTAATTTCAAAAATCCTAATATTAATTAATTCTTGTCTTTTTTCTTCTCATTATTTATTTCCCTTAATATTGTATAATCTTGCTTACTTTTCACAACTTTTATACGTCTTTGTCTACGTTTTTTTTTTATAAAATATGACATAGGCGCCTTCGTCTTTTCTAAAACTCTCGCTCTACATGTATAACGCTTCTCATCTATATACGGTTCTCCTTTTAACGTATAATTTCTTGATCCTAGCTTAGATACACAATTTAATCTAATTATGTCTCCAACATTAACATCACGCAATTTCTGAGGAATCCTAATAAGATCCCCTTCCGTAACAATAAATGATTGATTATAAATATGTATTACTGCATAAAATAACCTTTCAAACATAAATTTTTCAATTGCTCTAACATTTGATTTAATAGATCCAACCGGACCTTTAATGTCCCGTTGAAAACATATATATCTACTCATTAACAATGGTATTAACTTGTTATTCATTATTTTAGTCATAAAACAACATTTTCCCTCTAAATATATCATCATAAAAAATTGACTTTTATTTCTTTATATCTCTACCAAAAATAGGCCTAAAAACACCGTTTTTTAACCAAAATATATTAAAATATCTTTCTGCTTTTAAAAAAATACTTGTTTTATTCATAAAATCCCTTTTTTCCCTTCAATTTACACCTTTTTTATTTTCTACTTATCTATCTTGATTTATCTGACGTCTTTCTTCGATAAATCTTAACCTCAATTATTAACAAATTATTAACTTTATTAGAAATTTCTTAACAAATTCTTAAGAAATTCTTAAAATTTCTTAAAAATGGTTAATTTTCTTAACTTTTTTCTTAACTTTTATTAACTTTTAATAGCCACAAGGTGATTATATTAAGAATCATGTTAAGAAAAGAGGACGCCGTCTTGACTTTGAAGAAAAGAAGTAAACTTATTTTATTAAGGGAGTTAAGAAGGATTAAACCATGTTAGACGTAAGAGAGAGGCTCATATTGCTCATAAAAGGGCAGAATATGCAAGAAAATTGAGAGGTATTAAGGCTAAAATATATAATAAAGAACGAAGAGAAGAGAATATACGAATCAAAAGATTGTAAGAATAAGAGGGTTATTAAAGGGATTATTAATGGAATTATGAGCAGAATAAGAGCTCATGAAGAGAAAAAAGTTAATAGAGGGGTCGGAGAAGGGATTCCAGAAGGAGCGGTGCCAACCTATTTATTAGAACGTGGAGAAGAGAAACAGGCTAAAATGCTTTGTAATATGGTTAAACAAAAAAGAAAGGATAAGAAGGAAAGATATAGTGTTCCTCTTCCAAGAGTTCGTGGGATTTCAGAAGAAGAAGTATTTAAAGTGATTAAGAGTGGAAAAAGTAAGAGGAAATTGTGGAAACGAATGATTACGAAAGCGACGTTTGTAGGGGAGGGATTTACGAGAAAGCCGGTTAAATATGAGGTAAGAAAGGATAAGAATGGTATGGTAGTTTTTTTTTAATGATTTAAAAGAGATTTATAAGGTTTTTTTTTAATAAAAATGAAAAGTATCTAATTAACGAAGACCTATGGCACTTCGACAGAAAAAAGCGAATGTTACGCATCCAAAATTAGCAGTAACTATGCAATTTCCAATTCTAAGTGTTAAGAAAAATCCACAATCACCTATGTATACGCAATTAGGTGTTTTAACAAAAGGAACAGTAAGAAAAAAAAGAAAGAGAAGATATCTATGAATATTCTGATGCATAATAGATTATTGAGGTAAATGTGAGTGAAATGGGACTTGTAACACCAGGAGGAAAGGTTGTTTGGGGGAAGGTATTAATAAATAATTTTTATTAATTTTATAATATATATAGTATGCACAAATAACAAATAATCCAGAAAACGACGGTATATAATTCTTTTTAAGTATATATAATAACGAGTTTTAGGGTGTGTGAATGCAGTTTTACTTGTATAAATAATTTTAGATAAATATTTCTTGATGATTATTCATGATATATAATATTTATCAGAAAATTGGAATTTTCATCATTCATAAGGTAATTATATAATGGCTAATATTTTTAGAGATATTTTATTAATTCTAGTTGTATTCTTAGCTATCAGATCAATTATTAATTATTACGATCAAATTATTTTAGTTTTTCACAATCTGCACTTAACAACAACCATTAAGTTGAAATAAATATAAATATATTGCAGATATAAATAATCATTAGAAACAAACATTTTATACAATTTTCATAAAGGTTTTACAACATTTTATACATAATTCAGCACTTTAATTTTTTTGAATAATAAGAAATGAGGAAAAGCTTGGTTTTATGGATAATCATGCCTTTTATACATATCTATGGGTTTTCTGTCTATGATGACGTATATATTTCTAGTTAAAAAGGCCATTTTCATCAAGAATAGGTCTTAAGTCAACCACGCTATCAAATAAATTTTAAAGAAATGCCTATATCAAGAGATATAGTGAATGAACGTCTTTTTAATAGCAATAAAAAGCATAAAGATAATACAGAATATGAGATATTGAAGCTTAAGAATGATGAATATCTTTGTACAATTCCTAAAGTTGATGAAGGGTTAATAGAAGGAGAAGAAACAGAAGAAGAAAAAAATAAAAAAGAACAAGAGACAAATAAAGCATTAGAAAGGGGATTAAAGCTGCTATCTCCTATGGAGAATTCATGTATTTATTATGTAAGGGAAGATTTGAATATTTAAAGTATAAATAATTTAAAAATAGTTGGAAGGATGGTGGACATATGTATTTTGTTATAATAAGTATGCAAAACAGTTTCATCAGACAGAATGGGATGGTACACAAAGAGGTCTTCGTATGTTAGAGAATCAAAGTGAGAATTATTATTTTTTAGGAAAGTTAAATGAAACTACAAAAAAAAAAGAGCCGGAACTTTCATCTAAAATAGAATATAATGGAAATTCATATTATATTAGCCAAAGAATGCATGGGGGTACATATTGCAATCTTATTCAAGATAACCGTCATATTGAAATTCAGGTATTTTTTAAAGATAAAAGATTTATATTTAAATAATTTTTTAGTATATATGTGAATCTGATACTTATGATAAAATAGTGTTTATATCAGAAATTTCTACATGTTCATACAAAATGATTGTTCATACGTCAAAGTTATGCAAAGAGTCTTTTTTTAATCAAATAAGCAATAAAAACGTACATATTGTTAGCTGTGAAAAGATATTGAATAATAATGAATATGTCGAATTAATGAATATTTTATATCCAAAAACACCTAATAACTTACGTCTGGATATTTTCTTTTCTAATTTCAATATTAGACATATAACTAAACAAAAAAGAGTAAAAAATGAGAAAAATAAAAATATATTTAATCAATCAAATAAACATAGGAATAGAAAAAAGGTATCATCAGAAGAAAGAACCTCAAAAAAATAGATTCTTTAAATATCTATATAAACTCAAATTTATCAATTAACTATACAATAATATCCAAAAAATAGGCACAAAAAATATAGCTCAATCTATCATTTATAATTCTTAAATAATTTTGCAAGGATAAAGAGATTCTTAATCATTTTACTACATTTCTGTATATAAATTTTTATTTTTTTTTAATATATATATATTTATTTATTGACGCTAATAAATATTTAAAAATAAATACATTTAAGATTATATTTAATTGTTTCAATTCATTATTCTGTCTTAATAATTAATTTATTTATCTAATATTTATAGGATTCTTAAGCTCTTAGGAAAATTTTACAAGAATTATTTATATAAAACTAGACTTTTAATAAGATAAAATGAAGATGGATCAAAGGAATAATGAATATAATAGATATCTTTTAAATTCATATGAAGAAGCACGTTTTTTTAATGATTTTTGTTGTATTGATTCTCTTATTTATGAAGGACTATTTTATGGAAAAGAAGCAAAGGATGTATGTCTAGGCGTATATAAAACAACGTATTATATTGATTCTTTATAAGCAGGAAAATAACAATTGTCCTGTATTTTTTAAAAAATCAAATTCATCAAAAAATCAAGTACTTAAAAAAATATGTGAAAATAGTTCATATAAAAAAGAATTTGAACCAGATCTATGTCTAAAAGAAGCACAGGAAAGGGCTAATAGATGTCTATATTTTCAAGAATACTATACACTATATAAAGAGGCTCAAGATCTATATGAAGATATAACAGTTTGTAAAAGTACTGGAATTCCTAGATATAATTGTCTATATATCTGATTTCTGATACAGCAGATTTAGAGTCAATGGGAAAATTGAAAAATATATGTTCTTCTTTGTATAAATGTCTTATACTTCGTAATCAGTATATTAAGTTCTCACTTCAACGTCATATTGATAACCCAAGACATGAAAAAGTATGGGACATATATCCTAAGGATAATGAAGAATTTGAGATTGAAAAATGTTTAATTCCGGGTGAAGATAATCAAATAAAGTATAGATATGAAAGCTCAGGAATTTTTCAAACATATTCATCTCAAAATGGTATAATTATTAAGAAGAATTAGGTTTAAAACGTTTAACTATTTAATTTAGATATGGATATTGGTAATTCATTATTAAATGTTGCAACAATATCTGAATTCTATGAAAATTTTAAGGAAATTTGTGATGTAATAAATGATGAATCAATTAAGGAATTTTCTTCTAAAAGGTTAAAATACTTAGAAGATAAATGGGAAGAATATATAACATCTCATGAGAAAGACGAAATCATAAGAATCAAAGTATTTTTTTTTTCTTTTTAAAAATACTAATATATAAAAGCAAATTCCTCTTAAAGACTTTTATAATATTAGAAAAGTTGATACACATATTCATCATGATGCATCTGTTAGCAATATTTTTATATAAATAAGTATAATACTTATATTAATAGGCTACTAAAAAACATTTGTTGGGATTTATCAAAAGAAAATTGAGAGATTCTCCAAATGTATAATCCTATAATTCTTTAGATATTATATTTAACTTTTTTTGGTAGGATATTGTGTTATATCAGGATGGAAAATATCATACATTAAAAGATATATTCGATTCTTTTAATTTAACTGAATATGATCTTACAATTGATACTCTTGACATGCATGTAAGTTTATGTTGGAATTATATAATGGATCTTTAATTTTCGAAGGCTTATAAGGATACATTTCAACATTTTGAAGTATTTAATTCAAGATTTAGTCCATTTGGAAAACCTATATTTAGAACTATTTTCTTAAGCACAGATAATTATATGAAAGGAAAATATTTTGCAGAATTGACACATGGTATTTACCTGTTATTTACTAATTATTATATATTTATTTTGTATAGAGCTTATTAACAAATTAGAAGATGATAAATATAAAATGGCAGAATATAGACTTACTATTTTTGGGATGTTCGTTTTATAATTGCTTTATATAAAGTTAATTGTAAGTAGATCATTAGATGAATGGGATAAATTAGCATCATGGGTTATTGATAACAATTTGTTTTCACTAAATGTTCGCTGGATAATACAAGTTCCTAGAATTTATAATATTTTTAAAAAGAATGGGACTCTCAATAACATGGAGGAACTTATAAAAAGTAGGTGGTTAAATTCAATTTATAATACTTATATTTTAATAGATTTTTTTCAACCACTTTTTGAAATAACCTTTGATCCATCTAAAAATCCTAAACTTCATATTTTTTTACAGAGAGTTGTCGGCTTTGATTCTGTAGATGATGAATCAAAACCTGAAATTGAAGTGGATTGTAAATTCTTAACTCCAACTTGGGATTATCCGGAAAATCCACCTTATCTTTATTGGCATTATTATACATATATGAATATGGCAGTTCTTAATCATTGGAGGAAGGAAAGAGGATTTAATACCTTTCTATTTAGGCCACATTCTGGAGAAGCAGGAAATATTAGCCATCTTGCATGTTCATTTTTAACAAGTTATTCTATTAATCATGGAATTTTACTAGAAAAAAATTACACAATACAATATTTATATTATTTAGCTCAAATTGGGATTTCTATGTCTCCAATATCAAATAATTTATTATTTTTAAGGTTTCATGAAAATCCATTTCCACTTTTTTTTAAAAGAGGATTAAATGTAACACTTTCTACAGATGATCCTGTTCAATTTCATTTTACAGAAGATCCACTCCTTGAAGAATATGCTGTAGCTTCTCAGGTATGTAATTTATATATATATATATATTATTTTATTTAACATTTAAGATTTGGAGTTTATCTGCTGTAGACATGTGTGAACTTGCACGAACTTCTGTTCTTCAGAGTGGCTTTGAATATAAGCTTAAAATGGAATGGTTTGGAGATGAATTTCAGGATGAAAATAAGACAAATGTACCTAAAATTCGTCTGGATTTTAGGAAAAAGACATACTTTTATGAATTATTTATATTAATTCGGAATATTGCTTTTGATTCAGAGAATTAATCATTTTTAATATAAAAACCCTTTAGCTTTATACATACTAGCAATCATATTATTATTATTTATAATACATAACCCCAAATGGGTAAATTATTTTATAGTTTTATAATTAAAAATTTAATAATATATCCTTTGCATAATTATATACAATATATCTGCCTTCTACCCTCCTAAAACATTCAAAACTGTCTAAGTATGTAATGTTAAATCATCTTTAAAAGTAACTCGACGGTTTTTTTTGCCATCTTTATTAAGAGATAACTCATCCTCAATACTATCCTCAATCTTCCGTTTTAGCCCTTTAAACTTACGTGTCTGAAGTTGATCAATATTCTGTTTTGCTAAATGAATTTGCCCAATTTTATCTCCCATTATATCAACATCAATATTCTTTTTGATTTTAGGCAAATGTTTTTTTGGCTTTTTCATAGCCTCCTTCATCATCTTCTCATTCGCCTCATGTGTTCTCCTAATAAGAAAGTCATAACGTGGTCCCATCTCCTCCAATTCTATTTTTGATCCTGATCCTTCTTCCTTCATATATTTAACCATATATAAACGAAAAAAAACAGGAGGAAAAGGATTTTCATCCGTAGGCTCTTCTGTTAGAAGACATACAGCATACTGAATGCCCTCAATATTTAATTGATCTGTTGTTTTTCCATGAAAAAAGTCAAGAAACATAGATTTACACAATTGATATTTTGGTGATGATTCAAATAATGATCCTACAAATAAAATCATTGGTCTTAGCCCAATAAAACACTTTTCATTCTTATATCATCAGTATTAACCCTTATTCCTCTGTAATCATAGAAAAACATACTTTAAACTCTATCATTGAAACTGCTGCTTCAATACGCAACTCAAGCATATCAAGAACCTGATAATCAAACATACGGACAAAGATTAACGTATTTTGACGCCTTTTTCCACAACTTCCTACCACTAAAAAGCTTGCATCATTCTTTTCTGATAAAAAATTCAATGAACTTGTGTTTTCAAACGGATAAATCTGGTTTTTTCGAGAGAATTTAATTGCATTGGGCTTCTTTAACAAGTACTAAACATCATTGACTCAGTAAACTCTTTATATCTCTCTTTTCTTGTTATTTTCCTACCAAATCTAAAAGTGCTGTTTGAACCACCTTATTTGTTGATGATCCACGCAAAAAAAGAAATGTTCGTCCTGATTCTTCTATCTTAGGCTCCCGTTTCTCAATTTCCCGCTTTGATCTTGCATTTCTAGCTTTTCTATACACTCATCAATATACATCTCTATAAAACACCTATAAATCAACTTACACAGCTCTCAACATCTCAGCAAACCTTCAAATCTCTCAGAATTCGATAAGAAATTCTTAATCACACTGATAAAGGGTAGGTCTAACCCTATATCTGGGATTTAGATGAGTTTTTCTACTTGTTTTACAAATCCACCTCTTATCAACAGGTTTAAAGCCTTTTCTACAGAGTTATTTGTCAGGAAATATTGGCCAGTTATCTCAGCAGCAAGTTCTCCCCGCAAAAAAGCACAGATATTAGAGGGATTATCAAGTTCATTAGATAGTTCATGGGAAATACTGGAAAAAGGCATTAGAAATACAAGTCAAGTAAGGAATAGACTAGGAACAGATGAGAGGAAGGCTTAAGATGCTTAGGATTCTTTTTTTATTTCAAATACTAAGGAAATTAAGGGAAAAAAAGAAACAGCGATTGGTATTTTTGATGGGGTTGGAGGATGGCAGTCATTTAGTATTGATGTCAAACGTTTTTCATGGGGACTAAGTGACAGGATTGTAAAGATTTATGAAAATGAGGTATTGAGGGGAGATACTGTAGTGGATTCTCTTAGAAAAGGATTTAAAGAGGTTTTACTGGATAAAAATATAATTGGAGGGGGAACAACAGTCTGTTTAGGTCAATTTTACTATGATAAAGGCAATATAAGGGTTTTAAAGTAAGATATTATTATTATTAAGAAGGGGAGGTTTATATGAAGATCAGTCTTGGTGATTCTGGATATTCGATTTATCGCTATGGTAAACTTTTCTTTAAATCAAAGATACAGAGCCATTTCTTTAATGCTCCTTTTCAGCTTTCTAAAATTCCTTTAAATGATTTAGAGCATAATAGAAATGGTGAAAAAACATATATAAAAAACGAAATACATGATGCAGATATATATAATCATGATCTAAAACATGGTGATGTAATCCTATTTGCAACAGACGGGGTTTTAGATAATTTATTTTTTGAAAATATACAAACAATTATTACAGAAACACTTATTAATGCTGGAATTTGGTTAAAATCAGGCCAAAATATCTCTCCATATATTGGTGAGATTTCAAAAGATCAATTATTATTAGCTACACAAGTTTCCAAACATATTGTTACATTTGCAAAAAAAAATGCACAAAATACAAAAATTGATACTCCATTTTCAAATGAAGCTAGAAAACATCGTTTCTTTTATCAAGGAGGGTATAATTCCTCTTTATTTATTTATTTTATATATAATTAATTAACGAATAGAAAACCCGATGATATAACTGCTTTAGTTTTAATGGTATTCAGTACCTCATCTTTAACAATACCATTTCCAAGAACTCTATACTACATTTAACAAATAATTCTAAGATAATTTCTCTAACAAATTTTCAATATATATATGGACATCTGATCTAATACAATCTTATCTTATCTTATCTAAGATAAGATTGTTATATAAGACAACCTTCATAAAAATATTTTTAAATACAGGATTATATCTTGGCACTTTTGGCACTAGAAATTTAGTTATCTGAGATGGTATTTGTACTTTAATAAGGGATCAAAGAGATAGTTTTTGAAGATAAAAAATATATAAAAAGAAAAAGAAATTAAATAAAAACAAAGATTTAAATGGAACGACGAAAAGCAGAGATTGAAGAGAAGAGGAATAAGCTTGCAGCGTTTCGGCGTCATGTTCAGGAGCGTCGGGGGCAATTTGAGCTTTCAAAAGCATCAGATGATAAAATATTACAAGTTGTAAAGAAATTGAAATAGTATGAGAGGAAAAATTAATATGGTTATATCAGGAGAAGAAGAATAAGTTTTATAATAAGAAAGAAATTGATGAACTTGTGATACGTTTGATGGGAGAGACGAAAATCGAAAAGAAACAGGAATTGGAGGAAGAAGAGGCTTTAAAAGAGGAAAAAAAGGAAATTGAAGAGTAGAAACCAATAATATAAATGAGTTTCAATTATTGATGAATTTTTTTCAGAAAAAATAGAGTTGAAAATGTTTATACATTGTCAATGACACATCCTATACCTCTTTTTAATATACCGCCTTTACAGCAGGAAATGAAGCCTATAACATATAATAAAGAGATTCAGACGTCGTATGAGATGGATACCCGGGTGGAGAAAGAGATAGATATTGAAGCAGAAGTGGAAATTCGGTTAAAACAAGTATTGGATGAGAAAAATGAGAAAGAGGAAAGCAATAGAAGAGAAGAAGAGAGTATAGATATAAAAGTAGAAATTTTACAGGATGAAGAAAGGAATAATATATTTAATTCTAGTTCATTTCAAAATTTTATAGAAAAATCATCAAAAATAATTGAAAGAGTTTTAGATGAAGAATATCAACCAACAATAGATTATTCAGAAGATTATTCATTAAATAAGGAGAATTATACAGAAAAAAAGATTAAAGAAGTGATACAATTTCAATGTGAAAAATGGACATCTAAAAAAGTGATAACAGATTTAGACTGGAGCAATTATTTTAAAGAATTATCATTAGCTAGTTATTCAAGAAATAAGGGTATTTTTTCGAATTCTGATGGACATGTTATGATATGGAATTTACATCTACATGATAGACCTGAATATATCTTTAATTCCCAGGTTTAATATGATATCTTTAATTATCAAATATAATTATCTAACTCTGATCAAGAGCGATATTTTATCAGCAAAGTTTTCACTTTTTCATTCTAATTTGATTATTGGCGGTTCTTATAATGGACAAATTCTTATATGGGATACAAGAGTAAATTCTCTTCCTGTTCTTACGACGCCTTTAGGATGTACAGGTCATTCGCATCCTGTCTATAGTGTAAAAATGGTTGGTACATCTAATGCAAACAATATTATCAGTATGAGTACAGATGGAATTGTTTGTGCATGGACAATTGATATGCTCACGCAACCACAAGAAATAATTGAATTAACAGCTCCATCATCTTTTAAATATGATGATATTTGTTCTAGATGTATAGAATTTCCAGAATCAGATCCTACAACCTTTCTTGTAGGCACTGATGAGGGAAATATGTATTTCGTTAATAGGTATAATCGAGCAGGTCTAAAAGCCGGTATTGATCCTAGGTCAATATACAAGGGTCATACGGCTCCGATAACATCTATCTCATTTCATCCTTCTAAAGGACCATTGGACTTTGGTAATCTTGTTTTGAGTTCAAGTTTAGATTGGAGTATTAAATTATGGAAAATAAAACCATCAACAGTTTTAAATACAAATCATTCAGACAAAGATTATAATTTGAATTCTAATATTCCAATTATGGAGTTCGATTGTGGTGAAATGATTTATGATATTAAATGGAGTCCTATTAGACCTGCTATATGGGCATCTGTAAATGGAGGGGGTTCTCTTGAAATTTGGAATTTAGATGCTAATACAGAGGTAAAAATAAAAAAAAAAAATCCCTGATTCTCTAAAAGAATTTAGATGCCAGTTGCACAAATCTTTCCATCTACAACATCTTCTACTAATAAAGCATTAAATAAATTATCTTGGGAAAATTATGAAGGGAAAAGAATTGCAATTGGAGGATTAGATGGCGTTGTTTCTATTATTGATATTGGCGATTTTGGAGGAACAGAATTTAAACAAGAAGAATGGATAAAAATGAAAAAATTTATCGATAAAAATAATAATCATGATAGAACAGAGTCAGAAATCAATGAAATTCAACCTCTATAAACTACTTGATTTTAATTATACACATTTTATCTTATATTTTCAAAATTAAATCATATAAAATAAATCTATATATTTGACATATTTAAAATATTTATTTTAAAACATACATTTTCATCATTCTATAATCTTTGGAAAACAATTAAAAGTAATAATTTGTTTATATTATAGAAGAAATATTTTAAAAATTATAAAAAATATTAATTTTATTTATAATGCTTTAAGTAAGCATAATCCTGCAAATTTGTGTTAGAAAATATTCATGGATCCTAAAATTAAAATACCCAGTTGGAAGACCACTTCCTTTTATATAGTTCATCAGAAGTTAATCCTGGTTTGCCATATGTAAGTGGAGAAAAATAAATAAAACATCCTAAAAGAAAACATGTTAATATCGTAAACATAATATTAGCCTTTTTTTGCATATTAACTACTTTCTCTTTTCCTATATTTTCTTTATCTTTATTTTTTTTTAAAAAATAGGAAGAAAGCAATGATTTACTATTTTTTTCAAACAATAATTGGAATAGAGATCCAGATAAAAGTGCAGAACAGATATGCGCAGGAAGATAATGATGTAAAAAGAGTTGCCGACCCATTAAATAAAATGGAAGATAATGTAATATCCAAGAGAAAAAGAAAAATGTGGTATAATTATAGAATAATTCGCGAGCTATTTAACAATCAATGTTATATAATATTTTTAAAAATCTTACATTCTTTAATTAAGCTTAAACCTCTTCGCAATAAAATTTGATCTGAAATTATAATAATAACAAAAACAACAATAAATATAAATATAAACCACCATCCAAATGGGTTTCCCAATAAGTATATTTGTTGCGATTCAGATTCCTTAGTCCAAAAACTAATTCCCCTGTTTAATATTGGCCATTCCATAGGATATGATGAATAAGGATGAGATTTAGTTAACAAATTATTATGCCGAAACATAGACAATTGTAATTCTACATATTTTTTATGAAATGGAAGACTTCTAAGTGTATAATTTTTGATTTCACGGCCTAATATTAATTAAAAAAATAATTTATTATAAATAAACATACTAGTATCATTCATGTCAATAACTTCATCAATAAGCCAAACATTATTCTCTTGTTTTATATTTTTATTGCCATTAACCTCTTGTTGTTTAAAAGCCCAATCAGGTAAAGAATTTTTATTAGACCACATTGCTACACCTGTTAATTTATGAATTAATTTGAATCTTTTTCCTTTTGTTTTAAGAACAGAATTGTTTTTATCATGTTCACATTTAATTTGAAATACAGTTTCATTATAACGATTTTTCAATTCATTTGATATAGTGGTGAACTCTTGATTAGCTGGATTCCGAGGAGATGCCACATCATGAGTTAATAGATATGTATTTGTTGAAACATGTTTTAATCTAATATAATCATTGTTTAATACATGCTTTCCTAATGTTCTATTATTAAATAAATGATCTGGTTCAATAATCCAGTAATTATTTGTATCATTATAGATATATGCAGTTACTTGTTGACCTATATATTTTAAATCAAAATTAATATGTATATAATAACTAAACCTTGAGATGATACACGACCATCAGTATATCGTAAAGGATATCTAGCTGTATGTGAATGAAGAAAAGCATTTGTCTCTTTATGTTTTATAAGAATTTTATCATAATAATTAACCTCAATTGAGCTAGAAGAAAGAGTATTACCATCTAGAGTTTCTTGAAAAGATGGAGTCATAAATCTATCACCTGGCCCTGTCTTAGAAAGAACAGTAAAATGAATATAAAACCAAAGTAAATATAGAATAAATGGGAATATTATAAGAGATATAGCTCTGGCAATAAAATGTTTAGCAAAATAATTCTAGATATTTTTAAGAATTAAACAATAAATTTCACAATATTTACCAAAGTATATCCTTTACGAATATCTAAAAGGTCCCATAAATCTATAGCAACCATTGTACCAATAGTTATATATGTAAATAATCCAACATATTTTGTACTTAATATCTTAAAATTTTAAAATCAATAATTCTAAGGATTACCTAATTGTACATGATAAAGATAAACCAGTTAATAAAAGCCATTTCCACCAAACAAATGAAAATTCCAGATATCTTATATTGCAAAAACGAATATAACAATATAATGTAGACGTCATTAAAAATATTAAAATAGAATCTAACAAAATAAGTCTAGATTGAGTCACTTGAGCATTATCTATTACAAAAAAAACGTCAATTGCATTAATTATAAATAAATTTATAATTATATACCAAAAAGAACAAGAAATGCTGCTAATGTTGATGAAAGAAGGCTATGTCCTGAATGCATCATAATCAAAAACACCAATGGAACTACCATAGCCCCAAAAAATGCTGGAACAAAGCGAATATACATATAAGGAACACTATTCTTAATATATGAATCCCCAATACTTTCAAAAAAAAAATGGCCATCATATCCTTTTAAAAATCAATTTTTAATTAATATAATAACTAATTATAACCAATTAACCATCCAAAAAATGCAAATAAAAGCTTAGAAAATGGAGGATGCACATCAAAAAAGTATGTTCGCCTAAGATACTGTCCAGTTATTAAATATTATTAATTGTTATTAAATATTATTTATAAAAAACCATTGACATAAACTTTCCAAAATGAACCTCATCAAAACTACCAAATATAAGAATATTTAAACCGTAGAAATGTTCCTACACTACTTCTGAAGGATGATTAATGTTATAAAATCGTGTTAAAAGACTTAATATAATAATAATAATAAAGATAGATTTATATGTAAAAAACTTTTTATAAAATTTTTTCTAAAAAAACATAATTCAATAATTATTTAAAGAAATCTATTAAATACCTCTTTAATTTCATGTTTTTCCTCTTTTTCTTCAATTATTTGTCCTTTTTTTATACGGTTTCTAAGAAATGACTCCATAATTTTAATATTTTCTAATTATTTTTTAATATTTTTTATTAAAAAATTAATATTTTTTATTATTTCTTAACATTTCTTAATATTTTTAATAAAAAATTATTATCTTTTTTAAAATTTGTTAATATTTTTTAATAACCGAGTTAACTTTTTTAAAAATATTAAGAAATTTGTTAATATTTTCTTAACATCTCTTAATCATTGAATAAGATTGTTTAAAAAAGGTTAAAAATCCTTTAAGAAGATGATAAAATGGTTAAAAAGTATTTAAGAAAAAAAGAAATATTTATTAACATTATATAAAGCTTATTAATAATGGAATTGTGGTAGAAAGTCTTGGTAGAAACAAAGGAAGAAATAATTTGAATAATAAACCTTATATTTTGCGTAGGAAATGAAGGATCAAATGAATATAAAGGATATTCAGAGAAAGAACAAATTATTTTAGCAGAATTTGAGCGACGACAGAAGATAAAGAGTATTTATATACCTACAGATGATGGGAAAGTACGAGCCAAGCTTCGTGAGCTTGGTAAACCTATTACACTTTTTGGAGAGGGACCAGCAGACCGTAGAGATAGATTAAGAGAGTTATTAAGTAATTTTGATGGGACGGTAACATTTTCAGAAAAAGAAACAGAAGAAGAAGTATGAAACAAGAGTATTTTTATGTAAAAAGGTTGATTTTATAGATTGAAGAAGAGTTTTATACGAGTGGAACAGAAGAGCTTCTAATATGTAGAAGAAGGATTGCAGAATATTCGTTAAACAGGTATTTAGAAATAAATAAAATCAGGTATATAAGTTTATGTGAGAAAGAGCACGAACAAGAATAGCACGACAAAAGCTTGAATCTCGTATTCCTTTGATGAAAATTATTAATCATAGAAAGGCGATAAATAAGGAATTGAAGACATATATTTCATTGGGATCTCAAATATGTTCAGATAGACCAGTTGGAGTAGCTAGATTTTCGCCAAATTCGCAGTATATTGCATCAGGATCATGGTCAGGAACATGTAAACTTTATTCAGTTCCTGATCTAGAAGAAAAACATAAATTTCGTTATCATGCAGATAAAATTGGAGGTATATCATGGAGTCCTGAGGCTACTATTGGAGGTGTTTCAGAAGAAGCAGTAAATTTAATTACAGGAGGGAGTGAAGGTGATATTTGTTTATGGAATTTAAAAAGTGAAACCCCGATATCTGTTCTAAAGGGTCATGAAAATAGAGTTTGTAGAGTGGAATTTCATCCATCAGAAAAGTATATTGGAAGTGCATCGTTTGATGGTACATGGCGTTTATGGGATGTAGCAACGACTACAGAACTTCTACGGCAAGAAGGGCATTCTAGAGAGGTTTACGCTATTTCTTTTCAAAACGATGGAGCATTAGTATGTTCTGGGGGACTTGATGCTGTTGGAAGGGTATGGGATTTACGAACAGGTCGTACAATTATGAATTTAGATGGACATATTAAACCTATTCAATCCCTTGATTTCTCACCCAATGGTTACCAAATTGCATCAGGTTCAGCAGATGATACAATTAAAATTTGGGATGTTCGAAAAATAAAATGTATATCTACAATTCCTGCACATAAAAATTTGGTTTCTGATGTTAGATTTTTTAAAACTGCACGAGAAGAAGTATTAATTCAAAGTAAAGAATTAATTCCAACAACCTCCGGAATTTATCTTGTTTCAAGTGGCTATGATGGAAGAGTAAATGTAAGTTAAAAAAATACATATATATTTATTAATATCATTATAAGATATGGAGTTCTGATGATTGGGTTTTAATAAAAAGCTTAATTGGTCATTCGGATAAAGTAATGAGTGTAGATATTTCAAAAGGTATTTTTTTCTATTATATTAAAATATTTTTTAATAAATTTCAAGATAATCATTGGATCGTTTCTGCAGGTTGGGATCGTACAATAAAATTATGGGGAAGTGAAACTTCATAGAGTTATTATCTGGGAAAATTCGGAACATAATATATATCTTACATTTCTTTTAAACAACTATTGCTTATTATTTTTCAATATTAATGTAAATTTTCTTCTTCTAGTCTATTTAAATATGCTTCTAAATCAAAGTTTGGGTCATTTAAATCTACAATAATTAATTATAACTATTATTTAATTATATTAATTTTTTTGCCTAAACTATTCGCTTTTAATAAAGATGGTGCATAAAGTTTTGCATATTCTATTCGTGCTTTGTGTATAACATCTTCTTTACGTTTATATAGTTCTTGCTGTTCTTTTTTTTTCTTTTTTACTGCTAATGTATTACGATGTGTATATCCATATCCTATACCTGCTACAAAGGCTGACCATTTAAAAACCTATTCCCTTATAAATATTGAATTTAAATATAATAAATCTATGTTGAATTTAATATTTTCTTACATTTTGTATAACAGGTTCCATATTTTAGTTTGAACGTCAACCCTCCTAAGCGCACATAAACGTAAAAAAAAATATATATATATAGAATAGGTTTTTTTAAAACGAATATATGTTTGAAAAGATGAAATATTATTTGAATTATTGGAATTGAAGATATTGAGATGTAGAGCTGAATTTTTGATTGCCTTTGATTACCTATAAATGAAATATTAGAATAATTTTAATAATATAAAAAATACTTTGTTAACAGATTCAAGAAAATCTTTTTCTGTAACTACTTTTCGACGAGCTCTAATAGCAAACATTCCTGCTTCTGTACAAACAGAACGTAATTCAGCACCTATATAATTTTATTTATATAACCTAAAATTATTAATATATATATTACCTGTTGTATTAGGACATAAACGAGAAATAAGTTCCCATCGAATATCTCTATCCACAGACATTCTATTCTTGTCAAGAAAAGTTATGTAAAAAAAATATTGCTTACGTTCGTGTATGTATTTTTAAAATATTTGTACGTCCTTCTAAATCTGGTAAATTAAATTCAACCTTTCTATCAATTCTTCCTGGTCGTAAAAGAGCAGGATCTAATGTATCTGGTCGATTGGTTGCAAACATGACTTTGATATTACCACGAGGATCAAATCCATCCAATTGAGTAATTAATTCAAGCATTGTCCGTTGAACTTCATTATCTCCACCCGCTCCATCATCAAAACGAGTACCTCCAATGGCATCCACTTCATCAAAAAAAATGATACATGCTCTTTTAGCTCTCGCCATTTCAAAAAGTTCACGAACCATTCGTGCACCTTCTCCTACATATTTTTGAACTAATTCTGATCCAATTACACGAATAAATGTAGCATCCGTTCTATTTGCTACAGCCCGTGCACAAAGTGTTTTTCCTGTTCCAGGTGGTCCATAAAGCATAATACCTTTCGGTGGATCAATTCCAAGATTTACAAAGCGTTCCGGCTATTTATAATTAAAAAATATTCAATATTACCATCATATCATACTAAAAGAAGAGGAAGTTCAACCACTTCTCTCAATTTTTCTATTTGTTCTTTACATCCACCAATATCATTATATGTTACATCTGGCTTATCTTCTACTTGCATCATTGTAACCGATGGATCAATTTTAGGCGGTAATGGAAGTTGTATAGCATATTTTTGTCTCTCAACCCTATTTATGAATAAATATACAATAATTATCCCTCTATTCTTTTTTTTTTTATACCCCACTCGCATCCCTTCTTCAATATCCGTAGGACTCACCCTGTCTCCAAGTTTAACAACAAATTTTGCAATCTGTTTCACATTTATAACATATTTATTCTCTTCAAGATCTTCTTTATTCTGAATAATCTTTGTACATCTTGCTACTTGTAAAGGCTGTTCTTCTGACATACGTTGTCTATCCTTCGCAAGATCCCAAAAACGTCGGTCAAGAACACCCGTTTCTGCTTCTTTAACTCCGAGAACCTCATTAACCTTCTTCTGAAGCTCCTTAATGTCCGCATCAATCTTACATAAAAGATCATGATATGGTCCTGTTCCCTACATATTATACCCATTAATTCCCCCTTTTTTCTCCAAAAAAAAACTTAATTACATATGTCTTAAGTAAAAGAATATCTCCATCATCTAACGGCACTATTTTCTCCTCTTCTTTATCCTCATCTACCACCCTAAAATTTTTATTAATATTTATTCATTATTCACTCATTTTGGCTCGTTTTTTTTCCTGAAAAAAACCTTACTTACTTTTTATATTCCTCCCAATTCTCTTTTCCCATTTTTTTTATCAATTTCTTAACGTTTTATCCCTTTTTTCTTATTTCTTATTTTTTAATTAATTTATTACGTCTTACGATTAACATATAAACCTTAAAAATTTTAATAAATAAGCTTGATTTCTTTAAAATCTTAAGAAAATCTTAAGAAAAATCTTGAAATCTTAAGAAAAATCTTGAAATCTTAAGAAAGTCTTAAAAAAATCTTAAAAAGTCTTAAGAAAGTCTTAAAAAGTCTTAAGAAAGTCTTAAGAAAATCTTAAAAATGGTAGATTCAAAGCTTACAAAGCAGTTTCAAGATAAAGAAAAGTCTAATTCAGTAAGATTATCTAATATAACAGCAGCTAAAGGTAAATAAACTATTATTAAGAAGAGATTAACTGTTTTATAGCAGTTGCAGATACCATTCGTACATCTCTAGGCCCTAAAGGCATGGATAAGATGATACAAACAAGTAAAGGAGATGTAATATTGACTAATGACGGAGCTACTATTTTAAAACATTTGTCAGTTGTACATCCAGCAGCAAAAATGGTAAATATATATGTTTTATTAGTGATATTATGAAGGAAGATATTGAGGAAGAATATAATAGTTAGTGGATGTGTCATTTTCTCAAGATATTGAGGCAGGAGATGGTACAACAACGGTAGTAGTTATTACGGGAAGTCTTTTGAGTGCAGCAGAAAAATTATTAGCAAAAGGTATAATTTATAAGGAAATTAAGATGGTAAGTTAAAAATAAGGAAGGGATTCATCCTACGATTATTGCGGAATCGTTTCAGAGAGCGGCGACTCATGCAGTGAATGCACTTGAAACATGTTCGAAAGAAATTGATCTTTCGGATAGAAATACGCTTATTAGAGTAGCTAGTACGTCGCTTAATTCAAAGGTAAAAGATAGATAAATATTATATAAGTCTTATGGAAAAAGATTGTATCACAATATTCAGTGTTATTGGCACCTATAGCAGTCGATGCAATTACGAAAGTGATTAGTTCTTTTTCGGCAAATAATGTAGATATATCAGATATTCGAATTGTTAAAAAGGTAGGAGGTACAATTGACGATACGGAGCTTGTGGATGGGCTTGTATTATCACAATCAGTAATTAAAACGACAGGTGGGCCTACACGAATGGAGAAAGCAAAGATAGGATTGATACAATTTCAATTATCTCCGCCAAAACCAGATGTTTGATACACTTTTTTATTGTATTGTTTGTAAACTGACTTTTTAAAGTTGGAAAATCAAATTGTTGTTAATGATTATCGTCAAATGGATAAAATTTTAAAAGAAGAGAGACAATATATACTTAATATTTGTAAAAAAATTAAAAAAACGGGGTGTAATGTATTACTTATACAGAAATCGATTTTAAGAGATGCTGTTAATGATCTTTCTCTTCATTTTTTATCAAAACTAAAAATTCTTGTTGTTAAAGATATTGAACGTGATGAAATAGAATTTATTTGTAAGGTATTAATAATTTTTTTAATATATTTTTAGTAATAATTAATAGAGTACTGGTTGTAAACCTATTGCAGATATCGATTCATTCACAGAAGATAAACTTGGAAGTGCTGATCTTGTGGAAGAAGTTCAATCGTATGGTGAACATATTGTAAAAATCATAGGAGTAAAAGGATCTGTAAAAACTGTTTCTATATTATGTCGTGGTGCAAATCGACTTGTTTTAGAAGAAGCAGAACGTTCTCTTCATGATGCTCTTTGTGTTATTCGATGTTTAGTTAAGAAAAGGTTAATATTTATTTTTTATTTGATACATAATTAATTATTATAGAGCGCTTATTGCAGGAGGAGGAGCACCTGAAATTGAAGCATCACAACATTTAATGAAGCTTGCTAGAACGTTAAGTGGAACAGAAGCCTTTTGTTTTCAGGCTTTTGCAGAAGCTTTAGAAGTAATTCCAATCACCCTTGCTGAAAATGCTGGGTTGGATAGTATTAAAATAGTTACAGAATTAAGAAATAGACATGAAAAAGGTGAAACAACAGCTGGAATTAATGTTCGAAAGGTTTTTTTTTCTTTAATAAAATTTCTATTACTTATTTTTTAGGGAATGGTTACAAATATTCTTGAAGAAAATATTTTTCAGCCTTTATTAGTAAGTACATCTGCTTTAGAATTATCAGCAGAAACTTGCAAAATGATATTAAAGGTTAGTTAGTTTGATACATATATATCTTTTACTAATTGTTTAGGTTGATGATCTAACCTTTAGTCGTTAAGACTATATTTTAATTAATATATTATTATTTTTTGAAATACACAAAGTTATATAATTAAAAAATAAATAAATTCTCTTAAAAACTATTATTTAATACTTTGATTTTAATTTTCTTTAGCTATTTAGCATTGGTTAAAGACATGATAAGAATAATTTATACACATTATTAAACTATATCAACGATTAGACCCGTTTAAAATGAAAATCATGATTTCTAGCCCTTTAAAACGCCTAAATATTCTTTAGAGTCATGATAAAATGAATTTCTATATAAAAAATGCCTATAAAGCCTATAGAACTATTCATTACATCAACTTACAATCTATAGCTCAATATAAAGCACGAGTATTCTCAAGTTTGACAGAAACGAATAAGAAATGCGAGAATTGCTTGAAAAATAGCAATTCTTGGGATCTTATATGTTCTTCATGTTTATTTCTTATGAAATTACCTTCTTCTATTCATTTTTATAAATTTTTCCCCAAATCTCTTAAAGAACCACCTCCAGAAGGTGACTTTCATATTGATACAAAAGAATTACATAAAGAATATCTAGAAATTCAAAAAAAAGTACATCCAGATATTCATGCAAAGAATGGAGACGTAATATAACTTTTTTTTAATATTTTTTAAAAACTTAATATTAAAAGCAGCAAAGAATGCTCGCTGAATCTATAACATCAACACTAAATACAGCTTATTCAACACTTGTGGATCCTGTATCTCGTGCACATTATTTACTTTCTTTTTACAATATTTCTATCTTAAATGAGGACAAAACTAATCAAGATACTACATTTTTTTCAAAAATTATGGAATTGAATGAAGAAATAGAGAATTTAGAAACTCAAAATGATATACAATCTATAGAAAAGAGAATCAATGGGGAAATTCAAAAAGAAATTATGGAAATAAGATCTGGATTTAAAATATTGGATTTTGAAATTATTAAACAAGCAACTATACGGTTTACCAATTTCTTTTTTTATATTTTTTTAAATTTTTTAGACTTAAATACTGGAATAATATTAAACATACATTGTATCAAAAGAATTCTTTATAGTTTTCTTTTATAAATGACTCTTAAATATTTTTAATATTCTTTTAAATATTCTTTTTTACATAAATTTATACAAAGGTAACAAATATATTCTTTTTATTGACTCTGATATAGATGTTTTATAAAGATTTCATAGTCAAATATAATTACAAATATAAATTAGATAACCTGCTAAAGGCCACCTTGTCGAGACCTCAGCCAACCTCAAAATAAAATTGGATAAATATTTAAACACAAAACCTACTTAAATGTTGAACAAACTATCTTATTTGAATACATTTCTTCTAAGGGTAAGCTATTTTTAACATTAAATCTACTTTATTAATTTTTGATTTAAATAAAAATCTAATTTTTTTAGAAAGATCATTTTAAAACAAGAATAAGGAAGATACATCTATCTAAACCTGTTTTTAAGATGGTTTCTAACCAGGTTTTTTAATCTGCTATATCTTTTTTTTTATTAAAAAAGATAGACAATATCTGCTAAACAAGCAGAGGGATTTATGGGCTCTAAATATTCAATTGTTGATCATGAATATGATGTAGTAGTAGTTGGTTCTGGAGGAGCAGGTTTAAGAGCAGCATTTGGTCTTTCAGAGGCAGGATATAATACAGCTTGTATTACTAAGCTTTTTCCTACAAGATCCCATACAGTTGCAGCTCAAGGAGGAATTAATGCAGCACTTGGAAATATGACAGAAGATGATTGGAGATGGCATATGGTTTATTAGAATAAGTTATATAAGGGGTAATTGATATTTTTAGTATGATACAGTGAAAGGATCAGATTGGCTTGGAGATCAAGATGCAATTCATTATATGTGCCGTGAGGCACCTCGTTCAGTGATAGAACTTGAGCATTTTGGAGTACCTTTTTCAAGGACTAAAGAAGGGAAAATTTATCAACGAGCTTTTGGTGGACAATCTTTAAATTTTGGAAAGGGTGGACAAGCATATCGCTGTGCAGCTGTTGCAGATCGTACTGGACATGCTATTCTTCATGCACTTTATGGGCAAAGTTTAAAACATAATACTAATTTTTTCATAGAGTTTAATCATATTTTTTAAATATATTATTTTCTAAATTAGAATTAGATATTTTGCTCTTGATTTGCTCATGGAAGGAGATACATGTGTTGGTGTAATTGCTTTGAGCATGGAAGATGGAACAATACATCGATTTCATTCTCATAAAACTATTTTAGCAACTGGTGGTTATGGAAGGGCATATTTTTCATGTACGTCTGCACATACATGTACAGGTGATGGCAATGCTATGGTACAACGTGCAGGATTGCCTTTATCAGATCTTGAAATGGTTCAATTCCATCCAACAGGGATTTATGGTGTTGGTTGTTTAATTACAGAAGGTTCTAGAGGAGAGGGAGGTTATCTCTTGAATTCTAAAGGAGAACGTTTTATGGAACGGTATGCACCTACTGCAAAAGATCTTGCATCTAGGGATGTTGTTTCAAGATCAATTACTATAGAAATTCGTGAGGGAAGAGGAACAGGTCCTTTAAAAGATCATGTTCATTTGCAACTTTCCCATATACCTGAAGATATATTACGTGAAAGGCTTCCTGGAATAAGTGAGACAGCATCAATTTTCTGTGGGGTAGATGTTACTAAAGATCCAATTCCTGTTTTACCTACAGTACATTATAATATGGGTGGAATAGTAAGATTTGGCTTTTTTTTTTACATTATTAATTATTTCTAGCCTACAAAATTCACAGGAGAAGTAATTACATTGGATAATGAAGGAAATGAAAAGGTTGTACCAGGGCTTTATGCCGCTGGTGAAGCAGCATGTGTTTCAGTACATGGAGCAAATCGTTTAGGTGCAAATTCATTACTGGATATAATTGTATTTGGTCGAGCATGTGCTAATCATATAAAAGAAACACTTGAGCCTAGAACTTCATGTAAACCTCTTTCAAATGATGCTGGTCTTGCTTCTATTCAAAATCTTGATAAACTAAGAAATGCCAATGGATCAATTCCTACTGCTAATATTCGTTTAAACATGCAAAGAGTTATGCAAACAGATGTTTCTGTTTTTAGAACTGAAGAATCTCTACAAAAAGGTGTAGAAAATATAATGAAAGTTGATGAAAGCTTTAATGATATTAAAACAACTGTACGTAATATAGAATATCCTCATTTTCTTCATAACACTTTTTATAGGATAGAGGTTTGATATGGAACACCGATTTAATAGAAACACTTGAATTGCAGAATCTTCTAACTAACGCTTGTCAAACAGCACATTCTGCATTAGCAAGAAAAGAATCTAGAGGTGCACATGCACGAGAAGACTATAAAGAGTCTGTATTTTTATATAAATCAATTTATTTTTAATATTTTATTAGAAGAGATGATAAAAACTGGATGAAACATACACTAAGTTGGCAAGATCCTGTTACAAGAAAAGTTACTTTAAGATATAGACCTGTTAAATCTAATACTTTAGATGAAAATGAATGCAAATCAGGTTTATTTATATATTTATTATTATAAACTAATATATACATATAGTTCCTCCTTCAAAAAGAGTTTACTAGGACAAAACTATCTTCAGTTCTAATTTCTTGCTGTTTTTATTATCTAATTATGCTTTATTATAAATTTTTTTACATTTATTTAACCTCAAAAAAAAAAAAATCAAAAAACCTTCTTATAATTATGTTTAATCCAGAAAAAATATTGTCAGATCTTAGGAAAATGATTCCTCCACTCTTAGATTCTTTTCATAAGGGTCAGGCAGGTAGAATTGCTATTATTGGAGGCTCAGAGAAGTTTTATAGAAATTTTTTAAGAAATTAACTAATATTTAGCAGTTATACTGGCGCTCCTTTCTTCTCCTGTATGTCTTCTATGGTGATTTAATATATATTATCTTTAAAATATGTCTTATGGGCTTTATATAGCTTTTTGGAGCAGATCTTGGATATATAATATGTGAACCAGGAGCAGGAAAAGTAATTAAGACATATTCACCGGATTTAATTGTTTATCCTTTAATGAGACTCTCTACCCGTGCTCTAGATACAGTTTCTAGCATGATAGTATCAAATATTTCTCAGTTATTAGACCGTTTACATGTTATTGTTGTTGGACCAGGTCTTGGAAGAGATCCCTTAATGTTAGATACAGCATCAGGGATAATTTTAGAAGCTAGAAGACGTAGAATTCCTATAGTAGTTGATGCAGTATGTTAATAGGCTTTATGAGGGCAAAATTGATGAAAAAAAGGATGGTTTATATTGTATACAAGATAAACCAGAAATTATTATGGGGTTTTTACATTTATGATATCTATATATTATTTTCTGAATGTAAGAAGATATAAGGATTGTGTTTTAACACCAAATGTTGCAGAATTTTCACGACTTTGTCATAAATTTCATATAGATGAGAATAGTTCATGTGAAAATCTTGCTAATAGTCTTGGTGGGGTTACTATATTGAAAAAAGGGAAGATAGACGATATTTCTAATGGTTTAATGACACTTAATGTCAATGTAAATGGTAGTCTTAGACGCTGTGGAGGTCAGGGAGATGTTCTTGTAGGTATACTTTCAACATTATTAGCATGGAGAAGGGCATATTTGGAAAATTTATGGGAGTATGATAGTAATGAAGCTAAAATTTGTATTTATAATACTAGTCATGATAAATCACTTAATAAGGATGAATTATTGATGATAGCATCATATGGAGCGGCATTTGCAACACGTTATTGTTCTTATCTTGCGTTCAAACGAAAAAAAAGAGCAATGAGGGCTACTGATTTGATGGATGCTATAGGAGAAGTATATGAATTATTATCTGAAGGGTAAAGTTTATAAAAATATAATATTTTTTAATTTTTTTTAGTGATATATCTAATATTTAAGATGTATACTTGTAATATTATTTAAAAAATTAAAATTATATAGTTATTTGTATAGTTATTTTATAAATACGTATGAAAATAAAAACTATTATATATTTTAAAAAATTATAGTTTTAATTATTATTCATGAACAATTAAAATATCTTTTAAACTATGGTAAATAATTATGATTATAATTTTTGAAATTTTAAATAAAAAAATATCATAATAAATTGTACCAAATGGTATATAAGATTTGTTCTAGTTATAAAACTGATACCTAAGTGAATTTTTGAAGAAATAACATATAAATATATTGTTTATATATAATTATGCTGAACTATTTTTTAATTTTCAAAATCATCATAGAGTAATTCAGAACTATTTGATAAAAGTGCAGAATAATCACTCCTAAAGAAAGAATCTCTTCTATTAAATCTATAAGAATAACCAGAAAATAATGAAATTATTTTAGTTATAATATAATCTGTAGCAGTTCGAATGGCAAAAAATACTGCTGCTATTTTATCCAGCAGCATTATAGGATACTGTATCAATCCAGACGGTCTTTCATCTTCTCCAAGTCTTATTTGTCTATAAAAATAAATATAAAAAATCAAGTAGATATAAAGAGGTTACCCTAAAAATCTGTCTTTATATAAGGTCCACATACAATAACTACTAAAAATAATCATAATAAAAGGCGAAATTATAACAAAATATAACCAAAAACCGTGCAAACCTTTTCCAAATTTCATAAATTCCTTTTCTTTTGAACATGAAATAGGTGTTGAATCTTTATCAAGTTCTTTGCCTCCTTGACATGTTGTAAGAGGAATTCTTCGATATCCAGTTGGTCTATGATATTCTTGAAGATTGTACTTTTTACATTCTTCTAAATAATTTAGAGGCTCAAGACCTTTTGCTAACAAACAGCTCCCATTAGATGCACGTTCATAATTATAATCACTAAAATTTTAACTAAAAAATCATTATTAACAACAATTATTACCATTCATAGTCTTGTGGCTGACATGTACAATTTTTTGAAATATAATTTTTAATATCAGTATTTCCTATAAAACAACGTCTTTCTGATTTTTTTCTATAATAAGTTTTTATAGTTCCAAAAAAACATGAATCTTCATTATTTGGGTATTTAAAACTCCATGTATCAAAATCATTTTTATCTTGAGAATCTTCGTCTAATTTACCTAAAGTTTATAAGAAAGAATTAAAAAGATATATAAACTTATGAAAAATTACATTTCCTATTAGTAAGCATAGTAAAATCAATATGTATAGCAGTCCATTTATTGCCATTGTTACTTCTAATAGAAAATAATACAAATTTTCGACTTGTATCTGAATAAACAGTTGTTATATCATATATTAAAATTGATTCTTTTTCCGGAAAATAAACAACATCCCATGTATCTCCCATATTTAAAGAGAAAAGAAAATGATCTGTATAGCTTCTATCTTTAGCTAACAATATTATAGAACCTTGATCACCAAATTTCCATAAATGAGGTCCTTTTTGAATCTCCCTCCATGTTACTCCTCCATCTGTTGTCATAAATGTATTACTATCTAAGTAATTATCCAAATATTCGCCAACATTCCCAATAGCAAAATCTAAACCAGGAATTGTAATTGAGGAAAATGTTTCATGAAAATCAATACGATCAATAATTCCATGAAGATTTAATGAACATTTTTCAAGCTAAGAAAAATTAATTACGAATTTACTATTTTTTTTAATTTACCTTTCCACTACAAAATTCATTTCCCTTTGAATCTTTTTTAGGAGGAGTTATATAAGACCATTCACTACCATCATTATATGTAATTACACTTTTAAGACGTTTCGATGAACCCTTAGAAACATCATCTGGATTCATTACAATATTAGATATTATAATTCCTTCTAATCCTTTGAATCTTTCAAAATCTATAAATCCATTATTATTACGTTCAACAAAATCCAACGATTTAACAAAATCGGTCCCATTAGAGTTAGACTTGAGTATATATCCCCATTTAGAAGCTTTATAGCTGTCTTTAATAACATGTAGAAATATAGATTTTGTAGAAGAATCAAGAATTGTAAATATTTGCCCTGAATAGTGAGAAGGAAAATTAGCAGTAGTAAAATTTAATCCATTTAATGATACAAATGGCTCGAGAGCCTTTAATTCAGAGTTGTACTATATAATTAGAATTAATAAAATCATTGTTATTTTATACTTCTCCTAAAATTATAAATTCATCAAATCTTGCATAATTAGTAATGGAATTGAATAAAACATTATAAGTATTAAAAAAGTCAGTTGAATAAACCAGTTTTACAGGATTTTCTAAAGATTTTTCAGAATCGTTTATATATAGTTCACAATATATCAAATTTTTATCTGCATTAAAATCTTTAGTTTTAATCCAAGAACATGAACGAGTATTAGATAATAAAAGACTCCATGAATTTCCTCCATCTAAAGAATAATATGATTCCGTTTTACATTCTTCCATAATTTTATTATCTATACATCCAGTATAGATAATCCAATCTTTATTATCTGGATGAAATTCAGGTTTAAATCCAATATGTGAATAAACTGGAAGTTGAATTTTCTCAATAGTTATACATCGATTTTTTGTTATCCAGGCCTTTTTATTCGTTCCAAAAAAATATACTTGCTCACTTGCGTAAACATTTTGATAGATAGAATGAATATTTTCATTTGCAAGAATTTGACTCCATTGGTTACCCTGGTCGTGTGAAACATGAACTTCCATTTGATCCGTTAAAACAATAATCGTCTATAATATTTATAAGAAATAAATATAATCAATATAAAATACCTCATCTATATCATTTTTATCATCAGGATCATCTTGATTTTTTTTAAGATAATGATAATTGATTAATTCTCCAGCAAAATCCGTTAATGTAATTTTAATTTTATCCAAATGAGCATCTATTTTTGCATTAAATATAAATAATTTTCTGTTTTAATTTTTATTACTTAATCTACATGAAATTTCGATTTTTTCATCTTTTACAATACCACGCTTGCTATCACAAGTATTTCCTGGAATTTTTCTATAGCCACTAGGTGCCATAAAGACATCATCCAGATTTTTGCATGAATTTGGAGGGATCTCATGTGAAGCTTGTTCCAAACATTTATTATCATATTCTATAAAATTATAATCACTAAAATTATAGTTAAATGATTTATATTTAAGCTCATTAAAAATACCATTCATAATCATCATTAGAACATGGACAATTTTCTTCAATGACCTGAAGTTCTGAATAACTTTGTTTAATAAAGCATTTTCTATCAATTTTTCTTCTCCAAAAATATTGTTTACGACCCATTGTACATTTTGAATCTAAAAATTATGAAAATAATAATACTAAATAGATATTTACCATTTTCAGCATGAGAGTACCATTTTTCTAAATCACTTCTTTCTAAATTATTTTTATCTAAAATGCATTCTCTAGTATAAATTTCACCAAGATCAATAGAAATAAGATTCATTGCGTTAGTAATACGATTTTTTTTCACTTCAGTTGCAATAAGCATAAACTTTCCTGTTCTAGAACTGGGAACTATCATTAATGATAATGGATGAACATGAAAATTTAAATTAATAGTCTCCCTGCATAATTAACTTTAAATTTTCAATTTTCCTAATATTTACCATGTTCTACCTCTATTAAAAGAATAATAAAAAGTATTAGTCTTTTCATCAGGAATTGCCGCAATTATACTTCCATGATCAGACCATTCATATATGTATGTTCCTTCCAGTGATAAAAACCATGTTTTACCTGCATCCTCAGATATATAAAGATTACATTCATTAAAAGGTTTTAAATATGGTCCAACTGAACCCATTCCAATAAGTATTCCAGGTGCATAGCTGGAAAATATTCTATCAAATTTATATTTGTCCGTAATAGAATGTAAATGAAGAGAACATGTTTTAAAGTCAAAAATATTACATTCAGAATCTATAGGAGGCTTAATAAAACTCCATGTATTACCATTATCATAAGATATTTTTGATTGAATTTTTTTATCAGCATTTTCATTCTTTTCTAATTCTTTCCAATTTTCTATAACATTTGCAAAAATAGCTCCATCAATAAAACGAATATCTTCAAAATCAACATATCCCATAACATTTCTATTTGTATGTTCCAAACTAGGCGTATAATATATACCGCTAATATCAGATTTAAAAGAAATTCCTCCAAGAAGAGGATATTCAGATGTCAAAATATCAACTTGAAGACTATATGTATTCGATTCCATAATAGTATATGAATTTTCTTTTAGTTTTTTTCGATGATAATATGGGAATTCAGCTCTATTCCATGTACTTCCATCCTTGGAAACAAACATTTCAAGCTCTGAATTATGCATTTTAATAACAGCTATAATAAAAGTTTTAACTATTCCTAATCCTTCTAAACTAACCAACGGTCTTTCATTAAAATTTACATAACTATATGTTGAAAACCAATCTTCTGACTTAATTAAATATATACCCGAAGAATCCCCATCCGATTTCATATATGTACATAAAACCAACTCATCTGAGCAATTGGAAAATTCTTTTGATGATTTAACAAACATACATGATTGTATATCACTCTTAAGAAATTTCGGCGCTGTACTAAATCCATCTTCAGTATAATATGCCTGAAATTAATATAAATTTCTTTCATTCATTTATTTTACCACATATCTACAATTTATTCGTGTTGAATTATCACATTCCGACCCAATATATATAATATAATTAGGATTGGCAGAATTAAATTTTAATGGTTCTAATTCATATAAAAATGGAATTTCCGTATAAAAACTCTTCCATGTAAGTCCTCGATCAATTGTATAATAATGTTTTTTATCCTCTCCCAAAACAAATGCCTATATATTATTATATTCACTTTTTTTTTTATCCTCCACTTCTTTATCTACCATTCTATCACTAAATGGATGCCGTATTAATAATCTAGCCTTATTTTTTGGTATACTTCTTATTTTACTCCATGATGTACCTTCGTTGTCACTTCTCCAAATATTTTTATCCAGAAAATCATAACCAAGAATAACCTTTAATTAAACAAATATTAATCCTATCATCTATTATACTGACACATACTGTGCTATTATCAAAACAAAAAAATGAAAATAATGAATGTTTAAATGATGTAACTGCAATACGGTAATTTTTTGTTCCAAGGACACCAAATAATATAAAACTAAAAATACACAAAATTTTACTTATATATAATAAATTTACATGTGCCATTCAATCTTATCTGCCCTTAATATAAGTGTTAAGCTTATACTTAATTTCTATATAAAAAGGAAGTTACATATTAAGTATCGAGCTTTGGATTATCTTAAATATAATAATTATGAGAGTAAATTTAGAAAAGAAGTAGGAAGAAGTAGGAAGAAGTAGAAATGAAGTAGAAATAATAAGAAATAATATTAAATAATAAAATTATATAAATTGAATAGTTATTTTTGAGAATATTTAGATTTTCTTTCACGTCTTCGTAAACGTTCAATTCTTTTTATGTGCATCTTTTTTTATAAGATAAATAGAAATATAAAGTATAATAAGTTACCTTTTGTTTCATTTTTTCAAAGCGTTCTTTTTCTTTTTTAGCTAAAAGTTTTTTTTTAATGAATTCTTTTTTTTTCTATATATTAAAAGAAAAAAAAAAATGAATTATTTTTAATATAATTAATAAGTTACAAACCTCTTGAATGGTTTTTTTTTCATGTATTAATTTTCTTTCTCTTTCTTTCATATCATGAATAGCTTTTCTTTCTTCCGTACGCTTATTAGAATTATATTAAAAATGTTTTTTTAATAAAAGAATAGATTAATACTTTTTTCCAAGATTTATGATTGCCTTTTTGAAAATGTAGATGATTAGATGTATTTTTTTGAATTTTCTTGAAAGATTATTAGTTATTTAATGAAATTAAGTAGAAATTTACATTTGTTCCTCTATATTAAGTTATAAGTATGAGTTATATTTATTAAGAACAAAACCTTATCTTCATAATTATTTTTTTAATTTTTAAAAGGGTTAAAGATTTATTTTTTCTTTTATAGAGAAAAAGAATGTATGTTTGATAAAAATCTAAATATTTAAAAGGTATAAAAGTAAATTTAAATATGTATATACAATTTTTTTAAAAGATATTTCTATTTTATTTTATAGTAATAGTAATTTTGAATAAATTTTATGATTAAAATTATTAATATTTAGTATATTTAAGAAAAAAAGATAAAATATATATAATTTAATAATTCATAGCTTTAAAAATACATTTCATAGTTTTTTCAGTATTAAAGAACATTATAATCATTTTTAATTTATAAAAAATTAACTTTATAGAAATTATAATATAAAGAAGTTAACATATAAAAAAAATAATTTAAAACTTGAGTTATTTTTTTATATTAATTACTATATTTTATTTTTATTTCTAAGTAAAATGTTTTTTAAATAAAAACAATTTACCTATAACGCTTATCTATTACTAATTTCAATAAAACATTGATTATTATCTAATATCTTTGATTATTAATTATATATTATTATATTAAAAAATAAATGCTGAGCAAAAAATAAGATCTATAGTGTTCAAAATCATTATATAATTTCAAGAAAATCCAAGTTAGAATAAAGTAAGAATTAAAACAAGAAACAATTTTCTTAATATTCCTTGTTTAATTTTGAATATGTATATATAAAACAATTATATAAATCTTTAGAATCATTGTGAGTGTTAAAAGGAATAAAAGTTAAATATAAGAAAAATTAAAATTAATTCATATATATCCATTATGTATACAAGTATAAGAATATCGATTTTTTTCCCTATCCTAGCTTTATTGAAAATCTCATTATTTAGTCCATAAGAATTAAATAAGAAATTTGAGACCAATTATATCAATTGTATCATTAGAAGATAAAAATTAATATTTTATTGATGAAAAATCATTCCAATATAGTCGTTTTTTTTTGTAATGGTTCAAAGTATTGCAAAGATTGATTTAATCGAGGACTAAGTGGAAATTGGCAAAATAACTTATTATTATTCATTAGTTGCATATCTACTGATGCTTGTTCATGCTGCATGCAAAATGATGAATGATATTGATCATGTGAAGATTGATTTCGATCTGAATTATAAGGTGGATATTTATTTAGAGAATGCTGTTTTGGAGAAGAATACTCAGATAAAGAATGTGATCCCATATAATTAGAATATTGACGATTCTGAGAAGATTTTTGATAAGAGAATTGCGAAAAAAGGTTATTATTATGTGGTTTTAATTGAGATTCTTGATTATATGACGAAGCATTTTGAAATGTAGAATTAGGAAAAATAAAATTACGAAATGGATCAAATGGTGCCCGTTTAACTCTCATTTCTGATAAATCTTGCATTATTTCTTCCTTAGATGCATTTTTTATTTCAGGTGCAGCTGGAAACCCAATATATGTTTTAAGACCAACTAAAAACATAACTTCTAATTCGTGTGCTCTACGATTCCTTAATTGCACTGAACGCTTAGTAGGGATAGAAAACTCATATTCTATTATACAATAAATATATAAATAATACTCGAAAAAACCTTTATACCAGGTGCTAATGTTTCCATAAGACGTCGCTCATGATAAATTCGAAAACATTTTTCTCCTGTTTTTTGAAGCATCTTTTCCCTTAATTTCCGTTTAGATTCCTATTGATAAATAAGATCTGTGTCTAAATACGATAATTTTTTTTACCAAAAAGACATTTTGAATTTCATATTGATGAGCAATAAATTCATCTTTAATAAACTTTATTGACATATCTCGAAGAGCAACTGCAATATTATATTTCCTCTCTCGTCTTTCAGCAATCTTCTCCATTAAACTTGATAATTCAGGATGAATTCCTTTATTTATCAAATCTACTTCCTTATCTAAACAATTGATTTGATTCTCATATAATCTTAAATTATAAGAAAAAAACCCTTAAATAAAACAATAAATTTACTTATCACGAAGTTTAGCAAATTGTATTTCAATCTGTGTTAATGCTGCAATTGCATCCTTTCTCTTTTGAACCTTTTTTTCATCCACTATTAAATATTAACACTAAACGTATTCTATAAAAAAATATTCATATAACCTTCATCATCCACATTCATACTAACATCATCATCGCCAAAAACACTTTCCACTATTTCTTCTTCTACCGTACTTTCATTATCAACACTTGGAATAGTCTTACTATGAACACTATCATCATCTCCATCTGATTTCATACTTTTTTTAGAAACATATTCATTAGATGATATAGATAAAAATTCTGACGGTGCAAGAAGCTCTGATTTATCTTTCTTATATTTTTTATTATTAAATGTTCCATATGATTGCGATGTTTCCATTTCATTAATTACCAGATCCTTTTCTTCCCCTATTAATTTCTTATTTATAATATGAACATCAAGAGATGATTCAATATCTTCAATTCTTTCTGTTTCTGCTTCTGAATCATTAAGCTCACTAAGTGATGATAAATCATCATCTGAATTGCTATTTTTCGATTTTTTAATATATGATGATTCCATCATCGATACTGAATTAGAAAACTCATTTAATACTGAAATTGCCTCTAATTCATTCATATTTTCTTGTCGCATTTCATTCCTCTCGTCTATTATAGACTCTCCAACTAACATATTTTCTTTACTATTCTTATACTTCGATTCATATAAAATATACGCATTCTTGCTAGATCCCTGATCTTTTAATGACTCTTCAGCAATATAGTTTTCCCTAAATACCGGTGATCTTGTAAATACTGGCCCTGATATGGTTTCCTGCTTATTTTCGTCAAAAATAGCCCTTTTAAGCCCGAAAAAAAAGGAAAAACATACTCCTTTCTTGGATATTCTACCACATCCTCTTCTAAGCCGCTTTCCTGTCCATATTTCCCCGGAATTTTGACCTGAAACAGCTCCTTTTTCTACTATTACTTCTCGATCATGCGGTCGTCCTCGGCCTCTTGGCATCTTAAAAAAAGCAATTAGACCTCAATTTTAGCACTTAAAATAGATCTCTTATAGAAGGGCTAAATCTAGCGTTCTTATAGCTTGTTTAAAGTCTAAAGAGCAGCTGTTAATTTATTTGTCGTTGTATCGTTAATCGGGCTTGAATAAGGTTAAATTTGAACGTCATTTTTTTTTGAGGAGAAAAAAAAGGGAAAAAGAAGGGGAAATAAAGGGTGATTGAGGGAAATAAGCAGTATTTTTGTAAGGAATGTGTTTAAGAGGTTTAAAATAAAAAAAAAACGGATTTTTTTGGATAAAAATTGGGGAAATTAGAAAAGATAAGAAAGAGGTCTAAATGGAAGAAGCCAAAATGGTTATTTTTGAAGTTTAAACAGGATAAATTATTAATGGAACTCAGATTAAGGGGGTTTATGAAAAAAAAAAGGAAAAAAAAGGGTTAAATAGCGATAAAAAAGCATCAAATGGATGGGTTATGGGGGAGAATAATATAAATCAAGGAGAAAATGTAAGAAAAAGAAGGCGTCGCACAAAATCATATGAAGATTTTGATATAGAAGAGAGATATTTTAAAAAGTTGTTAAAAGATGAGTGTGAAAATGAAGAAAATGAAGATAAAAAAAAAGAGAGAAAAGAGGATATTATTGAGAAAATTGATAATAATAATGAAGAGAATTTATTAGAAAAGAAAGAAATTGATTCGGATAAAAGTGTTAAAAAAGAATTATGTACAATATTTGTTGGAAATTTACCTCTTAGTATTATTTCATTAAAGGTATATAAAAATGAGGGGTTAAAAATGAAACTTAATATATAAAGAGCGATTATAAGGTGTTTAAAACAAAGTTTTCAGAGTTTGGAAAGATAAAATCTATTCGATTTCGTTCAATTGCATTTTCAGATATTTTACCTAAGAAAATAGCGTATATTCAAAGGAAATTTCATCCAAAAAGAGATATACTTAATGCATATATAGTTTATGAAACAGAAGAGTCATCTAAAAATGCACTTGTATTAAATGGTACATTATTATTGAACAGACATATAAGAGTGGATAGTATTGCACATCCTACTCCACATGTTTCAAAAAGATCTATTTTTATAGGAAACTTATCATTTGATGCTCAAGAAGAACAGCTTTGGTCGTATTTTAACCATTGTGGAGAAATAGAATTTGTACGTATTATTCGAGATAGTAAAACAAATGTAGGAAAAGGATTTGCATATGTTCAATTTAAAAATCAAGAATCTATTGATGAAGCATTACTTTTACATGACAAAAAGGGCCCATGTAATCGCAAATTACGTATTGTTCGAGCAAAAAATATTTCTAAAAGGAAATTGGAATCAAAATATAAAGAAATGACTCAAGATTTAAATATTAAAAATTCTAATGAAAACTTAACAGAGAAAAGTACACAAATTGGTATTCAAAAAGGTTCTTTTAATCAAGGAAAAACAGAAAAGCTATTAAATAATATGGTTTTTGAAGGAAAACGTGCTTCAAAATCAGACAGTATCAAGTTTCTAAAAAAGAAAAAACATAAAAATAAACCACAAATAAAAAATAAAACCAAACAATGGAAAAAAAAACGAAAAAATAAGTCCAAATAATTTTTATAATTGTAAATATATACAAACATAACATTATTTATTTTATATTATAGAATTTTATTAAATGCCTAATAGCTTGTAATATAATCATATTTTCTTGTATTTCTTCTTTTTCAACCAACTAAAAAAATAAATCATCTTAATAATTAAAAAGAAATTAATACCTTTGCATATAAAGACTTTCTAACACGCCAAATAGAACTCTTATTATATTTTTCAAAACATTTTATATGTTTTTTCCTAGATATATTATCATGTTTAAATTCATAATTAGATTTTTCATCAGATTTTTCTTTTAAAAAACATGAAAATGAATCATTAATATCATTAAATACCAATTCTGGTGTTTCCATCTCCCTAACTTCATTACTTTTTAAACAATTATCATTATTTCCAAAAAAATCCAATTTTATCTTTTCCTCAAAAGAATCCTTAATTCTATTCAATTCTTTCAATTTCTCTTCTTCCTATTAATAATTCAATTATTATTCTTCCTTTTTATTCATTTTAATTATACTTTTTTCTTAATATTCTTATCTGTTGGCCATTTTTTCTTTCTTTCTTCTATCCATGCAGTAATATCTTCTTGTTCTTCTGTATCCCTATTTCTAACAAATATAAACACTTAATAAAACCTTTATAAAGTATTGTACTTGTATATATTTTCAATAGATTCATCATTATCTGCTTCATATATATTTGCAGTACTACTCATTGCATAACCATCTTTATTATAAAATACTGTCTCATGAGATATTCTACCATCATCAAGGAGTGTTGAATGTGTATATTTAGAATATTTTTCAGGCTTATTAGGCTTATAAGGCTTATTTTTTAAAGATTTTTCTTTAAAGAGATAAGAAAAAATTGGGATTTTGAAATAAACAAATACCCGTCTTAGATAGAACAAATCTAAAGTTACTCTTGCCAGAGTTATAGACATTTTTATATATTTTTTCAACTCGAGATTTCTTTTTAAAATGTTGCACTGGTGAATGAGTTTTTAAAGGTGACAAGATTATAGAAGCTTTAGGCGGTGGTGGAGGAGGAGGATCATATATATATTGCTGATTCATATTGATTAAATCAAAGAAAATCTTTATAATTTATAAGCTCCGATCTTTAAAAAATATAAAAAATACAATATACTTTGTTAAAAAAAACATAAAATCGAATCAATATAAGCTTAATTATATTTCATTTTGATATTTATGCCAAAGAGCCCATCTTTTATTTATTAGTAAAAAAAAAAGAAAAAAAATAAACTTACAGGGTCCCATGGAGGTAAAACAATAGGTGTTTGTTTAAGAACAGATTGCAATTCTTCAGAGAGATCGCTTTGATGACATACAATTTGATAAACGAACTCGGTCATCCCTAATAAATAAGTAAGTATTGAAAATGTTATAATTAAGAAAAAATACAATCATCTGTCATCATAAACCATCCTTTTTGTCCAACATCTTCACCCCATGAATTCTGAACTCTCCATTTTACAGATTTTCCGTCTTCAATATGAACTAAAATGGTTAGACATCTTTAAAAAAACAGAGTTAAATTTACCCCCAGTAATAACCATAGCATGTGTCATTACTATTTTCTGTTAAATATTTCATTTATTTTATTGAAAAAAACATACAGCTTTCTCCAGTCTATAGAAATCAGTAAAAAGAAATTATATTTATAAAAAATATACCCTTAATCTATCAGCCTTTGAAAGATTTGATTTGACATTAAAGGCAAGTTCATAATTAAACAGTGCAATATCAAAGATACCGGATTGACGATCAATATACTTTCCAGAATCCGCACTATTTACTTTAATTAATAAGATTTAAATATTTAAAATATACCCGAAAAATATAGGCATATTTTTCTTAATCATATTAATTGCAACTTCCTTAAGAGTTTCCATCTTGGTGTTAAGATATCGTATACCCTTCATAATTAGAATAAACAAGATAATATAAATTGTAATCTTACAATTCCACCAGCCATGTTAGATAACATGTCTACAGTATACATTTTTCCATATTCATTCCTTGGATCATTGATAAGAGAAATATATTCATCAGCCTTTTTTTTCATCAATTATAATAGAAATATTTCACTGTTATTACTTTAAATTCAGAGAATTCCCTATAAAATGATATAGGCGTTGCTTTACATGAATGTGTTTTATTATCCTTATCAACATACAACCATGTAAACTCATCATCTGGCTTAGGAGGTATACCAAGAGAAATAGCTAAAATAACATATATTTCTTCCATCATTTTAGCCCTAAAAGATGAAATTGTTGTTGTAGTAGCATTCCCTGCAACCAAATTTCTTAAAATCAAGGCATATTCACGCAACTTAGTCTTAATTATACGATTAAGTGCAGCACTATTTCATTCATATAGGAAAATAACATATATCTAATAAATACCTATCTTTAGCATTATACGCATCAGGATAAATATGTTTAGGAACTAATCCATATTTATTAAGTCTAAAACATTAAATTACCTATTATTTTAAAATTAAAACTTACAAATTAACAATCATATCATATTGTCCACCATCATTAATAGGTTCTGATAATAAAAAGCTCACAACTCGTGAATCAAGAGCATCTCCTGATGTTTTAAGAATATTCTCCAGAAAAACTATCATTCTTGTAAGTTTATATAAATATATATATATTCATATTTACAATTTGCCTTCTCAAGTTTATCATAAAAGAAAAGATACGCCTGAGAAAACTCAAATTCAGAAAGATTATATCTTTTTAAATTCATTATTATCATATTTTATACATAAGTTTACAACTACTTCTTCATAAATCCAACTCTTATAACATTTGTCACTGCAAAAAGCCAGCATCGTCCTGATTTTCTCTGATATGTAACTGGTGATCCCTCAAATTCAATTTTATCAGAATAAACATGATTATTATTCAAAATAGCTGCTTCTCTCTGGAATATAATACTTGATAAATCACCATTTGAAACTGCTGATAAAGCAAGTCTAAATGTAGATAAACATTTAGATTAAATAGACTTTTATTTCCTATATTTCTACCTATTTTTTGGGCATGACAAGAACTTTTTCTCCCATTCAACAAAGATACTTGTTTGAATAGAACTTAAAATTAAGAATTCTGTCTTTAAATTTAAAGTCTTCTGAAATTTAACACAAAGTTCATCTGATGAATCTTTAGAGCTAACAGACATATCGTATTTCTCAATAGCCATGGCTTCTAATAATACTAAAGGCTTAATAATAAATGGTTTAAATTTTTTTAAAAAAGCACTAAAATTTAGGTTTATTACTTAGTTAAATTTAAAATAAATGAGGGGAATATTTTAGTTCTTTGGGAAATATATGTAAACATGTATTAAAATGATCAAAATTGAGATAAAGAACTTGTTTCTATAATAATTACATATTTTTATATATTTATTTAATTTAAATAAATAAATCTTAAAAAAAATTATAATATAAAAGTCTAGAAACAAGTGAAAATAATAGAGATGATATAAAATATTTGAAATATATAATATTTTCTTCCATAATTTTTAAATATTCTATTTTAATGGAATAAATCGTGAAGAATGTGTTGCACCGATACCAGGTCGTCCATGTTTAGTAGGTTTATATGTAAGAGAAAACTCTCCAAGATAGTGTCCTACCATTTCCGGTCGAATTTCTACCTGATTAAATACTTTTCCATTATAAACAGCACTTAATCTATCAATTTTTTTTTTTTCAAAAAAAATACATACATTATTGATCCAATCATCTCAGGAACTACTATCATGTTTCTTAAATGTGTTTTTACCGTCTCCGGCTTTTCACCTGGAGGCGCCTCTTTTTTAGCCTTTCGAAGCTTCTTAATTAATCCCATCGGTCGACGTTTCAATCCTCTCTGAAATCGTCGACGTGCTCTTGCATGAACTAATTCCATCTACTCATTTTACTCTTCAATTCATACATATCTTAATATTATCTTACCAGCTGTTCCGATGACATATCTAACAATGCTTCTAAATCCACTCCACGATATGTAAAACGGCGAAACGTACGCTTCTTCTTCTCTCCAGTAGACTCCATTTTTATCTCTTAAATATCCTCTTAAATATCCTCTTAAAAGTTCTCTTAAAAGTCTCTGCTAATTCCTTTTTATCTCTGCTTTTCTTTGCTCTGCTTTAAATTTTCCAAGTCAAAAATGTACTAACTCTATATGTACCATAACCCTAACCTAATATATACAATTAAACGTGGGTTAGGGTTATAAAATAATAAATATTTTTAGTGTAAAAAATAAAAAAAGACGGCTTAAACAGAGATTTTGTAGTGCTAAAAGACATAATATGAAGCATTTGGCAGCATATTTATTACTAGAACTTGGTGGAAATAAACAACCGAACGCAGAAGATATTAGAAAAGTTTTGGGATCTGTTGGATTAGAAGCAGAAGAAAAAAGATTAAATTTACTTTTGAGTAAATTAGAAAATGAATCAATTGAAGAGTTAATTGCTAGCGGTAAAGAGAAATTAGCATTTGTATCGTCAGCAGCACTTGGATCAGGTACAAAGGCCGTACAAGGTGAGTAATATAAGTTTTTAAATTTTTATTGATATCTATATAAAGAAACTGCCGTAAAAGAAGAAGAACCAGTTAAAGAAGAAGAAAAAGAAGAATCAGATGAAGATGTAAGTCTTATAATAAACCTTTTGAACCTAAAATTTATGTATTTTAGATGGGTTTTGGTCTTTTTGATTAAAACTAAAATTTCATATTTATAATAGATTTCTATCTTATTTGCATTTATATATTATTTATACATCATTTATCTACTATTTTATGCCCTTTTATATATATTTCTCCTTCTTTATTTACCCTTCTCACTTATGATAAGAGTATCGATCTCGACCTTGACTATATCAATCTCAATGATGAATCCAAAGACTCAGGTTTTTAACAAATTTTTACATAAATTTAAGCATATTTCTTATATTTATTAGTACAATTCTTTATTAGCTATTGCATCGTCAAATGATAAGAAGCAAGAGATATGCCTTGTGGAACTTAAGAAAATAAAGGCACTTAAAGAAGCAGATGATAGAATAAAGGAATCTCAGGACTGTAATAAGGAGCGAGAAGAGAGGGCTAAACGGAGATATGAATATGAGCAATCCAGGAAAGAAGGAGGAGGAAAAACGGGGGGAATAGAGGGAATAGAAGGGGATTTATTAAAAATGAAGAAAGAAATAAAAACAAATAAGAAAGAAACAGTAGAAAAAAAAGGCAGATCTATGGTATATGAAGGGTTAATATGAATGTATATTTCTAATAGGGATCAAGTCTTTTAAAGAATTGATTTCGAAAACGTCTAATATGAATCCAGAGATTTTGAAGATGAATTCAATTTCAAAAATAAATACAGGAACAGAGGGAGAAACATCATCAGGATCAAGGATAGATAAAAAGGAAGAGGAATGTTGTAAAATTTTAGGGAAAAAGGAACAAAATTTTCTTTTGAAGCCAGAGATGGGCTCAAAACCATTTCAAATACGTAAACAGTCTACAACGTTTACTAAAGTGCCTTTAGTAAAAAAAAATGAATTGTTATCGAAAAGAAAGGGATCAATTTCATTAACATCGAAGTTTTCTACAAATAAAGGGAAAAAGAATAATTTTTTGGCACCTTTAAGGTCTAAAAATCTTACAAAATCAAAAATTATAACAGAATTCCATCCTAATGATTTGATTCTTCTTCATACAGGACCTAAACGTGATTGTCGTACAATTGAAGAGATTCAAAATAGCATATGGAGAAGAAAGAAGAAAAATTTTCCTTTTCTTTATAAGAATGAACAGGAAACGAATAGTTCAAGTGGAATTCCATCAAAAAATGGGGAATCTGGAAATATTTTATCTCAAAATTCCTCTTCTGGTATATTTTTTTTACATTAAATATATCATTTATTAATATTCTTCTAGCAAAACAAGATATAAATTATAAAAAGGCTAAACCAGATTCATCTCAAAGCAACAAAAAATTAGACTACAACATATCATCTGAAATATGGAAAATTTTTGGTAAAAGAAAAGAAGAGTATGTTTTTAATTATTCATATTTTTTTAAATAATTACAATTTAGTTATATGTCAAATAATTACGATTCTGACTCTGATATGGAGACAAGTGCAACTCAATTACAAAAAGAAGAAGAATTCTCTTCAAAAATAGGGAAAATTGAAGATAATGAAGAAAAAAGAAAAGAAATTGAAAGAAAAATTAAGAAAAAAAGAAAACTCAATATGTCATAATCATTTTATATCTTCTTCACAATTATATTCTTTCTTTTTCTTATAAAGTTACACACATTTTCACTTAGGAATATTGTCATTTTATACATAAATTATTTATTATTACATCATAGAAACACTTGGACTGTTTTCGTTGAAATTTTTAGCTCTTAAAAAATCATGAATAATAATAGATTGGGCTTTGGTACTTTGGCTATCCATTCAGGAATTGGTAAAGATCCTCAAACAGGAGCTCTTATTTCACCAATTCATTTATCTACAACATTTGCTCAATTATCTCCAGGAAATCCAGTTTCAAAATATGATTATTCACGCTCAGGAAATCCATCTAGAGAAAGCTTTGAAGAAGCTATTAGAACGCTTGAGAATGCAAAATATTCATTAGCGTTTTCATCTGGATTAGCAGCTTTAATGAATATTTTTCATATTTTATCTCCTGGAAGCCATGGTAAAATTGCTAAAATTAATTTTAAAAGAATAATATTCATTAGCAATTTCATCTATGGATGTTTATGGTGGTACACATCGTTATTTTACAAGAGTTGTGTCAACATATAATATACAAGTTACATTTGTAGATTTAAAAGATGAAAAATCTCTTATTCCAAATATTAGACCAGAAACAAAAGTTTAACTAGAAATTGTATATTATTATTAAGGAGTTTTAATGTTTATTAGCTATTATGGATTGAAACACCGAGTAATCCAACACTTTCAGTAGTCGATATTTGTTCTATTTCAAAATTAGCACATGAACATAATATTATTGTCGTTATAGATAACACATTTGTTTCGCCTTATTTATGTAATCCTCTGGATCATGGGGCAGATATTGTGGTACATTCAGCAACTAAATATATTAATGGACATAGCGATGTAGTTTTAGGAGTTATTGCTTTGAATTGTGACAATTTATATACGAAGTTTAAATTTCTACAGAATGCTATTGGAGCAGTTCCAAGTCCTTTTGATTGTTGGCTTGCTCAAAGGGGATTAAAAACGCTTCATCTTCGTTATAAACAATGTTGTATCAACGCTTTAGCAATTGCTAAAACATTGGAGAAACATGAATTAGTTATTCAAGTATTTTATCCAGGACTTGAATCATATCCCCAAAGAAAAATCGTTGAAAAACAGCATAGGAATGGCTTAGGAGGAGGAATGTTAAGTTTTAGAATAAAAGGAGGATCTACAGCAGCTAAAGAATTTTGCCAAAGTACAAAACTATTTTGCCTTGCAGAAAGTTTAGGGGCAATTGAAAGTTTATGTGAGATTCCCGCTTTGATGACTCATTCTGGGATATCAAAGGAAGAAAGAGAAAAAATAGGTATATATGATGATTTAATTCGTTTAAGTGTTGGATGTGAAGAAGAAGAAGATCTTGTTAATGATATTTTACAAGCATTGAAAAAATGCTCTATATAAAACATGTAAGAATTAAATAAATTATTCAATAATTTTTTTAAAAACTTAGATTTAGAATGTTTTAATAAATATTAACTAACTTATTAATTTTTTAATTACAATTTTTTATAATTCCAACTATTTATCTAGTTTTTATACTTGATATATAGTAAATTATATTTTATTAAAATTAATTTAGATTTTACAAGAATTTTTAGGAAAATATTGAAGATTTATAAAAGACATTCTATATTAAGTATTACACGTACAATACCAGTATTTATACTTTCATATACGTAAGAATAATTTAAATTAAAGTCTTTTAATTTTTGTACAAAATCTTCAATTGAAACATCTAGTCCAAAATATGTCTTTTTTGCCGCAATAAGAGCTTTACCTTCTTTATAATTTCCAATATTATATGCCAATATATTAATAAATGTGTCTAAATTTTGTTTTGAATAAATAGTTTCAGAAGCAAGTATTAAATCATGTTTATCTAGAATTAAATCATTCATTTTATCACACCATCCTCCAGATATACAATTTATTGTTATTTTCCTTTCCCTTAAATCACAAAGAAACTCTTCTTTTATTGTATTTGTTATATTCATTTCCTTCATAGATGCTATTTCTTGATTTTTTACTATTGCCCATGCCAAAAATAGATTTGGTATAGTTAAAAATTTCAATACAGATACATTGTAATCTTGTAAAGTGAAATTTACTGCTTGTTCCCTTGAATTAACAAGTGTTTCTATAAATAATACTACTGATGGCAAACTAGAACCACATCCAAGCTATAAATATGAATAATTCATAATAAAAAATCTATATTATATTTGCCTCAAGAACTTTACTGTATTTTAATGATGTTTTTCTCACATATTCCATCAAGTCATAGCTACACTCCCATGTTTTATAGCCTCCCTTGTATTTTTTTAAAAAAAAAACACATACCCACTTAAAATACCTCATAAACATTTGGAATAATGTCACTAGATCCATTTAAAAACAATAGTTCGCTCTGAGATGTATCATAATCATATGCCATAAGCTGTAACTCAATATCCCATACTGTACGCTTAGGTAAAAGAGCTTTATAAGAAAAATTCCCCTCAAAATCAACCTGGACAACATCAAAGCTAATGTTTTCTGGTAAAAACTCAATCTAAAAACCGGTTTTTTTTAAAAAAAATTCATTCATATTTTTTTCATACTAGTTCTTCAAGAGTGTGTCTCTTTGGAGGCAAAAAAGAAGGGTTTATAGATATATCTCCATCGTACATATCAGTTTCATTAATTTTATCATCTTCTTCAGAGCTTTCATTGCTTTTTTCAAAGTTAAAACTGAAAGACATCTTAGATTATAAATATGGATCCACAAAAAACAGAAAAAATCCCTATAAAAGTTAAGAATCATGTAAATTCTAGAGAATACGGGATTTACTCTACAAAAGACTTTGAAGAGGGTATAATTTTATGTGTTTAAAGGGCCTTAACTTAGAAATAAGGTGAAGAAATTTATATAGTTAAGCCGTTAGTGGCAATTCTTGATGAAAAACATCTTCCAAATGGATGTAGTAATTGCTTTATCTGTGAAGAAGAGGAGGAAGATGCAGGGCTTTATTTGATGCCATGTAAGGCATGTAAAGTTCTTCAATATTGTTGTCAGGTATAAAGATGGGGAATAAGTGAAAAAATATGTAATAAAAAGGAAAGAAATGCATGGAAGAAGATTGGGCAATGTTCCACCAATATGAATGTTCTTTTTTTTTATCAAAATGGCCAAAAATAATCCCAGGATTTATGAGAATATGTATGAGATTGATTTTCTATGGACGTAATCATCCATGTAGCTTAGAATGGAATACTATCAAAGAACTTGAAGGTCATGTATCAGAGATTATGTCTTCGGAAAGAAAGGAGGAAATTTGGATCCTATCAAAAGGTATTCAGAACTTTACAAATGAACCAAATGAAAAGTTAGTATTAAGTCTACTTTGCAAGGTAAAGAGGAAAAAATAGTATGAAATAAGGGAATTATATGGTTATAGATCATGATTAATTCATTTTCATTATTTACATCATCATATGATACTATTGGTACAGCTATAGATCTAACAATTTCAAGAATTGACCATTCATGCTATCCTAATGCTACACTTGTCTTTGATGGAAACAAAATAGCACTTAGATCACTTCAAAAAATATTTATAGATCAAGAAGTATGTATTATATTGTATAATTATGAATTTTTTATATATCTTTAGATCACTATATCATATATTGATGTAAATAATACACAAAAAAACCGTCAAGATGAACTTCTTTCACGTTATTATTTCTTATGCAAATGTATTCGTTGTAAATCACAAGAAAAAGATGAAAGTTATCATATTTTAAAGAACACTATGAGCATAGAAACATTTTTTCATCTTGAAATGCTTATTAACAAAGCATTAAATGAAAAAAATATAAATATCTTGAGAGTTCTTTCTATACTTCACCGTTTAAAAGGATGGAATGCTGTATTATATCCACTTAATCAACTTCATAAATTGGCATTGATGTATTTTCTTGATGAAAATAAGATTTACAATGCTTTTTGTCATGGACTATATATTCATCTTATTGGAAATAGAGTTTCTAATCAATATATGATTGATTTTAATCCTATATATGTCATACAAAAGTTTGTTCTTATCAAATTAATGATTTTTCAAGCATCAGAGAATTATGAAACACAATTCAAACAAATAAATGCAAAAGATATGATGATTTATGCATATAAATTACTTTATGATGTTATTAAATTATCTTACAAATCCCATGGATCATCTTCTAGACTTTCAAAAAGATTGCAAAAAATATTTGAAAAAACAGGTGAAGATATTAGTGTTTATGATTGGGGGAAATACTGGCAATCAATTCTGAAAGATGACCCTGAAAATCTTTTAATAAAAAAAGAATGCTTGAGAATTGAACATAATTTTCTTTCAGAAGTAAAAAAATATATTGAAATTTGTATAATAAATGTCAAGTTTCAATAAAAGCTTATAGACAATCTCCGCCGCAATTGTTATAAAAGAAAAGAACATTTTAATACTATGCTCTATCTTCCTCATCAGAAGTTTGAAATAAATGTCGAATTGATTCAAGAAGACCTATATATGGATGCCCTTTTTCATATACTAATGTAGTTTCATGATCTAAAAACTCTAAAAACCCACTAACCGGTTTACATATGCTATAATGTTTTTTTTTCAAAATGCTATTAAATATAAAATATAAAATATATGAATAAACAATTATTACCTCAGTACAGATAATATTTTTTCCTTAGAATCTGCATCTAATTCATTCTCAAAAAGAACTGATTGAAAACCTTCACACCAATGTTTAATAACTGAATCAATATACATAGAAAATGAAAGAAATGTTGTTTTAAAATTATCATTGCTATAATTTTGATCTTGAAAATAATTATCCTCTATAAAACTAGCACATTTTGATATCAATGATGGATTTTTCGTCTTTTTAAATATATCATAAAGTATTTTATCACCTTGTGTCATATAAAATTCATTCATTCCATTTGATGATTTAACAATTGAAGATAATGTATATAACACTTTTATCTTTATTCCATCATCATTTTCATATTGTAATCTATTAAGTAAAACCTTTGTAAGCTTCATATCTGAAATATATACAAGTGCTTGAGGATTATTTTGAAGTGATGACCCCAAAACTGTAATTGCTAATTTTTTAATAAATATGGATTCTGATGACTCTAAAAGCTCAATCAACCGCTCTACTGCAACTCTGGATTTACATATTTTTACTCCAAATTCAAATTCATGAGACAATTCCTCTAATACAGAAAGAACATTAACCAATTGTTCCATTGATTCATTATATTTATCTGACACTAAAAACTTCAATGCCATAGAAAATTCTTCATGTTCTGCTTGAGATATCTTAAGATTAGGCTTAATATCAGGAATATTAGAAAAAATTGGACTTTCTTTAGCAACATTTCCTGACTCAATATGTCCATCTTTATAAACTAAAATAACATTTTTTTTATCATTTTCATCCTCATCTATAATCTTAGCTTCTTTTATACCTGTGCTAAAATCAAGACGTATATGAAGTCCTCAATAAAATATCAATATAGCCCTTCTTAAATATATCTTTACCTGGAGGAAGTATTTGATCTTCATGAACTACTTGAAAAACATGGGTTGCCTCAAAAACCTCTGGATAACATTCTTTTTTAGCATGACATATCATTTTCCTTTGTTTATTTCCATAAACATCTCTTAAGATTAATGTTAATAATAAATACTTTTTCCATTTCATTTTTTCTCTTTAAAACATATTAATTTTACTTAAAAATATTAATATTTTTTTAATATTTATTATCTATTTTTAACAGGTTTTATTATTTATTACTTTATCTTTGTAGTTAACATATGTTTTAGAAAGAGCTATATTTTATCTATAAAATATCTAAATATTATGATTTATCAGTATAGAAAAGCTATTAATCTTCAGTTGTTAAGAAATCATGGAAAAAGAAGGCTTAACAATATGTTTATTAATGGGTCAGATAATAAACTAGAATTAAAAACTAGGGACGAAGGTTTTTTTTAAAGAATTTGATATATTAGAGGAGGGAATAATGATTTCTATAGACTTTTCGGCACCTATCTGGAGAAATAGTGTATTATTTTTATTTTCTGTCTTTACAATATATAAAATAGATGAATGGTATGGTCTACATCATGAAGGCCAAGGATTCTTTACAAGAATTATTGAATATTTTAAAAACAAAGATAATTATACAGAAATACATATTGAAAGTCTTAAAAAAATATCTGAATTGGCAAAGGAACGTTTAAATCAACAAGATTCCAAAAGAATACCTATTTATAGATTAAAATTTCCAGAGTATTTTCCAAAAAATTTTATATATTTTTTAATAATATTAATTTTAGACAACTTAATCAAGGAAGTTCATATAATCTAATACCAGGAACTGAAATTGATTTATCACAATACGATATAAAAACCGATATTGACAATAACAATTCATCTCCTCAATCTTCATAGATTATTTTTAACTTTCCTTTCTCTTTATTATATTCGATATATCAATTATAAAACTTCCTTTTCCTTCTTCAATTTGTTTAATAATATTTTTAAGCCATACATTAAATTCCTCTTTTTCAAATATTCCCTCCTCAGTAAACCATAAATTAAACATCTCTTTAGCTAAAAACTTCTTCAGAATACCTTCTTTTAATATTTCAATCGTTAATGTATATGTCGGCCCTTTCTTACTAATTGATGATCGAATACTCAACTAACCCTTTCTTAATAATCCTATATATAAATAATACTATCTAATACCCGAATATCTTTCTTTCTTCCTTGATAAATAATACTTCTTCCTGCTGTACAATTCCATAATGTATAACATCCATATAAAATAAAATATCCAATAACTCCCCATAATGTATATGTTTTAGATGGCATAAATCCAAATATATAATTACATGTAGCAACATTTGAACATATAATAACAAGTGTATATCCAAGAATAAATCTTATATTCATTAAAAGATAAGTTTCTTGATAACCCATTGTAGCCATAAACTATTAATATATAAGACTTGTTTAACCACTTTTAACCTTAATTACCGGACTAACTGAGTCATCCATAGTATATTTAACCTCCTGAATTGAAGAAAGATTAGTTTTCTTTAACTTATTCATAGTTTTTCTAAATTTTTTAGACAAAAATTAAGAAAATTAACGATTTCTAATCTTTAAGATTAAGAAATGGACTTAAAAAAGAGGTATTTGTTAAGAAAATTTAATAAAAAGTTAATATTTTTTATAGTCAAGACTTATATCTTGATAAATCCTTAAGAGATTGGGTTCTTTTTTCTATATTTATTGTTATGATTATAACAGGAGTTTTAAAACATTATATTAGTATAATATTATTAGAAACACCAAGGAAAATGACAGTTAAAGAGATTAGAGAGATGTATTTTTAATGGATAAATGAATTGGAAGTAATCAATTTTTTAGAAGGGCATTACAGCGATCAGAGATTTTAAGAGTGAATAGTAGTCATATAGGATATGGAGCATTTTATACACGAAAAATATATTTAACTAAGACATTTTCTAGTGGGGAATATCTAGAAAATCCAGAACTTAAAGGATCACAACTTATGAATCCTATGGTAAATGTTAAAAATATGGATCAAATGATGAGAATTTTTAAGAGTAATATGGCTAATATTATTCCTCAAACCATTATTATGGCATGGATTAATTTTTTTTTTAATGGATTTATATTAAGTATAAAGAATTGATATATTTATTTTTGAAATATGAATAAGGAAATTAGTAAAACTTCCATTTCCTCTTACATTAAGATTTAAATCGATGTTACAATCAGGAGTAGCAACGAATGATCTTGATGTATCATGGGTTTCATCATTATCATGGTATTTTCTTAATTTTTTTGGGTTAAAACCGATTTATGATCTTATACTGGGAGATGGAAATTGTATATATTTAATATAATAATTTTATTATTAATATAGATATGTAGATGCAAGTGGAGGAGAAACAACGGGAATGGGAATACCGGTAGCGGGTATGATTGATTCGAATTCTAATATGTCAGATCTTCAATCATATATTCCTTCAGGAAGTGATCCTGATAAGCTATTTTCGATGGAAATCGAGAATTTAGAACTTGTTGTGCATGAATGGATTCTAAAAGATGTAGAAGATAGAATACTTGAAAAGTATGAAAATATGGATATATGTTCATGAATATTATAGGATTGTATATAAGCAAGATTATTTAATATATTTAAATCATATATACCACTAAGATAATAAGAGTTAAATTAAATATTTTTATTTATATTACCTTATGTTTTGTTTTTCTGGCTTCATCTCTAACATCTCTATTTGATATCAGAATAATACGTAAAAGATATCGAATTAATACTTTTTAGGATCATCTAATACCATTGCAAGTTTACGAATAATAATATTTTTAAAAGGATAAATAGATTCAGTTTTTAAAACTGTTGGAAAGAGTCCTAAACACTTAAGCGCTGTAATTTGAATATTCTAAAGAAATCAGTAGATTAACAAATACATTGGTCTCAATTCACCATAGAATTATCTTCTTTAGTAATAAATGTTAGAAGAAAAGGAATAATAGATGCAAGATGTTCTACTACCAAATCAGGAGATTCTAAAGTTATCGTATAAAGAGTATTAATATTAGATGCCTTTAATTTGGAATCGTCAAGAGAAAAACATTGAAGAAGTATAGGAAAAATAGAAGCTAATTCTGGAGAAATAACTTGTTTTGGAATATATTGAATGACATAAGAAAAGACAACTAAATAATTAGACTTAAGATCTATTTATCAATTAATGTTATTGTTTAAATGTTTGAAAACTTTCCTGGAGATACAGAGTTTAGTATTTTAGTTAATTTAGGTAATATATAATAGAAAAAGTTCTGTTTGTATAAAAGCCGAACAGATGCATAATTTTCCTTATTAATTAATTCATCTTCAACCAAAATTATCCCAAAATTATTTGAAATGAATTTACAGAGATGTTTATCATCCAAAAGATTTATAACTTTATCTAATAATACATAACCATATTTATTTGTTTTTAAAATCAATGCTTTTATAACCTAAAAATATTAAAAAAGTTGTAATCAGAAAAGTATTACCCATAAAATATATAATATCATAAGCTTTTTTTTTGGAATATCATCTTCAGAAAATTTTGAAATTTCATTTAAGAATATTTCACAGTAATCAAAATTTGGTTCATTGTATTTATTATAAATCAAAGATATAAACCTAAATAAGAAAATGCGTTGTTCATCTTCCAATTGGTTTTCTAAAATTAAATCTGCTGTTATTTTTATAAAAAATGACATTAAATCTATAGGTAAAAGCTAATTAAAATAAGCTATAGATATAGTAGATTATAAAAAACAAACCTCTCTTTGAATTCCTGCAAATGCACTAATAAAAATTGGAAGTGTTTTTTTTTGATATAAAGTAGAATTTTTATCAAAAGGCTTAAAAGCCTTAAGTATTTCAGTATTTTTTGACAGAAATAATAAATTAGAATTTCCATTTATAAACAAATTTATTAAATCAGCAATAAATAGCTTTTGTTTTTGATAATTTGAAGAACGCACTATTAAATTAGTTATTTGAGATATAATGCTTATTATTTTTGAATCCAAAATTATATTTTCCCTAGAACCAGTACATGAATTTATTACACGAGTAAAAAGTTCAGGTAATAATTGATCAATATATGAACCTATATCTAATTTCTTTCTGGTAAAATTTGTCCTAATTGCTAGTAAAAGTGTAAACATAAGTGCTCTTCCATATAATATTTTTCTGTCATTGACTATTCTATTAATAAAATTACAAACATATATTATAATTACCAGAAATAATATCATCAAATTTTTTAATTAAATGAGTATTAAGAGTAGTAAATAATTGTTTTTCTACACAAAGATGAGATAATGTTGTTAAAATAACTTCATCCTGAGACGGTGAATGATTATTTAGTGTTATTGAATAATTTTCTTCTGATAACAACTTTAAAAAGTTAGGAAAAGTTGTTTCAAAAATAAGATTAGGATTTATTTCTGCAATTTTAACCAATGCTTCTAAAGCTTCTGCCCTAATTTAATAAGAAATTTAATAATAAACATCTTTCAATTATACTTTAAATTATTTTCTTTAATAATTATTTCATTAAAATATTCCACTATTAATTTCAATTCATTGTATTGCAAAAGATCATGTATTTGACTAAAATTTAGAAGGAAGTGTATAGCAGCAGCTTTTATATATTCATTTAAAAATGGTGAGTCTGTTAATGAGTTATATGAAATAGTTAACAATCTATCTTTTTCCTGAATTAAGACAGAGTCATCTGGGATTTCATCTATTTTTTTTTCATAAGAACCATATACATGAAGCCCTGACTGTAGAATGAATGATAAAAGCTCTAAAATAGCTGTTTTAGTATTTAATGAATCTTCTTTTTCGAATCTTGAGATTAAATCAGAAACACAAATTTTAGAAAGTATTTCAAAAGCATATTTGGATGATGATGAAAGAGCATAAAGAATTTTTATAGCATTTTTTGCAGTCTTTGTATCTGGCTCTTTAAAATGCTCATTAATTTCATCTGAAATAAAACTAAAGAATTCCACTAATGTTTTCTTTTTTGAAGTTTCTAATGTTTCTTTAGATAGAATTTTTGATATTATAAAAAGACAATCTAATGATTTTTTCAGAAAATCAGCATCTGTATCTTTGAACAAATCATTTTTTAATGTGTTCCATATTTGTAAAACATAAATCTCAACAACACTAGGTGAATATGCTTCCATGCAGAAGGATAGGACGTCTAATATATCCTTCTAACTAAATATTAAAAAAAATAATAGATAATTGAAAAAAATTACCTTTATACTGATAGAAGAGAAATTATATTTATCTATTAGTAATGGAATAGAATATGACGATAAAATATCATTAGCAGATAGACATTTACTAAATATTTAGAAAGCTTTTGTTTTAAAAAAAGACTCACTTTAACCAAAATTTCAAATCATCTGAAGTAATTCCAAAGACATCATTAATTGATGACTTAAAGGTAATTGGAAAATAACAAAATAATAAATCAAAAATATCCTAAAATATAAAGTTATTATAATATTATTACACAAAAAATCTCAACCTTCGCATAAAAAGTTATATCAAATTCAGAAATAACTGTATTCAAAATAGAAAATACCAAAATTAAGTTTCTAGGATCTTTTTCTCGTCCTATAATTTTAATTAATCCTTTGATAAATTCTGGTCCCATTTTTTTTAATGCTATCAATATAATTTAGAATATTACAAATATATAAAATAATACCTTCTTGATGCTTTGTTATTAACTCATTCAAAATTTGAAATACATTATATCTAATAGACTGTATATTACTTTCAGAATCAAAATTTTTAAAAAGCCTTTTTTTTTGTCATTAAATTATACATAAATAATAATAAAAAACTAATACCCTTTACACATAAATACTGCCTTTTCTTCATCAAAAAAATCCATCTTTTGTAAAGAATACAATCCAGAAATAATTTCTTTTATACATGATTGATCAAAAAGACAATCACAATAGAATCGCATCATAACATATACTTTACTGTTAGCTTAATCTTCCATTATTTACTTAATTTTACTTTGTTGCGAATCAAGTGTTCTTCTAGATATTGATTCAATTACGCTTGAAAGCAAAATAATAACTAAACAATACGCAATATATATATATTAAACACATATATATACCCTTTTCTCTCATAGATTCCTTGTTTTTTACTAAATATCCCCCAAGATATTCAATAAACTCATGAATTTTTACATTCTTATTATCAATTTCTATATTATTAATAAGATATATATTATTAATAAGATATATATGATAATAAAGACTTACCTTTTGATATTATATTTACTAATTCCTCATAGTTTTCCTCTGAATCTAAAGAAAAATAGCTATTTATTTTTTGGTACATAATTAAGATTTTAAAGATTTAAGGTTTTGCTGTTAATTTAACTATAAATCCTTAGTTATTATATAAAAAACACTATTTTCATTTAAATATTAACCAGAAATCTATTTTTTTCTATATAAAATTATTATTAAGAGACATTTTTTTAAGTATTTAATTTTTTTATTTAATCAAATTATTAATTTATGTTTATAAATTTAAGCAAAATTTTAAAATTTTAATAATTTTTCTTAATATTTTTAATTTTTTATTAAATTAATTTAAAACAATTAAGTTTAAAAAAAGGCAAAAGCTAAAAACGCTAAAAACCGGGATATTTTTTAATGGTTCATGTAAAATCCTTTATTTTTATTAACAACAATTAATTTTAAGATCCCTTTGTATCATTATTTTTTAATTTTATTCTTAATATTTGGAGGATGGTAAAATTATATTTATTTACAAGGAAATTGAATTTAATATGATCAAGTTGTTCAAATATTTTTTCATTAGAAGCTATTATTAAGTAAAAAAAGGATGAAATATAGTTTAAAGATTGATAATTAGTAGAAAAGAACCAAAATTAGGTATATAATATTATAAAAGAAAATTAATAAGTAAAGGATTATTAATAACATTTCTACAATTCCTATATATTACAATTGAGGGATTAGTTTATAATTTTTTTACAGGATCAACATTTTTAGTAAAAAGAAATGTTCCTATTGGTTCATGGATGATTATTGTTTCTTTATTTTTTACAGCAACATTTTTAAATAACAAGGCGTACAGTTATGGAATTTCTATTCCTATGCATATTATTACTCAGAGTGGAGGAATATTTATTCTGGTTATTTTAGAATGGTTATATATAAATAAAAAGTAAGAACATAAATTTTTATTTTTTTTTAAATTAATATGAATATTAGGCCAGATATTTATCAAATGATATCAATTGCAATTCTTACGTCTGGAGTAATTATTGCTAATATCTCTAATATTTCAGAAAAGGTTAAAAATGATTTTTTATTTTTAAATAATTTAATTTAAATTAGCATTCTATAAATTTATCCATGATAGAATATACTAGAGGCATAATTATTCTACTTATTGCTCAGATTCTTAGATCTTTTATGAGTATATATATGGAAAAAACGTTTAAATTATATTCTCCAAACTGGAAAGAGGTCAATTTCTATATGGTTAGTTTCATTAAAAAAAGGAAAAGAAATCTAATATTTTACAAGCATTTTTTTTCTCTTTTACTTTATATGCCAATTCTTCCAAAAATATATTCACAAACTAAATTATTAAATTATTTTCAAACACCATTTATTTCACAAAAAAATCATGACAGAAGCTTATATGAATTTCTAAAGGCATTTTTGAAATTTAAAATTCCAAAAACTTCTAACTATTTGTTTTATTTTTGCATCAATATAATTACTCAATCATTATGTGTTCAAGGGATAAATAGATTAAGTATTATATATTATATAATTTATCAAATTTAAACATATTTTAGACGTTATTTCTACAGCTTTAACAGCAAATATAATACTTAATTTACGAAAATTTATTAGTTTAATTTTGAGTATTTATATATTTGAAAATAAAAGAAATTTTGGGACTATATCTGGAATAATTTTAGTATTTACTGGTAGTATATGGTATAGTATTGAAGTACATAAAAAAAAAGCTATTAACAATAAATCCAAAAAAAGCTAATTTTATTTTTAAAAAGAAATAATTTAAATAACTTATTTAAAAAAATATAATTTTTAATTTTATTAATAAATACAATTAATATCTTTTTAAATATCCAATATTCCAGATATTAAATTGTCTCATAGTTTCAGGAATTAAAGAATTGCTTTTTTTAAGTGAATATAATAAACTTTCAACCATTTCTGAATGAAATGAAATATTATTAAAATTTGATTTTATTTGAGTATCTTGAATTAACATATAAAATACTTTCATTACACGAACTCCAGGAAATTTGTTGTATGTTTTATTACTAATATTTACATCAGATGTATAAAATGAACCATTTGTGATTCTTAAATCAGAATTAAATACCCATATCTATTTATAAATAAAAAATATATATATTTGCGCCATACCTTTAATATGCATTTTCCTGATTCTTCATTATAAATATCAAATTTATGATCTGGGTATATTTCAATCAAAGCCAATAATTCAGCAGAAATAAAAATATCAATATCAAAAGAGACTACTCTAAAAAAAATTAGAATAAATTATTTTAAGATTAACAAAAAACTTTTCCATATTCTTTTCAATTAGTTTCCATTTATAAAGTTTTATTCCATCCTCAGTTAATATGCCTATATTCATTTGGCACAAATTACATAACACTTTGTTTCCTTGAACCTAATAAATAATTAATAATGTTGACTTTCATAAATCTTATTCAATAGTATCTCTGAATTGCATAATGAAATAATGAGCCTAGAAATGATAAAAACCCATCTTTAATTGAGGATATCTTATCATATTTTAATGTATGGCTTTTGTATCAGTACAAAGACATAGTGTCATATAATACTTTCTTTAAGCCAAATATGAAATAATCATCCAATTATCTTAAAAACTAGCCTTACCTTTATATTTTGTAGATTTTTTTCAGAAATAAGAAAATATGATAACCCTACAAAAATAATACCAGAGTCAGAAAGAGACTTAATATTTTGTGATATCTTATAATTCCCAAATGCATTATCTTTCCCCTTACAACATATCCAATAATCCATCATATCAGCCCAATTATCTGATGGAAGATTTCTCCAATGTTTTATTTGATCTTTATTCAATAAAGAACCCAAACAAAACCCACAACAAAAATCAGAATTAGGATCAATATATACTGCTGACCACGGTGATATCTCATTCATACTCTTAATAGATAAATTACTTAATGGAAGACGGATTGATAAAGTATTAGGTTGCTGATCTACTCGTATAGATACATCTTTTTCAATTTCATCAGGAAGAAAAATAATTTCTGAAATCTTATTGGATTTTATAGAAATAGAATGTGTATTAAAAAGCTTTAAAGAGCTTGGTTGATATATATTTTCTGAAAACTCTAAAACAAGGTTGATAACTCGAATATGTGAAAGAGCTTCTGCAATAAAAAACAAATCTTTCTTAGGCTTTTCAATATCCATAATTAAGCAATACTATTATGTATAATTATCATTTTCTTCTAATAAAATTATATTAAATCATAATATTCATAAGATATATTTAAAAAATACATTACCCTAATTTTTTCAAGTCTAAAATCATAAATGTATTTTTTGTAGTAATATATTGATTTCCCATTATTTGATGTGAAGAGCCTTTAAAATATAAATAAATTAGAAAAATATGTAATGCCTAGAAAACAAATTCAAAAAAATATAGTAAGAAAAAAATTAATTATATTTTGAAAGCATGTGATTTGAAGCCATTTCAGCAAAATCAAGGAAGCTTAGAGGTAAAAAGTATTTATAACTGAAAGCATAGCATTAGCTTATAAAGATTTTTAAAAATCATAAGCAATATCAACTCGATCCTAATTTAGAGTAGTTCATAATATTTCATTAATATATTTCAAAGCTTGTTTATAAACATTTAAGAGCTAAAACATGTTATTTTTTTCAATAATAACAAATATTACCTTTTGAAATTTTTCTCGTTCCATTCTCAATGTTTCATCTTCATAAAGTAAATCATCAAATAATTCCTCTCTATACAATTCAGTAACAAGCCTGTTTTGAAGACATTCTTTGCAATAATTCACAAGAAAATGCATAATAGCTTTTGGGACTTGATCTTGAATAGTTTCTCGTACAGTATTAAAATAGGATATTATTAAACTACGAATTAAATTAACCTCCAATTGCTGTCTTTCAGTTATATTTTCATCATAACCATTCTTTTAGATAAATTAGCAAATAAATATCTATTTAAAAACTTACATCAGCAATATCTAATGAATCTTTATTTAGAGATACTATATCATAAGAAATAGAATTATCTGGAGATTTAAGTGTATTCAAATCCTTTTCTGAAAATGGAATTAATGGTTGTGGAGATTTTGTATATTCTTTTTTATCATTGCTAAAAAAATTAAAAAAAAGCTCCTTGATATCAGATGAATTAATATTTCCTGTTGAATTTGAAAATATTCCACTTTGTAAAGCGAGATCGCTATTCAATTCAAAACAAGGAATTCCTGTTTCACGAGGACAAGTATTATTCTGTGTTATATTATTGGTTAAATCATTAGATACTGATCGTGAAGATTCCAAAGTTCCATTTGTTGCAATTATACTTCCAGATACCTTGAAATTATGTTATTACATATAATTTTTATTTATATTTACCCTTCTTTTATTATCTGTTTCTTTTTTATCTGTTTTTATATTTTTTTTATCTTTAGAATACTGAAAAATAGAAGAAATCAAACCCATTCTATCAACAAAATTTGGATTATCAATATTTATATATGCCATTTGAATTAGTATTAAACTTTCAACATAATTAGATGTAGGTTCTAGTCGTTCTCTTAATAAATCTGACATGATTTCAATAAGTTTAGTTTGAAGTCGTGGATATCTCTCAAGTTCCTGAAAATGATTAAAAAGTTTGAATTAAATAGATTTGTTTTACATTATTACAACATGCATAAGATACTTTTATACATTCTTCATAAACAAGTTCAACGCATCTTCGACTTGGCATTTCAAGCAATTTAATTTGAGGTTTTACAAGAATATCAAAAGCAAGACCAGGAATAAACAAAGATGACCGAGGACCAGACGAATTTCTAATAGCAGTTCTAATATTTTGAACAGTCAAATTTTCTGTTGGATCAATCATATTTAAAGCATGTTTAAAAATATTATTAAATATATAGTAAATTCTAGCTCCACCACAAAGCTCTTTTATTGAAATTTCAGAAGATGTTCCATCAATAGAAGAAATAAAGGCATTCGAAAATCCATTTATAAGATAAAGTAAAGCAGAGCCCTATAAGATTAATTAAAACCAGTAAATTTAAATATACAAATACCTTATTTTTTGCCATAAGATAATGACTATCAGAAGAAGAAATTGCTTGTCGTGTCTGTTCTATAAGTGTAATAAGCTTTGTTTTTATATCAGGAAGTTTTTCTCGAATATGCTGCATAAGAATCTATCTTTCATTAATTGTGTTAAAACAAATATAAAAATCAAACAATATTCAAGGATTTAACAAGATATGGTGTGCCGCATAAATGTGATATATTCTTATATATAGGATGATTACAAAAAAAGTCCCGTTCAAAACGCAATGAATCCTTTAAGCTTTTATTTGTTATGATATCTTGTTGACTACGATTAACAACTGCAATGAATCCAAGTTTCAAAGGATATACACGCCCCAATAAAATATCAAGTGCATTGGTACCATGATCCATTAAATCAAGTTTTGTAAGAACTCCAATCGTCCTTTTTCTCTGAGGATCAACTTGGCGTGCAAGTTTTAAGGATTCTGAATTAACCAAATCCACATTTGCAGGTGTTACTGCCAAAATAATACTATTTTATTTATTTAACCAATATTAATATACTCCTATGAAAAAAGTTACCAATTCGGTTTTGCAATATAATCTTGAATAAGAGAACGTACTTGACGTTCAATATCTGATGGTTGATCACCAACTGGATTTTTTGTCAATCCTGGAAGATCCACTAATGTAAGATTTAAAACATAAGGAGAAAATATTTTAAGTTGAATAGGCAATCTATTAATTCCCTTATTATTTCCTGCAACTCTAAACGTTTCATTTTCAATTTCACTACGAACTTCTGTAAATTGTGTATATCGTTTTCCTGGATTATGGGAAAACTCTGCCCATTCTTGTTCTTTATCTATAGAACTTTTTGTTTTAATATTTGCCGATGGAGATATGTTAATAAGCTGCAATATTAAAGGGCGTCTAGTCACAATTCCTGATCCACGAGGCAAGAAATCCTTACCAACAATATTTTCCAAGACTGAGCTTTTACCACTTGATTGGCTTCCAACAACAACAACCTTTAATTATCTTAAAGAATGCCTTTTAAACTACAATAAACAATACTTGAGGTAAATCAATACTGTCTGTTCCAATAGTATTAAATACAAGATCTTGAAGCTTATTTAAAAGCGGAATCATATCCTCTAAAGATCCCATTTTTATAATTTTACTTTATCTAAGAATATTAACTAAGTTTTATTATATAAAAAGACATAATACCTTCTTAATATTAAGAATTAAGAGTTTTATAAGGTTTTTTCTCTAAAAATTTATTGTATAGTCTAAAAATATAAAATAAAGGTTATGTTGAATCTCGTATAGTAGAATATAGCTTTATATTTTATAAAATTATAGGGAAAATATGTTATTCATATTTATAAATAAATACATTTGAGAAACAATTGAATAATGTTAATTTTTTATTTTTATATATATTTTTTTTAAAAAAGTGAAAAATGAGTGGAGATCATCTTTTTCAAGTACCTTTTTTAAAAATTAAAAGCTTAAGATAAGATTTATCTGAAATATCCTTCAAAATTATATAAAAATATTTATGAGAAACCAAGTTTCATAATTTGTTATGCTAAAAATTCGATGCGTACATAATAAACCATTCATTATTTTCCAATAATTTAAGATAGTAAGTATAAATTATTTATAAAAAATGCAGATATTTTTTTCATGCTCTTGCTTATCTATTTAACCCTTGGATGTTTACAAGACGTATCCGATTATTTAATGTATTTAATTCTTTTAGAACTTCATTCGCTTGATCAATATTTTTCTCATTTTCTTTCTCTGAGGATTCAACACGTTTTCGTAGTGCATCTAATATTTCTTGAAAATGCGTTACATATTGTTCTTGCGATACTTCTAATTGTTTTTGTATTTTTTGAATCATTTCTCTTTCTGCTATATTTTCTGATGATAATTGTTTTATCTCTTCTTCGAATCGTCGAATATGTTTTCCATCTTCTTCACGCTGTTTTTGCAAAATATTCACTCGATTAGATAAACATTCTAATTCTACCCTATATTTCTTTTCTAATACCGTTATCTCCCTCCCAAGTGCATCATATTCTTTTTCTGCTTTATATAACTGAGATACTTTTCTAATAATTTCATCATTCATTTCCCTTATTCTCTTACGATCTCCAATACACTCGTCTTCTAATTCTAAATTACGTTTCTCTAGCTTCTCTAGCTTCTTCTCTAATTCCCTCCGTCTTTCTATCCCTTCTTTAAACGTACGCTCTTTTCGTGCCAAAATACTACTAAAATTCTCATTTTCTACTTGCAATCGCTCAACAATTTCCTTAATTCCAACATATTGCTTCAATAACGCTTCACGTGCCTTTCTCTCCGATTCACATGATGTAATCGCTGCATTCCGTGACACTTTTAATGCATCAATTTCTTTCTGTAAACTTTCAATCACACGCGACGTCCCCATCCAAATCTGCTGCTTCGGCGTTGACTTTTCATACACTGATTCCTCCTCTGATATACCCTCTTCCCTAACACTTTTCGTCAAATTCTCCAGCCGCTGCAATTCTGCACTCGTTCCTGCTTTATACCTCCCATCAATCTTCCTTTTTTTTAATTCTTTCCCTACCAATTTCATGTCGCAACGAATGCAACTGGCTCCTTAAAATACTATCCTCTCCAGTCATTTTATTAGCTTATATCTTTGCTTTTTAGGCCTTATTTCTACTCAAAATATCCTCATTTTTAAGCTCTGCTATTATATTAGATTAATCTTGACGTCTCGAGAGTAGCAGGTCGGAGGGCTTATATATAATATAGAGATAGAGAATATTAAGAAAAGGATATAAATTAAGGGAAAATAAGTAGAAAATAAGAATTATAAAAGAATTTATTTATATTATTGTGTAAAAGTGATTTCGGAAGGAGAAATGTTAAAAGAAGTTGAGGAATGATTGATAGAAGAGTTAGAATTAATAGGTATTTGAAGAGGTTGTGAAGAATTAAGATATGGACGATATTTGGTTAGAATTCGTTCAATTGGGATTATTAGATCAGAATCTAGTAGATATTAGAGGGAAAAGAATTAAAAGTAGAATTACGATTTTCAGAGCTTAATTTTTGTATAAAGTTAAGACAAATAGATCTTACAGGAGGTCTTAGCATGATAAGATATCTATTATAGGATTAGCATGATAGATGTAGTGGAATTGGATATACTGTAATGCAGCAAAACCAAGTTTACTTCGATCAGGATCTAGACAGAGGATTCGTAATCGATGAATACAAGTTTCAGATAATTCAGGAAGATCAGAAAGGAATCGTAAAAAAGCTTTATTAGAACCATCAACAAAGGGTAAAACGCCATCAAGAACCATAAGAGTCCATTTTTCATATTGAGGGCCTTCCCAAGTTAAGCATTCTTCTTTGCTTTTACGCAACATTAAATTATCATTATACCATTCTTCACTTAACCAAGTTACAGCGAATTGAATACGTTCTTTAAAATATGATAAAACATATTCTAAAAGTTTATTTCTTACAAAATGAGAAAAAGAAGCTTGATCTTTATAATTATTTTTATGAATATCATTTGAAGTGACAAGACCTCTAGTACAAAGACGAGAGATAAGCCTAATCCAGCTTTGTTTATTCCATTTACTAGTTTTTAAAGTTTCAATGTCAAGAATTCGTGCAGGTTTCTGATCATCAGATGTTGTATTTTTAAAAGCGTTTAAAAATAATCTATCCATAACATTATGAAAATGTTTTGTTATAAGAGATGGCGTAAGTGGTTGTTGATCGGGAAGTTCAAAAGAGATTGCTTTTATGCCTTTTTCCTGGTAATTTTTTTCTTGTTTAACTTGTAGATCACGTATTTTTGAAACGTTCTTATTCGATTGATATATAGATGCCTCAGATAATTCAAAATCATCCTCCTCAATATCAGTAATATTTGCTAGAGCTTCTTTGGATGATTTATTATCTTCAATTTTAGATGCGATCTGTTGAGAATGTTCTAATAATCTTGATCGCAATATCTAGTAATTGATTAGCATTTGAAATTAGATATTTAGATTCTACATTGATGCAGCGTTCAAAATGATCATGTTTAACATATAGAAGATTTTCAATTACAATTCTTGCAACAAGTTCGTGAGGAAGCTGAGTGATATCAATAGAAAGTAAAGGATTGTCTTTTTTTATTTGACTAAGTGCGAACAATGAGATGATAGATGAATTATGGTTAATTTCTATGTTTTCCTGTGGATTTAAATTCTCTATTTTTACCCTTTTCACAGAAAAATGAGTGATATCAGAAAAAAATCTTTTACGAGAAATATCATCTTGCATATCAAATTTCTCTTGTGTAGAAAGATATTGACTAATTTTTGAAGCTAAAGATCCTGCAGAATTATTTCTATGATTTGATTAATATATAATTATAAAAAGCTTTAAAAAAGAAAACCTTAGAAGATTGGTTAAAACAATTGTAATATTTTTAATCAAAGATCGTATTTGAATTTGCATTTTAATATCATCGGGTGCTTTAATGGTATCATCTATGGGATTAAAACCTAAAATTCCATTTATAATTTTTGTATTAGTATCTAATCTATTCTTAGCCAGGACAGTCAAACAATTTAAAGTAGCACTAATTATAAAGGGGTCCCTAAACTAATCAATATTTCAGATAAAACTTTTACGGTTCACTACAATGGCTTTTCATATATATTTTCAATAAGTCTATCTAAAAAACCTTTGGCCTCAGCTTCAAGGTCAATACTATGTAAAAAAGGATGTTTAGGCGGAATCAAATTCAAAGAAATATCCGATTTATTAATAAGCTATCATAATTAAATTAAAAAGTTGTTTTTTACAACTTACCCTCGGATCTTTTGTACCTAATGTTTGGGTCTGTATTATATTTTGAACAAATTTAATACATGAAATACGAATCCCTTTATGTTTTGATTCCCATAACTGTAATATTCTTGTCTTAATATGTGTCATTTGGTTCCAAACTGTAATATTTTGTTCCATGCATCTACATACATTTAAAATCTTTCTAAAAAAGTTCTCTCCATAATAAAAACTTACGTATATCGAAATATAATAGGATAAAGCGCTGAACAGCTTTGAATAATATTCTTCAACAATATAATATCTTCAAATTGTACATAATTAACCAACGTCTCAAGACATTGTAACCCAAGCTTTTCTTTATTATCAATCGATAAATTCGGCGTTGTAAAAAGTAATGCAAAAAACTTCGCTACCCATTGACGTATCACAAGTTCTGATCTTGCTGCAATAGGTAAAATACCCGGAACAATCTGCAGAAAAAACGTTGCATCTTGTTCTACTAATTCCCATATCGTATTTAACTGAGAAAGCTGAGTACTCGTCTCTTCGTTCATCAAAATCCTCCCTGATCTTAGTGATCCCCTTAGATCCCTAATAAATATCATATTTAAATACATTTTACCCACAATTTATCTCTCAAATACCTTATTTTCTCTATAAAATTTTTTTCCTATAATTCGATCGCTCCATACAGACCTTTTACTGCGATTCTCGACTAAGACAATTATATATATAATATATATATATACTAAACCTTTATAATTAAAGGTTCTTTCTATAGAAATATGAGAAACAGATTTATATGTCCATTTCCACGGGATAATAAGCGTTTTTATTCTACTTCTTATCAGAATTCTGAAGTTTTACGTCATATTCGTAAACAATATGCTTTTCGGAATGGAGTAACAGGTGCCTTTCTATTTATCTTTATTGGATCTGTATGTAAGTTTTGAAGTTATCTTTATGTATATTTTTATTTATGACTTTAGATTTTTATTCTATCTATGCCGTTAAGCAGGATGATTTAAGTGATGTATTACCATCAGAAGGGTGAGGATGGGATTTTAAGATAGAGAAGAGTAGGGATAGGAATAGGAATAAGAATAGGGAATTAATATTTTATTTAAATTTTATAATTATACCCAGTTTTTTTTTATATGGGTTGATATTTACTCTGGTTAAACGGAGAGAGAGGAGATAAAGATATAAATATGTTTGTATTTTAGAAAATATTAAAAATAACCAATTTTTTGCTATTTTTGTAAGGGCTTAATGAAAAGATAAGAGCGTTTAAATATTGTATATTAGAGGTGTTGTATTTAGTGTTAAGAAATAAGAATATCTTAATTAATATAATAACGGGTTAATAAGTTAGTGACTAAAAAATTAGTGCGTAGAATTGATATGTGCCTTGAATATTAGAAAATAGATTGATTTTGTAAAGAAATAATATAAATTTGTTGTTTTTTATTGTATTTTTGTAAAGATGAGTTATAAGAATATGGGTTATAGAAAAACTTTTAAAAAACACGAGATACAAGGTAATATTAAGAAAGAAATATATGAAGTATCAGAACCGATTTGCTGGATGATTTATGTGGTTAAATGGAGTGATTTTCGGTTTTTAATTTTGCCAATTATTTTACTATTTGGAATTATTGTACGAGCACTTGTAGCACTTGGCACATTTTCAGGCAAATAATAGATTTTTGATCTGTAGAACTTCAATTGAACAGGGTTTTAGGAGGGAATCAGGGGGGTAAATATGGGGATTTTGAGGCACAGAGACATTGGATGGAAATAACACTACATTTGCCGATAAAAGAATGGTATTTCTATGATTTGGAATGGTGGGGACTAGATTACCCGCCTCTAAGTGCCTATTTATCATATATATATGGGAAAATGTTTGATTATTTAGATATATGATGTTAAAATTTACAAAAATAGTGGAAATCTTATAGAACCCTCATGGTTTGCTTTAGATACATCACGCGGCTTACAAACAGAAGATCTAAAGTTTTATATGAGAATGACAGTTATTGTTTCGGATTTTATAATATATTTTCCAGCTGTAATACGTTTTTCCCGATATTGGAAGCGATTAGAGAAAGGAAGTGCTTTGAATACTGTATAGTTATTTAACAGTTTCTTCATTTTTCCTAATTATTGAAAAGTATTCATCAATTGCACTGATACTTTTGCAACCAGCACTAATTCTCATTGATCATGGTCATTTTCAATATAATAATGTTATGCTTGGGCTGGTACTCTTGTCATTATGTTATTTTATCAATGATAGATATATTCTTGGTTCTATTTTTTTTGTTTCTTCAATTTGTTTTAAACAGATGTCTTTATATTATTCGCCTTTGGTATTTTTCTACCTTCTTGGCCTGTGCATTAAACCACAACTCAATATTTGTCGATTTATTTATATAAGTATTGCAACAGTTTCTACATTTGCACTTATTTTTTTTCCTTTATATATTTATAGTGGGTATAATGGTATTCTTCAATGTATCCATAGATTATTTCCTTTTCAAAGAGGGTTGTGGGAAGATAAAGTTGCAAATGCATGGTGTGTTTTAAATACTATTATAAAGTTTAAACAGAGATATCATACTCCTTATTTAATAAAATTAAGGAAAGTTTATTATTTATATATTCATAATTAACCAATAGTAGTTCAATTGCAACTTTAATTTCTATATTGCCACCTTGTTTAATTATTTTTTTGAAACCAAAGATATACCTTTTACCATGGGGTCTTACATGTTCTGCATTTGGTTTTTATCTATTTTCATATCAAGTACATGAAAAGTCAATATTACTTCCATTGATGCCTGCAACAATACTGCTTCTTACTCTAAATAAAAATGCAAAAGCTTGGATAGGTTGGATTAATATTATAGCAACATTTAGGTATGGTTTCTATTTTTTTTATCTTTTAACATCTTTAAGTATGTGGCCTTTATTAAAAAAAGATGGATTAGAATTACAATATACAGTTTTGCAAATTTATTGGTTATGGCTTGGAGGATTCATGTTCTTTCCATTAAATAAATTCGAAAAATTTATTCATAAGGTTTTTCTTCAAAATAATACTTGCACTTTCTTATTCTCTTATAGGCGTCATATGCTATACTCATTATAATACACATTTTAGATGCATTTGTAACTCCTCCTTTGCATCATCCACATTTGTGGATCCTCTTGAACATGCAATTGAGTTTCACATGTTTTGGAATATTTTGGTTATGGTCTTTATGGAAATTATGGTTAAAGTCTGGAATTTGGACGAGTATAAAAATAAAACAAAAATAATATTTTATTTCTATTATTATATCTATTTTTCCAAAAATTGGTAAATTGATCTTTAAATTTATATTATTTTAATAACATTAATTAAAAGCAGAATGAAAAAATAGAATAAACTGAACTTATACAACATTTAGTCACCTTTTAAAAGGTTTTCCGAAAATATTATTACCCATTCTTATTTATAAGCAATTTTGAAGAAATCAAAAAATGATGAATATATACATCAAAAACTCTTATAGGAAAATCGAATTAAAGAATTACAACACCGAAATATAAATCAAGGCCAAAGAAATTATAAACAAATATTTTTAAATATAATATCCATATTTCGCCATGCATCTAGAAAGGAATACAATTAGTCTATTTTACAGAAATAACTAACAATGGATCATTAAAATGAAAGGCTCAAATATATAAATAATAAAACTCTTTATTCAGCTGATCCATATTAAAACATACTGGCGATGTGCTTCAATCAATTCTTTACACATTATTAACGGATCACCTTCTTTTGAGACCATACAATCATCTCTAGCTTTTTTTGTTTCTAAACAAACACAACTATCGCTTTCAGTAATCTTAAAAATTTTAAAAAAAAACAAAGACTTAGTATTTCTTCTTCAATACTAAGTTACTTTGGCTTTTTCTTACCATGGCTTAGGCTTTTCTTCTGAAGGATCTACATTTTTCTTAGATTCTGCCATTTTATTAAATATATTGGATTTATAGACTTTCATAGGGTTTAATTAAGGGTTTAAGTAAGGGATTAAGTAAGGGCTTCATAGCTCCAGGTTTAGGTTTATAGACTTATTAACTGCTATCGGTTTTTCAAGTCTTTGATTTTTTTATAATTTTTCAAGGCATTTTTTCATAGGAAATGGCTGCTAATAATTGTATATTTTCGCTCTCAGGAAGGGGTCTAAAGCTTGAAAGCAAGGAGGAGGTTCTTAGTGTTATTAAGGAATTGATTTCAGAGAAAAATATTCGTGAAATTTATTTAAATGGGAATACTTTGAGTGTTGAGGCATGTCAGATATTAGGAGAGGTAATTCGTACGAAGAAGGATTTAGAGGTATGAAATGGAGGGGTACGGGGGCTATCAATGGATTCTGAGAAGATTTTGTATAGGTAGTGGATTTTTCAGATATTTTTACGGGTAGATCAGCTAAAGAAATCCCGTTTGCATTAGAATATTTGTTATCAGGGCTTTCTTCATGTGAGAAATGTAGTACGGTTTATTTGAGTGACAATGCTTTTGGATCTACGGCGTCTGAACCATTAATTGCATTTTTATCTCGACATCGGCCACTTAAACATCTTTATTTGACCAATAATGGGTTAGGACCGTCTGCTGGGGCATGCGTTGCACGGGCCTTAGAAGAATTAGCAGAGATCCAAAGTCTAGATCCGCCTGTACATTTGGAAACTCTAGTTTGTGGTAGAAATCGTTTAGAAAATGCAAGTATGAAAGCTTGGTCGGCATGTTTCCGAGCACAGAATAAGTTAACACATGTAAAAATGCCGCAAAATGGAATTCAATCTCAAGGGATTCGTATTTTGCTTGAAACAGGGCTGACAGCATGTTCATTATTACAAACTCTTGATTTGCAAGATAATACATTTACACTTTTGGGTGCAAAAACTTTAGCAAAAATGCTTCCGAAGTGGCCACATCTTATAGAGCTTGCAGTTAGTGATTGTCTTTTATCAAGGACTGGGGGGAAATTATTGGCTCAGGCTTTATTTGATAATAATTTTATGCAATTGAAAATATTGAGATTGCAGTACAATGGAATTGATGAAGAAGGTGTAAAAATATTAGCGAATGCAATAGAAAGGACACTTCCAAGTATAGAGTTATTAGAATTAAATGGTAATGTGTTTTCAGAAGAAGATGAATCAGTAGAAAAAATTAGAAGAATTTTTGAAAAACGAGAGAAAGGCGTAGTGGATGACTTAGATGATATGGAGGAGCTTTCTGAGATGGATAGTTCGGAAGAATTGTCTGAACCAGAAAATTCAGATGATTCGAGTAAGAACTTTGATGATATTGAAGAAAAGAAAGTCGAATTTCCTATCAAGAAAGAAACGGGAACAAATATTTCTACTTTATTGGAAGAAACACACTTGGTGTAACGTAAAACATGCTTGAATTCATCATAATACTATAATAATATCGAAAATAGTCATATATCATAAAAAATATTCTAATTATAATCTTAGATCAGCACTTATATCATTTAGTGTTAAGTTCTTAAATACAAGTTCTTCAATACTAAAAAAGAACCTATCTATGTTTTTTTATCATTCTGGGATTGTTTAAGATCTAATTCAGATTTAAGTTTCCTAATAATGTCCTCGAAACGTTTTTGAAGTATTGGGTTTGTTGTTGTTTTTAGTTTTTCCGTGTTTGCAGCAATTGTAGCATTAAGTTCAGCTATTTCGTCATCTAATAATCTTTGATGATCTTCTGCCCATCGTGCTTCTTCATCTAATATTTATTAAGGAAAATATATCCCAGAATAAATATAATCTACCTATCTCTTCACTTGAATCTTCATTATCATCACTTCTTGAATCATCTTGAGGAGTTTCTGTTTCTTTTGTAAAAGCAGGTGTTTGACTTGTTTCTCTATTATCTAGTTCCATCATTGCTTGTTCTAGCTGATCTGCAAGATAATCCTCATCTGCATCATCATATTGTTCATTTTCTATATCCATTGTATCGGTATTCTCATAATATTCTTTTTTAGATGAATTTTTGGGTTTATTAAATAATGATTCATTTTCCAAAACAAAAGAATTTTCTCTACTTAAAAGTGACGCTGGAATGATTTCATAACTTGACAATTCTGCCATTGCATCTAAAGAAAGAAGTCTAGTTACCTCTGCTTCAATCATTTCAATAGTCTATAATATAAAATTAATATTTCATTAAAAATTTCTTTAAAAAAAATATTAATGATAGAAATACCTTATGTGAAAGTCGTTTTCTAAACCGTCTTTTCCTTACCCATTTTAATGGCGGTGTTAAACCATGAGGATAAATATATTCGGAATGTTTTATTGGCATTGATGTTATTATTTCTTCATTTTCAATTCTATTTTCAACTAAAAGCATCTAAAAATTAGGCCTTTTATCCTTACTAATTTCCAAAATATACCTGACAAATATCTGCTACTTTATAAATCGTTTTTCTATCAAATGTCTTGCTTGATTCAATAATACATGGCAAATCTACCATCTTTGCTGAATACATATGGTTGTTTACGACAACAATTGCCCTTCTACTGTCTCATTTTTTCTCAATATTTTATATTTTCCATATATATATATATACTACCTTTAAATTTTATATAAAAATCTGCCCCATTGCCAATTGTTTTCTCTTCAACTGCTTTTCTTAAATACTCTAAATCTTCCCCATTGCACATCCTTAAAATAAATTGTTGTTCAATATATGGATCATCCTCTCTATCTGATGCCTCTGAATCATATCCAAGACCTGGTTCTCGATATGCTCTTAAACGAATCTTTGTTCCTGTATTTACTTGGCCTTGACCTGATGATTTTGCCTTTAATTTTGGCTGTATAGGCTTCTTTTCTGAGCCTCCCCCAAGTTTTACTCTGATTTTTAACATTTTCTATCCTTTAATATAAAAAAGTATTGAATATTAAGAATTAATAAACGCCTTTTATACAAAAAATATATTGGATATGTGTGTAATATAGAAAAATATATTTGTTTCTGTGTTTTTAGGGTGACTTGTTGAATAAAATAGGTCTTTTTCTTGAAAAAAATGTATTTTCTCAATCAACTGTTGAGCTGGAGATAAAAGATAGAGATATTGATATTAAAGATCTTGAAACCAAAGTATCTTTGGAAGAAGAGATCTATCAAGATAAGAAACTTGTATGTATTTTTTATGTATAAAAATAAAAATTAATTTATTGGTATTGAAGATTGAAATTTATGAACAGAGAAAAAGAGACAATAAAGAGGGTTTAAAGGCTCTAAAAAGGTTAAAAGAGGGGGATAAAGTATGGGTTAATGTAGATAATCTTTTTATGAGGCAAAAAGTTAAAGAAACACTTCAATGTATAAAAGAAGGTAAAAAATAAAATATGTTTTTATATTTAAAATATTTTACAAATTAAGATGATGAATATTTGGAATCAGAAACCAAAAAAGTAAAGGAAAGGTTATTTTGTTTATCTGAAAAACTTGAAGTTTTAAAGAATAGAAAATGATGAATTAACGATAATAAATAAATATATATATGTTTTTGTTTTTTTGATTTGGATATTAAGAAACAAAATGTTATTTTCCCCAGCGCATCTCAGCATTTGCATAAAGCTGTAACCCTTTTATAAATACATGATAGTTTACAGAATCATCATTTTGAGCGAAACTAAAATAATAATTAGAAAAATAAATAAGAAATTAAAAAGATATTAACAAAATTTCAGTAAATCTGATTTGCCATGGTGGGAATCCTTGAAGTGTACAAGTTGATGTAAATACCATTAATAATTGTGGTTCAGTTAAAAGAAAAGCTTAAAAATTAATATATATTTCACTTTTAATTATATAATCGTACCATTCATTCCGGAATCTACTAATTCAATACTAATATCTTTTGTTGAAAATTTACCAGATTGAGAAAGTTCACATAATGTTTTTGTTAAATCAACCAATGATTCCCTCCCATCTTCTTGAGAAATAAAATTTATTTCAAGATCTACAAGATAATTTGTTTCATTATCATTAAAATTATCATTAGAAAAAAAAGAAATATAAGGTGAACGAATTTTTATATTATGTCTTGATCTTCCAAAATAACTTTGCATTTTTTGAGATATTATATGATATGTAGTTGATTGATATTCTTTTATACGTCCTAAAAATATTTCATTTTCCTCCTCTTTTAAATAAAATTTACCTTCTTTTTCATATATTGTTAAAATCCTGATCCCAGAAGATAAACACCAACATGATAACTCTGCAATTTGATGAATAAGCAACTCCACTCCTCCTTCTTTTTTATATTCTAAAATTATAGCTAAATGATTAGGAATCTTCTTTAATCCTCCAACATCTTTCTTAATAATCTGTGGTGTACGATGATGATACTTTGTTATTGCTGATACATATTCTCCCAATGTATAACGTAATGTACATAAACGAATCCATATAGAAAACGCTGTTTGAAGAAAAATAAATACTGCTTTATAAAGAAGAATTGCTACTGGTGATCTTGGAGGATTCCACATATAATAAATATGTTATTTTTATTATATTTTATAATTAAAAAAGATATTAACTTTCTTAATTATAAAGTCTTAAGAAATTAAACAAAAATATCTCTTTTTAATATGCAAATCTTAACTTTTTCTCTGTCTAAATTAAAGAATTATTAAAATTTAAGTTTATCGTTTATAAAAGTTATTAAAAATTATTAAAAATTGTTAAAAATAAGTTAAGACTTTTTAAAATGTATGATAGAGATCCTTATAATATTGACCAAAGTATATTAAAGCTGTTAACTACTGAGCTATTCAAGGCAAATAACTTTTCTTTAACTACATTTATTGAAAAATTAAGTGAATCATGTAATTTAGAGGATCAAGAATGTCCAGGAAGTAAGAAGAAGTATTAGAAAGGGTTTTTTTTATTAGGGGAATATAGATTTTAATCCTAAGCCTTATATTCGTGTTTTTGAAGCGGCTTTTGACCGTTTAGTTGTGATGAATTCAGAAGTTTTGTCAAATATTAAGGAAAATGAGGCAGAGGCCAAAAAAGCAGATATTGATCATTGTTCAAAGGTTAGAAAGGTTAAAGAGAAGTTTGATGTGAAGGAAATTATATGATAATTATTTTTATTAATGGTTTTACAATAGAATATAGTGAAAGAATTCAATATTTTGGAAAATGAAATTAATACATCAGGAAAACAAGCAATTAAGTTAGGTATTTATATATTTTAGAGTTATATTTTATGATACCTATATTTTAAAAGGAAAGGAATTTGAAAATATTAGTAAACAGAATTCTAAGGCACAAGAAATCAAATTATTAATTCAATCGTATATTGAAATAGAAAAAGGCAATTTTAGTTCATTAGAAAATCTTCGTTTAAAGGGTTCTATGGAATCTCAAGCACTTTGTGCATCTTTAACGAAAAATCTTCTTTTTTTAAAAAAAGATATTAATCTTTCTGGATCATCTAAAACAATTGAATCATTAGAGAAATTTTCAGAAATACTTGAAAAAAATCTTTTAGAATGTTTTGATAAAGCATATAGAGAAAGCAATTTGAATGATATGGCGGTATAGAACTAAGTTTTGATGATATTATTTTTACAAATTAATAGGAATATGCAAAGATTTTATTTGATTTTAATGGAGGAGGTTCTGCTATTAGAAATTTTGTTAATCAACATGATTTTTTCATTGCACCAAAAAATCTTCAAGAACAAGGAATTAACAAGAATGATGAAATGTAAGTTATGTTTATTTATTGAAAAGAAAGATGATTTATATGTTTAGATGGAAAGAATTATCTGATCCTGATATAAATGTTTCAGAAAGCGATTTTCTAATGAAATCAAATTTTCACTCTCTTATTGATTTAGTTAGAAAAACTATTAAAACAGAATATAACATTATCCGAACTGTTTTTCCTAATCCTTCAGTTGTGTTTCAGATTTTCTTACAAAGAATATTTGCACAATCGGTTTATCTATTATGATGTTACTTTCTATTTTAATTTGCAATTTAGATACAATTACGACTTGAAGAAATTATTAAATATGCTGAACTAAATTCTACTTTGGCTTATCTCCGCGTATTACATGTTACACGTAGCTCATTGACAGATCTTGTTGAGGATTTAAAGCTTTTTGAACAAACGTCCTTATCATCTGATTTATCTAACGAATTTTCAAGTTTAGTTAGTTATACATTAGAGCAATGTTTAAATGACATGTTTATTCCTTATTTAGAAGGATCTAGATATATTGAAAAAGAAAGGAAATCTTTGAATGAATTATATAGCTCTTTCCTTAGTAACTTTAATCTGTATCATGTAGGTTATAATTTTTATATTTCATTTTATATTTATTTGAATTAGGCTCAAAAAAAGTCCTTAAAAAATTCAACAATGCTTGATAGAGTCGTCAGTCGCTTTCAAGCAGCTACTATATCAACTCAATCAACATTAACTTTTGTACGAGATAACGATGGAAATTATAGTATGAAATAATCAAAATAACTATTTTTTGAGATAATAACTAGATTAGGGAAATCATGCATTTATAGAGATCGTAAAGAAAAAGGTGAATCTAGATTAGATGAATTTGAAATCACTGAGAATGATGGAAAATGCACTTTAAATTGTATTAATAAATTTTTGAAATGGAATGCAGAGGCTATCGGTAGAGTTGTTGAATTATTTCCTCAGAGTGAACTGTAAGTTTATATTTTAGATATATTTATTTATTTAACTTCTTAGTACAAAAGATTCGTTTTCAGTACTTAGAGTATTATTTGAATATGTTTTTTCTATTTATTTAGATACAGGCCTAGAAACGTATCTAACTTGTTAAAATGATAAAAGTTAACTTTTATAGAATCCTTGATACTATTGAGTCTTATGATGGAAAAAATGAACCAGAAATAAAATATTTCGAAGAATTAAAACAAATAACGATAATTGTCAATTTGCTTTCAACATACTTTAATATTGTTATTCTTCCTCTTGTTTCTTTTTCTCTTACACTAAAAAGAGATGTAATTGTTTCTATTAATAGTAACATTTTAAAAATTGAAAATAAAATAGACTTGATAATTCAGAAATGTGTTGATGGTGAGTTTTAAAAAAAATATATCTATTTATCATTTGATTTTGGTATTAGTAATTTTAAATTGGATAAACGTTTTGCTTAATAAACAAAAGAAAAATGATTTTAAACCTAGAGATAATGATCAGAGAATGGAGAATTTAAGTACTGAGGTTTAATTAATATAAAATTTTTTACAATGAAAATTAATACGATAATTAGCCATGCAAGTTAGTTGTACAATTTATTTCTAAAGTTTATAATATTGCTTATGATAATCTTATTGGATTGAATCTTGAAAATTTTCTTGTTATTCTTGGGATGTCATTTCTTAAACTTTTATTAGAACATTTTAAGAAATTTTTTGTAAGTCCTTCAGGTGGATTAATATTAACAAAGTATTTTTGATATATATTTTTACTTTATTTTTTTTATAATATTTAATAGGGATTTAACTGAATATGAAAAATGCATTAGGGCCTGGGGAATCCCTAAATTAAATGAAAAATTCAAATTACTTCATGAACTTGGCAATATTTTTATTGTGAGGTATTAACTTAATTATCATTCTAAATTAATAATTAACCAAAATTAGATCGGATATTTTAGAATCATTACTTAATCAAGGGATACTGGGTCGTATTAATTTAAAATATTTAATACCATATATTTCAAAAAGAACAGACTATTATACCTCTGATATCAATAAAATTGTATATTTCAATTTATCTAGAAATAATCTAACTTTGCTAGATTTCAAATGAAGAAATTCATGATTAAAAAGTTATTGTAAATTAATTATTTTACACATAAAAAGTTATTTTTATATAGAAATACTGTTACGAATTTAAAAGTTGGAATTATCTATTATTGAATAATTTTAACCCTAATCCATTTTTTTATCCTCAATCCACTTCAATATATTAATATATTATGTTTTAAATATATGAAAACCTTATTACCTTTAATGAACGTTTTATTCCTTCATCCAAATTTACAATTGGATAATAGTCTAAAAGTTTCCTTGCCTTATTTATGCTATAATAACGATTCGCACAAGTAAGCTTAACTCGAAATCTCGTAAAATTCGGTTCTTTTCGAGTAATAAATGAAATAATTTCAAAAATAAATGCTATAATAATTCCAAGATATCTCGGAAAATGAATAATATTTGACGGAACATGCCCCAAATGGGCCCATACTGTTGATGGAAAATCCCAGAAATAAATAGGCTCCCCATTAGTTATAAAAAATGCTTGTCCAGAAATATTTGTTGCTTCTGGTGAAAATAACTTTTGAGACGCAAGAAGATGTGCATGAACAACATTATCCACATACGTAAAATCAAAAAGATTCATATTGTTTCCAATTCTAAATCTTGTTTGACGATTTTTTAAAACTGAAATCATCCCTGGTATAAGTTGCACATCTCCTGGACTACAATATAAGCCCTTTTTCCTTTTTTTTCATAATTTTACCCAAAAATTCCTGACGGTCTTATCGAAACCGTCATTAACCCATTTTTTCCATTTGCCTCCAGAATTAAACGCTCCGCCTCCGCCTATCCCATTTAAAACTTTCTTCTAATAGAAAAAAAAATCTACTTTCGTCTCATTATAAGCATCCATAGTACCCCTAGGAATAGGCATCGTTTCATCAACATTAATCAAATCTTTTCCATTAAAAACTACCCCCGCACTACTAGTATATATAATAGCCTTCACATTCTCACTAAGTGCCGCTCGTATAACCTGTTTCGTCCCCTCAATATTCACTTTTTCATAGATTTTTTTTCCAAGTCCATGAATCGGACTCGCCATATGAAAAATAACATCTGATCGGTTCTGACGTATAACTTCCCTTAACTTCTCATATTCACATATATCTCCCTTAACATAATTAACCGATGTAAACCCTTTATCTCCAATATTTAAATCAAAAACTGTTATTCTTTTACACGTTTTTTCCTTAACAAGTCGTGATACAAGACTTCCTCCAACAAATCCTGCTCCTCCTAATAATCCCTCTTAACCTTCCAATATCCTCCTTATTTATTATTAAATACCTATAATAAGCGGATATTCCATTCTTAAAGGCTTAATTTCTTAATTTATTAAGGGTTACTATATAATCGATTAAAAAAATTTAATATTTGATAAGATCACAAGTTAAGATAAATAGTTTTTCTTAACTTTTGGTCATGATTTTTAAGATATTTATTACTTTTTTCTTATATTGGATCTATTTAGTTAGAGTAAGATGTGAAACGGAGCCAGTAGACTTTGAAAATAATGATTATTATCTTTTTCATTTCTCGGATGATGTTGATATTGAGGAGTTTTCAAGGGTTTTGGGATTCAAATATCATGAAAAAGTGGGACATTTGAAAAACCATCATATATTTTCTATAGAAAAGAGTATTTATGGAGATGGAGTTAGAGATAAAATTGAAGATTATTTTGGTTTAGAAAGAGGAAGAAATGTATTAGATGGACTTAATAGTGACAAGATTTTTTATTATGAGAAACAAGAATTAATAAAGCATGAAAAGAGGGGTGTGATTAGAGACGATATATATTTTGATAATCAAGGTCTTTATAATGACAGAGTTGTCAAGAATGTTGTAAAAGATTCGACGGGAGATCAGGCGGTAAATCTAACACAGAAGTTAGAGGAAATTAAAAAAAAATTAGATATAAAGGACCCTTTTTTTGATAAACAATGGTATTTGGTATAGTTTATTCTTTTTTTTTTTTTTAAAAAATCTAATTTTTTAATTAGTTTAATACGAAAAAACCTGGTGTAGATATAAATGTTACAGGTCTTTGGTTAGAAGGTTTGATATTTGTGTTGTTGGTTGCCTTTTAATGATTTTAGGGATAAAGGGAAAAGGTGTAACGGTTGCCATTGTAGATGATGGCTTAGATCATATTAACAAGGATTTGTTTCCAAATTATGTTTGAAAAACTATTATAAAATCTCTATTTTAACTCTTTTCAGAATTCACAGGGTTCATTTGATTTTGAATCTAATGATTCCGACCCAACACCTAGATCTTCTGACACGCATGGTACTAGATGTGCAGGAGAAGTGGCAGCCGCTAAGAATGATTTTTGTGGGATTGGTGTTGCATATGAATCTAAAATTTCAGGTATTTTTCTTTAATTGCTACCAATTTAATATTGTTAAGGAATACGATTTTTGTCTACATCTTTTAGGTTTATGGCTGAATCAAATTCTCTTAGTTATAAACCTGATATTAATTATATTTATTCTTGTAGTTGGGGACCTTCTGATAGTGGAAATACATCCGGACCCATTCCTTATCTTTCATATTCTAGTATTATTGAAATGTTAAATCAAGGAAGGAACGGTCTTGGTTCTATATATGTTTTTGGATCAGGAAATGGTGGGCCTTCTGATGATTGTAATTACGATGGATATGCAAATAGTCCATATACTATTACTATCGGTGCTATAGATGCAGATGAAGAAATATTTTATTTTTCAGAGCCATGTCCTTGCATTTTGGCTTCTACGTATTCTGGCAAGCGTGGTGCATACATTGTAACCTTTTTCTTTTTTTTTATAATAAATTTATCGTTTTAGCATACTACGGATGTTGGTTTAGCAGGATGCACCTTTAAGCATTCTGGAACTTCTGCTTCTGTACCGATTGCTGCGGGCATTATTGCTCTTGTTCTTTCAGTGAAGTAAGAATATCATTAAAATTATTTAGCTGAAAAATTAGTCCTAATCTTACATGGCATGATATTCACGCTTTGATTGTGGAGACAGCTATTCCATTTAATTTGAAATATCCTGGATGGCATAAACTTTCTTCTGGACGTTATTATCATAATTATTTTGGTTTTGGTAAACTAAATGCATATGCAATGGTCGAAAAAGCAAAAACATTTCAAAAATTGAATCCTCAAACAATGTTTTCAACTCATCTAATACCAGTTAATAAGAAATTTTCAGAAAACAATGGACATATTAGAAGTAGTTTTTATATTCATCGTGGAATTCCTGATCATTATAACTTCAAGAAATTGGAATATGTTTCTGTTTCATTTAATTATACGCACGAAAGAAGAGGTAATCTGGTGTTTAGTATTACTAGTCCTGCTGGAGTTACTTCACAATTAGCACATAGACGTCCTCGTGATGAAAAAGGTGGCAATTTTAGTTGGACTTTTACGACTGTAAAGCATTGGTATTTTGTTTCATTTTATAAAATAATAACTAATGATTTTTAGGGGAGAAGGTATTGTAGGTTACTGGACTATCGATGTTGAAGATGAAAAGGATTCGAATCTAGATGGTAAAGTTTTTGATTGGCAACTTCATTTTTTTGGAGAGTCTTCTGATGCAGAAAAAGCAAAGCCTCTTTCATATCCTTTTCTATATAGATATCCAACTACTTCGCTTCCGCCAAATCCTGATTCTACGACTCCAGCACCTCCAAGTTTTACAATTTCATCAATACCACATCCTGATGCTCCACCAGAACCAACTCCGACGAAGCCAACTGATTCTTCTACATCTTCAGCATCAAAACCATCACCACCAGCACCGCCACGACCACCACCTGTACCACAACCACAGCCTCAACCACAACCACAGCCTCAGCCACAGCCTCAACCACAACCACAACCCCAACCAGAACCAGAACCAAAACCAACATCAGTAACTTCATCTGCATCTAAGACTTCAAGCAAAACTAAAACAACCACTCAAAAAGCTTCATCTACTAAAACTTCATCTACTACAAAAACTTCTACACGGCCATCTCCTACTAAGGGTACTTCTACTGCATCAGGTGCTTCTCACCTTTCATTCTTCGAAAAAAGGCACTTGTTACTTCAAATGATATTATTTTTATTCTTTTTCTTATTTTTGGGTTACTCTTTTTAACCTATAGGATTTTCAAGAAAACGGACATCTCACTGTGATATACTTTTTATGACTGAAGCTTTTAATGATGATTCTGATCTAAATATATCTCAAGAAACTGAAAAGGTTGCTATTTTGAAAAGACCTGTTAATTCATTCAATATTAGTGATACCGGTGATTTTGATCTACATGAGCAACGTGCTCTTTAATTAATTTTGATTCCATTTATCTATTTATTTTTCTACTATTTTTATTTATATATTTTTATAATATATTTATCTATATATTACTTAATCTATCTTCCATCTTATACTTTTTTACTCCAACTTTGATATTATATCTTAACATTAAAAATATAAAGTTAAAGTTGCTTAGAAAAGGGCTTAATAAGTTATCTTATTCTATTTTCTTGAGCTATATTCAAAGAAGAATGCACTCAAAGGTATTATATTTATTAGTATATTTTATAGAGGTTTTTTTTCTGATAAAAAAGGTGGTAATCATTGGATCAGGGCCTTCTGGGTATATTTTAACTAAATATGAGCTTTATTTATAAAGTCCTAGTTATACGGCAATTATTTATCTTGGAAGAGCAGAATTGAAGCCAATTCTTTATGAAGGAATGTTAGCTAATGGTATTGCACCAGGTGGACAGTTAACAACAACGTAGAGTAAAAGAATAAAAGGATAAGATAGAGCTTTATTAATATCTTAAATATAGAACAGATGTAGAAAATTATCCGGGATTTCCTGATGGTATTTTGGGTCCATCATTAATGGAGGCTTTTAGAAAGCAATCAGAAAAATATGGAGCTCAAATTATAACAGATACAGTTTCTAAGCTTGATCTGTCAAAGCGTCCATTTAAATATTGTTGCGAGTCTAATGAAGAGGTGTTTCATACAGCAGATGTGGTTATATTAGCAACAGGTGCATATGCTCGAAGATTGAATATCCCTGGTGAAGAGATATATTGGCAGCGTGGTATTTCTGCATGTGCAGTTTGTGATGGTAAAGAATATAGGAATATTATAGATTTTTAGTAGATAATTATGTATTAAGGTGCAGCACCTATTTTTCGAGGAAAGCCTCTTGCAGTTGTAGGAGGGGGGGATTCTGCAGCAGAAGAATCATTATTTTTAACAAGATATGCAACAAAGGTTTATCTATTAGTTCGAAGGGATAAGCTAAGAGCATCGCCAATTATGGCTAAACGATTATTACATCATCCTAAGATTGAAATTCTATGGAATACAGTAGCTTTGGAATCATTGGGAGATAATAACTTGATGAACTGTGTAAAAATTAAAAATGTTAAAACGCAAGAAGTTTCAGAGTTACAAGTGAATGGTCTCTTCTATGCAATTGGTCATGAGCCAGCAACAACATTAGTTAGAGGTCAAGTAGAATGCGATAAAGATGGGTATATTATTACAAAAAATGGGGGACCTGAAACAAATATAAAGGGTTTTTTTGCAGCAGGCGATGTTCAAGATAAAAAATGGAGGCAAGCAGTGACATCTGCAGGAAGTGGATGTATGGCAGGACTTGCAGCTGAACGACTATTAGCTGAAGAAGAAGAAATGAAGAATATAGAAGATAGTTAAATTTTTTATTGTAAATTATTGAAATTAATCTTTTTGTGTTAATTGTCCATGTATTCTCTTTATTTTTGCAGCATACTGTGCATCTTTTTCTCTTTGCATCTTTTGTGTCTCTCGAGCTATAAATTGACCATCAAGTCTAAGCATTCTAATAGCGCTTCTTTTTGCATCACGATATTGAGATCTTAATTTTGCAGATTTGGCCCTCTCACGATCTGGATCATATGATTTTTTATCAAGAGAATATTCCTTTTCAAATTTTGGAATAAAACTTGGAATTGGAATAGGTTTATGTGCTTGTAACATCAATGGCTTGCGTGTTTCAAATGAAAATTGAAGCAATTTTGTAATACGTTGATTTATAGAATTTATCTCCTCCTAAAAAATTAATAATCCTAAGTAAAGAATTTAATTTACCAAAAGTTCACATGATAAAGATATTTTATCATAAAATTCTTTTAATAAATTTAAACAAGGGGAAAAAATCTCTATAAAAGCAGATTTTCCACTCCATAAAATTGCATAATAATCAATTAATTGAGCAGTTGTCTTAAAAAGAGAAACTTCTAACTCTTTATCATTATCATCATTAGAATAGATATCCGAAATTTTCAAAGCCCTTGGTTTATTTTGTAAACCAAAAAGAATATTTCCAGAATCAGTAGAAATTTCTTTATTATCTAATTTTCTATTATTTTTTTTAAATAATATCTTTAATATATTAAATAGTGTATTAATTGCTTCTGGAACTATTCTTTTTGATATATTAATATACTAATAAGATTAAAAATAATAATTATAAGAGAAAAAAAGACCTCTGCAAATAACGTTATAATATAAAGTTTTAAGACTATATCTCCTAATGATATAATCTTTAGTTGAGAAAGAAGTTGCCCCATTATAAGAAATGTTGGTGTAACTATTACATGAGAAAGATCTGAAGTTGGAAAAATTACTCCAATTATTCTTAAAAATATCAAATCTTGAATTGAAGGAAGAGATTTAGCTATAAGTGTTATATATTAAAAAAAAAAAAAGATAAAATATTTACTTTTTTCTGAAAATATTAATTGATTAAATCTTTCCCTTGTATTTGTTAATTTTTTGTGGAAAGCATCATAAGAAGCTTCTGGGTATTTATATGAAAGATCTCGTAAATGTTCAGAAAGTATATCTAAAGTAACAAGCGAAACACTTTTTTTCTCTGATAAATAAAGAATAAGATCAAGTAATACTGCAATAAATGTCTATTTAGAGAATTTAACAAATATAAAGACAATTTATTGAATTACCTGAAGTTTTTCTTTGTTCAATGGGTGAAGTGAAGGATGATGTAACACTTTAATTCGATCAACAACTTTTGGAATATCCTCTTGTTCGATATTTTTTAAAATAGAAAGAAATTCTGAAATTGAGCCTGGACATGGATAAACATAAGCAAGCTCTTTTTTTTTTCCTAGATCTAAATCTTGTGATTCATTTGATGATTCAAAAGTAGCATTTCTAGATTCAGAGTTTAGATCATTACATGTACCAAAATCATCTGTTGCTTTATTTAAATTTAAATTTAAATCATCTTTGGTACTATTCATAGAATAAAGAACTCCATTAGTTTTTTCGTATTTATATTCTTTAAATGAATGAAATTTAGTATCATTATCAGATTCATTATCATTATCGCTTATATAATCGTCTTCCAAATTGTCTCCTTTAGAAAAAACAGATTTGGTTTTTTTTATATCATTTTCAAAAAAATATTCATAATTCATTCTTTTTAATCGCTCTTCTTCTAATCTTTGTAATTCTTCTGCCTTTTCTTGTACAATCTCTTCTTCTGTTTTCGTTCTACTCGATGGACATGCACGCTTCTCAAAAGCTAACTCCTTTACAGAAAGATCATACTGAATATCTTTATTTGTTTGTTCTTGATCTATTTTTGAAGATATAGATTTGTCATTTTTAGCAAGTAATGAATGTAAATCATTAAATTCTGCATCAAGCATTTCTCTTTTCATTTCATCTTCCTGTTTTTCTTTTTGCCTTTCATATTTCCTAAGTTTTGATTTTTCTATAATTTCTTTCATAACTTCTGATTTACTTTTTTTCATATTATTATTTAACTGTTCTGAATTATCAAACCCTCCAAAATGTTCATCATTAACTGTTTCAAAATCAATATTTCCTTTAAAATTTCAAGTAAATATATGAAAAAATAAATGGATCATAAGTTACCTGAATCATTTTCTGTATCATTTTCAAAATCTTCAATTTCTATAGGTGATTCTCCAAAATTTCCAACATCTTCATTAAGATTATAAATATTATTCTTTTCATACAGTTTCTTCACATATTAATCTCCCATTTTACTCCTAAAAATATGTATAAAACCTGCTTTTCTACTGCGTATCTCTGCAACATTTTTTCTTCTAAAGAAAGATGTGTATTATGTTCTCCAAAACGATGATCTACAAAACTCCCTTCTTTATTCCTTCTCAACATATCTTTTAGAATTGTATTTCTCCTCTGCAGATATTATATTAAAGATATATATATATATTGTCAATTTTTACTTTTTCTTCTCCTGCTTGACGACTCAGCCCTGGATATCCTTCAATTCCTCTAATTTTTCGGCCACCAACTTCATATTTAACCTTATTAACCTTCTTTTCATAATGATTAAACTGAAATTATTAGTATCTTTTTCTAATATATATATATATATACTTGAGATCGGATATTCTCTAATATGGATGTTCTATCTTCCTGTTTTGCAAGTTTCTTCCTCTTTCTACGTCTATTACTAGTAGATATTCCTGCATCTCTTAAGGCTATCTTTAATTGTTTGAGCTGAGACTTAACCATTTTTTAAAAATGCTACATGTTAAGATATCGACCACAGGTTGATCGACTGTAGGGCTTCTATTAGAAAATAATTAAAATATAGTATATTTATACGTTGTTTTATTAAACAATATTTTCTTCAAAGTTTGATAAACAAAAGTTTTTGATATTTTTTAGAGTGAATTTTTGATATATGTTTTAGTTGCAATTATAATAAATATATTTTTTAAATAATAAAGTTTAAGTAGATAATATGTCTGTTTGTTGAAGAAGTTGTTGAATTTCTCCTGTATTAAACATTTCACGAACAATATCAAGCCCTCCACAAAAATTTCCTCGAATATATAATTGTGGATAACTAAATTGATTAGACTAAGCAAATTTATTTAATACCTAAATACGTAGGCCAGTCTGAAAATTCTTTTAATCCTTCTCTGACCCTTTCATCCGCAAGAATATTAAAAAAACCTTTAAAAATAAATTTTTTTGATGATATAATAAAAAATGTACCAACCATATTTAATATGGTGTTCATTAAGAATATTTACAATCTGTCTACTAAATCCACATTGAGGATTTGTTGGTGTGCCTTTCATAAAAAGCATAATAGGTTCTGCTTCAACTAATTTCTTTAATCGACTTGTTAAATCAATATTTTCGTCCTTTTCATGTGTTGTATATAAATTGTGACTTTTTCCTTCGACTTCCTGTGTTGATACTCCCGATCCCTGCTTCTCCAACGGCAAATGTAATTGTGTAGAAAATCGAGTAACCATTTCTGTCAATTCTGATGGATTTGCTCCAGATAACTTCCCCAATACTTTTCCTGACTTTTTCCCTTTAATTATATTCTTTTTTTTCCTCTTTTCTTACCTGTAAAATCACAAAAAATGGCACAACTGTTACCCCAAATGATTCTGATATTTCCTCAAGCTCTTCAGCCTTGACCTTTTTTCTTTAATCTTTCTAAAACATACTCAAAATCTTACTAACATTTGCAAATTTTATATTAGAAAACTTAATTGAAAGCTCCTTAAAAACATTATTCATATATTTACATGGATTTGCCCATTCTGCATAAAAATTTAACACAAGTACTTGATCTCCACATAAAGAAATAAGCTTTTCATATTCCTCTGTCGATTCTATTTCGCTAATTGTTGTAGATGCATCTGCCATGGCTTTTAATCCTCTTTACAAGGTTTTTATAATGATTCACGCACTCGAGATTATCCGTTTAAATTTCAACAAGTATTTTATATAAACCCAATCTATGGTATAAACATGTCTTTTTTCCTTGTTATATCTCTAATATTCTTAAAACCCTGAAGATTGATAGAGAAGTTCATGAATTACATTTAAACAATGATTTATCTACTGATCAGAAAAAAAAATTATCTATATTTGAGTTATCATCTCATCCAATCGCACTCTTTTTCTTCTTTTTTTTTCGTTTTTTAGCCATATTAATGTACTTGTTTGGGTTTTTTATTTTTCGGAATTTGTAAGATGTTTCCAAGGATTTATAGGAATGAATTTTGTAATCAAACATTAGTATTTTAGTTTTTATTTTAATTGTTATTTTTTCTGCTTTTGATTTTTGGACGGTCAAGAATGTCTCAGGGAGGTTTTTGGTTGGGCTGCGATGGAGGAATGAAATAGATAATGTTGGATATTTATTTCTTATCTTTTATTTCTTTCTAACTTTTTTTAAGGATGGTAGAAATATATGGGTTTTTGAAAATGCTAATGTCTTTTCGTTATTTGGTATTTTTCTGTGTTAATTTTATCAATAGCTTCAAAATAAACAAAATTCTACTGATTCCAAGACTTTCTGGCTTGTTCTTTATTTAGTACCTATTATATGGGGAATTTTTGGGATTATTGCTATTTTAAGATTTAATTTTATATGGCTGGTTACAGTGATTATTGCTTTTTCTTTAAGTGGCGCAAATGCATTGGCATTTACAAAGAATGAAATATTTTTATCTCTTATATTTTTATTGATAATTTTATAGATGCAATAGAAACCAAAAAAATAAATGGGTAGAAAACTTTTCAAAAAGGTTATCAGGCTTTAACTATTCTTTTAATTTATTTCAAAGAATAGCAAGTAATCTTTTTAACAAATTTTTTTAATATGTTTTTTATCTTAAATGAATTTTTATTAGATACGCATTTATGATTTTTTAATCATAGATCTTCTTTCTTGATTTTCGTTAGTATGTCAATTAAATTTAAATCCAACTTTTTCTTTTCTATATTTTCTCCTGTCATTACCGCAGAAATGAGGTTTAAAACTTCATTTGGATTTTTTCCTGAGAGTGTGACATACCATCCTTTTTTTCCATTAAGCAATATCATTTCAGATTCTCCAAATGATATTTGCATCATTTGTACTAAAGAAAAAAATAAGCTGGATTTATCAATAAAGTAATATGAAAATTTATAAGTCTTAGCAATTTGACTAAAGAGATAAAAATTCGACGCAGAGTCGGATAATGTAATTATACTAATTCCTTTTTTTAAAATACATTTTTCAAGCAAATCATCTTGTGAACGTAATTCTGTTACTATTTTTTATTAATATGATAAATAATGTCAATAAACCAAAGCATTATACATGAAAACTCTTTCTCTTTAGGTTCCTCTACTGACTCATTATCCACTGTTTCTTGAGTTTCACCTAACACATATTCTTTGATAAAACTGTGCATTTCTTTATAAACTAAATTACCTAATAATATTATATATATGTTTTTATGAATATTATTTTTAAATTATACCAGAGTAAACTACTGGCTCATCCTTTTTATGAAGAAAAATAACTGTTGGAAAATCGGTTATTCCAAATAAATCCAGTGCCTTTTTATAACTTTGATGAATCAAAATGAATTCTACTCGATTCAAGAAATCCACTGCAAGTGTTTTAAATAAACTATTTGGTTCTGTTTTATTCGTAAATAATATAATCTTTCTTTCCATGTTCTAATATATAATAAGATTTCTTAATCTTCATAAAAATGACCATTACACTTCTTTCTAAAAAAAGTTCAATATTATCTGTTATTCTTTTAACATGATTTGGTATTTTTGATATAGAAGCTGATATTAAATCTCTTAGTGTTCTTGGACCGTCATAATCTATATTTTATAAGAAAAATGCAAAAACATTAACTTCATCAGACTTTCAACTTTTGGTTCTTTTCCTTGAGGAATAAAAAATTTTATTGTAGGAAATCCTTTAATTTCATAATGTTGACATAATTCAACACTTTGACGATCATCACAATTTACTGCCTAAAAAATTACTTGTTTTCTTTAAAATATTTTCCTTCATACAATCACATTTATAATTCCATATAATTCTTTTGCAAGCTTCTTATATATAGGTGCTATTTGCTTACTATTATACTTGTAAATATTATAATTACTACTATCTTTAATCTATAGCTTTACCAATAACCACACCATGGAGCAAAAAATTCCACAATTGAAAGATGTGTAGAGTTTTTAACAATACTATGAAAATTTTTATGTGTTAATATTTGGATTTGATCTTGTGAACTATAAAGTGATATTACATTTTTTATAAAATTAAAAAAAAAAAGAAAATATATTAGAAGATTCATCCCTAAAAAAAAACATATAATCTATAAGATTTTCGAATGGTTTCTTGATGCCCAAAGATTTTCGTAGGTTTTTAAATATATAAGGCTTGTTTCTATATTCAAAAAAATAAAAATATTCAAGATATTAATAATGAATAATATAAAAAATAATATATTTTTTAATATTTTTTATAGAAAAAAAAAAGAAATTAAGAATTTTAAAAAATGGAAAAGCCTCCAGCAGAATTAAAATTTATATATCCATTTGTAAAGCGTGGTGAAGAAATGAAGAAAGTGGATAAAGTAGTATTTTATTATTGTAAGCAAATAAATAAAAGAAAAAAGAGGAAGTGAAAAAGGGTTAAGAAATATAAATAGGTTATTTTTGGGCGGTAAAATCAGGACTTGAATTACAACTGAAAAGCAAAAAATCAGAAATATATTTAGAGAAAATGATGGAAAAATTGGAATTGGTAAGATTTATGAATTAATATATATAATTATAATTATATATATTAATAATGTAGAAAAACAGTGTTTTAATTTAGAAATATATGAAAAATTGATAAAAGTCTAAATTTAATATTTCTAATTTTTTTAGGTTAAAGAAGATCCAATGTGTAAATCAATAATTCAAGATGAAATATCAGGGAAAATATATATGGAAAAGTTTGCGGAACAAATTTTAAGAAATGCTGATGAGGATATTCGAATGAAAAGAATTTCACTGTAAGTTTCATATATATATATATATATATGAAATATTTAAGTAAAATATAGTGAAACATCTAAAAAGTTTTTAGCTGCAGTTAATTTTTTTGAAGTCTTAAAAATATGGGGAGAATTGAGTCCAGATGTATGTATTTTTTAAGTAATAATTATTATTTTAATGAAAATAGATACTTTACAAGTTAAAATATTCTAAAATTTGCGCTGTCGATATTATCAAAGCATGTAAAAATTGTCAAGATCCAAATGACATATTATTTCAAGAGAAATCTATATCTAAATCTGAAACTTTATCTAATCTTAATGAAAAGGAAAAGAATTCAATAACTAATGATTCATCACTTGACAATCTTTTAATACTTAATTATGATCTTGAAAAAAAAGATACATCAAATAATCTTTTAAATTCCGAAATTCAAGTTAACAATGATACTTCTCATAGAATTGCTAAATCTGAACATAATCAACCAGCTTTACCTAATGCATCTTATTCTTGTAATATACAAGCCGTTGAAGACAAAATAGAAAAAATAGAAAAAGCACAGAAACATGCACGATGGGCAATCAGTGCTCTTAATTTTGAAGATATACATACTGCTATGTCTGAATTAAGGATTTCTTTAGATATTCTCGAATCCATTTAAAAAAGTGTTTTTCTTAGTTTTTAAAAAATAAGAAAAACATTCTATTAATTCTATCTTGTTTAAAGCTTGTTATTTTATAATATTATCAAATAAACATGATTCAGCTTTGTAAAATACTTAATATTTTATCGAATATTTCAATTATAAAAATTATTCCATCTTAAAGCATTTCATGTTGTTCTCTCTGGATTCATAGATATCTTCATCTTTGTTCCTTCTATCCTCTATAAAAACACTTATGTTTATCATTTTATATTTTTAGAGGGTTTATACCTATATATATATATTTTTTGATTCGATTTTTTTTTTATTTTTTTAAGTTTGGACATACATTTTTATAGATTTAAATGGAAAGCGTTACTATTTTTTAATTTAGAACTTAAGTTATTTAAAGTTCTTATAACATAGAATAATGACTTTTTTTTTCGGAACAGGATTAAACCACGTATGAAGTTAAATGATATTGTTATTGATGAACTAACGGGTCTTTTATAGGTAGGAAACGATGTTGATTAATATAAAAATATAGTATATATATAAGTTTTATATTGATAAAGATATTTCTTGTGTGGATATTATGGCAAAGTCGTATTTTATATTTTTAGAATATCTTATGCATATGAAAAAGAGTGATATAAATTCGGGTGTTAGCGTTAAATTTTCTAAGGAAAATTATATAAATCTAAATAAAAATAATGTTTATAATCCATATATGGATGCTAGGGACAGATCATATCTTTCCTCTTGGGATAATGATGCGTATATTAATTATGATTATATCTTGGAGAAGAAAAATGAAAAATGTTTTGATCATGTACTATCTTCGGCATCCATTCCTGACTATTCATTAATTGATTCGTTGGCAACTCCATTTCTCAACTATCCGGAACCAGATACCTTTCTTGTTGATATTAATCAGGTTTTTAAGCGAGATGAGCATTTTTTCCCACCAAATGCTACATTTAATATAACAGATACAAAAAATATTCCAGATGTAGCTAATTTTACTGAAGATTTATACGTTGAACATTCTCATGATAATTCTTGCGATTTTGATAAATTTATTGTAGATGATCCTAGTAATCTAAACAATGATTTGGAAATCTCTTCGTTAGATAACACGTCTGCAACTGAGAAAAATGACACTATTTCTTCTAGCACTAGGAAAAATGTTTGTTTTAATTGTGGTGTAAATGAAACTCCATTATGGCGAAGAAGTCCTGATAAAAAGTATTTGTTATGGTAGAATTTGGATTTATCTTATAGAAAATATTAATTTATCTAGCAATGCATGTGGACTTTATTTAAAACAGTATAAATATATGCGGCCTTTAGGATTTCATCGTAAGAAATCATCTAATTCACAAAGATCATCTATTAAATTGGTTTGTGTAAATTGCGAGGTTACTGAAACATCTTTATGGAGAAAAAATGAGCTTGGAAAACCTATCTGCAATGCATGTCGTCTTTATGAAAAAATGCATAACACACAACGACCTGTCACTATGCGAAAGGAATATGTGATCCGTCGTAGACGCTATAAAAATCTTTTTGAGCATATTTGAATATTGCTTTAATATAGATTACTGTTTTGCCAGCTTCCTTTATAGTGAAAATTTAGTTTTAAGATTTTCTATTTCTTTTTTAGTATTGATTTTTCTGTTTTTTTTTTGTATTTTGCTTAATTAAAGTTTTGATTTATTAAAAATGTCTTCCATGCAGCTTATGTCTTAATATTCAAGGAGAAGTAGAGCTTGTTGCAGAATTATATTTAATATTTTGAATTTATAAATCTTTTTTAGTCGCTAGATATAATAATGATTATAACTTAGTTATTTATAGGGAAAATAATGAAAATATAGAGATGGTAACATTAGTTTCATCTGTTTGTTTTATATCCAGAGGAGTTGCCGCTGAATTTCCTAAGAAATATGTTTTTAATGATGATGAATATAAAAAAATAAATAAGCTGATTGATTTACAAGTTAAAACTGGAAAAAATGAGCTTAAAAAGAAGAAAGATCAGAGATACACAACGTATACTCCATAATTAAGTAATATTCTTCATATTTAACCTGTTGAATAGTGAAAATATGTCTGAAGATGAGGAAATGATTAAAAAGTATAATTTAGAAGATTATGATATGGAACCATATGATAATCAACGTACAATAAACTAACTAAGATGTGAATATCTTTTCTAATCTTTGAAGGGATGAACATATTTACGGATACAAAGGATTTAATCTATTATGAAAATGAAGAAGATGATCCATATATTAATTTAAGAAATGTAAAATAATGTATCTTTTTTTCATATTAATATATGAAAAGGATGATTCTGATGAGGAGAGGGATGAGCTTCGGATATTATCCAGTGATGATATTATTTTAGCTACTAAAACAGAGGATGATGTTTCTTATCTTGAAGTATATGTTTATGAAGCTTTAGAGGATAATTTATATGTACATCATGATATAATGCTTCCGTCGATTCCTTTATCTTTAGAATGGTTTGGTTATAAACCTAATTCTGAGTCTGGTGGTTCTGGAAATTTTGCTGCTGTAGGAACATTAGATCCTGATATAGAAATCTGGGATTTAGATATTATTGATCCTTTTTATCCTGTTGCTATACTTGGGAATTCTAAAGTAAAGAGGGATATGAAGAAAAAGAGCAAAAAAGTTAATTCAAAATATCATGTAGATTCAGTTTTGAGTTTATCTATAAATAAAGTTTGTAAAAATATGTTAGCTTCTGGATCAGCAGATACTTCAATAAAAATATGGGACTTGGATTCATGTGTTTGTACTAATTCATATGTTCATCATCTTGATAAAGTGTCTTATATTGAATGGCATCCATCAGAGGAGACATTATTATTGTCTGGAAGTCATGATCATACGTCTTTGCTATATGATGTTCGTTCTTCTGCAAAAGATGCACTTAGATGGAATGTGAAGAGTGATATAGAATCTACAAGATGGGATTTATATGATTTTCATTATTTTTATGTGAGATAAGTAATTTAGTTTATTAAAAATTAATAGGCTTAGATATCTACAAGTTCTGGTATAGTTTATTTGTTTGATGTCAGAAAACCTCCAAGTAATTCGGAATATTTAAACCCAGTCTGGACTTTAAAGGCTCATGATGGACCAGTTTCTGCATTTGATGTTAACCCTTTCATTAAAGGATATTTTGTAACTGGATCAACAGATAAATCAATTAAATTATGGAATAAACATGGGAAAGATGGGGGGCCTAGTATTATTGTATCAAAGAATATAGACGTTGGCAAAGTTTTTTCGGTTAAGTTTTCTCAAGATAAAGAAACGATGTTTTCATTGGTTGCTGCTGGAAGCGAAGGAGTTGTCAAAGTATGGAATACTTTGAAAAGCAATGCTGTCAAGAATATATATGAATGTATTGTTGATTTATGTAACATAAATAAAACCACAGATAAAAACATAATAGGATTAGGTGAAGAAATTTCTGAAAATTAAAAGTAATATTAAAATAATTTCCGCTATTTACAACTCTTACAAAGGATATGATATTATTTGGATATGTATTGAAATATTTTTTGTTCAATTTTGTATCTTACAAATATGTAGGAATTTCTGATTAAGTGAATTATTTTTATATTTAGAATTATTTTCTGATAATTAATTGTTGGGAATATTTAATATGGATTTTGATAATTAAAATCATTGACTCCTTGAATCTATTGCTATAGTCTTTTATATAAAAAGCCTTCAATAGATGCTGACTAGAATGATGGAAAAGTAATTTTAAGATTGATACTAGTATTTTTATAATCTAACCTTTCCTACATTTCTTTAATATTTGAGGAAAATAAATCACATGCATTTGAAGAACAATTTAATGAATTGAATGAAATAGGCTTGTCATTGTCAGAATTATAGTTGATATTTTTTTGTTTTTTTTCAAATAAATTAAATTTTTTTAGATATGAATTTTTAGTTGTTTTTTCGGATTTTTTCGGATCCTTTTTTGCTTTTTCTATACTTTCTAGAAGTTCTTTTTGTCTTTCCCTGTATTTGTCCGGATCAGGAACTTCAATTTCTTGAAATTCTTCACTTTCAATAAGCCATCCTACTTTTTTCATAAGTTTTGGCATTGCTTCACGATAATTCTGATATAAATATTAGATATATATGAAACTACATGAAAAATAAGAACCATATGACCGTCAACTAAATCTGATACATCAATATTTTCTATAGTAGATATTTTTTGAATAGATTGTAGCCCAGCTATATGTCCTATTCCCCCATATGTTATTCGAAATAAATATCCTAGAATCCAATCGTTCTTAATATAACCATTGATAAATCGACCCGCTACAACTGATGATGCCAAAATCCAATTGTTCTCTTTAATAACAACAGGTGTACCAAACAAATAAACATCTTGAATAATGCCATATGCATGTTTTTTAGCTAGCTCTAAAAGACAGTAATATATTACTCGAGAGCCTAATGAAAAACCAACTAGACTAATAGGTCGAGCTCCTAATTTTCGATGAAGAAGAATATCTGCTAATACCTTATATAAATTAAAAATTAAGCTTTATATATAATACAGTATAGCTTACAAGACCTGCAGATTTAGCACGTTGTAAAGATGTTACAAATGGATTGTCTATTAAATAGCCCAATTTAGTTAGTATAAGCGGCCATTGTAAAGCACTCATTAAAGTAACTAAAACTGTTTGTCCAAGAACCTGTTGTAAAGATTGTGTCAAAATCTTTTAAGATTAAATAAAAAATTATTTAAAAAAATATAATAAACCTCTGTTGCAATAATATTAATGGTTTTTCCTACTGACTGAAGTATTTCAGGCTCCCATAATATCTATATAAAATAATTATTACAGATAAATTTCTAGTACATTATGCTTGCCGAATAAACATCACCCATGATTGGATCTATAGTGGAAAATGGAAGCCTAACGTCATCATCTTTAAGCATCCAACTAAATAAATTAGATATTAGAATTATATATTAACAATATCATACCCAGGAACAGTTATTAAAAGATTAAGGCGCTTGTTATCATAAAGAGGTTTAAATTCAAAAACTTTAATACTTTTAACTCTGTTAGACATTTTCTTAACTGCAATACTACTTCCGGTAACAACTCCTTAAAATATTAAGTTAAATAAAATATATGGTAAGTATGATCATACCTCCCGTAGTTATTAAAGCTGTTCCCCCTGTTCCCACCAGAAATCCTGTAGTTCCAGCAACGCCAATAGTCGAAAATGCTGCTCCTAAACCTGCACCGATAAGAGGTGCCAATATACCTGATGAAAGTCCAATTATTAAACCACCACTAATAGTTGCTAGACCCATAAGCATATATCGTTTATTTCTCGATGATTTTTCTCTCAATTTAAGAATATTTTGATCATTTTTAGATGCCTCAAAATTCTCCTGGATAATTAATTCATCTGTAATTTTTTTTTCAAAGATTGTAATATCTAAGGCAGAAATAGAGATAGCTTTTCCTACTCTTTCTAAAAAAAATCTTGAACGAGAATCATATATAGAATCTGCTACTAGCACAAGAAAAAGATCGCATAAAATTGCCCAACGTATATCTAATTTTAAAGCTTTTTCATCATCAACATGTGACTTATTCTCGTCTGCATCAACTTTGGATATAAAAAATGGGGATTTGTCATCATTTAAATTATCATAATTTTCCGAAACATTAATAATAGAATTATTTATTTGAATTGTTGTCATAAGTACAGATGCAATGTCACTTGTTTCAATACCATGTTTTGATAATTGCTCAATCATTACCTGCTCTTCTTTGGTTTTAATAAATAGAATGTATATTTTTATTGATATATACCATCTGATGAAATATCCATATGAGAATACAATCTTGTTAATATCTTCTGGCCCCAAAACTCCATACTCTGAACGGCATTCACAAGCGTATTGCCATTTCCTTTTTGTAAAGATAATGATATTTCTCCAATCATTTCTACGAAAATTAATCTACAAAGACTCACATAACTTTAAGTAAGTTTTTTTTGAAAAATTTAGTTAAGGGGATTACGCTATTCTTTGTTCTTCTGTAAGAAGATCTTTTATAAATTCCATTTGTAAAGGAATTGTTGTTTCATCATTTCTAAAATTTTCTTGAGAAAATAAATAGGACGTTTTTTCATTCAATGACATATCTGATAAACTATCTTCATCTAAACTCAATTTGGTATATCCCCTTGTATTTATCTTTTGCCATTCGTTATCTTCTGACGTTTTTGAATTCGAATTATTATTCTCCGTAATTTCGTCATCTGATATGACATATTCCATTGTTTTCCATACATCTGTAAACTCATTTTCAAATTTTTTATAACTCTCACAAATATCGTCTAAAAATTATTATTTTTTTATTAAAAAGAATTTTCTTACTTGATTTTTCTAAAAAACTGCTTTGTGTGCCAATTATTACATCTGTTTCGACCTCCTTAGACATATCTAACATTTTTCCTTCTTCCATTCCCTCACGATCTTCTTCATTTGTTTCCTTAATATTGGTATTATACTTATTTAATGGTATCTCTTTGTTTTTTATTATTTCTTCATTTTTATTCAAATTTTCTCGTTTTTTTTCCCTAAAAAAAGCTGCCTTATCTTCTTCTATTGAGTCTCCCATTCCTTTTAATTCCTTTTGAGCCTTTATTAACCCTTTAAAAGATATTTTTTGGTTATTTATCTCTGCTTATTAAATTTCTTATAAAACTCCTTAAAATAACCCAAATTTGCCCTGGAAAAAAGGTGCAATATTCATTCAATAAAATATAACATTTTTCTCTTCTTAAAAACATGAATATCCCAGTATCAATCCATTTATTACTATTTCTATTTTACCCAGCCGAATAAAAAACGCCGATTTTCTACTCGTTATTTATAAATCAACCTCGATAATATTTTTTACCTTTGATAAGGAAAAGTAGATGTTTCAAAGGCTCTCAAAAGGACTCTCTTGCTTGAAATAGATCTTAAAATTGCCTTCTTTTCTATTTGCTTTTTTTTTCCTGCTTTTTTTTCTCTTTTTTTCATAGAAATACACTTAAATTAATCTAACCCTTTTGGCTTTGAGAAAAAAGATATTCTGTTTAGATAACCCTATAAAGAAGATATATTCCTCCTTGTATTTGCATTAGATATGTATAGTTTCATATCTTATAGATATCTAGTTTAAATATCTATATTTATATGGTTACGCTCTGATGAGACGTAAAATATAAGAGTTATGATAAAAACCGGTTTTTCTTCATCTTTGTTAAGTTTTAAGTCATTAAAATGGTTTAAATTCAATGGTATTGATTGGTTATAGCTATCATCCTTTTTTTTTCGCTTTGAAACGTGTAACAACAGGTGTTTTTGCAGCAAGTTTTTCTGGGCTTTTTTTATATTATTATACGGATTCCCGTGCAGCAATTCATACGTACGGGACATGTTTGCTGTTGAGGATGATTGTTCCACCTGAATTGGCTCATAATTTTGCTATTAAAGCTATCCGGTGGGGCTTGGCTCCATGGGATAAGAAAATAGATGATTCATCATTAATGTTAAATGTATGATATTTTATGAATGATAGTAACGTCCTTGATAACTTAAGGTATGGGGAAAAGCGATAAGCAATCCGGTAGGTCTTGCTGCAGGCATGGATAAACAAGCAGAAGCGATAGATGGACTTTTTGATCTTGGATTTGGATATGTTGAAGTTGGATCAGTTACGCCGTGTCCTCAAGTAAATTTTTCTTAATATTTATATGAAAAAAGCTGAAGAAATGAGCCTGGGAATCCACCGCCTCGCTTTTTTCGTTTAAAAAAGGATGCATCTGTTATCAACAGATATGGATTTAACTCTGATGGACATGATGTGATTGCACGACGTTTACATGATCGTATTTTAAAATACGTATTCAAATATTATCCAGATTTAGGACAAATTCCACATTTTTTACCGCAATCTGCCAGAAATATTGAGTTGGTGAATTTTCTAAATATTCCAAGAAGTCTTAGAAAAAACAAATTATTAGCAGTTAATTTAGGTAGAAATAAGAATTCTGAAGGAATAAATGATTATGTAAAAGGTGTATATCGTTTGGGGCAGTATGCAGATGTTTTGGTTATTAATATATCAAGTCCTAATACATTTGGATTACGATTATTACAACAAAAAGAATCTCTTGAAACACTTTTATCTGCTGTAAATTCATAATAGGTTTTATCTCTTCTAACACATAAAGGTTGTTCGAGAACGAGATCTTCTACCTGATCCAAAACCTGCATTATGTATAAAGATATCCCCTGACTTGAAAGATTTAGAATTACAAGATATTGTTGATGTTATTTCAAAGATACCAATTGATGGTGTAGTTGTTTCAAATACTACAATTCAGAGGCCAAAAAATCTTAAAGAAGGTATTTTGAATTTATAAGCAAAATATTTATTCAATTGATATTAGATAAATTTTTGCATGAACGAGGAGGTCTTTCAGGTCCCCCTTTAAAGCCATTAGCGCTAGATATTATAAGATTTTTACGAAGAAAGCTGCCTGAAAATTGTCTTATTATAGGTTGTGGTGGAATTTCATCAGGTAAAGATGCTATTGAGTATGCTCGCGCAGGTGCTTCTTTGATTCAATGTTATACTGCATTTGGGAAAGTTGCAATTGCATATAATATTTAATATTTAACATGGACTAGTTATGAAGGACCTAGATTCCCTAGACGTCTAAAAGATGAAATTCTTAATGAATTAAAAGGGGAAAAATGGGTTGATATTATTGGCATAGATGGAAGATGATTAAGAATTGAGTTAATCAGTATGCTATGAATTCCAAAAAAAAAAAAAAAACAAAAAAACTACTCAAATCTACTTTCCAATGGTTCCGCGTTTTTTTCTTCTCTCTGCCTTTTTTCCCTTGTTTTTTTCAAAATAAAACCCAACAATATCATTAACAATATCGCTATTACTACAAAAACTATGATCACGATATAAGTATAATTCTTAGAAGGTTTTTCTGATATAGTAGCTTGTTTATTTAGATGTATAGGCTTGATTTTGTTTGTATCTTGCATTATTGTACTAAGAGTTTCCAAAATATCTTTTTTGTTTAATTTAATATAGGATCCTTCCAAATTTTTATCCCAAAAAATATCCTTAATATATTAGTGACAAATTTACTAAAAAGTTGCAAAAGAATTACTTTTTTTTGAATGATAACTTTTGTTATACCATATTTTATTTTAAATGTTTTATATAACCATGCCCTCCAGAGCCTGCCGTCTACCCAAACATATTGTATTGAATAATGCTGTCCTGATTCTTTATTTATAAATCTATTAAGATATTGAGCTTTCCATGTTTCTATAATACTTGTAACTATTTGCTTTTTTGCTTTATACTCATTAGGATTATAAAGAATTATTATAATAACAAAATCATTTTGCATAATATCTTTATAATTATATTTTGTTAATCTTGGGAAAAGAGGATACCAAACCAATTTCATCCAATTAAGAATTCGAGTTTTATTTTTTAAATCTACCGAATTTCTAAAGGGATAGGAAAATAAGAAATTCTCACGAAAGACCAGTATAGACGGATAATTGCCAGATGACTCTTTGATGAATGAGACAGTTTTTGGAATCTTAAGGAGAGGGGTTTTTCCAATCAAAACTACTGACATCCATTTAATAATATCCTAAAATAGTCTTAGAGTTTGTAAAAAAGTGCTTGCCAGTATTTATGGCAAAGTATAAATGATATAATTACCTTATCTTCTGAAGTCAATTCTGGATAAAAATAGATAAAAAAAACCATAAATCTAGAGGAATATTTTGAATAAGTGTCAAGATCGTGAACCGAGGAGGGCATTGATCTATTGAAAGATTAAAATAAATAAAAATATAGAAAAACATACAGAAATATTCCATGCGAAAATTTCTTAAAATCTTTTGCTTTTCTAGAACCCTTATAGATATGACTATAGGTTCCTTTATAATAAATCATGGTGGGGACACCAGAAATCCCCTTATCTTTGCAAAAAGAGGTATACTTGGAGCAATCAACTTCACCAACATTCAGGAGACCTTTCATTAATAATGCAAATTTATCCCAATCAGCTTTCATTATTTTACAATGAGGACAATACGGAAGATGATATTTAATAAACCATCCACTATTTCCTTTAGTTACTAATTGAACAAAATTTTGTGGAATAAGATCAATAGATTGGCCGTTAGGGTTAATATGTGCCCTTTTCGAAGCTGCTTTTAACCTTAAATTACTGACAGATCTTTTTAATACTTTTTTAAATCTCTAGTTCTTTCTTAGCGTTTATCTTGTGTTATTCGAAAATATTTTTACCAATGATGATATTTTTTTCGTTTTTTCCTTCATATAATTTACAATATCTTGTACATTTTTTTCCGAAATATCGCCAAGCTTGAATTCTTCTTTTAATTGGCCATTATCAAAACTAATATACCCTTTAACAAATAATACTTCTTTATCAAATGAATTTTTTACAGCAATATCTTGGGATAATTCTCAACACCAAACTCCAAACATAGTTCTAACACAATTATATCAGCACTAAGGCCAAACTTACTTCTGTCTTATACTTTCATATAAAAAACAATTGACATTACCAAAATAAAAATCTTCGTTTCTATTGTAATTATATGCTCTATCCACTGCTTCCTTCCAATAAAATCCTACACTTGTAAAAAATACCCCTAACCAATACTTAAAATACCAAAAAGTTTAGAATCATGACATTCTGATGAATAAAAATTAATTAACCTAAATATATGTCCTCAAATCTCTAAAAAAAACTTCCAAAATTTACCATAAAGACGAAATCCCCGATGAAAATGCTTCTGGTGTAAGTTCCACTGAATGCGCTTTATCTTCCAATTTATCTGGGCGCTTGCTGCTCTTTATCCCAGACGAGTATGGATTCCCTGAAAAAAGGACCGGCAACCCCTGCTCAGATAAATTATACGAGAAAAATCTGTCCCTGTTTCCCCCATCGTCCGATTTATATTCTCTGCTATTAACATATAGGTGTAGAAATAATGATATGAAAATCCGTCTCCAGAGCATTTGTACCGCATGACATTTAAAGTGGAGAAACAATTAATTACGTGTACGCTGTGTGTCCCTAAGCTACGCGCACACATAGATGGAGAGAGTTTGGTGTCGTATCAGTATCAATAATAACCCTAACCTTTATCTACATCTTATCTAACTCTAAAATGACACTAGTGTAACCCTAGAGTAACCTAACGTAACCCTAATATAACCCTGATATAACCCTAAAGTTACAAGGATCATCCTGGTTAACCCTAACTTAACCCTAACTTAACCCTAGAGTAACCTAACGTAACCCTAATATAACCCTAATATAACCCTAAAGTTACAAGGATCGTCCTGGTTAACCCTAACTTAACCCTAACTTAACCCTAATGTAACCCTAATGTAACCTAACTTAACCCTAATGTAACCCTAACTTAACCCTAGGATTACAAGGGTCATCCTGGTTAACCCTAACGTAACCCTAACGTAACCCTCGTCTATCCCTAATTCCTCTCCCTCTAATACCCCTAACCCTCATATGCCCAGATTAACTCTTGGTTTTACGTAACATCTGACCAGAAGACGACTTGCCGGATAAATGGCCTCTACCAGTAATGTTTCTACGAAAGATCCCCTGATTCTTCTTAAAATGTCTATTCTGGAGTCGGATCCGCCCAAGTTTTTGAAAACGGAGGATATGAATTCAGTAGTTGCTGGACTGGAGGAGGCAGAATACCTTGGGTTTTCTAATGGGGTGATTGTTTCTCTTAAGGAGAAGACGAGATTTATTCGGAAAGAAACGGGGGAGCCATTTAATCTTTTGTCTGTTTTTTTTGCGTGGCAGCTTAAGGATGCGAATGTAGCAGAGTATATCCAGCGTTGTGGGGAGTCAGATGTTAAGAATCTTTCATTTCTTGAGAAAACAGATTTGGTGACATGGTTGGATGGGGCGCCAGAGAGTGAGCATATCCAGCCATTGGGTAATTGTTATTGTTTGGAAGGGAATAGGTTATTGATTTTTGAATTGTTTAGAAGAAGAAAAATTATCTGTTTTAACGTCAATTCAGCGACGAGGTGGATTTGAGCGTCCAGAACGAAATCCTGTATTGTTGAATATCTATGCTCAGGAAAGGATAGTTGGTTCTAGACATACGGTTTTACGTGGTTTAAAGCCAATTGTGTGTTTTTTTTTATAATTTTAAATCTTTGTAATATAGAAAAATAGGATTTTTCGGCAGTACGAAAATATGCATATGAACATTTTATTTCGAAACTAAGAAATAAGCAATCAGGGAATGCGGCAACATTGCCACTTGGGAAGGAATTGAAAGTTAAACGTATGTTGCTCTATTTGAAATTTGGGTTAATATTTACTGTGATATGTTAGATCGAGATCCGATTATTTTACTTTCACCTTCTGCTTCATCTCTTTTAACAATGTACAATATTAAGCGTTTTTTAGAAGAGGGTGTTTTTGTGCCTCCGGAAGAAGCATTGCAAATAAATGGTGGTAATCGTGTTTCAGAATTGATTGCTATTTCCCATACTTCAAGAATTGCAAAGGGATTGTCATATCGGTTTGTAATTGTACAAGGGGTTGATAAGTTTAGACCAGATTATTGGTAGATATTAAAGTTGATGTATATCTATTTTTGTTAATATTTAATCAAGGGATCGAGTAGTTTGTGTGTTTACGACGGGACAGGCTTGGCAATTTAAAGAATATAAATGGTCCGAGCCGAGGGAATTATTTCATCATGTTAAGGGTTTTATAATACAATATGTCGGGGATCCCCCACACCCTGCAACAAAAGAATGGAATGTTGAAACACTTCGAATTGAACGATTTCGAAGACATACTGACCGTGAAGTCGTTAGTCGACTTTGGGAATCACTGGTAAGCATGACTAAAAGGAAAATGATAGTATAATTTATAAGTATTACATAGGAAAGATGGATGGATAATCATCCTGTATGGAGAACAATGGGGCGACGTAAAACATATGGATAAATCGTTTTTTAGATAAACAATTGGGTTTCAAAAAGTAATGAATTGAAGCTAGATATAAAATAAAGGAAATCCTGATACCGTTGTTTAAATATTAGATATTTGATGGATAAAGCATCTATTGAGAATTAAAGAGCAATGAAAATGAAAATACAACTTACTATTCGAAGAGATGCTCCAAATGTACAGGGAGGAAGATTGTGGCGAAATCTAGCTCTGACACAACCTGAATTTCCATGTGGACGGGTAATTTTCCCCCAAATAACACGGACTTTGGTTCCTTTCACCTCTTTTTTTGCTTTATATACATATGCAACCCGTTTTCCAAGGTAAAACTGTGTTTCCTCTTTACTATTTACACCTTCTAGGCTATTTGTTAATAATAAAACAGTGATTCTAAGAAATTTACCAATTTTAATAATTGAAACATTTGGATTAGAGATTCTCTTTCCACGCTGATATCTGGGGAAATTAGAGAAGATCTTATTGTTGCCATTAACTTACGAAAGATGTCGTCCTCTTACATATACTAAAATTAAGGTTAGCTTGAGTAAAAGAGAAACATATATTATTTATTGAAATATCTATCAAATGAATACATAGGCAGACATGTTCCACTCATGTTATTCATTTTATAGGCAAGGTTGAGCTTTAGAAATACTTACATCTACCTTGTAATTTTGACATTTTACTTGGAAATATTTAAAATGATTTTTTTATTTGTTTTTAAAGATCGATGAGGACTTGTTAGGGTTAATCCTGATATATGTTAATGTTAGGTATTGTAGGGTTAGGGTTGTGTTTTATAGATAAGACGAAATCTATAAAATATTATTTATAAATATTAGAATATTTTGGTATCTCTGAAGAGGATCTTATAGGTTTGGAACTAAATAATCTAATGAATTGATCTATGTTATGAAAAAAATATATATTTTATATGATACAATATGCAAGATAATGATGTTTTCTAGTGTTATTACCAATATAAAGAACTTTGATGGTAAATTATTTTCCTTTTAAAAGATAATAGTAGTATTAGAATAGAGATGAAAGATTTTTTATCATTTAGTACAAAATATTTTTTTAAAGATAGATTAGGCTAATATAATATTAAAAAAATAATATGCATTATAATATGAAAGAATTTTCTCAGAATGAAGTGGCTTAAGTGATAATTTAATGTTGTATGGTATATTTTTCTAAAAAAAGAAAAATCGTGATAAGTAAAATAGCATTGTTTATGTATTATTGATTTTGTGCTTTTAAAAAGTCTGGAATGGATAACTTGGTAAAATCCTTCATATATTTTATCTATTTCTCCTATTACTGGAAAATGAAGTAAAATGATTTTTTTTAATATTATTCAGTTGTATCATCTGCTATGCGTTCCCAACGTTTATTTAATTCTATTTTCATATTATAAATAAAACATTATGGAAAATTGAGGATATACCGATAATATCTTGATAATTTTCACAAGTCGTTTGGATATCACATGAAATCTTTTCCGTTATTTTACGTAAAGATTCTAGTGTAGCACGAAGTATACGAAGATGACCAAGTTCCTAAAATAAAATGTTAATAAAAATATAAAATATACTTGAGATAAACTTCCTGTAACACTGTTTCTGCCATTTTCTTCCTGAGTTGTTGAATGTTCACTCAATATCTGCAAAATAAAAAACCTCTATATTTTTCAAAGTATATAAGAAATATCTGCTAAATTTTGTATTTTAAGATTAGAATATATATATATGATATAAAAGATTTTTTTCTTTTAAAATATTTATACTCTCTTTAAATGTGTCCTGTTATTATTTTTTCGAATAGGAATTACTTGTTTCTTGTCTTCTTTATACTCGTTTAGGGCTTTTCCAAGATCTTTTAATTCGTCTGATGTTAAGAGTATTCTCTTTCGTGTATTTGTTTTGACAAAAGATGAAATACTATCTTTATTTTCAATATTTTGCTTTTCTGAGGGTGGATTCACTGGATAATGATCTTTTTGGTGTTGATCTGTTTGACGTTGACTGATGATATTGAGGATTTGATTCTATATAACCATTAAATACATTTTCTCTGTATTTTTCTCTTTTAAAAGAAAAAGAGGGAAAAATTACCATAGTTAGATGTAAAGGTTTCAGATTTTCTAGTTGTTTAGCCTCAAAAGTCTATATAATATTATATTAGATGTATTTTTTCAAGAAAAGAGATATACTAAAAATTTAGCTTCTTGAGCTACGATAATTGATGATAACTGTTCAACCATCGATTCAAGTTTGTGAATTTTACATTCATTGGCTTTAATAGTATCGGAAATTGTATTACAAATTCGTCTAAAGTTTCCTTCTTTCTCCATTACTTGTAAACCATTAATCATCCATATTTCAATTCGATAAATAAGGAAAAAAGACGACACTTACATTCGTTTTCTCGAGCCCTATGTTGCTCTTTTGCAGATTCTAACCATGCATAACAATCTAATCGAAATTCTTTTATCAATCTTTCCAATTCTTCATGACGCTCCAAATATTTTTCTGAATTCTTTTGAACTGATTTTTGTAAATCATCTGATTGATAATAAATCTTTTTTGCCCAAATTTCAAGAGATTGTGAAATATCTTGTTTTTGTTCTAATTGAGGGTATTTAGACAAATTATTGTTATGTCCATGATACAAAAAATCCTGTAATTCTGATGTTGGTAAAATCCCATGGCTTCCTTCTTTATGTACTGCTAAGTCAAGTTGTTTCAACGAATCCTGTAGAAAAATAGAAGATAAATCTTCGATCATTGCTATCTGTGCTTTTCATATCAAAGCTCTTGAAATGTAAGATATGATGTTATAAATAGATAAACCAATATAACTATTCTTCTTAAAAAAAGATCTATCTATACAAAATATAGGCTGACTGATACGCTCCTATTTTAGACGTTTGATACCGATTAAGACTAAAAGCACGCGTAAACCCCTTATCAATGCTTTATCCTTATATTCTTAGACGTTCATTTATAAAGAATTCAAAGATATTAGAATTCTGTTTCTTATATTTTTGAATTTTCTTAAAACCCTTATTTAATAGCCTCAAAAAGAATACGTTAAGATTAATATTTTAAGTTAAATACAGTATTTGTCTTAAAATATTTATATCTAAGCAAATATCTTATGTTTTTACTCTGGGTTTTTTCTTATTTTAATAATTTTTTAATAAGAGGCTTAAGCTTTAAGTATAGAGCTCGACGTTATGTGCTAAGTACTTGATAGTAGCAAAGGATATATACGAGAATTAAGTGGGGTTTATGAGGGTTAAAACCTATATAAAGTGTATATAATTAGTAATATAGTAGTTATAAATTTGGTTAATTGATTGATTGTTTATTTTCTGTACTAGATTGTTTTGAATGTTGTTTTTATGTTAAATTTTTGAGTTTTAAATATAAAATGTCATTCTTCTTTTAAAAGCCGGACAATTGGTCCTAGTGATATTTTCTTGCCTTTGTAATCTAAATTAGCGCCTCAATTATCTAAGTTTTGTAATACTTCTACTTTATCATTTGAATGTAATAATTCTGGTGAGAATGGTAATCAATTAAATAATCATAGTTGTGGATCAAGTATATATGAGGAAAATGATTTAAAAAAACATGAAAATACTGAGGAAACAGAAATATCGTAAGACCAGCCAAAGTTTACAGAAGAGAATTATATACAAAAGATTTAGGAAATTGAAAAACAATATTTTTTGAATGAATTTTTTAAAAAGCTGGGTTTTGGATGATATTTGAAATGAATGGTGCTTGTATTTTTCAAAAGAATATGTTAATATTTGCTATTTTTTTCTTTAGCAAGTTCTAATTCTGGAATAATTTTTTTCCAGTTTTCTATAATCTGAAATGAATTAATAATGTTTTGGAATGAAAGCAAAAAATACTTGTTTATAAAAATTAATATTTTCATCTGCAAATGTGCTGAAACTTTCTTCTATTTCTTTTGTTTTAATTTTATCGAAAATGTTATTTTCACGTATTGTTTCTTCATCAAAAGCATCGCCTGATATTTTAGATATTTCAATTTCTTTTTGAAGTTTATCTTTTTTTTTTTCTAGTTTTTTAAGTCGATCTTGTTTAGCTTGTTCATGATCAATGCCTGTCAAGTTTTCTACTTTTTCTCGTAGATATAATAATCCTGTGCCTTGCATTACTCGCTCTTTTTCTAAATCAACTTTCATAAGATATTCTGTAAGTCCTTCAATATCCATTTGTTTTTGATCACGTTGTTTTAAAAGTTGTTTCTGTGTATTAGTATAAGATATTAAGTCATGTATGAAGGTTAAATAAACAGAATCCATATATTCTCTCTGTAGTCATAAAATTAATTACAATTGATGCTTTAAAATATTCACTTACTAAAATTTTTAGATTTACTTGTGTATTTTCTATTACTTCACTAAACATTGTTAATTCTCGACTTAAAGAAGGCTCCAATACAGCCAATTGTTTAAATAGAAACGCCATTCCACTGTAATCCATTTCAAGATCTATTTTTTGTTTAATCATCTTTAATATTAATTTCTCTATATATATTAATCCATAATCTAATTTATCTATTTTTTCCTTTATATCAATAAAAAGCATATTTGGATTATTAATCTTGGTGAAAGCATTCAAAAATGCATCACTTAACCCTTCAAAAACTCCTCCTATATTGATATAATGTGTCTTATCATGCAGAATAATATTATGAACATAAGAATTCCAATCCTGAGATTCAAAAAAGTGAGATAAATGTGTTGATTTCTGTAAAACTGGATGTAACGATAATCTTTGAAGAAATCTCTCTAATGAATTGGCTCTTTTCATTGTAAACTCAGTACTAAATCTATCTCCTTTGATATATTCTATCAAAAAATCAATTAACCCTCTCTTCATACAAGAAAAACAAACTCATCCGATGCTTGTCAGGCAAAGGAGGTATGCAACATGTAGGAAATTCCGCCATAAGGGTTTCATAAAGATAAACAAAGTCTGAAAACCGTCTGCGTACTGCCGATCTAGGTTTTTGAATAAAAGACATATTACTCTGCAAAAAGTTAGAAAAAAACATTCAAACGTGTCTCTTCTAGGTTCCTGAGTTATGACAAGGTAAGAAATATGCATATCTTTTGTTCCTTCTGCTTCTTTCTGTGGATTTCGGCAGAAACAAAGTAATTGATCTGGCTCTTTGGATAGTTGAGACGGAAATATTATATCAGAATCATTTTGCTCCTTATTACATAAGGCAGGTGTTTCTTGGGAAAGGTTCTCCCAATGAGAAGAAAATTGTTCATCTTGAAACATCTTTTTTTCATGAAAAAAAGAAAAACCCGAAATCAAAAAGAATATGTTTATATCTGCAAAAATAGGGAATAAATGAAAAGGAAAATGAATTGTTTAGTTAATAAATATATAAATTATATTTTTGTTTTTTTTTTTTGAGAAACATTAAAAGAATCAGCTTCTTTAAGTAATTCGGTTTCTGCAATTCGTTTTTGTTCTTCTTTGACTTTTTCTGAGATTTTTTTCAATTTTTCATATCTTTTTCCTTCTCTTTCTGCCATATCTCTAATTTGCATGATATTTTGTCGTAATTGCTCATTCAGAACCATTTCATTAGCCGTTTGAAAAATAAGTTGTCCCCAATCCTTCCTGAAGGACTGGGCCTCCTTCGATATATCCATTACCTCTAATTCGAGCTCTTTCTCTAATAAACGAAATTGTTTCCATAAATCATTTGACAATAGTCCCCGTTGAACTGCTTGATTAAGAACCGTCTTCTTCAGACGAAGCTCATGAATACGTTTCAAGTTTTCTCTTGCCCTCTATAATAAGAAACCCCATTGTTTAGCTACATTAAAAAACATTCATTAAATAATTTACTTCTAACAATGCTGCTTTAAGAATATTCGTCGGAACCGAGTCAGAAAGATGAAGCAGCGAAAAATAAATGTCCCTCGATGTATTAGACGAAAACCATTCTTCCAAAGGTGATATTTTTACTATTCTCATTATTTTTCCTCTATAAAAACTCATACTTACTGTTCTTATGTTTTGTATAAAAAAACGAAAAAAGACTAAGAGATCCAAGAAGAATGCTTAAATACAAAATCGGAAGATAAAATGGGACGCTTGACATGAATCTAGGGAGTTTAGACAGGGTAATTCATCCAATAAATTAATATTTTTTGCTGGTAGTTATCTCAGAGTTGTCATGGTGATTGTTGCCTGGTTAATAGTTCCTATGACAACGCCCTGATATTGCCAGCTCTGCCTCTTGACAAACAAGAATGATACTAAGAATTCGCTCAAAAGATGGAATGCAGAGGATCTCTGTAGATGAACAGGCAGATATGAGTGTTGTTCTTGAGAGGGAATGTATATTTACTAGTGGGATTAGTTATGCTTATATTTGTTTTCTAGGTTGTTGAGATATCTGGAGAAAAGGATTTAGAAAAGATTGAAATTTCCAAGGATCCGTCTAAAGAGCGTTTTTTTTCTTCTGTATTATCTGGGAAGACAGTGAAGAGTTTAGGTTTTAAGTGGGATCCGTTTTTTTTTGATGAAAAGGGAGAATTGATGGGATTTTAGACATGGTGATATTGTTTATGTCTATATAAGGGAGAAAGAGAAAAGCTTTAGTTCTCCAGAGAAGACAGGAGAAGAGAAAGAGAAAGATTCGTTGTCTTATGATGTGTGTAAACAGGTGATACAGGATGTGGTGGATGATTTTCTTGATACACAAGACGGGAAATTAGTAAATACTCAGAGTGCATTATGTAAACATGGAACGAAAGGAATGTGCAATAATTGTATGCCTTTAGATGTTTGTTATTTTTTTTTAAAGGGAAAGGATTAAATTTTAGTAGCCATATGATGCGAATTATCTTAAACAGAACAAGATTAAGCATCAATCGTTTCATTCGTATCTTAGAAAGATAACTAAAAATAGCAAAAACTCAATACCAGGAGCTCTTTTAGTTGAGCCGTTTTATGGAATTAAAAAAGATTGTCAGTCGGGACATAAACCATGGCCTCTTGGGATCTGTACAAAATGTCAGCCCTCTACGGTGACACTTCAGCCACAAGAATTTAGAATGGTTGATCATGTAGAATTTTCTAATTCCTCTATGATTGATACATTTTTAAATTATTGGAGATTATCAGGACATCAAAGATTTGGTTTTCTTTATGGGCAATATAAGCCCTATGATTCGGTCCCATTAGGAATCAAAGCAGTTGTAGAAGCAATATATGAACCTCCACAGGAAAATGAGGCTAATGGGATTTCTTTAAATCTTCCATGGAATGATGAAAATACTGTTGATGAAGTTGCTCATTTTTTTGGACTTAAAAAGGCAAGGAATATTTAATATTATTCTATATTTATTAATTTATATTCAGATTGGAATGATATTTACAGATTTAACGGATGATGGATCTGGAAAAGGAACTGTAATTTGTAAACGGCATATGAATTCTTTTTTTCTTTCTTCTTTAGAAATTACTTTTGCCGCAAAAATGCAATTAAAGCATAAAAATATTTGCAAATGGAGTAAAACAGGTGAATTTAGTTCAAAGTTTGTAACATGTGTTGTTTCCGCCAATAAAGATGGTAATATTGATATTTTTGCTTACCAAGTATCAAATTCTGCCATGGCAATGGTAGATGCAAATATTATAGAACCTAGCATTGATCCAAATATAATGTTAATTCGAAAAGAAGAATTCGATGTTTATATACCGGAGGTATTTTTTCAAAAAATTAATAAATATGGAATACAAGTTCAAGAAAATGCAAAATCGGCATTTCCTGTAGAATATCTCATAATCACTTTAACACATGGTTTTCCAATGAACCCCGATCCTATTTTTCCTCCTGCATTTAATACTTTTTTAATCGAAAACAGAGCTTCTATTGGGCAAATACAGAATATATATCCTTTGGCTGAAAAGATTAAACCTATTATTGAACATCCCGATGGAGATATATTAAAGACGCTTTGCGATTTTCATCTTTTAACCTATTTATGGACTCTTGGGATTTTAAATAAGGTAAAACCTTTTCTTTTTTTGAAAAAATTATAAAAAAACAAAGGATGACGGTTCACTTTTTATTAAATGTATTAGGGAAAATAATGCTACAGATATATACACTTTATTAGATACACCAAGTTGGCAAACACTTATAACAATTCTTCATGAAAGTAACCTGCTTTAAAGAGGAAAAAGATACACCATATTAACTACTTTTCCTTTATCTTTTTGGATCTTATATTTTCTTTTTTTTAACAAAATAATCATTATTTTGGAGTTATTTGAGTTGGCTGTTTTCATGTGATTATTAGGGTTTATCTAATCTAATCTTATGATAACTTCAAAAATATTGGAATTTGAAAATCAAGTAAATTATGAATAATCAGGATGAATCAACTGTACCTAATGATGATGATGATGATGATTACTTGACGATGGCACTTCCTGATGTATCTTCTTCCTTGATTTCTACTAGAGAGAGAAAGGTTTACGCACAAAGAGAACGAGGTATATCTAAATCGTACAAGATAAGAGAACGTGAGCGCCGGGAAGAAGCTCTTAGTTCATCATTAATGGATTTTGAAAAGCCTAGTAAAGCTATGACGATGATGTTTAAAATGGGTTATAGGTTTTTTTTATTTTTTTTGTAATTTTTTAATGAAATTAGGAAAGGTGAAGCTTTAGGTCAGAAGCAATCTGAGGGAAAGCTAGAACCTCTTGAAATAAATATGAAAACTGGTATGTCTCTGTTTTCTGGGCTTCTTTTTTTGTTAATAGGATTGAGATCGTTTGGGTATTGGTCATAAAACAATGCAAAAACAAAAGATTGAACAAGAAATTCAAAAAGTACGAGAGAATGAAATAGATTATGAATTAAGAATGCGTTCGGAGCGTGAAAAAAAGTATCTTGAAGCAAAAGTTTTAGAAGCACAGAAAGTTTGTGAGAATTTAGATAAAAAAGAGTCTCTGGATGAGCCACGTAAGATTAATGTTTTATGGAGAGGCCTAGTTATACAAAGAATTGAAAAGGAAATGGAGAAACGTAGAAGACATGGAATTTTTGATAGACATGAAGATTGTGATGATTTTTTATCAGATGAAATTAAACCTCCTCGTCATACACATATTGAATGGAGTGAAGATGATCAAGATATGGAATTATATGCCTTTAATCAATTGGATGTGAGAATTTGTATTTTTTTTTAATCTATAGTTGATTAAAATAGCCTGGAATCCGGTTGGAGAAAATTTTGGACTTTCTTCGTCAAAATTATAATTATTGTTTTTGGTGTGGGTTTGCCTATCAGAATGAGGAAGAGCTTTTAACGTCTTGTCCCGGAAAAAAAGAAGAAGATCATTGAATGAAAAAGTTGATATATTTTATTAAATGACAGGGTTTTGTTTTGCATAATTTATAAATTATACTTAAACTAAAATAAGTATTAATTTGTTTTTATGGGAAAGAATATAATAGACTTGAAGAATTCGAAATATTCGCTTTGGAATATAAATAGAATTCTTATATTTTTATGAACATATCAGATCTCTTGAAATGATAATATTACATATGGTTTTAGTTTTAATTTTTATATTCTCTTTAATGCAAAAAAAAGTTTAAACTGGTTATTTAAACGTTACTTCTTTTAAATGGCGTTGGTTTCTTTCTTTATTATTTACTTGTTTAGTATACATTGTATTTATAAAAAGTTTATTGAAGGATATTTCTATTGACTTAACTTTTGAAATTATTGAAGTTTGCAATAATAAAGGTTAAATAATTAATAAAGTTTCAGAAAAAAATATTAAAAAAAAATAATATTGGTATATTTATATAATGATTAATAATTACAATTGATCTATATTTATTATTATTATTTTATTCAGAAAAGTTGTCATTTTTTTTAATTATTTTTATTTTGAAATTTAATATCATATTTTTTATTTATCAAATGATCTATAATATTTATATGTTTTCAGAACATATTTTTTAAAGTTCTTCAAGTTCATGGTTTTCTTTTTATATATAAAATTTGATTTGTAATATGTATTTAAGTATTAATAGCGTTATTATATGATTTAAATCCTGGTTTTATCTTTTTTCTAATTTTTATAATGATTATTCTTAAAAACACTCCAAATTGAAAATAATTCATTAACTATTTCAACAATTGTTGTATAAATGGTATCTTTTCAAGTGCTAATATAAAAAAAACTTAATATTTTAAAATAAATACTTAAAAGAATTATGTGATCTAAGAAATAAAGATGAAATAATGATAAAGTATATACAATTGCAAGATAAAATTATTAATTTGTAAAAAATTTAAATTGGATATAAAATATAGTGAAATATTAGATAGTAAATGTATCAAATCGAAATAATGTAAAATAGTGGATTATAAATAAGTTTTAAGATGAAAATTTAGAAAATAATGACAAATTTGAAAAAATTGTAACTCCTTAGATAATAATACTTAAATAATAAAATAATAAATTTTCAATTGTTTAAAAACCTTAAATAAATATAGAAAGACATGAAACCAATTATTATGAGTTTTAAAAAATATTGAAATACATCTAAAAATTTAAGATTTAAAGTTAAAAATATTATGAAAACTTACACTATTATTTTTTTATGTAAAAAATTAATAAATTCTTCTATCTTTTTTTTTGAAATCTGATTTTTTTATATATAAAATATAATATATAGTAATAATCAAAAAATATAATTAGATTTAATAAAATAAAGACATTTACTTTGAATAACCTGCACCTAGAAATGAATCCCTTCTAAATAAACCTTTAAAACGCTCATTTAATCGTGAACTTGACAACGATTCTGAATTTATTGATATAGAGTTTCGATGTAAACGTTCAGAATTATCTCTTGCTGCTGAAAAAATAGATGTATTAATATTAGAAGTATCAAAACAATATGGAAGAGATATATTTGCTCCTGACTGTGGAGATAAAATGAGAGGTTCTAAAAGAGATGATGAATCTATCAAATCAGAATGCTGAGATGTTTGAATATTAAATATTTCTAATAGCTGATTTTGCTCTTGTTTACGAAGCCCCTAATTATGATCAATTATGTTGATATTTTAATATATTGTGGTTACCTTAAGTTCTAAAATTTTTAAAAAATTTGATATATTTTTATCTCCAATTAATACTAAATAATTTTTTACAAATTCTTCAGAAGAATTAATTTGTGTTAATAATACTTTTAAAATTGTTTCTATTTTTGATACTTCTTTATTAACAAATTTTGTATACCTTTTATTATTTAAAAAAAAAAGAAATAAATATACATACTTACGATATATGTGCTTGTGTATTTTTTTCATTTGTAATAATAGGAAGTTTTAAAAGAGCCATTTTAATTGAATATAGATCTAAAATCATCTATTGCAAGTTTTAAATATTTTTTACATAGAATAAATCTTACTTGTTCTGCTCCAACCTCTGAAATAGGTCGACACCGAGTTATGTAAAACATAAAATTATCTAAAAATGACTCAACCATTTTGTCACAAAATATTCTAATAAATTTTTCAATTGATATTTTTTCCATGATTTTTTCTGACATATTTTTTAATACAGATGTCATACTAGTCACATATGCACTTTGATCTACTATATTTTTCAATTGACTCCAGTCAATTTTCATCATATCCTTAAATGAACCAGATAAACTTGTTTCTATTATTTTTACAAGATTTTTAATAGAAATTCCAGCAATATTTAGAAACATTTCCTTTTCCTTATCAAAGCCTATTTTTTCTCGAAAATTATCTGATACTTTGCCTTTTATAAGTTTTTCTAGTTGCATAGTTGTTTTGTAACAATAATCTGATGTATTTAGAATCAAGCAACAAATATTTATATTTGTTGCTTGTTTTCCATCCATTGCTGGCAACAAAATTGTTTCAGCATATATAATAAGCCATCTTGCAAAAAGATAGGAAAAATCAATTAGAAGATGCTCATTAGACAGTTTTTCGTATTGAGCTAGAGTTTGCCGATAAAATAGAAACAATTCTGTTGATGATGATGTTACCATTAATTGAGGATTATTTTTTATTTCATTCTCCATGTTTAATTTTTTGAAAGATTGAATCATATTAGATAATGCACTATACTATTAGGATTTTTTATATGATTTATAAATATATACTTCTCATGAAATTGAATAAAAATATATAAATATGAATTGAATGTATTTTTTATACTTTTATGAAACGTTATTGTTTTAGATTCTTGTTTTGAAATGAATGTATTTGTTACATTATAATACTGCTTGATATTAATATTTTTACTAATATATTTCTTAATTCATTTACATTAGAATTAAATCGTTTTTCTAAATAATGTTCAAATTCTAGTGTTTTCTGCAATGCTTCCAAAAGTATAGAGATTTTAATATTTTTTTCTGACCTAGAAAGCACTTCTTGAATATCTTCACTATCATATCTCAATAATATTTTACATAAATGTAATATTATTTACCTTGTATTTGCACAAAAATTTTGGCATAACCTTTCGTCTGCATTCCATGATTTAGGGAACATCTTTGCATGTTTTTCATCATAAAGATTTAACATCCTTTTCAACCATGCATATCTTCTAGAAATATTATCCAGAGAAGCAGCCTAAATATCAAAAATATACAATTTACACAATTATATCACAAACTTCATCATTTCCTCTAAACACTGTACGATATTCTCTAAGTTGGGTATTACAATACCATAATAAAATACGTTCTCTAAATGAAATATAAGTTATTCATACTCTTAAACAACTAGATATAACCTTGCATTATTTTCAAGAATATCTAACATATTACATATATTCAATAATTGAAACGCCTTTTTATTCATATCCATAGGACTTATAAATATATTTTCGAAATCCAAACATGCCTGCTCAAACAAATTCGTTTTTAACTCTGAAATATTGTTACAAAGTGCTGCAATCTGATCTACACTTCTAAATGATTTAAAATACGATGTCAACTGCAAAATAGCCTACAAAAACTAATAAATATATATCTCCACTGAAAAAACATTCATACTTGTAACAAATGCGTAATTTCCTCATATTGTTTTGTCTTAATCAGCATTTTTAACTGTTCATATGCAACAGCTATAATTAACCCACTTAAAAATTTACTAACTCCCTCAAAAAAACTTACTTAACATCTGAAGACGCTTTAAAACTATCATAGAATATGTTATATTCTTTTTTGCATAATCTAATTGCTTGATATCCACTGTAATTTTCGTAACTAGCCTTTCTACCTGAAATGCCCGCAACTGCATACATTCTATCATCTCAATTAATTCCTTCAGTTTTTCCTTGATATCTTCATTAGATATGGCATCTTTCCCCTCTGTTTCCAGCTCATTCTTTGCCTTATCAAGCTCACAATTTAACTCTTCCTTATATTTTTCCAAATGAGACAAACAAGGAACAATAACTTCATGCGACAATATAGGCTCATTAATAATGCTGTTAATATCCTCTAAAAGGTTATAGTCCTCTGTCTGTACTTCACCTACCATACCAATATTTCTTGATAGAATAGCTCTAGTCTTCGAGCACCTCGGGACCTCAAAAAAAGCTTGCATGGCCTTGAATTGAGATCACCTGTATTGCAACTCTCTTCTATAGATCAGCAGTAGATATATACATATTTCATCTGAATGAATGGTTAAAGGTTTTTTATTGTGATGAAAACAACATATTTTTTAAGAAACCAAGCAAAAAAGCTTGCTACTGGATTGACAGTATGGAATGAGCTTTTTTATAGTAGAAATAAAGGAATCGTTTAGGGAATTGATGGTCAGCGAGACCCAAGACCAATCTTGCTGGAGATTTACCAGTTAACACTTAAGGTATTGACGTGTATTCCGGAGCATTCGGTATATCGTCAAGCAACAGAGAGATTGACAAAGCAGCGCCAAAAGATTGTCAAGGAGAATGAGGTTAGAGAGGATATTGAGAACAAGATTGGGTGTGGGTTGATTGAAGAGGTTATTTTCCAGGCAAAAGATGAATTAAATCTTGCTAAGAAAATGTTGGAGTGGAAATCGTAAGCATTGAAAAAAGGCTAAATTTCAGTTTAAATTGAATGTTTTCTAGTTGGGAAGATTTAGAAGTTCACCCTCCAACTGGACAGTATGTATTTATGTGTTTTAATTTTCATATTGATTTTCTAGGTGGGAATATTTTCGAAAAAAGTAGCCATTGTGTTGAAGTTTTATGTTTAGTAGATGCCTAGAAGCTAGTGTATCTTTATTTTTATGTCCATATCTAAATAGATGTATAGGAATACTCATATGCAAATATAAACGAATAAGCTAGATGAATAATTTAAACAAATAATTTAGAGAGATAAATTAGACAGATAGATTAGACAGATAGATTAGATAGACATATTGCTTATATATATAAAGATATGTATTTTATCTAAATTTATCTTACTAGTCGACAAACTAAAAAAAATTATGAAATGACATCTATTATTAATAAAGTGCTTAAGCCTGACTATAGTGGATCAACGTTTTCATTTGACCATTTTCTAAAGACAGAGCTTCGATTTAATCTTGATTCAAGTTTGTTTTATCCTTTTTTTACTTTAAAACTAAGTTCTATAAAGACCGACCAGTATGTCGCTTTTATATACAAGGTTAATTGTTTATTTTTCATAATTATATATTTATTTTGTTAAGGACATTGTCCTCTTGGAAATACATGTCCTGATAAGCACTTTTTTGTGAAGGATGGGAATAGTGGACGAGCAAATAGTATTGTTTGCAAGGTTATGATGAATTTTGAACTAAAAGATGATATTTTTATTAAAGAAGAGTAGCACTGGCTTCGTGGACTTTGTAAAAAAGGAGATCAATGTGAATTTCTGCATGAATATAATCTTAAAAAGATGCCAGAATGTATTTTGTAGAAAAATCTTGAATAAACTAATATATAAAGGTCGTTTTTTTGCAAAACATGGATTTTGTAGCAATGGAGAGGAATGTTTATATCTCCATATAGACCCAGATTCGAAAGTGGGTTCATGTGTTTGGTATACAATGGGATTTTGTCAATTAGGTTGCTTTATTATTGCAAAAATTGTTTCTTATATGATTTAAGGTCCAAATTGTCAACAAAAACATGTTAGAAGGACTCTTTGTAAATTGTATTTGACAGGATTTTGTCCAAAAGGACCAGAGTGTTCGAATGCTCAGTATTTTACTATCTATTCTTTTTCTATATTATTTAATTATTTAGTCCCAAACATGTATTTCCTTCTCATCCTTCTAAACAAAAGGGAGCATCTGATTCTGCAGTTAAAGAAGACGTAGAAGAGGTATCTAATATCATGGATGTTAATTTATTTTAATATATAAAGCGACCTCATCAAAATGAAAATGTAAAAGAACGCAGCGAAAGAACATATCGGGATATATCTCAAGTCGAATGTTTTAAGTGTGGGCAAATGGGTCACTATGCAAATCATTGTTACCAATCTAAATCACATAATATGGTTGTTTAATGTATCTTTATAATTTTTACATTCATGATATCTGGTTTCAAGACATTATTTAGATTATTGGAAATATCATATATTATATACTTTAAAGGGTCATAAACGGGTATTTTCTATGCATATATCATTTTCATTAAATCTTCTTCATTTCTTCATTTAAAAACTATCTTTTTATCTTTTTTTTCTATAAAATCATCTTAATGATCACATCTTAAGTTTCTAAAATTTCAAGCTATAGTATATATTATTTATATCTAGATATGGCTTAAACAGGTGAGTTCTTTTATATAATAATATATTTTTATTAGATTTTCTGTGCCTGGATTTAAATATTTTTAAGCTGGTCGATCGATAAGACAGATCTATCAACATATGAAAATCCAGATTTATGGCATTTATAAAGGGAATCCATTCATTATCTCCTATAGATAAGTGCTTATCTCTTAAATCTAAGAAAAGGTGTATATTTTCGTTTTTTTGCGAGTAAAAAGTATTAAAATCTCATAGAAATCAAGAAGCATATGATTTATTAAAAGTAAATTGAAAAAATATACCAAGTCAATAAATAAGAGTATTTTAGAAGATAGAATCATTAGTTACGCCTATTATGAGGTCTAGATCATTGAAAGTATCCGTATTGGCTGAGTTTTTCCCGAAAAATAATGCTTTATTGGGTTTATACATGTCTTTAAACGTATTTATCCAATTAAATAATATTTAGGTCTTAATATAAATAGAGGATCCAAGATTTGTATTAGACTAAGAATGCAAAATGATGAGAATACATTTTATTCTTTAGATTATTTAATTGAGATAATGCTACATGAGTATTATATTTATTTTATGAAATTTTTTTAATACTTTTTTTAGATTAACACATAATGGTTAATATAACACATCATAGTTTTTTATGTCTAATTGTTATCAGTTTATTCATCTCATGACGCAAAATTTTATGGAAAGCTTTTTTTTTGTATTTTTAGTTGAATTAATTTATATAGACATGTTAAATGAGTTAAATTCAGAGTTCAATCAATTGCTCTGTTTTGGTAATATCAAGCATGGGCTTTATTCTAAAGATTATGAAGTCAATGGAAATATTTATCGTGATTCTTTACATTATAAAACAAACATTTTAGATCAGAGAAAACGATCAAATACTTTAACCATAGGTTCTGTATCGAGATTGGGAGGAAGTGGAAACGTTGAAAATAAACCATTAAGAGATTTGATACGAGAAGTTGTTGATTTTATTTAAAACATTTTTGTTTAATGATTTAATAGGCAACTGAAAAACGGATTAAAAGTCTGAAATGGTGTATAACTGAATCAAATATTATAATTGAAGATGATGAAATTTATTCTGGATTTAAAAAAGATATATCGTCTTCAGAATTATTGGATCCAGGTCCTGATTTAAATAATTCCCAAATAAAAAATAAAAAAGCATTAACTTCGAAGCCTAAATCTTTTCAAAAAGATATTATACTTGATGATTTATGGTCATGCACATTTTGTACGTTTAAAAATAATGGAAATTATCTACAATGCGAAGCATGTTTATCTGAGCGTTCTTTTAATACATTTGAATCTTTTAATAAGAAATGGGAGTGTACCATATGTTCATATTTTAATGAAAAACAGCAATATTCTTGCGAATTTTGTAATGTTATACGAGCTTAAATTTATAAAAAATATCAAACAAGGAAATGGCTTTATAGATATTTATTGCAAAACATATAGATTAAGGTTAAGAGTTTACATGATTTTGAATGGATTCTACTCTTTTTTTGGTAATAACATGTTTATATGAAGTTTCAAAATAATTATGTCGAAATAAACTAAAAATCCTGGGCTTAAAAACATACATTTAGTGTTAAAAATATCAAGCGATATTTCAATCTCTTACAAACTTTCCAGATAATTAATATATATAAAAGTATTTTATAATCTTTTGATTACTAAATTGTAATATTTTGAATTTTAAAAAATATTAAGAAAAAAATAACCTGAATAATAATATACTTCAATCGAAAATCATTTATTTAAAGATGATACAATCCAATCAAGTCCTTTATATAATCCATTACCTGTCAATCCACAACATCCCTAGTTTGCAATTTTAGACATAAAAATATTAATAAATAAATGTAACCTGAATGTGCCATGATCTATCTTTAAAATTAATAAGACCTAATAAATCAGAAATTTCACTGGGAGTCATAGAATTCTCAATATCTTGTTTATTTGCAAAAACTAATAATAAAGAATCTTTTAAACTCTAAAAAATAATTAATTTTTTCATGAAAAAAAGAATAAAAGTGTTGACAACATCATCACTCATTATCTTTGATAATTCATTTTTAGAAATCCCTATTCTTTCTTTATCTGATGAATCAATAACTAATATAACGGCACTTGTAGATTTATAATATGTACTCCAAGATTGGCGTAGGGATGTTTGACCCCCTAAATCCTGAAAAACACCCATATTTAAAATCTTACAATAAAATTACTTAATAAATAATAAAATACCCATATAATAAATTTAATATTCTATAAAATCAGTCATCTTCACCCAATTAACCTCAAAAAACCTTATACTTTATCTCCTGGTTTTATAAAATTAGATAGACCTGTAGATAGTCTTATTTTTCATATAAATACCTCTACATTGCTTCCAATTGTAGGCTGGATTTGGATAGCTTGGCCCAGAAGCCTATAAAAATTATTCAAAAACCCTTTTTTTCAGGCTAACAAACAGCTGATACAATATTGTAGATTTCCCCTGCATAATGATTCAGTTTCCATGCCTTTTCATGTATTTTTATTTTTTACTGCGTTATCTAACCCAACTATCACTATCTTTCTTTCCTGACCAAATATCAATTTTTCGCCTAAAAAAGAATATATAATCTTGCTTGAGATCCCAAAATACTGTTCCACAAATGTGATATCAAAATACCCATATTTTAACCTTTTTCTTCAATTTTTTTTTTAAAAAATCAATTTTTTTAGAAATATATATAAACTCCTCCAGTTCCTTATTATTTAGTAAATAAGAGGACAGTATTAAGTGTCTTTTGTGCACTTTTCTACTTGTTTTTTTGCCTGTATGTGACTGTTAAAACTGCTCGTAAACACCCTCGCTTTAAATCTAATCGTAGATTTTAACCTCTTAAAAAATATATTAAGATTTTTAGTATATTGAGGGCTCAGATGAAGAGAAATAAGGAGCAAAAGGTAAGTAAATCTTAGGAAATAAGGTGTTTCTGACATAATGAATCTTAGAAACGGTATTTTTGTCGATTGCATGATTTATTCAGTGAATACAAGTCTATTTTTGTGGTGAATATTAATAATGTCGGGTCGCAACAGTAAGTCTTTTTTTTCGGTAAAAAAAAGAAGATATTTTAAGGATTTAAGGATGCACATGGTTAGGAAGGAGCTTAGAGGAAGCGGTGTGATTTTTTGCGGAAAAAATACGATGATTCGGCGAGCTATGCGTGATTTTTTAACTGATCTTCCTTATCTGGAGACATTGCTTCCTGTTGTCTATGGAAACATTGCATTTGTGTTTACGAATGATGATTTGAAGTTGTCTCGGACCAAAATTATGAAAAATGTTGTTTCCGCGCCGGCCAAAGCAGGTATAATTGCACCATGTGATGTTATTGTTCCTGCGGGCAATACAGGTATGGAGCCTGGTAAGGTAAGGTTAATTGTGAAAAAAAAGATGTATTTTTTATTCATTTTAGACATCTTTTTTTCAAGCACTCGGTATACCTACGAAAATTGCACGGGGTACTATTGAGATTATAAGCGATGTTCATCTTATTCACGCTCAAGCAAAAGTGGGTGCTTCTGAAGCTACTTTTCTGAATATGTTAAATATTATGCCTTTTACATATGGGATAACAATTCTTCATGTATATGATCAAGGGATTTTATTTTCACCTTCTATTCTTGATATTACAGAGGAAGCTTTTATTGGATATCTCAAATCCGCTATTCAGAATGTAGCAAGCATATCATTAGCTTTGAATTATATGACAATTGTTTCAGCATTGCATAGTTTGGTTAATAGTTATAAAAATCTTCAAGCACTCTCTATTGCTTCAGATTATATATTTGAAGGAACTGAAAAGGTACATTGATTTTTTTTTCATAAAAAAAATTTATTAATGAAATACTTACATATTTACATAGATTAAAAATATTCTTGAAAACCCAGATGCTTATGTTGTTGCATCTGCACCTGTTGTTGAATGTGAAGCTCCTCCCGAAGAAGAATCAGTAGAAGAGGAAGATGAGGATATGGGACTTAGTCTTTTTGATTAAAGAAATAAAATTACATACATTTTTGAAAAATAATCATCAAGTTACGTTTTTCAATTTAATATTAACTAATTTTATGTTTACAATATTTTGTAATTATATTTGTAGCTTGAATGATTTAAGTATCAGGGTAATATTATATATATATTTATGTTTCGTTTAGTTTTTTAAGAGTTTCTTTTGCCACTTGTATTGCTTTTTCTGGTAGCCCTGTTTATTAGAAAGAAGCATTCGGTAAATTTAGTTATTTACCTGCCATCATTGCAACTTTAAGTCCATGAGAATTATCATTAACACCTTCGGCTATTTTATAAAGAAAACGAAATGTTCCATCCTTTAATCTTTAGGTTTATTTTTTATATAAGAATAAACTTACACCCTCTTCTAAAATTTTTGTACAGTACATAGATACACTGTCAAACAAGGAAATCATATTTACTAATTCATGAAAATGTGATGCAAATAATACTCTGGATTTATTGATATAATGAAGATGATATAGACATGCATAAGCTATTGCTAATCCATCCTTATATGTTGTTCCTCGACCTATTTCATCCATAATAACCTATGTTTTAATGAGAAGAGAAGAGTAATTATATTTTATTTATACGAGAGATTTTGGTGTTGCCCTCTTTAAAATTCTAGCAGTTTCTAACATTTCTACCATAAAAGTTGATTCATTTTTATAAAGATTATCATTGGATCCAACCTTAAACAATTAATTAAACGCAAATAATAATACCATAATATACTCTGCTAAATATTCGATCCACTATGCCAATTTCAGCATATTTTGCAGGCACGAATGATCCTATCTGTGCAAGAATTGAAATAATAGCATTCTGGCGTAAGTACGTGCTTTTTCCCCCCATATTTGGTCTATAGAAAAACTAAATTATATATAATATTTCATATAAAATATACCCTGTAATAAACCATATACGCTTTTTTTCTCCCAAACAGCAATCATTCGGTACAAAGACAAGTCCTCGATTATACAAGCCAGCTTCTACAATTGGATGACGTCCTGATATTATTTTATGATATGTTCTAAAATCATTAAATCTTTAACAATTTCTCATAAAATATACCCTGTTTTTAATATAGGCCTTACAAGTTTTTGTTCTTGAGCAAGAGTTGCGAACGAAGAAGCAATATCTAATTCATCAAGAACTCTTGCGTTTTTTCGTAATATTGTAAGATTTTTAAGCGTCTATAATTTAGTTTTGATGTTAAAAAATATATATTTATAATAAGTTAAAGCATACTTCTATTCGGAGATTTTCAATAGTATTAGATTCTTCAAGTCTAATCTTTATTTTTGTTTGTTCTATCATATTTCCAAGATTAGTCCATTCCTAAATCAATTAATATAAAATTAAATTTGAAAAATTTATACAGGTATTTGAATTGATTTAGTATTTTTATTAGTACTAAGAATTTTTGCTCCATTAATTTTTGATATGCTTTTTTCTGTATTTTTGTTTCGTAGATGAATGATATGATTTAAAGAATGTGTTGTTTTTAATGTTAGATTAGTTGTACCTTTATTTTTTTAGAAAATATAATTTTAATCAAATTGATTACCTAATAATAATTTTAAAGATTCTTGGAGTTTATCTTTTTGATTATAAAGTGTATTTAATTCTTCATGAAGTTTTTTTAAAGGTAAAGAGGCACTATAATAAGTCAGCATAATATTTATATAGTAAAAAATATTATACTTTTTTTTTATTATCCAAACATCATTATTTTTTAAATCATGATTTGTTTTAAGTTTTGATTCAATTAAATCATTATTAGAAAAATCTTGAGTTTTAGATATTCTTTCAATTTCTATTGTTTTTTCCATAGCATCTACTATTAATTCTTCATTTTCCTTTTGTTTTTGCATAAGACCATCTTCATCTATTGTATTTTGTATTTTTTTGAATAAATCCAGAGGAATAATAATTCTTTTTAGAAGAGAATTAAGAGATTCATTGTCAGATAATTTTTCTAAACACTGATATATTCTATTTGTAATTCCTATTGTTTTTGATAATGCTAATAAATCATCTGCATTTTTACGACCTAAAGAAATCTTTTGTACAACACGTTGAGTGTCATAAATCTTTTTCAATAATTGTATAATTTCAGCTCTAAGATGCGAATTATTATAAAATATTTCCACCAAATTTAATCTTTTGTTTATTAAAGAAATAGAAGTAATAGGAGAGCCTTTGATATTAAAATTGAATCATAAAAAACAAATTATCCTTACAAATCCATTCAGTAAGTAGTCTTGATCCAGAATTGGTAACTGTTCGTTTAATAGCAGATAATAGAGTCCCCGTTTTTCCTCCTTCTCTTAATGATTGTTTTAATTCTAATGCTCGTATAGAATGTATATCCATAAAAATGTTTTCTTCAGAATTTCTTCTTACTGGTGCCTGTAAATCAAAATCTTCTCCTTGTAATTTATCATTTACGTAAGACAAAATCTTGAGTGATGCATGTTCTTCCAAAATTGAAAAATCTGACGTCTCATCATTGTTTTTAATGTTTTCCCATTTTTGAATCATACTATCTGGTATTTCAAATGTTTCATAGGTTACAAAGCATTCTCGTTCTTTTACATACGATGAAATGTATTCCACAAAAATTTCTTTAAATTTTTTATCAACAATTATTTCTTTTGGATTAATTCTTTCCAATTCATCTAAAATATATTCAAATTTAGATGTTTGAGTAAAAAAATCACCCGTCGATAAATCAAACCATGCCAGACCTATTTCTTGAGATTGAATCAAGTCTTTTTCTTCCATTGTATCCTTGTTCATATGTATAGCCAAAAGAAAGTTATTAATATAAAGATTCATAAATTTTTCATCAATTAATGTGCCTGGTGTTACAATTCGTGAAACACGGCGTTCATAAATATTTTTGTATATTGAGCAACGATCTAGACGTCTATATTCTTCGCTAATTGCAACATATTCTCCAATTTCTTCAACTAAACATTTAAGGTATCTATCCAATTGATAAAATGGAAATCCCGCCATAGGAACCGGTCCCGCCTTAGTATCCTTCCGTGCAAGTTTCAGATTAAGTATTGGTGCGTACTTTTCTGCTTGAGAAAAATAAAGCTAATATAAGTTTGACCAAATACATTAAATTATTAAAAACCTCATAAAATCCTCCTACACGTGTCAAAAGTACACAGTTTGTATATTTTTTTTGATTATAAAGTACTTTATCAAGTAATTGTGTATATATTGGACCTGATACATCCATTGTTGGCTCAAATGAAGACCTTTCTTCTGATGATCCTTTCAAATTATCCTTTATCCATATATTTTTATTTAACCCATTTTCATCCACAAGTAAAGGGCGGATCTCATATCTTGATGATGATATAGAGTGTTTATACTGTTTAAATACTGTTTATTTATTAAAAATAGTCTTGATTTAAGTCAAACATACCTGGTATTCTTTTAATCCGTAGTATACGTTGCATAGGAAGGCGGATTGAACAGGCGAAAAAATACTAAGTTAAAAATAATATAGATTTATAAGAATAGATGAATTAATAATTAATTATGAAGAGATTAATTTTTTATAATATATATATATATATTAGAGATGTGTGATTAATAATATAAATTATTAAAAAATTAATGTTAAATTATTGGTGAGCACAGCTAACACCAGGTGGTGCATTATCATCATCACAATCTTCTGCCATGCCATTAGTACCTCGCCCACCTTTGGCAGCACCTTCTGCACGAGCTTCTTGCATGGGATCAACATCATTAATAATTACTTCTTCAGTTATAGCATTACTAGGGATTCTTTGTTCGACTCTAGGAGGGAGAATTCTTTCTAAAATGCTGAAATCGGATGGATCGGTAACAAAGTGAGGCGCAGGAAATTCAACCTCGAATCGAATATATAGATTTCCATGATCATGATGTCTATATGAAGGCATACCTTGACCTTCAACAACTTTTATTTCACCTAATTATTGTAAAAATTTACTCTATTTATTTAATTTAATGTATTATCTTACCTGGTTTAATACATTCTCCTGGAAGAATATTAATTTCAAGATATCGATCATCCAAATGTTGTAAAAAAACTTTTCCGCCAGCAAGAGATGTTATAAGATCAATCTTTAAGACTGTATAAAGATCATCATCTCTTCTTTTAAATGAATGGTGCTCCTTTTGTTCTAGCACAAAAATAACATCTCCAGGAATAATATTCGGACCTTATAAATATTGAGGAAAAAAATCATATTTATAATAATAATAATAATTACCTTGATCCCCTTCTCCACTAAATACAATTTTTTGACCTTCTTTCATTCCTCTATCAATATAAACAGAAAGAACTTTACGTTCACTAGTCGTCTTTTTGCCCTTACACTAAAAAATTAAACAAAATTCCCCACAATTTTTATTCCTATACCTCTTTGCATCTATCTTTATCTCTAATTTGTTCTCCTTCACCATTACATTCCGGACAAATCGTTTGAAAACGTTGAATCATAGGTCCCATTTGACGTGTAACTGTTTTATGCCCTGTACCATTACATGTACCGCATTGCTTAACAGCTCCTTCTCTTCCACCACGCCCATCACATTTTGAACACATAACATTTTTTTGCAATGCAAGTTTAGAAGTTTTTCCTTTATATAAATCTTCAAGTGATACTTTCAATGAATGTACAAGATCTTTGCCTTTTCTAGGCCCCGTATGTCCACGATTAGACCCTCCCCCAAACATACTACCACCAAAGAATTGTGAAAATATATCCTCTGCATTCATACCACTCATTCCACCTGATCCATCTCCTAAAAGTCCTTCTTCTCCATGTCGGTCATAAATTTCCCGTTTCTGAGGATCTGAAAGAACTTCATATGCATGACTTATTTCTATAAGTCATCCAATATCAGATATCTTCTTACTTCCCCCTCATACTCCTATTCCTACCTTTAAATTTATCTCCTGCTGCTGGATTTTTGTCTGGATGATATTTTAAGGCCAATTTCCGATATGCTTTTTTTAAATCGTTCTAGAACAGATTTCATTAGTCCTTTATTCCCTCTTAAATCCTTCTATATACTTCTCCTGCCTGTGGAGTTACCTCCAAAATATCATAGTACTTGGTATCCTTGACCATTTGACCGTTAAAAAATATGTCCTATAATTGCTTAAATATATAAGTATTTCCCTTTGTTTTGACGCTCTTTATAAGACCTTATCTCTATGATATCTTGTTAATAGTAAGATATTGATAATATCGAAGTAAAATTTCTGTATGATAAAAACTGAAAACCCTATAAAAATGAAAAAAAAAGTCAAAAAATATGGTTAAGAATAAATGGAATAAAATATAATGAAATCATAATAATTTAAGAAATAGTGAAAGAATGATTAGTGAATAATGAATTAAAGATATTAGAATAATTAGAAGATTGAATGATTGAATAAATGATTATGATGAATGTTTTATAGATTTAAGATAGTTTTTTATGTGATTTGCCTCTTGAATGGCGTCTTGTTTTTTTGAATAAAGTTGTAGTATGATTTGATAATATATTTGTTGAAAAATTTGAAGAAATTTGTTTTTCTTGAATTAGTTTAATTTTTTTTTTTTTAACACTTAATGGATTTGGTTCTTTAGGACCTTTTCGTTTTTTCTTTGGCAAAGAAGAATCATCGTTATCTAATTTTCTTTTTGTACCAAGGATTTTTTCACTTTCTTCTTTTTTAAGACCAAGTTTATTTTGTTCAAGTGTTTGTTTAGCTTTAATTGTTGAATATGATGATGGTTCAAGAATAACGACTGATCTGTTAATGTAAAAGAGTGGAACACCAGGAATATTTCTTAGTTTTGCTCGAATTTGTATAGATTGTGTTGCAACGATATATCGATGCTTGTTTTTGCCATTGATATTGACAATGCTATAAATACAGTCTTCAGGAAGTAAAGGGTTATCTTTATGATTACATCGTCGCCTTTCATAAGTTTTTGCTATTGAAATAACATTCTGTTGTTTAGTTTCATATAATTTTTGTATACAACATTGAGTAATCACTATTTTTTTTAATTTTTGAATTTTATAAATAAAAACTTAGTTAACTTGGTTTTACTTTTCCTTGAAGGATACGTTCAAGTAATTTTATTAAATCCATTTTGTATTTTACAGAATCTTGTAAATAATCAGCGTCAACTATAAATTTAAAAAAAAATAAATAAAAATAGAGATATACTTAATGTTTGATAAGGTTCTCTAAATCCAAAGTCTATTTTATATATTCTCATCCATTTTTTATATGATTTTAAGCGTTTTTGTCTCATTTAATAATTTTTGAAATTGAAAAATTCGAAGTATAAAAATATGATAATTTAGTAATGCTTTTTTATATATTATGAATAAAATAATTTGAAATATATGTTTTAATTAGTTCCTAGATTTTCGAATTTGTAGAAAATCATAAAGTGGAGAAAATTTATAGTCAACTATGTATTTTAGTTATAACTTATAAAAACAACTATGTATTACCCTCCATGCTTATAGCTTTATCAACTTCTTGTATTATTTTTTCAAAATCTTCATTCTAATACTATGTTAAAAAGAAAGTTTAAATTTATTTTCTTACTTTTGGATATAAATATACAAAAGGAATGTTATAATCAGTAGAATTGTCCAGAGATATCCATAATATGTTGTTTTTATCTAAAGTAATACTTAGAGGGTCTCCGGGAAGCGGTTCTATCATTTTTAAAGTTGGTTTTTCTAATGATAAATCTCCAAATATAAATAATAATTGTATTCTATAATGATAAACATTAAAAATAAGAGATGAAAATAATAAAAAACATTTACCTACTTCTGAATAATAATTGCTATTTCTTTTCTTGCAGGTATTTCTTGAATACCAATTATTGCAATTTTTTCTTTATCTAAAACATATTTTCCTCCATCTTTTTCATAAAAAAGGTTTATTAAATCTATCTTTGATAACAATTCTTGATTTCTCCAGTTCCAAACAAATAAATATGCATCACCTCCTCCAGATATTAAAATATCTGGCTTCCATGATAATATACATAATTTTGAAACAAATCTAATTCCATCAGCTAAAAATATAATTTATTTGGCTTTCAAACTCCTCATGACCCAAACAATATCCTTTAATAACTACACATTTTGGTAGACAGCTTATTTTAATATGTTCATCTCGATCTGATGTAATTAAATAATCACATTCATTTGTCACTATCATATCTGTAATCATAGAAACATGTCCTAATACAAGATTTGCTGGAACTGGTCCTGTATTTTTTTCTACTACTGATTCTTCTTCAAATAAAAATGAATAAACGTCCCCAAATTTGTCTCCAACAAAAATTTTACTTAGCTTTTCAACCACTGCTATTACACATGGACGTTTATTACACCGTCTATCATTTAATATCAATTTTTGCCTATTTTTTAATATATTATTACATTTCATTCTGGACTTTCAATCCTTCTGAAATATTCAGAATTCTTAGTAATTTATCATTCCCTGATACAAAAAGAAGCCCCTTCTCTCTACTAAAATTCATACATTGTATAACATTTATACAACTTTTCTTTAATTGAACATTATTTATCTCTGGTGCCTCCCAGTTTGCCAATTTTTTCCCTGTTTTCGAGTCTAATACATAGACTTTTGCTCCAACTCCTATATATATCTCTTCTTTACTTGTATTTCCTAATATAAGTTGAATAGGATGCCTCATTAATTTTGCTGAGGTTCATATATATACTGCCGAACATACAAAAATCATCAGAAATAACAATGTCATGGTATTTTGTGTATAAATAGCTTTAAGATGTCAGTAGAATTCCCTCCGTTAAGGAATGATCTTGTTCTTAGAGCAGCAAGAGGTTTTATAAGAAAGAACTTTAGAAATAAGTCTAATATGGTTTATTTAGGTGAAAAAGTTGAGCGACCTCCAGTCTGGATTATGGTAATTATTGATGTTTTTTTTGTATTTTAACTGATTTTTATGGCTTAATAGCGCCAGGCAGGCCGTTATTTACCTGGTATGGGCTTTTGAAGCAAGAAAATAGCTTATTTGTGGCTAGAATACCATGAAATTGGAGAAGATATTGATTTTTTTTCTAAGTGCCGTTCTCCAGAGCTTGTTTCAGCTATAACTATTCAACCTATTGATAGATATGATGGGTTAATTGACGCGGCTATTATTTTTAGTGATATTCTTGTAATACCACAAGCTTTGGGCATGATTATTGAGATGATGAATAAGAAAGGCCCGTGTTTTTTGAATCCTCTTGAAACACCAGATGATATTCAAAGATTGAAGTTAAATATTGATGTAAAAGAGGAATTGGGATATGTTATGGAATCAATTACATTTACGAGAAGGAAATTGAATGGGAGGGTTCCACTTTTTGGGTTTGCAGGGGCACCATGGACATTAATGACGTATATGATAGAGGGAGGTGGATCTAAAACATATGAGAAGACAAAAACATGGATTTATAAATATTCAGAAGCTAGTAAAAGATTGCTTGAATGTTTAACAGATATTGTGGTTGAATTTCTTGCACAACAAGTTGTTGCAGGTGCACAGGTAAATAATTTAATATTGTTAGGTTTTATTTTATTGTTTTTTTTAAGATTATTCAAGTTTTTGATTCTCATGCAGGAGAATTATCTCCATATGATTTTAATACATTTTCTTTGCCTTATCTTGGTGATATTGCAAAAAAATTACCTCAGCGTTTAATAGAACTTGGACAATCATTGATTCCTATGGTTGTGTTTGCAAGAGGTGCCTGGTACGCATTAGATTCTCTTTGTAGTCTTGGATATCATTGTGTTAGTTTAGATTGGAGACATGATCCTGAAGAAGCACAAAAAATAAATCAAGGACGATGTACACTTCAGGGTAATTTGGATCCATGTATACTTCTTAGTGATGTTAATACAATTACACAAAGAACAAAAAATATGATTCAAGGTTTTGGGGGTGGAAAACAAGTATATTTTTATTTTATTTTATTTTTTCTTATTTTTTTATAGTATTTGATATGTAATCTTGGTCATGGTGTATTAAAAACAACTCATCCAGATTCTTTGAGGACTTTTCTTGAAGCATGTCATAATTAAGAAAATAATGAGTTGTTTTTTATTTAATATTAAAATTTTAAGATTTTTATTTTTTTATTAAAAAATATTAAATGAAGCTAATTATAATAAAAATATAGGCTTTTCCAAATAAAATCTTAGAAATGCTGTCTGTTCCTATTAATATTAAAACATGGTATTTTATATATGATTTGATACATTTATTAATAATTTAGGCTTGATGCACATGCTGATAAACTTAAGCCACCTATAAGTAATTTTTGTTTATGGAATGAGGGGTTTACAGTGATGGTTGTTGGTGGACCTAACTCTCGTGCAGATTACCATGTTAATGAGACACCGGTATAGGCTTTTTTATTGGAAAAAGTATTAATATTTGAAGGAATATTTTTATCAATATAAAGGCCCAATGACACTTAAAGTTATAGATGAAAAAGGAGAATTTAAAAGTATTTATATTAAGGAGAATGATATGTTCTTGCTTCCTGGTATAATTATTTTAAATAAGAGAAAATTTCTTAAAATATTAGAAAATATTCCTCATTGTCCTATAAGATATGAAAATACAGTTGGTATTGTGATAGAACAGAAAAGGCCTGAGGATTCTATGGATCGTTTAAGATGGTATTGCACAGATTGTAAATCTATTGTTTATGAAGGTATATTTTTAAAGAATTAGATATTAATTGAATATTTTAGAGATTTTCAGATGTACAGATCTTGGAACACAAATTAAAGCTGTAGTCGAGAAGTATGCAAACAATATTGATCTTAGAAAATGTAAATCATGTGGAAAAATTAATGATCCATCTTAATAATACTTTTTTTTGATGTTTAAGAAATGTAAAATGAAGAGTAATATAATATATTATATATATTAAAAAAAAAGTATTTTTATTTTAAAATAACGAGTTAACTATTTTATCTAATATAGAGTTTACAATACTGAGTGAAATAAGCTTATATATTTATAATATTTATTGATTAAGATTATAAAATAGCGAAAAAGTTATTATTTTCGTATTAAACATTGATATTGATAAAATATATTTATATATAGTTTTTGATTTGTTAGATAAAGTTTTAGAAAACTATTGAACTAATAATTTAATGTTAATTGTATAATTTTTTGATGTTATTTGTTAAATTTGTTCGAAATATAATTGAAAAAGTATAGTGTTTATCTTTTTAAAAGAATAAATACAAATATTACTTTTTATTTAAAGGATTGCATATTCCTATATATTTAATATTTAAAAGGTGTTAATTATTAAATATAGAAACTATAATTTTAAGTTTTTATTTTAATTGCAAATGTTATATTGAATTTATTATATAAAAAGCTATAAAATTAATAAATAGACAACCCCAGATAAATTAAATATTTATCTTTAAAAAAAACCAATTAAAGCATTTTCATATCTTTTATAAATACCTTTTAATCTTAATGATTATTTTAATTTTAAAAACTCTTTAAATTATATTTATAAATATAATTTTCTTGATAAAAGTTATTATTTCTTGAATAGATAAATATTTTATCTATAAAGTATTTAAAATTAAAAAATATATTATTAAATTTAATGTATAAAGAATGTACATCTATGTAATATTAATGAATGATATATATTTAGTCATGTTTCATGCTCATAAGTCTGCAATAAATAAAACTAGATTACAAGATTGCAAAAAGTATAAAAGAAAATAATTAATATCAAAATTTTACCGAAACTAAACTCAACAATTAAATTTATAAATTATCCCTATCAGAATCATTAGAAATCCCAGTTAATGGTGTTTTATGTAGTTCTTTTTCTTTGGGAAAATAAGGTGTTTGCAATGATCCCTTTTTCCTTCGATAATTAGTTAAAATTACTTTATATAATGTCATTAGAAATATAATAGATAAGCTAATAGAGAGAGATATTAAAACGACATAACCTTTAGCAAGATATTTGCGAGATAATGAATAAATCTCGTGCTCAAAAAATAAAGAATTTGCTATTCCAGGTTGCCCTGTTAATGTAGATGATATTAAATATGGTGTCCAGGCATTTCCATCATAAAATGCTGCTGTTACAGTTCCAAAAGAAGAAAAAATCAAAGAACCGAGAACCAGAATTGCAATATCTTCTGGAACAACGTTATTTCGACGATGTTTTTGCTTTAATGAAACAATACGCATATGATTTATTATTGAACCTGGCAACAATTCGGAATCTAAACTTTAGATTTTATTTTAATAAAATATAGTTATTTTTACCTAATTGAAGAAGAATTTTTCCATTCCATTTATTAAAATATGCGTCACCATTTCTTTTTCTTCCAGAAAAATATATAGAATTTTTATCATTTTTATTATATATAATTGACGTTGCAGGCCCTGGAAGATGAATTTTTTGAGGTAAAACAGAAGACCATGTTGAAGTATCAAAATTGTATTTTGCCACGTTTAATGAGGTTGAATTTATTTTTATATTTCCACTTATCAAAACTGATTTTTCCTGAATAAAATTAATAAAATATAAATCTAAATTAAAAAAATACATCAAGCCAAGATAAAGCTGTTACTTCCCCTGAAAACCCAAATGAAGAAGATCTTAATTCGTTTGATGATGTTTCAAATATACAAAATCCATTACATGATGACGGCTTTCCTGAATTAAATTTTCCAATAATAATGAGCTCACTTGATCTTGGTCGCATAGAAAGAATATTCACCCCAGTATCATCTCCTTTAATTAATTAATTAATATTACCAATTCTTAAAAATTATATACCAGAAAGTGGAAATAATTGATAACTTCTTTTTTCTTTTAAATTATATGCAACTATTCCATTTATGCTTCTCTCACTCGCTTTATAATATAAACGTCCTCCGACATATAAAACATTATTATGTATGACAAGACTTAATATAATGCTTTGAGGATCCAAGTTTATATCAATGCCTGAAATCTTTGAATTATGTACTACAGCAATGTTTTTTATCAGTTCATTTTCTTCATTTTCAATTGAAAATTGGCCTCCAAGAATTATTAAAGGTTGGGAAAGAAATTTATAAAATACTCCTGTATAAATAGAATTCTTAGAAGATTGATCTATATCACGTTTAGTTATTAAATTGAAAAAAGGTGCAATAGATTTTGAGTAAAATAATGGGGAAAGAGAATGAGCAGATTTTGAAAAGTGTAAAGCAACTGCACCCAATGCTCTTATGGAATGTATTGTTCTAATGTTTCCCGATACCAATGATACATTATTCGAAACCAATATAGAATTTTGTATCTGTCCATCTATAAATAAATCTATATTAGTTTCCCATTTTTTGTTTTCTGGATCCCATAAAGCAAAACCGTTTGCGTCAGATAATTTTTTATTTTGAAATGATAAGATATCTGTGAAATTTCCGGAAAATGCTATATATGTTTTAAAAGTATCATTTACTGAGGCAACATATTTATAAATATTATATACTGGACCATTTAGACCCCACAAGAGTGATGTCCAAGAATCATCTGTAATAGAATATGATACCACATTGTTAATTGCATCTGAAGAAAAATGAAGAATTCTATCAAATCTTCCACCGATATAAATTATATTATTATACAAAAGCATTGTAAAAATTTCTCCATTTAGCCCACCATATCCTAAAGAGCTTACTTTAGGAGTTATTCGTAATATATTGGAAAACGGGTTTTTTTCATTATTAAAAAAGCGTCCAGCTATTATAGTTTGTGACGAATCATGGATAACAGAAGAAATAATTGCATTTTTTGATAACAAAGATCTAGCAATATCTACAACTGATTCTGATTCCGACTGTTTATGTGAGATCGATGAATAATTAGAAGGATTATATTCAAAAAGCCCATTAGAACTGCCAAAAATAGATACTGGAATAAATTTAACAGCTAATGCAACAACATTAATATAATCGCGTTGCCCTTGGATAGGAATTATAACTACATAAGGTCTAAATGTTGGTGTTATTCCAGATATAAAACCCTGATATATATTATCAATTTTTTCATAATTTTGAGTTTGATGAATAATCACTATCCTTGGATTTACATTTTCTTTATAATGAATTTTAACTTGTACTATTCCTCGAAATAAACATGTATTGTCCTGAATACATCCTGGTGTATATAAATGAATATGATAATAGCCAGAATTCTGTAATCGTGGTTCAAATACAACAGACGATCTTTCTAAGGCTGATGTAGAAATATTTGCTGAAAGATAGCTTTGATCATTAATTCTTAATACTTCCCATGGTCCTCCAGTGACATACGAATTTGAACGCACGCTTTCATTAACACATATGGGTTCATTAAAAGTATTTACAGCAAATGTTTGAATATCTAAAGTTATTAATATATTCATATATAAAAAAAGCGTATATAAAACCGCTTAACAGAACTTCAACTTCCTTTAATCCACCACCCTTTCCATACCAATCTATAATTTCAATTCGAAATCCAGACATAGGAATAATATTTACAAAATCGAATTCCTGATATTCTAGAGAAGATTGTTGTAATGGACATAATGCTTCACAAAATGCCCTTTTCTTTGTAACAGGATCAGTATAACTTAAATTCATAATTCCATGAAATGGAAAGGAAATAACTCTAAAAATTTTTGTTGCATAATTTTGTACATCTGAATTTTTAAAACGAATTTTTTGAGGTCTAATAATATATCGAAAAAGTGCAAACCATTTGCCAATTTCTGATTCTTCTAAAATCCAAGAAGTATTATTTTTATGAGTATTCGAACATATAATATTTCTTGGGTTAGCATATTTCTCATTTGAAGTAGAATGTTCAGATAAAATCTAGATAAATAAGATAGAATATATAAAATTTTAAATAATTAGTTACCGTTGCTGTATGAAGATTTAATACTTGTTTATCATGATTAGTAAAAACAAAAGGTGTTCCTCCCGAACAAGAAAATGCATCTTGGAATTGACCACCAAACAAAATATTTCCATTATCCATTTGAGATATAGTATTAACAAATCCATTGAACCCTCTAAAAGGAAGTTCTATCCACTCATTTTTTGATAAATCCCATATAATCGCATTTAATGAATTATTATATCGAAAACTTCCACCAACATATAAATGTCTATTTTTCTCATGATAATATACTGATCTTATATAACCATTTAAAATCCCCTCTTTCAATGTAACAAATTTCGACCCAATTAAATCATAAAAAACAATACTATTAGTATTTACATCTCCTATACGAGAAAAGTGTCCTGCAATAACTGCATATATATTTTCTCCATCTTTTATTATAGACATGACATTAATAAACCCATCTACCGCACCAAGAGAAATATACGTTTTATTTGGAACTTGCATAAAAAGTTCATTTTTATATCTATTCGATTCTTCATGAATTCTTCCCCTCTCATTATATGCATATAAACTAATTCCTGCAAAATCTCCTATAATTACTGTTTGTCCATGTTTCGAAACATCTATATCCGGTATTATAATATTAGTTGTACTAATAGCCTGATTTACAAAAAAAACAAGCAAAATTATTTTCAATGCCAATCTAAGCATTTATAGATTCTAATGTTCTATTTTATTTAATTTAAAATCCCAATTCTTTTTTTCTGATCCAGCAGGTTTGTTTTCTTTCCAAAATTCCGTCTTATTTCATCAAAAATAATCCAAAAAAATCCGTTCTTTTTCACATAAAATCCCCTAAACTTAACCAATTCAATTTCTAAAACTCATAACTTTTCTTATATCGCTTCTCCTCCTAATAATTCTACTTCTTTTCAAGCATAATCTCTTATAAAGCTTAATATCGTTTAAACGTTAAAATCTAACATCAAATGTTTTTATAAAAATAAATCAAAAAAAAAAAAAACAAAATATCTATAAATAATAAAAACACTCTATTTTTTCCAAAATAATACTAATTTTTTATTAAACTTTCTATTCATTACAAGTTGTTTGTATTTTTTTTTCTTAAAAATTTAAAAATATAAACATAAACTTTAAAAATATTATTTTTTAAAAATAAGACATGTTCTATTATTTTCTAGTTTTCTAATATAGTTTAATATATAAATATGTTTAAACTTCTTATTAAACTCAAGAACCAGAGATAAACTGTGTATCGGGCCTGACGGAGATCGTACTTGATCTTAAGAAATTTCTTGGTAAAAAAAAGGCATAAAAAGGCATAAAAAGACGTAAAAAGGCGTAAAAAGACTCTTAATAAGAGATATAAAGGGTCTTTTTTTGGAGAAATAAAGAAATTAATTAATATATATATACGAGTTCTTTTTTTTTTGAAAAAAAACAGAATAATTCAAGATGGGTCGTATGCATGCTCCAGGTATAGATTTTTATGAAAAAAAGAAGGTATTAAAAGGAAATAGGAAAGGGTATTTCAAGCTCTGCATTGCCATATTCTCGTGCACCTCCTTCATGGTGTAAAGTAGAGTCAGAGGAGGTTTGTGAATTAATTTTTAAATATGCGAAAAAAGGGCTTTCTCCCAGTCAAATTGGGGTTGTTTTGCGTGATAGTCATGGGATTCCTCAAATAAGGTTTATTACGGGTTAGGAGAGATTTATAGATGTGTAAAAAATGTTAAATATATTTAGGTAATAAAATTCTAAGGATTCTTAAATCCAATGGTTTGAATTTTCATATAATATATGTTTAAAAGAATATTAATAAGAAAAAGGATTAGCGCCTCAAATACCTGAAGATTTATATCATTTGATAAAGAAGGTATATTATTGTATTTTAAATAGGTTATTTATTTAAAATATAAATAGGCAGTGACTGTTCGAAAACATCTCGAACGTAATCGAAAAGACAAGGATTCTAAATTTCGTTTAATTCTTATTGAAAGCAGAATTCATCGCTTAGCACGTTACTATAAAAGGTTTTTTTTTTCTCCTAGAAATTTCGTTTTATCTCATTTATTTATAGAGTAGGTTCTCTTCCTCCTGTATGGAAATATGAAAGTGCAACTGCATCTACTTTAATTGCATAAAGATATATTTACATGCAATAAAATGTATTGTAGTTAATATTGGTATAATATTTACATAATTCATTTTTTTTAAAAACTTTTATTTTTTACTTTTACTAATTAAATATTCGCCAAGCACTTGCAATGGATTGGGTGGTCTATTTTCATTAATATAACTCTTCTCATTCATTATATTTACCTTTCTCTTGCAATTATTTTCATACCTTCTAAAAGCACCGGTGTTATGTTTTCATTTAAATAAACTCGTGTAGGAACAGTAGAAATAACATTGTTTTGTGATAATGTATTTGTCGCTATTGTTTCTCTCAATGGCAATGCCTAGATTAGCATTAATTTTATTTATTTTCATACATTATTTTATCACATTTGTATCCATAGATTCCGGTAATGAAACATTTGGTATCACTGTTGAATGAGAAGATAATTGTGTTATAGAGTTTTCTTGTGATAAAATAGGTGTTTCTAATTTAGGTAATGTCGTTTCTATATTCTTTTCTATATTTTCTTCACTTTTCTTGCAATTTTCCATATCTTGTGTTTCTTTTAAAGACGATAAATCCATATTTAAAATATACTTGTTTTTTTATTTCCTACTTAAAAAATACTTTATCATACTTAAAAACAGCTTAGAATTTAACACTTTTTTTAAAAATTTATTTTATTTTAATTAAAAATTTAATTAAAAACCCTATTAGAGTTGTCTAAAATGTCTGTTTGGAAAAAAATAAAAATTAAGCTTGATGAATGTAAAATATGTTATTTATGATATTATAAATAACTTATTGGGGCATAGTATGCTTAGAAAGTACATTAAAAGGAGGGCAGAGTTTTCGCTGGAAGCAATCGGGCGATAATGAATGGTCATGTGCGTTAAATAATAAATTGATAACATTAAAACAAGATTGTAAAAAAATACATGAAAAGAGGAGTTTTTATAACAAATAGATAGGTTCATATGTGTATTATCGAGTGTATAAATTGGAGGAGGAATTGGAAGAAAATGAAGAAAATAATAGGGAATTTCTTATTGACTATTTTAATCTTTCAATTTGTCTATCAGATTTATACAAAGAATGGAGTTTTAGAGATGAGAATTTTAGAAAACAAGGAGAAAGATTTAAGGGTATTAGGATTATGAGACAAGATCCGTGGGAAAATTTGATATGTTTTATATGTTCAAGTAATAATAATATTAATCGAATATCAAGTATGGTAAGAGGGTCAATTACTGCAGGATAGATGTATTTATGATATAAGATTGAAAAGCTTTGTCATAAATATGGAACGTTTGTTGGAAGAATAGGAAAAAATGATTATTATGATTTTCCAGCACCATCTAAACTCTCAAAACCATCAGTTGAGTTAGAATTGAGGGAATTGGGTTTTGGATATCGAGCAAAATTTATACAAAAGACAGCATGGATTATTGAAAATGAAAGGCCTAAGAAATGGCTTGAAAGTCTTAGAAATAAGTCATATTATGAGGCTAAAAACAGTCTTTGTGAATTAATGGGAGTAGGATATAAAGTTGCGGATTGTGTGGTAGATATATATGATTATTTTGATGTATTTGATAAAATTAGTGCCTAATGTCTCTTGATCAACCATCAGCAGTTCCTATAGATACACATGGTATAGATAATTAAATGTTTCATTTCTTAAATTTAAGGGTTATAGTATGGCAAATTGCTCAAAGAGATTATAAATTTAATACAAAAAAATATAAAACGATTAATAAAACACTTTATGAAACAATTGGGGATTATTATAGAAATTTATGGGGAGAATATGCGGGCTGGGCACAAGGTGTATTATTTACTTCTGATCTTTCAATTTTTAAAAATAGGGCTAAAATAGAAAAAAATTTACCAAAACTTATAGATCAGGAAAAAACAAATTATGATAAGATATCCAAAAACAATAAATTATAAAATATACCTATAAATTAATTTATATATCAAAATATTAAAAACTATATAAAATCTAATATAAAAAATCAAATGAAAAAGACTCAATTGCTAATATATTTCATGTTATATAAGGTATCATATAAATATACTACAATTTATCTATTTCTGTTCCAGCAGAATTGTCCCAAGAATGTCTTATTAATAATTCATAAAGTTCAGCAGGTATTTTTTTTATAAGACTTACAGCAATTCCTATTACTATTTTAGCAGGTAAGTGAGGAAACTTTCTCAAAAGTTTTATTGGACTATTTATTTAAAAATATATCAAAAATTTAATATATGTTACCTAGGATGATGTAAAATATCATCACGTATAATTAAAAGTTGTGCGACAACACATAAAATATTTAAATATACACCATAAGCTAATAAAAAATCCCAAAGTATTAAAACTTCTGAAAGAGGTGGAGTACAAGCAGAAAAAGTTAATATTGCTGTATATTTATCAGTTGTATAATAAAACAATTATAATTATTACATGGAAATGCATAAACTTTCGACTGTAAATTTTTTGATTGTAGATATGTATATAGTTTAATATCAATAATTTCTAAACATTTATCAAAAAGCTAATCATATTAGATTAAAAAAAAAGAAAATCACTATACTTTAATGCCACGATGCACTCCTTCCAATGTTGAAACAACATATAAAGGACATTGTATTGAAATAAATGCCGTAAATAGAGAAAACGCTTCTGTTTCTGATTTACATGTATAAAGAAATGGTGCTGCTAAAACATTCATTCCTTGTATATACGATATCGATGAATTACGACTTTCCATATACCAAACAAATGAATTTAAAAGTCTAATAAGTGATGCTTCTGAAACTTTTCGACGAAAAAGTGGATCTGTTGCTAATGTACGAAATGTATCATTTCGAATCTTATTATACACTAACATCATATATATATATATATATTAAATTAATAATTTATAATATTACCAGATGACGCTCCTTTTCTTATTAATGTTAAATATGAATTAGCTCCCATTGGTTCAACTCCTAAAAATATACACCAGACATACGCTCGTATTGATGACTAATACATAAATAGCACTTCAAAATACATTTTCTTATCATACTGCTCCTTCTTGAGGTGATGGAAGTCCTTCTGAAAGAACCAATCTTCTTAATTGGTTATATGACGCTTCCCACTCTGCTGTAGACCGGTTTTTTGGACGAAATGATTGCATCAAATTTTCAAATGTTTTCTCTGTAATTTTTTGATCTGATTCCATAATAACTATTAAATAATGGCTTAAATATAAAAAAATATAAAGGCTAAATGGCTAAATATATTAATATATTAGAAAAAATCTAAGTATTGTTAGTATTTTGGTCATCGAAAATGCGCGTCACCATAGCAACGAGAACGTCAAAAAAAAATATATAAGTTAATAATGACAGGAATTGAGGAAATAAAGGAGAATGAAGCAGAAAAACCGGCACTTAGCAATGGCTATAACAAGGGAGAATGGGTATTTCCGTTTTTTTTTGAAAAAAAAAGACCATAATTTGATGAAAATAGCCAACAATGGAATATTATGAAGATAAAAAGAAAGAATTACGAGATTTAATTAATAAGAAGCAATCAGTAGATAGAGCTCTTGTAATAGATCATATATATATATATATATGAAGTGTTTTTTGATAATTTTTTAGGCGGCATTAGAAGAGAAAATATATAAACTTGAAGGGGCATATTTAGAAGATACATCACAAGGGGGGAATATTATAAGAGGATTTGAGGGATTTTTAAAGGGATCTAATTATAAAAAACGTACAGATTATACGGATAATGATAGACTTTTTTCATTTTCATCAGGAACTTTTTTAAAAGTGTTTTATAAATATTTTAAAAAAATTATTAAATATGTATAGTTTCTTCATAAAAATGATTCAGGAGATGATTCAGATACATCAACGTCACAAAAAAAGAAAAAACGTAGAAAATTGGATGGGGATTCCTCTGGTAGTTCTAAAGACCTTCCATATGTGTCAAAAAGAGTTAGAATATCATTTCGTACAGATGACTAATAATAATAATGAATTTCATGAAAAGAATGTAAATATGGGATTATGTTGCAATGTATTTTAAATAATATTAAAAAAAAATTTTTTGAAGGAAAGGATTTATTAAAATATGTATTTATATAAAATCAAAATGCAGGGTTTTTTTGGAAAAGTTGTAAAAATAATACAAAATATTAATATAATTATTTTACATTAAAAAAAGTGCCTTAATTTTTTAATTTTTTTTATAAATATTTTTTTTATAATTTTGCTTTTGATTTAATAAAACCTTTATTAATACATTTAATTGTGGTTGCATTAAATTCATAGCACAATGAAAATAGTTATATTTTTTGTTTTTTTTTAAATTATTTAAAAAAAATATTTAAATTACTTTTATACTTTAATATTTTTGAAAAAAAAATAAATTTATAATTAAACATTTATTATTATTAATATTAAATATGCTAAGCTTCAGCATAACTTAATATTAAAATATTGCAAATAATTATAGTACAATGAATTAGATTATAAAAGGTAGTTGCATAGAGAAAATAATAGAAACAAAAATATATTAACAGTTTTTAATTATTACGTTCAATGACATTTATTATATCTACCACGCTCCTACTTCGTAATTTTCTTCTGGATAAAAACTTGTTAAAACGGTGCGATCAGAAAATTTCCGGCCAGCTAGATCTTTCATTGCTTTCAAACACGATGCTTCTGTTTCAAACCGTACGTATACCTAAAAGTAATTAATAAATTACTTTTTTAATAATTAAAAATATAACCTTTCCTACACCAAAGTTTGAGCGACTGCCACCAATACCTCTAGGAATCTTCAAATCTAATACTTTACCATATTTAGAGCATTCTTCTCTAATATCTTCAGAAATTTCTAATATTTTTAAATAAAATATAAATAATGTTGAATAACTAACCTTCATATTCATCATCATCTTGAAGTTCTTCAGGAGTGACCATATTAAACATTTGCAATATTCGTGTTGGTCGAAAGTGACCTTCTTCTTCTGCTAACATAGTAATACTAGAAATACCACCACCTGATGTAGAAATAGATTTTTGTCTACTTCCAATACTTGCACGTTTTACGACCAAAGTTTTATCGCCTAATTCCATGCCATTAAGACCTTCACATGCAATATCTGTTACATTAGGATCTACATATTCACAAAACGCAAAACCCTGTTTATATCAATTATAAAACATAACTTTACTTTTATAAAATAACCTTTGATTCATTGGTTACTGCATCTTTAACTAAATTGAATGCTTTTAACTCTCCAAAAGACTTAAGAAGCTCAATAACTTGCTCCTCATCAAGATAAGCAGGAAGTCCCCCGATATGAATTTTATTAGGCGTATCTATAAAGTTTGTAGAAATCACTCCCGGAACGTATGAACCGTCATCTGATGGCATTTGAGGAATAATATAATCCATTGGACGTCTAATTTTTAATGAACTATCCATATATGAAATTCCATCGAACCCAATAGCAACAGTTGCATCTTCAGGTTGTCGAAACTGAAACATAAATCAATACAAATATCAATAAATATGAAAATAATACCTCGAGAAAAGCATATGCCTTTTCATGATTTACTTGAACACTTATAACAGGATTATCACCTGATGTTGTAACATTAAGAGAGCTCATCGTATCATTAAAAAAATTCACAAGATGTTCTTCATCAATAGGCTGAGGAATATTTCCAACATATATTCTTCGTGATTGTCTAGATTGCAATGGTTGCAATGCAAGTGGTGTAGGAATATTCATAGCTGCTGGCCCTTTATTTGCTGTAGAAAGCTTAGATAAATCCATCATCGATTGTCTAGGTGCACCAGGTAATGGAAACAACCCTAATTATCTTAATATAAAATAAAAAAACCCTTCCAATCATATTTTTACCTGACATCTTTGCTTGCTCCGCCGTAATTGCTTCATATCCCGTAGGCTTTACATCCCACATACTCATTCGACGTCGACGCTCATTAATAGGCACAATATCCGTTAGATCTGGCGTAGGTTCTCGTCTACGATATCGTGGACTACGACTTCGTCTATGCCATTCTTCTCTTCCTCCCCGTCTATCACGAATCATTCGATCTATTCCCTCATCTCTTTCTGAACGTCCTGCACCACTAGAATGTCCTCCATCATGATTCCTCCCATTTTGTGTATATTCTTCATCACGGCGTCGTCGTCGCCGTTCATCTTCTCGACTTCGTCGATGACTACGTTCCCGGTCACATTCTCCCTCTCTTTCATATCTTGATGATCTCTCAGAGTAATGATGATGTCGTTCTTCTCGTCCTGTTAATTCCTCTCTACGAGATCGTTCACGATCCCCTCTTCTTTCTCGTTCTCCTCGTCTATCTCTACTTGTGCCATTGAGATCTAATTAATACCAATAAAAACCAATTAATCACTTTTATACGCATCAATCCGTACCATTGTGTTTCATTTAGAAAAAAGATAATCTTTTCTAATAATAAATAAATATACAATCAATTTAACACTTCTTAGAAGCAAAAAAAAAGCAATTTTTTCCGCAAAAAAAAGAAAAAAAATAAATCCCTATTAATCATTAGCAATTTATTCATAGAAAAACAAATTAAACGCTTTTTTTAACACTTAAAAGCCGTTTTTTTTAGTTTTTACCTTGTCTTCAATATTTTGGAGGTTAAAGTCTTTTTTTTCGAGGCCTATAATAAATGAAGGGACACCCCAAAAAAGGATAAAAAAAGTTGAAGTTAATAATAAAAAATTAGAATGAAGAAGATTTTGTTGTTTAGCTATATTGATTTCCAAAAGAAAGAGTTTAAATAGAATTAATATTTCTTAATTCGTTTTTATTGCCTTTAAAAAAATAGTTTATGTCATTAGCCCTAAAAAAAAGAGTAATCAAAGTTAAAAATGGAAGAAAAATATTATGAAATCCATCCATTAGTTCCAGAAGCTATTACCCATAATTTTAAAGTAAATGATTATTTTTTTAGAAGAATGAAATGAATGAAAATAGATTATTTCACATATTCGAAGTGTAACATCAATTTTTTTTGGTCTTGTAGCAGGTATTTTAAATTTGACATCATATTATGGACTTTTGTTTTATATTCTTGGAATATCCTTTGTGAGTCTTTTTATTTTTTTTATATTGACAAAACGTCATCCATCACATTATTTTCTTTATCATAGAGAAATATGGACAAAAGATATTTTTTCCGGATTGCTAAGTTTTATGTTGAGTTGTACTCTATCATATAGTCTAGTATATGGTAATTCTGTTTTTTTTTTTTGATAAATTATTATTTATATAATGTATAGTTTATATTTGATGTTTTATGATTACAAATTAGTTTGTAAAATTATTATAGTTCCAATGATGAAAATACTCTCTTTTTACCGCTTTCTAGTTGTTTTTTGTATTCTTCTTCATTATAGAATTCTTTCGTATGATGAATTTCCCAACTTTGATGAATATATTTTAAAGCCGCTAAATTATAACCTATCATATCTTTTTGAACTTGCAATTCCTTACGCAATTTAATTCTAATAGAATCTAACATAAAACGTATAGTTTTATCTGCAATAATTTGTTGATGATGTACTCTTAAAAGATTAAATAAAATTCTACATATCAATTGAATATTTGACCCCTAAAATATTTTAGCATATAGATATATTATATAAGTATATAGATATATAGATACCTTTTCTGCCCAAAGATCAATGAATGTTAACATATATATTACACTTTTAAATGGAAGTACAAGTAATGCATCTTCTAAATGACTAGAATGAACTTTTTCAAGTATATTTAAAACGTAATCTTCCGCAGAAATGTTTTCATTAGCAACAAATATAGGATTTCTTGTTGGAATTTTCAATTTATCATTATTTTTTTTCGCCTTTATGAAATATTATTTTTTTTAAATAAAATAATTAAGTTCAAACCTCTTCATATTCTCTCATTAATTCTATATCTTTTATTCCAATATCAAGAGCATCAATAATTCTTTCTCCCGCCATTACAGATTCTAAAGTTTGTTTTCCTGCTGATGCAAGTTCATCTATTTTTTTATTTTCATTCATTTCATATTTATCCATTTTTTCAACTAAATCTCTTTCATAAAATCTTTCTAATTCTTTCTCCTTTTGTTCTTGTAAAAAAATTGGCTCCTCTGTTTGATTCCATATTCTTATGCTACGATCATGACTACCTGTAATTATAAATTTGTTATTATTACTAACTGCCAAAGCCCATATTTCACTATGATGCCCCTCTAATTTAAGAATATTTTCAAATTTATCACCATCCCAGTATTTAATTAATTTATCTTTTCCTGTAGAAAAGAAATTGTGTCCTTTTTTTTCAAATGCAACTTGCATAACACTATCTTGATGAGCAAAAATACTTTTATGACAATCACCAAAATCTAAGCCCCAAAGCTTTATATTTTTATCTGCGGAAGACGTAACCAAAAGCTTACTATCTGAGGATATATCCATAGATAGAACAGGAAGTTTGTGTCCATATAATGATAAGAAAAACTTTAAAGTATTAACATAAAATACTTTAACCGTAGTATCCAAAAGTGATATAGCAATTAAATGACCGTTAGGAGAAAAACAAACAGATAAAACATCATCTGTAAGATTTAAAATACGCATTTCTTTTATTTGAAGTTTCATTGTTTCCTCCTAAATTTATAAAATATATATATATACTATAAATATTTCTTACGTCTGAAAGATCTTTTATAATTTTTAAATCCCAAAATTTCACACTTTTATCTGAGCTTCCTGTAACAAATCCTTGACCATCGGGATGAATTTTAAGAGACCATATAGATTTTTTATGCGCCAAAATACGTTCAATCATAGTACTAGAAGGAATATCAAATATTTCTAAATAACCTTCTTTTGTTCCAACAATTACCTAAACATAATTAGTATTATCAATAACTTTATATAAAGCTAATTACATATTTATTTTCTAAACAAAAACTGCAACATAATGCATATCCACATTCTAGACTTCTTATACATCTTCCTGTTTTTATGTTCCAAATTTTTAAAGTCCCATTAGAAACTGATGCTAACATTTCATCATTTGAGTCTATTGACAATGAACGAATGTCAGAACGATGACCGTGCATTTCAATAGAAAATGTTTGTAAACACTCTAATGGTTCAGAATGATTGATTTTAGCTACAACAGGAATATCATATATTCCTATAGTATTATTTGAAAATGAAACGAGTAACTACATACTAATTAATATAATATAAAAGCATAATTTAATTAATACGACCTGCATAACGTTCTTTTTAATCGGATTTTGTCCAGAAATTCCCCAATCAATAGATCTAATTTTAGAAAAAGTTCTAATAGTCGTATATAAAACAATTTCATCCTCTGGAAGCAATGAAATATCTTCGTTACTATCATTATGTTTCTCTTTATTTCTCTTTTTTCTTCGACTTAATAATTTTTTAAGTTCTTTTTCATCTCTTTTTTTATATATTTCAATTATTTTATCTGCTCCATGACATGCAAACATATCAAATACAGGATGAAATGCAATCGTTATCGGACGTTCTTTGCTTTGTCTTGTCAATGTACATTTAAGTGTTAATCGATAGCTTGTTTCTGCAACAGATTCTGATCTAATAGCAAGAACATCCGATTGAATACACCATATCTTTAATTCACCATCTAATCCTGCAGTTACACATATTTTTTGGTCACAACTAACACCTAATGCCCAACATTCTCCATGATGTGCAATATGCGTTTCTACACAGTGCTGAGTACTCAAATCCCATATTTTAATAAAAGAATCCTTAGATACACTAACTATCCATCCATGATCTTTAATAGGTTCAATAAACTCCACTTCATTAACTGGCGTACGAAGAAATACACATTCTGTAACTTCATCTTTATGACCACGTAATCGATACATCCCTGCTTCCGATACAACATCCCATACAATAATATCCGTATCTTTAGATCCACTAACAAGTCTTGTCCCTGTAATATCAAATGTAAGCACCGTAACACTCGATCGATGTCCATTCAATTTCATCAAAAATTCCTTTTTTTCAAGTGTCCAAAGACGAATACTTCCATCCTCATATCTACAAATTTATCACCCTTTAAAACTTATTCTCCTCCTTCTATTCATACTACCCCACTCCAAACATATATTTATTTGCTAGATTTCTCTTGATTGACGTCGTTTCTGACTTGCAATCAAAATCGCTCCAGCGTAATACCTCTTCTCCCTTCTTAATGTCCCATATAATAACATCTTCAAGCGCCGGAACTACTGCCAGCCCATTCTTTACTTTAAATCGTTCATTTATCTCCTTATCATCAACCAATATACTGTTAGATTGGTATGACGTAATAACTCCCCAGGAAAACCCAAATTCATAGTTCTCATAGCTCTTAACCATAAAATTTATTGATTTATCTTAATATCCTATAAAATATTAGCTTTTTAAGCTCTTATAAAGACTATTTTCCTTATACTTAGAACTTAGTTTTTTTAATGAGGTTAAAGCTCGGAAAAAGGCCATATTAATTGTCTATAGTTAAGTAAAAAAAAGAAAATAAGAGAATTATATAGGAATTAATGAAGGATTTAACAAGTAATCATATACTTCTTGAATATATTGTTGAGCAGTGGATTTTCAGGCAAAAAAAGCGTTTTTTTTTGATAAAAATTGATGAAATATGAATAGAAAAACAAGTTCAACAATTGACCAAGTAATAACAGATTTTGATGGGGTTTTATATCATGTTTCAACGCCAGAAACAAAGACAAAGATGTTAGTTTCGATAAAAATAGGATGTTTTAAGAGTTTAATGAAATATGATTTACAAGAAGTTCTTGAAAGATATTATGGAGGATTAATTGTTTCTGCAGAGGAAAAATATGATTTTTCACTATATATTGATCAGGAAAAGATATCGGAAGATGAGAAGGAAAAGAAGGAACTTGTTCGTTGTATTGGATTACTTAAGAGAAATATACTATCAGCGCCATTTGAAAAGGCGTTTTATATACAACAAGTTCTAGAGAAAGAGCAAAAAGATGAACAAAATACTAAGAATATAGAGAAGGAAATTATAAAAATACAATATAGAGATGAAGAGGCTATTTTTATTATTCCATCTTCAGATAGAGTAACAGTTATTTTTAGTACGATTTTTAAGGAAGAAACAGATAGAATTTTAGGAAAAGTATTTTTGCAGGAAAGATATTAAAAATACAAGAAATAGTTTATAATTGATAAATTAGGAATTTGTTGATGCACGTCGAAGACCAGCAATTCAAAATGCACCTCAAGTTTTTTATTCATATCGTGATCCACCTTTAGAAATTCAATCATTAAATGATTTAAAATTATCTGATAATATAGGCTATGTAACATTTGGTAAATTATCCAGAAGATTTAAATTTGTATTGATTTTTTTTTGTAGTTTTATTTCCTCAACATTATACACCTCAAAAAAAAGATAATTGTATTGCAAAAATTCAATTGTTTCGAAATATGTTATGTTACCATATTAAAGCATCTAAAGTACATATGCATGAACGTGTAAGCATATGTTCTAAATAAATTAACTTTCTTATATTTTTAGATGCGAGCCAGAGTAGCAGAATTTTTAAAGATTTTGAATCGAGCTAAATTAGAGAATACAGAAAAAGAAAAAAAGACTGCGTCAGGAAGAAGTTTTAGTGTATCTAGATAATGGATTTGATGTTGAAAGATTCGAAATATTTATAATGTATCAAATTCATTTAAAATATCTTGTAAATGATCTGGTAACTGACCGGATTGATTTAAACCAATCTCTCTTAATTGTTTTAATACATTTTTATATTCCTCTGATTGTTTATCTTTACTTTTCAAATTTACCAATGATATTTTTGCCTCCGCTAACTATTTACCAATAAATTATTTATTACAAAATACAAATAAATATTAACATTACCATCATAAATAAATTCTCTGAAATACTATCCCCTTTTTGTACTTCATACGCTTTCATAAAATACTCTATCGCTTTTTTTAAATGATTTTCTGCCTGAATCACTGCATTCGTTTCTTCTTTTATTTCTTCCATCTCTTCGATAGGTTCAAGATAAGCATTTGACATAGATAATTCAATAAATCCTAACCCTTCCAATGCTTCTGCATCTGATTCATTATCTATAAATTATAAAAATACTCCCATTTCACAAATATATATTACCATTCAATAATAATTGCCATTTTGATGCTACCCATTCATTAATCACCTTTTTTTCTACATTTTCGCTACATTCATCTCCAATCCTTGCAATCCAATGAACCAAAGGTGTAATTGTACGATATACTTCTACTGAATTAGATGCATCTAAATCTTTCATCGCACTTTTTAATGTAGGTTTAATTAATTCATAACATCGTTGAGGCTGATGCATAAGTTTTGTAAGCTTTGCTTGACCACGAAGACACTGAATAGTTTCCCGATCCATTTCTTCAATTGATGTCCCTTTATTTACCCACGATTCTCCTTCTAATGCTGCATTGCAGCACTTAATAGCTGCATCAATTAATAAAAATGTCGTCGAAATAAATGAATCCGCCAATTCTGCACTTAAACAAAATCCTTCTCCATATAAATCAACATAATCCTGTCTATTTAGACTGGATTCATTCTTATCAATAGTTAAACTCTTATTAAGACTCGTATCAATATCAATTAATCCTTCAATATCAATATCTACTCCTTCACTAGCAAGTTGTGCCAAATCTAATAGCGCTTTTGCCTTCCAGCCATTAGGGAAGGTATTATTAACCTTTTCCTGTGCTTCTTGTACTCTTTTCCTTTGGCTAGCAGCTATTCCAAGAGGCCGGCGCTTCTTATCCATATAGTGAGGTTAAAAAGTGGAGTCGAGACGGAGATAACGATTTCGACAATATTATTAAGGAAGGATAAAGCTTAAAAAAAGGCAAGAAAAGGGTATTTTATTGAGAAAAATACGAGAATTTATTAAATATTGGATATTATTTGATATATTTTCTTTTTTTCAGGTAAAAAAATGATTAAAATTGCATATAAAAAAGCTAATAAAAGATTAGAATAATTTATAGATTAATATTAAGAATAATAGGATTAATAAGGGTATATAATAGGTATTATTATATTTTCTATATAAAGGAATATATTTGAGAGTTTTTTTTTGAATTATTTTGGGTTTAAAAGGGTCAAAAAAGAGAAGATTGATTGTATAAATTATTTAAAAGGAAATTTGATAAATTTATAAGATTAAAAGGGTTATAAAAGGAGAATATTAGTGAAATTATAGAGGGAAAAGAATAGAAGATTATTGGATAATAAAATTTGAGTAATAATTGTGAAAAGAGGAGATATAATGGAGAATAATTATTTGAGATCTAATACATCAAATAAATCGGTATATGGAGGAGAAAATTCCAGTTTTTCAGAGAATTCACATAGTTCGTTGCGTAATGCGGGTCTTTTTGAAAGTAATGATACCTATGAACAAGCTAGAAGCAAATTATTTGAAATGTCGCCGCCTAAATATGAACAACATTCTTTTAATAATAAATATACATCAAATACGAATAATAGCCGTATGTTTTCATCTAATGATCAATATACACCGTATAATATAGCGGAATCAGATAATGAAGATGTGGATGCTATTAAACAAGAAATGCGATTTGTTAAGCAGAATAGTGTAAGTAGTACACGAAATGCTATTCGAACAGCTATTCAGGCGGAGGAAATGGGAAGACAGACATTAGAAAGGCTAGGAACACAAAGCGGTAAAATGAATGATTTATTTAAGTCTTGATTTATAATATATTATATAGAAAAAATAGGAAGTACAGAAAAGCATTTAGATCTTGCAACGGTTTCTGCTAAAATGGCGGAAGATAAGAATAAGAAGCTTAATCAATTAAATAGGAGTGTATTTATTCCTCATTTTTCAAATCCATGGAAAAAACAGACACGGCTTAAAGAAAGAGAGCAATATATTCGTGATCAATATGAATTGGAGGAAAAGGAAAGGGAAAGGACAAAAAGAAGTGATAGCGAAAGTAATAGACGCATTAACGATGCTCTTTATAGACAAAAAACTAGATCGTTTGGAAAACAATCATTGAATGATAGCATGCGTTATCGTTTTGAACCAGATGAGGTTTTTATTTAAAAATAAAAAATGACATTTTAATATTTTAAAATAGGAAGATGATGATCTTGAAAATGAAATTGATCAAAATCTAGCTCAACTTGGCAACATTACTGCTCAACTTAAAGCAATCGCTACTGCTACACAAGAAGAAATCTTATGTCAAAATGAAAGACTTGATAGGATATCCGACAAGGTTAATAGTTTAATATTCTAATATTTTTGCTGATTTTTTAAGGGACATAAATTAAATGCCGAAATTTATGTTAATGCAGAAAGACTTAAGAGAATGAACTAAGGATTATTCTATATTACTATAACTCTGATATAATATCATTGAGTTATAACTACAATCAGAAGCGATTATTAATCTATATCTACGATACACGAATAAATAAGAATGAATATTAAACACCTATACAATGGATATTCAAAACAAACAATATTTCTATTTTCAAGATTCCTCAAAGTTAATTTTCATCATTTAAGAACTTTGTTTTTCTTTTTCCTAGTACATCTTTGAGTTCTGAAACGACTTTCATTCCTATTTCTCTATCTTTTTTTATTTTTAAATGTTTTTCTCGTTCTTTCTTAATTCTTTCAATTCTTTCTGCTCTTGTAGGTTTTTGCAATTGTATATCTAATTCTGAATTATTTGAAACTGTCTCAAAGACAACTTCCTTTTCATTGGTACTTAAAGACGTTTCTTCTGATGATTGCAAACATTGTGAATATGGTGATGATATTTCCCAATCATTTGTGATTTCAGAAAGGGCTTTGTTATTTCTAGATTCATCTATAGAGCTATTAGAATCTAGTTTTAATGATTTACGAAAAGTAGGATTTGAATCCTCTGTCTTTTGTGAATTAGATTGTAAGTCTTTTGGTGTTTGACTATCAGATTCAACACATATTTTTAATAAATAATTTCTCCCTGATTCCCATTTTTCCATTAACACTTTTAAATCATCTTTAAGAGAATCATAATAACATAGAAAATCATCTTTAATGTTTTCATCAATGTCACCTTATTGATTTAGATTACTAATTTAATATAAGGACATTTACCTTGCATCAAACAATTGGTTTCTTCTTTTAAAATATATAACTTCGCTTGAAATCTACGCAAAACTTGAAGAAGTACACCAATGTTCCGTGTATAATCATTCCACTTAATATTTTTTCCATTTGTTTTAGTTTTTGATGCAGACAATTCTGAAATTCCTATTTATATTAATAACAGTAGATGTACAGACATATGTAATTATTACGTTCATTATTTTCCAATGACTCTTCAATTTCATTGCCAAAATTACTCATTAAATCAGATAAACTTTTCAATTGATCAATAATACATCCCCAAGAAGATATATTTTTAAGACTTGATGTAGACATTGATAAAAGTGATACAAGACATTGACGTCGTTTTTCATGTATTGTATAAAAAAGTGCTTTTAAATATGGTAACCCATCTGAATGATCCTCTTTAAAATATGATGGAAGAGAATCAAGATCTTGAGAATTCGGCAAATTATACATTATTTGTAATGTATCAAACTCTCGTTTTGAATAAAATGTTTGTAACAAGGAAAATGTGCGATTATATGATAAAAATACTTGAGATAATAAGGTTGAAAGCAATAAACGTAACATTTTGCAACGTCGACTCTGTGAATTTGCTTCAATTCGTGTAATTGGAGGTAAAGGCGATGATCTATATATCATTAATTTAAATAAAATATATCAATGGATCTTTAACAATAAATAACCACGAGAAATAAGCTCCACCTCCTGAATTAATGATAATGTTTTATTAATCGTAATATCAAAATGTTGAGATGTATCAACAAAGCGTTTCATAAAAAATATTGCCCTTTTTTGAATATATTTAGAATATATCCTGAAATGATAGATATAAAGAAATACTGCAACAATAATACTTATAATAAATACAAAAAAATACCCAACTCCTCTATTAATTCCATAAATATTACTTTTAAGTTTCCAACTTGTAACCAATGCTAGTACAACAATAAAAATACCTGAAATAGACCAATAAAGCGAATCATCTGCAATTATTCCAAATAATATATTCTTGCTTTTTTTATCATTTATAGACGTTTGTTGAGGCTGATACAATGATGGTGATATATTTTCATTTAAAAGCTGTGATGTACATATAATATAGCGAAATCTTTCAATAAACTGAGACTTCTCTGTTTCTGAAAGGTATATACTCAAAAATTCCTGCTTTTTATCACTTCTTCTCCATTATATATCGCCTTTATTTACCGAAAACAATGAATATACTTTTACAACCAATGAATATGATTTATCCGAGAAATATTTCATTTCTGATGATAGATATCTACGTTTTCTTGAACGTTGACGTACTTGAGATGTATAATATGACTGAAAAATACTTTTTATCTTGCTCTCAACATCATCTCCCTGTTTTATGTCTATATTTCATCAATTTTTATGCAAAAAAAAGGATTTCTATGAAATAAAACCTTTTATATAATCTCCAAGAGGTGTATTCTTGAATATCACTGTTTCTGCCATCAAAAAACGGCTTTTTTAGACTATTTTATGGTTATTTAAATGTTATTGATCGACATCAAAAACCTCCAAAAAAACATATATAATAAGGAGCAAATAAGACAATATATTAAGGTAAGAAAAGATGATTAAGTAATTCTCTGACATTAGTTTTCTATAGTTATCTTTTGAAGCGTAAAAAATAAGCTATTTATGAGTGATTTATCATATAAGAAAGTTTTGTCAATTCAATCAAATGTTTCATCGGGTATAATTGAATATAAGAAGAAGAAATTATTGATATATTACTGAAGGATATTGTGGAAATCAATGTGCAACGTTTCCGTTGCAACTTTTAGGATTTGAAGTGTCAACGATTCATACGGTTCAGTTCTCTAATCATACGGGTTATGGACGTTGGCGAGGACAAGTCTTTAAAGGACAACATATAATGGATCTTTATGAGGGGTTAAAAGAGAATGGATTTACTAAAGAATATGATTTTTTATTAACAGGGTATGTACGTGGAAAAGAAGGGATCGAAACGATTATGAATATTATAAAAGATTTAAAAGGAACGAATCCGGGGATTGGGTGGTTATTAGATCCAGTTCTTGGGGATGAACGAGGTTTTTATGTTAGTCCGGATGTTATTCCAACATATAAACAACTTATTCCTATGAGTGATTTGATTACGCCGAATCAATTTGAAGTATAATCATTGTTTTATATGTTTAAATGTATTTAATATATAATTAGGCAGAGTAAAAATATATTTTTAAAGAAAAAAATTTATTTTATAATAGATTACTTTCTGGGCAAAAAATTACATCAATTGAAAGTCTTACGAGTTGTTTGGAATGTTTACATAAAAATCATAGTCTTAAACATGTTGTAATTACATCAGTTCAATTCGATAATGACAAAGAAAACTTGTATATTATTGGATCATCATGTAAATCGGACTATACACCTCGAGCTGTTAAAATAAAGGTTCCCTATTATAAACAAATCTTATCGGGAGTTGGGGATTTATTTTCAGCACTTCTTCTTGGTCGATTTAATACTAATATTAAATTATTACCTTCAGATGAAATACCAGCGATTAGTCTTCCTCTTACTATTGCTCTTGAAATTGTAGTTTCATCTGTGCAATCAGTTATACGAAATACACTTAACTCAATTGAAAAGGCTTCTGTTGATCAAGATAAATTATCAAAAGCAGAAGTAGCTAAATTAGCTGAATTGAATATTATTCAGTCTCAGGATTGCTTGAAGAATCCTAATATTGAATTTAAAGCAACTGCTTTATCATAGTATATTTATATATATTTATATATGTTTATATACATCGTTAAAATATACATTTTAAAAACTAGTTAAATATAATAGAACAAAGATGACAAATACAGCATTTGATGTTTTCTTATTGGAACTTGATACTTTGAAGGATTTTTCATCTTCTATATTATTCCCTTCTATTAATTCATCATTAACTTCAGAGAACGGATCCGGTGAAGAAGATACGAATGAGATATTCTGGTGTAATAAAGCGGAAAAATTAGCTACATTAGAGCAAAAAATACATGAATATCAATCAAATAAAATATTAAAAAATATTGAAAAAATATTAGATAAACTTCAATATCAAATACATCAAATATTACAAATAAATTTTTTAGAAAATAAAAATACAAAAAAATAAAAATATTATGATTATAAATAAAAAATCAATAAATTAAGCTCTATAAATAAGTAATTTTTTTATTAAATTATAATTATGTGGGATTACTTTTCTTTTATATCCTGTTTTTGTATATTTTTTTCTTGTAAATTTTTATTATTTTTAATTCCATTTTCAGATCCATTTTTTTCATTTTGCTGACTTTCAGAAGCAATTAATTCCTAAAAATTTAATAGTTATTTTGAAATTTAATACTTTTATATAACTAACCTCTTGTTCCATAATAACTTCGAGTCTTTGCTTATTTGTTGCTTCTTTATCTTTTATGTTTAACTCCGTTTCATGATATAATTCGTCAGGCAAACTCGATAATGTAGCAATTAAAGCATTATAATGCCTATCAGATTGATTATCTTGATCATACATAAATGCGTTTGATAAAACTAAAAGAGTGCTTGGAACGCCATGTTTTAAACGTAAATCAAGCCATTGCTGTAATTCATCTCTTAATTTTGCTGGACTTACGCTATGAGTACGAATTCCTCTATTGGCACAAGCTATTTGTAATTCCGGTACTGAAAGTGTTTCTACACCTTCATACCAAATTGCTTTATCGTCCGACTTAATCTGACGCATTTTATGTCTAATCTGATACCTAAGCATAGGATCTGTTCCAAATGTGTTTAGATTCATATAACGACAGATAGCAACTAATTGAGGACGTGAAAGGTTATCCAATGTTACATCGTCTCTAAATAATTTGGATACACTAATAACATCCGTTTGCGATGGTGGTTCTTTTCCATTTCGGATTTTTCGAAAGAATTCAGTAAATTCTTCTCGTTGTTTAGTTGTCGTACTAAAAGGCAAACCACTTTCTTGTAATGTCATTCTCAAAAATTGAGAAACACTTTTTCGTGTATCACTTAATCTTGCTTGTCTTTTCTCCCTATCTTTATCTGCTTCATATGTAGATGGAAGCATATTAGGAAATAATTTTAATGCCACTGGAAGAAGAAACTCTGCAAAAGGAATCAAAACAAACGCTGAAAATGGCACAAGTCGAACTAAATCTTTAACCGTACGTTTAAGCTATTTCATTGTAAATAATACTTGTTTATATTTTTTTATAAATTTATTTAACTTACTTGTCGATGTTCTCGTCTAGTTAATTCATGTCCTGCCGCCATTTTTAATGCAAGTTTCCATGATATCTTCGTCTCTGCTCCTAAAAGCTTAGTACCATCCCAATAATGTTGCGCTTCATGTTTTATTTTTTGCCATATCATTTTTCTTTTATTATTTGTTTGTGGCTTAATTTCTAACTTTTTTTCCTCCACTTTTGCAACCTCTTCTTTGCATGCTTCTAATACTGCTTTCCCTATGTTCTTCTCCTCTTTTTCCTTCTTTTCTTTACTTAATACTTGTTCATAAATTGACGATCTTTGACTTGATATACTAGATCCTCGTTGATATGTTGATTTAACCGTTTCCATAGAATATTGACGAATACTATTACATGATACTATCCATGGCCTACGGTTTAATATAGTTCTTGCGTATAATGAAACTATTTCTTCTTCAATTCTTAATAATCTTTAAAACCTTATATTACTTGTTAATGACGGTATATTAGATGAAACCCATAGGAAATCCGGTGCCAGCTGAAAATAGGATGTTCCAACCCTTCTATATTTCATGTTTATGGGTTCTTCTTTGCCATCTACTAAGCTTCTTGACTTTCTTAAAAATTTAAGGTTGATCAGCAGAATCCGGAGATGTCTTGATCCATCGAAAATGACTAAGTGACAAAATATAGAGAGGGAAGAGAAGTAAAGATGAGTAAATAATGTATGAAATGATTGAAATAAGTGAAATAAGTGAAATGAAAGAATGAAATAGAAAAAAACTAGAAAGAAGAAATAGAAGTTTATTCTTCATTGATTTTTGGTGCTAAATAGAAGCTATATATAAGAATTAGAATAGATAAAAAGAAGAAAAGAATAGTACCGAAGATAGCCACCTTCCATTTTATATTCTACCATAAGAGGAACTTCATTGCTCATAGAAAGAATAACAGTATCGGCGAGAGGAGTAGCTTTTGTAAAATTGACTAAATATTTTAAACTAAAAGTAAGTGAAACAGGTTCATTAAGGTCTATTTTTGTATCTTGATTTTGAATCAAAGTGATACTTCCATTTCCAATGTCGCCAGCACAACTAAATTTGATGCCTTCTTTATTTGCTTCTATATGAACGCTTTCACTTAAAGCCAATAAATCCCGACAAATACGTTGGAATTCAACTGATAATAATTTAGCAACAACACTATATTCTGTATCAGGAATTCCCAAATGTTCTTGATCAATATCCATTAATTTAATATCATATTCACTAATACGATCATTTGTTGGACTTTCAAATACCATATTTAATGTGTCAGGCGTATCTTCTGCTTTAAGAGTAATAATATCTTCATTTTGAGCACATTTAAGAACTTTAGATAATGAATTCAAGTTAATTCCAAGAGAAATATTCCGATCACACCGATATGGCTCAAATCCATCTGCTCTTAAAAGCATTGCTACCAATGCAACATGAGAATTATCCATTGCCTGAAGCGCAATTCCTGATTCATTGCAATCTAAATTAGCATCGCTTACTAATTCTAATTTAAATATATTAATCCTTATTCAATTATATTATCTTATAAATTAATACCTTTAGTAGCTTCTAATGTCTATCATAAAAACTTGTTAAATATCTGTTTTAAACCGGAAAAAAAATACCTTTTTTAAAATAGATGCTTGCTGAAGTCGTGCCTCAAGCATTTGACTATAATATCAAGTATTTAATAGTAAAAAAAAGTATAAAACTTGTAAATATTTTCTTTATAAATAAAACTCTAAAAATTCTCAATTTTCAGAGTTTTAAAACGGGAAAAAAAGTATATTTATTAATATAAAGTAATATTTAGCTTTAAATTCTTGTTTTCTTAGGAAAAAAGGCAATAATTATCCCTTTTTTAAATTAACTTTTTTTATGACGCTCGATGCACCGTCAATTTTTAATTAAGATTTCTCTATAAAAATTAAAAAAAAAGTTAAGAATTAAAAAAAATACAACAATTTAATAAGAATTTCTTATCATTCATACTTATATTTAAAAGAATAAAGCAATTCTTTTAATTTTTTCTCTTTTTTTTAATTTTGAAATTAACCCATATTACAACTGTCTATATTAAACATAGCATATTAAGAAATATTTGATTTAAAGACTATTTTGACTAAGTAAACCTTTAATAACAAATATATGAAAGATTTATTGATATAAATAGGTATTTTTTAAAAAAAGAACCAAGTTAAACGAGTTAAAACCATAAAATAGATAAGTTTTGAATAGTTAAGATGTCAGCAGGATTTTATAAGGTATAAAAGGGGAATTAAAAGGAGATTTATAATAATATATATAAGGGAATATCATCAGAACAAGATATTCGCTTTACAAATGCAGAAAAGAAGCTTTTAAGGAATACTAAGTTCCCAGATGAATTTTCAGTTAAGGTTTGGGGATATATTGAGGAGATTAGTGTAATATATGGACATAGGTTGATATGGATAAGGTTAATTTATCAGTTATGAAGCCATGGATTACTCAGAAAGTGATTGATCTTCTAGGATTTGAAGATGATGTGGTTATTAATTATGCATTTCAGATGATTGAGTCTACACGTTTTGTAAGTGTGATTATAAATTGAAATAAAGAAAGAAAATGACAGAAAAAGCCTGATCCTAAAAAAATTCAAATAAATTTGACGGGTTTTTTAGAGAAAAAGGCATCACTTTTTACTAAAGAGCTTTGGGCACTTTTACAATCGGCACAACAAAGTACAGGAGGTATTCCATCTAAATTTGTTGAAGAAAAGAAGGCAGAAATTAATGCAAAAAAGGTATTATTATTATTATTTCAAAAAAAGTTTCTTAAACTTATTTTTATTAGTTAGAAGAGAAGCGTATACATGAAAATTCAAAGAAACAAAAGGATGATCAAAAGCATCATGAAAGTGTAGATTCTAGCAAGGAAAAGGAATCCTGGAGATATACTTCTGAGGGAAATGGATCTCGTTATCATGGCAAAGATGATCATAATGAACATGATTATAAGAATAGTCGATCTCGCTCACGTGACAGAAAAGTATATGATAGTAGAAGACATAGTCATAGAGGAAATAGATCATCTTCTAGGGATATACATGTACATAATGATCGACATTATAGAGGGAATAGATCACATTCGAGAAATAGATCACATTCTAGGAATAGATCATCATATGATCGACGACATAGAAGTGATAGGAATCGTTCTAGAGAAAGAGATAGATATAGTTCACGAAGACATAGACATAGAAGGGATCGATCATATTCTTCAGATAGACATACACATAGTCGAAAATATCGAAGAACTAGTTCACGTCATAATAGTCCACAGACCAGATATAAATATAGAAGTCGTAGCAATTCATCTAGAAGTTCTACATCAAGATCTAATGAGGACAGTTATGGAAGTGCATCATCTTATTATCAAAGACGTTTCTCATCTTCAGAAACATCATCATCTAAACGATCGCCTATGCACAATAGAGAATCGTCAAGAAAATGAATGTAAATTTATGAAAAAGATGATTACATTGTAGATATTTTATATTTGCGTAAAGATAGCTATTATTTCAGTTTATAAATTCTAATAGGCTTTTTAGATAATTTTAAAGGCAATTGAACTAAAAAGATATTTTATTATTTATCTAGAAAGTAATTGAATTCAGTTTTTCTTAGATCAAATAACTCATAAAAAAAATCATATGGATTCTTTATTAAAAATAAAAACACTCTTTTAATAAATAATTACTTTTAGAGTTAATTTAATATTATTAGTATTTTTGTTTTATATATTTGTAACAATTTTAAATATTTATAAACTTTAAAAGTACTTATATCATAAAAAATATGAATTTTAATAATCTAAATCTGAAATAAATAATGTTTTTTACTCGAAAAGATTGCTAATTTCTATATTTTCTTGTTGAAAAATATCTTCATTTGAACTCTTCATATCAGATTTAAAATGTTTTATTATTTTATAAGTATTAATATCATTAATAGTTTTTTTTGAGCTTTTACCAGCATCAATCTCTGGTTTTATTCCAGATGTAGATAAAAAATCCATCATAATGGCTCTCTTTGATTTGGAATTTTTAACATTAAACAGCTTTGCTTCGAATTCATTTATTTTTTCTAAATTTAATATTGAAATAGATAAAAGAACCTCTTTAGATTGTTGAAATCCTTTTTCATGAGCCAAAGTGTATATTTGGGTTAAAATTTGAATAATTTCAGAATGAACAGATGCTAGATATGTATCATTTATCGCCATCAGACATGCTTTAAATAGATCATTAGCAATAAAAGCGCAGACATGAACATTTGAATCATCCATTAATATAGGTATGATATTTTGAAAAATACGAACTGTATTGTTACAAGTACGAGTGTCATGAAACATAATCAAATGTGATAATAAAGGAAACAAAGATTTAAGTATATCCTTAAACAATTAGTTAAAATATATAGTATTTGATAAAAAAAACCTCGTTTTTTAAAATGTATAGCATATTACTTGTTTTAGAATTTGAAGTATTTTTTGTGAATTGAGCTATTATCTTATTAATAAAAATAAATATAATATTGAATTAAAAACATTTATCTGAAGATGGTACTAATAATTCAGTTAACATTTTGACAACAACAAGAGACAAATTTCTAAGTAATGATTCATTTATCATCTCATTTGATAAATCTTTATCTTGACAAAAAGGTGTACTATCAATATTAATATAATAATAAGAAATAACATATTATACTTTAAATTATTATCAGATATAAACTCTTTTTCAGAAATTTGTGACCATTCAAACACAAGTTTTTTATCAATTTCAACAAATAAATATGGTAGTAATATCTTTAAGAAACAATCTTGATATTGAGGAGGACATTTTGTTATTATAGGAGAAATAGAAAAATCCAAAATACTTGACCAAACATATAATGAAAGACCTTTAGTATTAGTAAAAAATGATTCAATTATATTTTGTGATAAATTTGGGATTCTATAAAAACTATCACCAAAACTAGAGAATAATCCAATATTTATATAACTAAAAATGTTAAAAAAAAAGGAAAATTTATGAAACAAACCAATGTTCTCTATTTTTACGTAAAAAATGACTAAGATTATATGATAATTCTATTATTTTATCTTTAAATTTTGAAATTTCTTCATAAAACTCATCTTTAGAAGTTGAATTAATACCATGAAACCAAAATCTTTCTGAAATGCTTTGACTAATAATAAATTGCAGTTCAGGAACAAATGAATTCCAATTATCTGGATCATATAATGCATGAATATGTCTATTATATTATTAATTATATTCCTTATAGAATAAATAATACTTTATTATATTGAAAATATCAGGAAGAATAAATTCAACAACAGGTTTCCATAATTTTGATATATAATCATAGTTATTATCCTGTAATAACATAATTTTTAAATGATAATCAGCAAATTTTCGAAATCCTTGAATAGGCCAAATCTTTAAGAAGTTAATATTGATATAGTAATAAATTTATTGTATTACTAATTTTCTAGTTTCTTTTAACTCATCTATTAACTGTTTTCCTTCGACATCTAAGTATTTAGTGTTTAAATCTTGAATAGAATGGATATTTTTTGATTCTATAATTATTTTAAAGAATAATAATATATATATATATATATACGAATATATTGCATGATCTTTTGGAGTCCCAAAAGATCAAGAAATCCATTAAAAGTTGATAAATTGAATAATGATTTAGTTTTATTCCATGTATCTATTAATTTAGTAGTAATAAGCTGAAAATAGTATGTTTTTTCATTTTGAGTATTATTTGGTTTTTGACTATAATATTTTAATAAATTTAATCAAATATTTTTTTATATATAAACCTAATGATTAGTAAAAAAGTGATAAAAACTGTATTCTCATTTTCGCTAGATTTTTCATTTATAATTTCATATACTATTTTTTCAAGTTGTGGATATATATTCTAACTTTATTAAAATTAAAAAAAAATATTTATAAAGATACCCATAATGAATCAGATAATTCCATTGCAAGTTTAAGAAGTTCATGGCTGCATTTTCCACGTAAATCGTGAATTGTTTGTACTGCTTCGTCAGATATATTATCATGATAACGATATACAAGTGTAGATATTATCTATAATATAAACATATAGTTAATAGAAATAATAATTAAAACATACTTTTTCTAAAACTGGTATAAGGAATTCTTTTTTTTCTAAAGAATAAAGAAACATTACTAATACTTGAATTTGACGACTTAATATTAAAGGTGCCTAAAACTATAAGTAACAAAATCAATTCTTTAATCAAAAACCTTAACATCTATATGAATTATTTTTTCAAACCAATATATTAAAAGAGATAAGAAATTATTTTTTAAATCATCCTATAATTATTAAAAAAATACTTTTAAAAAATATTCTACAAACATCTAAATGTTGATCCTTTTCATTTAATATTTTATATCCTTTTAGAACAGCTTCTATAAAAGTATAGTTACTATCATAAAAATGATAATCCAATGTCTTTTTTTTATGAAAAAATATTTGATCAGTCATAAAATCAGGGCATTTTTTGAAGAATTTTTCAATATGTTGCTGTGCGTATAACAAACAATCCTTTGTCTACATTATTAGCAAATAATTTTTAAAAAAATGGCTTCTACAGGCATAGAAAATATTATTCGTATAAGATCTACCATAAATCTTCGATAATTCTCACAAAATATATGTATTTCTGAAGTTGTTTCAATGTCATGGTTTAAAAATTTTATTTCAATTGAATCTTTTAAAACTGTTTGAGCATTTTCATACTAAAATAATTAATAAAAATTAAAAATTATATAGTAATACCCTTATTAGTCTACTTGATATAAGATCAAGTAAGCGAGGTAATATTGATATGACTGTATTTTCTTTATTTAAAGGCGATTTTAATAATGCTATCCAAAAAGGTTGAGATATAGAAGATACAATAAGTGATGGATGTTTAGTAGTAAATAAAACGAAATCTAAATATATATTGAAATATACCAATGTGTTGGATCTTTTGTAATTTATAATGTGAAATGTTCCAAGAGCAACAATAGTCTAAAAAATAATTATAAATACAAATAACAAAATTAATATTTACCTCAACTATTTTTTTAAGAAAAGAATATTTCTTTTCATCAAAATCATTGTAACCATTATATTGAACTTGAGAAAATATCTCTTCAGTAATAATGCGTAGATGGTTTAAGTTATCAGGTTCAAAAAATGTATAAACAATCTCTGAAAGTTTATCATCTGGTAACAATGGACGAATAAAAAGAGCATGAAGACAATCAGATGAAATCTTTAAACGTTATTTCTAAATTTTAATATAAATTAATATACCATTTTTATTTCTATGTTTCCTTGTGATAAAACAAAGCACAATTGATTCAGTATTCCTGATTCTAATATAGACCTAAAGAGATTAAGTTAAATACCCATTCAAAATATTGTTTTTTACTCTGTAGGGATCCATGATAAACAACCTTTTAAACAATTCAAAACATGTATTATTTCAATTTCATTTATCTTTGGAAAACATGATGTATCAATAACTCCAAAATAACTTTTTATGCTTTTTTCAAAAATATCAATCCATCCTGAATTATTTTCTGGGATTTTAAGCGAATAAGGAAGACCATTTGGATATATAGTTTTTAAAATATTTGAAGAACAAAGAATAGAAATCATAGCAACAGAAAATATTGGAATCTTTGATACCTCCTTATCATCCGTAGATTGAAATGCATTCTCAATTAGATTTAATATTGTATTTAAGGATATATAACGGGCCGTAGGCTATTATTTATAAGTTTTTTTCTTTTCCAATTAAAAAAAACACACTGAAGTTAAAAACATATTTTTAAATGTAATATCCATATCTTGTAAAATAAAAATCCAGTCTTTTTTTACAATTTCAAAAAGGATTTTAGAAATTTTTTGCTTAATATAATGAACTTCTTCTTGATCTTCTGATGTACCATCACGAACACCCTATTAATATTAACAAAACATATTTTTAATAAATCCTAGACATTATAACACATATTAATCATGCAATTACGCAAATATACTTTGTCTTCATCTTCATATTTCTCCCAATTGCAACATATTCCTTGATCAATTAAATTTAACCCAAAATGTCGCAATACATCCATTTTTACATTTTTAATTGATGCTAATTCAATCCCATATTTCCATGATTCTGGTTCTTTTTTAATATTATCAAGATACTAAATTTTCTATCAATTATACTTTTTATATATTTCTTAGTTTTTTTCTTATATCACCTTTTGTGCTTCATTTCTTACTATTTTATCTGTATTAATAGAATAAATTATTGATAATGCTGAAATTAATTTATTAACTTTATCTTTTATTATTATTTTATTTATTAATTTAAAAATTAATCTTACTTTCTTCTTCCATTTTATTTTAAAAAAAACTATATTTTTTAATTAAATCCTCATTTTTAATATTTATCTAATATTTTTATTTAATCTTAGTAAATATTTTATATTCCGTCAATTCAAGGTTTTTGCCCTGAGTATTTTGACTGAGAAGCCTTAAAAATATCTGTTTTTATTATTATTAATTATCCTTTTTATTTTTATTGAAATCTAATATTTTTAATAGTTTCATATTTATAACGTTATATCTATGAATACATCAGTTTTAACAACATCAACTAGTCTAGTAAATACGGACGATCACTTATGGTCTAATTTACTTAATAGTGTATCTGGTATTAAGAAAGTTCCATCAAAATATATACTTTTATTGGGTTTTTTTATTATTAATTTATCAAGAAAATAAGTTAATTCTGACCCATTGATATGTATAGGCGGGGGGAATAGAAATGCCAGAGAATGGATTTCATCATTGAAACAAGCAGCCATTGGAGTCCATAGAAAAGGCTCAGTGAAAAAAAATAAGGAAGAGATAGGATCGACATATCTTATGGATTATACATATATTGAATGGATGGATCCAGATCAGGGAGGTAAGAAGCGTTTATTTTTAAAATAGGTTAGGAAATAAATATAAAAAGAAAGACTTGGGGTAATTGAAGTATATTTAATATCAGAACGACATGTTTCATGTGAATCAATGCTTTTGGAACTTTTCACGCCAGAGTTTCTTAAAAATTGTTTGATTTGTATTCTATTAGATTGGAGAAATCCATGGAAATGGCATGAAGAAATGTATAATTGGATAAATTTGATTAGAAAAAGTATTGAGAGTTTTAAATCTCATGAAGAGGGAAATCAAGTTATTTCTGATATTATAGCTACTTGTAAGCATGAAAGATGACTTAATATACTTATGGTGATATAGAGATAATTTAGGGGAATATAAAATCAGAACATATAGTGAAAATTCACAATGGGTATCTCATGATGTTAATAGGAATGAACAAGTACTTCTTCCTTTAGAAACAAATCAATATGATCAGCCTTTAGGATTACCACTGATATGTGTATGTAATCATGTAATGTTCATCTTAATAAATAAATATTAAGTTAATGAATTGAGTAGTCAGAATATATATTATCAATTGAAAAAGATGAACTTTTAAAAGATGAACATTTTGATTTCATACAACAATTTCTTAGAACTATACTTATGAAGCGTAATTAAGTATAAAATATTTATATAATATATATTTATTTGATTTTAGATGGGGGTGCGCTTTATTATACATCTGATTTGTATCCAAATACATTGGACAATTTATTATATAGTATTCTTGATTGTTTTTCACTTTCACCTCAGACATATATGGATGTTAATTCGCCTCCAAAAGCGAATGTAATTGATGGAAATCAAATATTTGTTCCACCAGGCTGGGACTCATGGGGAAAAATTCGTATTATTCGAGATAGTTTTGATGTCGAGAAAGTTGCTAATGCATGGGATTCTGATTTGAATCTTAATGCAGATAATAATGAGACACTTAATTCTAAAAAGATTTTTGAAGAAATGATAGTAGATTCTAGAAAGGTTAATCAAATCTTAATAGTCAATGGAGATTAAATGGTTTAGAATGATATTTTTGATATTTCAGAGACAAACGATTTTGTGACCACAATTCCTTATCAGGAATTTCTTTTAAATCATTTGAATATTATAGAAACAAAATGCGAGCCACAAGAAAACGTACAAAAGGATAAGATTAATATAGAAAACACATATGTAGCTTCAGCGCAACTAAATATAGGTGGTGTCAAACTTAATACCGAAGAAGTAGATGAAAAATTAAAGAAATTAAGAGTAAGTTATCTCTTTTATTCTTATTTTTTTTTTTATAAGTAAAGGATATACGTTCTGAAAGCAATTCTCCTGTTTTAACACCAGAAGAAATCTATAAATCTCCTTTAAAGGCAATATCACCACTACCTGCTAAAGAACAGAATGAAGTATTGGCAAATTTTTTTCAAAGTTTGCTTAATAGAAAGAAAGGTATGTATCTATAAATAAAAATATGTTTTAAAATAGGATTAGCAGGTGGATAATTCATATCAAATAAAAATAATAGTTTATTATATAAAATACATCTCTTAGATTTACAAACGTATACAAATCATTAAATTATTATCAACAAATTCATCTACTATATATTTCCTCTTCCTGTTTCTGATATATTCTTAAATTTTACTCTTTTTCTTTCAATATTCTACTCTTTTGAATTCTTTCCATATATATATCTCGTGCACGATCATAGTTTTCAGGAAGTGCACTAATAAATAAGCATAAAAATAAATACATAATTTGTTTCATACTTTAACCTCATACATTCATTCATAGATTGTTTTTCTGAATGACACTTCCATAGAGTAGAAAAGGTTCTACCTGATGCACATTCAACAAATTCTATGTTAATCAATAATTTCTTTAAATACATAATAAAGGGCAATAACTTTTAATTACATCATAACATGCAATATTTAAATTTTTCATGAAGATTTTTCGTATTTCTTCTTCATCATGAGACGACCATAGTCTAGACATGGGAAAATATGGGTTTTTTTCGTTTTTCAATATATAATTTAAATATGATAATTAAAAATAATATATTGGAAGCTTTTTAATGTATAGATTAATGGCTATTTGGTAAAAATGAATTAATTTGTAACAGTTTTTTACTAAAATCTTATTTTTAGACCCACTACTATAATATTCACGTGACTACCAATAATTAGATGAATAAGATTATGATTAGATTATATAATTAAACATTGAATATGACTAATTTTTATTGAATTTACATGGCTTTTTTATTTCTTATATGATTTTTGAATTTTAATTGAAATCTATATTTAAAGAGGGACTGGAATTATAATTTATATGAAGATGTTAGAAAAGAAAATGAAAGATATACAAGGGATTATAAATATATTATCTTCTCGACCTTCATTAGAAGAATTGTCAAGTGTTTTAGAGGATATTTTTAGATTTCAAGAAAAAGAGGAAATTGTTAATAGTGAAAATACAAAAATAATGAATATTTTAACAAATGAAATATTACCAGAATATTTACCATTGATTCTTTCAAAAGATATAACATTATTGGGAGAAAAAGTGAAGAAGTTTTTATTAGGATGTTTAAGTAGTGTTTCAGGAATTAAGGCTATTTTATTAAGAATTAAAAAAATAACAATGGAAAATGGGAATTCTTTTTTTTTTCAACACATTGCAGAGTTATTAGAAATCCTTCAAGTGATTTTTTGTAATGAAGGAAGATTAATATTAATATGGATGAGATGTCATTTTGGAATAAATGAAAATGAGAATGTTAAATCATTTTCGTCTCTTATTTGGGACGAATATGTATCATTAATTGCAGGAGGGAAATTACTTGGAATTGCATCAGAAGGATTGGTTAAATTATGGAAATATTGTGAAATTGATCAACGTCCTGTTTTTTGGATAGCAGATGGCTCGAAATATGTGGAACATTTTGGAAATGAAATAGTAGCATCACTAAATGACACTAGATTTAATGAAAAGATGGAAAAAGATTTCTCTGTATTAACTGGCAGATTATTTAATCTTGGTTACACAGGTTATTGTAATTTTATTTGTATTATTTATCTGATAGAAAAAAGCTCAAATCATTTCTTCTTTTTTTAGAAATGAAACTATAACACACGATTATTTATTACGTCTTGATAGGATTGTGAAACATTTTACATCTTTTCAAAAAACTATGTATATTCATTCCTTATTTTCTTTTTTTGATAAAAAGTATTTTCAAAATACAGAGAATTTTTTTGAAAAGTTGGATATATGTCATGAACTATATGTTTCTGAAGTAGAAATGATTTCAACTATAATAAAGGATATTTTAGAGATGGACAATGATATCATTGATATTGTTAATAATTGGTTTTTGAACTTTAATTCAAAAACAAATATTTATACTAAAAAGGCAATAGTCAATTCTTATTGCTCTTTTACAAATGGTGAATTTTTACATTTATTTCATTGAAATTTTAACTATTTTTAGATTTAGAAGCTGATGATAATATACTTGTAAGATTGTGTTCAAAATGGTCAAATAAGATTTTTATAAATCATGTACCAGTTATAGAACAAGAAGGTTTAGATTTATCAATTAATTTTTTTATTTGACTTAATTAGATTTAACTCAAAAATTTCTTTTGTTTGCAGCTTTTGTACCTAGAAATATTTTAGAGAAGTTAAGCCATTCTAATGCATATTTGAATGGGTTGACAAATAGATTATCTTCATCTTCTGAAAGAGTACGATTTTTAGGTATGATTGTAGGTGAATCTGTAACAAGAAAACTCTTTCCAAATGATGAGAAGAAATGGCTCACTTTTAATGTTGAAAGTACACTTACTTCTGAATCTAATTGGTGGAGAAATATTATAAATGTTGATAATATCACAAACATAAAAAGTTTATCTTTAGAAGCTACAGATAAACATTGCAGTTCTTCATTAAGCTCTAAGAAGGATACTATCAAGGAATATGAACGAATTCAACCAATTCAAGAAGATGGTACTGTTGTCGCTAAGGATGATGAATTTGTACCATACGCTCTTCCTGATTCTGATGATGATTCTGATAATGATTCTAATGATGATTCTGATGATGATCCTGCGTTTACAGAAAAAAATAAAAAGATTAATGCACCTGTGTATGTAAATATTTCTTACTTTTTATACTAAACTTTAAAGATATATACGTGAATTGATATCTATGTTAAAAGATAATACATCTTATCCGAAATTACATATGGCTCTCAAAACTTCTCCTAATCTTATAAGACGTAAAGCAAATTTTGGAACAGAACTTACCAAAGAAGCAATTACTTTGGCACAAATTATAAGTAGTATGAATGATGAATTTAATATGGATAAATTTATAGAATTAAAACAAGAATCAATGACAGCTTTAGTAGCAACTTGTCCTGAATTAGTTGCTTCATATTTTATTGAGCAATATTTTACTGGTGATATTTCCATACAGCAACGTTATATGATACTATCTGCTTTAGCATTAGGTGCAAGAGAAATATCCGGTATAGATTCTTCTAAAAATAAGGTAAATAAATATACTTTCATTTTAGTTCTAAAGATAAAATTATTAGATGTTTCCATCTAAAATTTTAGCTTCAAAATTTCATCAACAATATATATCTCCAATTGATATAATCGTAAAAGAAATGAATCTCTTATCAGTAAAGCAGAATGTTTCAAATCTTACAAATATAGATTCTTTAGATTCTATTAATCCTTTAAAAGTAAGACGGTTTTCAAAAAAAACTGAAATAATGAAAAATAAACAACTTCCTAAGGCAAATCCTTTGGCTCCAATTGCTGGAAAATCTTTTATCTTTCCAATGATTGGTTATTGGTTTCTTTACACAAAAGATACGTAAGTTTTTAAATTCTTATTCATAATTCATAATTCATTTTTAAAGATCTAATAATTATTTTCATTACGAACCATTACTTTTAAGTCAATTTTTAAAAACTATTGCAATCATCTTTCAAGCTAGTTATCCTGCTTCTTCTCAACATGAAATTTTACATGAAATATGGGAATTCTCTTTTTTTCTTCAAAATCAAACCGATCTCATTATAAAAAATGCATTATTGTTTCTAATTCTAACTCTTTTGGAAATAACTGATGAAAAATTATTAATTCAAAAATATTCACATGAACTCGTACAATCCCGTCATTGGGTTTCTGGTAATATATATTCTTTCTTTTTCTTTTTTAATCTTTTATTTAGCAATTCTTGAAAATGCATCTGAAGAAGAAACAAGACTTTTATCTTCTTGTATTATTCTTCGTATTACATCTTTGTTTGAATCTTATAAAAACACTTTTATTTATCCTTTTTCAAATATTATTGATATACAAAAATTTAAATCTTAATAATCAATTGTTTTAATATTTTTATTAAAAAGATTATTTTATTCTTTTTTATTCATATTTCTAATCATTCATTTATTATTTATTGAATTATTCTTAATCATTGATTCGTATTATATAACCCTAACCCTGGACCTAGCCCTGGACCTAGCCCTGTAACTCCAACCCTAACTCCAACCCTAACCCTTCTCATTCTCCTTTCTCCTCTCTTCTCTTCTCTCTTCTCCCTAACCCTAACTGGTAGTACGTTACCCTAACCCTGTAACTTAACCCTAACCCTCTGGTACATAGTAGATCTATTTTAAACCCCAGGTGTTCTCAACCCTAAGTGTTCTCAACCCTACTTGTTCTTAACAATACCCTACACCCTAGCTCATACCCTAGTTCATACCCTAACTCACTAGTACATCACCTTAACCCTCTACTACTACACTCTAACTCTCTACTATAACACTCTACTTAATACTACCCTTCTAATTCCCTAATACAATAATAAACTCTCTTCTTTTCATATATTTACAACCTAACGTCTCCACCCTAATGTCTTCTAATTACCCTCTTCTATATCTTCCTAATTAACCTTTACATATTCTCATACGTAACCCTTTCTATATTCATACTTACTGATAACCCTAACCCTAACCCTAACCCCTCTAGCCACACCCTAACCCCAACTATAACCCTAGCTATAACCCTAACCTATAACCCTAACTCCTCCCTACATAAAATTCTACTTTATATTCATACTTTTTTTTTAATTTTTATACATAAAAACTTTTTTAAAAAACTTATAAAAACATTCTTCCTTCTCTTTCATCTTAAAAACATACAATAAACATTAATAAAACGCTCTAAACTTCTTATTTCTATATAATTTTATTCTTCATTAGGGTGTGCGCGGGATCATGCTTTTTTTCCACGGTTCGAAGATGGCGTAGGCTGCGGCTGTTCTATATTAAACTGGGACAGCAGAGAATATTTTGGACGGACGAAAGGTATATTCGTCATTAAAAAAACGTCAGGTAACCAGTTTTTTACATGATTAAACATGGTTAACCGTTTAGGACTAGTTTGGAGTCGGTACGCGTTGCCGAAATTGCGGCATCGCGACGCGTCCGAAATATAGGGTTAGGGTTAGGTTAAACGTCGAGAAAAGCGACCGTATTGAAGGGTATTGAAGGGTATTAAGAAAGAAGTATTTAAATAAGTCAAGAAGAAGAGGAAGAAGAAGAAGAAGAAGATTGTAAGAGTATTATTAAAGAGGAGAAGAGAAGAGAAGAGATGAGTTGTTCTCCAGGGGTAACAATAGGTTCGTTTGGAAAAGGATTAGGGGAAGAGGGGTTGACGGGATTTTCATTTGGAGTAGAAGAAGAAAAGCCTAAGGAGGGGCCGAAATTACTTCCTAATGGGATTTTGAATGAGGAGGAAGGGGTGATTCGAGATCGTCAAAATGAGGCGAATTATGTGGAAGGAGAGGGGGCTAAAATTATGATTCGAAATGGACTTCCTAAGGATATTACGTCGCGGGAATTAGCGGGGTTATTTTTTTTCTCTAAAGGATATCTTGATAGTCAAGTGATATATATGAATGGGTCGGAAGTGGGGGCTATAGTCCAATTTGAATCACTTGAAACGGCTATAACAGCAAAGGAATTTTTGAATGGGAAGGTTTTGGATAAGTTAGGATCACCATTATCGGTGGATATTGTTCCGATATTTAAACGGACGTCATCATCGTCATCAGTATCATCGTATGTTCAAAAAAATTATCCATCCGCTACATTATCATCATCGTCGAAATCATCGTCGAAATCATCAGGATCGTCGGCTTCATCACATCCACACCATCCTCAAACTAGTCGGTTTGCACAATACTGTAGTAGTTCGAGTAATATAAAGAATAATGATTTGATGAATAGTTTTTATGGTATTACGAATACCTTCTCTTTACCAATGATGGAAAATACAGCGGATAATGCATGGTCACCAGCATCACCAGGGTTTTCATATTCTTCCCTTGGTGTTCATCCTGTTACGAATCCGCCAGTACCGAGTGCTAATAATACCATATCTGAATCGGTTCATAAAAATACACCTATTAATGAAAACATGGAAGAATGGAGATTCCAGCAGCAATATCAACCTGCTGAAAATGCAAATGAATCTCCTTCTCAACCTCCTGTATCACGTCTTTCGAATTCTTTAGTCGTTAATATGCAGAATATGTCACCAAATGGATCATCTTATGTAGGATCAAATGTTATATCACCAAATCGTCATAAATCTGCCGTACAGAATCATCGATTTTCCCAAAATAATAATGCATTGTCTTCCATTGCTAGTTCATCTAGTGGGCATTCTTCTTTGATGATGTCTCCTCAGGCAAGTCATTTTGTACCGAGTTCTCCGAATGGCTTTGTAAATAGTCCTAAAATTCAATCCCATGTTGTTGGATTAAATGGTATGCAAGTAACGGATCCTTCAAATCATTCTTATTATATGAATTCATCTTTTGGTTATGGTTATCCAAATCATTTTAGAGGTTCTATTCCATTTAGCACAAATCCTGCTGATCAAAATCCTCCTTGTAATACTCTTTATGTCGGGAATCTTCCTTTAAGTACATCTGAAGATGAACTTAGGAATTTGTTTTCAAGGCAGCCCGGTTATCGTCGATTATGTTATCGTACTAAATCAAATGGCCCCATGTGTTTTGTCGAGTTTGAAGATGTAGGCTATGCAATGAAGGCATTAAGCTTGTTGCAAGGTGTTTGTTTATCTAGTTCTGTTAAAGGGGGAATACGACTCAGTTTTAGTAAAAATCCTCTTGGCGTCCGAAGTAACGCAAATCCAAATTTATTAGTTAATCATTATGGCATGCATAATAATGGCTTTTCGCCCTCCATTCATACTCATTCAGGGTTTTCTATGCCTTCATGGTCCGGCATGAATCAACAATTACTCGGAAAATAGATTCTTTTATTAGTTTCTACGATTTTTTTTTACAACTTTCTTTTTTACACTCTGTTTCTTATATATTCTACTCTATCTATTTATCAATTATTCGGTTTAAAGGTTTCTCTCGCGATATTTTGTATCTTTTGGTGATAGTATTGCTACTTTTTCTTTCTATTTTTTATCTACATTTTGGATTCTCTCTCTCTATAGCTAAGCATTTCTATTTGCTTTGTTTATTTTTGAACACTTTTGTTTTGTTTTTAGGTTATATCTTTGCTATATTTTTATTCTTTCTTTATATCACTTTATTCTCTCTTCCGGCCTTTTTTGATGCTTTTTTCTGTCCTTTACGACGTCAAAAAAAACTAAGTCAAATCAGCATAAGGAAGATCAGGGCTTGGATGGGATATTAAGAGGAATATTGAGGGGTAATAAGTAGATGACATCTTCATTTAAGTCATGGATGATAACGTTTTCTACATTATTCAGCAAATCGGTGCCTTTATTGACATTTTCAGAAGTAAATATTAAACAAATGATTTCAGATATATGGACAAGACAAGGGCTTAAAGATATGTTTTCTATGAATAAAATGGTAGAGAAGGAGCAATCGGATAAATGGAGGTTTTTGTTACCTGTTCAATACCCATATCATTCACCACAATATCCGATTATTTTATGTCATGGTATTTTGTTGATATTTTTTTAATGAAGTTGGTAATATGTAAGGACTTGGATTTTTTGAGAAGACGCCGTCATCATTACCTAAATTCCAGCTTCATTATTGGGGATCTATAGTTGAATCATTAAAAAAATTAGGATGTCAAGTTTATGTAACAAAAGTTCCAAGTACGGGTACTATTGCACAACGAGCGAAGGAATTAGCTAAGCAACTATCATCTATGGTGAATGGTAAACGAGTGAATCTTGTTGCTCATAGTATGGTAAATTTTTTTTTTGAAAATTTTTATTTTGTAAAATTAAAATGTTTAAGGGAGGTTTAGATTGTCGATATTTGCTTTCTAAAGGGTTATATAAAGACTTTTATCCGGTATCATTAACGACATTATCGTGTCCTCATCGAGGATCACCTTTTATGGATTGGTGTCGAGATTATCTTGGATTAGGTCGAGTTCTCCCTCGCGTATCTACTACTTTAAGGGAGGAAGTATCTGATAAATCTTCCAAGAAATATGAAAATAATTCATCTATATCGTCAACTATTTTATCAAGTATAATGTTTTCTCAAACTATGGATACACCTGCATATGCAAATTTGACAACAACCTATTTAAAAGAATCATTTAACCCATTTATTTTAGACTCTTTAGAAGTTAAATATTATTCGTTTGCTGCTATATCATCTGTACCAATATGGCATCCTTTATATTTTCCGAATCATATTGTTTCACAAGCTGAAGGCATAGATAATGATGGTTTAGTAAGTGTTAAAAGTGCGACATGGGGAAAATTATTGGGTATATTAGAATGTGATCATTGGGAATTAAGAGGTAGAGGGTTAGGTGCTGGAACGGGATTTATTAAACAAAATTTTGATGTTGATGATTTTTATTGTGCTTTGGCAACACATTTGTGGAATGAGAACTTTTAATTGTATTTATGAAGTTTAATCAACTCTTTTTTTTATCATTTTAAAGAAAAAATTAATATTGCTTTGAGGATTTTGTTTGAATAATTTTATTTATAAGATATATTAAATAGATAAATATAATAATTTAGTATACATTAATAGGAACTTTCATAGTCTAATTTACGATTTGATTATTTTTATTGAAACTAATGTATAGTGATATAAATAACATCTAAAATAAGTTATTTTCATATATACAATGGCATCTCCTCTAGAGATGCTTTAACGGTGTTTTTCGTTTATTGTGAATGATGATTTCTTAAGTTTCCTTAATAGATCCAACGGAATATGGTCATGTTTTACCCTTGTTTCCATTTGTTTAAAACAATCTTTATTAGATACATCCACTTTTCCGTGAGAATCAACTTCCTGCGCTTTATCTGAGCAACAACATTCTATTCTTTGAACGAATTTAGAAGCTAATACTTCTTCTGCTGTTAAACGTTCATCAGGATCTGGATTGAGCATCCTATAGATAGTATGTTGAGCACATGCTTTCCAGTGTTTAAAAGGTGGATATGCCGGAAGTTTTTCATCCTTAATTCCATTAACTGTATGCATAGGAGAATGTAATGGAGATAGATCTATTAAATTTGAAACTGTTGGTACTGATGTTGAGAATGCGATTGAAGATTCAATACTTGTTTGAGAGGGTAAATTAAAATTTGAACATGATGTTGAGTCGGAAGAATTTATAAATTTTGCGTGAAATTTCTTAAAAGCATCTAAATAATTATCATAATGTTTATCGCCAGGTATTGCTTTAACAAAAAGGGTTCCACCCCAGGTAAGACAAAAATAAACAATCGCACAAGACCAAATATCCACTTTGAAGCCGTCATATTCTAATAGAAATGTAAAGAAATGTAAAGAAAAAGAATGGAATTACCTTTTTGCATAAATACTTCAGGTGCAATGTAAGCGTCACTTCCACATATCCCACGGCATTTCTTAATATTTTTTTCACCATTAGGAGAGTTTTTATTAAATAATACATCACTTGTTCCAAAATCGGTAATTTTGAGAATACCATTGTAGTTAAGAAGTAAGTTTTCAGGTTTGATATCTCTATGTGCAATTCCTTCGGAATGTAAATAATTAACTCCTCGAAGTAATTGCTTAAAAAGGCAATTTCTAAGGGTTGGTGCCATTTCTTTCGGCTCCGGTTCTGCGGTCCAGTCAACCATGGATTTAATGAGAGAATGAAGATCGCCTGCTGCACAAAATTCCATTATTTCACACCACGAATCTGCTGTAAGAGTATGATCATCCAAACAAAGATCAACTGCACGTACGACATTCGGATGATTAACTCGTTGTTGGATTGTCCATTCACTAGCAAGTTTTTTAAGATAATCTTCCTTTCTTTCTGACCTGCTTTTTTTCCGAAATGTCTTGACTGCAAAAAGGCCAGAATCACCTCCATTACTTTCGATTGTTGAATGGCATCCAGGTTTAAGACTAACTACTTGAACGGTTGCTGTAGATCCCGAACCAATATCTTTCTTTCTAAAACCATGATAAGTATTACGATAAATATACCGTTCCTTCAATTTAATAATTCCTTCTCGACTTATAAGTTGTTGGAAACCTATGCTTAATGATCGATTCCTAAAAATCTTTGATTTTAGTCCTGAACCAAACCTAGCACATGTATGGTTCGAAATATTTGATGTATGTGTATATGATGGCGTATATGAAGACACTAACGATCTAGATATACCATGTTTATTAGGTGTTGAAGGATCCGTATCAAAGTTATAAACAACTTCTGGTTTAGGTGGCAATGTTTTACTTAAACCATTTAACGTAAGATATTTTCCATGGTAATAACAAGGTGCAGACGAAATTCTTGGAGGCGGCTGTAATTCCCGAAAAAATTCCGTTGATCGACATAATGAAAGATGATCAAACGGTTCAATCAATTCCGTAAATCCTTCCGATAAACAACCCATCCCCGTATTTAAAGAAAACGATCTATGATGATCTAATGATGAAATAAATATATTTGATTCTTCATAAATTCCTTTCATACTATTTGATGACGAAATCATCTCTGTAACTTCTTTTTCTTTATTTTTTCCTAATGATGCGCTAACAAAACTAATTGATGATACTGACAACTCCTTTCGAGACATTTCTTTCCTGTTCTCTTCTTCTTATCGTCTCAAATATTATCTTTAGATATTCTATCTCTCTTGCTTCTATCTTTTCTCAATAACAAATCATTCCCTATAAAAGTATTCCCTTTTTCATGATTATATGCTATCTGAATAATACTGCACCGTGGCAAAAACCTTAAATATTCCTTTTTTACTCTTAAAAACTCCCTTTTTTTTGTTATTGATCTACTTTTTTAAATCTATTTTTAGTCCTTAAAAAATCCCTAGATATTTACTAAAAACCCTTTCAATTAATAGCTGAGCATATGATCGGTTTCCTTGTATTATCTTATATATTTATGTGTTCTTCTTATTATGTTTTGCTTGTATTTTTATGCTCGGCTTGTATGGAAGGTTGATTAAACGGTGCTAAGTTGGCCTTTTGTTCTTTGGGACACACGTGTGTAAATTTTATGAGAGACGGATGTCTTAGAGGTATAAAATTAGGGTAAAAGTGGGGTAAGTAGGGTAGGGGTTGGGAGTAGGGTTGGTGTTGAGTTAGGGTTAGAAGTGAGTAGGGTTAGGAGTAGGTTAGGGCTGAGAGTTAGTACGGTGGGTTAGGGCTGTTGGTTAGGGCTAGGGTTAGGAATAGTGCTTGGGGTTAGCGCTTGGGGTTAGGGTTAATGATAGAAGGTTAGAACGTTAGAGTTAGAAGAGGGGTTAAAAGTGGGGTTAAAAGTGGGTTATTAATTTTTAAGAATATTTCAAGATAATTCATATGTATTTTAATGATTAAATTAAGTATCAGTTGTGACATTTTGTGAAGAAACAGCAAGTCGTGCTTCAAGACTACGTAATGCTTCTTCTTTTGCAAGAAGTTGTTGACGTTTTTCACTAATTTCTCTTTGAACTTTAAGTTCAATTTCTCGAAGTTTTTCTTCTTCACGACGTAATTGTTCTTCTTTTAATCGTACAGATTGAGTTGCTAAATCTTCACGACAAATCGTCATATCACTAGAAATAATAAATAAGAGTATTATTAAGAAAAAAATATAATGAAAATATACTTAGAAACATCGGCAGATCTGCTGAGTTTTTCAGTACGATAATTTTCATAAAGAAAATCATGTGTAATTTCTTTTAAATCACATAAATGAGTACGTAAAAGTGCAGAGCGTATTGCTAAAAAATCTGAATGAGTAGAATTTTCAACATCGACAATTCCCCATGGATATTGTCGTCCTCTTATACGTCGTCCATTATGTTCGATAATATCTTCACTACCAACAATAGCAAATGGCATTAAACTACGCAATTCTGCATTTTCTTCTACTGTTTCTTCATCATCTTCCTCAATATCATAAGGAAAATTGTATATAGGAATACGATAATAATCTATATCTTCCATAATTAATTTTTTATTTTCCACTAATTCTGCTTGTGTAAGTGTATCCGCTTTTCCAATCACCGGAATAACATTCACTCTCGGTGATAACCGGCGCATTAATTCAATATCAATTTCACGAAGTCCATGACCCGTAGGTATAATAAAATACAGTAAAACATGTACTCTATTATCCCGAAAACGTGGATTACGTTTAATCCTAGATTCTTCTGCCAATATATTATCATATTGTCGTTCAAGGTATCCTAGAATTTCTCGAAAACTATCCATGTTATACAAATTATTAAATAATATTCCAATTACTGCGTTTCATTATTAATACTATCTCCAAATGACGGACAATCAACAATCGTCAATGATATACGTGTTCCATCCTCTTCAAGCTCTTTCCTCTCAATTAATTCTTTTCTTTTCACCTTGTCTTTATTATTACCTACTGTTACCGGTCGAATCGATATTTCATCTTCTAAATGTGCATTCGTCGGGTCATCTACTTCTTTGTGTTCCATAACATTTGCATTACAAAGAGTATTAATAAATGTTGTTCTTCCTGTTCCACTGGCTCCAACTACCATCATTGTAAATTGCACTCCTTTCTTAATATTTTTTCTGTTCCGTGAATGCTATTTAAACCCTTTTTTCAGAAAAAAACTTAATATTATGCTTTATTAAAGGCTTACCAGTGTTGTTGATGACATTTTGATTAAAAATACTCTTTAATTTCGTTTTAAAAACAATAAAATCAATAACGAGTTAATCGTGATGAGGATATCGACGGGTAGAATGTTTATAAGGGAAATTTAAGATGATTAAAAAAGTATTTGAAATCTATCTTAATTACTTTTTTTCTTAAATAATTGTTAATTTTATCTTTTATTGGTATTTTTTTATTTTTTTTTTCACTTGATTAATCAAGTTAAAGATATATCTTTGATATAAAATCTATAAAAAGTATTTGTTATTATATAGTTAATTATTCTAAATAAATCTAAGAATTAATCTAAGAATTAAACTAAGAATTAAACTATTTATGAATCATTAATTTATTAATAAAGATAAAGATATAAAATAATTTTTTATCGACCAAGGTTAAGATTTATGTATTTATATGATTTAAATGTATAAAATCTTAAGATTTGTTTGATGATTAATTAATAAAATGATAAATCTTAAGAGTATGCTTTATGTTGCAGATAATTCAGTATAAATATATATTGTGTTTTTTTTTTTGGATTTTTACATATTATAGGGTGCACAAATAGCAGAATGTATTAATGTATTAAAATCAGGAAAATATGCAAAAATAGGTTTTTTATAAGGAAAATAATTATAGATTTAATTGGTTATATTTATAGGTGATGAAATTGTGGTAGTTGTTCAAAAAATTCGATCTAGTAGTGTGTCGACGGGGTCATTAAATACAAATAGGATTCGTAGGGGAGATATTAAACATGCAATAGTTGTTAGAACGAAGAAAGAAACAAGACGAAAAGATGGAAGATGTATTCGATTTGATGATAATGCATGTATTTTAATTAATAAAAAAGAACCTATTGGTACACGTATTCTTGGTGAGTAAAGAGGTGGTTAAAAAAAAAATGTATAATTTATATATAAAAGGTGCAGTTTCTGCAGAATTAAAATACAAAGGATGGAATAAAATTCTTTCTTTAGCACAAAAAGTTGTTTAATATATAGTATAGATAGATGAATTATACTAAAAAAAAAATACATAAATAAGTATATTTTATTTCATTTGTTAAACCAATATTTAATTTTGTTTTCTTGTTTTTTTTAAAAAAATAATTCGACTATTTTATAAGGTATATTCTAATATATCATATTTAATTCTAATAAACTCTTCCACAGTTAACACAGACATAATATAATGACTTTTTTGTGTAAGATAGACTAATATAAGTACTACCATACCATTTTTGTTTCTGCACTTTTTCCTTGTAAATGAAAAAAAACGGATTCTCGTTCGTGACAAGATGGACATTCTTTATTACTTCTTGGCTATAGTTTTCTTAGAAAATTATTCCATTGTTAATAGCTTATAACGAACCAATGTAGGATCTGATCCAAGATCTGCCGTTATCCCGACCGTTTCTCTTTTAACCAATAAATAATACGGAAAAAAAAATATAAATCATTTACACTAAAGAAGAACGAAGTTCGTTTCTAAAAATACACATATTTTTTGCAACTTCACTATAATCACAATTTCTACAGGCGTATAAAAGTCGTTTTTGAGACTTTTTATATCAGAAAAAAAGACGTTTAAAAGGTTATAAAGATGATACCTTTTCTTCCTTAGGATAAAGCATATTATTACATTCTATACAGTAATGAAATGTGGCCATTTCAAACTGTTTTTTTGCTCGTCTAGAGCAAGCTGAGCGACGAAGAGTTTTTCTTAAGGTTAAGGTGAATAAAATATGATCGAAGGGTTTAACGTCAAAAAAAAGTATAAAAGTTTTAATGAGACAATATGAGATAAAACGTCTATCAAATAGCCTTTTTAGAGGATCTTTGAGGTTATTTAGGTAAGAAAAGATCTATTTTGTTTTTTTCCGGGTTTAAAAATGACATATTTATGATATTTAAGTAAATCTCAATGGATACGAAGATCGTCTTCACTTAATCCCAAGATTTTGGGGATAATTGATCAAATAAGCTCTTTAACATTGAAAGAAACGGCGGATCTTGTATCTCAGTTAAAGGTTTTGGGCTAGAAATTGGTTTTTTTGAGGGTTAACTAATCTTTAAGTAATAAATGTAGATCCATTTAAATGTTCAAGATATTAGACCTATTATTGCACCAACAGTAGCGGCAGAATCAGTGCCAGTACCTGAAGAAGAAAAGAAACAAGTGAAGGAGAAGGTTTTTTTTAATATAAAACTTGAATCATATGATTCAGCAGCCAAAGCAAAGGTTATAAAAGAAGTGAAGTCAATGTTAGGTTTGAATTTAGTTGAAGCGAAAAAATTTGTAGAAAGTAGTCCTAAAATTCTTAAAGAATCAGTAAATAAAGAAGATGCTGAAAATATCAAGAAAACATTCGAGGAATTAGGTGCAAAAATATCTTTAGAATGATTTAAAATAAATTAAAATTTTTATGATAATGTCATAGCTGCTTTCATATTTTCTTCTTCCATAAATTCAAAATCATATTCATCTAAGGACGATGTAGTTTCCCATGCATTTTCTAATTCGACATTCATATCAATATCCCCTTCAGGAATTACCCATATATTTTCTCGTAATAATTTGTGCTATATTTGATTTTCATTTGATTTTCATTTGTATTTCATACTTACTCTTTCTCTATCTTCTTCAATTCTTTTAAAAATTTCTTCTTTAGAAAAAATTGCTTTATTTTCAATTGTATTAGGATTTCTACTACAATTAACATTTTATTTACTATTAAAACTCTATATACTTGTCATCTCTTTCCGATAAAGATGCTTCTATTTCATGGAAATCTTGATCATTTATATACGCTTTATTTTTTAAATTCTCAATAACCTATATATATATATATACATATATGTTAAAGAAAATTATTTATAAAAAAATTAACCTTTCTAACTGCTGATACATTTGCTGCTCCTTGAGGTCCCGGTGGTGCTACTGCTCTAACTATCTTTCCAATATCTTTACGTATCATTGAAATATAGCTATTACATCCATTTCTATAGCTATAATCACAGAGAGTTTCTAAAAAATATATAATATTCACTCTTGAGTTCAGAGAAGACTAAATACAATCAGATATATCCATTTATTATTCCTTTTTAATAACATGTTCAAGTTCTTCTAATACACAATTATATAGATCCTCATCTAAATCTTTATGTCGAAGTGCAAATTGTGCTGTTTTAATTTGAGATTGTTGACTAGCTGTTAATTTTTTAAGTATTTCTAGGAATGCAAGACGTCCTTCAAATGGATCAAGAACCATATTTAATTCTTATTTATACTTGATTCTTATATATATATTCAAGTTTGCCGAAATTTCACTAAGAAAACGATAAGATAAGAGATAAGATAAAAGATAAGATAAAAGATAAGATAAAAGATGAGATAAGATTGAATTTATTAATATATTTTTAATAAGAATTTCTTTTCTTTCATAATTTTATATTATTTTTTACATAAAAAAGTTCTTTTTTATATATAAAAATTGAAGATATTTTTGAAGTCATAATTTCCATCATATGGGCTTTAATGAAGGTCGACTTAGATATTTTTTAAGGAATGGATAAAGTTGAATGAATATGAATTATAAGTAAAATGGTCTTTGAAATTGTACCAGAAGATCTTGAAAACCATCCTCCGGCAGGGTTTTTGTATTGTTTTGAGAATGGAATTGGTACGGAATCGGCAGAATGGAATGTTATTCAAGATTTCCCGTATGTTGATGAAGAATTATTAATTACGGAAAATACAGTAGTTTGGTCGGTATCAGGACATGTTAAACGATCGTTTGATTTCTGTGATGATGGACAAAAAGTTACGCATGCTTTATTTACGTATTTTGTGAATCCGAATGATAAAATTGTTGATAGACAAGATTCGTCATATGTTCCTCCATTAGGGACAAGAACGAGGTCATTGAATCAATTAAACGCATCAGTACATGATTCTAGACAGGGTGGTAGTAAGGAATTTGTTAAAGGTGGGTTTAGAGGGGATTGGATAAAATAAATGGTTATGGAACATAAATAGATATATCACCGCGGTTATCTAGAGCATTGGTTGTTATTTTGGAAGATTTAGCGCATATTTTTTCATTAGATGGGGCATTATGGGTTATTCATGTTCCATTTCGTGTTCGACGAGTTTTAGCAGCACCACGGGGATTGATACTTGAACGATCACTAGAAAATTTGGAATTGGAGATACGATCGTATGAAACATTACTTACGACACATTCACCTAGGTTTTTTTCATTAATTGGACCGTTAGATGAATTTGGTCTTGTAGTAACAGATGGAATTTATTCATTTGGGGCACATGATGAATTAGTTTATATTGGTAAGGGAGAGGATGCATTGTTAGTGACAAGGAATCCAGAAAAAATGCAGATAGATATATGGAAGTGTTCGTATGTTGCGCAAACAGAACACTACCTTCCTCGTCCGATGACAGCAGCATCATCATCAAGACGACGATCTTCATTTGGGAGTTCGAATTATAATGATGGAGATTCAGATATTTATGGAGCATCTTTAAAATCGGAATTGAATATTACATTGGATAGAATGGCTTTTGTTAATAATAATCAGCTTCCAGCATTGTTAGGTGAATCAGAAGGACTTAGAAAAGAAATTTTTGTGACACATATTGAAAGTTTTCCATCTCATTGCACGTAAGACTTTTTTTTTATTTTGTACATTTTTTAAGTATTAAGTGAACATGCTTTTACGGTATTTTCTATTCGTCCATCATCAGGAATAGAGGTGGTTTCAATATTTAATAAAGAGGAATCGAGTCTTTTGATTCTTACATTTAGGAGTGATGAAGGATTTTCTCCTTATTTAATTGATTCTGTTACAATTCCAGCTATTGGTGCTGCACCTCTTATTTCTAAATCTATAGAAAAAATACTTGTATTTTCTATAAAAAAACCTATTCTTAAGTTATCAGCACCATGTTCTCCAGATATAGAGGTTAAGATTAATTGTACTCAGGAAGAGATAACTGAATTGGTTCATCCTGTTGGTTGTAAAGTATCTTTAAGAAGAACTGACGGTACTTTAAGAAGATTTTTTTTTGATTTGGAATATAAGACTGTTTTGGTTCAAAAATGTTTTGAAGCTTTAAAGGTTATTTTACCGTATAGGGATTTTGAATACCTTCGTGCTGCTTTTCTGCATCAAAAATCTAATAATTCAAATTTCAATGAATTTAAATCGTTTTCTGTTGTATTGTTTTCTTGTTTCTTATCTGGTAGTATGCAACCTAGGCAAATTCAAGATAAAATAGATGAAAATTTTTCTAATGAAATAATTGAAGTGATTGCTGAAGCAAGTACTTTTTGTCGAAAAAATGATATGTCAATTATGATGAAACATTTGTCTTCTATTTTACAATGTTTGCATATTTTAAGTGAAGATTTTAAATTTGATTCTGCTACATTATTGTATTGTCGTCAAATAATACCTGTAAAAGCACAGATGGCATATTGGTTAGGATGGTCTGCATTTGTAGAAAAAGATATGTTATATGATGAATTTATGGCAACTATAATATTTGATAAAGGCTAGTATTTTGTAATAAAAACATTAATTTAACATATATTAGTACGACTTGAGCATCTTAATGTGCTTCAATTTCCTTCAGAACCATACTCTGTTTATCATAATTTAATCTTGATGTTAAAAGGAAAAAAGTATATACCAGTTCCATCTATTATGAATATTGCAAAGACCGATTTAGAATATAAGAATTTAAACTATATACAGGGATCTAAGACGATATCATTGCTTTCTAAGACTATTTTCTCTCTGTACGAAACTTTACTTAATCCTAAATTACCTCTTCAAGATGTTGTTACACAAATGGTTGAACATAAGTTTACTTTAGATCATTTAAAACGTTTACCTGATGCTGTTTCTATACCATTGAGAGATGCAGTAAGATATTCCCAGGAGAATCCTTTACCAAACTGGGGAGTTGAAGCACTTCGACTAATTGGTAATATTTTGTTAACTTTTAGAAATAATATATAACCATATTTTAGATAGGAAGGATCTTGAATATCATATTACTGTTGGTGATGAAAGACCTCGTCGATTTCCTCCAACTCTTTCTGTATTTTTCTGTTTAATGTTTAATATGTATTAATTTCTTTAGGTAAAAACTCCTGAACCAAAAGATACTAAAGCAATATGCCAAGAAGTCACAGATCCTGAGATCCACATATCCTTTGATCGTCTTTCTGAGGAAGATCATAAATTCGTTACAAAGCTTATATTTCGTGAAGATCGGCGTTTACAAGAGGTTTCAAAGCTTCTTCAGATATCTAAACAAGCTGTTGTTAAAATTGATTTGCGTCCTGAAATGAGGTAAATTGTTTGTTAATATTATATTTAATAATTATATTTTTAGTGAGCATGAAATTGTGGTTGTTCAACAAACACTTGCTCAAATCATTGCCATTCGAACTTTATCTATTCCTGTTGGTAGAGGATTGTATTTTTATAGCTCAAAAACTCCATTGCCAACTGAAAAATTCCCAATACCAGGTTTCAATTTTACTGTAAAAATAAAACCCTTGCAAGTTCAAGTACCTGTTGTAAAATCATTTCTTGATGATCAAACCACAACTTGGGGATTATTTCATAACGGAACTGCAGCTGCTTTAAGCATTACTAATGATACTAAAGATATTAGTGCATCGTGGATTGTATATAATAAGCCAAATGAGCTTTCCAATAGGCACGCTGGATTTTTATTTGGACTTGGATTAAATGGGCACTTAAAATCTATGGCAACTTGGCATGCTTTCAATTATTTAACATCAAAACATACAATGACATCCATTGGTCTTCTTCTCGGACTTTCTGCTTCTTTTATAGGAACCATGGATCCTACTATAACCAGATTGCTTTCTGTGCATGTTTTAGCTTTACTACCTCCAGGATCATCTGAACTCAATTTATCTACATTGACTCAAACGGCAGGAATTTTGGGTATAGGATTATTGTATTATAATACTCAGCATAGAAGAATGAGTGAAGTTCTTTTAACAGAAATTTCGAAATTTTCTCTTCCTGGACAAGAGTTTAGAGATGAAGGCTATCGTCTTTCTGCAGGGTTTGCTCTAGGATTGATTAATATTGGAAAAGGTCAAAATTTAAAAGGTTTACAAGATCTTCATATTGTTAAGAGTCTTGTATCATGTATTTCTGGTGGTAGACATAAAGAAACTTCACAAAACTTGGACATGACCTCTTCTGGTGCTGTCATTGCTTTATCTTTAATATATTTAAAAACTAATGATGAGGATGTTGCTAAAAAAATAGAGATACCTGCAACCGAGCATCTTTTAGATTATGTAAGGCCTGATATCTTATTATTAAGAGTGTTAGCAAAGAATTGTATCTTATGGGATAAAATTGATTGTACATTTGAATGGATTAAAAATCAACTTCCTCCTATATTAAGAGATGAAGTATTGCTAACCGGTAAAACTAGCCTTGATTCAAACGACATGGCATTGTTTAATATAATTTCTGGAGCTTGCTTTAGTATGGCCCTTCGTTTTGTGGGGACAAGGAATGAAAATGCTAAAAAATGTTTATTACATTTTTTAGATAAGTTTATGAATCTTTCCACTCTAATGGGTACGTTATTTATTCTACACTTTCTCTCATTAATTTAACAGCGTCTACTCATGATCAAAAGCTTTGTAGAACTACTGTTAAGAATTGTTTAGATGTTTTATGTATATCATCTAGTTGTGTTATGACTGGTTCTGGTGATCTAGATGTTTTACGAAGACTTAGAAAATTGCATGGGCGTACAGATGCTGACATAACATATGGAAATCATATGGCTACACATATGGCTATTGGTATTTTATTTTTAGGAGGAGGACAATATAGTCTTGGAAATTCAAATCTTTCAATAGCTTCTATGATATGTGCATTTTATCCACAATTTCCAAATTCTGCATGGGATAATATTTCACATCTTCAGGCATTTCGTCATTTATGGGCAATTTCTTGTGAATCAAGGTGTTTAATTGCTAGAGACGTTAATACTTTACGACCAACATTAGTACCTATTACTTCTGATTCATCTCATACATTTTATGATGCAAAAAATTCGGTTGCTCCTTGTTTATTGCCCCCACGTGATGATATATCTGTAATTCGGACATTAAGTCCTCAATATTGGCAAGCTTCTCTAGCTTTACATACTATTCCTATCTCTCCTCAAAAAACATCAACAATGTATATTTCCAAAAGAGTTATGGATTCACAAGAATGTTTCAATCTTGAACCTTTATCTCAAGCAAGCATAGAAAGATCTATATTAAAAATGTTTTTATCTGAATCATTACTTTCAAATGAATTTTATTCTATGATATCAAGATCAGAGCTTTCTTCACAGTTTATTGTTGATCGTTAGTATAATTGATTCTTTTTATATCTTTTTTAATCCTATAAATAGGTGCATTGCAACAAAATGAAGCAATTAATAGTAAATTACTTTTACTTTCTGATATAAAAAAAGAAAATTCTGCTAAACTTTATGGAATTCAACTTCTTCTTGTTTATGCTGAAAACATATCTACTGGGCCTCTTACTTCTAAGTATTCTGGCTTTCGAAATAGGTTTCTATCAGATGATTTTCTAAGTCTTTTACATCTTAGAACATGGAATGCTTCACAATATTAAATTATAATTTTAAAGACAAGTACAAATTAATGTTATTAGGATTTTATTAAAAATAATATTTCATGGGCTGATCTTTTATATGATTATTTCTTTAATTTTTTTCAAATATTTTTAAAATCATTGTTATCATAACGATTATAGATAAATGGCTAGTCTTGTAAATTATAGTGATTCTGATGATACAGAAGAGTACTCTGAGGAAAATACTCATAAATCTCTTAAACGAAAGGAATTAGATGATGTATCAGATTCTTCTTTTTTTCCGGTTTTAACAAAAGAAAATATTTTGAAACTTCCAAAGATTGATAAAGAATATGAACTTGAAGATACAAGAGAATCTTCTTCTTTAAATAAAAATGCTGTGGAAGGGCATGTTTCACTTTCTTCATTGCTTCCAGCACCCAAAAATGATTTAAAAATGGCTCGGTTATCAAGAAATAATGGAACAAGAAAATTGAATATAAAAATTGAAAATAAACATGATTCAACGATTAAAAATACTAATTCTAAGAATGAAAATATGAAGAATGATTATGTGCAGTCAAATGTCTCTTTATTTTCATTAGATATAGAAAAGTCAAATATAAATGAATATGAGCAAACTATGTCAAATTCTTCATCTTATACACCAATGCTAGTTAGAAAACAAGATCACTTGAATAAAAAACGTAATGTTAATATTGAAAATGTGAAATTAAGTGAAAAAAAACAACAAAATGTTCATTGCAGTGAAATATATCGTGTAGACAAAGATATAGATGTTTCAGAATACAACTATCCATTAATTGAAGAAGAAACTCAGATTTCTCGAAAAGAAAAAGATGTTGAATCTGTAGGGGATCTGTGTAGATTTATTTTATACTAATTAATAGATGAGGATTTATGGAAAACGTAGATCAGAACAAGGACCTGTTAAATTTTTAGAAGTTAATGCAGAAGAAGAGTATAATGCAAATGAAATTATGAAGAGAAAGGGCATATTAGTGGAAGCTGTATGATTTTTTTTTTTCTTTAATATACTAATTATTTTAAGCCACAACCTATACGAGCAATAGGTGCTGGAAGACATCAAATTACAACTTTACTTAACTCTGCTATATCTCAAAGAGAAGTCTTCGAGGAAGCATTTGCTGCAAATAAGGAGACTAAAAGGTTTTTGTATATTAATTTTATTGTTTTAATTTAATCGCTTTTAAAGGCAATCTGGAAAAAAATATGGATTTTAATAACTATGGGTTAATTTTTTCTACGGTTTATGTCATTGAATGCAATATGAGCATGTTTTATGTATATGTTGATCCTTTATATTGGATTGTAACCTAAATTATAGTTTTCTGATATTATTTAATATTTTTAAAAAAAATTAATGAAATTATTTTATTATATATTGGATAGCTTTTATATAAATTTAGAAGAGAAATACTAGCTCATTTGCATTGTTATATAGATCCTATGCGTTTGTAATTATATATTAATAGCTCTTTTAATGAGATCCTTTTAAAAGTTAATATATATCAATAAAAAAATTAATAATCTAACTTTTTTCGTTATTAAACCTTGCAAATAGCCATTAGTAGTAAACAATATTAAGCGTATTCCCTAAAATGTTATATTAAAAATAAGAATATTAAAAAAATGATATACCAGTTTTTGGAATAAATTAGTAGTTAAATGTACTGTGCTTTTCGGAGATAAAGTAAATGGTGATTTATTCATCCATGGTCCAAGATCTACATGTATTGATGGATCTAGAAACCGAGTATCAGAAAAATAACAATATCTGTTTTTAGGATAATCATTGAATTTTTCTATATAAAAATTAGAATATTTTGATATTTATAAAAATATGTTAATTTCCTAAAGCAGATTGCAGATTAGAATGTGAAATGTATCCTATAAGAATTGCATTATCATTATTATTTATTACAGGAAATCCCCTGTAAGTATAATTTTTAAGTAAGAGTTCTATATAATTTAAATTATTTATTAAAAAATAAAGGGAATGACCTAAAGTTTTTATTGTATGTCCTTTAGCAGTAATAGTTACTAAATCACTCGTTTTTGTGATATAATTTTCTATAATATCATGTTTAATATCTATCTCTTTACTTAAATATGGATAATTGTTTATATAAATCCAGTTTTCATAAATTCCATATTTTCCAAAAGCATCTCCAACCCATTTACTTATTACAACTGCAATTATGATTGGTAGTAAATATGTTAAAGCGCCTGTCAACTCGAACATAATAATTACCAAAGATACTAATATATTAAAACATACATATTTATTAGATAATGTAAAAGTTACCTGTCATTCTTGTTACTCCAGCAAGTGTAGACGCTGCACCTATAATAGAATATATTTCTGGTGCAATACATTCTACATTGGGTTTACATGCACTAAAAATTCGTGCAGAAGGTACTTTATGTTGTATATATTGAATAAGTATACCAATTAATCTTCCATATAAAGCTCCTATAACCATGGACGGCAAAATAATTCCAGAAGGAACTTGTAATCCAAAAGTAATAATACAAAGAAAAGTTCCAAATATTGCTGCAAGTAGAAGCATAAGCACCGGAGATAGAATATTATCTATTCTATAAAAAATGTTAAATATCTATTATAAGACAAATCAAGTTATTACACGCATAAACCAAGAGTGTCATTTTCATTACATTTTTGAAATAGTTTTGCCAAAAGTTTATAATGATGAGATCTAGTCGATTAACAGTTGTATTTTTAAAAAATGCAATTATTACCTCATAAAAACATTTGAATAATTAATGATACCTGTTATAAATACAACAACTAGTACTTCTTGAATAGGGAATCTTGATAACTGAAATTTGGATTTCAATTTTAGTATTTTTTCATTCAATTTAATAAATGCATGTCCATATAATCCCTAATATTAAAATTAAATTTAGAAAAAAAGAAATATAAAAATCACTACCCCAATTACTCCTAATAAAGAAATTGGAATAAGCTCAAAACTGTACCACTCTATTTTAAAGAAAGCCTGATATATAACAAGTCTTCCGTCCCTAAATGGATTTACAAACTAAATAAAGTTAATAAAAATATAATTAATAGTTTATAACCTTCAAAGACATTGTACCGATCATTGCACATACAAAACTCTTCCACATGGTTTTATCAGGGAAATAATATGATAATTGCTAAAATTGTCAAGTTTAAAAAATAATGGCAAGCAAAAAAAAACCTCAAGGGTGAATAAAACACCACCAATAGGTGCTCCAAATGCTACGGAAGTTCCTGCTGCTACTGCTGCTGACAATATTTCCCTTCTTTTAGCTTATACATTTTTTAATTCGCGATAACTCATTTTGAATTGTATGAAATACCTTCATTTCCCTTAGAAGTACTAAAAATCCTGAAAAAAAAGTCTGCGCAGCAGCAGGCTATATGAATTAAAGGTCCTTCTTTACCAATCCATAAACCAGATGCTATAGAAAAACACTATGAAAATAAGGATAGAGTTGGTTAATCGATAATATATACATACTACACTTAAGCTTTTGATAACAAGTATCCATTTTCCGAAAAAATCATGCATAATAAAGCCACTGAGTATAGTTTTTATCTCAGATATCCCACTTTCTTTTGCATAATATGCATAATTGATAACTAAAAATGATGAAATGACTCCAAAAAGCGTCTTTTTTTATTATTTTAAAATCTCGGTTTTAAAATAATACATACAACAATAGTAATATAAAACAAATATGAAATAACATATGACTTCTTTTTCGATGAACTCATTAAATCTCCCCATAAGATCCAATCGCTACATGTCTTTTCTAATCATTTTGTCAATATTAATATAGATATATATATAATGAATAAATATACCATCATCCGGAATCCAACAACAAAAAACACGATTCAAATAAAATCCTGATTTACAATACCCTTCTCTAATATCCGAAAGCCATCCAGAAACAATATCTATAAAACCTGATATAACCCCAATAGAAATACCTTTTTTTCATCAAAAAAAAAATTCCCATTAAAAATTCAATTTCTATATTACCCGTAGCAATAATAATAAACCATACTTGATTAAATTCCCAAAAATGCGCTATTTTTCTTCGAATACCTTTTAGTTTTCGAAGCTTTTCTTTTCGATCTCTTTCTTTGGTATTTTCGTCTATCCAATCTAATTATCTTTTAAAAAAAATAAACCCTCATATAATATCCTCTATAACCAATCGTATAAAAATTATTTTTAATCCATTCTAGCTCTTTTTTCTTTGGTAATTTTAACGATATTTTACTTGCACTTGATGTCATTGAAATTTCATCATTTTTCTTCTTTTTTTCAAAAAAAAACGGCTTGTCCAGACCCGCCTCTTCCAATTCATTAAGAAATTCCTCTTTTTCCTCTTTTTCTACCCTTTTTTCTCCTTTTTTTTCAAAAAAATCCCTTTCCCTATTTATTAACAAATACCCTCAAATATCTTATTTACCCGTTTAAATCTTGTTCCATATACAATTTCTTCCTCTCATTAACACGGTTGACCAATTTCTTATATGATCCTTCTGTTATTCCTGGATTTTCTGCCAATTCCTCCGCATACATCTTTTTTGACGTTTTATATGCGTCGATTTACCCTCGAAATCGCCCTTCATATCTTAACCCCTCCTGTCTATAAATATTCCATTAACCTTAATTTATAGAAAATCTGGCCTCCACACAAATGTTTCTAGAACCTTCTAGAAGGTTCTAGAATGTTCTAGAAGATTCTAGAAGATCTGAAAAAAACTATAAAATGGCCTTGTTGTATGATTCAAAGTTTGTATAATTCCTGATATAAATAGGAGATAAACCGTATAATAGGTTGTTAATTGAGGAATTACGTACTAAATATCTGGAAAATATCAATGATAGTATTGGTGAGAGGGTAATTGGCGGGATAAATGCGGTATCAAACAAGAAAAAACGGGTTGGACTGAGTGAAAATGGGGTTGATCATGGAAAAGTTGTTTCATTTTATCTTTCAGAAGAGGATTCAATGTCAAGTTTTAGAGAGGAGGAGGTTTTTGATGAGGAGAGATCGATTGATATAGTTTCCCAAGGATGTGATATAGAAAGATCAGTTAAACGAAAACAGCGGTATGCGAATGAATCGTTCTCAGTTTTATCGGAAAAGAATGCGTCAAATATTGGGGATAGTGATTCAGATGATTTGGAGCTGTGTTTTTTGTGATAATTTTATCATATAATTGATTATTGGGTGTTAATATTAGATAGGAAATATTTATCTAAGGAAAAGGTTAAAGTTAAGTCTAAAAGTATGGATGTGTTCAGAAGAAGTTCAAGAGGAGATTTAATGACAATGATGAAGAATCAATGTTTAATTTCTGGTGAGTAAATATTTATTTTTAAAGAAAAATTGATATAGAAGGATCTGAAAGTAAACATTCGAGTACACAATATAAGGCTCAATCAAGAGAGTTAAAAATTATAGAATTAGCTAATTTTTAATCTAATATTATTTTAAATAGATCGTTAGAAAGTATATATCGAAACGATACGAGTTATAATTCATATTTAAATTCTATGGAAGAAGGATCTTTAAATTTTTCTAGAAAAGTATACCCATTTTGCCGATCGCCATCTGATGAGAGATTATCATTGTTGACTATTTTGATAAAAACGGGAACAAAGATACAAACGAATCCTCTTGCTGATATATTTGCATGTTTTTCAGGGAAAGGTGATCTTAATCCTTTAAAGCTGAAGATATATCGTCCGTCGGGGAAAGATCCTAAAAGACCTTTTTCTGTTGTTATAAAACGAATTGCTACAGTTTCTGATGTAATTGGTTTTTCTTTGTATTGTTATATAGAGCAGAAGATAGAACCAAGGCTTACTAGTGATCAATTGAATCCAAACATGTGGACTTTACGCATTGTAGAGGAAGATGGTGAATTGGATCATGATTTTCCAGGTTTTTTAATATATATTCTTATTGAATGATGATTGATTGATTGATTTTTTTTAGCATTAGATAGAGTAAGATTTTTATCAAAATTTGGTTTTGATGAATTTGCTCTTGTTGAAGCAACATCTGCACAATGTTTTTTCCTATGAAAGTTTGATATATTATTAACATTTTTTTAGTTTTAGAGAACGAAAAAATAACTCCATTTAACTTTAAAATTAATGTTGATCATTTTAATTCTTAAATAAAAATCATTCATTATACGATACATTCATGACGTTTTCTTTATATATATATTTGAAAGAAATGATTGTTTCTAAAGATCTCGTTTTCTCTAATGCTTGTGATGATTTAATTTTATTCTTGTATTGGAACTTTGGTGAATTCAGTGTTAAGTGTTATGAATAAAACATATATTATCGATATTTTGAATGAAATATATAAAAGAAATCATTTATATCAGACTAGGTTTATTATGCGTGTTGTACAAACTGATATTTCTTTGTCAAATGGTTCTATAACTGATGATTTGAAAAATTATTGTGAATTAGAATTGATTGAGCCAAATTATTTTATGATTCATAAATTCAAAAGGCTTCTATTTAATAATTCTTTAGTGTCATTTAATAAAAATAAGGAAAATACTTCTTTAATATATTGTTTTTCTAGTTTTTTTGAATGAGACATTCAAGTTTGATGAGAAACAACAGGAAATTTATTATATTAAACAAAGTATCATGTGGTTTATACAAGGAAATATCATATATGGGTTCTTAGAAAAGTTTAGTCAATTATTAAAAAAGTATATGACTTAGAAATGTCATTTTATCTTTTTTTTATGAGGTTTGTTTTTCATTATATGTTTTTCTTTATTAATTTTTAGACATTGTAAGCTTGTATTAGTTATCAATGGTTATTATATTCATACTATGTTTTTTATTTCTTTTTTATTAAAAGGTAAAGATTTTAACAAGATATAAGTTAGAGAATTTCTGATCTACCTAAAACGTTTAATTGCATTTTTTTATGTAATAAACGTCAATTTCATATAAAGCTGAGTATTTTACAATGGCAATTATTACTTGTAAAAAAATGACAAGTTATTCATTTTTAACTTATCTTTTTTTCTTCAAAAAGATATTTATATAGTTTACGGCTACCAAGGCAAAATAATCAGAAAGGCAATACTTTTTTTCTGTTTTAGAAGCTACTAATTTTTTTTAATAGATATGATCTTCATACATCTACATAAGATATATCTTCGATTATTACAAAAAATTAATAAATCTATTGATTCTATTATTTAATCATTTACTAAAACACTGTGGATGTTTATTTTTTAAAGACAAAAAGGACTCTATGATCTATATCTATATAGATATAGATATATGTTTTTTATAAGATAAACTTAATTATATCGTTAATAAATTAGAGTGGTATTCATCGTTAAAATTAAGATAATTAAGGATTAATTAAAAGATATAGTGCGATGATTGAAAAAGAAGACACTATTATACAACATCTCTTACCAGTTCCACATACAATTGTAACATCTGGTATGACCCGCTCAATTCACCTTCAAGATTGGAGTGTAGTGAGTAGGAAAGATTCTATATTGACATCTCAAGAAATTCATCAATTTTCCCTTCGTTTGTCTATTCCTATTCCTGAAATGACATTTGGTAAAAATAGTGTGGAGATAAAACATAGTTCAGGTTGGAAGATGATATTTACAGCCTATGATGCATTAGAAGGAGTAGATAAGGCAGGAAAAGATGTTGTTCAAGTATCATATGCAAAAGAATGGGTAAAGAATAGGTATGTTATATAGTGATTATGGGGTAGCTATGTTTATTGAGAGTGAATGAAGAGATAAGAGTTGTGATAGTATTGAGCCTGGTAAATCTTATGATTGGACATTTACGACGACATATAAAGGCACTATATGTTATGAGGTAAGATTATATTATGTGTTATGGAGATGTTTTAGTAATATATTAATAATTAATTGTAGGATGGTAATAATATGGCTAATAGTGAAATAATGTTAATTAGGGCAGTAAAGAATGAAACATTAGCTATAAAAGCAGAAAAAGATCAGGCTAAGAATATAGATGATGTAGATAATGTTGTAGAACCTGTATTTATGCCGTCTGATGAAGTAATTCCTCTTGATAAATTAAAACGACAAGATCCTATTTTATTTTTTGAAGAAGTTGTTCTTTATGAAGATGAATTGTCTGATAATGGAATGTCTTTGCTTAGTATTAAAGTGCGTGTTATGCCGGAGCGTCTTTTATTACTACAGCGTTTTTTTATGAGATTAGATAATGTTATGTTTCGAGTTCGTGATACTCGTGTATACATTGAGTTTTCTACAGGAAAAGTGCTTCGGGAATACATTGAAAAGGAAGCTTCGTATGATGAAGTTCTACAGGTATGTAGGAATGCTTTTTTAACGGGCTTTAAAATAGGCATTGGGTGAAATTTTGAGCTATAAATTTAAGAAGAAATAATATACACACTTTGAATTAAATAGAAGAATGGTTAATATTCTTTTCTGTTTATTTTCTTCTTTTTAAATATGCTCTTTTATCTTATTTACCTTTGTTTTTTTATGCTTTTTTTAAAGCTCTCGGTTTTCTAAATTTTTGATTATAACAATTTCTTAATGTATATTATAGAAGGTTTCGTCACAGCAGAACGACTTTGGTATTTTTTTAACTGATCCGGTGTGGGTGGCTTCAGTGTTACCAACTCGTGAAAAAACATTGGAAGCTTTAAAACTGGGTTAGAGTTCTCTTAATAATTGTTTTGCTTGTTATTGTCACTTTATTTGGAGAAAAAAATATTTGTTATTGTGGTTTTTTGATTATTTTTTTAAGATTTTTATTTTTCAGGTAATATTAAAATTATTTTTTAAAAGTATATTTGGTAATATTTGTAATTGTAGACATAATTGTTAATTTCTTTATGTCTTTTGTTTTATTATTTTACTCACGTTATTCTTCGCTTTCTTGTAATACACATCAATGGATTCGGCACATGCAAATGTTATATTGGACGGATCAGACTTTCATGAAATTTCATGTAAGTTTTGTTTATTTTGTTTTTATTGACATTTTCTTTTAGTCTCATAAAAGATTTTATATTAATTTTATCAAAAAAAATCATGATGGATGCTTTTTTATATCCAAAAAATTATATAAAAAAGATGTTCAAAACATTCCTAAAGGTTTACTGAAGAAAACAATATCTATGTTTTCTTCATTATCAAGTGTTTCTTATGATAAAAAAGATAATGTTTTCTCTCCAATTCTTCGGAAAATTGCTTTATGGGTAGCATCTACATTGGAATCGTATTCTCTTCGTAGTCTAGGTATTCGTAATACAAAAATGCTATATAAACATTGTACTGAACAAGGCATTTATGATTTGGATCGGAATTTTTGGTATTCGAGTATTTAGTTGGTATTTTTTGGTAAGAAAAACTGATGTTGTTACTTAGAACATGCTCTTCCACCATCTTTTCAAACATGGTTTCATATTACTTTACTGCATGTTTGGATGCTGATGGTGCGTATACGTGCGTTTCCTGAAAAAATCTGCAAAATCTATCAGCAAGAACTTGTCAATCATTTTTTCGAAGATTGTGAATATAAAATGATAAATGAATACAAGGTATGGAAGGAGATTGTGTTTGAAATTGCTTACGTAATTAGATACATAATGAACGGATTATTTCTTTTTATATGAAAGATTTGTTAATGCAGTTTAATGGTTCTGTATTTGCATATGATGAAGGTATGTATAGAAACGATTGTGTGCTTGCTTTGGCATTGTGGAGGTAAATAGAATGGTTTTATTCTAAGCAATTAAATTGTTGATTGATTATAGAAATTTATATGCTGGAAAAACAAAAATAAATGTCTCGTTTCTCGCTGCATCTGTCTTATACGTACGTAATACGTTGTTTGAGCTTGATAATATGTTGGATGAAGATGTTCAAAATGCAAATATACGTTTTTTACGGATTTCAGATACCTTTGAATTAAAAGATTAATAATTAAATTTTGTATATTAAAAATAAATATTTTGTAGTACAATATTTCGAAAATATTATATAATTGATCTTATTCATCCTAACTGCAAAGCAGTTTGTCTACAATGCTAGATATTGTAGGTGAATAGTGTTTCTATATCTGTCAGTTTTGTAAAGAGACAGAGAAAATCTACCTTTAGTAAAACTAGTTCCCAACATGTACTTAAATAAGGATTGCTTAAGTCAGGATTATCAATTTCTCCATTATATATTCCTTCTCCATGTTTTTCATTAGAATTTAAAAAACAATTAAGTTTAGGATGCTTTTTGATCAGTTTTTGTATTAAATTTAAAGATTTTATAACAGATTTTTCAGGAAATCCAAGTAAGACTGTGAAAAGACGCTTTATAAAAGCAGCTGCTCTTAATACGTTCATGTTCTTATCTTGAAAAAAGATATAATCAAAACATTCTTCTAATATTTCTATTTCACTTAATCCAGTAAATGAATTGTCATTATTTGATACATTATTCTCCTGTTTTTTTGATTTATAAATAGCATCTGCTTCTATATATGTATTTAAAGACATAGGAATCATAATTGAATATAAATGAAAAATAAATGCTGATAAATCAAGATTTATAATTTCTTTCATTTGAGCTTCAATTGTAAGTAAAATATATAAAAAAGTAATTTTGTTTGCCTTGTTGAGAAAGTAGTTTTAAAGCAACAACTATGCATAAAAGACCTCCCTTTGTATTATTTTTTATTGATATGTTAAGACTGACACTAAATGTATTTTCTAACAATTCCTTTAATGATTTTAATAAATCTTCAAAAAAATCAACATTAATAAGATAAGAAAATCTATTATTTGTTAAAAATATTATAAAAAATATATTACTACTTTTCTAAGCCTCTTAAAGAAGCGTATATATGATCTATTAAACCATTTCGTAATATTTGAAAATATGTTGTAAATATTAATTTTAATATTTCTCCTTGAATCTTTACTTTTTCTTGATTATTTCTTTTGACACTATCCATTTCATTTTCTATTTCTTTTTTTTCCTTCTCTAGTTTTCTCATTTTTTTGCTCATAAATGGTTTTTCATGCTTTCTTTTGCGAGTATTAGTTACTTCTTTCTCTATTGTTATGTAGGATTGTGAAAGGAATTCCAATTCCAAAAAAATGTTCAAGATCTAATAATGTTAATGAGAATTTAGAAGTAAATTGAAACTATACTGTGTCATTGATATTATAATTCCTTCTTTTTATAGCAATTGTTAATTTTTTCACTATTTCTAAGCTTATTTTTCCTTGTTTATCATTCCTAAATATCTCTTCTATTGTTTTTTTGCACTCATTAAATGAAATATCTGTCTTTTTCAGTGTTAATTTAGTAGAAATTATGTCTAAAAGCATATCTCTACAATTAAAATGAGGTACTGAAAGTAATAAATGACAAATGCATGAAAATGATATATTAGAAAGGAATTGTTGTTGTGATTTCTCTGGAAACTTATATCCATCTAGTTTATTAATATTTAATCATAAATTGAACCTTTTTTTGTACCTTTAATTGTTCTTGATAGAAGAGATACATATTCCTTATAATTAGAAACTAATGATTCTTCAAATAAACGGCGCTTCTTTATCTCTTTAGAGACTGAAGATGCTTTTTCTATTTCTGTTAATGGACGAATAGAATATCTATAGTATATTAGAACAAATTCATATAAAACTGTTCAAAAAATTAAAACCTACCCAGGTATAATGTCTCTATACACTGCAAGTTGTGTTAATAATCCCAAACGTTGAATAGATATCGTATCTGACATTGTCATATCATACAATGTTTTCAATTGCTCAATCTATAGATAAATAAGCAATTAAACTTTATAAATCATACATATACACATTTTCCTCTGGGTTTTCAATAATTATTTGTGCTATTGATGCCAATTTCTCTTTTATATCCTTTTCTTCCTCTTTTTCTATTTTTACATCTTTTTCCTCATTTTTAACTTTAAATGTATCTGATGATTCTATAGATGCCTCTTCTATTCTATTTTTCCCTTTTCTTAAATAAATTTGTCCATCCTTTGTTTTGATTGGCAATCTAAATGTATCTAATAAATCTTCTTTCTGACCAAAACTACGATGCACCTTTTCATATGGCAATTCTTCCTCTTTATAATCTTCTCTATAATATCTATTTTTTGTATCTTTTTTCTTGTTTATTTCTTTTTTTTTTTTCATTTTCTTATTAACCCTTTTTAATGCTCCATTTTTCTCCAAAACTCCCGCTTTTTTCGATATTTTGCTTCTCCTAACTCGTTCTATCCTTCCCTTCCTGTTTTTACCCATCAAATCCCTTTTTTTCCCTCTTTTTTTTCACTTTATATTTATTTATTTTATTAAATTTATTTTATTAATCAAATAACCCTTAAAAAAGCTCTTTTTTCATTATAATCTATTAAGTCCTTATTAAATACATCTTTTCCTTGCTTTTTCTATATCTTCTTCTCTATAAATCTATAAACCCTCTACCCGTACATTTCTTGACGTCTGATCAACCTCACAAAAAATCAAGTATAGAAATATCAAGAAACAAGCGATACCAAGGCTTTTACATGTCTAATCCAGAGCTCAAGGTTATTCACAGACTGATTAGAAGGGTTGGATGTGCTTTCTACGAGGTAAAAGACCGTATTCTTCTTGATGCACTGTTAAAGCACTCTACGTAAAACATGATACAATAAAATACAAGAAGAATATGATTTGATGGAAGTTTAGACTAAGGGATGACCATTTATCAATGATTATGGACATGCAATTGAAAGAGGTTCGAAGAATATGTGGAGGACTTAAAGAAAATCGAATGATTGATGAGTATAATATAATAATGGGTTATAAAAGGGTTTAATTGGCATGGAAGATATCACAGCCGTATGGATACAAGGGAAGGATATTCACGGCCGTTTGGACGTACATATTATTACATTAATTATCGTACAACTATAGATGTAATTAAGTGGAAGATACATAAGCTGGTTAAGACGGTTGGAGATCGTATGAGGAAGGTTAGAGGGGTTAATGGAGTGTATGGAAGGGTTAAATGTGTTTTTTTAGGATTTTGATACAAAAGGTTATATATGTCAAGTATGTATGAGACAATATACAAGTTTAGATGCGGTATCTTTAGTAAGTCCAGATGCAATGAACTTTTTATGTATGGATTGTGGGGCGGTATTGGATGATAATGAGGAAAATTATGAGGTCAAGGATGATCAGGAGAGATTATCACGTTTAATGAGTCAAATGAGTAAAATTATATCTAGTTTGAAAGAAGTGGATGAAATTGTAGTTCCAGAGTAAGTTTTAATGGCTAATATTTTTTAAGAATGTTGTTAAAGATTTAATATATCAATTTGGATATATTAATTTGGATATATATACATATATATATATATTAAATTTATTTTCTTTCTAACTAATTCATTTAGAAACACTTTCATTATTGCAATAGCTAATGCTATTCCACCTGATTTGGACTCTATTCCTTCATCAGAATATTTGGAACCAGCACCTATAAACACTGTTACTACATCAACAGTATTTCAACCAACTACACCAGAACCTTCTATTTTAATTGACTTTGATATGGAACTTAAGTCTATGACTAAAGATTTTGGTAAAAAAGAAAAACAAGTATTTTCTCCAGCTGAAAATGATTTGCCTATATGGCATTCTCAATCTACAATTATGAATGACTTTATTGATACAGATAATATATATAAAAATATGAATTCAGAAGATTATCTTGATTTTCAGAATACAAGTTTGAAAGATAATGTTTCTAAAAAAGAGAAACCAGAAGCAATTGAAAATGGTAAATTATATAAATCATAAATTTTAAGGTGTTAATAGAAATAGCTGTTGCTGAATATTATGCTAAATTGCGTGCAAAGAAGAATACAGAGATAAAAGATGAAATAAAAGATGAGACAAAAGATTTAGATTATGATGATTTTGATAATGATTTTGAAGATGTTGATGGGTTAGAAATAGGTAGTTTTTCAAATGATGATGATTTAGAATTACAAAAACATCATTATGATGCAAATGGCCTTGAAAAATAAAGATCATATTAAAAAATACTAGTAATAATAGTTTTTATTTCTTAGATAAACAATTGGGAATTTTTTAAAGTAATAATTAAAAATGATAAAATTTAAAATAATTTGAATATATAATTTTTATTTAAGAAATTATACAAACTAAAGAATCTTCCTTGGATATTCGTCTGCTCTTCGCTTATATATAATATATGCTGATAATATTATGATTTGTATTATTATATTCATAATTATAAAAAATTTAATATTAGAATTAATTGATGTCATATTTTTTGCAATACTTTCTGATAATGAATTAAGCATTAAAATGGTTTCGTTTTTTTGTTTATATTCAAGTAAATATGAAATTGATTTTGACATTCTATCTGAAAGTATTTTAATTATTTCTTCTTCGTTTCTATAAACTTTGGATTCTGAATTAGATATAGTTCTAGATAAAGAATTCCTAAGTTTATAAATGTAAGATTCTTTATAAAAAGTGTATCTTACAAAGATTTGCTTATATTTTCTATAGTATTTTTGATTAATAATTGTTCGTTAGCTATATTTAATAGCTGATTTAAAAGAACAGGTAAATCATTTAATATCTTAGTCTTTTTCTATTAGAAATTTCATCTTAATTGTTTCCAAACATACAGAATTTGTGTTAAAATCATTGTTCATATTTTTATCTTCCTTATCAATTTGTGTATATATATAGTCATTCGAATCCTCATAATCGTATTTCATTTCATCTACTTCAAAACTATATATTTCGACAGATTCTGTTCCATTTTCAGATTGTGTCTTGAAATCTTAGTTTATATGATATAAAATGGGTCATAATTTACAGAAATCCCAAAATAATAATCAGATGGAAGATTTATTTGTGTTGTTTTAAAACATATACTATCATTTAATTCAATCTATAAACATTAGAAATTTTAAAAGAATAATAACATACTTGTATTATCCCTCTAGAATATAAAAGTTTAAAAGTTAATGTTTCATTAAAATTTTCGTAAATAATAGAACATGCTCCAAATGCTTGAATCCATGGGTCCTTAAATTTAGAATATTCCATTGACCCATCATTTAAATGCCCTCTAATAAAAGACTACCCTTTTTTTAAACAAATTTATAATCTATTAATCAATATACTTTTTTGTTTAACCCTATATTTAAAAAAACTCCAAGTCCATCCCAACGATCCTTAGACCCAAAAACAATTCCCGTCTTTCCTCTTTCTGACGTATACCTTAATAATAAGCTTATTTTGTCCCTCTTTTCTCAATAATAAATACCATAATGCAATTCCAAGGTTTTCCCCTTCTATCTCACTTAAACCCAGCGAAACTTTGGCATACCATTCCTTGTACCTATTCCTATGTTTTTGCCATATTGATCCCGTATTTAACTGGTATTCCGGTGATATAAACACTATTTTATTCCCTTCAACTTTTACCGACCCATATATGTCCCAATTTTCAAATAATGACTCTTTAAACGGGTAAAAAAGAGACATCTTCGAATCATATCCATTAATAACATTCAGAAAACATAATATCCATATAAAAATCATGCTTTATTTAGCTACAATTATTCCTCTTGTTTCTTTTCTCTTTTCTCTCCCAAAAATTATCCTTTTTCATCCGTTCAAAAACAATTCCTATATAATTTCTCCTAAATATTCTTATTATGTCCTTTTTATCCCTGTTTTTCCCTTTAATCCTTCTAAAAATCCCTTTTTCTCTCCTCTTATTTTTTGATACGTTGCCCCGTTGCCCTGGCAATCCTTCTTTGTATACAAAACACTCTCCTCTCACAACCTCTCGCTCCAACCTCCGTCCAAAATTCCATCTAAAAGGCTCTAAAAAGTGCCGAAATATGAGCTCTAAAACGGTTGAAAAACACGAAAATCTGGAATTGGATCTGAAATCAGGGGAAAAAGTTGCCTATGAGGAGTCAGAACGAGCAAATAGCCCTCTCAGTGCGTTTTTCTATGAGGTTAATAGGATTAGGCGTGGAAGTGATAGAAAGAAGCGTAGAGATGGTAATACGGGGAGTTACGGGCTGTTAATAAGCAGTTATAATCTTTCTAAGAGGGATTTGAGTGATATTAAAAGTGCAGCGTTTTTTAACCGAAGATATGGGGTGAATTGTAGTACAGAAAGTCTTAGAGAGGGATCGGGAGTGTATATGAGAGGGGATGGTATGTTTTCTAGGACTACGGTTGATTCAGGACAAATTTTTGATGAAAGTTCGTCAGTGAAAACATCGTTAGATTATGATATATATGATGGGAATAATGTATATAAGGTTATTGATTCGCCATTGAAGGCGCCTACTATTCATAATGTGGAGTATCGTGAATATTACGACAAGAATTTATGTATAAAAGAGTCAAATAATGAGGTTAATATTTTTGAGAACGAAGTTTCTAAAGTTCCAGAAAAAAAGTCTTTTTTTTTGAAAGGAGCACGTAAGAGTTCATCTGGGAAGGGATCTGAGAAGAAGAGTACACTTAGGTCTATTTCTTTGAATTTAAAAAATTTAATTACGTCAATTGTGTCGAATAATGATAGCCATGCTAAACAAGCGCAAATTGAGAATAAAGATGAAGGAAAATCATTACAGAAAGAGAATGAATTTTCAGATCCAACAGTATTGAAAACAGAAAATGTTTTAGGGGGGAATTTGTCTAATGAAAAAAGAGATATGACAAAAAGTAGTTTCTCAGAGTTTTATAGTAGAAATTTGAGAAAAGATATACAAAGTGTAGAAGAAAATGGGGCAATTAAGATGAAAGAAGATGTTCCTAAACGTTTTTTGGAAGATGAAGAGAAAAATAAGAATAAGGATGTTACGGTTAACGTATTTAAGAATTCAAAGAATGATTATCATATGTCAAAAAAAAATTATCAAACATATGTTAGTAATGATGATCAGGAAATATTTAATGACGATTTAAAATATAAATATAATAGTGAAGATGTTCCTTATGATGATGGAATTAAAAATAATGCAGAAAAGTTGAAAACTAATATTGAAGAATCTTCGGTATATGAATCGGACTCAGAAATCTCTCAACGGCTTCCTTCATATTGTAAATTAGATGCAATTGATATTGGCAATTTTGAATTGAATGATTTTATGATACGAAAATCTTCAAATATATCAACAAAAGAGATTAGCCAGTTTAAGAGTAAAATTTTTGAAGATGAAGCTTTAAATGAGAAAAAAATAAATGATTCCAATACAGAGCAGGAGGAAAAATCATATATTAAATCAAATGATTTTTCAGATAAGCTAACAAAAGCTGATTCTAATTTTGAAATTTCTCATTCTGATGCTGAAAAATATAAGCCTGATAACCAGCCTTTGAATGATAATAAAAATGCTAACATTTATCAAAGTACTGTTAATGGCGATAGTAATATTTCTATTTCATTGCCTCTTTTAGGAGATCAGCTTTTATCGGATTTTAATGTATCTTTAGATGATGTTTCGGATGCAATTGACAAAGTTATAGAGGTCCGAAAGGTATGTATTAAGCTCTTTAATAGGAATGTATTTAATTGTCTAGCGTGGCTATATTATGAGACAGAATGTGAATATAGTTCATGCTAGTAGTAATGATGTTTGTGAAAAAGATACTAAAAGAGAAAGATATGCATCTCCTAAAATTGACGATATTTATGAGAAAAATGAGAAGGTAATTTAATTAATCATGTTTATATATGGATTGATTTATAAAAGCATCCTGTACTTAAATTTGACAAAACAAAAAATATCGTTATTAATAAGGTACCTCAAGATGATTCTATAGGTAAAAAGCCGGACTCAGGTCTTCTTTTTATTCGTGTTATAGAAATTGAGAATTTGGATTTACCATTACCAGAAGGTATAGATATTTATTGTTGCTAATATGGTTTAATTTGTTTAAAATTAGACAAAACGTTAAGGTTCTGCTGTACTTTAGATAATGGTCGACATTATATAACTACCCCGTGGATACCTTTTACAAAAAATGCGAAAATTAATGAAGAATTTGAATTGTGAATAATTCCATTTTTTCATGGTAATCTAATTGTTTTAATAGGGTTGCGAACGATGATTTGGAGTTCACTCTTACTTTAAGACTAGATTACCAACCTTCTGTTGATCATAAGAAAAAGGATTTTATTTTTTCAAGGATTTTTTCTAGTTCAAAAAAACAGGGAGCTCTAAGTTCTTTTAATCCTCCTAATTGCTGTCTTTCGAACAATGGAAGTTTCGGTCGTTCGTATCTTTCTTTAAAAATGTTTAAAGATCATGCATTTGGATGTCCTTATACAACCACAGTAAGCTGTATGAATGAATGGACCGAAAAAGCTGTTGTAAAAGGAAGGAAACGACAAATATTAAAAGTTAAATCATATATTATATGTCAATTAAAGATCAATGCTTTTTATGTCCCATTTGTACCAGGGCAAGCTAAAGTATACTTGATATATTTGCTTATTTTAGTTGATCATTTTAGGAAACTATGCCTAAGAGCTTGTCAGCATGTGTTAAAGATATTAAAAATGCAGAATGGGTTTCTAAATTACATTATGAGGGATTCTTGATTCAACATGGTGGAGACTGCTTAGTAAGTTAATTATTTCTCCCTTATGATAGTTAATATTGTTTTAGTACCGTAAAAGAAGGTATTTTCGTTTATCAGGCCTAAAGTTAACTTCTTATCATGAATCTTCTAAATCAATTCGATCCAATATTAATTTGGCTAAAGTGAAGACGATATTAAATGACCAACAATTATCTATAGATTCTAAAAAAATGACCCGAGCCGTACATACAGAAAACAATAAACAATCTAGTACGTTGGAAGGAGATAATGATTATGTGCTTACTCAGAATGGTTTTTGCATTAAATTTTTCAATGGTGAAATCATAAATTTTTATGCAGATTCCGAAGATGAGAAAGCCAGATGGGTCCGAGTTTTAGATGCTGTTATTAAGAAAGCTAATCAAGTTAAACCTTGGTGCTTATATGTTCTTCAAAAACAGAAAGCTATGAAACGATTTCCTCCTAAATCTGCTTTAAAAAAAAATTAAGCTTTTTGATATATTCAAATTGATTTATTTTTAAATATTTTGAAATATATTTTATTATTTTTTGATATAACTTTTTGTAAACAGTTTATTTTTATATAGTTTTTGAAATATATTTCTTTATTATTTATTTGAAGTCTGAATAATAGAAGTAGGATAGAACATTGTTGGATGTTTTAGCCATGGTATTTGAGGAGGCGGTATTTTCTTAAAGATATAATCAATCATTTTTTCTGCGTAAGGTGTATTTTTCTAAAGATATTAGATAAAACGGCATATTGTTATAAAAGACCATTATCCCTATTGCTGCCAGTCTTTTAAGACCAGCTGCTTCAGAAAGTTGTTGTTCTGAACCCTTTGGAAGTGTTACTAATCGGATACCACTTTGAGAATTATCATCAGATGCCTCTATTTTTGAAAGTGTTTCATTAACAACGCCACATAATACTGGAAAATGAGAGTATAAGATATTATGTTGTATATCCTCCTTACAAACAATGACTACTTTAAGAATGTTGGCTGATTTATTATCTTTTAATAAAGAAAGATGATTTTCATCAACTTTCTCAAAAAAACGAAGATAAGAAGGTGCTGATAATGGAATCCCAATTTTTGAATATATTTCTAGTAATTTTGTTGTTTCATTTATGCCTAATGTCATACTTTTTCTTATAATTTCTCTTTTATCGTCTTGAGATGAAGAAACATTGTCATCTATAGAACCCATTATAGATTTATTGGATTCATTTATATCGTTTGTGTTTTCATTGTCTTTTAAATCCTTTTTTCTACTTGATATTTTGTTTTTTTTTTTTTGACTTGGAAAAAATGAAAATATACTACTAAATTGAGCTAATTTCTCCAGGAAAAGGCTTTTATCTACTTTAAAACACTGTTCAGTATTATTTCTTGGTCTTCTTTAGAGATTTCTGGCCTTTTTTATCAGTCTTTATTATAATATTTAGATTTTTTATTTACCATTGAATAATATATGGATTGTTTAAATAAAATTTAGAAGATGCATGTTTCTTCTTTGCCTTCTCTCGAATACCACCTGATGTATTTATTTGAGCAAGATTATCTTTGTGTTTTTTTTTTTCTTTAGACTTCATCTAAGACACTAAATGATATAAGGTTTAGATTTCGTTAGGGTTACCTATACATCATGATCAAATAAATAATATTTATGACTTATTAGCTATTCCCATTGTCCTTTGTTTCATCAAGTAGAATAGAATCATTTTTTTCCAATTGTTTAGTCAATTGTTCCACTGGTAAACTTAAATAATTAAAATCACTAGTAATAGATAAATCAATGTTATTTAAAAAACTTCTGAAGCTTTTTTTTGTTATTATTTAATCAATAAATATATGTTTTTAAGGAATACTTACAGATTTTCTTTAGATTCTTCAGAAAATATTTTATGGTAAATATATGTTTCCTTAAATATTTGAATTTCCTTCTCGTATAAGGAAGGATCAAGTATTTCTCGGTTCATTCTTTCCGCTTGTTTATTGTAACTTGTAAAAATGGGTCTTTCAAGTAACAATCCAAATCCTGGTGCTTTGGGGATATTAAAACGTGTTGATTTAAATGTCTTTGGTATAAAAGATAGTGGAGTTCCACAACGAACAACAAGTATAACTAATGCTACCATCTTTCTGATTTGATGTAGCATAAAAGATTGACCGTGGATTTTAATAGAAATCCATTCTATGTTTTGTATTAATTTTGGATCAGAAATCTATTAAAGAATGTTAATAATATGTCTCATTGATATATTTTTTTGTACTGTAAAGGATTTTATCAGACGATAAACGCTTTTATCATTAAACGTCTTTCCAACTGTAAAATTGTGAAAATTATGGCTTCCTTCGAATATTTTGAACGCATCTCGAATTAATTGAAGGCGTTCATTTGATATACGATATGTTCTTCTTATCTCCAACTCTATTTGTTTTATTTTTTCCTTTTCTAGATGTTCTTGAAATTGTGATGATATATTAGACGTTTCTCCGTTTTTTTCATCTACATTTTCAATTGATGTAGATGACTCATTAATCATTTTTTCTAAATGTTGTATTCTTTCATCAGACCATATATCTTTTGCATCTTTACAATATAATAAGTATTCATTTCCATTAATCCATTCACTGTTTTCTATACAATTTATCATTTCCCTATGTTTGGTAATACGTTGGGCTAATTGTGTCATTGGATATGGAGGAATAAATACATATGATGGAACTAAATATTCATAAATACGTGCTTCACAGAATGTCCTTGGATTAAATGACTTTAGCGTCCGAGAAATTCCCCATACCCTTATTGTCTCTGGAAGTGCTTCATTAATTCTTTCCAAAAGATTTGGTTGCTCAATTATTAATTTTAACGATAAGACATTACATGCTGCATGCACACCCCTGTCTGTACGTGCTGCTCGATTTAATGATGACTAAATTAGTTAGTATTAGCTTCTAATCCCAAAAAAAACACTTTTTTGGGGTCATCTGCATTCATCTCTGCAATCCCTCCTGTATCTACAAATGCTTTAAATAAATCTCCCTCTATTGTACGATTCGGATCATTGCTTTATATATCAGTTTCCTCTATATTTTATCATTGTTATTTTACATTTGCATCCCATGATATCCTGTTCCACAATATCCAATAAAACATGCTACTTTTCTCTTTGGCCTTCTACATTTCTCTTTTTTTTCATTTTCTAATCCTTCTTCTTCATATTTATGTCGTTTATCATCTTCATTTTTATATAAAATATCTATACTTGTTCTTTTTATATTAAATATCTCGGATTCCATATTATCTTTCTTAATATAATCCTCTGGACAACTTATATCTTCCATTCTTATTAACTTAATTTCTGTGCCTGAACTAACCTTACTTGTACTTTCATATAGTTTAGTGCTGTACTTAGCTAATATTCGAGCCTTTGTTGCTATGGCAACTTCTGTAAAAATATCTTCATAAGTATAGTGATAAGTGGGTTTGATGAGGTTAAATTGAGAAGATGAGACCTTTAACCGAAGAAGAAACCAAGATTTTATTTGAAAAACTTGCGAAATAGTGAGTTTTTTGTTTTTTTTGATATAAAATATCCTAAATATATAGTATTGGAAAGAATGTTTTATATTTAATTGATAGAGAAGATGAACCATATTGTTTTAGACTTCATAGAAATCGATGTTATTATATTAGGTTGAAATGAGTATAAAATCGAGATTAAGTGATTAAATTTGATTATTAGTGAAAAGAGGATGCGTTTAGCTATAACGATTCCAAAAAAAAGATTGATTTCACTTGGAACATGTTTTGGAAAATTCACAAAAACAAATAAGTTTCGAATACATATTACTGCTTTAGATTATTTAGCACAATATGCTAATTATAAAATATGGGTTCAACAAAAAGGTGAAATGCCATACCTTTATGGAAATCACGTGATCCGTGCTCATGTAGGTAAAATGAGTGAAGGAATTCCAGAACATCAAGGAGTTGTGATATGTTCGATGAATGATACACCATTAGTAGATAATAAGAATGTTTTATGAATAATTTTTGAATAATTTTTAGGGATTTGCAGTAACAGCAAAATCGACAAGTGATTCGAAGAAATTGCAGCCAACTGATATTGTTGCATTCCACCAGACAGATATTGGTGAATATCTCCGAAATGAGGATGATCTAATATAGTGAGTGATAGAATGGTTTTGAATTGGTGTTGTATTAATTAATTTGGGTGTGAAGGACTTGTTTTTTTTTCTAAAAAATATACTTTTAATATAAAAATCATGTTTTGCATTATTTAGTTGTTTTTGTTAATATTTTTTATGTATTTCCCGTATTAGTTGTAAAATTGTTCTCTACAACTAATTCGCCTTGTGTTTTATTTGATTGTCTTCTTTTTCCTTTAGAAGATTTGTAATAGTTGTTCTGTTTTTTAGAAATCCCTATATAATATTATGTTAATATTAAAAATAAGAAATTTAAACATACATCTTTTTGGATCTGGTTGTTTATCAGGATCATAATTTTTGGGAAGTTTTGATTTTTTTCTTTTTTGTTTTAAAAGTGATTTTGAATGATTACTTTTTTTTTCTTCTAATGAATGGTTTACAATTCCTGATTTTTCTAAATGATCGACATTAATTCCTTGAGTAAGAATATCTAAAGAAGGTAATTTATTTGCATATTTTGATGCTTCACTAATGTCTTTATCAAGATAATAAATTACTAATCCTGCTAACGCTTTTTTATTATTTGGGGAAAGTTTTAATATGTATTTAAAATCGTCTGCTGGTGATAAATTAGACTCTTTGTTTTTTATCATACGCTTAAGCTTTAATTTTCCCGATTCATATAAAAGTTCTATCAAATTAGGGTCCTATATTTCTTCGTTATTTCTTTTAATATCAAATATCATTTCTCACGTTGCTTCCTACGCTTCTCCAATATTCACTAGCAGCATAAAGTTCTTGACGTGAAAGATCTTTCCTTCCTCTTTTTTCATATATTTCTACCAACAATCTTACCAATTCCGGTTTATACCTCATAGATTTGTTATCCTTTAAGGAATCTAAAAGTTTTTCTGTAATTTTTTGTATATTATAATTATCTTTGCATAATATCATAAACCGTATAATAGCTAATGATAATGTTACATTTGATGAATCTTTTTCATGTAATTTTATTAATTCTGAATATGCACGATTACCAGTAAATCGTGATATAATACTTGATACTAAGATAAGAATAATACTATCATCATCTGGATATCTGTCTTGTAGTTTTTTGACAATATTATGACATGCTGAATACTTCTCACATAATATATTCAAAATTGCAATATTCTTATCAATAATTTTGTTTTGAGTATCTGTCAGTTTTGATAATTTTACCTTTGATAATACTGTATTTAGTGAATGTAAAATAAGATATGGATTTGTATCCGATTTAATACTATAATAATTATTCATACAAATCAGCTTAATAATTTGGTCCACTTGGCTGTTTTTATTAATTTTTTATCTAAAAAATACAAAATATTAACCTTTTGTTCATCAAATCTTCATATATAGAAATTGCTTCCAATTCTCGTCCTATACATGAATAAATATATGCCAATTGAACAAGAATAGGATCAAGTATAGATTCCATTTCTTCTTCTGATGTTGATAAACATTGTTCTATATTTCAATTTATGATAATATCCCTAAAAAAAAAAATATACCTTTAGATAACTCAAATAACTCTTTTGCCTTCATATACTCCTTTCTGCATATCAAATGACATCCTATATTAAATCTATAATCTAATGATTGATAAATAGCCGCCTGACTTGAAATTTCGATCGACGATGACGTCACTTGTGTTGCCAAAAGATTAATGCATAAATCAAACTCCTCATTCTCTATCTTTACACCATACATTCAATTCTATAAAAATACATATAAATAAACTACTTACTCTATACTGATCTTTCTGAAGCTCTTTATATATTTCACTCGCTTTACCCATTTGATCTTTCTGATATGCCTAAAAACATAAAACATAAATATAAATCAAAAATACATTTAATCAATATATTAATTTACTATTTGTGCCATAATGTGTTTTATTCCCCGTTTATTGCTTTTTTTTGCTATGTTCATCGCTTCTTCATATTTTTTCAACATAAACATACAATAAACCATTTCTAACACTTCTTCCTCCTCATAACCTTCTGATTCAATTAAATAAAGAGCTTCTGAATATCTATCAAGCTTAATAAGAGCTATAATCTTTGATTTTATTGATTTTTTGTCTGATACTGAAACTCCTCTAATTCTGTCTGAAAGCTCAATAACTTCCTCATGTTTATTATTTGATACGGCAATAGAAAGATTCATAAAAAGCTCTTTTAAATTGTCTGTTTTGCTTAATAAATGGCTTGAATCTTGAGGCTCCATCTTTAAATATATAGAGAGGTCGTTAGAGCGAGGTTATCGATGGATAGTGCAACGTCATAATAAATTAGGTGAGGTGGAGGGGGGATATAAATAGGGAAAAAAGGGGATAATGAGAGGTGATTTATATAGGAAACGATTAATTGAAACGTTTTATATATATGGGAGAAGTTTGAGTGCGAAAATCCCGAAAAAAAAGGAATTATTAGGGCCATTTTTGAGGAATAAATTTGTTGGGAATGAATTGAGGAAAAGGTCCGTAGAAAAGAGGGATAAAGAGTATTTTTTAAGTGGAATTGAAAGATTTGGATTTGTTTGTATGGGAAGATCTTTTTTTTCGGCGAAAAAAGAGGTAGAACGAGAAGAATTGGTGAAGAAAGGGTTTTTGTCACTTGGATTGATGTCATCAATTGTAAATTCTATATATATGGATGGTCTTAGATCATTTTGTATTGAAGGACCTACAAAAATTCAAATACTTGCGATTCCGGAGATATTGAAATGTTATTTAAAAAAAACGTCATATAGAACGTTTATTTTGGCGGCAGAGACAGGATCAGGTAAGACACTGGCTTATATTAGTCCTATTTTGCATATTTTGAAGTTGGAGGAGAGAGATTTTGAAGGATCTGGTGAATTACGTTGTCAAGGCAAACCGAGATGTATTATTATTGTTCCTACGGCTGAATTGGTTAAGCAGATCCATATGTTATTGAAGCGAATGTCTCATGGTGTTAAAATTCGTTCATCATTTGTTATGTCTGGATGTTCTTTGGATTTTATAAAAAAAAATGTATTGACATCGTTTTGTGATATTCTTGTAGCAACACCATTTCAGATCTATAAATTTATTGAAGAAAAGAAATTAAATTTAGATCAGACTAGATATATGGTACTTGATGAAGCGGATAGTCTTATGGATATTTCATTTCGTTCGATTGTATTATCTATTTTAAATTCAGCTAATAATTTAAAATTGCGTATTTTTTGTTCTTCTGTTGTATCACAAAAATATGAACGTTTTTTGCTTAAACATTATCCTGATATTTATAAGATAGTGACACCTGAACTTCATACTATATCAAAAAAGATTTCTTTTAGGTTAATTGATGCTCAAAAAACGTTTAAAAACAATAAAAAAATGGCATGTCTTAGCATCCTTGAAAGAATTGCAAAGAATGATGTTTCAAAAAAAGTTATTATTTTTTTTAATGAAAGAAAACACTCTGATGAATTCGCTTATTTTCTTAAAGACAAAGGGTTTCATGCTTTTTCTTTAACAAAATATACTAAAGATCGTCTTAATAATATACACAATTTTATTTATGGTAATTTTAGTGACAAATCTTTATCTATTTTGGTTACGACTGATTTGAACTCGCGAGGTGTTGATACTGTTGGTTTAAAAAATGTTATATTGTTTGATCTGCCATATAATCATGTTGATTTAATTCATCGTCTTGGAAGAACTGGTAGAGCTGGTAAATCTGGTAAAGCATATTTAATTTATGGAAAAGGTGAAAATTATCAATGGATTAAAAAAACACAAGAATCTATAAGAATTGGAAAACCATTGATTTAGTATAATTGGGAAAAAATATTTATTCATCTCTTGTTTTATTTTTTTCAGGATATATCTCTATATTTAAAAGAATACTTGTTTTAAAACTTTTTTACATTTTAATTATATTTCTAGTTTATATAGGAACCAGATCGTTTTATCATAGTGATTTTTATGATTGGGCTATTGTTTTGGGTTTTTAATCTTTTTCTTGGTTTTTATGGCTTATCTTTAGATTAGTCTAATCGTAGTAGCTATTAGACCTTATTATATTAAGGCACATTAAAATCTAAGGAAATATACAGAAAAAGGCCCTGAAATATGGAGAATACACATGAGAATACTTCTGAAAGAAGTGATAATATAGACGAATCGTTTTTGAACTGGAGAAATACTTTAATGTACGTTTTAGGCTTTGGAATGGATAAAAATGAGAGAAAAAAATATGAAGAAGCCAGAGATCATGCCTATAAAGAACAAATGAATCATCGTTGTGAGGAATGGAAGAGATATTTGCTTAAAAACAGTAAGTTTGCTGTATTTTTCTAGGTGGAATGGTAAAAAACCATCATAATTAAGGTCCATCGGTGAGATTTATGGCAAAACATTTGGATTCTTTGAAATCAGGGTCTTTATTGGATAATATTTTATGTGTTCCATGTAATGAAATGAAAAGTGGTTGGTTTGATTCTTCTAAAGGGATTTTTCTTTGTCAAAATAAAATTTGGAGTAAATCTCATATGGAAGATACAATGGTTCATGAAATGATTCATGCCTATGATCATTCAAAATTTGTTGTTGATAGTAATAATCTTAGACATCATGCTTGTAGCGAAATACGGGCAGTAAGTCTTAGTGGAGAGTGTCGTTGGTGGAGAGAATTCAAAAATGGTGCAATTGGTACATTTCGTAAACATCATCAGGTTTTTTAGATTTTATAGATGATTTGGAGTATTAACCAGGATTAGGAATGTGTTAAACGTCGAGCTATACTTTCTGTTTTGGGTCATCCTGCTTGTAAAGATATGGATCATGCAAAACAAGTAGTAATGCAAGTTTTTGAGCCTTGTTTTTCTGATACACGTCCATACGACGAAAGTTAGGATTTTATATGAGAATTGCTTATAGTTAATGTTTTTAGTTTATTAGAATGGCTAAGATCCATCTTGGTAATAATTTTATACACCTGAAAGACAGAAATATCTATATTTTTCTCTTTAAAATCTAAATTACTTGGCAATTTCTCAAGTTATTATACTCGAATATTTTCTTAAAGATATAAAGCAGTACATTTGATTTAAGGCAAAAGGTTAAAGGTCATAGATATTAATTAACTCTTGATATTATTACTCATTGGGTTTCGATACATATTATATTCCTAGATCTTTCTTTTTTTTTTTTCACAGCTCATATATAGGTTTTATCTATTCTTTATTTATTGGTTATATAGGTTTCTGTATTTTTCCTGCTCTTTCGGATTTTATACATTCACAAATATCATATTTCCGATAAGCAATTACTATGAATCATTCAGAAGACTTAGATTTGCTTACTGTGCGTACAACAGGATTGATTAAGCAAATAGATGAAGCATCTTATACATTACTTTCACGATTTTGTCAGATAATTGATATAGTTGGTGTATGTAATTATAATTTTGTTTTTATTTATTAAGATTAATAGAATGATGCAAAAGATCAGTGTACAGTAGCTTCTGAAAGCTACCAGATTGAAACGCATGCTGCTTCTATGGTATGTTATGTATTTTTATTGATACTAAGTTAGAAATTTATACTTTAATCTCTTAGATTCGATCAGCAGAAGAGTTATTATTAATTTCACGGCTGATTAAAGAAGCATGGATGTTATGGGAGACAAATGCATGGGATCCTGTGTCAGAACAAATGAAAGATACATCTTTACCGTTGGATCAAATTTTAACACTATTAAATCAATATAAATATAATCAAAGTTCTGAAAATACAGAAACTAAGCAACAAACACAAGAAACAATTTAGATACATAAAAAATATATTATAAATAATAATTTACGGTTATTTTTTGGAATTATATATTGAAAAGTAGGGTCTCTTTTTTTATAAAAATATTGCTTGATTTTGCAAATTTGGTTTGTTTCTCTAGTAGGTATTATAATAAAAAAATACAGGAATGTGCTTATTTATATAGATAAATGTTTTTAAAATGTAAGATAATATGTGGATTATATAGAAGAATGATAGAGAGCTGCCTTCGAAATTTTTTTGTCGACGGACAGTCCGTTTGATTTTGATGAATCAGCAAAAGTCTTTAACATTGATTGTTGCACTTACAACTTCTTATGGAATTGGCCGATCAAACTCTCTTCCATGGAAATTAAAGAAAGAAATAAGTTATTTTAAACGAGTAACCTCTTTTGTACCAACTTTTGATTCATTTGAATCGATGAATGTTGTATTGATGGGTCGAAAAACATGGGAAAGTATTCCTTTGCAATTTCGGCCCCTTAAAGGTCGTATTAATGTTGTTATCACTCGAAATGAATCTCTGGATCTAGGGCATGTTAAAAAAATTAATCCTGAAATTCGATTGACAATATTAGAAATGGAATTCATTCTGCAAAATCCTTGGATCATGCTTTGGAATTGTTATATCGTACATATGGTTCTGAAAGTTCGGTTCAAATTAATCGAATTTTCGTTATAGGTGGTGCACAGCTATATAAAGCAGCTATGGATCATCCTAAATTAGATAGAATTATGGCTACAATAATATACAAGGATATTCATTGTGATGTATTTTTTCCACTTAAATTTAGGGATAAAGAATGGTCTTCTGTATGGAAAAAAGAAAAACATTCAGATTTAGAATCTTGGGTTGGTACTAAAGTTCCTCATGGTAAAATAAATGAAGACGGTTTTGATTATGAATTCGAAATGTGGACAAGAGATTTATAAATCCCTTTCAAATCTTTTTATGGCTTTTTAATACTACTAATTCTCTTGTTATTCTATTTATTCAATATTCTAAATTCTTTTATTTCGAAAACCTTTCGATCTACCAATTCAACTCTCTTCATACTTTTGCTATCTCATAACTATAAAATCCTACATATTAATTACAAAAAAAATATCTATATTCAATTAAACAATTACTTGTATTTTTTCAATCTTCAGCTTCATAATACCACTTTATCTACAATTATACATAAAATACATCATTTTTAGCTTGGATTCATACTATTCATTCTCATATATTATTCATTCTCATATACTATTCATTCTCTTTCTTTTTTTCTTTAATATTGGCTTTCTACTCTGGAAATTATTTTATTTCTAAAAATACACAAATCTTTTCATTTAACCCCCAATAAAACATTGTTTCATCTTTATTAAACTCCTTTTCTCTCTATTTAAACACCTTTTTACTCCTCTTTTTACTCCTCTATATTACATTCTCCTCCTCTTCCCCAATTACAAAAATTATACAACAAACATCTATCTATCTTTGTCCTCCTCCTAATTTGAATTTCTTACGCTCATAAAACAGATCTGTTCTTGAACTTCCTAGATTTATAATCTTACCATATATATATATATATCTTAAAAAAAAATTTTTAAAAAAATATACCTTTGGGCATCCATCTCTATCCTTTTCAAGTCTCGTACATTCAAAACAATAATACCCGTCTAATTTACCCCTGTTATCCTCTTTTTTCTTCTCTTTTTTTAAATTTATACCTGAAATACCATCTCCACCACAAATAATACATTTGCTTTGATAATTACCAAATGAACACTCATCACACGTCCTAACTAACGTCGTCGGACGTACATATGAATCACAAACTGGACATTTTCCGTCACATTTATCACATAACTATAAATCCGTCATTTTTCATCCTTTTTTTTCGCTGAAAAAGAGCTTATACCCTTCCAATAGAGATTCCTGGCTGTTTTCTACACATTACAAGGTCTGGATGGTGCTTTGACATGCTTTTTTCTTTTTTCTTAGGTACTTGTCGACAAAAAAATTAACGAACAAACTACCAAATTTTTAGGACTTAGTCTTGAGACATTATAACTCGGTTTTCATGTATATTTTTACTATATCTTAAGAATATATGACTAATTCATTGTTTATAGGGAGTCAGAGATGATAGTTGAATCGGTGGTGTCTTTACCTGAGCAAGAGAGGGTTGATAGCCAGGAAGAAAGATTAGATAGACGTAAGAGAGGCGATTTTTTAAGAGAAAAAGAGGTATATCTAAAGTATATATGAAGGGGAACGTCTACAGAGGATGGGAGATGATGAGCAGAAACGTGGACAACGTTTTTTTGGGACGTTAATGGGGACGCTGGGAAAGTTTCAAAAAGAGTCAGTTTTTCTCCAAGAAAAGAATGCTAAAAGGGCGGAAATTGAAGCGAGACTTGCAGAATGTATGCGTAAAGAGAAGGAGGAGGTTGAGGAGCGAGTTAGAATTGAAAAAGATGAAAAACAACGAGCAGCAGAAAGAATACGTAAAGCGAGTTTAAGGGAGTTTGAGAAGCTTTCGGTAGGAGAAAATGGATGAAAAGGAAAGATTCTGAGTGGTTTAGTTGGAAACGTATTATAAAAATAAGATTGCATCAGCGCGTGCTTTAAAAACGACTACATTACCGGTATTATTTTATCAGCCGTGGAAACTTTCATCTAAGGAGGAAGAAAGGGCTAAATTTCGAGTTGAGGAGTTAGAACGCAAATATCAACAAGAATTAAAGGAATTAGAGGAGCGTTTATCATGTGAGGATAGTGTATATATAAAGGAAGTGGATGTATCTATGTCAACTCAAGAAACATGTGAAATAAATGTGGATACGGGGTAAAAATGAGTCGGATGTATGTGATAGGAAGTAGTGTGGGGGGTATAATGGGATGAAATGGGATAAGAATGTTTAATTTTTGGCATTTTTATTTATTTAACAAGAATTCATATTTTTGTCAAAAAAAAAGAATTTTAAAGGAAAAAAAAAGAAATAAAAAGGTAATAATCAATAGAAAATTAACAAGATTGTTTTTTTTTATTAAAATTACTTTTTAGATCATTTTTTTTATAAAAATATACAAAAAATATATATATAAAAAAATAAATGAATAACAAAAATGAGACGATTTCTATCTTTCAATTCTATACACGAATTTTTTATGTTTTCTTTATATTCAGTCTTTTTGTTTTTCTACGTCTGACGACCAAAAAATTAATTATCAGTGAATCTTCTATAAATGGGTCATGAAGGAGCTATTGGAGGTTCTTTTGAGGATGAAAATCTGTGTAGTATTTGTCTAAATCCATTTTCCAGCTTGGAGAAAGATACGCCGGATATTAAGGAAAATAACATAGAAAAAGATAATATGAATGAATGTACAAAGTTAAGGACGGATATAGCGTATTTGGGAGGTTGTAGGCATTATTTTCATTATTATTGTATTGAAATATGGGTGAAAGTACGAAAAAAGATTTTAAAACGAAGATATATTGATTATTTGGGGATAGATTGCAAATACATGTCCAGTTTGTAGATATTGTTTTGATTATATGAGGGTATCACGTTTTGTAGGAGGTATGAATGAGTGGAGAAGAATGGAGAGATTTTATTTATGTTTTAGGGCCATTTTTTTCCCAATATTCAGTAGAAAAGAAGGGTAAATCGGGTAGTTTTGAAGTATTGAATCTGGGGGATATTTGTCGTTGTATTATATGTGGAAGCAGTGAAGATGAGCAGGTTCTTATGATATGTGATCGATGTGATGATGGGTATCATACATATTGTTTAGGGCTTGAAGAGGTTCCAAGCCAGGATTTTTTATGTCCAACATGTATAGCACTTTCAGAAGAGTATTTTTCCTATGTTCCAAGGCGCAGAGAAGCATTGGGAGGTTCAAGATTATTAATTGTTGGTCAACGGGTTAATAGGAACAACCGTAGTGTTTGTGTGTCTAGTGGGTTAAATACAAGTGCTAAACAAGAAAGAAAATGTAATATTTCTCTGAACAATTCATGGTTAGAAAGGGCATATCAAGATTGTGGGATGTTGGGTATGCAAAACAATGAAGGAGGAGGTGAGAGGAGTCATACATCAGCTTCTTTAGCGTATAAAGCGGAGTCATCATATAATCCAGGAAAGTCACGATCAGGATTATTGAATTTAAGTCCTGAAGAAAAGGCATGGAAAATGTATGAAGTTCAAAAGCGTGGTGAAAAGTTTGAGAAATATGATGATTCGTTTAAAGATGAATTTTTAACAACCCAGAAAAAGTTTAAACGTCCTTTGATAGCGAGAAATGAAATAAAGAATATGGGATATAATTCTGGAGAGCAAATGGCAGGTGTTTCAAATGATGATTACTCTATATCCTATCTTAAAGGAAAGGCAAAAGAGAAGAATGATAGTCAGTTAGGTTTTTTGCAAAATTTATTGAATGATATATCAAATACTTCGAATTATTCATATCAATTAAAACATGATACAGAATCTTTTGAAAATTATTACAATAAAATGTCACATGAATCAGAACCATCTAAAAAGAGGAAAAGCTCTGTTTTTATCTCAAATGTATCGTTTACAGATGATGATACTCAAAAAAAATCTTTTCAATCAAATTCTGATACATTTTCGGGAATGAAATCCAAAAAAGTCTGCCATTCTTCAGCTACATCTTCTTCTATGGCCTTATCGAAATCATTTTTGACTACGTTTTCTTCTTTTTCATCAAAGTCTACTTCTAAATCTTCTGTTATATCTCCTGGAAGAAAAATTGCATTTACAATTAAGAAAAAAATTGAGAAAATTGTATCTAAAGAACTACGGCTATATTATCCGGAAAAAATATCAAAAGATACATGTAAATCAATTAATAAGCGAGTCTGTAGAATGATTTATGAGGATGTTGCACTTTTAGGTGAACATATGTTTGATGATTTCGATAATCTTTGGTATGATAAAATTAAAACTGAAGTTGTGCGTCTTATAAAGGATATTGGACATATATAATCACTGGTTTTCGTTTGTTATATGTTTGTTTTTATGCATATTTTCTAATTATTCTTTGTTGATCCTCTTGAATATTATCTTTTTCTTAAATTTATAGGCATAAATTGAATATGAGTATATTTTTAAAACAGTCTTTTATGATATGTTTTAAACATTTATTACATTTTATTCTAAATTTGTTAAGATTTTTCAATTTGAAGTCTCATGTATATAAATTATTTATAATTTAATAATAAATCTTATTTGAATGAAAGAATATTATAGTAATTCATATTATTATATATTTTTTAAAAGGTTTTAAGAAATTTAGATTCTGATTTAATAAAAATGCTGTAAATTTTGTGTATCATTTATTTTCTAAAGTTATGAATATATGTGTATATTCATTTTTAATAGTATTATCTGCCATATATATATATATGTTATGATTATTCCATAATGATTGCTTTTTTGTTGCAATTTTAAGTGTTTTTTTTTTTTGTATTTGAATAATAAAAAATATAAAGATATAATCAAAATTGCTTTAAACATTTATTTAAAAAACTGTACGACTATTATTGATTCAGTTAAATGTATAAATTTCTAGTATTGCAATTCATTTTCCAGGACGTTTAGGTCTCAAAAAACATTCTTGTTTTTTCTTTATCAATGGATAAATGACTGAATATAACATCATTTCGTCAATATCAGAAAGATCATGTGCTTCAATCTAATAAAAGATATTAATTTTATATTATTTTAGATAAATTTTTATTAAAAATACTTTTTTGTCAATTGGAATCCATTGCTTAATTGTTGATAACGCCATTAAACATGAAGAACTGTAAAGCATACGTTCTTTAATGGTAGATGCTTTAGGACAAGTATAAATAAATACTAATACCTAGTTAATAAATTTTTATATGAGATTTTGTTTACTTCTAGAAATGGCTGGAGTGTCATTATAAGTATGACTCCATGAATAAATAGAATAACGTGGTGATGTTGATGGTAAGATATGTTGGATATCATTGGGTTTTACCGTCATGGTCATCTCGAGATTTAATATTTCAGTTTGAGGATCATTGATCTTAATTAAATAAATAAATCTGTTTATATGTTTCTCAATTTTACCAATTGTATAAAATTAAACTCTTCTGTGTTTTTTGAAAGCTTTTCAATAGCTGTTTTTGCTTCTTCACTAACATTCAAAAAAAAAGTATCATTTATGTATTTTTGACGAGAAGAACAACCTATTGCATATTCCTTTTCACTAATTAGCATGATTTCTTCTGCTTTTCTATAAAAATTCTATACTTGAGAATTTTTTACACTTTGAAGATTTTTTTCTTCTATTGATAAGGAATCTTCCCTCTTTATTCCCTCCAAATTCTCTCTAAACAAAGATATATCTAATTCCTTCTTATTACTAATAAAAATGCTTTTAGAAATCTTATTTGATCCCAATGATTGGATTAAAGTATGATATGTAGAAGCATATATCATTTTATCTCGAATCTAGCGGCTTTTCAGCCAATTTTTTTCAATCAAACTATTAAAACCTCTGCTTCTTCAGGAACATAATGGATAATAACTGTTTTTGCTGGAAAACTACTCGATTCTTTGCATAAAATATATGATGGTTTCGTGTCACTTAAAATAGACTGTATATAGCTCAAATCTTGGTAAAAATCTCCCGATTTTGAAATATTCATATCCTTCTCCACCGATTCTACACGATTATACCCTTTTTTCGGCGAAAATATAAGATTTACCCTGGAAAATAGAGATTTTCATTGCAATAATATCTGCGTTCTGCGTAAACTCCTGGAAATAGTTCAAAAACTTGTCAGATATACAAATACCAGATCTCGTAGACATATTAAGTGCTTTAAACTGTGGTTTTTCACTGGTTTTAACTATTTATTTGTATTTTTTCAAAAATTGGAGGTTTGTCTCTAGATTTGCGAGGATTCGACCGATTTTCAACGTTAAAAAAAATAAAAATCCAGAAAAGACATATTATAAGGATATTATAAAAGAAACAAGTATTTTTATAATAAATATCGAGTGTTGTTTGTAAGGATTCCTTTTTTTCCCGGAAAAAAAGGACAACTGTAGGCTGAAAAAGGTCTAAAAGAATATAAGTTAATGTCTTAGAGAATTATTCTGCTTTTATAGACAAATTACCTCTATATTATCTTTATTTTTCATGATATTATTCTTAATATCAAGAAATGGCCGTTTTTTTTCGAGTTTTTGCAGAGTTTTTGGAGAAAATAATATTGACAAAATAGCTTGTAATTTTGTTCCTGAAGTAGAGCAAGAACCACCTCGTTTATATAGAATTCTAGCAGCAACAGTTCTTCTAAGGTCACCAGTTATTACAGAAGAAAAAACGCCTTTTGAAAAGGCCTATTATGCATATCAAAGACAATTAAATGAGAGATTAGCAGCACCTTTTCCAGTAGATTTTTATTTCAAGAAAGGGTCTTCAGCAGAGAGGAAATGGCTTGATAATGAAGCAAATAAAGCCAAAACGAAATCTGTTTCTGATGATATATATTCTGAATTGCAAGATAAAAAGGCAGATATTGGTTTACCTCGTGAAACAGAGGCAGACCGTCAAGGAGATTTGCGTAGTTTAGAAAGAAAACTAGATAAAACATTATATCTTCTTGTAAAAAAACCTAGAGAAGAACATTGTTGGCAATTTCCTCAGGGTGTAGTAACAGATGATGACTTCTTACATACTGTATATTTATCTATGAAAGATTATTTATAATTAACAAAAATAGGCGGCTCAGCGATCGTTGTATGAATTTTGTGGAAATAATATGAATGTTTGGTATGTTGGTCATGTGCCTATCGGTAATGGTAAATATAAATATCCAAAAGGTTATAGTGACAAATTTTATGGTGCTAAAGTAAGATTAACTTTCTTTTAATTCTATTATCGACAATAAATAGATATTTTTTATCAAAGCTCGAATAATGGCTGGACATGTTAAATTAGATGGTAAAACTGTTGTTGACTGGCTTTGGGTTACAAAAAACGAGATAAAACAATATGTTTCCAAATCTTATTGGAACTTCATTCAAGCCATGCTTTAATAAACCCTATTAATTTTATCGTTTTCTTCATTTGTAATATTTTCATGATCATTTTCTTTTTTTTTTTTTCATACTATCTTGAACTCTGTTTATATGCACTCGTATCCAATATCTTTTTTCCACATATACTACCTATTTTCTCTTAGAAAATATATATTTTTCCTCTTCTCTAAATACATCGTCCTTCTTTATACGCACAATTAGGACAATATTTTGCCCCAAGATGATGAGTTCTTTGCTTACAAATTGAACATCCAACTCCATATGGATCATATCTGTAAACGTTTACATATATATTCCCTTTTTATCCCTTTTTTAACCTTTTTTTCGCCGATTTACTTAACAACTTATTTTCTCCTATTTTTCTCTCTGATGATGATACAATTTTTGACATTTCACTTCCCATATATATATCCGACTTCTTTTTAACGCTATTCTCTCAAATTAGGCCCTTTTTTTCCCTTTTTTTTTTTAAAAAAAAACCTTGGTGTTGCCAATGAAATCCCTTTCTTTTCACACTATAAATTATTAGTAAATTCCTCTTAATTTATACTTTTTTTTACATTGTTGCACACCATTTTCCTCCTATTTTATGGTATTTTCCTGCTTGTCTTTATATAAATTTCTTATTAAACTTATCGAGGTTGATTCAAGTTAAATACCCAATACTCGTTACCTTGACAACTATTGTCATAACAACTATCGTCATAACAACTATCGTCATAACAACTGTTGTCGTAACAACTGTTGCCTAGTAACGACCTCAGCTTTTTTTATCTTATCAAGACGACTCATTAAGAAGGTCTTATCAGCTTATTTAATATGAAACGAGTGGTTGTAACAGGACTTGGACTTTTAACGCCCCTTGGAACAGGCGTTAAACATTGCTGGAACCGATTATTACGTGGAGAAAGTGGAATTGTCTCTTTAAAAGGATTAGAAGGAGATGAAAGATATGAGAAATTACCTAGTAAAATTGGAGGAATTGTTCAGAAAGGGAGTATTCTAGATGGTCTATGGGATTCTAGAGAATGGATTAGTGGAGAAGTAGTTTTTTCGGGGTTGAATTTGGAGAAAAAATGATGATTTGGCAGGAAAATCATCGAATGGCAAAGTTTTGTCAATATGCAGTCTGTGCATCGATACAGGCGATTAATGATGCAGGATTAGATCGATATACAGGAGAATCGGTGGCATGATTGTTTACTTGTAAGATTTTGGGTAATTGACAGGGTTAGGGTGTATGTATAGGATCAGGTATAGGTAGCCTAGAAGATTTGGTAGAAATGTCGAATAAGTTTACAGAATATGTTTAATTCTGCGATTTGTTAGTATAGGATTGAATTATAATAGGGCTGGAAGAAGGTTGTGCCGTTATTTATTCCGAAAATTTTGGTTAATATGGCGGCGGGTTATTTAGCAATTAAATATGGATTTCGTGTAGCAAATATAGTGATTTTAAAGCTTTGAGACCATCTTACTGGTTTTAGGGGCCTAATCATGCATGTTCAACTGCATGTAGTACTGGAAACCATGCAATTGGTGATGCATTTCGATTTATTCAATATGGAGATGCTGATGTTATGATTGCTGGAGGATCTGAAGCGCCAATCCATCCATTAGCAATTGCTGGATTTTCTAGGTAATTTAGTTTTTTTTTTTGTTAGAATATTTCCTTAATTAAATAAAGAATTAAAAGCCTTGCGACGAAATATAATGATATGCCATCAAAGTCATCTAGACCATTTGATAGAGACCGTTGTGGATTTGTGATTGGTGAAGGTTCTGGAATTGTTGTTTTAGAAGCATGAATATAATATTATTTGTTCAATTTATAATTATTTCAGGAATTGGAACATGCTCGTGCTCGTGGTGCTAGAATTTATGCTGAATTACGAGGATATGGATTATCATGTGATGCATATCATATTACAAGTCCCTCGCAGGATGGATTGGGTCCTCAGCTTTCTATGAGAAATGCTTTAAAATATGCTGGTATAAATCCTTCTGATGTTGATTATATAAATGCACATGCTACGTCTACGCCATTAGGTGATATGGTAGAAAACAAAGCTATTAAAAGTGTTATGCTAGGACCTAATGGAAAATTAAATGCTAAAGAAATTAATGTATCAAGTACGAAAGGTTCTATAGGACATATGCTTGGTGCTGCTGGAGCAGTTGAATCTATTTTTACTATATTAGCTATTTATCATGTAATAAATTATCCCTTAATACTTTTTTTTACATATTAATAGGGAATATTGCCACCTACATTAAACTTAGAAAACCCAGGTGAACCCTCGGAAGAATTTGATTGCAATTATGTACCATTGTATGCTCAGGAAAGAAAAATAAAAGTCGCGTTAACTAATAGTTTTGGTTTTGGAGGAACTAATGCAACATTATGCTTCATTGCGTATAATGATTAAAATATATCTGATATTGTGAAATATGATTATTATGATTAACATTAGTATGTATGATATTTTTTATTATTTAGCCTGACATTGGTATTTAACTTCTCCGTATTGACCTCTCTCTTGAGTGGTATCATATGCACGTATGAGTTTTGTTTGGCCAGTATCTCCCTGGCTAAAGGCATATCCTCTTTGTAATTTACTTATTCTTTGAACATTTCTTACTTTTCTAACTGTTTTTTGGAACAGCTCCATTCTATAAATGTTAATATTTGATTTAAATATATATGTGTGTGTGTAATATTTACTTTGATTTATAATCTATAGTATTAAATTTCTGAATTTCTTGAATGTAATGATAAGTCTGTGGACAATAAGTTCGTTTATAACTATATAATGTTATAAATGGTCTATGATCACTTGTTCATTTACTATTTCCATGCAAAATCACGCAATAAACATAATGTTGGAAGGACTAAAATAGTAGCCCAGAATACTAATGATGTGTATAAACGAGAATTAATCCCATAATATTCCATAGAAACACCCATTTTTGGTGCAACAATTGCATATACAGGTAAAAATATTATCCATATAATGAATGATCCTGGTATTGCTAGAACAGTATATGCTGTCCATGAACTAAAAATATTTAATTAAGGCTATGAAAGGGAATAAAATGATCACTTTGTAATTAAGGCTGCTTTTCCCAATACTGTAGCAAGAACAGTAGCATAAAGTGTTGTTCCCCAAACCCAATGGCCTCCAATTTTTCCATCGGCTTGTGGTAAATCATTTTCAAATATATATATCGACATGAAATAAAGGATAAGCGAATGGTAGAAACCATTCACTATCCAGAGCCAAAAACTTTTTACGTTAAACTAAAAAGGAAATTAGTTAGTTAAAATTTTAGTTTAATATTTACAAAGGTTTTGAATTGACCAAGTCGATAAAGCTGTGGATATTTATTTAGTAACTTTGCGCTCAGAAATTGGTCAAATATTCCAATTGCTATTGGAGGGAGAAACGTAAAAAATACATTATAGAAAGATATGGTCCATGATTCGAATATAACTTGACCAGAAAACCCATTATGAAATGTATACTATTCTAAATTAGGGAAATTATTGAAATTAGAAATAATTTACCCAAAATTGAGTCATATGAAGAGAAACGTTTTTATAAAAAGAATAAAGAATTAATTTACTTAATCGTTGATAACTCCATGAACCATGAACTAATAATAGTTTCCTTAAATATCGAAATTGTCCAATTGCAATATCTGCATTTCGAGCAGCCTGTAAACCCTCTGTACCACTTATACCAATTCCTATATTAGCGGATTGTATCATTGATATATCATTTGAACCATCTCCGATAGCTAAAAGTGTTGCTTTTAAATGTTTTTTAATAAGTGTTACGATTAATGCTTTTTGTAAAGGTGTTACTCTGCAACATATTACTGTTTTGCATAATATAGAAAGATTAATAAATTTTTTTTCAATATCTTTTTCCAAAGCATATGTTAATGAATGGCCATCAATAATCAAAGCTAAAGCTTCTAGCCTAGCTTTATTAGCTTGTCTATTTTTGACATATGCTAACTTTTTAGCTATATAATTTGAGATTTCTTTCTTATCCTTTCCATTTATAATAATAATATTCATATCTTCAGTAATAAGTTTACAGCTTATTCCAACATTTATAGCAGTTTCCTGATGATCTCCAGTAAGAACCCATAATTTAATTCCTGCTAATTGAAGTGTATGAATGGTCTCTGGGACTCCCTCTTGAAGCTTATCCTCAATAGCAGTAGCTCCTAAAAGAAGAAGTTCCTTTTCTATTAATTCAGACGCTTTATCTAATGCATCGATACGATTGTTAATCGTAGTCGTTGCTTCATCATAAATAACTGCCCATTTTTCATATTCTTTTTCTGAAATTTCTCTCATGGCCAAACATAATGTTCTAAAGCCTCTTATGGCATAATCCTCTAAATGTCGTAATGTTTGCTCGCTATATAAACTGTTTTTTGACAATCTTTCTAAAATTACCGTATCTGCACCTTTACAATAAAGTCTAATTTTGCCATCTGGACAACGAAGGATTACAGACATCCTTTTCCTGGCTGAATTAAATTCACAGATATTTAAAACCTTAAATTCTTGCTCTTCCCCTTGAATAGATACAAAAACAGATTTAGGACGACGAGTCGTAAATATGTATCCTAATTTCGATGCGCCTTTTACTAAAGCACCTTCATCTGGTGATGCTGCTTGGTATATGATATCATCTTGTCCATCCACTTTTTCCGGAATAACTGTATGACAAGTAGCAAGCAAAACAAGAACGTTATGGATAATGTCTTTCGATTCATGTGAAACAAGGTTTTTGTTTAATTGTATAAAATCAGAATCATCGTTTTTTTGATGAGAATTAAGTTTTTGCTTTTTCTTCGTATTGTCCATATAAGATATACCAGCAATTGAAAGCTGACGAAATTCCATTTGATTACATGTAAGAGTACCTGTTTTATCTGTAAAAATGTATTCCACTTGTCCCAGTTCTTCAACTAAATTAGAAGTTCTACAAGTAGCTGGAACATTTTCAGGTTCATAATACATATCCATATCATTGTTAATAAGCTGTGCTTGAGCATATTTGACAAGTTCAATTGTTACGAAAAGACTGATAGGAACGAGATTTGAATACAAAACACAGAAAGTTAAAATATTTGAGAAAAATGTTTTGATACTGTTGTTTTTTTGAAGGTGAAGGTAGCTTAGATTTTTTTGATCAAGATTTTCCTTAATAATTAAGCCAATGGATGATATTAATGAAAGAATGATAAGTATGCAAAAAAGGAAAATGATTTGAATATTGACAATTTTTTCTACTGCTGTTTGTTTGATACTGGAAGATGTAGTATTTTTCATTAACTTTGTTTCATGTCCCGTAAAAACAACAATACCATAGATCCATGATGTATTTCGAAGGAATGCTCCTCGTAAAAGTAATTGATCTTCAGCTAACGGATATTCCTTTTTTCCTATATCTGTGTTCATAATGATTGTGGCTTCGAAACTATAGAGATTATTATTAGGTTGTTCTGAATGTATTTCTCCCGATAATTGAGAAATCTTACTAGGTGATATAAAATTTGCCGTTTCTGGAAGCGATTGCTTAATTTTTAAATTTGTTTCACCATCAAGATTAGATGTTTCAATATAACAAAGACCTTCTGGTTCTGATGATGAAATAAGAATAAGATCTGCAGGAAATACTTGACCAGATTCAACACGAACAATATCGCCCACATGAAGATCATACCATTTACGAGGAACAAATGACATTTTCTCAAAAACATAGGTTATCGATTGATTTAGCTCTTTATCTTGTATGCGTCGTTTAAAATCTTCTACCAATTCTTTGAATGCAGAAACAATAAGCACAATTACCAAAGGAACAATCGTTGTCCAGCGATTAGTAGGCGATATGTTTCGGATTTGTTGTATGCATGATGTAAAAAGAAAGAAAAGATTTGCATATTTTGAAAATTGCTCAAATAAAAATTTTGGAAGAAATGTCGCTATATTGTATTTCGTAGTAGACACATAATTACTGCAGTAGTTGTTTGATGAATTTTTTAGGTTATTATTAAAATTTATCACTCGATAATTTAAATTTTTATTATGAAATTTTTTTTTATTAAAGAATCTTGTAAATCTTTGATTTCGAAAATTAAACCCTCCAAATATACTTTTAAATATGCTTTTCTTTTTCTTCATAATCCCTCGGCATTCTTCATTAAACATCCGTTCTACCACTGGAAAATTTTCACTCGTTTGTTTAGATTTAAAAACATTCTCTTTTCCTTTAATATATCCCATAATATTTTTTATTCCAATCCATCTAAAAAACCATTGATTTGACTTTCCCGTCTGAATTGACTCATGTAATAACGTATAATTGTCATCCTCCGATTCTAAACATGAAATATCACATGATTCCGAAATCGTCACTTCCTGTCCTTCCATACCATGAACCGTACCATTTTCAAGTGTACTACACTCTGCATTTACCGTCATTTCTTCCGATTCTACCGACATTTCTTCCTGTCGGTAACAATCCGAGCTTTCCCTAACCATGCCTACTCAATTATAACCTATTTTTCTCCCGTAAAAAACTAATAATATCATCCCCGCCTCATCCCTCTTGTTCCATTAAAGTTTTATATCTGTTTTATTGTTAATTTACTGCTTATTAACGCCTTATTCCTTACCTTTTAACTGTATCATCTGTCGATGATATTATGGACGTCAACCAGACCTTCGATAAAGTCTATATATATGGAGGTTAGTAAGAAAAGATTGTAAATATTTTTGCCTGTAAATACAAGAAAAGAAGGGGAAACAGAGTAATTAGAATTGTTTTATTTGTAGAAAGTCATTGTATCAAAGTAGATGTTTTATCTATAAAAGAATCTGACCTTTTGTCTACTTTTGTAAATTTAGAAATATCTGTGGACTGAGACAGAGTCTGTAGAGGTTTTCTTAGTCAATTCTATAATAATAAAGTGTTAAAATTGTTTAAAGCTGATAAACAGTGATTTATTATAAATCGTTATTCATTAATTAAGATATTAGCAAATTCTGATATTAAAAACAAGTATGAGCAAGTATGAGCAAGTAGAAGCAAGTATAAACAAGTATAAACAAGTATAATATACTGTTCAACTTGTTTCTAGACTGAAATGTAGATAAATATTTATATATATTTATATTTATATATTTATATATATTTTTGATAGTTTAATATGAATGTTTTACATAAAAATACAGCAAATCGGAAAAACAACTATAAAAGACTTTCTAATCTTCTTAATCTAATAGATATGTTTGTTTGCTGGGTTGTTTTAGAGAGAAATATAATTTGAGTATTTTAACTATATTTTCACTCCGGCGAGATGGCTTAACCTCAGTATAAGCTTGAGATATGAATATTTATTAGAAATGGATGATAAAGAGACAGGTAAGTAGTATTTAGTATGGCAAAATGATTCTGAGGACTAATTGTGTTAGAAGAGGAGAGGTGGTCGTCAGTTGTTTCGTTATTGTTTTGTGAGAAATCACTATCATTATTTAATGAGAAGGAGAAAGAAAGAAGGGTTAAATTGGAAGATATGAATGAGAAAAATGAAGAAAAAGAAGTTGGATGGGTTGAAATAGCGGAGGAATTGAATAGGAGGGGTTTATTTATTTGATAGATTGGGATTTGGAGGGTTAATAATTGGATTAGAACCATTGATTTCACCGGAAAGATTGAGTTGTCCAGGATCGCCTATAACGACGATTTTAGAAGTGGATGATTATGAGAAATATGGATATAATCCACTTTCTGAAGCGATGAAGTATATTCATTGTAAAAATTGTGGGAGAGTGGTTTTGCAAAATGTTTTTTATAAACATGCAAAAGTATGTAATCAGTCTCAAGATGTTTCATCATCTACATCGAGGGAAGTATATGAAAAGACTATGGTAGAGTTGCAAAATGTATCTATGAAACGATCGAAGAAGAGGCAACATTCTGATGAAGGTGAGAGAATTGAATATTTTAAATAATTTTCTCATGTAGAAATCTTAAAAGATTCGGATACATCTACGGTGAATGATGCGAATAAATCATTGAAGGTGGAAAAATATGATTATAAAGACAAAAATGAACTTAAAAAGCTTAAATCGAAGAATATTCTTATTAAGCAAAAAGGTGATTTTTTTATTGTTTCTATTGCTATTTATGATTGTTCTAGCATCTATTGATCTAGAAAAACAATGTGGAGTTTTGCTTCCAAATGGTAATTTATGTTCCCGTTCTCTTACATGTAAATCGCATTCTATGAGCGCAAAACGTTCTGTTCCTGGTAGATCTAGACCTTATGATATTTTGTTGGTCCATTATCAAAAGAAAAACAAAATTAAACAGCAAAGTATTTGGCAATTTATGATTATGGCTATTTTTTAAATTATTATTAGAAGCAGCAACGATGTCATCTTTTGTTTTCGATGATTATGCATCAGATGCAAGACAAGTTGATTCTGATGAAGAAGTTACTTTGGTTATGGAATCGATTTTATGTAGTACTCCTTCTCCATTAGAGAGAAAAGTTATGGTTCCAGTACGTAAAAAACGTCGATTTTTTCGTTTTCAAGAAATGCTTTCTGTTGCTCTCTGTCAAGGTCAATGGCCTGGAAAAATTCAAGGCTCTGTTACTGGAATTCTTGGAAGAGTTATTCCATTTCATGTTAATTCTGATTGGAAAACTGATGAAAATACTCAATCTTCTTTATGACAATTTTACACTTATATTTTTCCTATTGAAAATTACATACGAACTAACATCCAATACCTTTTCATACATTTTTTAATTCCTTAATCTCACTAGGTCTTGTATTAAGGCACCGTTGCTGCAGTAACCTATGTTTATTTTGTTTCGATATATATCTTTATGCTTTGAATAAAAAATCAATATTTTAAATATAATTTTTGTAGGGATAGAAGTAAAATATCTTTAGAGCCAGCTGGCATGACGGCATCTTTGCATCAAATAGAGTTGGGGCTTTCTCATATGTCGGTTAATGAAAATCTTAGTTCAGGTTCAATATATCAAAAACCGGTGTCAAAAGTGAATAAGAAATATTAAATAAAAATGATTAATTGTTATATAGCAATTGGTAAAATCTCAATCTATTAAGGCTGATTTGAAGAATCAAGGGAGTTCACGACATCCATTACTTAAACTTGCAGTACATAATCAAAATAATCAAGTTAATGGAAGTAATATTTTTCAATCTAAACAAACTACGAATTCATCTAATACTGTTACTAATGTTGTTAATATTCCTGCGCAACAATGGAGAACATCCCAGATGTCTTCGTTGTCTCCTGGAAATTCAAAGAAGATAGTTAATTTATCTTTGATTGGAGACAAAGCATCCTTTGATGAAAGCAGGAAAATGCTTATTCCTCAAAGTGTTTCTGAAATTCATGAATATCATCTTGGAATGTTTGAAATTGGTCGTCCTCTTGGGAAAGGGAAATTTGGGAGAGTGTATCTTGCTCAAGAAAGACGTACAGGGTTTATTTGTGCGTTAAAAGTATTACATAAGTCAGAGTTGATGCAATCCAAAATAGAAAAACAAGTAAGAAGAGAAATTGAGATTCAATCTAATTTAAGGTAATACTATAATGAGCATTTATTTATGTTAAATTAATTAAAGGCATCCTAATATTCTTCGTATTTATGGTCATTTTCATGATTCTACTAGAGTTTTTCTTATATTGGAGTTTGCTGGAAAAGGTGAATTGTATAAGCATTTACGTAAAAAAGGGAAGTTTTCGGATTCAAGAGCATCAGAAGTATGTTGTTTTCATTATTTTAAATCTTTCTAATATGAAAAGTATATAGCACAAATGGCATCTGCGCTTTCATATTTGCATAAAAAACATGTTATACATAGAGATATAAAACCTGAAAATATTTTACTTGGGATCAATGGAGAAGTTAAACTGTCTGATTTTGGATGGAGTGTTCATGCGCCTAATTCAAGGTAAATATTTAATAAATCTTTTTTTCTTGTTTAAGTTTTGTAGGCGGAATACTCTTTGTGGAACTCTTGATTATCTACCTCCTGAAATGGTGGAAGGACGTGACCATAATGAGAAGGTTGATATTTGGTCTTTGGGTGTTCTTACATATGAATTTCTTGTTGGTTCTCCTCCTTTTGAAGATTTGAGTGGATACCCTGCTACGTATAAACGAATAGCTAAAGTCGATTTTAAAATCCCTGATCATGTAAGTTCTGAGGCTAAAGATCTTATTACTAAGGTATTATTTGTTTTTGATAATTTACGTTAAATGATATTTTTAAGCTTTTACAACATAATCCTGAAAAGAGATTAGCACTTGATCAAATTCCATTGCATCCTTGGATTCAAAAACATAAAGATAATTGGCATAAAAATAGAAATTCTGATTAATGTCATATTTAAAAATATATAAGTCCTAGTATCTTTTATTATAATATTTTAGTTTGATATGTATGAATAATTAGATTTATTTTTCACAATTATATAAAACACGCAAACATGTGCCGTATATTTATTCTTGATTTCATTATTATATGTATCCATTAATTTGTTCATTTTCTTCTAATTTCTTATTAAGATAATTTGTAATTTCTAATGTTTTTTTCAATGCAAGATCTAGGCATTTAAAAATATCTGATGTTTCTACAGTAATTCCTCCTGGTTTTGATATTTGACAAATTTCTTTATTTTTATTTAAAGTAATAATCATACATCCCTCTCTTAACCTTTCCTCTTGTAATGTCGTATCCATAAGTAATATTTGTCCTTTATTAAAAAAACTAAAAGTAACACATATTGGAATATGTGTTAGAACTAGAGGAACAGGAACTCGCTCCTCCATAGGATGCTACTTGATATTTAAAAATTATATTGTAATATACTTTGATCTTACAATAATAACTTCATCTCCCTTCACACTAACAACCGGCTTTCTAAAATGAAGCAATGCTGCTACTACTCCAATACATGTTACATCTATAAGATTACCATCATGGTTCAAATAATGAACATCTGCACGTATACTCCAACAATAATGTCCATAAACAATACATAACGATTCTTTATCGAGCATACGAGATTTCTTTATCGCCTTATCAATAACACTAATAATCTGTGTTTCTTCTGATGATCTGATACCAATTAAATATATTATACTTTTTTTCCACTAAATAAAACCTTCCTGACTCAATTGACGATTGGGCTACTGATGTTAACTCTATGTCAATCATAAATATCCCTTCATAAGGTCTATCTGGATAAGGTTCTGTAATTTCTGCTGAGATACAGACAAAAACTCTATTAATACATAAAAACACCCTCAAAAAACATGTATCGGCCCAAATCTACCTCGTCTTTCCAAGTGATACCTCTACTTGTCCATAATTATTACCAAATCTCAGGTTTAGATCTCTCCAGGCATTAAATTCTCTGCCATCCAGTCTAATATTATTATTTAAAGCTTCAATAATGAATTGTTTTTCATTTAATGACATATCTATATCTTTCTTCATATTTTAAATAGGAGAATCTAATGGTAATATATGTATAAATAGTTTATTTAAGTGCTGAAGGTTTTTTCCTAAGTTACTAGGTGAATATACGGATTTTAAGACGTCAAAAAAAGTGCTTGAAAAAACGGTAAAAAATATATGGAGAATAATAGAAAAACTAATAGATATTCTTAGTATTTGGTGGTTGTTTGATAGGGTTTCCTTTTTTTTTGAAAAAAAAAGGATAATAAACGGGTGAATAAGCGTCAAGAAAGCTTTATTTAAAGTTTGGGGTTTATATTGGCAAAATATAGAGGAAATAATAAAGATATTAGAAGGAACTATTAGATATAAGGATTAGAAAATGACTACGGCTCATAGGTATTTTTTCTAGAATGTTTTTTAAGCAAATATTTATGTTAGACCTACATATGATCCAGCAAGAGGAAAATCAAATGAACAAGTAGAGTTTATGATGATTTTTGTATGGTTTTATTTAGTCCTGATAGGCGCCTACACGTATGTTTTCTTCCAGGTCTTTGCCGGCATATACAGTTCTTAAATATAGGCAAATATATAAGGATAGAAGTAATGAAGGTTAATATTTAGAGTAGAGCAGTAGGACAGGCAAGCAGTGAGGAAATAGAGCAAAGAGATCTTCGTATGGAGCTTTTAGAAGCAGAAGCGTTACATTTTTCTAAAAAAGAAGATCCTTATGATATTAAAAAAATATCACAAAATAATGAACTTTTAAAGAACAATCATGAAGATTCTAAGATAAAGCGTGCAATGATTCTTCAAGAGACGAGAAATATAGATGCAGATGATGACAAGGAAGAGGAAAATGAGGACGATGAAGACAGGTTGAATGAGATATATTTATATTTAAGGTTAATATAAATAGTGAAGAAGAAGATGATGATGATGATGAAACAGCTGAGCTTTTGAGAGAGCTTGAAAAGATAAGGCGGGAGCGTGCTGAAGAGAATGAGAGACTTGTAATATATTTAGGAAAAATAATTGATTATAACATTGATATATTTTATAGGAACGTGAAAAGGCACAGAAGGATGAGGAACAAAGAGAAAGAGAAATAGCTATGGGGAATCCTTTGCTTAATATATCATCTAGAGATTTTAGTGTAAAGCGAAGGTATGTATTATTGATAGTCTGAAATTTAATAAAAAAACATAAAGATGGGATGATGATGTAATTTTTAAGAATCAAGCAAGAGGTATTTCTGATCGTCCGAAAAAGGCATTTGTTAATGATCTTTTACGAACGGAATTTCATAGAAAATTTATGAAACGCTATGTTAAATGATTAATATTTAATTTTTTTATTATAATTATTTTTAAATTTTAAAAAATAATAGTTTTTTAAAATATTTTTAGTTCCTGATAAAGTTTTTAAGCTATTGTATATTTTGCCTTTATAGTTTATATCTTCTACTTAATAATTTATCTAGTGTTTTTCAAAATATATGTATGTCTAAGAGAATAATTATTAAAATTTTACCCATGACTATAATTTTTAGATTAATAAATAAAAGAATTGCTATTTTTAATAAAAATTGTTATAAAAGTTGAATCCAATAAATAAATATAATGTAGAAATAATTTTATTCGAATAAAGTCGTTTTTGAGATTAAATATAATATTTTGAAGCATAATTGCTTATTAATGTTTATAATAAAATTGATGACATGCTTTAGATGAGTTTGAGTTTTAATTTTGTTTAAATTATGGTACAAGTATCTAAAAAATAAAATTATTTAAAAATGCTATCGCCAATTAATTTTAATATAAACTTGCAAGAATTCTCTTTATTGAACTTATAATAGACCTTTTTCTATTTCTTTTAAATATCTAACAAATCTTTTTTTATGAACCTGAGAATATTATTGTTTTTTCTTCAAAAAAGATCTACACTTACAACTCCTACGAATTCTGCTCCATCAAGTATACAAAGATATCGTAAACCAAGTTTAGAAAACATTTCAAAAACGAGTTCCATTGGTGCTTCCTTATTTAAACTTATTGGTGCCTAATTATATGTTATTTTATATTCTGATATTTTAAAAACTAAATACTTTATCTACATAAGACCGTAAATCAGCAGGATTTTGTAAAAAGTAAGAGGTTCCAGTATCAAGACTTGATGAAGAATCTGTAATTCCAAATGGCATTAAGTAACATCCTATTTTTTCTATATCTTTATTTGAAACTGAAGATTTGATTGTGTCTAGAAAATATGTTTAAATTCTATTTATATGAATTGAAATACCTAAAGCTTGTTCTAATTCATGTGCAGCAATATATCCAATAAGAGTTTTATTATAAACAATTGGAAATCCTCCATCAATATATCCCTCATTCTTAACGTATTCCAGCATATCTCTAAGTTTTGTATATGATACAGTAGAATTAAAAGATAAGTCAATTGTTGTATGATAAACTGTTATTGGAGGTGGTAAAAGTTCGGACAAATAAGATGAAAACGTATATTTGGATTTAGTATCGAGATAAGGATATTCTAATTATGTTGATAAACATATAAAAATAAGAAGAGTATACCATTTAGATCTATTAAAAGATCCTAATATTATTAATTTTATTGTACTAAAATTTTAATACTTACATATATTCCCTGCGGCTCTATAGCATCAGCAACCCATTTTGACACAAGAATAGATAGCATGAATGGCTAAAGATATTAATAATGCTTTAAATTATAGGAGTTAAATCTACCATAACATATGAAAGACTTCCAGTTAATTCAAACATGATTACAGCCAATGAAACTGTGATAATTTTAAAAACATATTAATTGAAAATGTTTTTAACCTGTCATTCTAGTTACACCTGCTAAAGTAGCTGCTGCTCCAACCATAGAATAAACACCTGGAACTATACATTCGTTTGGATCACCCAAAGGACATTTTGAAAAAATATATGCACTAGGATATGTACTATATTCTGGTTTAACTTGCAGTGTTTGATTAATTCTAAACTTACTAATAAAAAAATTGCACAATCAGACCAACAAATCTTCCAAATAATGTGCCAACAGCCATTGTTGGAATAAATATCCTAATTTGATAAATGATAATAATAATAATAATTAATAACCTTACCCTGCTGGAATTTTAGTACCAAATGTCACAATCTAAATGAAATTAGATATGTGAAATTATGAAATATTTTATACTGTAAAAGATCCTTTAATAATCAGTGCTAATATAAGAAGCATTGTCACTTTTGGGATCATTAGCTTATTTTCCGGACATAATCCTTCATTTAGTTCATTATTGTTGCATTCTTTGAGTAAATGGGAAACTAATTCAGTTCCACCAAGTTTTGTATATGGATTATGATATGAAATAATAGCAGTAAGAAGAGTGACTATAAAAACTTCGAAGGTAGGATGCTTTTTTATAAAACTTAATCTTCGAAATGTCTTTGCCCAGCGTATATTTAATTTGCAAAATAGACTACCATATAGACCTCCAAAAAGACCTAAGAATAAAAAAATAATAAGCTCTAAATAATGCCATTCATGGCTATAATGGGTCTCTAATAAGACGACTTTTCCTGTTCCATAGGGATTAAGAATCTATAAAACAATTAAATATATTTTTAAAACAAAAGAATTGCTAACTTTTAAAGTTATTGCTGCTACCATTGCGCAAAAAAAGCTTCTCCACATAGTCTTTGAAGGGAAGAAGTATGACACTTCCTTAAATTCATGTTAAAAATAAATAGAAATGTTAGTCTTTACCTCAAGACTAAACAGAACCCCTCCAATTGGTGCACCAAATGCCACAGCTACACCTGCTGCCGATGCTGCGCTCAATAATTCTCTTCTTTTTCCTAGGTACAATAAATATAACTCTTTTTTTAAAAAAAATATACCATCATTATAATTATATTTATTAAATAATCGACATGCAATATTTCCAATACAACACTATATATTAGCAATGGCAATTGAGAAGAATATTAAAATTACAGCAATATGTACAAATGGTCTATAAATAGTAAGAAAAATAGTTAAATAGAAGCTAACATACCCTTCTTTTCCTAAATTAAGGCCAGAAGCAACACTCAGAGTTAGTCCTACCACCTTTACAACTAATGTCCGAAGCCCAAGAAATTTATGAATAGTGAATCCTGAAAGGATTGTTTTTACCTGCTGTATTAACTTTAGAAAAAAAAAGAATTAAAAATTACCTCTGGGATACCACTACCAGATGCCATATACGCTACTTTTTCTACTTTAGAGTTATTTTTTTTCTTTGTTGAGTTATTTTGAGATAAATTTTCTGATGAATTTTTCATTGATACAGGAAAAGTTGTACGAGTAGTCATAGTTAATTGGGCTGATATTAGCGCAAAAAATAATGCTATTGCAATGTAAACAAGATAATCAACGATGTGTTGTTGTTTTTCCGGAAATTTAAAATGTTTTCCCCAGGTATTCCACTGTTTGCACCCTACAAGATCATCTATATTACCAGTTATAAAACTTAATAAAATCCCATGCAACTTTCCATCAAATGATTTACAGCACTTTACTTTATTGCTCCACCAATTGTCTATATTTGTTATTTTTTTCTCTTAATCTTGAAATTTGGTTACCTGAACAGTAACCAAATTTCCAATCAAAAAATATAGCTTCTACAACATCTATTACATAAGCAAGACACGAAGTAATAAATCCAGTAAAAAATACAAGAATCCATCCTTGACTAGCATCAAATGTATTCCTTATCCAACCTCTAATTCCCCTAATTGATCGAAGCTTTTTTGCTCTTGTTGCATCCTTAATAGTATCATGAATCCAATCTATACACCTTAATTATAACATAACCCCAAAATACACTGAAATCGAACCAATTGCATTATAATTATCGTACCAAATATGTTCGCCATTTAAATTTCTATGATCTTCATCTTCAAAAGCTCTATTAAAGATCTTTTTTGAAAATTTCTTGTGAAATGAACTACAAAACATCTTCGTCCTAGAAAATGACGAAAATTTATCTTCATTTAACTGTGGTACCGTAGAATATTGTCTTTATTATTTAATTGACATTTGCTGTTCAAACAAAATAACCTACTGGATTCCCCCATAATTTTTTATATTCTTTTTAGCTGATGGAGATATAAGATATGTTGTCTCTGTAGCATTAGAAGATATATTAGATATATCTTGTTTTATATATTGATGTTTATTTGATTTTTTAAATGCTTCAAAATCATATTGATCCTCCATTTCTAATATAAATGATTATTTCTTAAGATATTTTGTTAATTAAGTACTAAATTTAATTATTTATTATTAATTATATTTTTTTTTGATTTTATCATTCTATTATTAAAGATTAACAAGTTATAACCTACTTTTATAAGATTTTTAAAAAAAAAAGAGAAATATATATTAATAAGATTTAGATAAATGGATGTTATTTTTATGTTTAAATTAAATTAAAATTATATATTTTGAAAAATTTTTGTTTACTGATATATAGTTGTAAAAAGATGTAAAAAATCTGTATAGAAGTGATATTTATTTAATAAATAGCATTAGAGTTGGTGTTCTGTTTCTATATTTTACATAGTCATCGCCAAAAAATTGAATAAGAAGAATTTCTTCATCTGTAAATATAAATTAGTTTAATTAAAATGATGTATTTAATATATCTTATTCTTTTTGAAAAGAAAGCCCGTAGAATAATTATAAATACAAGAATAGAAATTGGGTTTATAAGCATGATTTGAGATCCTATTGCCCAGTAAAAAAATCCAAAATAGGATGGATGACGAATCCATCTTTTAAAATTGAATTTTAATAATAATGAAGGGAATAAAAGATACCTATATATACCATCTGTGACGAGAAAATGATCTTCACTTTTTTTTAATGATATTTTATGTGAAAAATTATGAGTAGCATGAATCATAGATAATGAGCGACATAATTGTCCACCACATGTTATAAAAAACCCTTAAAAATTATTATACTTTTTATAGAAAATTGTAAATTTCTTGAAAGACCTGTATAACTTATTAATTTGTACATTTTCATCTTAGGAAAAAATAGGTATTCTAATAAATATTCTAATATTGAAAAAGAATGTGCGATAATATATAAACTTCCATTAGAAAATAAGAATGCTTAGATCTCTTAGTTTTAGATAGTTAAGTGGTATCTGTTTTACATGAAATAGATACGTTTAAAGGGTTATAAAGTGCTGTGATCCAAAATTCTAAAAAATGAAACAATGAAACAATAGTAAAATATATAGTTAATTGTGAAAAATTAACATGAAATGATGCTATGAATGTCGATCCAATGATAATACCAAGAATAAGTGCTCTAATTGCTATTTTTGCTTTAATAAAATCCTCTTTAGATTCGTGATTTTCATTAAAGACCATTTTATGTTGATCATGTTCATCTTCCATCTTTCACAGGTTAAAATACAAGAGTCCAGGGAATTACAAAGGTTCTTATGTTAATTTTTTATAATTTTTGAATTCGATATTTATAATTAATAAAAATCTGATGTAAATATATATATATGTATATATGTATATATGTATGTTAAATAGATATATGAATTATTTCAAAGAATGTAAATCTTGTAGATGAATGAGCATTTTGTCTTTTAGTTCTATAGGAATAGTCCAAGAACAATTGAGTTTTTTTGAGTCGAGGAAATGTATCCATGTTAGTGATATTTCTAGATGCTCAGAAAAAAGCTGTTCATTTTGCTTTGAAAAATGTTTTCCTAATTTTTGAAAGATAATTAAACTAAGAATAATTATTTTAATGAGAAATTCTGCTTTAAGAGGATCATTTTTGTTGATTTTTTTTGGATGTTTAATTATGTCAATCCAGTTTTCCTGAGGATTTTGATATCTTTCTATAGCTTGGAGCAATAAGTCGCATTCTGATAGCTTGGTATATATACATGAATGATCTGATTCTTCCAATTCGTTTTTTATGAGATCGGTAGAAATTACATTCCAAATTCCCAAGTTATGAAAACTATTCCATCCCTCTTCTGTAGTAATTATTCCTTGTAATCCATCACATATCCATAATCGATAATCAATATCAGATGTATTTTTTTTATTCCATAAATACATAAACATATCCATTATAGATATCGCATATTTTCTTAAACTGTCGTCTTCTTTTAACCACAAGCATAATGATCTTACAGATGAAATTACAATTAGATCGTCAAAAATTTCAGGATCATTTTTCAATGAATTTTTATTTTTATTAAAATTATCCCACCTATCTTTTAAAAAATCTATTGATTCTTCAAATGCTTCTTTAAATGATCTTTGCAAAAGCAACAATTCTGAAAATTGAAAAATCACTGTTTCTGAATTTGAAAGATAAATGATCATAGACTCCAAAATTTCATAATCTGTTGAAAGTCTGTGAGATTCTTCGTTAATATCTTGAGATGTTAATTTCTTCATTACAGTAGGTAATATTGATCTGATATCCACTGATGCTAAATTAGTAAATAGTACACAAAAAGTCCTAGCTTCTTCTTCATTTGATGCAGATGATAATATAAATTCAAGATTCTGTAAACGAAGCATTAAACATAAAAGATTTGATGTCATTTTCCGAGTAGAATCAGCTTAATAAATTAATTAACTAAAATTGAAATCCAATCAAACATTACATTGATCTTCTTTTATAAGTGTATGTAAATTATTATATAATGCTTTTTTGATTTCCACATTTTTAATCAGAGCATTACAAATCTAAAAATGATAAATTTAAAAAATAATAGATATTGTTTTACTCCTGTATTTATATTTGAAAATACGTTATTAAAAAAAGAAAACATAATTAATCTTTTTTTGCCTTTGCTATTTTCTAGAATATTTATCATATCATTTATACATTTTTTGAGTGATAATTTAAAGTTAATCTCCTCCATATCTGATACTGATTTTATACATGCATGTTTCATCATATTAATCATCTTTTCAAATAGTACTAGATAAATTTATATATATATATCATTTTATCCAAAAAAATATACCTTCATCTAATGTTTCAATAAAATTATTCATATTTCTACACTGTTGACATTCTAATATCTTCAATGCACCCTGTTTTGACTGTGATAATATTGTAAGCAAGTCCAATGTAGAATCTATAAATGAAACATCCCTAAATTCCTTTAATTTTCCTTCTCAAACATTAATTCCCTTTCCTTCCTTCTAATATAGATATTAAACAAGGTATTCGATTAATCATATCTGGATGTTCTGATAGTTTTGGAAATGATGCAAATGAAATAAGAATATTTACTGCAAGAATCTTATATTCTGATGATTCTTCTGTTCCTCCACTTGATCTTAATAACCTATCAATCCATTTAAAGTCCATTGCCTCCCAACATTCATAACTTAATGATGGTTTTTTAGAAAGTATAGATGGTAATATAGAAATCGCTACAAATTTTGATGTATCCTCTTTAGATTTCATAAGAGAAAGACAACGTAAAACTGTCGTCTCTTCCATTCCTTAAAAAATTTGATTCTAGTTCATTTAAATCACCTTAAAACAAACTGCCGTTCTATAGGAATTAACGTCAACACTGAAATCCCTCTTAATTTTATAAAAACTCCCGGTTATCGTCTTTGTTTTATGTTTTTACCGTTTTATAGGTAATTTTGATGATTATTTCTGTTTTTCAGCGGTTTTTCACTGTTTTATTAGATGATTCAAGCTAATGGTCTACCTGAAGATTGGGAGATACGCTGTTCCCGCTCAAGAAATCTGCCTTATTACTATAATATAAATACACATGAGTCCTTCTGGGAGCCTCCGCCAGATGCTAATCTTGAAGTTCTAAAAGATTATATGATTAAGAATGGATTAATAACAGAATTACCAGAAGAAAATAAAATGAATGATGAAAAGATTCGTGTTATCCATCTTTTAGTGAAACATAGATATAGTAGAAGGCCTAGTTCTTGGAAGGAAGTGGGTATATTATGGTGAAATCTATTTAGGGATTAAATTAGGATATAGGCTAATATTACACGGAGTAAAGAAGAGGCTATGGATATTATTCTTAAATATGAGGCAAAAGTTCGCTCAGGAGACATTAGTCTTGGGGAACTAGCTATTACGGAATCGGATTGTAATAGTGCTAAAAAATCGGGGGATTTGTAGCTATTTTTATGTTTTTAAAAGGTTTATTTAAGATGATTTAGAGGTTTTTTTGGAAAAGGTGTTATGCAACGGGAATTTGAGGAGGCATCGTTTAGTTTACAACCAGGAGAGATGAGTCATGTAGTAGAAACTGCTAGTGGGTTTGTATTTTTATATATATATTTATATAAATTAAAAATAATTAAGTTATCATTTAATTGAAAGAATTGCTTAAGATTCTTTGAATGATTTTATTTAATGTTTTTTATGTGGTTCATACATGGCTAAATATATCTTATAATAGAAATATTAAGGAAAAAGAATGATTATTTTTATTGCTGGAGGTTTTAATTTTATCTTTTTAATTGATTTTATGATTTTATTTAAATAACATATTTTAAGGAAAATAAGCTTATTTTGGACTTGATTTAGACTTGTTTTAGCATTATTCTATTCTACATATTATATTTTTTAACTTTATTTTAAAACCTAAAAAATTAATGAATTGATAAATAATATTATAATTTATTTGTTATCTTTTTAATAAAATCCAAGAATGTTTTGTTCTGATTTTGAAAAATATGCTATTACTTGTATCTTTATAAAAATCATGCTTTTTCCAGCCTAGTAAAATGTTATATTTTGTTAATGATAATAAGCTAATAATATGTTAGTAGATCAACAGATTTTGAAGTCCATAGAAATTGGATGGTATTTTCTAAGTAGAATTTATCATTTATTAGAATTTTAATATTATTGAAGGCTTTAACATATAGTCTTCCATTATCTAAATGGTATTATGAAGTATGGAATGGGATAAGAAGGTGGAAATTGTTAATGATATGTATAGAATATGTCTCAATGGATGCTAGATTATCCTCCATTTTTTCCCTGGATGGAATATTTGTTTTCTTTGTTTGGACAGTGGATAGATGCAGAGATGTTGAAAATTAGTAATGTTAATTATGCAAGTAATAGGACTATATATTTCCAGAGATCAACAGTGATTATTACAGACTTTATGTTGATATATAGTTTAAGAAAGTAAGAATTGTAATATTTATGAGCGAAATCTTATGAATAGATATATTCAATTAAGTTCTCCAGAAAAAAAGTTAAGTAAAATTATTGCTATTTCTATTCTATTTTCTCCTGGATTTTTTATTGTTGATCATATTCATTTTCAGTACAATGGATTTTTATATGGATTGCTTCTTTTATCAATTTTCTATGCTAAGAATGCTGATAAAATTTTAAAAAGCAGTATCATTTTTTCGGTTTTATTATGTTTTAAGCATCTCTTTCTTTATGTGGCACCTGCATATTTTGTATATGTTTTGCGTGTATATTGTTTACGCCTAGACATGAGGGGAATTAATTTTAAGAATACTATTAAGTTAATTGTTTCAATATCTTTTGTTATAACATTAGCTTTTGGTCCATTCGTATATTATAATCAATTGAGTCAAATAAAATCTAGACTTTTTCCATTTTCAAGGGGTTTAACTCATGCTTATTGGGCGCCCAATATATGGGCTTTGTATTCTTTTGCTGATAGAGTTTTAATTGCATGTAGGATTATGTTTATATTGAAAAGTATTTATTTCTTACATTAATTATAGTAGCTCCACATTTGAATATTGTAGTTAAACAAGAAGCAACAGCTTCTTTAACTAGAGGATTAATAGGTGATACCTTTTTTGGAATTCTTCCTAATATTACGCCTACTACAACTTTTATTGTTACATGTTTTTTTCAAATGGTTATATTTCTATTGAAATATTACTTTTTTCTTATAAAAAACAGATTTATTTGGTTAAATTATTTATAAGGCCTACATATAATGTATTTCTTGGAGCAATTGTACTTTGTGGGTTTTCGTCTTTTATTTTTGGATGGCATGTTCATGAAAAGGCAATACTTATGGTTATAATTCCATTTAGGTATGTTTTTTTTTATTTTATAATTTTTAAGTAATTATTAGTCTTCTTGCTCTTAAAGATAGAAGATATTTTACAGCATTTTGTCCTTTGGTTGTTGCAGGATATGTTTCTCTTTTTCCTTTAATTTTTACCCCATTAGGTTTTCTTATACTTATTTAAAAATGCTTTATTAATATAAATTAGAAAGTTTTATTAAGTTTGTATACACTATAGCCTGGCTACTAATATTTCTTGTGCCTTTTGACACTATGGTACCTGCGTAAGTTTTTATTTCTTTGCTTTTAAAAGTGATGTATTAATATTTTTATAGATCAACAAAGAGAATTTTCCTTTTAAACCGTGCTTCTACCTTTTACATTTTTATGTTTATCCCACTTCTTATTTACACTACTTTTCTTCATAATTTAATATTTGGGTTAACAGGGAAATATGAATATTTTCCATTAATGTTAGTTAGTATATATTGTTCTTGGGGTATTTTATGTTCATGGTTTGGATTTTCGTTATTATACCTTACAGATTTATCATGAAATATGTATATATGATAAATATAAAATATGATGAAACTCTTTCTATATATTTAAAACATTTGAATTTCATGGGTTTTTGATAGATGTGTTTCCCATTCCTGGAATAGTATTTGAATTTGTTGATATTTTTAGTAAATTTTGCATATTTTTTCCTGATGATACAGATGCAAGACCGGGTGGAATGAAATGAGAATATGACATTGTTGAAAAGTTATTTTGATTTTTGAGATTAGATAGTGCTTGTAAACCAGGAAGTATAAAGTTTTGCGATTTAGGTGATTGTTCTGTAGAATTAGTATGCTGTTGAAAAAGATAAGGCTCGTTTTGTTCTGTTAAAATATCTGTTTCTTCTTCTTCCTCTTCTTCTTGAATCTTTTTTGACACTTTTTCTGTAATTCCTAAAGCTTCTGCTGCTTCCTCACCAATATAGTATTTGTCTTTAAAAGCAATAGGGTCTCCAGGACGTGCTCTAGCCCAAAAACGTGTATATCTATCATTTGAACCTGTAGCCAAAATGTGACCAAGAGGATGATATTGCATAGACCAAATAGATGATTCATGAGCATAAGGTATAGAAACAGCAGGATTACATAATAATGAAGACGTAGAAAATGAAATACTTGTTTTAGTTTGTGAGTTTTCAGGTAAGGAAAATTCGTCAATAATATAATGGTTTATAACACCATTTGCACTGCCTGTACTTAAAATAGATGGGATTACAGGATTCCAGGCTAAAGATGTTACATCTTTTTCGTGTCCACGTAATATTCTTAAATCTTTCATAGTTCGAATGTCGAATATACGAGTAATACTATCTCGAGAGCATGTAGCCAAGAGATCACCATGAGTTGGTTGAAATGTTACTTGATATACAGTATTTTTATGACCATGTAATGTCGTGAGACATTTTCCTGATCTGGGGTCCCATAACTTAACAAGATTATCTTTTGAACCAGATACTAACAATCCTTTCGAAGGATGCCAGTCAATAGTTCTTACATCCCATCCATGGCCTGTAAGTTTTTGCTCTTCATGTGCCTCGGTAAAATTCCATATTTTGATACTGCCGTCATCAGAAGCTGTAGCAAATTTATTATCTGAAGGAGAAAATCTAAAATAGAATTAAATTTGATGAAATATTTATCAATTGTTTACGAAATATCTCTAACTGCTTCTGAATGTGCATTCAAAACTTTTACATTGTTCATGTTAGGTTGCCAATATTTAACAATACCCGATTGATCTGATGATAAAAAAAAATCTCCTGAATTCGACCATTCACATGATCTTATAGCATGGTCATGAGCCTATATATTTATATTATTCTCTTATTAAAAAATATATTATAATACTTGCAAAATCGTTTCAAAATTAAATGTCAGACCATTCCACAAAGTAAATTCTCCACTACTTGAGCCTGTCAATAATCTTCTTCCATCCGGCGTCCATTTTACAACATTTACCGGATGCTTCACTTTGTTTGAAGATGAATGTATATATTTGATAGGAAGATTTAGTGAAGGATTATATTTATATGCAAATGGTGGTAATAACTGAAAAAATAAATATAACCCTTTTTTTTATTATATCTCACATCAATAATAAAATTTTGATTTGGAAACATATATCTAACATCTTTAAACGACGTCATTCTTGTTCTTCCTTGAAACCATCTCGTTATTCCACTTCCATAGTCAACTGTTCGTCGTTGCATAGGTTTTCTCATAGGATCCTTACGTTTAATCCCTTCTGATTGATCTACCTCCAATTGTTGTTGCGTCATCTTTTTTTGATCCTTTTAATTCTATTTTTCATAATAAATCCAGAATCCAGTTCTTCATTATAAATTCATATATTTCTTCTTAAATTATCCTTATTTACTTAATTTTAACTCTTATAATGGTTTATTCTAATAATACAAGAACCTGCATATTAATTTTGCTGTAAAAATTTAAGGTACATACGATCTTACATATTTATAGAAAAATACAATTTCTCTATAAATATTAGATTATTTCTTCGTTTTATATATTTAGAAATGATGCAACCTGTTTTTATATTAACTTATATTTAAATTTCATGTTTAAGATTTTCACTTTTTCTAAATATAATTTGATATAATTATTAATATTTTTCATATCAGATTATATAAAAAGAGTTCATTATTGATTTAATTACTAAATTACTAGTTTCTTAGAAAGTTCAGCTTACAATTCATATCTAAATAGACTTTAAATTATCATATAATTGTATTTTTAATCTAGTTAACATTGTTTAATATCTATTAATACAATGGATTTAAACTAAAGCTTTTTAAATATAATATTTAGATTAGTGTAAATAGCCATAAGATTTGCTATGTTTTTTTCTTATCTATTATTGACTATATTTTGGTTATAATTAAATTTTCTGAGAAAATATCGAAATTGAGATTAGCAAATTGTCTTGTTAATAATAAAAATACTGTAAAGTCAATAAAGAATAGTATTATGGCACGAAAGGTTATTATTATTATTATGTATTAATGAATTTACGTTTAATTATAGACTAATTTGCCTTTATGCTCTCAAATAATAGTAGATTCAGCGACCGGTTATCCGGGAAATACAACGAGAGAACAAGATCTAAAGGTGGAGGAATTGCGTAAAGAACTTGAGGAAGAGGGATTCTCTGAGCGTTTGGATACGCCATCTATGGTTTAATCTATTTTTTAAAGCTAAATATGAAGATTGACATGAAAAAATATTAGTTGCGGTTTCTTAGAGCTCGTAAATTTGATGTTTCCCAGGCAAAGATTATGTTTGTGGAATGTGAGCAATGGAGAAAGGATTTTGGGGTAGATGAAATTATGAAGACGTTTTGTTACAATGAAAAGGCAGATATTTTTAAATATTATCCTCAGTATTATCATAAAGAAGATAAGGTTTATATTTTATTTTTGAGTATATATGCTTATGAATATTATAAGTATGGTCAGCCGGTTTATATAGAACATCTTGGAAAAATAAATCTCAGTGAAATGTATAAAATTACTACGGAAGAGAGGATGTTGCAAAATCTCGTTTTTGAATATGAGAAATTTATTAATTATAGATTGGTAAATATATGTTTTTTAATTAGTTTATTTTAATGAGAAAAGCCTGCATGTTCTAGAAAAAATGGAAGACTTATTGAAACATCTTGTACAATTATGGATCTTAAAGGTGTTGGAATTTCTAGCATTAGTTCAGTATATAGTTATGTTAAAAAGGCAACATTTATTGGTCAGGTATTTTTATGTTTAAAATTTTGTATAGTATTAATTCTTTTATAGGCAAGATATCCAGAAAGAATGGGTAAAATTTAGTACATTAAAATATTTCTTTTAATGTTTGTTTTTTAGGTAAATTCTTTATGATTAATGCTCCTTGGGGATTTTCATCTGCATTCAAAGTAATAAGACTTCTTTTGGATGCTTCAACTGTGAACAAAATATATATTCTTGGGGCAGATTATAAATCAGTTTTATTGGAACAAATTCCAGAAGAAAATCTTCCAAAAGTACTTGGAGGTACCTGCGAATGTGATGGTGGATGTGAGTTTTCTGATGCAGGTCCATGGAACGATCCTAAATGGATGCAACCTTCTAACGAAATTGATTTTCAGAAGGTTAATAATAATGAAATAAATAAAGAAATTTTTTGGCAGTCGTGACAAGGATTTATTGCTTTTTTTGTCGAGTTGCATTGTTAATTAAAAATAAAACATATTTCATTGATTTTTCTAAATGCAGAAACTCTTTTAACAAAAAAAGGAATTGTGGCTTATCGTAATGTTTTTAGATGATTTCTTTTAATGTTTTGGGATACATTTGCTGGGAAAAGATTATAAACATAGATAGTTGCATTAGAAAATAGTTATTATTAAAAGGTTTGATGTATATGCTTTATTGTACAATTGCACTTTTTTGAGATATTTTTATAGTTTGATATTTTTCATTGGTCTAATATTCTAATTCTCATAAAAATGCTTTATAATTTCTACAGACTTTTCAAGTTTAGCACATGTAGTTGGAATTGACTGGTGTAGAAATTAGGAATTTTCTTGGGAATTTATATATATTACCGTTTTTAATTGTTTCATAACAGATATTGCATTGGAATATTCTTGTCTGATTTCATCTCCACGCTGTAATTCAGGTTCTATAATATGTTCTGTTTTTATACTTTTCATTAAAGGTTCCTCCGGAAATTTTATTTTTATTTCAGTTATATCTTGACTATTCTTATATTCAAATATTTTTCTTGGTATTTCTCTTCTCAGTTGAGTAGTTTTTAGAATTGTTTCTTCAATTTCATTATGTAGCGATTGTAGTTTATTGTTTAAATCATAATTAAATGGTTCCAGAATTGTAGCTAATTATAAATATAAGTAATATTCTAAATCATATTTTACGTTACATGAATCATCGATTATTGTTTCTTGTGCTTCAATCCCATTAATTATAATGTTTGGTTTGGCTAATTCAAATGTTCTCGTTATAAACTAATTTTAAGATTAAATAATTAAAAAAATATAATCATAAAATACATTTTCCAATAAATTTTCTACTTTTTCCCTTAATATATCTTTCGAATTGTTTGAAACATTCTTAGGCATATGTTTTTGTAGTTTTTCTTCAATTGTTTTGGTAAAGTTTACTGATAAATATTTAAGATCTGCTGCTCTAAATAAATTATAAAACAGAAATATTCAACATAACTTTTTCTTACGAATCTAATGATATTTTTGATAATGATTTATCATATTCAAAAGACATACTTTATAATTTTATTTTTTATTTCAAATTTCTACGTTAATATTATGTTTTATAACTTTGTAAAAAAATATATCACTATATGACCATTGACCTTCTTTTTCTTAATAATATCTTATCATTCATCCTACTCTTATCCTACTCTTTACCCTATTTTTAACTCTTACTTTCATATTAATGGTTTATTTATAATTTATCTACCTATAAATAATTGTCTAAAATAATACTACTTTTAAATAAAATACTCCTTCATACTAAAATATCTACTCTATTTCTTATATATCTACCATCCTATCCTCTTTTTTTTTCATAATAATCTAATCATCCTAAAACTATATCTCATCTTCATAAAACTATATAACCCAAAAACATAATCCTCTATAAACTACAATAAAAAATACAAAATATTTTAAATAATATACACTGATTTCTTTAATTTCCTTATATTTTAATATTTTCCTAATATTAACTCTTATGATGTCCGATAAAAAGACCTATTTATATACTTACGAAAGGCATAGATTAAATTAAACTTATAGTTATTAAGAAGATAGATAGATTTAAGAGTGTTATTTGATGCTATTTTTCAGTGAATATTATGCTGTGGATATTTTTGTTTTTGTTTTTTCCTGGAAAGTTTATATTAGGGAAGGATTTTTCAGAAGAAACAACACAATCTCTTCTTAATTCAGCGTCAAAGCTTTTTGAAAAGGGAAAGTTATCAGAAGCTATTAGTCTTTATGATGAAGCTATATGTAATAATTTGTTTTTGATTATTAGATGGTTATTTATTTTATATATTAGCACGAGATCCATCTAATTATTTAACATATTTTAAGAGGGCAACAGCATTGATGTCATTGGGTAGAAATCATATGGCTATAGAAGATTTTTCAAAGGCAATTGAGCTTAAGCCTGGATTTAGTGGTGCGTTACTTCAAAGAGGGAAACTTAGAGCTAGACTTGGGGAATGGGAAAATGCAATTCAAGATTTGAAACAAGTAAATGATTATCAACAGGTATAGCGAAAACTTTATAATGAAGGAGTTTTTTATGTTATTTTAAGTTAAAAGAAGTGATGGATGCACAGAACCATGCAACGATGGCTACAGTGTCTTTTAATAAGGGTAATATAGAAGAATGTTTGGAACATTTAAGAGTTGCTATTTCAGTGGCGTCATTTGTAGTGAATTTAAGATTGTTGCGTGCGGATTCTCATATAATTCTTGGTAATGTAGGGAATGCTATTAAAGATTTGATGTTGGTTATAGTATTTTAAATAAATCTTGTTAATGTTATATATATATAGACATGCGACTACATTGGATCCATCTTCAACACATCTTTATATTACACTTGCTGATCTTCTTTATTTTTCGAAATATGACTCGCAAAATGCTATATCTCAAGTTAAACGGTGTTTACACTTTGATCCAGAACATAAAAAGTGTAAACAAATATTTCGTACAATGAAAAACCTAGAAAAGGGCATTAAAAATGCCAGAAAGTTAATAAATTCTGGGAAATGGGCTGGTGCGGTTGTAATTTTGATAAATGGTTCTGGCGAAAATGGTATTTTGGATTATGTGGAGAACAAAGTTAAAGAACTTGAAAAAGAAAAGTTAATTACGTCAAATAGTCCAAAGATTCTTTTGTCTGAGCTTAGAGAAATGGCATGTAAAGCATATTCTGAGGTGAGCAATTTTAAAATAATCTTAAATCCTATATTTCTTATCAAATAAAAGATGGAAAGATATTCTATTTCTGAGAAATATTGCGAATTAGCGTTAGCTCTTAATCCTCAGTCTATTCCTGCTCTTTTGGATAAGGCTTATATGTTAATGAGGAATGAATTGTATGAGGAGGCATTAGGAATATTGTCTAAAGCGAATGAATATGCACAAGGTCAAGATCGTACGATAAAAGAGAAATATAAATTATGTCAAAAGCTCCTACAGCAGTCAAAGAGAACGAATTACTATAAAGTTCTTGGCGTTAAAAGAGATGCGACCTTAAAAGAAATAAAAGCCGCATATAGAAAAATGGCAAAAATATATCATCCAGACAAATATAGAGGTAATATGTCTAAAGAGGAAGTTCTTAGGAAAATGGAAAATATTAACGAAGCATGGAATGTTTTATCTAATCCCGGTAATTTTCATGTTATTATTAACACATGAACTGATATGAGTTAGAATTACGTCAACGATATGATAATGGAGATGATCCTAATGACACTGGATCAGATAGTTCCTATCAAGGTTCTCCATTCTTTTTTTTCCAGCAAAATGATAATTATGAATTTTATCGTGAATTCTTCTCTGATAGTTTTTCTAATTAAAAATATTATTAAAACTTTTCATGAATTTTTGAGACTTAGTGAAACTATTGTGTATATAATTTTTAATAATGAATGTAAACATTTAATATGAACATTTAATACTTATTTTAAAAACATTTTTATTTAAAATATAATTATTGATTAGAATTTATTTTTATAAGTTCAATTATGCTTATTCTTTTTTCAGGAAGCATGGAGTATTGAAGAGTATAAAGTTTTTCTCTAGGAATTATAGGAACTATGATTCCTCTAATTAAGTTGATAATTATTTCTTTGGAAAAATAATGACACTTTAATCTTTCAAATAGTCTTGAATATTGACAGAACATGGATTCAAGTGAAAGAGGTATAGACTTAAAACGTTAGTAATTATATAAAATTTTTATAAATGCTAAACCCTTAAAAATATGTAAGATGTTTGAATAGGTTTTAAAGATATTTTTGATTTATTTGAAGGTTTAAAGTTCACTAACTCAAAATGAATTCCTCCTATATGCAATGTAAATGGAAATTCTAGAATTAGTATAGTCATACCTGGAAGACGAAAAGGATCTTTGATTCTTAACATAATTGCAAATAAAGGAAAGTGGTTTGTAAATGTTAGAGCAGTATCCAAAATAGCTTTTATAAATATTATAATCATACGGGCTGAAGCGAATGTAAAATAAAATGCCAAAATTGTTGGAAATAAGAATGCAAATAATGTAAATAAGATAGTCCCCAGAACTAATTGATCTATGCCATAATCACAAGAATCAATCCTATTCCTTAATATATTTTTTTTTTTTCCACGAAATAGATGAAATAATGATATTAAAATAGTGAGCTGCCAATTATATATTAGAGCAGATGCAATATAAAATATATAAATATGAAGTGTTAGCAGAGATAATGCATCGTTTAGAAATGAAACAAATATGGAAAATCCCATGAAACTAGGTATTGCTGCTATCTGGATAAGAATTGGAAGATATGAGTTTATTGTTATAATCCATCCTAACATTCAAATATAAAAGAAAAAGGAAAAATTAAATATTTACCTTTCCAAATCTCTAAAAGCCTTAAAAAGAGGTTCCCAAGAAATCCTGCTAATTCGCTGTTTAATTTCAAACCGGCTGGCCAATTCATTAACCAAAAAACCATATTATGTAAACTTTCTATCGTATATATCTATATATATTAAAAAAAAATCATATGCAATTTTATGATATTTATACATTAGAAATATAATTGATACTTTGAATTAATTTGTGTTTATTTTCTATAAGATATGATCCAAAAATTATCCCAATTATTATATCATTAGCAATCAACCATAAATTATTATAAAAACGAATGTAGTTAGGATAACTTGTTGTAATGTTTAGATATTCTTTTTTTCTGTTTAGTAATGCTTGATATTGAATAGGCCAGTAACAAAACTGTTGTAATCTCATATCAATTTGCTGAACTAAAATATATTAATCTTGTTGTTTCTATTCAGTTATATTACCTATTGCAGAAATATCTTTTAGAGAAATCCAATTATGATATAATTTCCATTCAATTATATAAAGAATAGCTTCAGAAATTGCTTTTTGAATCAACATAATCCAAAATATAATAGTAGATAGAAATTGAAATAAATATAAATATGTTTTTTTAAAATAGTCTGTATTTTTTTGTATTTTAGTAGATAAAGCTAGAGGCCTGCTATTATTATGATTATTACTATTATTATTAAAATGTTCTTTAATAATATTTTTCAGGACAATTGAAAGCTCTCTATTGTTGTTAATCTTTAATATAGTTATACTCTATTACTATTATTGCTATTATTATTGTACCTGTTTTAATGTATTTTCAGAAAAATACAATTCTGGATTTTTTAACAACTTATAATGAAAAGCATGCATTTTCAACCGCTCTTGAAGCTCTGATTTTTTTGTAGTGTTATCCTTAAAATCTATGTTTTCCGTGTTAATTTTCTTTTTAAGTTCCAATCCTATAGGTTTAAGAGAATAATACTGCATTTTATAAGAGTTCGGGCTATAATATAGAATAACTTGGATAGTTTTCGAAAAATCTTTTTTGCTATAAAATTGAGGAAATTTTGTATTTTTGTCCAATATAGCATCAATCCAAACTTTTTCGTAATCAAAAATACATTTACAATTATTTGATGTAGAACGTAATGTCCCGATAATTCTAGGATATTGTTTATTACATAATTTTTCGATTTTCCTAAATGGTTCCTTTTTTTCCTGGATTATTTGCTGAATATATTTTTCTAGTATGTCTTTCTAAAATACATTACTAAATTAATTAATTTGTTTATTATAAACCTCAATGTTTTTAATACATGTGATTACAAATATATCATTTTGAGAGTCCTGAAGACCAATTAATAGTCCACATTCCTCGTATTTGATTATATCTATGGGCCAATATATTCTAATTAAATCTTGCAACATATTGTTTTCTTAATATATTAAAAACTTCCTCTTCTTTTATACTGTTCCCTTGCTGAAATATAAGAAGATCTATATGGATACTAATCCAAAAATTATTTCTGATTTACATAGTTAACTTTATTCATACTCTTTTTGCTTCTTTTTTAGCAATTATGATCAAAGGAATTAAAAATAACAAATAACATAAACTTAGAGCAATTACGACATAACTAATTCTTGTCTATTTTCCGATTAGAAGTTTTTAGAAAAAGTTAAAAGCTAAAATATTACAAAAGTTCCTGAGTTCCAAAACTCGCTAATTAAATAAGAAATTTTATTAAGAAATGAATATCGTGCTGTTAAATATCCCGAGAAAAAAATAATAAAAAATGTTATTCCTAAAGACAGCTTCATTTAGACAAAATATTTTTTATTTGTCTTCATTTTTAAATAATAAAAGTTTAGATATTAAATTCGGTTAAAAAAATTACAGAAATGATCATATTTTAATTTATTAGAAATAATTCAATAAATAAGATATATATATATTAAATTTTTTTATATAAATAGTTATATTATGAAGACATCTAATTAAATATTTTAAATATTTGTTTTTTTTTTAAATGTCTTAATAAATTAATAATTTGAAGTTAATAAAAAATATAAGATATTTTTTATTTTATATCTAAATAGAAATAAAATATCATCCAAAAGGTAGAAGACGTTTTAGATGTTGTGTTTGTGCACCTGATTTTCCTTTATCAGCATATGTTGCTTTTCCAAGTCTATTTAGTCGAGAATTGCTTTTTCCTGTATTAAAATAAGTGAGATATTTCACGCAAAATCTATATTCATAATTATGCCTGAATTTAAATGTGATTTTCCTGCTTTTCTTCTTTTAAATTTTCCTGAAGATAATGCTTTCCATCGTTTTTTTGTTCCAGAATGTGTTTTAAGATTGTTTACTATGATTTTAGATTTATATACATTTGTAATGACTCTTGAAAGTGGTGTTATTAGATTGTTTAAATGAATATTGATTTTTGAACATTTAAATAAAAATACCATAATTCAACGTTAGGATTGTTTCGACATGAGATAAAAGTTTTTTTGAAAAAAGATTGTTTTCAAAGCAGGAAGATATAAATGCGTAATATCCTTTGACGGATAGTTATTTTTTGTTTATATGGACCCTGCGTTGTTTTCGAATTTTCAAGATCAATTATATGGTATGTTTTAAGATAAAGTAAAGGTTTAGAAAGGATGACATAATTAGAGTCTCTTATATCGGCGACAAAGGCTGTAACTGTTATTGGATCACAGGATATTAATTTTTATTGCTCTTTGGATCCATATTTTGCTTCTTCATTGGCTAATTGTAATAAACGATTTTTGGATCTTATTAATTATCTGCTTCATTCAGTATCATCAGATGGGTTTGGAAAAATTGAAGATCATGATGATCTCAATTATAAGTGGTTGGATATAATAGATGTTATTGATTCCCTTTTCGAAAAAGCAGTATGTTGATATCTTGTATTGTTTAAAATTTTAAATTTTAAAGGATATTTCTCTTGATGAATTTATTGAATTTTCTAGACGTTCTGATCATAAGACAGAGAAGAATATATCAAAATCTTTAAAGGTATTTAAAATGTCTTATGTTCGTGATTAATTTAAAAAAAAGACTTTTAAAGAGAAAAAACAGCTTGCACATAAGCTTATTCATGACGAAAATATTTCAAGGCCTCAGTTTCGCTTTTCTGTTGTTCCTGATAATAATTCAGATACACCTTGGAAAAGGAAGATTACAGTTAAGCCTAATGCTCTTGTGCCATTAGAGGATTGTATATTAGAAAGCAATGATAAAGGATATAAAGCCGGCAAGTAAGGATAAATATTATTGAGGTTGTGATCTAATTATAAAACAAGTTTACCTCATCCATATGAATATGAAATTAATAATATAAGATATTCTGAAGACTTGTTTAAAGAAAAAACGCCTGTAGACCCTATTTCTTTTGATAGTTCTAAGGCTATATGGGTCAACAATGTTAATTCTTTAGAAGAAATGCTTAAAGATTTAAAAAATACAACGGAAATTGCTGTTGATTTAGAGCATCATGATTATCGATCATATCAAGGATTTGTTTGTTTAATGCAAATTAGTACTAGGAGAGCCGATTGGATAGTTGATACTTTAGAATTGCGTGAAGAATTGGAAATTTTGAATGAAGTTTTTACAAACCCTAATATTATAAAGGTTGTTTGTTTTTATGTTATTTTTTATGGTATGATTTATTTTGTTAGGTCTTTCATGGTGCATCTATGGACATAATATGGTTGCAGAGGGATTTTGGACTTTATATTGTTGGGCTTTTTGATACATATCATGCAACAAAGATTTTAGGATTCGAAGGACATAGCTTAGCATTTTTATTAAAAAAGTATGTTAATTTTAATACTGATAAACGATACCAGTTAGCAGATTGGAGAATACGGTAAATTGTTCTCTTTATTTTTTTTAATAAATAGTAATTTTTAGTCCTTTACCTGAAGAAATGCTTTCTTATGCACGTTCGGATACTCATTTTTTACTTTATATATATGATCATTTAAAAAATGAGCTATTACTAAAATCTACCTTAACTCAAAATCTTTTGTTATCAGTTTTTTCTGCATCTAATAATGTTGCTTTAAAGGTTTTTGAAAAAGATAAATATGATGTAGATGGATCAGGTGTAGATGGATGGAAAAGTATACTTCAAAAGTGGAGTAATTGTTTAACATGTGATTTGCAAGTATCAGTTCTTATAGCTTTGCACAAATGGAGAGATAAAGTTGCTAGGCAAGAAGATGAAAGCGTTAGATATGTTTTACCGAATCATATTCTAGCTCAAATAGCTATAAATTGTCCAAAAGATGCTGCCTCTGTTTTTGCTATTTGTAATAATGTTCCCCCTTTAGTTCGTGTTTATGTGGATGAAATGGTTAAAATAATTCAATTAGCAAAAGATGAATTGGAAAAGTCATCTATATCAAATAGCTCTGAAGTTACTTCTAAAGTTCAGGATATAGATACCTCTGACAAATCTCTTATAATGGATGATGTCAATTCTATAAATCATGATAAGTTGTTTGAAAATAATATTGCTAATGAAAAGCTTATTTATCTTGTTGCTGAAACATCTCTGCTTTGGGGCAAAGCTATTGAGAATTGTGATCTCAATGATTCAAGATTATCTATCATAGAGGGGATATTGAGAAATATGAAATTAGTTGTATCATTGCCTTTTTTTTCAGAAAAAATGATTGTGGACAATCGTATATCTATTGATAATGATAATCGTATATCTATTGATAATGATAATCGTATATCTGTTGATAATGATAATCGTATATCTGTTGATGTGGATAATTGTATATCTGTTGATAATGATAATCGTATATCTGTTGATGAGGATAAAATATCTGCTAAAAAATATGATATAATTGATAATATATCTATAGAAAAAGGTGATACTTATTCTGTTTTTTATTATTCATTTGTTGAGAGATTTAGAGCAAAAACAAGATCAAAGTGATGATATTATTGTTGTTAAAAAATTGGGAAGCAAGCAAAAACGTTTATTTGAAATTTCTGAAAATAAATCTGAAAATGTCACTATTGATGAAGGTAATGAATTTCTAAATGAATTTGGTAGGAATCTATTACTGGATAATTTCTCTGGTAATTTAAAAAAAAAGAAAAAAAGAAAGTCGAACAAAAAAGCTAAATTAAAAGGGAAACTTCTAAATTGTGATGGAGATTCGAAACCATATGATTATGAGAAAGATCCTTCTTTTTTTAATCAATTAAATAGCAATTATGAATTAAAAAATGAAAATATTAAACTTTTTACGAATACTAGTGTTAATCAATTTGAAAAACAATTAAAGCGGCCGAAACGCGAAAATGCACCAAGTAGTGGTCTTCGTAGCATGGTTTTTGGGAAATAAGAATATATATATTATAAAAAAGAATCATATATTTTTTAATTAAAATAGTAGACATATAATATATATTAATAGCCTAAAAGTTCGTTAGAAATGATAAGATTTTTCTGTTGTATTACAACACTTGCAGTCAAAAGGGCACATAGGTGTATCTTTACCCTTTCCAATGTCAAGTTCTTCTTCGTTGTATATTGTAAATCCTTCTTCAGTTTTTCTATCTATTTTAAATTCAATAAAAGCTCAAAATATGAAATGCTTGTATATTACGTTTTGTGGATCCTTTTAAATTTATAAAATCTACCTCTTCATTTTTTCTTTTAAGATTTATTTGGGATTTTGATCCAAAAAGTTCATATGTATTAAGTTTTATAGATTTTTGTTTATCTTCGGATTTTATATTTGATTTTGATTTTAAAGGTTTCAAAATATCATTTATTTCATTTTTAAGTTTGTCTATATATATAGTTAGTTTAAATATTGATAATTTTAAGTAACTATTTTATTTAAAATAGCTACTTGATATTAATTAAATAGATAAAACATTCCTAAACTTGAATCTGTATTTAAAAGTGTTGATTTTTCTAATTTTGTAGAACATGTTTTATTTTTTTTTTTTTTTCTTTTCATATATTTTAAATTTTATCAAATGATTTGTAATTACTATTTTAATAAATTATGTTATTTTAAAGGAATTGTATAATATAATAGTCAGTAAGCTTTTATTAAATGTTTTAATTAAAAATATTATTATAAACAAAAAATTTAAAACATTAATATTTAAATATATTTAATTTTATATATCTTTGTTGAAAATATACAAAAATAAAATTTTGAATTTTATTATATTTAGCAATTTTTCTTAAATTTTCTTCTATTGATTTATTACTTCATGAATATTAAATTACAATTTATTATTTAAGAAATTATATATATTTATTTATATATATTTATTTATGTTTTCTAAAATTTGTTATAAATATTTTTGGAAAGTAAAAAGCAAATAATTACTTCTTTTATTATTTTAATATAGTTCTTTGAGTAATTCTTTAAAAGAATTAAACCTAACCCTTTTTATTAAATCTTAAAGCCACGTATCTCGAAAACGCCAAATTGCATTTATATTTGATTTATGAATTAAGTTCTTAAGATTATTTTTACTTATTAGGCTTATACAATAGTATGTAGAGTTTTATGTATAAGGGATTGTTTTAAAAGTCATAGGAATTATTTTTATTTGTTTAATCATTCAGATATTTGGATTAGCGCATGAAATTGGACGTGTATAACATTGTTATTTAATTTTTATTATTATTTAGATTAGAAGTTTTAGTATGGAGCGAGTGAGCAAAAGATATAGTACGGTGACTTTATATTTATCAATGGCATCTCATGGAAATGAGAATGTCGATGACGAACTTAGTCAAGGTATGTAAAGGCAGAATTTTATAATTTTGTTTAACTATTTTTTAAGCTCAAAAATATTTAAGACAGTTGAAGTCTCGTATTTCTGAGCAATCTAAGAAAAATTTTATTCTTGAACGTGATGTTCGTTATATTGATTCTCGTATTGCTCTTTTAATACAAAATCGTATGGCACTAGATGAGGTTTTATTTTCTATTTGAATGTTGAACTTGAAGTTAATTTTCTTAACAGAATGAAATGGCAGGGCATCTTGATGACTCTTCAGAGCTTCAGAAAGGTGTATTCCCTGATGATCGGAAATTACAAGTGAAATTTTTATTATTATTTATAAATTTATATTGATTAAAATTGTTAGAAATATGGGAATTTGTTTTTTCTTCTTCAAACAGAACCTCGTCACATAGCAACTCTATGTAGACTCGTTACTCTTTCTGAGATTGATTCATTTCTTCAAACAGTTATGTTTACTATATATGGAAATCAATATGAAAGTCGTGAAGAACATCTTCTCCTTACGATGTTTCAGGTTATTTTTTATGTCTGCGTATATTTATATTTACTATGTATTAGTCAGTACTTTCTTCCCAATTTGATCATGCTACTGAATTTGTTTCTCTTCTTCGATCTAATACTCCTATTTCACGTATGATGACTACTTATACGCGTCGTGGTCCTGGTCAATCATATCTTAAATCTATTCTTTCCGAGCGCATTAAACATCTTTACGAACATGATGAGATTAACTTAGAAATTAATTCTTTAAAAGTTTATGATCAGATGATTAAGAAGATCGAGTCTGAGACTGGTCATCTCCCTGAAGATCTTGGGCGCAGTGTACCATATGAAACTGCTGCTGCTAATGAGGCTGTTATTGCTATCATCGAGCCTCGTATAGTTATGCTTATGGAAATTGCTGATTCTTTTTTAAATGTTATTATTGATTCTATTGATATTGTTCCATATGGCATACGTTGGATTTGCAAACAGATTCGCAATCTTACCAAGGTATTTATTTTTTAGAAGTTGAGTTTAGTATTTACTATTATAGCGTAAATATCCTGATGCTTCCGATTATTCCATATGTTCTCTTATAGGCGGTTTCTTTTTTTTACGATTTATAAATCCGGCTATTGTTACACCACATGCATATATGATTATTGATGGTTCTCCAGGAGAACATCTTCGACGGACGTTAACTCTTGTAATATTTCTTCTATATCTTTAATTAATAAATTTATGTTTGTAGGTTGCAAAAATTCTTCAAAGTCTTTCAAATAAACCTAGTTATTATAAGGAACCATATATGGCATCTTTATCATCTTTTATTGATTTGAATAAACCACGAATAAATAAGTTTTTAAATGATTTATGTGAAGTGAGTGATTTTTATGAAACTTTAGAGGTTATATTTTTATTTTGCTTTATTTCATTTATCATATATAGATGGATCAATATGTTGCACTTTCGAAGGGATTGTTTTTGCATATTACTGTTAATGAAATGTATGGTACCCATGGTCTTCTAGAAAAATATCTTGATATTTTGGTATATTTTACTTTTTTAGTTATATTTTTTTATTTATTATTTAGGCTCCTGAATCAGATTCTCATTTACGGATTTTAATAAATAAATTAGGATCAGCTCCACCTTTGCTGCCTAGGTCCGAAAATAGGACTATTGAGTTACCTTTATATAGTAAATGGGGGAATTTTATTACAAGTATTATTTTTGTTTAATTTATTATAATTGCTAAGAGTATAGATTTAAATGAGTCATTAGATATTAATCGAACAGATATTCTTTTTATTGAGGCGAAGTCTATTTTCGTTCAAATTATCCGATCATTTCCTCAGGATTCCAAAATTGTTAAGCTTCCTTTAAATTTATTATTAATAGCAAGTACTGCAGCTACATTTAAAGATACTCTTTTGGTACGCAAAGGAATAAAAGCTATAGAATATCTTAAGGAACTATCGGAATTGAAGCTTATTGATCCTAATGATTTTTATAATCCTCTTGCAGAAGAGGTGGAACATGAAATTGCTCATCTTGGGTCTCTTTATGAAGAGGTTTTGCGTGAAACAGAATCACTAGAATCTGTTTATAAAACAATAGAAGATCATAATGAGTATTTACGTAGTCAGTTGGAACAATATAAGTCATATTTACATAATGTACGAATACATTCCGGACGTAATGAAAGTAAAATTGGTGTAATGGGTGGTGTTGGTGTTGTTTCTCTCAGTGGGAAAGAAAAAAAGCAAAAGAAGCAGCAAGTGTTAGGACCATACAAATATACTCATTTTCAGCTTGAAAAGGAATTGGTTATAGCAGAAAGTAATGTTCCTGATGATAGGTTTATTTGTTAAATATTATTTTTCTTTATCTGATATTTAATAGAAGAGCAAATATTTATTTTACTATTATGTCTCCTCTTCCAGGGACATTTGTTATTTCTTTACATTATAAAGGTAGATTATTATGTGTATTTTTGTACAATTATTAATTATTGATAAGGGCGAGATAGAGGGCTATTAGAATTAGATTTAAAACTGGATGATCTTCTTGAAATGCAGCAGAGCAATGTTCAATATTTAGATTTTGAGTACGTTCAATTTAATGTGTCAAAAATATTACAATTGGTAAATCGACAGTTTTCTAGAAAGAAATGATTTTTGGAATTTTTATTTTATTATTTTATTTTTGCTATTTTATACATGTATAAAGGAGCTTGCTATGTAATTTTATTTGCTTATATTTCTGACTGGTACAGAAAAATATTTAAAAATTTGTTTTTAATATTTAAGTACTTCCTGAACGGGGAATCGAACCCAGACTTTTATTAGAAAGAATATATTTAACCACTTCGTATTTTTTGTTAAACTTAGAATTTTAAATTTAATCTTGCATTTGATTTAAAATAGTTTTAGAGTCGCATTTAAATTTCTATACATTTTTAGCTCTTATTTTCTACAATATTACTTTTATGGCAAGTAAGCTATAGGATTATAAGAATTTGTAGACTAAATGGTTTTATTTTAAAAGGCTGAAATTTCTCACTGCGTTTATTGTTTTGATGTTCTTATTGATTATTTTAATAAAAATAATGTTTCTGACCGGAAATTAATAAGAAAAGATGACAATGATACTTCTCGTATGCGAATTAATAGGTTATTTTTGAATAATGATATTTTATTGTGAGTTATTAAGACTACTAATTTCTTTAAATCGACTATCAAATTTATAAGGAAAATAACTGATTAAAAATAGTCCTTTGTTTGTAACCTGGAATATAATAAGTCCTTCTGGACATAAGAGTTTGCGAGGATGTATTGGTACATTTAAGCCTCAGCCACTAAAGCATGGATTACGTTATTATGCTTTGACATCGTAAATTGATTTCTTTTTTTCTATTATTTTTGTAACTAATTCCCTTTTAGAGCTTTAGATGATACTCGTTTTCCTCCTATTTCAGAACAAGAAGTTTGTTTTCTTGAATGCAGGTAAGTTTATTTAATTATAATGATTTAAGTTCATATTATTTAGTGTAACTTTATTAACTAATTTTGAAACTATTGAGGATCCTTTGGACTGGATTATTGGTATTCATGGTCTTGAGATATCTTTTTTTCATAAAAACAAGTATATGAGTGCGACGTATCTTCCATGCGTTGGTATTTTTTTTTTATATTTTTATTTATTAATGACATTATTTGCAGCTAAAGAGAGAAATTGGAGCAAAGAAGAGACATTAAATAACCTTTTCATAAAGGCTGGTATGAATGGAGATCTTTTTGATTGGAAACATGTCAATATGAAGGTAGTAAGATATCAAGGATCAAAGGCTGAATGTACCTATGATGAATATATGAGGATAGTATCATAAATTTATTAAAAGTTTGTTTTATATATTGATTATATTGATTTGTTAATAATATTTTTTTAAATATTAGATTATTAGAAAATTGCTTTGTTATCATTAATAAACAATGTAATATTGATAATTCGGATTTTTGTTTTACCTATTATATTAAAAATATTTATACAATATAAGATAATTTAAATTCTGATAAAATATATAGATTTTAGAAATGTGCAAAATTGTAAAATTAGAATTTTTTAATATGATTTTGCTAATCTTTTATAAATTATCTTTTAAAAAATTTAGAATATATAAAGAATTGGAGAGATATTTTTTTATTAATATAAAATATGAATTCATGTTTTAAAAATTTGTAGATTTTATTTTATGATATTAAAATATTTTAATAATTTATAATTTTTTATATGAAAGATTCGTATATTGTTTATATTATTTAGTTTTTATAATTAAAAATTTATTTATATTCTTATTTTTCAATATATATCAAAAAAATATTTTGATAATTGAATATTTTTCTGATACTTTTTGTTTAAACATTTAATTATTGGACATTTATTTTTGATATATAATACTATAAAAATTAGATCATATTCGCTTTATGTTTAAATTGATTTTTTTTATTCAAAATTATCTTAAATATAATTGTAGAGTGTCTTTATTTTAAAACGAAACTAATTACAATTTATTTAATTAATTGAATTCGAATTTTGTTAGTATTTTTTGATTAATGCTTAACTTATTTCTGATTTTCTTTAACCTTTGCATTTTCTGCTGCACATGATAAAATGCCAACAATCATTTCAACAGAACGCAAACTATCATCATTACAAGGAACAGGATATGTTACATATTTAGGATCTGCATCAGTATCTATGATTCCAATTGTTGGTATATGAGCTTTTGCACATTCGTGTAGTAAAATTTTATTTTGTATGGGATTTAAACAGATTACTAAATCTGGTAAAGCTGAAAAATGATATATTCTCTCATCATTTCGAGTTATTTTTTTGCCATTTATTATAATGGAAGATTTTTTCATTTTTCCATGTTTAAGAACTTCATGCCTATTAGTAATGGTTCCTGGTATCCATCTATCAAAAACATGAAATCCATTTGCTCTTTTTGCTGCTTTTATTATACAATCTTTTTGGTTCCTTTGTGTCCCTACAAAAAGAATTATACCCCTTTTTGCTGCTATACCAGAAATCACTGCGCATGCTCTACGAAGATGAGTAATTGTTGTATCCAGGTTTATTATATGAATTCCTTGACGAATTCCATATATATATGGATGTGTTGCTACATTCCAAAGTGATGTTGAATGGCCTATATGGACTTGAGATGAAAGAAGAAGAGATAAAGTTAAATGTTTTTGCGATAAAGGGTTATGGATATTTTTATGAGGCTGATATCTATCTATTAATATAGATCCGATATTTTTGTTTGATTTTGCTATAAAAAATTAGATAAGGAAAGTTATTTTAAGAGAATATACATAATTTTGTTTTAATTATTTGAATTTCATTTTTTGATAATGTTCGCCTTTGTGTTGCAAATTTTTTTATTAATTTATTTTTAAATAATTGAAATGGTAAACTTGAAAAAAAAGTCGGATTATATGAGTCTATGAATAATTTGGTATTTCTAATTTTGTTTATCAAGAAATTTATAGAAAAAGTTAACATAAAATTATACCGAAAATTAAAACGTTAATTTATAATAAATATTAGGATAAATGTATTTGATCTTTAAAAATAATGATATTTTTAAATCTAATTATTATAATTTGTTTTTTTTGATAGTATTAACTACTAAGTTGGAATTTAAGTAATTTTTTAAATATTATAATTATTATTATACTTTAAAAATATTAAAAAACAAAATATTTGAAATGTTTTACGTTTTTATATTAAAATGGTTTATGATTTTGTAAAATTAGGACTTTATGTTCTATAATTTAAAAATTTAATTTTTTAAAAGAACACTTTATAATTTAAAATTCTAAAATTACAAAAAAAATTAAAGGATATGTAGCATTGAGACAAATAGACATTTGTATGTTAATATTTGAAGAAAAAAAAATAATTAAACCAATATAAATATTAGAGATTTTGAAATTATATGCTGAATTTGAAATTTTTATTCATAAAATATAATAAATGTATATTTATAAATATTTTAACATGTATTTAAAATTATAATTATTTTCTGCATATTTTCAAAACTTAAATAAATAAGTTTAGTTTCATATTTGATAATTTTTAAAATAATTGCATATATAAAATGATTACTTTGAATAAATTTAATTAGACAATATTTAAGTTTTAAATTCTGATAAATCTATATACTATACAATTGATATAAATAAATATGTTATTTATTAAATATTGTTTTTATTAATAATCTTTTGCAATAATTGTTCTAATTCTATCACTGGAAATCTTCCCTGTGTCTCTTTTATAACTTCTCCTAAAATCCATTTTAATACATTATTTTGGCCTGATTTATATTGATCAACTTGTTTTTTATGGATATTTATTATTTTTTGGCACGTTTCTAGCATTAAATATGAGTCAGAAGTACGTTCATAGTTAAACGTTTTTATAATATCATAAATTTCTCGTGTATCGCCATTAATTATGTTTAGGATAATATATTTGGCTGATACATCTAAATAAAACTTGTAAATAGGAAAATGTTTTAAATTTATAAAGCTACCTGTAATATATTCTAACTTGATAGCTTCAATAATAGAAGCCATTTGATCTGGTCTAACTGGATTTTTTTTAAATGGAATATTTCGAATGTTAAGTTGTCCTATAAGTTTATTAACAATCCTAAATTCTATTATTATAATAGTAATATTGAAATATTAAGATACCAGTTTCCTGTTATCTTTGAATAATTTTCTGGATTCCCTAAAATTCTTAATATTTTCTCAAAATAATCAAATGCATGATTTTCAATTAAAGTTTTAATCGTTTTTAGTGGTAATTCATAAGGATATGATAAATATTTTTGAAAAATAACATTTCGAAGTTCAGGAAGAGATTTTTTACATTCTTCTAATAGCTTCTAGATAATTTAGCTACTAATTTATGCATTTTTATATGTTGTACTTTTGAAAGCACAATTTCAGGGAGATCTGGATCCGGTATGTATCTATGTAGTAAATAAATATATATGGATATATTTTATTAATATACCTATAGCTTATAGTATCTTCTTTATTTCTTAACCCTATTGTGGCTTTTTTTTTTATATTATATCCAAGTGTTTGTTTTTCAACTTTTTTGCCTAAGTTAATAGCAGAAATTTGTCGTCTGATTTCATAATCTAAATTTGTTAAAAGATTAAAATAATATTTATAGATATATTTTTCCTGTTGCATTAATAATTGACTTTATACTTGCTAAATTTTTAATTTCACATCTTGGATGATTACCAATTGATACATTAACGTCGCATCTCAATCCTCCATCTTCCATATTTGCATCACTAGCACCTATATTCCTAAGAATAGATTGAATTTCTCTCAAAGTTTCTCCTGCATCTTTTCCAGATGAAAGGCATGGAGTAGTAACTATTTCGATTAATGAAGATCCCATACGATTAAAATCAACTAATGATCTTGATGGATTAAGTAGATATGAAACTTTTCCTGTATCCTAAAACAATAAACATTTTTTTTCTAGTTAATGATGTATAAACTTGTTCAAGATGTATTTCTTTAATTTTAACTGTAAGTAGCTCGGGTTGATTTTTTTCATTTGATTTGTATAACCTAATAAATCCGTTTCTAGCTAAAGGATCTTATATACATGAGACAATTTTTAAAAGATGGAAAATAAAAGCTACGATAATGTTGAGTAATTTGATATCCAGAAGGCTGATCTAGATAGAAATAATGTTTCCTATCAAAAGAACATTTTTTTGGAAATTCACATGATAAGGCCAATGCAGATTTAATAGCTAGAAGGATTGGGGTCTTATTTAGCTTCTATTTCCATTAGTAGATTTTTAAAAATAAATAATATAACATCCTGGCTGCGTACCAGGAAGAGATACGTCAAAAAAGTCTACTGAAGAATTAGGAGTTTGAAAGGATTCATTCTTCGATTCTAAATTATAATTAAAACTATAAAAAATATTGTATTTTTTACTCGAAAATAATTTTGTAGAAGTTGCTAATCGAGCATGAACTTCTAGACCAATTGCTGGAATTAAGTTGAAGGATCGTATGGTACTATAGTATTTATAAACTTTCTTATTTTTACGGGTAGAGCTCCTTAGAAATATTGTAGATAGTTTCATTTTTTATGTCTGTATTTTATGTCTATAAAATTTTTAAATTGATAATTTTTAAAATTATATTTTGTTATAGCTATAAATAATTCATGTTAAGATATTTTAATTGAAATTGAAATATTTTAACTTATTTTTATGATTTTTATAAAATAAAGTTTTAACGATCATCTAATTAAAAGATTACGTTAAAATTTCAATTTGGGTTTTGTTTTAGGACAATTCGCGTTTTTCTAGAAAATCTTACAAAACAATTTCTTATTAAAAGTTTAAAGATTTTTTATAAAATATATTATTTTGATTTTAAAAACTATATAGTTTGAATATTCAAAGATTTATGTTTTTTTATTAAAATGTTAATATTCTATATAATATTAAGATAATCGTAAAAAGGCAATGAATAAATCGAGGTTTTATAGTTATTATAAATATAATATTTATATAAAATAAACAAGTGGCAAAACATTGATTAGTTTATGTTTTAATATTAATTTTACATGTTTAATTATTGGTATATATTTATAAGTTTTAATTAATGTTTATAATGAATACATGTTAATTTCTTAATCTAAGATAATGACAATTTAGTTTTAATATACTCCGGGTATTTTTCTATTCCAATTTCTTGGACAGATAATTCGGATGATGCTTTAGAATGTAAAACATCTTTTTCCATTTGCAATTCTTCTCTAAGTTCTTTATTTTCATGCAGGAAATCTGCGAGCCGTTCTTGTGCACCTTTTTGATCACGTATACGGGCTTCTTTTTCTGCTTTTAATCTATTTTCCAATTCCTTTAATCGCATAATCCATTTTCTATCCTTTATAGAATCCAGAGTTTTTTTTGATAAATCTGACTTTGCAGAATTAATAGTTTGTTTAGAACTTATAGATGACTGTATTGTTTGTTTATTTTTCATATTTTCATGTAGTTCAGACTAGTTTATTAGCTTAATATATATAATGTATAATATTCTAATGTTTACTTTAATTTCATGATTCTCTAATTTAAGATCCACAATTTGTTTTTTCAGTATAGCTTGATTTGAAATACCTTCTTTAAGAGAGTTTTCCAGATGAGATATACGTCTTGTTCTGTTTTCAAGTGTAGTTACAATAATTCTATTAATGTTAATGTTTTAAAGTAAAATATTTAAGTTATACTGATATTCCTTTAGTAGCTTGTGTTCAAGCTCCTTGCATTTAATTGGAAAATCATGAACCAATTTTTCAATATGTTTAATGCAAAGTGTTGAATTTTTACTAAAATATGAAAAGTTATTTGATGCATCCATATTTGATAGTTGTATGTTTTGTATCCATTCTGAATTCAAGAGAGCTGAAAGTCTTTTCCAAAATATCATAAGAAGATTGTTGCGTTCAGATAATTGATTATTGTATTGATTTTTTAATGCAGTAAGAATTTTACTATCCTTTATTTTAGTATGCTCTAAACTGGCAATTTTATTTTCGCGATTCGTTAGTATGGATCTAGATGATTCTGTAGATATAGTTAATTTAGAAAGCTGCCGTAATGCATATTTTTTATCAGAAATCTCTTTATTTAGTTTTTCTGAAATTTGCTGATTTTCATGAATCTTAAATATTAAAATTAAATAATAAACAAATCATCTTACCATAGATTCTAACATTTCTTCCTTATTTTTCAAAATCTTATCTTTTTTTACTAAATTGCTATTTAATTCTTCTATTTTTTCCTGAGAAGTTAATAAATCAGATTTTAGTTGTTTAATAGTCTAAACCGGTCAATGTTTATTATATAGTTAGGGGAATACCATGATTATTTCATTGATATTTAATGAATTAAAACCTAAGACTTCATTTAGAGACTTCTCCAAATCATACTGTGTTTCTTGAAAAGTGTTTATTTTTTCATTAGCTAGTTCTTTAAATAAAAGATAATGGTCATCAATGGCCTTAGATTCCTATTTTTGTTAAATTAAAATTATGAATAATATATATAATATACATTTCTATCTTCGTGTAACAAATCTTTTTTTTCATTAATTATTTCAATATTCGAATTGTATTCGGATTTGTTTAACTGAAAATTCCCTTTTAAATATTCTATTTGTTCGTTTGCTTGAATAATCCTTTGCTCTAACATATGATTTTTTTTTTTTAATTTTGATATTTCAAAAGGATTTTCCGAATTTTCTCTAAAATAATTTAGTTCTTTAAGAGAAGCTTCTTGCTGCTGAGTAAGATTATTAATTATTGCTTCTGCATGTGCATGTTTCTTTTAATATCAGAAATTAAAACTAAAATTTCTAAGCTAATACCTCTTTTAAATCTTGAACAGTTTCGTTATGCGAATGGATCAATTTATTTATTTGAATATTTGCTTCTTCAATTTTTTGGTAAAGATTATTTATATAGTCGTTTTTCCTTTTTAAAATTTCCTCATAATTTTCAATATCAGATGCCATCTAAATCATAAGCATTAATTATTAATGACTATATGCATACTTTAAGCATTTCTTCTTCTCTTACACGGATTTCTACTCCCGCTTCTGTTTTAAAAGTTGCATATTCCTGAGACAGTGCATTAATTTCTTTAAGAATATTTACTTTATCTATTTTTATATTTTCGTTTTCATTATTAAGTTCATTGAGAAGATTATGAAGTTTGTCTAATTCCTCATTATAATTATCTTCAAGTTTAATCATTTCATTTTCTCTAAGAACATCGAGATTCTCGAGCTCTAAATTCAATTTTTTGTTTTCCTCTTTTAATGTTTGATTTTTAAATTTTAATTCTGCTATACAATCTCGTAATTCATTATGAACCTATTATGAATTAATAATGTTGTATAAATCTAATAATATAAACCTTTATATCATATATATTATTGAAACTTCCGCTATCTTTTAGTTGATAAACTTTATATTTTTCATCATTATAGTCTTGGGTTTTTTGATAAAATTGATCTTTGCTAGATCTTAAATTTTTTGATTTAATTATTAATTCTTCATTTTGCTTTTTAGTTTTATTAACGCCTTTAGTTATAAACTCATCAAATACTTTCGTTGCATTATTTGGAGACAATCCATGAAGTCTTTCAACTTCGATTTCATATGCTTTAATTTTATCTTGCAATATCCCAAGCATTTTTTCATATGTTTCATATTTTTCATTGTTTTCATCAATTGAATTCTCTTGATTATGCATTTCCATGTCTCTAATTATACGTTTTAAGTTTTTATTTGTTTTGTTAAGTTCACGTACAGTAGTTGCTAGTTCTATATTCTTATGGGGTCATTAAAAACAGTAAATTATATTCTTATAGAATACCTGTTTTATTATTTCTTCTACAGATTCATCTCTTGATCTATCACGATATTGCTGAAGAAAGAAAACTTTCATTTGAAGATCCCATTTTTCTTTACGTAAGCTATCAATAACATTACTTTGCTCTCGAAGAGTAAGTCTTGCACCTGGCTTCTCTAGCTTTTGTGCCTTTTTCATTCCTTCTATATGCTCTTTAAAGCTTTTTATTGTGCTTTCAGGTATTTTTATATCATTAATTCTTGTTGCAATAGTCGTATCAGTAGGAATTAATTGAGATGATATTTTTTGTGTTATAGGAGTTTCAATATTTTCTAGACTATTATATGACGGAAGTAATGATATTATCTGTATATCTTGATCCTGTTCATCAATAATTGGAAGACTTTTTTCAAGAATTGCTAGTGATTTTTGTTCATGATCATGGTTAGTACTAGTTTCACTGTCATCAGAATAATCTGATGATGCTGATATATCCGAAATAGATGATTTTTTATGTTTCATTAACAGAGATTTATTATAAGAAATAGAAGGTATATTTTCATGCTTTGTTTGTTTGATGTTTATATTTTTTTCAAAATTGTTAATAGGAGTTAAATCTATAGATAGTGTATTTTCCAATAAAGTTGAATTTTTATCCCTATGACATATATCTACTTTCAATATTTCTGAATGTTTTAGTGATGATACAGGTAATGTACTAATTTCTGGATGAAAACTTTGTTCAAGAGATCCAAGTGATAAATGTGATGCGTTCACTGTTCGATCTTCATAAGGTGTATATGATAAGGACGATGACATTATGCTCTCAATTAAAACTTTTATTATGTTTTTTTATCTTGTAAACATTATTAATTTTTTTATAAATATATCGGTGTTTTGATAGTTTTTATAACTCTTGAAAAATTATAATATTGAAATAAGGATAAAAAAATAAATGTATAAAAAAATATAATATAGTTAAATATATTAATATTTTGTAGTAAAAAAATATATAATTGTTTAAATATTATCATGAAGTAAAATATATTCTCGAGTTGAATCTGCAAATTTAAGCATATCTTTTGGTTTGAGTTCAATATAACGACTATCAAGAACACGTTCATTATTAAGAAAAGTTCCATTGGTTGATTTGAGATCGATAATATAAGGTCTAAGAAATTTAGTATGAAAATATTGATAAAAAGCTATACTTTATATGCTCTAAAATAGTGTTTTTGGTTTTTATTTGGCGAAATTGGATAACTGCATGTTGTTTTGAACATGATGGATGATCTAATGGAATATCTGCAACCTGTATTATATTAGTTTATAAATGTATTTATGAAAATAAATTCAATAAAAAAATACCAAACGATCTCTTCCTAATAGATAAGAGCTTTTTTGATCAATATCAAAAATGCCTATATTATATCAACAATAATTATAATGATAATATAAAAACGTACCAACTTGTTCATTATTTTTAAATACATATAGTTGCCATGATTTATCAGGTTTATGAGCTTCAGATGGTTCGTAATATTTTAATGGTATCCCGTTAATATGATTACTTTCTGCTGCTAACTTTCCTGAAAGTCCAAAATTCGGTTTTTCTGGTTCAGAACGGCTCCCTGAGGATTCTAATTGTTTTTGAGAATATGAACATTTGTATTTAGTTTTATTTTGGTCATTTAATTCAAACGACATATTTTCGTGATAATCATATTTATTATTATTTGTATATGATTTTGGCATTTTATACCCTTTATTTTTATAAAGCTTATATTGAATATATTGCTTATTTGGATATTACAAAGAGTTGATTTTGTTTCTTAGGTGATTATAATCTTTTATTAAACGTTTCTTTTTTTTAAAAAAAAAAGTTTATTTTAGAATTGCGTAAAAAAATTGGTCTATGGAATCAGTAATATTTTTTCCTGTGTCTAGTTATTTTGATCAAAAACATAAGACTGCAGTGTCTGTGAAAATTTTATTCTATTATTTTTTTGTTAATATTGTTTTTTAGATATGATATTCCAGGCTCTGTAGTTGAATTTTGTCCTTTTGAACAATCATCATCTTTACTTGCAGTTGGTAAATATAAAGTAGATCGGATAAATGAATTGAATTAGTGTTTTTATAGGAAGTAAACAGGGAATAATGCTTTTAAGAAGAATATTTTCTGAGATTGATGAACTGGGCGATGCTTCTAAATTTCAACAATTTAAAGAAAGGTATTTAATTTTAGGCGTATTAGACATTTTTTATTGTTTTTTATAGTTGGTGTCTTCAGCAACTTCTGTATCTCCAGTTAGGAACTAAGGTTACATCAATTGCTTTTTCTCCCGCTACATATGTAGATCTTATAGATTCCGAAAAAAATTATGTAGCTTTAGCTATTGGATGCGAAGAAAATAGTGCACGATTTCTTGAATTATCATCTAAAACTAAAGATCCAAAAATAGTAATGCTCGGTGGAACATCGGGTCATCAAGATTTTATTAACGACGTTGATATTACCTATCTTAATATTATTCCTAAAGCTGATGAGACTGAATTTACGGGTGATATTGTTGCAACTGGAGGTGATGATTGTACAGTAATAGTATGGAGAATGACTGATAATTCACCTCAATTATCTGCTTATAGCACTGGATCTTCTGTAATTAGTGTGAAATTTCATAGATCTCACCCTCGAAGATTATTGGTTGGTGAATATAATGGAACTATAAAGATTTTAGATTGGGTAGAAGCAGGTGGAAAATGGCTGATAAGTTTATATGCGGGATTGACACCTTATAATTTTATCAAGTCTAATTCAACTGTTTGTCTTGCTGATGTAGATTGGGTAGGTAATAAAGATGATATTGGTAGAATTATTGCTGCAACTACTGATGGGTCATGGCTCCTTTGGGATTTTCATGGGAAAAGTGATAATATAAGTATTCTTCCAACTATTAAAAAACGAATCGGTAGTCAAATAAATGTCAAACAGCTAATATCTCGTCCAGGATATCCTGATATTTTTGCAATTTGTTTACAAAGATCTTTAATGATATCATTAACATCACATATAAAATTAGTTAATATTTTTACTAGTAGTAAGTTAAAACTAAAGTCTTGTGGTTTTAGGATTCTGAAATAAGTAGCTGATTTAATTGACATTGAGCTCCCTTTATCTGAGATGTTGAAACCTGAAGACTCATATATTAGCTGGCATGCAAATAAAGGTATTATTGCTATTTGCCGCAATAGTAGTTTGATTATATCCTGTGTTATGAATAATGATGATTTTTCTGAAAATATGTCAGATTTTATTAGTTAAATTATTTTGATTTGTTTTTTATATTCTAAAGTATAAAAGTAATAAAAATTCGCAAATTTTTTGGAAATTTAAAGTATAAATTATAGGAAATAAAATAATATATTTGTAATATGCATATAAAGCTTGGCTAGATAATTGAAGTATGTTTTATATTTATGTGCGCATAGCTGGGCGTTCTATGTTTTTTCTAGGATGCCATACTTTAGAACCTAATCCTTCATTTTCCAAACTAAGATATGGTGCTTTATCCCAATCGATTTTGGCATCTTTATCTTTTTTGTAATTAATCATAAGAGAAATAGGTAGTTCAAGATTTCCTCGAACCAGAATAATTTTTTTATTGGAATTCAAATATTTATTTAAAGTTAAAGTATCAATGGGTGTCAGAATTTGGAGTTCTTTAGACTTCCTTGATATTCCTCTTAAAATACAAAGACCTATGCATTGACTGATTTTAGGATCAATAGGATTCTTCTCCGTATTTAATATAGGTAAACGGTCTTTAGATTTTGTAATAATGGATTCCCATGTTTTTTCATTATTTTCTGTGATATTATCTGCAACTACAAAAGCCATGATAGTTCCATTTATGGCATAGTAAAATTCCTCTATATCCAATGTAGTATTTAAGATGGATATTGCGTCAATACCATTCAAATCACCATCATATTTTACAATCCAAGGTTTCATATCTAAAAGATATGAATCAAATTCCCAGCTTGTATGACAATTATCTTCTGATATATTTATTGAGTGAAAATATGATATTATGGATAGCGCTCGCAGATCTGCTGTATTAATTTTTACTGTTCCACATGTATTAATAAATTCTCGAACAGATGGAAGAGTAAGAAGTTTAACGGATGATGGAAGTATTAATTCGGTATCGAAAATTTCGACATTAGTTTTAGAGCCGATATATACAAGATATGTGCAATTTGACAAATTTATGATTTCATTTAAGAGTTCCAAACCCATACCTTTAGTCCAGCCAGGAGTATTGATAATAGTAGGAACATTTTTTTTATCTGTATTAAATATATCATTAACACATAATAAAAAATGTTTTGGATTATTTTGTGGTGATATATTTCCGAGAAAATGTGCTTTCGTAAGTGATGGAAGAGTACAATGAGTAAATGATGGATTGATAACAGGTTTTTTAATATAATGAGAACTAATTATTCCATGAGGCGAAAACTCTGGTTGTCCTGGATCCGTTTCAATATAATTAATTCCCTCTATTGCTTTATGTTCATTATATCTTCCTGTTAAAAATTTATTTATTAAATTTTTTGCAAATGTTGATTTTCCAGATAACTTTGGTCCACAAATTATGATTCTTGCAGTTTTATTATCAAAATTTGAAGAATGTATAATATTTATTGCAGATGACCATGATTCTGGAATGTTTAACAATGGATAACTTGAAAAATCATCAATTATCTACATAAATTAGTAATGTTCTATATAAAACTATAATTTTATTACATTATATGTATTTTTCATTTCTTTTTTTTCATTTGGTTCCCATATATATTTACTAAATGTATGAAATTTCTTAATTTTTATTAAATTATCGTTAATACTTCTTACACATATAATAGATTCTAAAAAACTATCTAACATTCGTATGAAAGAACATATCTCTTTAGAATGTATAAAACAACTCGTTTCAATTGAATTTTTATCTGATAATACTGAAGAAATTACTGGTATTGAATGTGTTGATAGGCTAAATATACGATACCATTGAGATGTATTAGAAGAGTCGAATTCTGATGACATTATAGAAATTACCCCTTTTATTACTTTGAATTCATAGAATCCTTGAAGAATAAGTTTCTATGTATTGTTTTTAATAAAAGAAATAAAATATGTTGTTTTAACATACTTCTTTTGCATAAAATCCAAAAATTTCGACTGTATAGCCATTTTTGTCCAAAAAATGTTTATTAATACTTGGTTTTGATATAATTTGTAGACTATATTATTATTATTATTATGTAAATAAAAATATGATTAAATATACTTTTTTTTTATTGATATTTCATTTATATTTTTTAATGCGATATCAGAATTAGAAAAATCAACTATATGTATATTAGAATTGTTTCCGAAAAAAATAGTATATTTTGCAATTATTAGTTATATAGTTATTATTATTTTGCTCTATTTTAGTTATATCTTGAACTTCTTCGTAATTACTATTGATTTTTCTATCTTCAGTGTTTATAGATCTGTATTTTTTATGAGCTGCTAAAGCACTTAATGTCATTTCTTTTTTTTTTTTGATTTTATAAATATTTTAAAAAAATATACTGATAAATGTATATTAACGCTAGCTTTTTATTATTATCATAAAATTATAATGAAATTAAAATCGAACTCTGATAATTCAGATCCATCATTTGAAAATACTTTTGCGTATGTTTATAGATATAATGTTTTTTTTCATAATTATTTTTTAAAGGGTTTCAAAAACGAAATTTTCCTTACCTATTGATTTTGAACAAACTGATTTTTTACAACCTATACTAGTTTCAAAAGAATATTTTTATAATAAGAAAATAGTTCTTCTTCGTTTTCCTCAGGAACTATCATTGTCTTCTATTGATGCTTTAATATTTGATTCTAATAAAATTAAAGAAATAAAAATTAAAGGTTCAGATAACATTTATTCTAGTTATAATGAAACAATAATGGATAATTCTTTTGGATTAATATTTTCTTCGAATGGGAGTAATATCTATGAAATACGTAATATTAAAATAATATTAAAATATATATAACATATTATAGATCAGAATTTTCATTTTGCTGATCAAACCACTGTTACTGTAATGGAAAGGATCCCCAAAATACCACTTATAGCTTCTAATACACCTTCCTTAAAACGTAATTTTAGAAGTTTAAAAACGCAATTTAAGTCAAAAGAATTTGACGGTAATTTTGGTGATATTGGAATATCTGAATTAAAAATGCATTCTAAAAATACTGAATTTTCGCATGCTGATGATATACATTTAAGAAGCGTTGTTGTTGAAAAACATATGTATGGTGATTATAAGAATAATAGAAAAAAAATGAAAGTTAAAAAAAATAACATGTAAACATATAAAATAAAATATAATGTGTTTAACGATATGAATAATCTAATACCATATTGTTTTAAAGTTGGTTTCGAAGTTTGGTTATCTAGACAATAAATAATGTTTTACTTAAGAATAGTAATACATACATCTAGTTTTTGTTCTTCCAGCGTTTTATTGTGTTTCTTTATTTGAGTTTCTAGTCGTTTCCTATTTTCATCAATGATTTTTTTTCATAGTGTTTTGTATTTACATTTCTGTTCCTATATATTCTAAACGTTTTTCTACATTTAAAATGGCTTCCGATTTATCTTGTTTTACAAGAACAGGCCCTATTAATTTATAAATAACTGCATCATCTTCTAAAATAGAAAATTCCTAAGAACGTCATATATAAATAAAAAAAAACAATTTCTTAAACTTTTTGTACAAGTTTATTTTCTTGTAGTTGTGAATTAAGTTTTTGCTGTGCTTCTATTATTTTTAAAAGTTCTAAAACTGATTTAGATATGCTTTATAAATTTCTTAATAATTTGCCATCATGAGTTTTTTGATAGTCTTTTGATATTTTTTCTAATTTTGATTCAAGAGACATTTTTAGTAATTAATCCTTTTCTATGCAAAATATTGATAAAACTTTAATAGTATAATATTTATTAAATAATTAGTTTAATAAATAGCAAAATATAATATAAATATAAAAAAATATACTAATATATGAATTATTGAGAATTTGAATATGGATTATTTTTTTAAATTTTGTATTTCGATAAGTTTCAATCGTTGAATTATTGTTTTAAATAAAAGGGTAATAATTAATACCAAAAAATGTCTAACGTTGATTTTTTGGGGGTATATTACTTAATATTGTTTTTTATCTTTATGTTTTCTTTTAAAATTTAGAAAGCTATTGGTATTGTCAAAAAGGCTATTGAAGAAGACAACGCACATAAATATAATGAAGCATATAAGCTTTATGTTAATTCCTTGGAATGCTTTAATATGGCGCTTAAATGTAAATTATGTTCTAATATCATTTTTATTTAATTAGAAGTAGATGAAAAAAGTGAAAATGGAAAGAATCTTATTAGAGATAAAGTAATTCAATATCTTGATAGGGCAGAGGCTTTAAAAGCGTATCTTCAAAAAAACAATGAAAACAAGAAACATAATTTGGTGAAATCTAGTGGAAATGAGCTTAGTTTAGGGAAAAAATGGTTAGTGTTTATAAATTTATAGAATATACTTATATTGTTACTATTAGCTATAAGAAGGATGATGATAGTGATGATGATGATAATGACATTGATACAAGAAAGCTTAAAAATGCGTTAGCAAGTGAATCTTCTTGAAAATAATGATAACATATAACTTTAAAAAGATACTCTAATATCCGAAAGTCCTAATGTTAAATGGGATGATGTTGCGGGTTTGGATAATGCAAAAGAAACATTGAAGGAAGCTGTTATATTACCAATGAAACTTCCTCATCTATTTAAGGGTAATAGAAAGCCATGGGTAGGAATATTATTGTATGGTCCTCCTGGAACTGGTAAGTCATATTTAGCAAAAGCAGTAGCAACTGAAGCCAAATCTACGTTTTTTTCTGTGAGTTCAAGTGATATCATTAGTAAATGGATGGGTGAAAGTGAACGGTAAAAAATATTTATTTTGTTTTATATAAAAATAATTTTATAAGTCTTGTTAAACAATTATTTGTAATGGCTCGTGAAATGCGACCTTCAATAATATTCATTGATGAAATTGATGCTCTTGCTGGTATCAGGAATGATGGTGATAGTGAAGCTTCACGAAGAATAAAGACAGAACTTTTAGTACAAATGAATGGCGTAGGCACTGATTCTACTGGTATTTTAGTACTTGGTGCATCTAATATACCATGGACTTTAGACCCTGCAATTCGTCGAAGGTAATCTAATTTTTAATGTTTCATTTCTAATTTTTTTTAGATTCGAAAGACGTGTGTATGTTCCTTTACCTGACGCTACTGCTAGATTAAAATTGTTCAAATTGAATATTGGCGATGTACCAACTGAATTGACTGCTAATGATTATAAAATTCTTGTAGATAAAACTGATGGGTAGAATTTTGCAAAATTTATTATTAACTATTAAAATAACTATAGATATTCTGGTTCAGATATAGCTATCGTTGTTAGAGATGCTATTATGGAACCAGTACGTCGAATTTATACTGCTACTCATTTTTGTTATGTAAGTTTATAATCGAAAAATATGTGTATAATTGTTTTTATAAGGTTAATTGTCCTGATGGTAAACGTCTTCTTACACCATGTTCTCCTGGTGTTTCTGGTGCACAAGAGATGACATGGGAAAATGGAACTGTTGATACTTTACTTGAACCTGTGTTAACTATGAATGATTTTCTTAAAGCTCTTAGAAATACTCGTCCTACTGTTAATTCTGATGATCTTAAACGTTATGTTGAATTTACAAATGAATTTGGTTTAGATGGTTAAAAATGCTATTTCTATAAAAATTATATTGATTAATAGTTTTATTATGTATTATTTATGAATTATATAATTAAACAAATGTTGCATATATATTTATACATATTTAAATAATATTAAAATAATCAATAACTTTAATAATTATTTAAAAATATATAATTACTTTTAACAAAAATATGTTTATATAATAGTAATTCCATTATAATTTTATATAATTAATATATATATATATATATTATGTATAATAATATATTAATATGTAATTAATTTTATATATGTATAATATAATTTAAATATCTAAATTTAAAAAAAAAATCATAAAGAATTAAGTTAATTCATATTAATTTTATCGATTAATTATATAATTAATGTATGATTGCATATGTTAAAAATATAAAAAATATATTTTTTCATAAAATAATTATTTATCTAATATTAAGATAAAAAACATATTGTTATTTTATTATACATTTTCTAATTTTAATATAAATGTCATAATCAATTATTTATATCAATAAACTTAAATAAATATATTTAAAAAATATTTAGAATATGTTATTTTTTCATAATATCATATATATCATCATAATATATAGTAATTTAAGTACAAATATATATACTATTTAAATAGATTTTATTATATATTTAATTATCGAATTTTAATTAAATAAAATTTAATAATTAAAATACATAATTTTATAATTATGAATACAACCAACACTGATAAAACAATTAATAAAAATATAGATCAACAGAGAATCAATATTTTAATGAAATGGCTTAAAGATAAAAATATATATATACATTCCGGTATTAAATTAGGTAAACGAGATGATGGTTTTTTTGTATACACTGAAAAAATGTTAAAAAAAAATACAATTATATTAAAAGTTCCAAAAAATGCCATTTTATCGCCTAAAACATCATTATTATCTCATTTATTGGACATAACTAAAATACCGAGTATTCTTTGTCTATGTATAGTTTACATGTACGAAAAAAGTCTTGGTCAGAAATCACCATGGTATGGTTATCTTCAAATAATGCCAGATAAAGTAGATATTCCAAAATTATGGAATCACGAAAAAAACTGGTTAAAAGGAACAGAAATAGAATACGTAGGTGGACTTGATATTGTAATGTTATAACTATTTTAAAAATTATATCAATCTAATGTATATCAAGTCTGAATTACAAAGTGCGTATAACGAATTAATATTGCCATTTATAAAAAAAAACAAAGAAATACTAGATCAAAATGTATTTACTTACAATAATTTTTTAAAAGCGGTATCAGTTGTAAGATCAAGAGTATTCGAAATAGATAATTTTCATAAATTAGGTTTAGTACCATTTGCTGATATGTATATATATATATATTTATATATTTTATTAATATTTTTAGGTTTAATCATGCAACAAATGAACATATACATTTTCAAACTTTTTACAATGTATGTAAACATTGTGGATTAATATACTGCAAACATACAAAATATAAGCAAATTCCAAGAAATAAGTATAAAAATTATATACAAAAGTAACAATTATTTTTTGCATTAATTTTATTTTTATATTCATATAGAACTATAATTATCAATCAAACATTTAAACTAAAAAAGTATATAAAAATATATTATGATGATACATGTGATATGATTATACACAATTCACCTAATGCATTTGATGAATTATATAATACATATGGAACACATGGAAACGATGTATACTTTAGCAGTTTTTTTTTTAAAAAAATAGTTAATAACATATAGATTTTATTATCAAGATATGGATTTGCTCTACATAAAAATAAATGGGATAGAATAACTATGTCAATAATATTTCAAAAAAATGACATAAAATCAGATAGATTACTATGGTGGAAAATGAACGGATTTAATATATCATCTAAAATGGGTCTTTTTCAAAAATATTTTTCAAAAAATGATATAAAAAATTATCTTTTAAGTGACAATAATAATCATAATGGCGATAAAAAAATTAACACTTATAATAAAGATCAATACCTATTTCTTCAAGATAGTCTTTTTATTACATTTCCATCTGAACCTAGTTCACCATTAATACTTTTTATTATATTATTATCATTAAGTCACAAACTGTTTAAAAATCTTGAGGAAAATACAAAAAAAATCAACAGATTTATTTTGAATATCATAAAATTACAATTATTATATTTTCACACAGGTTCCATAAAAAATCTTAAATACCAAAAATATACAACGCTTTTAATTTTATTAAAAATAAACATTTTTTTATCAAATGCTATAGATAATCGTTTAAAAAAATATAATCAAACTTTAATTTTAGATAATCTAATCTATGAAAATACAAAAACACAGGTATTTAATATATTTTACTAATAATTATCTAAGTTTTAGGAAAATAGCAGAAAACATTGGACAAAAATAGTATTACAGAATGAAATAAACATACTAAATAATGCAAAGAAAAAATGTACAAAATTGATACATAAAACCAAATCAATTCTAAAATATCAAAAATTATACACATTTAAAACAAAAAAAAAAAGTAAATTATTACATTTTTATTTATAACTATAAAAAACATAACTATACAAAACGAGTAGTTTGTAAATTTATAAAAATATATTCATATTATTATGCTAGAGATCTATACATTTATTCATATATATATGCGTATACATGTTATTTATTATAAATTCATAAAAATATTTTTTTTAAAAAAATAACTATATATAAGCACAATTCATCATTAATGTTAAAGATATATAGAAAGCTCAATAAACAATAACCATATACACATCATCTTATGTCAATATATATATTATCAATTAATATATATAAATCAAAAATTTTATTTATGTCTTACATATTTTTGAAATTACATAAAAATTAATAAAAAAACGAATATAATAACAATTGCTAATTAATACATTAGATTTTCAGGAAACAAACCATTAACAAATAAGTGCATTTTTATAAAAATAATATAATTAATACTAGACTCGATAACTAAGTTTTCGTTTAATGTAAAACAACAAATATCTATATTCAATTAATTTAAGACATAAAAACATACAATCGTACGCATTACTTGCCAAAACAGTCTTTTCATTAGCAATATTAATAGTAGTATCGTCAAATTGAAACCACTAATCACATTAACTTTTATATATGGGTTAAAAAACAAACGTTATCATTTGACCAAGCAAAACATGTATAATGACCTGTATTAATTTGCCCTTGATGACAAACAACAGACAAAAGATCATAAACACAATCATCGTTATAATAATTTGTATAATTATCCTGAACAATATATGGAAACATATCGAGCTGGAAAGAAAAACTAACATGTGTGTCAATTTTTGTTGGAGTAGAAGAATGCTCAAAACGCTTCAAAATATTTAATATAATATTTCTAAAAAAATAAAATAACTTAACTTTTAACTGAAAGCAAATAACTAAAGGAATTCGTTTAAATTTTAATTGTTTTATAGCTTTCTATCAACTTTTAATAAACATTCAGCAAACGAAAATAAAAACCTCAGAAACAGATAAACATTTCGAACATTTATACTCATTATTAGCCAAACTTTCAGGTGATGTAAATCTAAACAAATTAGACTAGTTTAAAATAAATATAATGTTTACAATTGAAGACATTCTTGAAGACTTCTAAGTAAATGTTCACTAGAAGACGACTTAATTTCAGCAGCGCGTTTAATTTTTAATTCAAGACTAACATCCATAATAGGATCCATAGTAGATGTCACATTTCCACACGCTGAACATGTAACATCACTTTGAAGTATTCCAGAAAATGTTCTATGAGCAACACAATCACATGTCCAATCTATTTTAGATCCAGAATGATTATGAATCGAACTCATCAAACAAACAAAGAACTCATGTGCATCTTGTTCAGCATAGCCTTTTAGCTCTTTAGACAATTTCCACATAACTTCTAAAAATGCACATGGGCCAAAAGGTATAGAAAAATCCTTTTTAGAAAAAAACTATAAAATTTCAATCTTTTAATAAAAAAATAGCCAATCATCGTATTACTTCAGCAATTACAGTATCCATAGCACAACAGCTACAATCATCTTGCAAACAATCCTCTATTATATGACCATCACTTAAAAAATAATTACGGAAAATAGGATTATGAACTAAACACTGTATGATTACATTCATAAAACAGGTAGCTCCCATATTTTGTATACCTCGTAGACCATTACCTTTTGCTAATTAAAAAATTTTTAAAAAATATTAACAATTTACCACAACATATAACCTGTGCATCTTCATTTAGGTAATCCAAATTTTCTATAGTCATTTTAAGTTCATTATTTAATAAATATGTTGAATCTTAAAAAAATAAAATAAGCATAAAAACTAAAAATATCTATTACTTTTAACGTCTAATAAACTTAAATTTAGTCTTCGTTTTGCCAAGAGATATATTTTTTCAAAAAATTCATCATAAACAAAGTCATTACATGCAAAGCAATATAAATAACCATTATAAGAATCGACAGCTATTTTATATAATAAGTATATTTTAAAAATATAAAAATTAAAACCAAAAATATGATTCTTAATTCTTGAATGTATATCAGCATGTTTTCTTCTCCAGCATCCAATATGAGAACATTGAAGACATAAAAACGTTCTTTTAAGAAAATCATGACATATAGAACATTTTTGAAAAATCTTATAAAAAAACTAAGAAAATCAATATAGAATTAAAAATATAAAAAGATTAAAAAATACACTGCGACGTTCACATTTAGATATTTTATGAAAATATATTGCATTTACTGCTAAAAAATATGTTTTACAAATAAAATCTTTAGACGAAGATGACAAAAATTGCAAAACATGATCACAACCGTACATATTGATCTGATTTTTTTTCTACTATCCCTAACCAAAAATACTTTATTGAAGTTAACATCGATAATACATTTAAAATTATATAATATATATATATATATATATATATTCTAATCAAAACTATTAACCAAGATAAATAACATTTTAATAAAAATATTTTTATATACTATTTTTTTTTTATAGAAATATTATCTATATTACCTAATAAAATAAATCATCGATTTTTAATAATTTTAATATGATTTATAAGCTATTTTTCATCCATATTTCATATTTTAGATAATTCATTTATTAATCTAATAATTTAAAAAGATCCATAAAATCAAATCACAAGCACATTAAAAACTATAAAAAAATCAACAAATTAAAAAATTATGATAATTTTATAGCAATAGATTATATATTTTTTTAATATCAATTAGGGAAAAAAAACTTTTAACTATCTTTAAACTCAATTTAATATATTATCTTTAATTACAATTATTTATCTTGCAATAATATTATAGAAAAATAAAAAACATTAACATAATTTATTTTAAAAACTTTATCTAATACATTAACTATACTAATTACTTATAGTTATTTAATAAAAACTATATTATTAACCAAATCAATTAGAAGTATAATAGTAAAATCATGGTTAATAATTTAAGGTATTTCATACGATATTAAGAAATATTTTTACGATAAAAATATACAATATTAATAATTATTAGTCAGATTATTAAATTTAATACTTTAATATGTTAAATATAAAAAAATGCATCAAAGATATTACATATATTTTTATATTTAAAGAATTAAATACTATTTAAATAAAAAATAACATATATACTATTATTCCTTAATATATATAAAAAGATTTCTATATTATTTTTTTCTATCCAAATTATTATTCATTTTTAAACAAGGAAAAATACAAAATATAATAAAAAACATATTAATAACTTCAATAATATATAAATTATACATTTTTTATCAAAAATTATTATTATTTATTTCAATTAGAATTCAACTAGAAATATAAAACTAAATATATCTAAAAATATTTTAAAAATATAACAATACTTTTGTACATTCAAAAACAATTTGCAGAACAAAAATAAAAATTAAAAATCTTTTCATAGTTTGCAAAATTAACATCCATTATTTAATAATAGAAATTTATTTTTTAAAGAATAAAAAAATCTCAATAACAATTATCAATGTTTACAAGTGTAAAAGGTATAAAATAAATACATAATAGTATAAAAAAAATATTTTTCATATACTATCGTACAATAACTTCATTTTCAATTATATCACTTCCCACATTTGTTATAAATGTCTCAAGTTGATGAGTCGATTTATACCAATCCTCAAGCCGTTTTTTCATAACACATATCTGATTTCTATCTAAAACTCTTGGATGAACCCATGTTATGCGAACAATTTCATCGACCTGATCAATAAATCCACGAATAAGATCCAGACTTAACGCTTTCATTACCAAATATTCTATTTCATGTTCAGGTAAACAAGTCTCACTCGCAATAGTGGAAAATTTAAGGATACAATCATGAGGAGATCGTCTAAATACAGCTTCAATCAAAGCCGTGAGACATATTTTTTGGCGTAGAAATGGAATAGAAGATTGCAAAAGAGGCTATGAAGTTAAAATTTCGATCAATTAAAACGATGAATACCTGTTTTAAAAAATGCTCCATAAGACTTTCAAATTTTAAAATATTTCCCGAATTAAGAGCAAATAAAAGTTGACGAAGCCATTCATGCTCTGTACCAGACAATGTATCAAGGATAGGATGAAGAAGAAGCTCTCCAAAATTATATATCGTATCACCTAAAAGAGCTGCAATACTTAAATCATATGCTCGTTGTTGTTGTTCATGAATACTGAGGGAAGAAAGTTCAATACATGAAAGAAAAAGAAGAGAATTTCTATAAAATAAACCATAATCGGCTTTAAACTAAAAACAAAATTTAAAAATTAGCAAAATAAAAATATTATGAAAAAATACTTTATAGTAATCTGCATTTACACGATAAAACGATGCATATATTATAGGGTCGACAGAATCAAGTTCATCAAGAATCTTAGAGCTTTTATTTAAAAGCTCAAAAGAGCCATCTAAATCGCCACAAAGCAATTTCATATGTGCTGTTTCAATTGATGCATATACATATGCATCCTTAGTTGCAGGAGCATTAACCTTTTCTAAAATAAATGACAAAAATTCAAGAGATTCGATATTATCTATACAAAATTAATTTCCTTTATATTTCCTTAACATATCTCACTTTCGCATTGTCTTGAGGCACTTAACCCAAGAACTACAAACTTCAATTTATTAATATGTTGTGAAAATGAAACCACAAAAAATTTAAACATATTCATTCGAAAAGCCGCACTTTCTGGATTTTCAAAAAACTCTATAAGAATATCCGTTAATTGTTTCCATAATCTATAAAAGTATTAGTAATTTAATACATAATCAGTACAGTTAAATAAAAATATCAAAGAGAATCAATCTTACCTACGTTCCCACAAATCTTCCATAGTTGAAATCATTTCTATTAAAAAAAAATAAATATATTTAAATTAAACTATAATTTCACCCTACTTTGTAAATCATCCTTCATCAAAACCTTCTGAGATCCTAAGAATGCACTAATATCAATTCCAGTATCTATATCCATCGCTTATACGTAATATGTAGAGAAAATAAATAAAACTGTATCAAACTGTCTAATGTTTACTTTTATAATAACAATTTAATACTACTATTGTTTCTAGTGTGTCCATTAATTTAACTGAGAATACCTATATTCTTAAAAGTATAATAAAAAATACTAATTTCTTAAAAAAAATTTAATATAATTACGCTTTTTTTTTAAAAAATTATTTAACAATTCTGTGAATTTAAATTCGAACGTAATTCCAAATTATTACAAGGACATGTTTTTACGTAAAAAATCAACATTTAAATACTAAAATTAAAACTTAAAAACAATGATATTGCAACATTGTAAATCATTAAGGCAAAAATTTATCCAAACAATCCATTTGAGACATGTTAATTATAATTCAAATAAAAAATTAGTACATGATATTCAAATATCTAGAACAGGAAAAACTCTAATAAAAAAAGGAACAGAAGGCCGGTAAGCATTATTACAATCATTAATAATTTTTTCATTTATTAAATAACTATTGATTTTTTAAACAAAAACTAATATAATAAAAGATCATCAATTAGCGGACATATTGCTACAATTTTTGGGGCTACTGGCTTTCTTGGGAGATATCTTGTAAATAAATTAGGTATCTAATAATATTAATAGAAGCTTTTTACTCTGAAAAATAATTGGTAATCAACAAATAGCAAAACAGGGAACAACTATAATAATACCATGGAGAGATCAAGATTCTAAAAGACACCTTAAGGTTTTAGGTGATCTCGGACAAATTATTATGATGGTAAAAAGATTTTCACCTCTAATAGAATTTAAATAACATGCTATTGGAGTTATATATAGTATTATAGGGAATTAATATATGTAGGAGTTCGATTTGAGAGATGAAACATCTATTAAAGAATGTATACGACATTCGAATATTGTATATAATCTTATAGGACGAGACTATGAGACAAAGTATAACTTTAACTCAATTGATTATTATAACTTTTAAATATTAATAGAAATTTCTCTTATGAAGATGTTCATATTCATAGTGCAGCAAAGATTGCGAAAGCATGTGTTGAATACAATGTAGATCGCCTAATACATATATCAGCTCTTAACGCAGACGCAAAATCATTGTCGAATTTCTATAAAACAAAAGTATATTTACATAATAACAAAGCATATTTACTAAAACTAATAATACATAGGCACTCGGAGAAGAAGCTGTACGTAATATATTTCCTGAAGTAACTATAGTTCGTCCATCAGTAATGTTTGGTGCTGAAGACCGTTTTTTAAATTATCTAGCAAGTACAAAAATCTTGCTAACTACAAATAATAACCGTGAATTAATCCGACCTACTTATGTTTGAATATCATCATCATTATCTTATCTTATAAAAAATTAGGTAAAAGATGTTGCTCATGCTCTTGAATTGATAATGTTTGATGATTCTACCTCAGGTCAAATTTATGAATTATATGGACCACAAGAATATTCTATTGCAGAAATCATAACCATGATTACCCATATTACACATTATCGGCAATGGCATCTTAATGTCTCTAAGCCTATTTTCTCAATTATTGCATCTGCTTTAAACTTGCTTTGGTGGCCAACTATAAGCCCTGACCAAGCTCAAACACAATGCATTGATTATAAAATTACAAATAATGCAAGAACTTATACAGATTTAGGAATAAAACCCCAATATTTAGACAAACTTGCATTCAAATATTTACGTATAAACTCTTTTCAAACTTTTAATCTAACTAAATGTATTAGGAATGTATTAATTTACTAGCAGTACATGTCTGAAACTAATTCATAAAAACAAAATTTTAAACTTATTCCCCAAAATTATTCAAAAGAATCATCTCGATACACTCAATTTTCACTATACCTTTCACTCCCGTAGAAACTGACAGAAACAATGAAAATTGAGCATCTCGAAATAAGATGCGAAGCCAAAAAATAACATGCGACATATTAAGGGCCGAAACCGGTTCTGTCTGGTAAAAGGCAAGATAGAAATTCCGTGTCACAGCCCCCTATCGCAACGTGGTTTATTATTTTTCAGTACCCTTTATATATTTTTTCGGAGATTTAAATATGCTATGATTTAACACTAAAAAGATTTTAGAACATTCTATGAAGTTCTATAACTTTATTATATATTTTTTATATATAATTTGAAATTAGTATAAAATTTAATTTTTTTTTTTCATACATTTTTACTAGAAAAAAACTAAATATTCAAAAAAATATTTAAAATTCTTTTATTAAATTTTAATACAAATTATAATTAATTTTTTTT